AAGTGTGGAGGAGAAAAGGAGGAAGAAAAATATATGGTGGTAATGATGAGAGCGGAATTCAAAAGTGGCACCACTTCTCCCGGAAGTTGGAAGAGAAAGAGGGAAACACAAAACAAAACAAGTTTCATACGGATATTATAAACTTCAGAATGTCTGAGCAGGGGTTTTGTGCTCTTGCAACAACTTTGCGTGGGCGTATCTCGGCCAAAAATGATCGGGTTGACACCAAACTTGGACAACATACTGTATGTTACATACACTTTAGGAATTCTAGTCCATGCTCAAAAAGTTACAAGGGTCCAACTTGAGAAGTAAAGGTAAAAGTTGGCAGCCAAGTTTTAAAGTTTATCAACCAAATGTTATCACGCAATCTCTTGAAAATGTGTAGAGCAAAATTTCTTAAAAAAAAGCTTAAATTTGTTTCCAGCAGCAAGCAAAAACAGAGAGAGAGAGCGGGAAACAAATGGGGCTCACGTGCCGGCGGCCCCTCTTCCATTTTTTTATGGGCGCTCGTTTGGTTTGCAAAGAAACGACGGCTCCGAGAGCCAGGCTCGTTTTTGCAACGGAAAAAACAAAAAAAAAACATGGACATCCGAGGAAGACGACGGCAAAGAGCACTTTTTCGGGCGGTCGGGGCTCTAGGAGATGAAGAAGAAGACGAAGAAATATTTTTTTTTTGCAAAAAGAGCACACGGATGAATAAGTCCTAGAGTCTCCTCGAGAAAAGACGGGCGGAGCTCAAAAGCAGGTGGAATTGGATTTGCTCGACAACGCAAAAACCACGTTTACCGGGCCTGCAAAAGTTAGGCCTGAATTCTGTGTTAGACCAAGTTTTATCACACAGATTGCATGTCAAGTTGCACCAGTAACACGTCAGGCCTGCGAAGATCTAGTGAAAGTATCTGGCCTAGAAAACTCAAATGGAAATGTAAGGCCATCCAATCTCTTCTCAGCAAAAAAACGAAGAGAGAGAGAGAGACAGAGAAAAGTGGTTGCGTGGCGAGGGGGTCTGGAAATGGAGCTCTGAGCTCACTCGTTATTTTCAGAATTTGCGCGGCTCGGCTCGCGCGGCCCAAAAACAACTAGTGCATGTTTTGTGTGCTGCTGGAAATGTGAGCGTCTTCTGCTGATGCATAATAATATACACATTCTCCCCGCTTTCCTAGACGACGCTTCCGGGAGATGTGACGGCAGAGAAATGACAGAGATGGAAAAGTTAGGCCACGGGCGGGGGTGACTAGGGCGGTGGCCTAGGATTCTCGTTCAGTAAACAATATTACGTCAAGCCGCCAACTAGAACTGTCGGATTCTAGGCGAGCAAATTGGATCTTGGGCCTCAGAATTGGGCCATAGACCCAATTTTACCGTTTTGCGCTAGAAACCTAAGGTTCTATTTGGTTCCTGTGCGCCTCAAAGGTTACTTGCTGGATCCTAGGCCACCATGCGGAAGTGGAAAAACCGGAGAGGCGAATGAAAAAGCAGACAGAGAGCAGCTTCCGAGAATAGTAGGCTTCCTTTAATTAGTAGCCACCCCACAGCTAGCCGCCATTTCTCTCTCTCTCTTTCTCTCCTGTTTTTCTCATTTCCCAGTTTTTTTTTCTCGTTCACAAGGACACTTTTGATTCTTGGAACTGGTGGACAAGGACAGGCGAGAAAAACGGGCGAGAGAAATGGCCATGGGAATCGGGTTAATTACTGTCACTTTGTTCTGATCAGGTACAGCGGCCCGGTGGCCTAGGTTTTGCAGTGGGGGAACAGTCAGGCTATCTATTTATTGTTACGTTTTGTTGAGCTTTGAATGATTCAAAGAAAAATGAGCTAATGAGTCGGGTTTTTCTGTGTTTTTGACTGCCAACCTTGAGAGCACGTCACAAGATCAGCAGACGTCAGATTCGTGTCAATCTCTTGACTAATACTTTATTTTTGTAGTTGACAACTTGAATTACTGTAGCTCTTGGAAGTTGGGACTCATTTCAAGCAATTCAAAGCAACGCAAACTTCAAAGCGCTACAGTACTCCAGGGAGTGGTCGTAGAAAAAAGTTACAAACTGAGAAAATATAGTACTAGATTCGAAAATTCTCAAGAACAACTCTGAAAGTGATAGGACGTCTTGTGGCCAAGTTAAGTGCGTTCAAAGTTCGAATGAATGGAAAGCGTTGTTGTACAATAACGACTGACGTAGCAAAAAGTGGATGAATAGCGATTGTCCGTCCACATAAATTGATCACTGACACAAAAGAACGGTTACTACGCCAGGGTTATAACGTACACACACTTTCTTCCTTGGGGAAAAGGCCATGCCAATATTGGCATTAAAACGAAAGAGGCAGGTATTGTAGTTTTCTAAATCCGAGCCGCCCCGACACCAATACACAACCGAACAGACACAGTTTGGTGTAAATATGCAAATACGGAGAAAAGTTTGTTGGCGAGAACAAGAGGGGAAAGGACATAATGATGATGATGATGATAGATCGACCGGAGCGAATGCAGAAACTGACCCGCCCGCCTCTCATTTGTAGATGGTATCATCGGGCAGGCGCGTAGGCGTCGCAGATGAGAGACCAGCGGAGAAACCGAAAACGAAAACGAAGTGGTGGAATGGAGAAAAACGTTGAACAGTTGTAATGTAGATTTGCACTTTGGCCAAAAGGTAACTTCAAACGAGTATTGTAAGCCGCTTCTAAGGGCTCATTTGGAGCAGTTGAGAACCGCGCTAACTACAAAGAGCTGCAGTACTCCAGGAAGTGTTCGTGGAAAAAATAGTAAAGTGCAAAAATATTGTACTAGACGTCAAAATTCGATCAAAAACAAGTTTCAAAGCGCCCGGATACTTTCTCGCTGCTCAGCGGCATTTCAAAGTCTATCACTTTCAATTTTACGAAAAAGGGTCTCCGGATAAGCGAATTTTCAGCGACGAAGCTCCAAAATGATGCGAATTTTTGGACCAGATGCAAAAAACCGGAAGAAAAGACGAAATTCCGCAAAAATACTGTTTCAGAGACATTTTAGAGTGCGAGACAAGAAAAAGGAGCATTCCGATCCCGAACAACAAAAATCAATTCGAAAATTTCAAAATCGGTTGGGAATGCGCGAGAATTGAAAGCGAACGGCAAATTTTCGAGCGGAACTCTGTTTTGATCTACGACGCGCGAAGAAATTTCATTTTCGAGCGAGAAATGTCTTCTAATTGTTTTCGGAAGAAATAACAACTATCACGGAGAACAAGTGCCTTCTTTGGTTATTTGTGAGACCGATAGCTTCCGAGTGATCGAAGAAATGCTTTGAAAATCTGAAATTCTGTTCGTTTTTAGACTCACTTTTGTTTCCAACGACACTCCGCGCATGACGCCGCTCTGTAAATGACAATGGCCTTTGGGAAGGCAGGGTTTGCAAGGAGAAATATAAAAAAAGAGATCGAGGTGATGACACGAAAAAGCGATGGGCCACAAATGAAAATATTGGAAAAAGGGCAGGAATAGACAAGATTGAGCGGAAGAGTTGAAGAAATCGATACACAGTGAGTTTTACATATCAAAAGCGCAAAAATTTTTCGCGAGTCGGTAGTCAAAGAAACGCCGTGATCGGAGCGAAAAACAGCAGAGAGAATCAAGTCGAATTCACAACATTAGATTCTGTGAAAAATTCAGTATCAGAGGTTTTTTGTGAGTAAAAAAAAACGAGAAAAAAGATAAATTTTATGAAATTTGACTTCACTTCATTCCTCCGAAAAAGGTTCTCGCATCGGAGCAACAAGACGGAAAAAACAGCGAAGAGAAGCAAGTCGAATGGTTGACGGTGCGCGCGCAGGTCAAAAAGCGCTGGGTCTCGCAGCGATCGGACAAATATACGGTAGCGATCGGACAAATATACGGTAATAATACGGTAGCGTTCACTGTCTCCTCAAAGCAGTCTTGGGGTGGTCCGGCTCGGGTGTTAGTACCAAAACATGATATTTGAGTCAATTTTCTTTCAAAATCGCGCTTCTTTTCAATAATTTCGAGTTGAAAAATACCTTTCCCGGCTGGTACTGGCTAACTTCAATGAAGAAAAGCAGCGTTTTGAGTGAGAAATCAGAAAAATCGAGTTTTTTTTTACCAAAAATGCCTCAGAGCCACTTTTCATAGACAGAGCGGCAAAGAAACAGCTTTCTAGATTTTTCAAGTTCAAAAATTTGATACAAGCGCACGCTTTTCAACAACAAAGCTATAATTTTTTGAACTCACAAACTTTTCGATTTTCAGCAGCTCGTATCAGCAATTCGGGAGGATTTTGGAAATAATTCTGCTCTGCTTTTACGGATTCTATCAGAAACGAACATTTCCGCGTGAAAACTGTGTTTTTAACAGGAAAAATTAGAAAAAAACAGTCGGGCATTCTAAATACTTCCGCACGAAAAACAAAAACTGCGTGCGGTCTACGGTATTTAAAGGCGCAACACCAATTTTGAAGAAGTTTTCAAAGCTTTCCGCGCGAGCAAATTTAGTCGTTTTTCTGCCGGTTTTCGCTAGTTTTCCAAGAAAAATACCCATTTTCACAGCTTTGGTCATCAAATTTCCGCGTTTCCCACAAATTTTTGCTCATTTGACCTCGAGAACTTTTCTGTGAATGTCGCTCCACCGAAATTCCACGTAAAAACCCGGCGGTGACCAGAGACCCTGTCTTTTTCAAATTTAACGAAGCTCGATTTCTGGCAGGCGAATACATCCCGAAGCGTAAACTTTCGTAAATTATTATAACGCATTCAGCTTCCCTGCCCGTGACACCTTACAAATCCTGACAAAATCCCTCCCCCGAGCTCACAACTAGTCAACCGGGTCCGTTCCCGTTCGGCCGACTCGCTCGCCCAACGCATGTTTCGTTCGGCGTCTGCGTCTCCTCACTCTCTCGGTCCGGGGGGCCGACCAGTAAACACGCGTTTCATCCGAGCGTCGGCGGCACACGAAAATCGATTCAGTTTTCAAAACTCTAAAATCATCAATTTCCAGGAGAGGTTTAAATGGATTTCAACCGAAGTTTCATCTCGAATTTGGGGAGTGCGCCGAACGCCAAGGCCCAGCAGGTACGTGTCTTTTGTCATGTGAAGAAGAACCGAATTTGATAAGAAAACCCATTAACTAACTAATCACGTCGCTTTCGTGTCGGTTTCTGCAAGCCAGACAGTACTGTTTCAGAGCATGTTCAAAGCGTTGCGACGTCTTCACGGCCAGAATCTGGAGAGCCGCGGACTGCACGACATGACCGAGGCGTTTCAGTCGTTCGTCACGCGCGCACGCTTCTTCAGCATCGGAAAACTGAGGTTTGGACGGGGAAAATGAAATTTCAACGACGTTTCACTGGCCGTTTATTTTCAGACGAACATGGTCACACTCGGCGGCCGAATTCATGAAATATCGACGTCTTCTGCCAATGTTGCTCGCCGACGGCGACGCTTTCGACGGAGGAGAGACTGACGGTGAGAAAAACTGTGCATTTCCGCATTTTCTAGCCGCACTTAAATGAATAAACGTTGCAATTGCTCGAATTTTCAGATTTCGACGCCTCGATCGCATTTCAACACGCCTCGCGCGACGACCGCAAGATTGTCGTTTCGAATGTGTCGCCACGTGTCACTCAATCCCAGCTCCAATCGTTTTTCTCGCAATACGGAAAAGTCTGAAAGCAAATTCAGCGAAAAAAAAAACCGCCCGAAAAAAGTGTTCAGATAACGAGTTGCATTCTGCCACGAGAAGAGAAGAAGACGTCAGTGTTCGGAACGCTCCCGAAACATTCGCGAAACTGCGGAACCGCCACGATCACGTTCAAAAAGGCGGAACACGCGGAGAGGGCGAAGAGTGCCGCGCCGGAAGAGCTCAAGTTCTACGAGCAGGTCATGGTTGTGTCGGCGGTAAGTGAACATTCAAAGTTTCAAGCCATTGAGACCAAAAACCCTGTTTGAGTGCGAAAATATGCCAGAGTCTACTAGAAACCAACAAAACTTCATGTTTTTTTTTCAGTACGTCTCGAAGAAACGTGGCGGAAAAGGGCTGGTGCTGAGCGACGACGTGTCGCGGGAAGAAACGCCCCTCTCGCGGGCCTCCTCCACCCAATCCCTGGCCTCTTCTTCCGCCGAACAGCACTTTAATCTGGCCGGAATTCCGGACAAAGTGCTCAAAAGGATATTCTCGTTCCTGCCCGTCCACGAGACGATTCGATTGGAGCGCGTCAACAAGAAGTTCATGGAGGAGAGCATAAAATCGTGGGAACTCGTCCACACACTTATTCTCGCCAGAGAAACCGTGTTCAACAAGCAACGGCCGATGCGGACCAGTCATTTGAAGGTACGCTCCCAGTTTCTAATCGAAATATTGCAAAACCTCTGACTTTTCAGGCGATCCTAACGCGTGCGGGTTCGCACCTCCACTCGCTGGACCTCTCCGGAATCGTGCACCTTCTCGACGACCGGCGCGCCCTGAAAGTGATTGCCACGTGTTGTCCGAACCTCGTCGAGCTGGACATTTCGGGAACGCACGCGCACGCGGAGGCCCTCGAGGAGCTCGGCGAGTCGCTGAGCCACCTGGAACAGCTGTCCTACCGGGGCATGGAGACGACCGGCGACAAGGCGTTCTACTTCTGCTCAAGAACGTCGGACACTCGCTCAAGTTTGTGGACTTGCGGAATTCGAAGCGACTGCACGGGCGGTCGTTCCGCCTTTTCGGGTCCCAACTCGAAAGTCTCTACCTGGACGGATCGTCGAAAGTCGACGAAATGGCGTTCGAGGATCTATGTACCGCCTGCGCGGGACTCAAAGAACTCCGGATCAACGAGTGCTTTCGCATCAGCGACGAGAATTTGAGTATGATTGCGCGGCGGATGGAGGATCTCTCGATCCTGACCCTGTGTGGCGACGCGTTCAAGAATCTGACGCCCGCCGGACTCGTACACATTAGTCACATGAAGAACATCACCGAACTTGCGTGAGTGAGCGGAAAACTGGGAAAAAATGCGTTTCAGTGGGAGATTTTGTTCATGTTTAAAAAGTTCTGGCCTTTTTCGTCTTTGAAATCGGTGCGTCGTCTGCAAGTGCGCTCCATTGCACTTTTGCCTGGGAGTTCACATTTTGTAGCAATTTTGCGGGAAAAAAACGAGCGAAAGTTGCTGAGAACAGAACTTCGAGCGCTCAAACTGCAAGAAAAACTTGCAGATCACCCGGAAACGCATAAAATGATTGAAATTTGCAGCCTGGACTACAACACGCTCGTCAATGATGAACTGCTCGTCTCGATCTCGGCGGGTCTCCCACTGCTCTCGTCGCTGAGTTTAGCCAACGCCGGCGACGATTCCTCAATCACTTCGGAGGGCATCGCGGCCATCAGAAACCTCTCCGAACTGACGCAACTAGACATTTCCTCGCTGGCCGCCGTCAACTCGCAAGTTATGAAGGAGCTCCGAGCGCTCAGAAAATTGGAGATTATCCAAATGCGAAATTGTACATATCTGGGCGACGAGGGCGTCCGCGCGATGCTCCAGATGCCGAATTTGCGGCACGTCGATCTGAGCGGCTCGATTTTGGTGTCGAACGAATCAATTCAGGAATTTATCCGAGCATTCCCCTCCGGACCCAAAGTATTATTGTCTTTTATCAAATGTTGACAATTAAAATCTAATTAAGCTGCCGCCAATCACTCTGGTAGTCGGTGGAACCGCCGCCGACGCTTCGAAACTCTCGGTCCGCGGATCTAGGGTCGTCGTGGATTTCTCGGATTATTCGGCCATTGTCAGCATGCAAACCAGCCAGACTTCCGCATCTTCGAAGTTTGCCATCGTCGGAGGGTCCGCGTCGGACAACGAGGGATCGGACGATGAGTTCGAAGCGCTCACCGCTCAAAGTGAGCAGTTTTGGGGGAGATCCTTTGAAAATTCTTATTTTCAAACTTCCAGGAAGCTTCTACATTGACGCCGTGTGCGGAGAAGAGGAATCTCCGATCACTGACGACGGAAAACTGGCCGAGTGGGCGGAGCGAGAAGCGAGAAGTCTCGGACTGCTCAAAGACTAATCTTCCCCTTTTTTTTCAAATTGTTCAAACAACTAATATTATCGATCGATTTAGGCCTCATTTTCTATGGAATCTTGTCATTTTTCATCACTAGTCACTTTTTCAATGAAATTTGTCTGCCCAGCCGCGAACGCTAGGTGATCCCACAGTGATTCCTCACTTCGCCGCGTTCTCATCCCACTCTTCCCGATCACGTCGCTCATTGTTTCGAGTCTTTGCTTTTTTTTTACTTGGAATTTCTTTCTTTCAAAGTGAACAAAGTGCAAGGAAGCGAAGCGACGAACAGTTCGCATAAAAACAATTTGAACTTGGAGCGAAAAAGTCTACGAACAAAATCAATTATTTTACTTTTTTTCTGCATGCGGAAGCGAACTGACGATGCGAAATCATTTGCGCCATTTAACTACTCAGTTTTGCAGAAGATTTTCATTCGAGCCATCACATCGTTGAATGGAAAAGACGGTCCGGTCGAATGGGTTCGAATTATTCGGGTCGGTGTGGTTGAGCGAGTTGGCAGCGAGAGCGGTCAGAAGAAGATAAATCACGAATGAATCTGAAGAGAACGAGTGCCAAACTGACTGCGAGTGTCCTCCGAAACTCACTCATTCCGATCGTTCGCTCTGCGTTTGCCGCATCTTTTTGAATTCGCGTCGAACTTTGATCGTGTTTCAATCCTCGAGAAATGTTCGAAAACGTCAGTGGGGCAAGGGAACGGGAACGTCACGCAGAAGAAGGATAAACTTTTGGAATATCTGTTCGCATTTCTCATGTGCGCGAACAAAATTGGAAAACAAGTGCGAAATTTCAGAATAACACAGCTAAAAATCATAATTACAAAAAGGCAAGTTACCGCTTTCAACATAATGCTTATAAATGCTAAGGACATTTTGTCAGGACTTGTAAATTTTTAGAGCTCTGGCATTTCGTTATTAATCTAACGGCGGCCTAATAAGATTGATATGACACCTAATTAGATTAATAAATTGTCTAGCTAGATTAATAAATCTTCTAGCTAGATTAATAAGTGCCGAAATCAAGTTTCACGCCAACCGTCTGCTGGCTCAAATCTCGATTGCGCCAAGAAAAAACAGTCGAATCTAATTAGGTCGCGTTTAGATCAGTAACTTTCTAATTAGATTAATATCGAATTGCCAGAGTCTCTCTTATGCCAATGATTTGGGATCAGGGCAAAGATTTTACGTTTACGGTGGTTTTTTACTTTTTTTTTGCGATAAAAGAGATTTTTCTCGAATCAATTACTTTTGTACTATTTGTCTAAAATCAGAAATGCTTGATTTAATCAGTAAGAACAAGATTAGGTATCAAAAGACACCAAAACGTTCAAAAAACGTTCGAATTATATTGACTTGTATGCAGCATGCTAGTTTTCATTTTTTCCTGACAAAAAAAGTACGCTTTGCGGATTTTACGGATTTTACGGCTTCTTGTATCCGTAAATTTTCGTTTTTACAGATCCGTAAAAATAGAATTTTACGCCCCCTCAATTTCGGATCTGCCCTGGCGGAAAGGCACGCCCACGAAGGTATATAACAGACTTGCCAGATTTCGGGCCGGCCATGCGGGCCGGTAAAGTGCCGGCCCGGGCCGGGCCGGGTCGGTGAAGTGCCGGCCCGGTTCAAAAGGCGGGAATTCAAATTTTCGCGGAAATTTTTTTTTCTCGTTATTACAAAAAAAATTTTCGAACTAAAGTTTTAGTGTTTCTTCTTCGTTTTTTTGCTATTATGAATTTTTTATGAGAAATACATTTGTTTTTCAATGTTCGATGCTTGCAAAAAAACCCTAATTCTACAAAAAATGGCTTCATGCGATCAATAATTCAAATTTTGAATTCCCGCTTTTTGAACCGGGCCGACCGGGCCGGGCCGGAGTTTTGGAAATTTCGGCCCGGCCCGGCCCGGCCCGTGGCAACTATGGTATATAAGGTCGTCGAAACATAACATTTTCACCGTCTCGTACGGTCTTAAGAGAGCCCTGAAAAAGGCTCGGAACTCGGAACTACACACTCAAAATCACTCGTCCTTGCACACCGCCCATCTTTCGAGCGAGAATTTGAATTTCGATGCGCGACAGTGAACATTGACACGCGCACAAAATGATTAACACATTTTCAGAGCAATTACGGAACGAGGAACAAAAAAAAGAAGCATTACTTAAAGTAATTTACTTTATTGCATTTATTTCAGACAAGTGGGTCTTTTTTGAAAAGGTGAGCAATTTCTCTTAGAAAAAGACGATTCGAGTGGAAGAAAAGTTGCTAAACTAATCGCATGCGCAAAAATTACCGGATTTTCCAGACTTGTCGCGCTTTCCGCGTTTTGACGCTGTTATTCATCTGCATGGAGAAAAAGAAAATGTTGAAAATTTCATAAAAAGCAACCCGTCACAAATTGGAAAATGAGCAAATCTCACGAAGAAACATTGACGGGAAGATTGATCGCATACACACTGTTCTTGTTCTCCTTCTGCTTGCGACGACGATCCGACGCGCGTCTCGAAGCGTCCGCCAACTTTTCGAGCACCGGAATTATGATGGAGAGCACGATGGGCAGGAGCATCAGCGCATGCCACGCGCCGATCACCAGCACCAGGAAGATGGTCTTGAAGAAGACGAGCACCATGTAGGAGTCGATGAACGCGAGTACCGTCACGCCGAGGATTGTCGACAGACTTCCGTGCACCACTGAAACACTCGCGATTTTGGAGCAAAACGTTTGAGGCCCAGATGTGTGTATCTCTCCCAACACGGCGCGCCAAAAGTGTAGAAAGGGGGGCGTGGCCTAATCTGAGACGCGTTTTCTGAAAATTTCCGCAATTTCAGCACTTTTCCGATATTTTTGTGTTTGATATCGACGAAAGAAGAGACTTTAAAAAGAGAAAACATTGAAATTTTCGTGAAAACGCCGCGTTTAAGACGTTTTTGGCATATTTCGCAATACGCTCGCCGCCGCAATTTCGGAATTTTCATACCGGCCGATGTGGATAGTTTTGAGACGAAGTGAGTGTCGGAAGTGATTAAGCACGTTAATACAAGTATTTTAAGCGTTCAAACGACAAAAAGTATCGGCGAATGACTGAAATTCGCGCATTTTCAGCACAAAACTTGAAAATCGATTCAATTTATTCATTTCTGAATGAAACCTGCTCGTTTTAAGCTCAAAAAGTGCGCGCGATGATTAGTTTAATAAAGTTATGCAATCGCATCGTCGAAACCCGTACAAAATTTGGGTAATTTTTGACGAAAAACATGAAAAATTGGGGTTAAGTTTCGAATTTCGCGCCAAATTGGTGATAAACCGTGCACGCGCTAGGCCACGCCCCTTTCTACGTTTATGGTCGCCGTGGGCCCAATATTATATAGTTTTGCGAGAGGGTGCTCACCGGGCCACGCGAGTTTTTCCATCGCATCCACACAACGATCGAACGCCGACAAATTGTTCTCGTTGCTCACGAAGCCGTGAGTGATGTGAGCTGAACATTTTCTGTTGAACACTGCTCTAAAAATCCCCGAACACTTACCGGAAAATTCGATCGAAAATCCGATGGACATGATGATGGTGATCATAGAAATCGGGTCCAATTTCACGCTCCATAATGACAAGAAACCGATGACACCTAAATGGAATTGGTTACGGCACTTTTGAGCTTGTGAAAAACTACACGACTCCTCACCAATATCAATGGTAATCATGGCCAGTGTGATGAAAATTGAGCAAATCGGATTGGGAATGAAAATGAGCGCCACACAGAACATGCACAACATTGCCAACGTGTCATTCGTGATTGTAGAGCTCAAAATCACGTTTAGCTGGTCGGCGATCGCGCGGCTCTGCTGATAGGTGACAATGTCGAGGTCGGAGTGGCGGTCGGCCACGTTGCGTAACTCTGAAATGCGATTTTGTCGAAAAAACGCGCAGAGATAGCGCGGTTTGACGAAGAGACAAAACTAAAACATGTTTGCTCTAGAATTCTATGATGATGTCGGTGAAATGAACGGAAATTTCACGGCGAACAAGTTTGCCAGAAACCTCGACGACGTCTAGTTTTCCAGAAAGCTCACCCTCAGTGACGAGGACCAAGTCGGTCGGCGTCGAGAGCCGGTGCACGCCGATTCGGAACCGATACGACTTCACCTCGAGCGCATCGTAGTCCGCCTCGTCGGCCCACACAAAGTCCTGCGACCAGAGTTTGTAAAATGCGAAAAGTTGGCTCCACTCGTACACGCCGACGGCCCAACTCTCGCGATCATCGTTGAGATAGGAGCCCGTCACGTTACTGTACTTTTTGTATTCTCTCAGCCAAAACGAGGTTCCTTTTGCGCCGAGAGCTGGAAAGAAAAATCGATAAAGACTATGAGCCGAGGGACTTGCAGTAGGAAATGTTCTCGAATTCCTGCGCGATCGTCTCGATGCGGTCCCGATTGGCGGCTATCGTCAAGTTCGGACACTTTTGGATGGCGATCTCGATCTGATCCCCGCCGTGGAACAACTCGATTTCGCGCTTCAACGCCTCCACAAGAGGGTCCGAATGCAGAAGGAGTTTGTCGTAATCAAGGCCTTGTTTCATCACACAAATTCCGTAAATCGAGACGGTCAGGTAGGCGACGAACATGACGAACATGACGAGTTTCGTCTTCCAGTTCAGAAGCCACGGCACGTAAATGTCTCTGAATGAGTATTGTAGGCGAAAAGTCGACATTTGGTAGAACATTTTTGCTGTTGATCACTTTTTTCTGGGACCACTTTTGACAAAACTGTGGTCCCTGGAAGTTGGCGCTAGTCAAATGCCTATCCTAACTTCCAAGAGCTACAATACTCCAGGCAGTGGTCGTGGTGAAAAAGTGTCAACTGGAAAAATGTTCTACTAGAACTGAAGAATTAAAATGTACATGTAATACACACCCCTAGTTCTCGAAATACCTGAAAAAATGTCCCATTGCTCCTCGACTCTTGACAGCGATGTGAATCTGCGATGGATCCGGAGACGAGTCGGTCGATCGCTTTTCCGCGTTTTCCACAATCTCTAGCTCTTTTTCAGCAATTTCCGCACTTTTTGACGTCTTCCTGGCGTTGGACCGTTTCTTCAAGTTCGGTTGTAAGGAGCCGTCTTCTATCGTGTAAATGTCCTCGGCCTACAAAAATGAAAAAGTATGGTTTGTTTGAAACGTCATATCTCAGGTGTCTGTAGAATTATCAAAAAGTTGTCAACAGATGAAATGTGCACAATAGTTTAATGATCATTTTATATGTTGACAACGTTTTCACATCTCTACAAACAACTGAGATATACAGCGAAGAACTCACAGTAACACACGGCATACACGAATTGCGTCCCGACATTTGCGCCTTCGCCGAGATGACCATGAGCGCCGCGAAAAAGGTGATTTGGTAGAGAAAAGTGAAGAACATGCAGGCGGCGGTCATGGCGCAGAAGCCCTGCACGGCGATGATGTCGGTGATGGTGCCGACGCCGAACGAGAGCACGTCCGTGAACGAGGTGATGAAGATGGCGACGGCCGACTCGGACATGGCCTCCACCATCCGCTGCTTCATCACTTTCGGCGATCGTCCCGGATACTTCATCTCAGTGTTGTGCCACGCGGCCACCGCGATGAACATGTCGTCCACGCCGATCGCTACAATATCTTTAGTCCGTCCAACTTCTAAGCGCTACAGTAGTCTTAAAAGTGCTCGTAGAAAAAAGTGCTCAACTAGAAAACTAGAGTTCTTGTTTAGCACTGTAACTTTTCAGTTGATCACTTTTGTCTACAACCACTACCAAAAGCGCTGTAGCTCTGGGAAGTGCAGTACTCTTTTGAGTACTAACCTGAGCCTACCCAAACTTCCAAGAGCTACAGTACTCGAGGGAGTGCTTGTAGAAAAAAGGGATCAACTGAAAAAATGTATAAAAAACGTACACAAAACCAAAAACGGAGCGATCAACGTGATTTCGGCGAAGAACATTCCGAACCATAATAGCAATCCGATGCCACTGCAATTTCAAACATTTTCACTGGTAATCTGTTCATGCCCTCGCTAAAAACCAACCTGACAATAGCGAGCACCGAGGAGAGCACTCCCCCCAACGCCAACATCGGTTTCGAGCGCAGCCAATCGACGTGCACCGTCCACTTGCCGTCCTTTGTGTGAAAATACCATTTGACCGAATAGAAGGCGGTAAAAAGGACGAGCACCGCGATGGTCACATTGAAATAGGGTTTGAGGCGGTTCGCGTTGCGCGTCAGACCCTGATCCACAATCCGCGAATGTTTTATGTGGCACCGGATGGTCGGGTGGTCGGCGTAGGCGTCGTGCACGAACCGCTCGGCGACGTCCTCCCAGTACTTGGCCAGCTGCTCCTGTTCCTCGTCGTCGAACTTTAGAAAGTACCAGAGCCGCATCGCGCGCGCCGTGCGGATCGTGTCGTTCGTTGCGAACGTGTCGACTCCGCCGATGACGAACGCAATGTAGATGGGCGTTCCCTCTTGGTTCACCTGCGGAAACGTCACCGAGATTCCTCTGCAAAACATTGATTTTGGTGTCGTCGGCGACTGTAAGTGGTACCTTTTATTCAGTTCATGACGTCGCTTCAGCAACTCGATGATGTTCTTCTCGCGATAACAGTCACCGTACCAACTCATACACACGTCCTGCAAGTGTACAATATAGGCCATTGGTTTCTAGCAGAGATGTTGGGAATAAAAATTTTACTCTACGGAACACGGCACACGGAAAACGGAAATTTTTTTTTACGGAACACGGAACACGGAAAACGGACAAAAACTTATTTCTACGGAACACGGAACACGGAAATTTTTTTTTTTACGGAACACGGAAAAAATATTGAAAAAAAACGCGGAACACGGAACACGGATTTCCCAACATCTCTGGTCCCGATTTCAATGAATATTTTAAAACGGCACTACATTCTTCGCATTTCACTAAATTTTCTGTTTTTTCAAAATGCTGGTCGTACTTCGAAAAACCGCGTTTCTTGCCCATTTCAGTTCTCTGTAATATTTCAATTTCAATTTGAGTTATATGAAAAATTTGATTTCATAAAATTGAAAGTGAAAAAGAAAAAAACGAAAGAAAAGCGGTTCAGATAAACAATGCGCAAAGCGGTTATTCGGAGCATCGTTGCTGCTAAAACAAGGGGGAATTTGAAAATAATAATGAAAAAAATAAAATTTGTGATCGAATTTTTTCGCGGAAAATATAGTTTATACGGAACACGGAACACGGAAAACGGAAAAAAACTTATTTCTACGGAACACGGAACACGGAACACGGAAATTTTTTACGGAACACGGAACACGGAAAACGGAAAAAAACTTATTTCTACGGAACACGGAACACGGAACACGGAAATTTTTTGAACACGGAACACGGAAAAAATATTGAAAAAACGCGGAACACGGAACACGGAACACGGAATTCCCAACATCTCTGGTTTCTAGGCCGTCATTTTGCTTCCCAAAGCCAGAAAAACTGACCTTAAAAGCGATGGTAGTATTGCGTGCCTCCTCAATCTCGCTCTCATTCAAATGGCGCTTCCGCATCAGCGCCGGATTGTCCTCCAGTGCGTCTTCGCGCCGAAACGTGACATTCGTCGCCACCTCCTCCTCGATTTTGGCGATATCATCGAGGTAGGAGCCCTCGAGAATGTTCGGATACGTTCCGTTTTCGAACGGTCGCCCATGCACCACCAGGTACAGATATCGATTCCATTGAAACGTGCGTTCGGGCAGAAATTCGTACGATTTCACTGGCCACAGCTTGAAAACGCAGGATTTCGAAGGTTTGCGGGCGACGAGAACTCACTCACATCACTGAAAACCGCCTCTTCACGCCACGAAGGCGCCGAGACGGGCGTGTACAATTTGCGGGCGTCGAGAAGCGTCAACTCTTTAATCCAATAAAACCCGCCGGCGAGAATGCCCGTCAAAACTATCGGAGCTATCAGAAAGACCTAAACACGTTGAGTTGTTCGCACGAGAAGGCGGAATTACATAGTAATAATCGACTAGAAGGTGTCTAGTGTACCAGGCGAAAAACTTTTCGAGCCGCTTGTCAAGTGTCGGAAACGAGCATCGCATCTGCAAAATATGAAAGAAGACGGCAAAAAAAACGAAGAAAGGTGAAGAAGAAGAAGAAGAAGAACCGGTTTGAAAAGAAGAAGAAGAGACAAAAAAAAGTGTTGGCAAACAAGCGACGACGTCACGAGACACACGGATTCTTGATTCAATTGAACTGATTAACGGTTGACATCAGTGGGTCAAACGCATAATTTTACGTAATCGAGGAGAAATGAGCCGGCAAGTTTTACAGTTTCGAGACCACCGAAAAGTGCACGCTTGTACTTTTTGCCGAGATTGTTGCCACTAATCGCTGTAGTTGTAGGTCTTTCAAGACAAAAAAAAAGGGGGAAAAAGGGAAGGATTAGACGAGCGGGCAAGGACACGAAACGAAAGCATATCAACGGGGGAGGGGGGGTGTAACAATGGCAAAGAACAGAGATTATGAACCGTCGATTGTGGGTAGGTTGGTCTCGTTTTTGGATTTGGAACACAATCGAGACCAGGGGGGTCTTAGTGGGCGGCTCAAGGTTGTGGGTTAAGACCGTCTTTTGTTCGTTTTGAGGAAAAAGTTGTTTCATCGCCCTCCGAGCTGCCGACGAAAACTGACCGCATGGCCTAGTGGCTAGCTTTTTAGACTTTTGAGCAAAAAAGATGGCAAGTTCGAACCCTCGAGGTGTAAAAACATTTTTGCAAAGCATTTTCGACAATGATAAGCGCGAAAACGACGATGTGAAGCCGTGACTTGGCAGGAAAGACGGGCATAAGCCGCAAAAGGTTGTTGTCCTTGTTCTTCTTCTTCTTCTTCTTCTTCTTCTTCTTCTTCTTCCGACAGGTTCTGGCAGCAGATTGCGCTCGCGTCATCATTATCGTTAATCAACTGAGGAAGACAGGAGGGGCAGAGACACTCATTCACAAATCAAAAGTACTACTAATTCGGAATTACTTTTTTTTTGATTCGACATAGACGTGGTGGCCTAGAAAGTGCACAATGGGGACTAACTTTCTAGGCCATCACTTTCACTTTCACTTTAAAAGAATTGATTGAAATTCAATGGGAATCCAGAGATCCTATAATAGTAGCAAAGCAATATTCGAACGCGTTTCTTCTGGTTCTTCCATCTTGCTTTTCCACCTCTCCCTGGGTGACAAGAGACCGCTCGCTGCGCCCATTTTTCCGATTTTTGCCTCCTCCGAAACTGTCTACTTGTTCACCTCTCGATCATCCTGTTTTTGCGCGATTCTTTTTTCATTTCATACTTTTCCAGTCGCCTCGTCAACGCAACGATTTTGCGAGAAGAAAATGTTTCTTACGGAACACGGAAAGCGGAAGTCGGAAGACGGAAGAACATTTTTCTTACGGAACACGGAAAGCGGCAGACGGAAGAAATCTTTTTCTTACGGAACACGGAAAGCGGAAGACGGAAGTCGGAAGAACATTTTTCTTACGGAACACGGAAAGCGGAAGTCGGAAGACGGAAGAACATTTTTCTTACGGAACACGGAAAGCGGCAGACGGAAGAAATCTTTTTCTTACGGAACACGGAAAGCGGAAGACGGAAGTCGGAAGAAAATTTTTCTTAAGGAACACGGAAAGCGGAAGACGGAAGAAAATTTTTCTTACGGAACACGGAAAGCGGAAGACGGAACAAAAAAAATCGTCAATGCAGAACCTTTTTCTCCGGTTTTTTTTTGTGAAAAAAATAACTAAACAACAAAAATTTTGGATCTGGGTCAGTGCCCGTTTAAATTCGCGTTCTTCGGGGCTAGTAAATGGCTTCTGAAAAGCTATTACTCTTTTACGGTACGAAGAAAAAATGCCGGAAGACGGAAGACTGAAGACGCACAAATGTGCGTCAACGCACCAAAAGTTAGGCGTAGGGCTCGTGAAACTGTAAAAGTACGGTGACATACATAGTGCTCGAAAACTTGATGGCCTAACTTTTGCAAATTGAGAATCTAGTCCCCATATTGTCTACAAGGTCGAAATACTTGAAAGTAGGCAGGGAAACCCCTCGACGTCTCTCACTAATTGTGCCATTTTGCAGTCGAAAAACGAAACCAGTAAGGGGGTTGCGGTGGTGGCGAGGAAAGTCCAAAAAGAAGTAGGAAAGGTTTCGCCGCCGCAATTATATATTTCCACGTTTTTTCGGAAACGAACAATAGAAGCGGGGAGAGTTTTCGAGTTTTCGAGTGCGCGTTACAGTTTCACAATCGATATTTGAGAATGCTAGGCGACCAGCCCTGGAAAAAGTGGGTGAACAATAGCGAAAAAGTGAACGGACAGTTGAGGGGGGGTAATTTTGTACTCTCTCTCTCTCTCTTTAACTTTTCGAGTGAGAACTGGTTCTCGAATGTATTATTTTTGGAGGAGGCGAAACAACAACAAAAAAAAACATCGTGTTGCAGATTTATCGAATTTTTTTGTTGTCTTTGGGGCCCGTTTTCTCTCTCGAACATAAGTAAGATCGTTGGTTTTGGTGACACGTGTGGCAAAAAAAAAGTATAGTAATTATCCGGATGCGATTCGCGAGTAGCGCGTCGTCTTCTGAAGAATCGTCGTCGTCGCGTCCGTGTGGTACATGATCTTCGTGCTGCTTCCGTGACGTGTCAGACGTTTTCGGCTGAAAACATGGGGCATGAAGCGGCGGGGGTGAAGTGCAGAAAAATAAACGCACTTCCAAAGCGCCTGAATGATCTGTCGGAACTTTTCCGAGAAAATGTAGTAGATGAAGAATGTGGAGGCGGTGTGCAAAATGATCAAATAGTTGAAGATCTCGCCCAACATTTCCAGGTAAATATTCTGAAAGTTTGAGTGTGTGAGCGCAAATCGACGCCCAAATCACGCACCTGAATCGTCAAAAACCCGCCGGCGAAACTTTCGGCAATCTTGAGAGCCATCGAGAAGAAGTGACAGAATCCGAAGAAAATCGTGACGACCAGAAGCATTACAGTCGTATTTTGCTCTTTTTGCTGCTGAATCGTCATCAGACTCCGCTCTTTTTTCGTCCGTCGCAATTCGCCGATGATGCGCATGTTCGCGACGAACATGACGACGAACGGAAGTGTGTAGTCGAAGATGATCGACAGTATTATAAAGTAGAACATAAAGTACCACCAGTGCTTCTCCGGATCCAACAGCTCTCGTCTGAACAGCAAATGGCCCTCGTCGACGTACTCGATTTTGAATTCGAAGAAGCGCGCAAAGTTGAGCACGACTGCGAACACGATGATTGCGGCGATCGAGTAGGAGGAGGTCGTGTAGCGGCACCAGATCTGGACCTGAAATTGCACGTTTCCGGAAAGCTAGGCCACGACCTGCTACAGTACCTCCAGCGGCCGACAAACCGCAATCCATCGCTCGATCGTGATGAGGACCATAATGTAGAGACTGCACGTCTTGGCCATCATACACAACGGGTACACGTACTTGGCCGTGTAGGCGACGACGAAACCCTTCTCCTCGTCCGACCTGAAACTCGTGCTTTTGCTCATTCTGTGTGCAAATGAGCAAATGCCGCCTTTTTCTAATTTGACAACAAGAGCCTACCAAACGGGCAGATACATGATGCTGAAGAGCGGAAGTGCGAACACCAACAGGAAAATGTCGGAGATGGAGAGCGAGTAGAGCAGGAAACCGACCTGCAAACGATCCACATGGTGCATCGACCCCGCACAAAACCCACCATAGACTTGCGATTCGGTCGGCTGTAGGCGTAAAGTGAGAGCAAATTGCCCATAAGGCCGATGAGTATTGTCGGCAAATAGACGAACGCCATTATTTTGTGAAAATCCATCGATTCCATCATGGCGCGCACCCTGAAATTACATTCTCCTGAATATTTTAGACGAGAAAAGAAGAAGAAGACATGGAGGAAAAAAAAAAGAGAAAAATTATACGAGTCTAGACACTTTTTTTGCTGTGACGAGAGAAGGAGCAAACAAGAAGAAGAAAATAATTAGAAAGACTGGAATTTCAGTCTAATTGCTGCCTGGGGAAGAATGAGAAAAAAGGAGGGGGTGGGGGATCTGGGAGCAAAAGAAGATGAGACAGAGAGAGAGAGAGAAAGAGAGAGAGAGAGAGAGAAAGAGAGAAAGAAAGAAAGAGAGAAAGAGAGAAAGAGAGAGAGAGAGAGAGAAAGAGAGAAAGAGAGAGAGAGAGAGATGGTAGAGGTCACACTCATAAACACCAATAATATCTATGCGCGGACGAACAAATTTGAATTTAGACGATGATGCATTTTTTGCGCCTTTTTTCACGATTCTCTGATCCGTAATCTAAAAAAAAGTAAGGCTATGATGTCATTTTCGAAACACAGCTGCTCCTCACCTTTTTGAGGATTGAAAAACTTCAAGTGTTTGGGGGGGGGGGCTTTTTGAAAAAAAAGTAGCGTTTGTGAATTGTGAAGCTACAAATCAGAGAGTGACGCCCCCCAAAACATTAGGCCCGGGCTTCTAAGGAATCATCTGAATTTATGTGGCACGCACGCACAAAGAAAGAAAGAGAGAGAGAGAGAGAGAGAGAGAGAGAGAGAGAGAGAGAGTGGGCGCGTCCGACTTTTCCTCATTTGACCTGTGGCTCCCACACACGGAGCCCGGCACCAAAAGTGTAACATTGTTGTGCGCTTTAATTGAAAACTTTTGTGTGTTTGTGCTTCAGACGCGCGCGCACGGCCACAGAAAAGAATTGACACATCTCGAGAGAAGAGGACAATATCGGCTCAACTCGACTCTTGGGTGTTTTGCACAGAAAAATGAGGGAAATTGAGATTATGAGCGCGAAAATGAATGCGAAAACTCATCTGGTTTACGTGACGAATGATGGGCACGTACTTTGGGGGAGGAAAGGGAAGGATTATGTAGTTTAGAAGGTTATTTTTGGTTTCTGACAAACATGGGATTACTGTAGGAGATTGTGATGTAACGTAAACGGTCAACATCTTACTGTAATCCTGGCGTGACTTGCAATGCTCTGTAATCTACAGTAATCCGCTTTCAAGGCGATAGATCTCAGCTCCTGGGAAAGATACAAAAAAGTTGTCAACTAGTAAATTGTTCATCAGGATATTGTGTACATTTTATCAGTTGACAACTTTTTGATATCTCTGCCAGAAACTGAGATACATCTCTTTGAATGAGGTCATGTCTTGTGAACACTGAAACGATGATATCTACACGAGGCAAAGGTCGTGGTTTTGGTCATCGTCACTCTCTCTCTCTCTCTCTCTCTCTCTCTCTCTCGCTTCCTCTTCCCGATCCTCGTCCGTAATCACATCAAAACACGCGCCGAATACACATACCTTTTCGCTCTTTCTCCTCCCTACGGATGTTTTTGATGCCTCAAGGAGCTCTTTTTCTTCAGAATTGCCACGTATTTCTGCTGAATAAGGGGTTCTTGTTTTCTTTTTCACACCACGACGATCCTGGAAGAGCGAACACGGAAAGAGAGAGAGAGAGAGGAAGAGGAAGAAGGAGGAGTTATTGAGAGAGGAACTGGTGAGGATTGTGAGTAGATTTACTTGGAAAGCGTCAAGAATCGACAATATTCCGGTTGGTGGCCGAACTTTTCAGAAAACTAGGCCACACGTCACAGTGGCCTAGAATTTCAACTTGGAAAACTAGGCCACATGATGAGGTGGCAAAGAAATGTTTAGAAAAGGGGGCGGGGGGAGTTGTTATAGAGTTATTTCAATGACTTTCAGGGAAAAGTAGAGAAAATTGAGTAAAACGGGGGGTTTCCGGGTTCTGGGAAGTCTGGACGCAAAAATGTGCCTACTATGTTGCAGATCTATAATATTAGAAGAGAAAAAGAACGGGGGAAACGATGAAAATCAGCTAGAACACTGCACTTTTTGGTGTAAACAGACGGCGAACTGGTTCTCGATTGGAATCTTTGTCATAAAGTGTCCCCCGAGGTGGCCGAACTTTTTTTTTGTTGATGAAAAGTTAGGCCACGTGGAGCACAAAGCGCAGAGCACAAAAAGGAATAAAAGGAGGAATGAAATTCGTCCGAAATCTTGACAAAGGAATGTGTGTCGAGCACACAACAAGTGTGGAGACTGAAAGAGAAAAAGAGAAATGAGAGAGACACCTTCAGGAGCACCTTATGGTGCATCGACGAGAATATGAAATTGAGATGATGACGGCGGAGTGCCGCAACAGGCCCCACAAGTACCCACGACCACTTTCAAGAATACTGTAGCTCTTGTAGTAGACGTTTTGATAGGCTCAACTTCCACGAGCTACAGTACTCTTAGGCGTTGTTGTACAAAAAAGTGGTCAACTGAAAAACGAAACTTCTTGCCAAGTACTATAATTTTCTAGTTGACACTTATTTTCCACGCCTGCTCCTGAGAGTACTGTAGCTCTTGGAACTTTGGACCGAAATCGCTACCTTTCTCTTGGAGCTTTCCAACTTCCAAGACCTACAGTACTCCAGGGAGTGGTCGTAGAAAAAAATGGCCAACTACAAAATTGAAGTTCTTGTCTTGTACTATAATTTTGTTGTTGACACATTCTTTGTACGACCACTCCCCGGGGTAGTGTGGCTCTTGGAAGTTGGTGAACCTCTCCGAACTTCCAAGCACTATAGTACACTTCTGCGTGGGCGTAGAAAAAAGTGATCAACTGCAAAAATGACGTACTAGACGTCAACACGAATAAAAATAAGGAAAGAGTTCAAATGAACAAATCATTTCAAAAATAGAAAGCCCTCTTCTCGTTTACCTTCCGTCAGTCGGACCCGGCGGATGTTTGACCGCACAGGAAATGGTCCTCTCCCTCTCTCTCTCTCTTTTTCTCTCTATTGTTTGAACAAGAAATGGGACCAGAGGACATGGGTCTAGATTGACGATTTTATGGCCAAAATCCCATGAGCATACACATTTTCGGAGCCAATCTCTTCACGCTCTTTGGCTTTTACACCGAACAATTTTACAAGCAACGCGTGTTGTAGAGACGATTTTTGGAACGTGTAAGAAACATTTTTCCGAATGAAAATGGGGGCAAAATGGAGAAAATGAAGTAGCGTGGGAGACCGAATAGGAGAGCATTTATGAATGTGCAATTAGAAGAGCCGTGACAAAAACGTATAAAGTTTGGAGTCTCTATGACGTGGCAACACACACTTTTTTGAGTGTATAATAGCAGATTTTTCAGTTGACCACTTCTTTGGCGTACTGTAGCTCTCTCTTTGAAGTCGGCGCTCTTTTGAACTGCTTGAGACGAGCGCTAACTTCAAAAAGCTACAGTACTCCAGGAAGTGATTGTAGAGAAAAGTGGTCAACTGAAAAAATGTGATATTATCCATCAAGATTTTAATCAATAACCCCCCTTAGTGCCACGTCATCATGATGAACATCAAAAACCTTTCCCCGAACAAACAAGCGATATTATCGGTCTATGAATCTCATACTCGGACCAACACTTCCTTTTCCCCCAGTTTTCGGTGGAAAAACTCGTAAACAAGACGCTAAAACACTCGTTTTTCTAGAGGAAAACATTTCAGAGCGAACTTTCGAATGGGAATAGAGTGTGGTCGGATGTGATCTGGCAGAGAGAGAAAGAGAGAGAGAGAGAGGGAGAGAGAGAGAGAGAGAGAGAGAGAGAGAGAGAGAGAGAGAGAGAGAGAGAGAGAGAGAGAGAGAGAGAGAGAGAGATAGAGAGAGAGAGAGAGAGAGAGAGAGAGAGAGAGAGGAAAAGTGGAAGAACAAATATTAAATTGCTCATCCAGATGGTGGCTGAGCAGCACCAAGAAATGCAAAAGAATGAGCGAGGAAGATGATACATCTTTGAAAGTTTTTTGGTTTTTTCGATGCAAGACGGATGGATTAGGCAGATTTGGAGCGTAGAGTAGCCGATCGCGTTTATTCCCGACGATTTATCTCAACTATGCGTGGATATATCAAAAAATGGTCAACTGGAAAAATGTACACAATTTCTTGGCGAACATTTTATCAATTGACAACTTTTTGATATCTCTACCCACCACTGAGATACATCGCTTTGAATAGACGGTATGCCAGCGGAAACGCAAAAAAAAGTTCCCCACCCCAACTCATCAGATTCATGGAATGAACACCTAATAAACGGAATGAAAGAAGAGGAAGAAGAACGGCAATATTATGAATTTCTTCGTCGTCCATTGGAATATGAGAACGCAACCAGAAAACACGTGGACACATACAAAGTAGGGGGGACGAAATAGGGAAATGAGCGATGGCAGGGTTACTGTAGGAGGGGGGGACATGAAAATTGGGGTGGAATGAGGGTGTCAAGTTGAAGCACCGCAGTTTGGATGCCACGTTGGATCCTCGACCACAAAAAAAAGTTAGGCCAGCAACAAGTTGCGAGGAAGTTGTTTGTAAAGTTGAGCGGAAGAACACGGAAGAGATTTTTTATATCTTTTTTAGAAAATTTTTTCATGGAATGTGATCAACTGACGAAATGTAGAACAAAGTGAACTGTGCTCATAGAAAAATAATTGTAAATTTAGCTTTTCATACAAAAAAGTTATTCCTTCCGTCTTCCCCGTTAGCCGCCTTTTTTCACGCAACAACTCGAATAACTTTTTTGTATGAAAAGCTAAATTTACAATTATTTTTCTACGAGCCGAGTTCACTTTGCTATACATTTCGTCAGTTGATCACATTCGATGAAAAAATTTTCTAAAAAAGATATAAAAATTCTTCCGTGTTCTTCCGTTGAGCTCTTCCGCTCAACTCTGGAAACTAGGCCATGGAAAGCTAGGCCACGTGCGTGATGATGACGTGGCAGTCAGGTGTTCATCTCGCCGAAAAAGGTAATAACAACGGAAGCGCGGCTCGGCGAGGAACGGGGGGTAAATAGGGAGGGAATAGGCGAAAAAAGAAATGGAAATGAGATAGATATTTTATTTTTTTTTACGACTACACACAGAACATTTCTTCCATTTCATTGCAAAAACGGGGCCGAAAATAGCATGAAAACCAGGTTTTTCTCCGGGCGAGTTCAACACTTTTACGACCTTTCTCGTGATAAAATGATATCAATTTGGCGGCGAATTGTGTTTGTCTGACTGACTGAAAATGCTGCGCCACGTACGGAGGAGGAGCACTGGATATTTCTCATATTTTTAGGGCATTCTGTGGAAAAACGCAAAGATTATGGCCAAATATTGGCCGTTTTTTCATTAAAATTTCTTTTTTTTTTGCGGAAAACTTCGAGATTCTTGGTGTTTGACTTTGCAACAGATATTGTCGAGTTCTGCTCATTTTTGTGGTTGACAACGTATTTCTATGCAAACTTTCAGGGAGCACAGTGCTCTTACAGGCGTCACGACTAAACTCTCCGACAAAACTGATATTGTATGGCAACGGAAGTTGATCAAAAAGGTTGTCACGCATGATATTTACGGGAGAAAGTACTCAAATGTCATCAAATGTCAGCCGCACCTTAAAAAAGGGTGCAAAACAGTTTGCGTGGCCGCTTTGCAGCCACAAAAGGCTCTGATATTGAAAAATGTTTAGGAAAAAGCAGACTTGCAACGGGCCGGGCCAAAATTGGAAATTTTCCGGCCCGGGAGGATGCACCTAAAAATTCGTTTTGCTTCAATTTCGAAGATTCATTGTAAAAACCAGCAGAAATAGAAAAAAAGACGAAAAAGGCAATGTTATAGCATAAAAACCTGTTAAAAAATAGAAATTGCTGTTTAAAGTCGCAAAATTTTCACAAAAATTACGAAAATTTTCTCAAGAGTGGGCGGAGCGATTGATTGCAACTCTGGCACGCCATTTTAGCAATTTTGCCGCACGCGTTTTCCTCTCCCTTCATATTTTTTTTGAGGTCTAACTTCCGGGCCGACCGGGCCGGGCCGGGCCGCCGATTTGCTGGCCCGGCCCGGGATTTGGCAAGTCTGGGAAAAAGGTGCCAGTTCAAGGTATCCGACGTTTTGGATCATTTTAGACACCCTAATAATGACGTGGATCTAGTGAGCCACGTGGGCAAGCCAAAATCACCTGTTTTCACTATTTTGAAAGTCAATACGTCGAGTTTGTGATCTCAGAATCTAGAAGAAGAAGAGGAAGAAGAAGAGGAAGAAGAAGAGGAAGAAGAAGAGGAAGAAGAAGATGGTCCCGGAAATTGAGGGGTTGAGCACAGACATGTAATTGGGGAGGTGTGATGATTCACGAGAGCGAGATGAGGAAACGAAATGACGACACACGGAAAGACATGAGTTACGAGGCACGTTTTGAGTCGAATCTTGACGGATAGTACTACATTTTTTCAGTTGACCACTTTTTTCTACGCGCTAGTAAGGCAAACTTCAAGGGAGTACAGTACTCTTAGGAGTGATTGTGGAAAAAAGTTGTCAATTGGTAAAATGTTATTCTAGGTGTCAAGTGTTCGCAAAATAATTTTGAAACCCAAAGGATGCCTGGGAACTCTACAATATCTGTTTAGACATAGGATATATATTTATTTACCTTCTTTACAACTTCTGAATCCAAATCCCACTGACCATTGACAAACATATCGAAAAAAGAAGAGATCATAAGAAGGAGAACACCATTCCCCCCCATCACATGATCCAGTGGATCCACTGGGAAAGAGCGTTGAGCCGCCGGGAACTGTTCCGATGCACCCGTCGGTTGGGTGCAATTCGAAACCAAACATCTTCGCAAAAAAAGACGATCCGCTCGGCTATTGTTCATTGTTCGGCTTATGAGATGCACTCGAAAAAGCATCAAAGTATCGAATTGCAATATTTTGTACGAAAATAGAGAGGTTCAAAAGGTTAGGAGCCAGTACATTGGGTACGCTTTAGATTTTAGGCCATACCTTGAGAATGAACAGTTTTGGAAGAAAATTGTCAACTACAAAGTTGATTAGATTGAGATTTTGAGCAATTTTTCAGTTAACCAATTTTTGAAATAATCACTGGTTCCCGAGATACAGGGTCCAGAAGATGAGAGTCTTTGACCCGAATCCCAGCTCCAAATGACGAAGGCGAAACTATGAAAAGCGTTGCGTGAATAATTGATGCTATAATATCGGCCGTGACTTTTGATGTGTCACAAATGCCAAACTATAAACACCTACTCACATTGCCTTCCTCAACCAATTAGCTGAAAAGGTCGAGTTGCAGCAAGAAATGCGTAATAGTAAAAAAAAGGTTTTTGTATGAGAGCAGAAGCGGAGAATATGTGAATAGTAATCGAGTGAGAAGGTATTATATAGCTGTTTTGATGACCTAAAAAACCGCGTGACGCTCAGACAATCAATCCATTTGGGAATTGAGCACAATTGCGCACGGAACCTCACAGCAGAGTTGAGCGGAAATGGAATTTTGAAATGCGGAAGACGGCAGACGGCAGACGGAAGAACATTTTTTTACGGAACACGGAAAACGGAAGACGGAAGAAAATTTTTCTCACGGAAGACGGCAGACGGAAGACGGAACAAAAAAACCACGGAAGACGGAAGACGGAAGACGGCAGACGGAATTCCGCTCAACACTGAATAAAAAAATAAAAATAAATAAAAATAACAATAAAAAATTCCCTTTGCGCAATTCACTAGCGCTAAACAAGGCGCGTACGCGTAATTCCGGAGCGTCGTTGTAGAGTTTCTCATTTCAATTTTCCCTTTTTTTTGCATTATTGCCATCTTTTCAGAACCAATCAGTGTCAAAACTTATGATAATAATTGGAAATGAATAAAAAATGAAATGTTAACTGCTTCGTCATCAATTTCGAAGCGTTTATGTGAAAATTACAGCATTTTTCCTTTTGGAATCGAAAATTTGCCTCAATTATCTCAATTCTGTATATTTTTCGACGCTTGAGCGCTTAAAAGATGCGCAATAAACTGCTTGTTGAGTGTCCGAACTCGATTCGTCAAATAATCGTTAAAACTCTGTTTTTTTTCAGTATTTTTCGACAAAATCCCTCAATTTGGTGAATTCTGAACGAATCTGCTCCGTTTCGCGCTTAAATCGATGCGTTTAACTCAGACAATCGCCCTACGGCTCGCAAAGAACAAAATTTGAGTGTTTATTAAGAGAAAAAACGAAAGAATTCCGGTTTTCAATTGAAAAAAGAAACGCCGAGTCGACGGTTGGTGCAAGCGCGCCCCATTGACAACTCTTGGGGTGAATTGGGGGGAACTTTGAGAGACGCTGAAAAGGAGCAAGAACGATTAGTCATACTCGGTTCCATTTTTGGGGACCCTAACTTTTTGTCTGTCTCCTCCTACACAATTCCAATTCTCTCTTAGCCGAACAAAAGTTCAATCGCTGTTTTTGCACAACCCTTTCGCCATAAAATCCGCCGAATTTGATTTTTCACCGCTCGTTACGCGCGTTTTTGTTGCACGCAAACCCTCAAAACGTGCAGCGCCCCGGCTATAAATGGCCAACTTTTTCACCCAACCGATATTGTACGAAATTATGAGCCATCAACCGCTTCTCCTCCTCCTTCTCGGACTCTCCGTGTGCCACGCCGTCATCCGTCCGGGTTACGGTAGCGGACACAAGCATTACAGCGGCGACGACTGCTCCGATGAGCACCACCACCAACCGCATCCGAGCAAGAAGGCGTCCACGTCGACTGTCGCGCCGACCGAGCCGATCACCTCCACTGCGGTCCCGTCCACTTCGACCATCCCACCCACGACGACTTCATTGATTGCGTCGCCGGTTTGTCCGTCCGGATGGACACTTTACACGAGAACTCCGTCCTCTTACAATCTGAACACTGGATTGTGGTGTATGAAGGTACGCTTTGTATATTGTAGAATTGCCAAGTTCGCCGATGTGTTAGAAGTCTGGAAATTGTTTTGTGAAAACTTGACATCTAGTAGATCATTTTTGTACTTGACAACTTTTTTCTACGGTCACTTCCTGGGGTACTGTAACGCCTTGAAGTTAGGACTTGATTAGCGACCAGACATTCAACACCTTTCTTCAAAGCGCTACAGTATCCCAGGGAATGGTCATGGAAAAAAGTGATCAACTACAAAATTATAGTAGTAAACGAGAGCTTTATTTTTGTTGTTGACAACTTTTTTCTACGGTCATTTTCTGGGGTAATAAGTGTTCCATTTGCAGCTGATCACCTCGGCGACAAGTGTCACGATCAACTCAACGTCCGCGCTGTGCCAAGCGGAAGGTGGAGTCCTCACCGACTTTGAGACGTCCGAAGAGAAGGACGCAATCGTGGCAGAAGCGCAGGCGTACATTGTGACGACTCTCGGCCTGTCCTCCGGATCCATCGCTCTCGCCGGGGACCGTGTGCCCGAGTGCGTCTCGATGAACGCCTCCGTGATCGCCGCGTCGCCGTGCAACGACCAGTCGACAATCTTCAGCCTTCCCGCCTCCGCTAGCACAAATCCGGCGTACCTCTGGACGACCTGGGCCATCGGGGAACCGAATTCCAACCACTGGACTTAGTAAGAAATCCAAGAGAACTCACTCTCTTATCGAGCGTTTCAGTGACGTCGAAGACTGTCTCCAACTGCACGTCCAACCGTCGGTCGCCGCCCAACACGGACTCATCAACGACTTCTACTGCTACAGAACCGTCGCGCCCAACGATCCGAGCAACACTCTGTACATGAACTACGGAGCACTTTGTGGACAGGCGCCGAGTTATGAGGCTGTCGGAAAATAAATTGAATCCGTTTTTTTGTTGTGTCTGCAACTGTTCATTTCATGAATAAATTATTATAATACTCACTGAAAATGACAGAGCTTTTTATGCGGCTGTTTGCTGTGCACTGTACCAGAGATGTTGGGAATTCCGTGTTCCGTGTTCCGCGTTTTTTTCAATTTTTTTTCCGTGTTCCGTAAAAAAAAAGTTTTCCGTGTTCCGTGTTCCGTAAAAAAAAATTCCGTGTTCCGTGTTCCGTGTTCCGTAGAAATAAGTTTTTTCCGTTTTCCGTGTTCCGTGTTCCGTAAAAAAAATTTTCCGTGTTCCGTGTTCCGTAAAAAAATTTCCGTGTTCCGTAAAAATTTTTTTCCGTGTTCCGTGTTCCGTAAAAATTTCCGTGTTCCGTGTTCCGTGTTCCGTAGAAATAAGTTCTTTCCATTTTCCGTGTTCCGTGTTCCGTAAAAAAATAAATTTCCGTGTTCCGTGTTCCGTAAAAAAAATTTTCCGTGTTCCGTAGAAATAAGTTTTTTCCGTGTTCCGTGTTCCGTAAAAAAAAAGTTTTCCGCGTTCCGTGTTCCGTAAAAAAATAAATTTCCGTGTTCCGTGTTCCGTGTTCCGTAGAAATAAGTTCTTTCCGTTTTCCGTGTTCCGTGTTCCGTAGAGTAAAATTTTTATTCCCAACATCTGTGCACTGTACAATAAACAACTTGGAGAGAAGAAGGAAGCCAAAGAACCATTTCTGCAATGAAATAATGTATCGGGCGCATAAAAAGTCAGGTATAAATGAGGACTAGAATCGTGTTCGTCGATTCAAAATGTCGCCCTTCTTCTTCTTCTTCTTCTTCTTCTTCTTCTGCCTATTCCTTCTTCCTAGCGGCCACGCAATTATCCGTCCTGGAGGAGCAAGTGGAGGCGTAACCTTCGGATCGGGATCGTGTTCCGAAGAGCACGCACATAAACACAAGCATCATCATCATCATCATCATCCGGCTCCATCCTCAAATTCACAAAGTTCCGAAGAGGCTTCTTCACCGGTGGACCCGAGTTGTCCGTCCGGATGGACCATGTACGACCGAACCCCGTCGGATGCGAATCAGAATACTGGAAAGTGGTGTGTCAAGGTACACTTTTTAGCTGAACACCTTTTTTCTAGAGATTTCTGTCCTTGTTTTTCAGCTCATCACCTCCAAAACCATGATCAGTGTGAACGAAGGCTCCGAACTGTGTTCCAAAGAGAACGCAGTGCTGACCTCTTACGAAAATGACGCCGAACGTCAGTCGCTGCTCTCCGAAGCTAACGAATTCATAATATCAACGCTCGGAAAGTCGGCCGGCTCGATCGCAATGGCGGGCCGTCGGGTCCAGTCCTGCCTGACCACCGCCTCCCTCTCCAGCGCGCCGTGCAACTCGAAATCCACAATATTCGCCGTGCCCGACTCGGCGGACACGGACGCCACGTACTTGTGGACGACGTGGGCGACCAAGTACAACGAGCCGAATTCCGTGGAGAACAACGGTCAACTCGAGGACTGCGTCACCTTCCAAATCGATCCGAGCGAGTCGAATCAGCACGGACAGATCAACGACTTCTTGTGTCAGTACGCCTACTCTTTCCGCTGGCCTACTATGGATCTGTACCAGAATTTTGGAGCTCTCTGTGGAAAGGCTCCGCAGTGATAATCTTGTCGGTTTTTTGTTCGAATAAAGTATTGTCGGGACTGTTTTTCACTGGAAAATATCTGCAAATGATGAGAGAATCAACACGGTCTATTCAAAACGATGTATCTCAGCTGCCAGTGCCAGTATCAAAAAGTTGTAAACAGAAGAGTTGCTCAAAAAGACATTATGCACATTTTATCAATTGACACCTTTTCGAAATTTCCACTGGCGCCTGAGATACATCGTCTTGAATATAGACGGCAGCAAATTTCCTCGGCCACCACCTCCGTCACTTCCGAGGCTTCGTTCTGCAACCAGTTTCGAATAAAACCGTGACGCTGCAAAACAGCACTCGAACAGGAGGGTTATTGAAAACAAGCGCGGAGCCATAAAACAGGCTTCCGCACCACTTTTTCCGAGATCCACGACAGACCGGAACGGGTATAAATTGGGCGAGGCACGAGCGGAAATGACACAAGACACGACGATGCGCTTCTCCTCCTCTTCGCTCCTCCTCTTCTTCGCGTTCGGCCTCTCCGTCGAGGCCATGTTCAGGCCGATAGGTTCGTGAATCGTTACCTACAGTAGCCTGAGTGTCGAAATACCGTAATCCGCTCAATTTGCAGGCCACAAGCCCCGACCACCACCATCTTCGTACCATGGCGGAGGCGATGAGGACTGCGACGAGTCGTCGAGCGCGAAACCCTCGACGACGACGGCTGCTCCGGTCAACGACAATCCAGCGACGACGACGACGACGGAAGCGCCGACGACGACGACCGCCGCTCCCAAGTGCCCCGACGGCTTCACCGCCTTCACCCGCACCCCATCGGCGGCCAACTCGCAGACGAGCATCTGGTGCATGAAGGCCGTCCTTCAGAAGGATCCGATCGCCGTCAGCTCTGCGAATGCGCTCTGTGCCGCGCAGGCCACCGGCGCCGTCCTCACCTCCTTCGAGAACGACGACGAGCGGAGCGTGTTCGCCGCGGAGCTGCTCGCCGCCGTTCAGAGCTACGGCTACTCGACGGGCGCGATAGCCGTCGACGGACGGCGCAATGCGGACTGCGTCACTCGCAACCGCACCGTCTTGGATGCCTATCCGTGCAGCAATCAGTCGCTCAGCTTCTCTCTCGTTGACGCTCACACTGATCCCGCCTATGCTTGGGCGCATTGGGCCGTCGACGAGCCGAGCACCAACATGTGGACTTAGTAAGTGCCGCGGACTCCTAAAGATATTGTAGTTCTAGTAGTTGAGGTGTTTCCTTTCAGTGACATCGAAGAGTGCATCCAATTCGCCGTCTACCCGGGCAACTCGAACCGTAACGCTCTGCTCAACGACATCTACTGCAACTTCGTCCAGGCGCCCAACGACCCGGACAATTCGCTTTGGTGGAACTTTGGCGCTCTTTGCGGAGTCGCTCCACAATAGATTTGCTAATAAATGAGATTATTCAGAATCACTTGGGGGTTATTTATAACAAACGAATGTACAAGTCGGGCACACTAGAGAATGGGGGGCCGAGAACAACAGATAGCGAGAAATATAAATTATTTGTTCGGATTGTATATCCTCTTCTTGACACGAGTGATGCGCCACGCGTTCGGATCCGCGTACTTGTCGAAGAGCGGATCGATCTTCTGGTTCCTCTTGAAATTCGACAATTTTGTCGAGTCGCCGATTTTGAAGAACGACGGCGCGAATTCGACGAGCCATTTCGGGTCGATTGCGGTCACCTGCAAGTTTAAAGCTACAATATCTCAAAGGGACCATGAAACATATTTCTGTTGCTGTACCAAGTTTCTAGGTACAGTAACCCCATCGTAATCCAATCAAGTTCAGCCACCGTAACCACTAGAAACCTGCAGTAGCGCAAAGAATTCATACAGTAGTCAAGTCAAATTTAAGACAAGAGCTACGATATTCGAAAGTCGAAACCAGTAAATCAATAGCTACTTGTTCTACAGTAGCCCCTTACCTCTCTCATGTACTCCTTGGTGGTCATCACCAATTCGTGATAGACAACCCATTCGGGCTGATGTTGGAAGCACGCCGACGACGGATGAATGTAGACGTTCTGTCCGTCGGTGAGCGTACGGTAGCCCTCCTGCGGATCGCGTTTCGCCGCATTCCGGAAGAATCCCGAGCAGATCGCCTTCTGAACTCTCGACACATCCCGTCCGCAACTGATCATCAGCAGTTTGTGTCTGTCCATGATCCCTAATAGTTGTTTCCGGATATCCTGTGCTCGCTTCATGCTCCGCACCTGCACAAAGTTCTCGAAGCACCAGGGCTGCGAGAAGTGATGGTTTTTCCACGAGTTGTACACCGCCAACAGCGTCAGATGGTCGCCTTCCGGCTGGTGGAACTTTGCCTTTTTCTGATCCGCCATGTCCTGTTTCTCTTTAGGCCGATAGAAGATGTTCTGCACGTTCAGCATCGCCACAATCGTCAGCACTTCTTCCGAACATCCAAGATCCACCGACATGATGAGCAGCTTGGCGAGCGACGGTTCCAGTGGAAATTCTGCCATCCGACGTCCCAACTTGGTCAGCAGGCCGTCTCCGTCGAGGGCGGAGAGCGTGTGCAGCGTATTGAGCGCCGTGATCATCGAGTCCAGGGGAGGCGCGTCCATGAAGTCGAAGTCGATCAGATTGTTGATGCCCATCGCCTTCAGCTGCAGCAGTGTCGACGCGAGGTTCGTCCGCTGGATCTCCGGAACCGGCGTCGGCAGCATTTCGTCGCGGAACGCCCGTTCCGTGTACAGACGGTAGCACTTTCCCGGTCCCGTTCGGCCCGCACGTCCCGCCCTTTGCTTCGCCGCCGCTTGAGAGATCGGCGTCACTACCTGCAAGGATTTTCGTTATAAATTAGCAAAACTATAATCCTGATAACGCTTAGTTTGTTTAAAGTTCGTTTAGAATTGAGCGTTTTTCAGCATTTAGGGCAGATTTAATTCGAAATTTTCGTATTTCCCGTTGAAATGAAGCTGTCGAAGCCAGGATTGCAAAAAATGCCCTCAAACGTACCAAAGAATCCATGCCACTCTTCGGATTGTAAATCTTCTGCTTCACGAATCCCGGATCGACGACGTAGAAGATTCCGTCGATGGTCAACGACGTCTCGGCAATGTTCGTCGCAATGACGACTTTCCGTTTGCCCGCCGGCGCCGGCTCGAAGATTCTCGTCTGCATCTCGCTGGGCAGGGCTCCGTAGACGGGCAGGATGATGAGTTCGGGCACGTCGGGCCCGAGGGACTTCATCCGCTCGTACAGTACTTCGCACGACGTGTCGATCTCCTCCTGTCCCGTCAGAAAGACCAGGACGTCGCCGGGCGGTTCGGTCAGGTGGATCTGCATGACTGTCACGTGCGCGGCCTCCAGATAGTCCGATTCCGGCTCTCTCGTGTACAGAATCTCGACGGGGAACGTTCTGCCGGGGATTGTGAAAATCGGCGCCTCGAGGAAATATTCTGAGAATTTGACGGAATCCAACGTGGCAGAGGTGATGATCAGCTTCAATTCGGGCCTCTTTCGGGCGGCTGCCTTCAAAAGTCCGAAAAGAACGTCGGTATGGATGGTCCGTTCGTGGGCCTCGTCGAGCATGATCAGCGAGTAACCGGAGAGGTCCGGGTCGATGAGGCACTCTCGGAGCAGCATTCCGTCCGTCATGTATTTGATGATCGTGTCCTGACTCGTGCAGTCCTCGAATCGGATCGTGTATCCGACATCCGTACCCAGTTTGCAGCCGTACTCCTCGGCGACTCGCTTCGCCACCGACATGGCCGCCACACGTCTCGGCTGCGTGCATCCGATCTTTCCGCGTCTGCTGAGCCCCGCCTCCACCGCGTACTGCGTCATCTGCGTCGTCTTTCCCGAGCCGGTCTCTCCGACGACGACAAGAATCTGGTTGTCGATCATCGCCTCCATCAGATTCTTCTTGAGCGCGAAGATCGGCAGACTCTCCCGCTGGTCGATCATGCTCATGTTTGTGCGCTTGCCGTACGTCGCCTTTCCGCCGGCTGTCACGTGCTTCAGCCACTCCGGCATCTCCTTCATCCGCGTGTTCCGATCCTTCGACTCGTCCGCCGACCACGCCGTCGTCTGCCCGCCCGACATCGGATCCAGGATGCGTGCGTTCGAGGAGAAGCCCCGCGACGACTCCATGTCCCGCTCCCGCTGCGCCTGGATCTTCGTCTCCTTCCGTTCTTTCGAGAGTGCTCCCTGCATGAGCGCCGCCTGTGCCAGCGAGCCGTCCGGATTCTTCACCACCTTCACCGGCTCGATCTCGGCGCCGCCCTTTCCGTATCCGCGAAGGAAGTCCGGCTCCTCCTCGACCAGCTCGATTTCAATGTCTTCGCCGTCGCTTTCTTCTGCAAATTTGAACAAAGTTTTACTCGAAACCGTTTCAGGCAGTTGTTTATGTAATTTGAAACTCACCATCGAAATTCTTGAGCACTCCCATCTCCTCGTCGAAATCGGGCATGTCGGTGGCGGCGAGCACTCCGGCGCCCTGCATTTGCCGCAATTCCCAGCGTTCGGGAGTGGAGATGCGCACGCGGGCCTTTCCGTTCGACGTGGACGCCGAGGAGGAGGAGACCGTCGTGGCTTCCGGGTTCATCCACGAGCTGGCGGCCGGCGGAGTCCTCGGCCGCACTCCGATCGCATCGGGGTTGAGGTCCGCCTCCCGCGGGTTGAGGTCCTCTCCGCTCTGCTGGTCGACCTCCTTCATCGACAACGACGTCTTGCCGTTCTCGATGCGGATCACCTTCACTTTCACGCGTTCGCCCCGCTTCAACACGTCCGCCACCGTCTGCACTCGCTCGTTTCTGATCTGAGAAATGTGGACGAGGCCCTCCTGCTTCTGGCGGAACCCTTCCAGCTGTACGAACGCCCCGAACGACTGGATCGAGTTCACGCGGCCCTCGTAGATTTTTCCAATCTCCGCCACATCGGGACGTCGCTCGAATCGTGCCTCCTGCTGCCGATCTCGTCCTTTCTCACGACTTCTCGATCTTTCCCGCCTTCTTCTTCGGTCCTCACGACTTCTGCTTCGATCTTTGCGGCGATGATCTCGGCTTCGGCTCCGACGACGCTTCTTTTCGCGTTCGTGACTTCTGGAGCGCGTGCGACGACGTGATGTGGACGATTTTTGACTTTTCTGCAAGAAAATCAGGTTTTTATCGAAAAAGCAAGGTTCTCATGAAAGTTGGCAAAATCCGACGGAACTCGATGATTTTTACCAAAAAATTGGTGAAAAACGCGATTTCTTCAGGATTTCCATGATTTTTCTTCTGCTGCGAAATCTCGAGAAAACTGTCAAATTGTTCGATTTCAAAGCGGAAGATGGGTGAAATGCTCGATAAACTTGAATTTTTGGCAATTTTCGCCGATTTACCTACCTCCTGCACATATTTCCCCTCCATTTTCTCCAACTGCGCCATCAGATCGTCGCCCTCCTCCTCCTTCTCCACGACCGTGTTGGCCATCGCCAGCGCCGGCAATCGCGCCTTGATCTCGTCTTTCGCATCGGAAATCAACGTGATTTTGTGCGATTCTTTGACGTCCTCCTTCGAATCGCCCTTTTTGCTCTTCTTCTTCGTGCTGGACATGCTCTGAACTATGCGCAGCACTGTGGCGGTAAGCGAGTCGTCAAACTGCAAAAACGAGCGATTTTGGAATTTTTTGAGGTGAATATGTAGGAATTGAGCTTTTCATGAATTTTTGAACGAGAGAATGTAGAAATCTTGACAGAACTGCATGAATTCCATGGTAATTTTTTCCGCGTCGTTTATATTGAGTTTTGAAAAGAAATGGGGAAAAATCGATTATCCTTCAGATTTGAGACCTATTTTGTACAAAATTATCTAGAAACAAGCTTTCTTACGTTTTCCCTATTTTCCAGCATGTTTTTAGTGAAAAAAGCGAAAAAACGGGTTTTCCACTTTTCTCCGCAAATTTTTCCAACAAAGTTCAGCACAAACCTGTTCATCAAGTCCCTGATTCTGCAATTCTTTTTTAAATTTGTCAAAAGTCGGGTTCTCTTTCGCCAACTCTATCACAAACTCAGCAATGTCCTTGTTGGCCATTCCGAAGTGATTTTCGAGCTCGCTGAGCACTTTGCTCACGAGCGACAGTTGCTCAAGTTGGTCCATATTGATAAGCTGCAAAAATTTAGTGAAAATGGACGCACAAATGAGGAAAAACGATGAAATTTGCGCGGAAAACGGTTCGAAAGATGAGTGTTTTCGAATTTATTTGAGGGGCGTGGCCTGTTTTGCAACGTGCGGCGTGCGGTTCTGCAAGGCTGCCGCACGCACGCGGAGAAATTTAATTTACGATAAAAGTGCACTATTTGCAGATTTTAATGGTTATTCGAGCAGGACAAACTGACAAAACAATTGAAAAAAAAGGTAATTAAGTCGGTTGCTTTGAAATTTGCCGCAAATCCGCTTGAAGCTGAAATTCCCACGCCTGCGGTCTTGATTACCGGGGGAGATTAGTGATAAGAAAGCTGACAAAGGACTCTGATGGGAAAGTACGATTGGGATTTCGACCCGTCATGGCACCGTGGGAAGAAACAAAAGCTAGGTGCAGTGGCCACGCCCACTGATTAAAATGGCATGTACATAGGTGCAATTAGAACATTCCGAATCCATCTCAATTCGCCCGATTCTAATCAACGTGATTTGCGGGGAAATCAGCGTAGAAGTTCAGCAGAAGGCGGCTGATTTGGAATCCAGAATTCCCCGGGAATCTCTCCGAATGCTGACGAAGTTTGGAGAGAATCGTGGCCGCCAGGAAAGCTCTTTCGGTAGCGGCGTCTCGTTTTTCAGCATTCCAGAAGTCATGCGATCGGTTGTGGCAAGACTGGAAATAATTAATGAACAAAATGTGTTTTTTATTTGACTTACCGCAAAATTGCAAGTACATCTGACTGGTAGAACTCACTGTGGTCTCGAGTGAGAAAAATCGGAATTTACCATCGATAATGTACTCGGCAGACGACAATTGGAAGAGCGTTTGGACGGACAGCGCTAGCGAAGAGAATTATTGGACTCGCAGTCATGAATAAGCGAGAAAAAGAAGACTTCAAATATCAAAAATGACGTTTAATAGTAACTTCTTTATTATCCTTATTCATAATGCAATTTCAAAAGTTTGGAACAAAAACACAACAACAATTATTCGAATTAAGGCCTCAGCAAACCCAAGTGAGCATTCGAGTCAACATGGCACAGTTGTCGAAGGCTTCTCCTTGACCATTTCCGAAGCATGTCGTCAAGTTCGCCATCATAACTTCCATCAGGCTCAGCAGAAGAAGCTGAGCATTGATTCGCTGCTCTTCATCAAAGCCACAGACGATAGTCTTCACGGTGTCGGCAACTTCAACTTCCGTGACGATTTGGAAAAAGAGGCCGACCACCTCGCTGTCGTTCTTCTGCCTCTCCAAGTGTTCGAACGTCAACAGGACGAGCTTTTGCACGTTGACGCCCGGCGTGCTCATTATTATTTGGTCGCGGATCGCCGAGAACAAAAATGAGGTCGCGAGTCGTGTGCAGTTGAGAATGGAGCGATTGTACGCTCCATAAACGTCCAGAAGCGTGTTCATCAGCACGATAATCTTGAAGCTCATCCGATCGCGGTCCGATTCAGCCATGACGCGGCCGAATATTGCAGGCGTAATCGCCCACACATTCTCAACCACCTTTCCATGAATCACATTCTCGTCTCCGTATCGGAGAAGGATCTTGTGCAAGAGATCCACGAACTGCAGCATGTGTTCGAACGAGATCGAGCCGCTCGCCGCATCGATGTGAAAATCGTCGGTGAGCACACAACTCTCCTGCAGAACGGTTTCAATCATCAGGGCACTGTCCTCTGAGAAATAGTGCTCCAGGGCTTTGGTTGTTGAGACCAGAGTGTGCGTGTTGTGGCCGACGCAATCTCGGAGAGCGATGTTCGTTCCAATTAGAGTCAAATTTTGGATCGCCGGCATGAACTTTAGGATTCTCTTCACATCCCGTCCATTCAGCGTCGTCTTCGAGAGGTCCAGGTAACGAAGCTCGGGCAGTCGGGATCCATCCTCCAGGCACTGACAGAATATGGCAGCGACATCGTTCGAACCATCGGCATTGAATTGGGATGGGCTGAAAACAAGTGGATGAACAATTATGTTTCTTTTTAAACTTCAACTCACCATGCCATGTTCAAAACTCGTAATTCTCTCAGCTCGAACAGCTCCGTCATGTCCCGAATCTTGTACGCATTCTCCATGATCAAGACTCGGAGCCCTTGCAGTCCAGAGATGCCATCCAAACTGTCAATGCCACAGTTCGAGACATTTAAGTATTGGAGCCCCGGAAAGCTCTGAACAAGAGTCTGAATGTTGACCGGTCTTCCAGCTACATTCAAGCTCGAAACGTTCGGAAGCATTGATCCAATTGCTTTGAGCCAGTCTCCATTGAAACTTCCCCATCCGCTAATGTCCAGGTGCCGGAGGGATTTGCGGGTGGCGGCGTTGAACATGTCCCTGGTCAGCAAATCAATGTTCAGGATGGTGTCGTCTGAAATTAGATTCACATTGAATTAGTTTTCTCGGAGCACTTGTCGCAGTCACTAGAACTCGCCCGAACGCTCGTCATCACTCACCATTCTCAACATGATATCCGTCCATGAGAAGAATCGTGTCTCCGAGTGTAAAGCTCTCAAGATTCTGCTCGCCAATGAAAGCCACGTCTGTCAACGTCATCTTGACGCCCTTGAAATTGGCACGGCTCGTATTGAATCCAGTCATTTGTTCAAGCAAATCCTCATTTAGAGAACGTTCCGGCTTCTTCATCTTGATAATATGCTCGAAAATGGCATTGCTCTCTTTTCGAGGGAAAACAATTGAGGATACGTCGAGGGACTCTGAAAAAGTTGAATTATAATAGGAAAAGAAAAGGAAAAAGACTTACCATCGACAATGTACTCGGCCATTTTGTTTGAGGCGAGTTGGTGGAGCGATTGAATCGACATTTTTGCAAAAGTGGTAACTGGAGTAGACAATTAGAGGTCAACAACAAATGAATGATGAATAATGGGTCCCGACCGTCGTTATATACTCTTGCAGAAAATTGTGCAAATGGGCGGGCGGGTGTGTATTGATTCTTCCGATCGAAGAAGGATCGAGGCGACGATGTTTGCACATTTTGCACGTTTGCCCCTCTCTTATGGTCCCTTTGTTATAGCAGATATGTACGAATCTGTCGAGAAACAAAAGACTGCCAAACTTTCGTGTATTGTAGTCTTCTGACCACTTTAAGTTTAGAAAACCTTTGAAAATCCATGTTCCCCGGATGACTGAACAACAATTTATCAACGAAAACTTTTCTCCAGAACATTTCGGCGTCAATCTGCGCGGACTCCAATGCTCTAGTTTCGCTTAAAATGTTAGGCCCTAATCATTTGTGAGCAGTTAGAAGCGAACATTCATTCAATAACTTTACTTGTAGGATCTCAATTTGTGTTCGATAATCTCTTGACCGATGATATCACTCGGCTGCCGACAGTTTAATGATGGTTTCTCCGGAAATTTCGCCGACCGGATTTCCGCCCGCAAACGGCGCTTTCGGATCGCGACAGTCCTGCTCCACAGACGCGTACTGGATGACGAGACGGTCCGCTTGCGGTTTTCCTGGCTGTAAATAGTATGTTGGGTGTAATGGCCGAGAAAAAGCTAGGCCACTGCCTTCAAGACGAGATATCTCAGTTGCCGAAAGAGATATCAAAAAGATGTCAACTGAAAAAATGTTTAGTAGAAAATTGTGCACATTTTATCAGTTGACCACTTTTAGATATCTCCACAGACAGCTGAGATATATAAACGTATTTAGAGTACCTTTCTAGTGATGACCAGGTCGACGGTGTAGCCGATTTGGATGAGGCCGAAGATGGTGTTGACGCTGTAGTTCGAGTTGTTCGACGACTTGATCTTGTAGGCCAACATTTTGTCGCAATGATTCACGATTTTGTGCTTCGAAGTGCCGCCGTTGGCCTGAATCGGACAGACCGGAGGATCCAGAGACAGTTCGACTCCCATTCTTTTCGTGGAACTGACTTTCAAACTGAAACTCTGCATTGTTGTGTGCGTTGTCATGCCACGTCACGCCACATCATCATCATCATCACGGGTGCCACGTGGAAATCTTTATTTGGAACCTTTGATAGAACGCAACAAAAGTAGTTCGATTCTGAGATCATCCTTTGTAGCTCAAGTTCTCGTAGAGTGACTCTTTCTGCAAAACAATTGGTTGCGACATGACAAATGCGCTTTACCGAACCTCTTCTTTTCGTTTCGGCACCTCGTAGGATATGGCCGAGTTTCGAGAACGGGGCGGATCCACGGCCACGGCCACAGGAGCCGACTTTTCTTTTTCCTTTTCGGACGTCGATTTTGGAGTCGGTGGCAGCGGAGATGACGGTGTTGCCGGCGTTTTCTGGAAGAAAAATGTGAGAGAAAGTTAGGCCACACGGGAAGTCTAGAGGTACCCTGAAGCCATGGACGGCCTAGAAACTTCAAGCGCAACTTAGGCCATCCGATTGGTGGCCTAGAAAAGCGAAAAGTTAGGCGACTCACAGTAAATCCTCCACTCAAATGTTGACCCATTACTTTTCGATTTGCGCTTTGATTCGACTCGCGATTCGCAGAAAATCCAAGAGTTTTTTTGTGGAAATAACAAATGTAGGACGTGAAACCGGACAATATTGTCGCTTTTTTTTTTGCGTGACGCGTCATCGAAACGTGGACTCGCTCAACGCTATTATAAAAGAACCGGCCGATTCATATCATAACGGATTTTTTTTGTTTCGCACCGCCCTTCCGGTGAGAAATGGCTGCCGGTAAGTCTCTTGGATTCAGAGCATGGAAAGCAACGAAAAAAAAAACGACGAGTTTAGCAATGGATCAAAGTGAAATGGTGCAGATTCCGAACACGCCGACGCTGGTGGCCGAGGAGAATGTGCATCACAAGCGCTACCAGTCGGTGCAGTTGAAGCCGGCGCACGAGTCGATGGCGATGGAGCAGATGGCGTTTCCGGCGGTGGCCCAGCCACCGCAAGACCGGCCACGTGGACCGGCGATCCGAGATCCGAGATCATCCAAGACCGAAAACGATCGGCTTCCCGAGACTGGCGAGTACTTTGAGAACGACAAGGGCGACCGCTTCGTTTTCCGCCAAAAACTCGGCGACGGCGCGATGGGACACGTCTTTTTGAGCGTCTTCGGCATCAGGTATTGAGTTGACGCATTTCTGGCGTCTTGACGCCGTTCTAGTGCTTCGTTTTCAGAACCGTGGCCATTAAGACGGAAAAGTTTTCGACGGGGATGCTGCCGATGGAGATCAAAGTGTTGATGGCTGTGAAACGAGCGAAAGGAGCTCACTTTTGTGATATTATTGATTATGTAAGTACAGTAATCACGGCGAGCAAAATTGTGCACTTTTTGATGTCTCCAGCGGCAGCCTAACTAGCCTAATCAATCGTCGTTTTGCAGGGAACGATCCGTCGCGAGTACAACTACATGGTGATCAGTTTGCTCGGCAAGGACCTCTACCGTCTGCGCTCCGAGATGCCGACGCGCTCATTTTCGATCAACACGACGACGAAGATCGCGCTGGAGACGCTCGAAGCGATCGAGGAGCTGCACAACTGCGGCTACCTGAGCCGCGACGTGAAGCCGAGCAACTTTGCGCCGGGCATTCGCGAGAACGCCCAACACAAGACCATCTTCATGTTCGACTTTGGGCTCGCCAAAAAGTTTGTCGACCGCGAGAATCGAAAGGTGAAGTCGCGCGGAGAGGTCGGCTGGCGCGGCACCGTCCGCTACGGAAGTCTGCAGGCACACAAGCGCATGGACCTCGGCCGACGCGACGACGTCGAGTGCTGGTTCTACATGCTCGTCGAGATGTACGTTGGCGAGCTGCCGTGGCGTCACATGACCGATCGGAACGTTGTCGGACAGTCGAAGATGAGCATCCGCAAGGACTCGCGACACAACTTCTTTCGTCGCCTGCCCAATCAGTTCGAGACGATTATGGTGCTGATCGATGGGTGGCCGTTTGAGATTCGACCCGACTACAAACGTCTCAAGATGTTGATCATGGAGGTGAGAAAGAGCACATGGCCTAGAAATTCCACTGTTTTGTCTCTTTGAGATCCGCCGCGATCTGCAAGTCCCGGACCGATGCACGTGGGACTGGCAAGCCGAGGAGTCGCAACACTCGGAACTCACCGAAACCACGTCGATCATGTCGGACATGGCGATCATGGCCGAGCAGGGAACGGCGAACTACACGGACCGCGCCTGAATGATGTACGATGTACGACGGCCCACGCAATCGCTTTTTCTTTTTCGTTTTCGATTTCATTTCCCACTCTCAACGTGCAATTGCGATCTCTCACATCTCTATCTCTAGATTCTCTACTAGATTCAACAACAACAACACTCATTTTTGTGATGTATAAATGAATAAATGAATGTGTTGTACCCTTGAAAATTGCGCTTTGAAAGCCCTTAAATCTATTTATCCTCTTTATCAATACAATTTTATTATAAAAAGTATAAATTATTAGCGTCCGAAGCCAATTTTTGCACGGCGTCCATCGATTCGTAGTGTCCGAACACATCAACTCTTGCAGACTGAAAATAAGTGGATGAAAATCGATTTTTTGCTTGAATTTCAACTCACCCTCAAGCCATGTCCAAAATTCGCAGCTCTCTGAGATCAAACAGCTCCGTCATGTCCCGACAACAACAACAATGTCGAGAAGGAGTGTCGTCTGAAATTAGAGCACTATTCAAGTTTGTACGGTGTCTCCGGGCGGATTGACCAGTGGAATAGTTTGAGATGTGTGCGAGAAGAGCAATGTCTAAGGTGGTTTTGTCTGAAATGCTTTCCATTTAGGAATCGTTTTCCTCAAGCACTCTTCAAAGTTGAAGAAGCTTCGAAGGAAGGTCCCTCAGTGTCGTGTTCCGTAACCCCGTTCGTTGTTATAGGGTGTCCTTCGCACGGTTTAAGCAAAGCAGGTGGTTCAGATAATGCTTTATTAGGTAATGTGTAAATAGTATGAGGAAGATAGGTTGGGGGAATCGTAGTAGCAGTTGGAAGAGGGTGTGGGGAAGATGCAAGTAACTCTAGGAGTTAGACGGGACCTTTATATTGGTCCCAGGGCAATTATCGGGAACTAGATTTTAATGACAGAGGGGCACAGGTTGTGCACTTAAAAGTCAGAATTGTCCTTGGTCCTCATTGTTGCGGAAAGACATAATAACTTTAAATTGAGTTATAATGACTTTGGCTCAAGAAGACTGGTTGTTGATTGGATAATTACACTGCCACATGATCCGTGAGGAACATACAATTATGTTCCTTCATACTGCACTTTTGATCTTGACAAGTCGAGACGAGTCACGACACTCAGGACCCCACACCTGTCTAGAACCATGCTCACCATGCTCAAAGTGATACGAGAAGATTTGTACGTCCGAGCACAAAACTCTCGAGCTCCTGCACGTCTCATATTGAAGCGTTACTCCCTTTTTGAGAGAAAATGACGGACGAATATTGCGTAGGGGCCGGTAGTCCTTATATGTATCTACGCCCACCCGCAGAAGATGTGCATTGCGAATCGATCGATCCGAGTGCTGGGCAGAGGGTCAAACGGCAGGACCAACGGTGCTACTCGTACCAGATCGATGAGAACCGTCTCGGCGCGGCAGAAGTCGAGTGCATGACAACGATGATCCGAGAGGTACGTCCACGCAGAACATTTTAGTGCAAGAGACCGCCGAATCATTGGATGATGGCTCGTGCGTTAGCTACTCAAGCAAACCGACGGGCACCACCACATCCACAGAACCCCAGATCCGACACGCTCTTGGAATCGAACGATTTGTCTGGATGTGCTTCCAATTCGAACTGCTGTCGGTGATGGAGGAGAAGAGCAGGAAACGTGGTTGAACCGAATGACATCTGCAATATCGGATCATTCTTATGACTGAAAGTCTTGAGAAGTCTTGAGTGTCATTCCTTTATAATTGTCGTTGCTGTCGTTGAATCTAGTAGAGAATCTAGAACCTAACCTCACTTTTACCCATCTTCAAAACGTTTCCAATTCCATTTCCTCCAAATGTTTCCCCCCAGCGATTTACTTTGCTCATCCCAATTCTGCCAAAATACGAACACAACCTGACTCACGTTTTTGTTTCCTTCTTCCATTTTCTTGCCATACCCTCCTTTCTCGTGTCGCCAGCAAGTTGAGATTGAGAAAAAGTAAACAAGCCGAACGACGCGTGTTGTGATAGAAAGTATGCTAGATAGAAATGCGCAGTTCCTAAGGTGAGCAATGTCCGATGCACCATGTGGAGTACCAGCACACTTGGAACTTTTGTATCAAATCAAGATCTTGATGATGTGACTCAAGAGCAACTTTATCGAATTGGATCGTAAAACTCTGTGGCTTCAGTGCTTATCACAATATGCAAGTGTCGGCAAAGTCGTAAAGTTGTAAAATGAGGAGAAAATGCGAGCCCGTATGACGTAGACCGTTCAGAGATTCTGAAAAGCGCTCCGAAATCGATGAAACTATTTGGTGCCCAACTTCCACGCGCACTCAGTACTTTAGAAAGTGGTCCTAGCAAAAAAGTGTCAACTAGAAAAATGAAGTGATTATTATGAAACATGTTTTTGTAGTCAACAATTATTTGTACAACCACTTCTCAGGGTACTGTAGATCTAGAAAGTTGTCCTAGTCCTAGCTTCCAGGGAGTGGTCGTGGAAATACGTTGTCAACTACAAAATTATCGTTCGAGATGTGAAAAATGTGCTCACCAACTTTTAGAACAATATGACGGCTTCTGGAGCTACAGTACACATTCAAATTTGGGCGACTCAAAAACACTCTACCGTATCGCTATCGTCCGTCTCTTTGTGCTCTTATCAGGGTGGAGCCGCTCGACTTCCTGTTCGAAATGAGTAACTAACGTCGTCTTATCACTTATTTTTCGTCGCGAAGAGAAGGGCGGCGTCTCTCTTGTCTCCGAACTTTTTTTGTGCTCTCGTTATGCTCCGACTATAAAACTAGGCGACGCTGATAGCGAAACCCCACCCCGATTCTGGCACTGATTCGATGAGCAAGCGCGAAATGCCCACCGCCACTATTGTGTGCTCGCTCATTTTTCTGCCACTCTTCCTCAAATCCATCGCCACGTCGCCAATCGCCACGTCACCCAAAATCCATGTGAAATGCGGCGATCGTCGGGTGGCGCACGCAAAAGTTCACTTTTTCGACCGCGAATTCCCGCCGACAGAAATCAAAGAGTTGCACGGGATGACCGACGAGTTCGGACACTATCATTTTGCGCCGAGTGTCGACTATGAAAAGTACGATTTTCAAGAGATCCAGCTGTTCATCAGAGATCGGTGCGGCATCGAGGAGAAGGAGATTGTGAGTGGTTGTAAATTCAAAATCTGAGTGACGTTCTGGCGCCAAAACGTAATCACTTAACCGCAAACCGCAAAATGGCAAACATTTACTTGCTCACTGTAAAGACGTACATAGTAACTTCATAGTAGCTCAACCGCTGACTTCCCCCCGACCGAACACACGTTTTTCAGAACTGCAACCTTCCGTTCAACATCTTCGACATTCCGCTCAAAGAACTCTTCCCCAGGTGCGAATTCGAGCACCGTCAGGCGCTTCTAGACCTCGCCGATCCGGTCTGGAACAACTATCGCCAAATTCATTGTTTGTAGACCTTGATAGATTACTGGACTTTGTTCGATTCCTCCTGTGATAACGTGTCATATTATATCTTCCCTTCCGGGTGGTATCCACTTAAGCATAATGACCCGAAAAATAAAGCTTTATTCGTTCAAAATTCGTTGAGATTGTAGGCGATGTGCTTGCCGAGCATCTCGTTCGTCACTCCCAAACATTTGACGGTCATTGTGACGCACGGGTTCAGCAGCGCCCTCTGAAAGACAGTTTCTAGTGGTTTTGGGGAGCGAAACGAGTTTCCTGAAGCTCATGCACCAAGAGAAAGCGGTGGCCTAGTTTTCATACAGAGAAAGTTAGGCCAGATCGTTGCGAGCTTGACTGCACAGTTTTTTTTTTGGAAATTCTAGATGTACCAAGAAATCTAAGAGGCCTAGTTTTTTTCTCTAGGAAAAGTTAGGCCACTCGTAGAACATCGTCGCTGGCCTAGCTTTTGCTCGTCCCCCCGAAACGCACATCCTGCTCCTCGCCCTCCTCCAGATACTCTTTCCATTTGGGCACAAACCGATCACAATCGAATTGACATCGAACGAATTCGCGGCACGCTTTCTTGGCCTCAAAACATGCGTGCGAGTACGTGGGCGCAATGTGCTCGTCGAATTGGAGGAGCACTTCGTGACGGACCAGCTCCCAAGTACCTAAAAAGAAAATGAATGGGGTACTGTAAGAGGCGCGGTACCTTCTTCCAGTTGCATCAAATCGCTCTGGCCTCTGGCCGCCAGCACCAGCAACGTCGCCACGAGAATTAGAAGCCGTAGTAGTAGTAGCATGATTTTAAAGCGAAAATTGCCGATTTTCTTCCAACTTTTCCAACACCACGTTCAAAAGTTCACGCCGTCACATTCCTCTCCGCGAAAAGTTTGTCGCACCTTCCGCTCTTATCACCGTTGCGTTTATCAATGAGAGAACAGCACATGGACGATGATTCAGTTCAACTCAAAAGTTTGGATCTGCATGTGAGTCAGCATTGCATCCACCAAATGTTGAGTTGAACGGAAGGGAAGCAATGAAAAGTGTTATTCGATTAGCCAAGCAAAAAAAGATTGTAGAAAAGGGTGGGATCGGAATTTTGTCGAATTACGTGTCAAGCTCCAAACTTGAGCAATCGTACCCTAATAAAGTGTTTTTTTAATTGAAAATCACCTACTCGGACATGCTTTGCATTCCTATATAACAAGCTTTCCGGGTACGTCCGATAAGAAACTGGGTGTGAGAGTTTGAGTTTCCGGACACACATTCCGCCCCGATAATTAATTGATTTGACGAAAACAGAGAATTAGAATCGGAACCAACCCGGAACACGTTTGATATTATCAGACTAATCGTGAACACAGTTTGTGTGTGTGTTCGTGAGCAAAAAGAAGAAGATAGGGGCGATGAGCGGAAGGAATTTAAAGTAATCCGTTCTGCGTTTCAGCAGAAACGGTGATTTTTTGACCCCAGTCAAAGAATCAACAAGGTGAGGGGAGAAGAGGGGTCAGCACTCGCAGGCTTTGACATCTCAAAAGTTAGTCTAACTTTGAAGGCCTATATCTCAAGAACTATTGCTCATTTCAACAAGTTGTCAACTAAAAAGTTGTTGCAAATTTCATGCTAAACAACTTTGTTATTGATCACTTTCTTCCAAAATTGTTATTTCTTGAGATATACTGGTTTTTCTAAACAACACCAAAAAGACCTCTTTGAACCGGGTCTCAGTCACTACATATTTCCAAGTCTCCCCCCATGTCCAAAATCGGACTTCACATAAATTATTCGCATGTCTACCGGTTTTGATTGTCAGCTGGCTGTTATGCTCGTGCGCTCGCGGATATCATAAAATTTTACGACTCGCGCACATATACACACGGCTCTCTCCGCGAGACTTAATCAAGGTAAAATGTATCAATTTGGCTCTCCGCCGCTTGTCCACCATTTTTCGTCGAGACTACGGTAGTTTTATGTGTGCCCAGGGGTTGTATAGCATCGGCAATGAACACACTATTATCACTATTATCGCTCAATTGCGCGCGCGCAAGCAGCCCAAACTGATTGCTTCTTTTTCAGGTGAACACGATGACTAACACTCGTTTCTCAATCCCTCGAAAGGAATTGGTGACCAGTTAGCAACAAAAAAAGTTGTGGGGTAGCCTTGAACAAATATCCCTTCCCCCCATCTCGTGCGTCCTTTTCGAATTGAATAATACGAAAGACATCCAAATTTTTGTTTTCCCAAAACATTTTTCCATGTGTCTAGAGGTCACGACAAAGAAAAGATGGTCTCTGGGTGGGTTACGGTAGTGGATCTACTTTAACAGACATTGTACCAACTACCGTAACCATTGTTGACGTGGTCAAAGAAGAAGTACATCTCCTGCTTAATTGCAACCCCCGCATATAAGTTCATCTCTCTCTCTCTCTCTCTCGTCTCGGTTATCTGCTCAAAAGCGCGCATCATCGCCACCAAATTAGAGGGCTGGCCGAGATCCGAAGCTCTTGCGGTTTCTTCATCATCATCATCATCATCATCACAAGCTCCTTGCAAATTAGCACCTCTCTCTTCTTCCGTGTACTTTCAAGAGAGAGAGCGAGTGCGCTCGCGGTTTCCGGTCGTACTCGCCGATTTCTGAGGTATTCTGAGGTGGGGCGGTGAGTTTGTGGATGATCATCACTAAATCGTGGTGCCAAGTTTGAGATCTCTAGCCACTAAATCGTGTCGTCTCGTCCTAGACGTGGTGGCAGATGTTCACCCGAAACACCTTATTCCATTTTCCATTGGTACACCACCACCGTTAACCTCATCAAATTTAGATGAGCTTGGGTACGCGTGCGCACGCGGTAAATCTAAATCCATCCTGATTGTGCAATACATTCGAGATTACCTGCCACCCCTTCTTCCTCTTCTTCTTCTTCTTCTTCTTCTCCATGTTTTGTGTGTGTGTGTGTGTGCATCCGTTATGAGTCCCTGAGGAAGATTTGTATGCGGAAAAGTGACAATTTGGTGATGTGATGTGAGGTGATGAGAAGAGCAAAGTGAAAATTGGTTACGGTGGGGGGAGCTGGCCTAGAATTCTAAAAGTCTAGGCCACGAACCTAGAAGCGTGTCCTGCCTAGCACTTTAGAAGTCTAAAGAGATGTTGTTGTACTTTAACATGGTGCATCGGACATTTGCAAGTCCTCTTTAGTTCACATGGTGCATTGAGCGATTCTTAGAACCTTTGAATCAAAATTGGTACTGTAGCATCAAAAGCAGGAGCCTAGAATCCTCAATCATCCCTTAAAGTAAATGAAAGACACATTCAATACACACACACACATTTTCCTATTCATTCCAACTCACACACAGTCACTATTTGTACACTTTTCTCATATACTATCGTCTTCTTTATATTGTTGCCACCACCGACCGTCGTTCGTAACCACCTCGAAATGCATTAGTGTCCTCGCTCCTCCTCCCCGTTTCCAATATGTGTGTGTGTGCTCTAAGGGACGGAGGACAAGATTGTGTCGACAAACTCATGACTCAAAGCGCTCCCCCCCACCCCCCGCGACAAGACAGGAGGCAGCACCGATCCGAAATGCTCATACATGGGGCGAGATGAGAGAAAAAGAAGGAGAGAAGGCGGGGGTGGATACGGTAGGAGTACTTATAACTTTGTCACTTTCCACCTCCTGAAACCTGTTCCACAGGATCAACCACAAGGTTCTAAAAGTTTGATTTCCTTGGATCTCAGAGTCGTCTAGGCCAAAAACGTTTCCTAAAGGCTCTAGAACCTCCCTGAACTTTTCTAACCAACTGTCCGGTCCAGACTTGATGACTTGCCCCGAAACCATAGGATCTTGTTGTAGCTCCAACTCTCCTTCATCCCTAATCATTGGATGCCCCCAAAAACCTTCCCTAGAAAACAGTACGTTTCTACAACTCCCCCAACTTTTCCCTCGTGTTCATTGACTAGTCCATTACCCCCAAGATGTTCTTCTTCTGAAGCTTGTCCCTCATGTCCCCAGGATCCATTCCCTCTCTCACAACTTCCGGACTTTCGCCCAGAATTCCGATTTCTTCTCCAAATTCCTCATCCAATTCTTCAGTTTAGATTAGTGTGGGAAGGTGTGCACCTGCGCCCCCCATACCTAATTGATCCAAGGTGCGAGCATATTGAAATCGTCTTAACTAATTGCCTAATTACCCGTTATGCTTTTCCTCGCGAACAAGAGGAAGAAGAAGAAGAAGAAGAAGAAGACATGTGTAAACAATCAGACACGCTTAGTGCCCAAGGTACGGTAAGCGTGTAGAAATTTCACTTTTTCTCCGATTTCCTCTTTAGGTGACCTCCTCCTCCAATATTTGCGTTTTTTTGGGTTAGAGAACCTTGAAATCTCCTCCTATTGTTCTTCGCTTAAGGGATAGAAATTTGAGGTTCTTTAAAGTTGAGCAGTGGCTTCTGGCCTTGCGTCAATTCAAGAGGATGTATCTCAGTTACGGTTGAAGATATCGAAAAGCTGTAAACTGATAAAATGTACACAATGTGTTTCTGGTCAATTTATCAGTTGACACCTTTTCGATATCTCTAGCGACAGCTGAGATATATTGTCAAGAATGAACGGTACTCGGATGCCCAACCGGCAAGCTCCATGATCACCCAAAGCTGTCATGTTTCTCGTCCGGTCCATCGGGCTCATCCAGCCAATGTCCACACACAAATGGCACCTCCGCGCCCGAATCTATTCTCATCAGCCAACGATCTCTATTTGTGACCGTCTCCAAAAGAGCTGTCATTTCGCATCGCATCGCATCGTTTTTCTATTTGCTCAGATCTGCCATCCTTTCCTTCTGGCCCTCTCTTTTTGTATTATCAATTCATTTTATCAATAAGATTCTTGGCCTTTTGTGGTGATCAGATAATGTTTGTGTGTGTGTGGGGGTACTTCAACTTCACACCCATGCCTAGGGAATTAACACTCTTTCAAGTAGTCGGTGATCCAAAGTCAATAACTACATTTTAAGGCGGCTAGACCCTCGGCGAACTACAATCTTCCCTTCCCGAAATGGGGAGGCGAAGAAATAATATTTTTCGAATCCCAACTAGTCATCCACCCGTATTTTTGTTAAGATTCAGCTGTCACATCACTCCACGCTATCATCTTTTTCATCTGCTGCCCGCCCCTTTTCTCGAAAAAGAATGAGATGAAGTTGATGACGTGGCATCCGTGGGAGGATACTGTACTTTTCTTTTCTCCAACAATATCATGCCCTTCTTTGTTTGACGATCGTGTCTCACTTCTCATTCTCATCCGAAAACAAAAAGTCGCGTGATTGATGATGCGTCTTGAAAATCAAGCCTTGGCGCGTTCTCGGTGCGTTGACGCGTTCGTAGTGACAGTTTTGAGTTTCTCACACTTTTCTCGAGACTCTTAATCAGCTGAAAAATGAGTTGACGCGATTCTGGTGCCTTGGCACATTTCCTAAAACCTCTAATATCCAGGAATTGCGCCAAAAAGACAAGAAAAGTAACTAGCGCGTTTTTGGTGGCTTGGCGTAGTTCTGGAGCTTTGACGAACTCTTGGAGCAATCTCAGTGAGCCCCAATGAGCTGTAAAGTTCCTGAAACGTTCGGGAAAGTCTGAAAAGCTCTCCATCTGCCCATCCCAAGTGCCGTGACGCGTTTCCAGTGTTCCCAATTCCAGTTCCATTTCATCATCATCACCTGCTGCTGCCGCTGCTCCAGCCGCTTTCTTCCTTCTTCTTCTTCTTCTTCTCCGCCGCCGCCGCTGCTCCATCCACACACTCTCATAATATTTGTTCCCATACCTGGATTGAATTGTCCCTTCCCCTCGCCTCGTCTCTCCAAGTGCCTTCCGACCGAACATTGCCCCTCGAAACCGGCTCCCGTCACCGCTTCTTCCTCCTCCTCCTCCTCCTCTTCTTTCGCTTCTTCATCGTCTTCTGCTCAACTGAGCTCATCATTCTTCCTATTTGCCGACCACCTTCCGGCTTGACTTTTACCTGACGCTCTCAAGTGTGAAAGTGGTTACCAATACACCACCTTCTGGGCTCTACGTACACCTCAACCAGGGGTTTCGAAACGTTTCCATCTTCACTTCATTTGACACCCACTGACTGATAACAACCATCAAAGGAAGACACAGGAAAAAAGAAAAAGAGCCCAAAAAAATTGGTGGTTGTTATCAGTTGTTCTTTCCCAATTCGCCTTGCTCTTCCTCTTTCCTTACCGAGAGTCAAGTGACTCTCGGTTCCAGTTTCTACTGTTTGCTTTGTGTTCGAATCGATTCGAACTTGGTCCCACGCTTCCATAGTTACCTCTTCTTTCCGTCATTCCTTCTCCAAAAAACATTCCCAGGAACGCATTGGGCGCCTCCTCTTCTGAGCCGAAAACTTTTTATTATTCGAAATAATAAAGGCAAAGAGAGAGAGAGAGAGAGCGCACCTGGTTGAAGAGAAGAATGGCGCGCTCGCGGCAATTTTCGTCTCCTGGTCTCCTGGTGGATAGTGGTGGTGAGGCAGCACATCCGGAAGACTCTTCTCTCCCATCTTTTCAAGAAAATGGGACCAATCTTCTTCTTCTTCTTCTTCTTCTTCTCCTCCTCCTCCTCCTACTTCAGAGCCTCCTTTTTCCGAGAAATTGCCCCACTTACCTGGGAAGAGGAAGGCTCCTCTCTAAAAGCTTCTCCTCCTCCTCCTCCCCGTCCATTTTGTTTGTGAGTTGAGGTTGAGGATGAGTGTTGGCCCACGTTGGGAACTCGAAGACACCCTGGGACTTGGGGCCTTGGATGGTTGAACATTAGAATCACCTCTAAGACTTGGGACTTGACCACCAAGAACTCGCTGCAAATCCGGCGTTACCGTAAAGATGCTCCCCTCTCGCTTCTCCCCCCTTTCTCACGCCGAATCCTCCTCGCTCGTCCGCCGATTGGTCGATGGGGGCGTGTCGTCCGCCTCTTCCTCTTCTTCTTCTTCCTCTCTTCCTCGCTTCGCCTCGCCGAGGAAGCGCGCGCGCCGCTCTCCTCTTAGAAGAAGAAGCACGGAAGCAGTGGCTCCGCCCACTTTTTTTGAGACAACACCGGCCCTCTCGTTTTCCGGAGAAGGATGGATGGATGGACGGGCCTCCCCACTTGCCTCCTCCTTCTTCTTCTTCTTCCATCTCCGTTTTCCCTCTTCTCTTTTAGAGTAAGTGTGTACCTTTCTTGAGTGAAGAGCTTTTAGCTTGAGTCTTCTCAAATGTCAGTGACATCGGTCTACCGTACCTTTTTTTTGAAAATCCTACAATCCCACTAGATGCCGATGACAAATCCCCCTCACAGCCTTGATCCAACTTTTTCTTCTCTCTCTCTTTGTTTCTCGCGCCGTTTTCCCAACCGATTACTCATCCGAATCGTATAGTTTTGCGAGGAGTACTGTAGTAGACGCTATTGTTGGATTTACAGGTAGCCGGCACACGGAGGAGAGCTCAATGAGCATCGACAGTGATTTCCTGGCGAGTGTCGAGGTGAAGGAGGACGATCTTCACGGCAACGTGTTGATTGCGGTGACAGAGATCGAGCAGGGCAGGACAATTGGAGTCATTGACAAGGTTTGTGTGCGGGTTGTGGTCCTGAAGTCTGACTTGGAGCCCTCGAATCATTTTACATGGATCCTTTGAATCTACAGTAATGTATCCTCTCATCAATTAAAGTCGGTTAGACAGTCAGTATTTAGTCCCGGACACACCAGGTGTTCCGATTTGTTAATGGTAATGACGGTGTTCACTACCACCGATCCTGGTCGCCGTCGGACGCCTGTCAAGGTTAACTAAGTGGGGTGACACAGGCCAGGTGTTGTCTTTTTCGCCAGAATTTTTGAGAAGCCTCACTCCTAGCCGGAGCGGCGAACACATGGCGCCAAACATTTTGGTGTGTGTGTGGACACATAATTGCGGTTTTGGAGAAGAAGGTGGCCAGGCTTTTCAAATGATCGAAGGACGGACGATCGGGAGGTGGTGTGGGAACCACGCGAGTATCAAAATGTTTGGCAAGGTGGACGGATCGTGGGAACAACCGCTATTGGATCTTTTCAGTCAACTTCTTCTAGCCTTATCATGTAGCTTTCACAAACTTTGTCCAAATCAACCCTTTCCTCGTCGCCTCTAGACGTGGTGCATCGACCAAACTTCGTTGTGATCCATCCGACTACGGTAGCCAGATTCCACCTCGTCATCATTGAGTTACGCGCTTGTTTATCTCTCCGCGCACGCCGACTGATTGGCTTATCACACTCGTAGAAGATTGGCGGAGCCTTCTCTCTCTCTCTCTCTCTGCCAAGTTGATTGGATGCGAAAGCACCTGCTCCGCGAGTCTGTGGGAAAATTAGATTCCAGAAAAGGTGTGCGCGGCTCACTCACTCACTCACTCACGCACGCACAGCTTCTTATTAGATATTGATGGGTTTGTGTTTGTGGCTCGACACACCTCAACAACACCTTTCCTCATCCATTTTTCGCGGGGGGACTTTTTTCGAGCAACGATAATAGTTGGATAATAGTTGCAGGCGACGCCGAATGACTCGAACGCGCTGCTCATTTTGAACCTGATCAAAGAGGCGGATGATGGCGAAGACGCGAACGTTTGCATGAGGAACATTGAGACGAAGGTGAGTGCGATCGGGGGAGGCACCAAAATAGCGCCAGGGCACGAGAATTGCGTCAATCGGTTTTCTATCCGCTTGTTATCACGGAGAGTAACTCAATTATCGGCTAAGGCATCAAAAATGATATGGGAAAGCCGGTTTTGTACTTTCTTGGGGGACCTAACTTTCTCATGTACCCCCCTCCCCCAGTTCTTCTAAATCTCGAAGGTACCTAGAGAATCCAATGTCTATTGGCTAATGCCAGGCAACTTTTACAACTATTTCTATCCTCATAGATGCTAACTATGAATCCCAAGCCCTTCCAGAACATTCTTTGAACCTCTTATGCTCATCCCGTGACCTAACTTTCCAACCGAAGACCTAGAATCTCAACAACCTATTTTCGAACTTGCAGACCTTTCTGCAAACGTCGAAACTGATCGACAGCGGCGAACGTCTTCTGCTCCAGCGGCTGTCGGAAGAGGAGTGCGACGAGGAAGAAGAGGAGGAGGAGGAGGAGGAGGAGAGCGGTGAAATCGAGAATCTGATAATGTTGAAGGATGGCGAGAGGTGAGCGCGGGGCGAAAATGAAAACGCGAGGAAACTGGTTCGGTTCGGTTCAGTCCATCTCTGGAACGGATGGAGATGGGGATCTTCACCGCCCGAGAAAGACGCCTCCGACCTACTTCTTCCCCCTCGCTTTTTGGTTAATAAAGAGGAGGAACGGCGAAGGGGGAAAGTAACGGATTTCCGATAAGAGCACATCCAGGGCGCGAAGGGGGGCATTTGATTTGCATATAGAGGAAGAATGGGAAGCGCGCCGCCTCTCTTCTCGATGACAAATTTCCAGTGTCCGGGCGTCAGCTTTCATCTTTTTCCCACATCTCTTTTTTGTCATGCCATGCTTGAAGAATTGAACTGATTTATTTGAGTTTATATCTCGATACAGTAGGTGGCCTAGCTTTTTCACCGCACAAAGTCCAGGCCAGCTGAAATCATAGAATCTAGCTGGGCCACCAACTTTCCAAATAGAGAAACCTAGGCCATCATCACTCGATGGCCGCCTAACACTTTTTGCAATTTTCAGGCCGGACAGTAGGCAAAGTTGCACAAAAAGCAGCGAGGACACGGACGAGTACATCCGCGAGCTCGGCGAACTTGCGCCCGGCCAGACGCCCCCGGAAGGATCGCAGACGCACAAGTGCGGAGTGTGTCCGAAGAGCTTCTCCAGTGCCAGGTGAGACGAGTATCCGCCCCTCTATTAAAGTACCGTAACCCCGCTCTTTTCAATTGCCAACAACAGGGGGGGCTCTTCCATTAGAGCATGCTCGCGCGCGCGAGCCCCCTCTGTTTGCTCATCGTTTCCTCTTTTGGAAAAGAGAGGCGCTCAGGTAGAAGATAGCGGAAATCGGATCCTGTGAGCATGAGAAGGGGGAGGGGGCGTCTTCTTCTTCTTCTTCTTCTTCTTCAAGATGCACGAGCTCCAAAAGATTCTCTTTCATAACCATCGGAAGAGAGGAAGAGGGGACCTGCTGGCCTAATTTTCTCATACCGTAAAACCTATCCCAATACTTTTTTTTGCTCAGCAACAGTTCGAACAGTGGCCTAACTTTCTCATGCTTCAAAACCTAGGCCACTTCCTTTTTTTTGCTCTAAAACAGTTGGGCCATGAAAGAATGGGGCTAGTAGACGCGTAGTTCATTAAAGACAGAAACAAGACGGCCGTGGCCTAACTTTCTCGCTGCTGAAAACATTTCCGCCACCCAGTCTAGATAATGACTCATTGACACTCACTTTCAGCGCTCCCCACCCCGTCAAAATATTACTCACTTCGCTCTGAACGCCTTCATCCCCCCCTCCACTCCGATGATGTTCCTTCCCCCAAAAAAAAACGAAAAGAGTGCGCGCACAGTTTTGAGCGCCACTTCCGGCGCTGATAATATAACATCATCTCGAAAAAGTGTCTTATCTCTTATCACAACTTCCTCAAAAACACCCCCCGCAATAAAGTGATGAGAGTTGGCTTGGGGGAGGAGGATCAATTAGTGTAATAACACGGGATACTATGTACATACACCTGTAACCCCCCAGCAAGAAAGAGAGAGAGAGGGGTCCCGTACAATTACCACTATTATTCATCCGAATGTTTCAGCGGACTCAAACAACACTCGCACATTCACTGCTCGCTGAAGCCGTTCCGCTGCCACTTGTGCACCAAATCCTACACGCAATTCTCGAATTTGTGCAGACATCGGCGGGTGCACTCGGTAAGCGTTTTTTGCTTTCAGCTGATAACCGCCCATGTTCTACGTGCGTGCAATTGTTCATTCTTTTCTTTTTTTGGTTAGTTTGTGGACTTGAACAGTTGTTGAACAACAGTTCAGGAAGGACAATCAATGCATAGAGTAGAGTAATGAGTTTGTGCAGAAAAACGGAAGAAGGGGTGTGGTGAGGTGAGGAATTATGAGTTCGATTCGTTCAGTTCAGTTTCAAAGTTCATTATGAGTCACACATGTCATTCTGGGTCGACCTAACTGAAAAGTTTGACTCACTTCTCATGAATTTGACCTTGTTTTAGCAGATTGACTCATTTTTCAATGAGCTTCACCTTTCTACAGTAAAATTTTTGAACTGTGACCTCCGTGACCTAGTCCAGACCAAGTATTGACCTAATTCCTGGAAGAATCCGCGTCATGACCCTGCTTTTTGTGTCAATTGATCTAGATTTGAGTCTAAACCCAGTTTCTAGACACATTTTCCATACTATTTCCATATTTTTAGAGGTACCTCACCAGTGGGACCATTTCCTCATCCCCCCGGTCCCCGGGGCCCGAACATGAGACCGGATAGCGGGGAGGGGGGTCACATACACACAGTGACACAGTAGTACTACTCAAAGGCTCATAAAAATTTATACGATGACTCTTTTAGAGCACGGGGGGAGGGGGGAACATTGTTGTTTGGCTGGTCCCAGAAGGAGGAGCCTTCTCTCCACGCTGGGAACGTCTTAATTGTTTACCTGGTTGGAGGGGTGTCTGCGAATAGGCTCCGCCCCTTCTCGAGACGACGGCCAATGAGCCTCTCGCCGCCTCCTCTTCCCTTCTCCCATCTTTAGTCATCTTCTTCCCTCTCTCTTCAACATTCTTCGGAAAACTGTAACTCAAACTCAACGTTTTCTTATTAGTCCACTTCTTCTTCTTCTTCTACTTCTTCTTCTTCTTGTTCTTGAACGACACGCCCCCATCTTCCCGAGAAAGCGTATAATAAATTACAGGAGGGTTGGACGTGCACCACTTGTCACAATCCGATGCCATCGCAGGCGGCGCTGACGAAACACCGACCGGTGTGCGAGATGACGGCCATGTACAAACCGCTGATGGCGCAGCTCGCCGGCCTTCAGAACGGTGGCAACGGCGCGAACGGAGGAGCCGGCGGAGCCCTGCCGCCCATCGCCTACTGGCCACACTTTCTACAAATGGCCGTACAGGTGAGGCTATTGTGTGACGTCTTTGGGTCCCTTCTAGACTTTTCACATGCTACTCACATACTCTTGACTCTTTATCCTCTTTAGATTATTGAGAGGATTTGTGAAATTGCTTTCCAATTGCTTCCACTTTGCAACCTGAACCAAGAACTAAACGCAATTCTTGAACGCCTCTTTAAGAGCCAACTAGTTAGACCCTCTAGCATCAGCCAACATTCATTTTTGTACATGCACCTCCACTACACATGGGGCATCATAGGGACGTTCCATGAAATCGTGAACAATACTTGCGTCACACCCGACGTTCTAGAACCGCTAATTAACGTACCCATTCGCTCCTCCGGATCATGTCTCATTTCCTCTCTCTCTCTCTCTCTCCGATTCTATAATCCTCTTAACTCAATATTGTATGAATGATTTGCAGGTGCCTCAATTCCCGTTGGCCCTTCTCGCCGCCTCGGCCGACACCTACAAACTGATGTCGTCGCAGAATTGCGGCTCGCCCGACGGAGATTGTTCGAGGTTAGGGCGGCATGGCAAATGAATTATATATATATATATAAAGGAGCTCTAGTACTTCTTGGTGCATCGGCTCGGGCGGGGGGAATAATGGGAGGGTGTATGAAAATGTATAATTTATCTGTTCCATAGACTTTTTCTTTTTTGCAGCGGCCACGCTTCGGAATCCTCTCCGGTGTCTTCATCGGCGAACGCGGAGCCCGTGGATCTGTCGGCCACGCCGAAGCCCCCGTCCACTTCGGAAATGGAGACGACGTCCAAGTGCGATGACGTGGAGGACCGCGACTCGATCGGCGACTCTGGCAACGACGACGACGACGCCGAGGATTCGGAAGTGCCCGACGAGATCCAGCCGAGATCCACCACCACCTCGCACTCGATCAGCTCGATTCTCGCGTCGACGAACACGGCGTCGCTGAGCGCACATGGTGCAACGGCCATCAACCCGTCGCACCTCATCGCCGCAATGTTCGGCCAGTCGGCTCGGCCTTCTACAACCACGCCAACTCGCTCTTCTCAGCCGCAATGGCCGGCAAGGCCGTGCTTCCATCGAGTTCGTCGCCGACGTCGAGCGGAAGCGCCAAGGATCGGTACACGTGCAAGTTTTGTCAGAAGGTGTTCCCGAGGTCGGCCAACTTGACGAGACACTTGAGGACTCACACTGGAGAGCAGCCCTACAAGGTTGGTTTTTTAGGACATTCTTCGGGATCTCAGGGATCTAGAAAAGTTCCGTCATTTTTTCAGTGCCAATACTGCGAGCGAAGCTTCTCCATCTCGTCGAACCTTCAACGTCACGTGCGAAACATTCACAACAAGGTAAACATCAATATCAAAAAGTCGCTCATCTTCTAACCGCAATGCTTTTCCCCTCTACCCCTCTAATTCGCCCTCCCCCACTCTGTTCTCCTCGTCGTCCCGTTCCCCCATCCCGTCCACGCAATCCTTCTTATCCTTCTTCTTCTCCTCCTCCTCCTCCGCCCACTTCATCTGCATCTTCATCGTCTGCATCGGCACACCGCCCACCACATCAACATCCTCAGCTTCCAGGAGCGTCCGTTTCGGTGCCGAAAGTGTGAGCGCTGCTTCGGTCAGCAGACCAACCTGGACCGTCACCTCAAAAAGCACGAGATGGGATGTGGCGGCGGCGGCGGCGGCGGCGGAGGCGGAGTCGCCGATATTCCACTCCAGTTTGCCGCACTTTTGAACTTGGTCGCCTCCTAATTTCATTTTCATCGATTACTTTTCTCTTTCTTTCTCCCAATCCCCCTAAATCATTGTCCAAAAACGGGCATTTTAGATACCAAAAATGTCTTCTTCTCCTTTTCTAGCTTTTTCTTCAGTTTGTACATACCGTACGCCCTGTGCTCCATTCATTCTCAATTCCTTCTCCCCCCATCGTTTTTGCAATTTTGTGCCAATTGTTTGTGAAAAAGACAGAATAAATAAATTATATGATAAACAAAGAATGTTCAAATTTTCTCCAGCGACTCGAACGGCTTCTGACGGTCCAAGTCCGCGTAGATCCGAAGGACGTCGCCGGCCACGGTTTCCTGGTCGCCGTCGGCGTTGACAGTGCGCCAGAAGGTGTCGTCCCGCAACGTCGGCATCACCGCCGCCACCTTCTGCTGCATCGTGGCCGTCTCGAGACGTTCGGCGCCGAAGCCACCCCGCTGAGCCGCTACTTCCGGCGAGACGGCGAAGAAAAGGACGACGTCGGGCTTCGGAAGGCCCACGTCCGAGCTGCGCACCCATTGCTCCGGGAGTCCTGCAAAATGGGAATTGGTCGTCGATCAAGATAATCTATTGTGGAATTTTGACAAATTTTATCGCAAAACCAAAGATAGACAGGAAGAATGAACTCACTTGACATTTGGAAACCAATGATATCAGAGTGGGGGTTCTTAAAGTTTTTTTGGAATTTTTTTGCAAAATCTGATTCAAACCCGCTGAATCTTTTGAAACTACTGCTCAAATCCAGTTAGGATCCTTATCCAGGCCTATTTTCTAGGCAAAAAAGTTTGCAGACTCATATTTGGCTTTAAAATGAGTTGGCAGGCTCAAGAAAGTCAAAATCGAAGAAAGTCCAAAGCTTTTCAGATCTCCACTTTAATTTTTTCATTTCCGCTCAAAATAAGCCGCTTTTTCTAATGATATCATCAAAAATGAATATGATATCATGTGCCCACTAAAAAGTGTCAAAAAGCGAAATTCCTTCCTTTCTCTTCCAGTTTTTGCCGTAGAAAAGTAACGAAACACGTGTTTGTGGTTGCCTAAGTGCACTGCTGCTCTCAAACATCTCTCTCATTCAAACAAAACGCATCGTCGTCGTCGGAAACGACTTCGTCCCGTTTCCTGTCGCCTTTCATGGCTCCTCGTCCAGTGGGGGGGAGAGCAAACAGCGCCGGAGCAAAAAGCGCCGTGTGCGCGAGTGAGAAGACACTGTGTTGAATGGGATCTCTCTTCTCGGAAGGCACTGTCAATCTATTCTCTCGACAAACAGTCTCCCGTATGTATTTGTGTGTGCTCCCAGAAGAAGAAGGTAATGTGGTTGAGCACATGGACGATAATAACAGTGTCATAAGAAGGCACTTTGGGCGCATCTTGGGTGCAGGGGGCGTTTCGTGACGGTTCTGAAGTTCAGGGGGTCTTTCGTTAGGTTTTTCCGAACTTATCTGACAACCAGAAGTGTTCAAACAGCTCAATTTTGCGAAAGTCAGCATTCCAGAGGTTTCCTGATGCTTTCTGCCACAATTTCGATCACATAGTACTGTATCCACCTCGATTTCCCACACTTTGCACCTAGGCACCTCTTCTATATGCAAAATGCTCATACATCTGTCAATAATGACGCAATGAGAGCATCATTAACCGGTAATGACCTCCTAATCCGCGAGGGGTGCTGGTTTGTGCGCTCTCAACGTATACAGTAGCCAGAGATCTGGTGAGGTGCATGAGAAAAACAAGCGTTCAGGTACCGAAAAGTTCAAACTGTCCATCTTTTTTTATCTTTTAAAGTGGCAAAAACTGTACATTTCCAATCTTCCGATGAATTTCAGAGAATTCCTGATGAGCCAGGGCAATATGATCCGAAAAAGAGCAAACAAAGAGCGACGGCGGGCGGGCGGCTCACGGAAGACGATAATTATTACTGGTCGTCTCCATATATCTTCTACCTGCCTCCTTTGCCCACGCATTCAGAGAGACAGAGACAGCCGGCTTCTTCTGCTTGCAACAAGTTTAATTAGCCGCCATTCTGCGGAGCACGCGCGCACATTTCGGCATCTGAGAAAGAGAGCCGCGCGCGCGACCGGACATCCTAATATCCCGTAAACGTCATCATAATAGGTTCCGCATCTGGCTCCGTTTACGGCTCCGAAACGGGAGGCTGAATGTTGCGAATGTCAATTGTTCCTTTGATGAGCGGGTACGCACGTATTAGGGATTTACCGGAGAAAACCGGGGTGAGCATCCTAATTAAGTGCTGGTTCGTTAGCTGCTCAATATGTTCTAGGTATTGGAAGGAGAATCGTCCTGGTTGCAAAGTGTCCATCTTTTGGCAACTGTAAGCAGTACAGTAAGCACTCGACACGTGCCGCCGGCCACTTGCCTAATGCTAATCACTTTGGCGGCGTCGCAGATTAACCCCTCTCAGTGAGTTTGTTTTCTGTGTCGCGGAAAGCCGACAGGTTATCACCTCCTCGGGGGGAATATTATTGGTTCGACAAACACGGTAAGAACGCGCCAAAATGATCGATGGGTGAGCACCCTGGCGAATCAACATGCCAACACATCCGATGAGAATTCAGGGATAGGGACCTATAGGGGGTGGACACTTTGCAACCGAAACAAGGGAAACTTAATCTAGACGAAGAATTGGACAGTTTGCAACCAATACTGTTCCACGGAATCTTGAGATATCATGTGCTCTAGACGGAATAGACGTTTCGCAACTACAATCCAGACTGAGCTGTACTTTTCTATAGAAACAAGCTCGGAACGTGATTTAGGCAACTGGAAATCATTAGGATTGGCTATTTTGCAACCGAACTACAGTGATCCTTTGGCGTCCACCGGAAGGTAGTGCTCACTCAAAAAGAGCTTCTCCTCTTCTTCTTCTTCTTCTTCTTCTTCTCTTTCCGTTGTCATCTTGTGCTCCCAAATAGTTAGTTTCCCCCCTCCTCGTCCACAAATGTCTCTTTTCTATTGTATAACAACTTCCTGCCCATCATCATCATCTTTATTCTTCTTCTTCGTCTTTTTGTGTGCACACGAGGGATTTTCGAGCTCAGACCCATTGTCGGGCTCAAAACGCATCCGATTTGAACGGTGGCCGACTTCCTGCGCATTCATTAGCTTGTCGCGCACCTGTTACAGCAGGAAGGGCACATCTTCTTCAGTCGAAAGACAATTAGGACGCTAGTGACAATAAGGGTCAACCGTGCGGAAGCGACAGAAATCGGGTTGGCAATGTCAAGGATTTCAACAAGGGATTCACGCCAGTGAAGTTTCAGTGAAAATTGATCAAAATGTGCAGAGTTTACGACTTTGTTCGGTCGAAAGAGAGGTCTCCTTAGAAATATGTTCTGTTTTCTATACTTTTTCCCAAGTGAGACTTTTTTCTCGATTAAATCGTGCAACTACTAGAAATTCAACTGGGAAAACGTTTTTTAGTGAATTCGATGTGTAAAACGACTGTACCTTTGGCGAGCGAATAGGCGACTCCACTGTAGCAGTACCGGTCGCAAACCACGTCGATTCCGTTCGCAATGTGCTCGCGAATCGTTTGATTCTGGAAATGGACTAGGATTCCGGGCGTCGGTGGCCTAGAATCACGGACCTTGAGGAAGCGATCGGCGGAGAACATGAGGTGCAGCGAGTGCTCGTCCAAATCGATCTCCTTCTTCAGATACTGATCGATTAGCTTTCCGATTGGCGATGAGCGGTCTGGAAGAGGTGGCCTAGAAGTTGCCGGTCGGATTTCTGGGCAAAATTTACGTTTCTTGACGATTTTCACGAAAATGAGCGTTTCTCGGCTTTTTAGGCAAAAGTTGATGGTTTGAACTGTTTTTGACGTGGAAATTATGGGACAATCTCCATTACGCAAATTTACCTGGAAAAGCTTGCAAAACGGCGGTTGTCTGGCCATCTCCGGCGCCTTTATTGAGCGTTTCGACCAACCGCCGAGCTTGTGTCGATTTTCCCGATCGATCGAGTCCTATTACAAAAACTTTGTGAACAAATGGAAAAACAATGGAGAAACCTTCGAAAACAATGAGAAGGCCACGTCTTGGATTGGTTGCCATGTTCGGAAGTCTCGAGAGGGAATGTTCGGAAGAGTCTGAGGGGGAAATGAATGAAACAATGAAAAGAAAGAAGGAAAAGAAGATGACAATCTGATCTGCCGATCTAATCGGATTTCTCGATATCGCATCGTCCTGAACGCCTTCTCTAGTCCCCGGGCCGCCCCGCGAAAATCGCTCCATACACTATTTATTCTCTCAAAAAACGGGAAAAGACACAAACACACATAAACACTGAAAATCAATGGAGAAAAGAGAGCTAGAAGCCTTAAATAACGGGGTCAGGAAGAAAAGAAAAGGGTGATCGAGCGAGCGTTCTGTGTTTTTCGTCCTCCTCCGTTGCTTTTTAGATGTTGATGTTGCTGATGTGCCTTCGGAGGGTGAAGAAGAGTAGACGACGCGCCGTCTACCAATGGTACATGGTCTTCTGGAAGTCAAGGTAACGGTGCGACTTGACGAGCCAGTTGAGGAACGAGTATGCGAAGATGAAGCGGAAGATGACCTTGACCTGAAAGAAGCACGAGAAATTTAGCATTTTTCAGAAGTTTTTGCAGCTTACGGTGTTGTTGTAGACCGGTCCCGAGTAGTAGAGGTTGTGGACTCTCCAGATGTTGCGCATGAACTCGTTGTAGAAGGCCGATGGCGTCTTCTCACGGCGAGCGATCCACGCTGGCAGATCTCCGAGCTTCACATCCAAGAACTTGGTGTCGACTGAAAAAATAGCGTTTTTAACTTTATCTTCACGGATTTGCGGAACTTACGCTTTCCATAGTATCTCCAGTGGCAGTACGGTCCGTGGACGTTCTTGTTCCATCTCTTGTCGAACAATCCGACTTCGGTCTTGTTCAACACACTGAAAGATGGAAATTGAGCAATTTTCGGAAGATCCGTGGAATTCCGTTTCGGCAGTTATTTGTCTAATTATTTTCTTCATTTGCCGTTTATTTCGGGGTATTTCTTGAAGCGCACACGTGGAAATTACCACCAACTACCGATCGAAAATCAATACTTTGACAGCGCGCATTGGCGCTCGATCGCTGCTGATAGTTTTTTCGGTAAAAAACCATTTTAAAAAAATTTCAAGTTGAAGAAAGACGAACCGGTTGTAGAAGAACACTCCCACACGCTCAACGGCGCGAGAGATCGGGATGAAGATCGCATCCGGAACCCATGGTCTGAGCTGAGTGTGCGGCGGCGGAGGACGGAACCAGGACATTACCAAAAATAAGTCATTTAGAAAAACGGGGAAAAAAAACGCAGAACAACGCGAAAATCGAGAGAAAAGTTATGTTCATGTTTGAGAATCGGTTTGAGCGATTTTCAACGGAATTTCAGTGACGTTTTGAGTAAATTATGCTGTAAAACGGTTGTAAAATTGATTTTTAAATAGAGCGTCAACAAAAATTGCAGAAAAACCGTTGAAAACACGCCAAAATCGGGCGAAAAGCAGCAAATATGGGAGCAGTTCTCAACGGGCGGCTGCCTTTTTCACTTTTCGTGGCGAGACCCAACGGCCACGGCCGCGCCGCAAAAACTAGTCCCCCGCCGCGTAAATTGGAGTGAATTCAAACGGAATAGCGCGGAAAGCGACAGAAAGCGCATAGTTTTACAGGATTTCACTTGAATGTGAAGAAAAATAACACAAATACAACAATTTTTCAAGTAAATAAATATATTTATTGTTGATTTTTGTATAAAAATCAGAAAAACCCATCTAAAGAAGAGAAAACAAATCGTCACTAGATACAGGGATTACGGTAACCGGGGCAAAGCACAGACATCTACTAGGTTGGTTGTTGGTTTTGCAAATCGTCAAAAGTGAAAGAGTGTGAAACATTATTGCAATGAGAATTTGGGGGGAGGAAAAGAAAGAAGAGTCGAATATTGTTCATTTCACATGAGATAACACCCTCGTTTCTTGCCGTTCTTGCCGTCCGGATCGTCCATAGTGAGCGCCAACTGACGCTTCTTCTCGCGAGCCAAAAGTTGCTGAAAGAGCTCCGTTATGTTTTCGTTGTTCTTCGCCGACGTTTCGATGAAGCCGCAGTTGAGTTGACCCGCGAATTTTTGTCCGGTCGCCGTGCTCACTTCGCGTTTCTGGATGGGGTTATTGTATTCAACGCGTTATATCTCAGCCAGCGATAAAGTTCTCAAAAAGTTGTCAACTACTAAATTGTTCGTCAAGACATTCTGTACATTTTATCAGTTCACAACTTTTTGATACCTCCACCGACAGCTGAGATACAGGTCTTACCGTCTCCTCGTCCTTCTTGTTGCCGACCAACATGATTGGGACCTCTGTGATCGTGTTCCCCTTCACTTCCATCAACATTTTCACAATCGGCCCCAACTCTTCCAGTGATTGCTTACTGAAACCGACACTTTTTTTCGTTTTCACTATTCCCTGTTCCCTACCTCGTCACACTATAAATGAGGATGAACGCGTTGCCCTTGCTGACCGACAACCTCTGCATCGCCGGAAACTGATGACTGCCGGTGGTGTCGGTGATTTGAAGTGTGCACACGTTCTTCACGTTGCAACTGATCACCTGCCGGTACGTGTCCTCGATCGTCGGCACGTAGTTGTCGTTGAACGTGCCTTTCACGAAGCGCTGCGTGATTGAGGACTTGCCGACTCCGCCGGCGCCGAACACCGCGACACGGTAGTCCGAGGTCGACGCCTCGGCTACACGGCTTCCCTGCAAATCACATCTTGTTCTACGCGTTCGTTGGACCTAAAACTAACCGAGCCAGCCGTCGTGGTTGCAGCCGGAGTCTCAATGCTTGATGAAAAAGGCTCCAGAAACGTCTGGGGTGAGATGTCTGTAAAGTGTGAATGAGGGAAGAGTAGAAAAAGAGGAGAAGAAGAATGAAACGGGAATGAGAATGAGTCGGTCGACTCTTTTCTCGAGTCCAATTTCCGTTGCGAGCCACGCCCACTTTCTTCGCTCGCCCAACTTTTAATTATGTTGTTGTTTCTGTGCGTGCTCAAGAACTACAGTACTTTCAAGAGTGTGTGTGTAGTCCAAAGTGAGCATTGTGAGCAAAAAGGGTACACGGAAGAAGAAGAAGAAGAAGAAGAAGTAGAAGAAGAAAAGGGAAAAAGTAAAGGACAAAGTGCTTTTGGATGGGCATGGAAAGGGGGGCGGGGAGGGCGCAAAAAGAGGGAAAAGAGAGTAAAAGAAGCGAGTTTTGAGTTACACGACTTGCCGAAAGAGGGGTCGGGTCTAGAAAACTCGGCGAGAACTAGGCCACACAAAAATAAGGCCAGCGGCGCCTTTGCAATTTTATGCCGCGTTCAAAGTCTCGGAAAAACCGGAAAAACCGCAGATTTTTCTGTCCAAACTCGGCCGAAATTTGCGTGAAAAACGGGGGGTGCGCACAGCTCAACGAATGTAACCGTACCCCGAAAACTACGGTATTTTTTGAAAATTTTCGCAAGAAATTTGAATATTTTCAAAAATATCCTCAAGAAATTAACAAAAAAATTTTTTTTTTTTCGGCCGACTTTGGACAGAAAAACCTGGGGTTTTTCCGGTTTTTCCGAGACTTTGGACGCGGCATAATTTTAATATTGACTTAATTAATTTCTTTTTTAAGGTTAATTTCTTGAGGATATTTTTGAAAATATTCAAATTTCTTGCGCAAATTTTCAAAAAATACCGTAGTTTTAGGGGTACGGTTACATTCGTTCAGCTGTGCGCACCCCCGTTTTTCAAGCAAATTTCGGCCGACTTTGGACAGAAAAACGTGCGGTTTTTACGGTTTTTCCGAGACTTTGGACGCCGCATAAGAAAGAACTCCTCGAGCGGTATCTATGTCCTGGTGCTTGGACTCTTATAGACCAGGCTAGGGTCGGTCCTAGTAGTGGTGTGACCCCAATTGTCTGACCGGAAGATCTTTGAACACTTTAGCCGACTGGTAGGGTGCTCAACTTTGAGGTGGGATCGTGTCCCGGTAATAAGACGCTAGAATAAGAGCAAAACTCTCTTGAGATTGTTATAGCCGCGTGGAACTTTCGCGCACATCGTCACCACGCCCGCAAACCGACAATTTCGAGTGCCAAATCAGAAGACGTAAATGCCACGTCATCGCTGTCCTCTCGGCCAAAGGACATTTTGGGTCGGCGCGATTACTCAAACCTCATCTAAAATTCGTACCAGAAGATCCAATTTCTATACTATATATATGATGCACCCCCCGCTAAAGCTGCTACTGCTGCTGCTCACAAGAAAAATGGGCGCGATTTCGACGAGGAATGAACGAATTCAAAACGGGACGGGCCATAAAATCTGTCCATCTTCTTCTTCTTCTCCTCCTTTTTTTCGCATTTGCCACATGATTTTTCCGTTGTCAACCAAAACTCATTTACGCTCGCTCCTCCTATAGTTACACATTCGGAAAAAAGGAAAAAAGGAAGGGAGGAAGGGGAGCGGAGCAGCAATTATTCGGCCAATTAGAGATTAGTTTCGTTTTGGATCGCACATGTTCTTCTTCTCCTTCTTCTTCTTCTTCTGCTCCTTTTTTGCAGAGGGGAAACGTGGGGAGCGGTAGTTTCAGGTTTTTTGAGGCACAACTCGCGTGTCAAAGTGCTCGTCAAGTGCCAATTAGTGGCGAGAAGCGTAAGCAATCCGAGTGGAGAGTGAGAATGAAGAGCTCTGAGCAGGCAGCCAGCCACTTATATATCCAATGTTCATACAATTCTCGAGGGAGCGCGCATTCCACGAAAACAGGTACACGAATTGTGGCCCACGCACTAGTCGCAATGGGACTGTAGTAGTAGTCGAGGGACCAGGAGCCGAGGAGATCAAGTGCACGCACACACACGTCAGATGAAGACGTACTCGGCAGATATGTGTGTGTATGTCATCTAATTGCTCGTGGCCGAAGTGAGTGAGTGAGCGAGCGAATGAGGATTCGGCGGCGCGACAAAGTGCGTGTGTGTGAAAGTTGAGATTTTTGTTAGGTTTCAGAAGCGGAGGGTTAAATATAGAAGGTGCTAATAATAGTCGGGAGTGTTTGATCCGGAACTTTGGGCTTGGGCCTGAGAGCTGAGACTTTGGGATCATCAAAACTTGACTACTCGCACCATTTGGAGCTTTCTAGAATCTACCCCCCAAAATGCAATCTTTTGAACTCTCAAGGACCCCCCTTCCCCCCTTTTCATTCGGATTTGTTAATCATTTATGTGTGCATTTCTGATGGCCGCATTGAAAAGCGCGCACGCCCACGCACGAATGATCGAAAACATGAGAACTTTGGAATCTTCGAGTCTCTCGACTTTGAGGAGAGGGCCAAAGTTTGGTATCGGGAGCTCACTCTTCTGACTCCTCGACAACGTCATTCGACATTCGCGCAACAATTGTCATCGGCGACGGATAACAATTGAATCGTCGCACATCATCACGATCGTCACGACGACCGTTTTTGGGGAGACGTCTGCGCGTGAATGACGTGAACGTGACGGGAAAAAGGCGTGAAAAATTGCGGGATGGATGGACGCGAAATGGAGAGAATGCGATGAAATCAAATCCATCGGAGCGAGACGCGCACACACACTTTCCTTTTTTCTTCCTTTACTTTTCAAATTTTGCGTGTGCAAATTCGCGCGAAATAGTGCAATTTTGGTGGCGTGGGGGAGGAGCCAAGAAAGTGACGGTGCGAACCGGATTACGGTAGGAACATGTTCTTTGGGCGAATAATCGACGAAGCGGTTAGATGGTTTGTGAACCAAACTTGAGATTTGTCGTCGATCCGACACCGTGGACCCACAATTCAACAGATTTGCAGCACGATCAGACGAGACGAGATGAAAATCACGTCATATGTGTGCGTGTGCGCATTAAATATGTAATGTATCCTCTTGCCTCCGCACTTTTGGACTTTAAAATTACCAGACTTGCCAAATCCCGGGCCGGGCCGGGCCAGCAAATCGTCGGCCCGGCCCGGCCCGGTCGGCCCGGAAGTTAGACCTCAAAAAAAATAGGCAAAAAAAATATGAAGGAAGAGGAAAACGCGTGCGGCAAAATTGCTAAAATGGCGTGCCAGAGTTGCAATCAATCGCTCCGCCCACTCTTGAGAAAATTTTCGTAATTTTTGTGAAAATTTTGCGACTTTAAACAGCAATTTCTATTTTTTAACAGGTTTTTATGCTATAACATTGCCTTTTTAAGTCTATAAAATTATGTTCGTTTCGAAGTTCTAGTTCGCTTTGAATTTTTAGGTGCATCCTCCCGGGCCGACCGGGCCGGGCCGGAAAATTTCCAATTTTGGCCCGGCCCGGCCCGTTGCAAGTCTGAGAATTACGATGCGAACAGTGAACAGGTGAAATGTTGCAAAAGATTTGGAACAGAATTTTTGTAAAGTGTGTGTGTGTGTGTGTGTCGAAAAAAGGGGACGGGCGGTCTCTAGACACACACACATATATACACAAAAACGTGGGTTAGTTTTCGTGCTCTCTCTCTCTCTCTCTCTCTCTTTCTTCTTCTCCGTCCCGCCACACAACGCTTTCGCTCCTCTCGCTTTTCATTCATTTTTCTGGCCAACACAGCAGCCCCCCGTTTTTTTTCCTTCTTCTTCTTCTTCTTCTTCTTCTGACGCCGTCGTCACACAACGGCCGCTCGCCCAACACATGCTCCGTGCGGAGCTCCGAGAGCACGGGGAGGGCTAGTAGAAGAAGAAGAAGAAGAAGAAGAAAGATGGATGCATGCATACTTCCTTCTTTCTTTCCTTTTCTTTCCCCATTTTTTTTGTTAGTGTGCTGCTTGTGCCCCGGGCTCCGCTCGCTCATTTCGGAATGCATAAGAATCGTCGAAAGGATTGGATTGGATTGGATTGGATTGCGTGTCGAAGGTGTGTTGCGTGACTCGAAATCTGGAATCAAAGAGTCCAGTAGTCCCCATTAAAGTGAGTACAAAGATGGATTTCCCAGCCTACCTCACCCGTTTTTTGGAGGGAAAAGGAGGGTGACGGAGGGCAAAATTCAGAAAATTGAAAGAAAAGTTCTCTGTCACTTTGTGATTAACCAATTTGGAATAGGATCATAGTATGTAGAGAGGTTTGGACCTTCAAGTTAGTAAGAAAAAGAATGGGACACATAGATTGACGGGTTTGTCCCAGAGTTAAGCGGAAGAACTCAACGGAAGAACACGCAAGAATTTTTATATCTTTTTTAGAAAATTTTTTCATGGAATGTGATCAACTGACGAAATGTATAGCAAAGTGAACTGTGCTCATAGAAAAATAATTGTAAATTTATCTTTTTATACAAAAAAGTTATTCCTTCCGTCTTCCCCGTTAGCCGCCTTTTTTCATGGAACAACTCGAATAACTTTTTTGTGTGAAAAGCTAAATTTACAATTATTTTTCTATGAGCAGAGTTCACTTTGCCCAGACGGCAAACTTTGTCCTAATATCTTTGCATTTGGTTTTGGATCCAAGTGTTGTAGTGAGAACTCTTAGACCCTATCGGATCTGTAGATTTCTAAACTGGAATCCATTCAATTCGCAAGTCCTAGAGGCTTCAGAAGTGCATGAATGCGGCGTTTCGTACCAAACATTGCTCGTCTAGTGCCAACCCACGACAAAAGTAGGACTCATTCATCACAAGCACAAAACAAACACCAAAAAAAAAGAGGTGCTTCTGGTTTGGACGGCTGCAAGCGGAAAAATATTGGGCGGCTTCTCACTCTGTGCAGTGAGAAGCAGGAAAATGAGAAGCACAACGAGCACAAGCGGTTATGTTCACAAAAGACAAAGATCGAGGAGTCATGGGGTCGGGTATTTGAACTAGGATTCAAGATTCGAAGGTCTGAAGTCTGAAGGCTCCAGCGCTAAGTTTTCAGGATCCAAACCAATCCCAAAAAAGCTTTATTCAGACAAAAAGAGAGCGGGGGAAAGAAACGAAAATATTGGGTGAAAAATCAGAATAAAAAGTGAGAAATACGTGTACACATCCAGCCAGTGGAGCGGTCTTGCAGAGCAGAATCATACGCACAATCGTCTTCAGAGCGACATCTCGAGAAGAACCCACTTGGAGCGGACGACGATCTCCTCGCACAGCTCGTGATCCTTGAAGTACTGTTCCTGCGCGTCGACGCACTGCTCCGACACGTCCGTGTACTTGTTGAGCCGGAGTCCCAACTTTCTCAGCTTCTCCTTCGTGGCCGCCTCGTCGACGTGGTCGGTCGGCTCGAGACTGATCAGCTTCGCGCCGCACTTCATAATGTTCGGCAGAAGACGGATCGTGCGATCGTCCGAGGTGCTCAGAAATTCGGTGGCGACGAACACGTCGAACAGCGCGTCTTTTTGCTGCCAGTAGCGGATCGAGTCGAGCAGAGTGTTGTTCCAGCCGAAACGCACTCGCTGATCCTTCAACGTGTTCGATTTGGTCAGCGAGGTACGGTAGTACTCGGGAATCAGCTCCGTGTTCCAGATGTTCGCGTTGAACGCCTCGGCGAGCGCGTGCGCGTTAATGTGGCAAAACGGCGAGACGGTGCGCGGCGTGTAGAGCAGGAACGTCGAGTTGATCGTGGTGCGGATGGTGTCGAGCGCCGGCGCGAACACCTTCTCGCTCCACACGTACTGCTCCTTGTCCAACTTCGAGTCGCACGACTCCTGACCCTTTTGCCACGTCACTTTCAGCTTCTCGACGAGGTCCTCGAACCGAGTGTCGTGCGCTCCCTGCTCCGCCGGAATCTTCTCGGCGAGCCAGTGCACTTGGCGCCAGTTGTTCGAGCGTTTGATGTAGGTGGGCACCGAGCACGACCACTGCACGTTGAAGCGCCACAATTTGTTGTCCGAGTCACGGTAGCGGATCGCGCGCAGTAGCTGGAAAAAAGAAGAAGAAGAATAATGAGAGAATCCAAGAGCATCCACTCACATTGATATAAAGCGACGAGAAGCGGTAGTGGGTCGGGTTCGCGTTGGCGGTGTCGTGCATCGATTTGGACTTGCTGCGGCCGGTGCTCGGCTCCGAGCAACTCTCGCGCAAGTGCACGACGCCGTGCGGACGGAGCCAGCGCATAATGTTGAAGATGAACTCGACAGTCTCCTCGTCCGACAAGTACATCATCAGCCAGTTGGTGAAGACCAAATCGACGCTCGAAGAGGCCATTTTGAGGCCGACCGCGTCGCCGACCTGATAGTTAATGTTGCCGAGATGGGCGTTGCGCTCCTGATTCTTCTGGATGAACGTGTCGATGAAGTCGGTGGAGAGCACCCAACGCGCCGTCTCCGCCAGCACCGTCGTGAAGCGTCTGGGGAAGAAGGAGGAAGCGTTGAAGTGGTCCCCGATGGTTTCTCATGACCCACTCACCCAATTCCGGCTCCAATATCGACGACATCCTTGTTGTGCAACTGTGGCAGACTGGCGAGAATGTCGGCACGATCCGAAGCCTCGAGCTCCTCGGCCGAATGGTTCAGCATCATCGAGTTGGTGTCGGGCTTGTCGGAATACTTGTCCCAAAAGTTTTTAAAGTTCGCACGACGCTGGTTCACCATGGCTATTCTGAAAATGTTCAAATTAACTATTCGCTCAATGTTTTGGTTTTGCAGGCAAGCGATAGAGACGGACAATATCAACTGATACACGGCGCTTCGTCGTCGTCGCTCTCTCTCTCGATACCCCGCGACAATCAGGCCATTTTCGTAGAGGCGGCGCCGCCCACTCTTTCGAGAAGAATTGCATGTTGAGGAGATGATATAGAGACGTACCAACAAAAAAAAACGAATCCGTGAAGACGGCGATGAACTTTCTCGTTTCTCCAGACAAAATCTAGCAGCGTTAACAGCGTTAACTAGCGCGTTCAAAAAGTGGCGTGATACCGTGTGTACGTGTACCAAAAACACCCACAAAAACCCGGGCAAAACGCTTATCAGACACACACACACACATAAAAGTGCATAATATCGGTTGGCTCGTGTTTTATCACCGCGAAAAATGATTCGGTCAGGCTAGTTAGGCCTATCATTCCGGTCGAGAATCACTGATAAACCAACTGCTAGACTAGAAGATCGTTTGTCAAAGAAAAACGTTTCACAAGAGAAAGAGAGGGCCCTCAGACCATCATATCATCATGAGGTTAGAAGAAGAAGATAGGAGAGAACACGGGGATTCTGCACGGGGAATGCGTCAACCACGGCACCCGAAACATTGTCCATTCAAAGCTACGCATCTCAGTTGGCGATAGAGTTGTTGAAAAGTTGTCAACAGATAAATTGCTTAGAAAGACATTTTACACATTTTAATAGTTGACAACTTTTTGATATCTCTACCGGCAACTGAGATATACCAAGTTATTTGAAATCTCAGTGGTTAGTAGAGGCATCAAAAGGGTTTGGGCGTTCAGTGGCCCAACACTTTCAGAAAAATCGATTTTTTTTTAAATCATGGCCCAGCTTTTCGGGCAAACGCTAGGCCACGCGACTAAGCGTCCGCACACGTGCCAGATGATCATGTGAACAATAAAAGTGCTGACGATCGTCACAAAGATACTCACAAATCGTCTTCAGACTGCGTCGCAGTGACAGTAGCCGGTTTTTGATCGGTCGAAGTTGACGATGATGACATGACTGAAATGAGTTGGAGTTTGACAACAAACTAGCACGCAGCGATGACGTGGCACGCACCGCTATTCACTTTTCACAAAATCTGTTCTCTGAACGGACCAGCCACGTCATCGGGTAGAAGGTAAGAAAGAAGAGAGAGAGAGAGAAAAAAGGACTGCAAAGTGGAAAGAGAAACGAAGATGCGCATCAGTTCGGTGGTAACAGTCGATCGAGAAAAGAAGAAGAGGGAGGAGTCAATATGTCTCTCTCTTTCTCTCTCTTCCTCTCTCTCTTCCTCTCTCTCTCCCGGGCAGGACCGTTTTATCGTCTGATCTTTGAGGAGAAAAGAATAAAGAAGACATGTGTACATTGTTCATTTTGCAAATGCATCCGCCGCCGCCGCTATCTATCTCTATCTCTTTTTTCTTGAAAATGTAAACTATCACATGGAATTGGCGATGAAGGAGGCGATTCACTAGTTCAATGGAAACGGTGAAGAAGAAGAAGAAGAAGAAGAAGAAGAAGAAGAAGAAGGCGAGGAGATTCTTATCGTCGCAGGCTATTTGATAAAGACGCGAATCAAACTGCTTTTTGAACACGTATATTGGCTATTTTTAGAGAGAGAGAGAACCGGGAAGTAACGAGTGGTGCGCTGAAATGTTTTAGAAGCATTTAAAAGCACACACTGATTTTCTGCTCCTTTGACCGTATTTGAGTGCATTCTCTAGGTGTGCAGTGACGCAAATTTGAGCGCTCTGCGTTGGTGATCGTTCTTTGATCCTTCAACACACGTCTACTGCCTTGACGCCTTTTTTTTGGGGGGTTGGCCTAACTTTCTCAAAGGTAAAAGCTAGGCCGCCAGTCGGAGAACACGAACATTTGATTCGATCCATTTTTGCAAAGGCTTGTGTATCCAGTTCAGGACACGTGGCTTAAGATCAGATATTTCACGTTCACAACAGAATTCACATTTTGTCTCAATATAAAAGTCAATAATTTATTCTCGAATTGAGCCAAACATAATCAAATAGGTAGCCAAAATAATCACATACAGGTCACAAAAACCGGAAAACCGACTCGGCACCATTCTTCAGAAATTTGACCCGATTCGGCCAGGCGTAGACGGTCATCGAGCGAGACTTGTTCTCGAAAGGAAAGGTTATAGCCTCGCGGTCCGTCGGATCGGATGTGCCGGGCGATCTGAACAGCGTCGTGATCTCCAATTGCGTCATCAGTGGCCAGTAGAACACGAATTCGAGGAAGTTGACCGAGTTGAGCAAGTGCTGAAGGGGTTCGAATGTTTCTAGGCGTCTAGAAACGAAAACTCACCGCAACAATCACACGGATCCGCAAGTAATTGATCGATTTCGGTCCGAATTCGCCGAGCACCCGCGGAAGCTCCCAAATCGCCTCCATCGGCCAATCGACGTTGTTCAAGTAGATCAACTTTTCGAGAAAGACCCATTGCGGCGATTTGAACGCGTTTTTCATCCGATAGGCCGGTATTGCGGTGTTGACTTGCAACGTTTTCAGTGTTCTCTCCTTGCACCGCGCGAGAATGGTCGAGATCAACTCGTGGCGGGGCCGGCACAAGTAGACAATCTCCTTGACGTTTAGAGATCTCTCGGCGATCATTGTGAAGATTTCGATGAGTGTGCTCATCGTAGCCCCTTCGGTGCCGAGACGCTCTTGCGGACAACACGACAAGTTCACGGTGAGCCGATCGATGGTCACGTCTCGACTCGCGAATATGCCTTGAAGCTCGATGAAGAGGCTCTCCGAACACGTTTTGTCGTTGTCCTCTTCGCTTCCCTCGCCCAAATAGTTGGCCAAAACGATTCTTTTAAAGTGTGTGAACTGGACGTAGACGGGCTGCGAGTGTCGAGTCACACAAAGTTCGACGCAATCCGCGAGGTGCGTGATCGAGATGCTCTTGTACTTGGAGCTGGTGGCGTCGACGATAAATTGAAGGCGCCGGGAACATTGACGCAGGTTGCGTCTGAAAAAAAGGCTTCACAGTGATTGGGTCGGATCATCTGATCTGAAGTTGGACGAAAAAGTCTGGGATTTAGGCTTTGACTGACTATATCTCGGGACCGGATGATCCGATTCTTCTGAAATTCGGTCCCAAGGTCCCCGATCACAATGCTACCAGGACTAGGCATGTACTCAAACAGTCGATAACAACGTACCTGGATTCATAGTCCAATTGACGAATGATAAACTCTAGTCGATCTCCGCGAAGATTCTGAAGTCTAAATGGAGTCGGAGCCATTTTCCGAGCAGTTTAAAAAAGAAGAAGAATGGATAGAAGAACAGAATGAGAGCGAGACGAGTGCCGTATTGATTTTGGAGATCGAAACGACAATAGCGCGCACAAAGTGGAATGTGCGGTAGAGCGCACTTGCAACAGACAACTTTTTATCGTGGCAAGTCTACAAGTCGTGATGAAAACCGGCCAAAGTGTTCGGTTTCTCAAAGAAAAGTTAAACTTCTACAGTCGGTAATGACTAGATTGCAGCGCCCTGCTTTATGGACCCAGGAACTGTGTGGTGAGAGTCAGATAATCCGATTAGAGTTTCTAGACTCTCAGGCTTACTTCCGAAGGTTATTTAGAAAAGAAACGTCCACTAATTCTTCTTTTCTAATCAGTGGGCGTGGCCACTGCACCGTATTTTTGTACTTTTCCATCAGATTCCTTTGTCAGCTTTCTTATCACTAATCTCCGCCGGTAATCATCGACCGCAGGTGTGGGAATTTCAGCTTCAAGCGGATTTGCGGCAAATTTCAAAGCAACCGACTAAATTACTGACGGATATTAGTGATAAAGACGCCGACAAAGGACTCTGATGGGAAAGTACGATTGGGATTTCGACATGGCACCGTGCCAAAAGGATTCGGTTGTTTTGTTTCTCGACAGATTCGTACATATCTGCTATAACAAAGGGACTATAAGAGAGAGGCAAACTTGCAAAATGTGCAAACATCGTCGCCTCGATCCTTCGATCGGAAGAATCAATGCGCACCCGCCCGCCCATTTGCACAATTTTCGGCAAGGGTATATAACGACGGTCGCGACCCATTATTCATCATTCATTTGTTCTTGACCTCTAATTGTCTACTCCAGTTACCACTTTTGCAAAAATGTCGATTCAATCGCTCCACCAACTCGCCTCAAAGAAAATGGCCGAGTACATTGTCGATGGTAAGTCTTTTTCCTTTTCTTTTCCTATTATAATTCAACTTTTTCAGAGTCCCTCGACGTATCCTCAATTGTTTTCCCTCGACAAGAGAGCAATGCCATTTTCGAGCATATTATCAAGATGAAGAAGCCGGAACGTTCTCTAAATGAGGATTTGCTTGAACAAATGACTGGATTCAATACGAGCCGTGCCAATTTCAAGGGCGTCGAGATGACGTTGACAGACGTGGCTTTCATTGGCGAGCAGAATCTTGAGAGCTTTACACTCGGAGACACGATTCTTCTCATGGACGGATATCATGTTGAGAATGGTGAGTGATGACGAGCGTTCGGGGGAGTTCTAGTGACTGCGACAAGTGCTCCGAGAAAACTAATTCAATGTGAATCTAATTTCAGACGACATCAGCCTGAACATTGATTTGCTGATCAGGGACATGTTCAACGATTCGACCCGCCAATCCCTCCGGCACCTGGACATTAGCGGATGGGGAAATTTCAATGGAGACTGGCTCAGAGCCATTGGATCCATGCTCCCGAACGTTTCGAGCTTGAATGTAGCTGGAAGACCGGTCAACATTCGGGTTCTTGTTCAGAGCTTTCCGGGGCTCCAATACTTAAATGTCTCGAATTGTCAACTTGACAGTTTGGATGGCATCTCTGGACTGCAAGGGCTCAGAGTCTTGATCATGGAGAATGCGTACAAGATTCGGGACATGACGGAGCTGTTCGAGCTGAGAGAACTACGAGTTTTGAACATGGCATGGTGTGTTGAAGTTTAAAAAGAAACATAATTGTTCATCCACTTGTTTTCAGCCCATCCCAATTCAATGCCGACGGTTCGAACGATGTCGCTGCCATTTTCTGTGAGTGCCTGGAGGATGGATCCCGACTGCCCGAGCTTCGTTACCTGGACCTCTCGAAGACGACGCTGAATGGACGGGATGTGAAGAGAGTCCTAAAGTCCATCCCGACGATCCAAAATTTGACTCTAATTGGAACGAACATCGCTCTCCGAGATTGCGTCGGCCACAACACGCACACTCTGGTCTCAACAACCAAAGCCCTGGAGCACTATTTCTCAGAGGACAGTGCCCTGATGATTGAAACCGTTCTGCAGGAGAGTTGTGTGCTCACCGACGATTTTCACATCGATGCGGCGAGCGGCTCGATCTCGTTCGAACACATGCTGCAGTTCGTGGATCTCTTGCACAAGATCCTTCTCCGATACGGAGACGAGAATGTGATTCATGGAAAGGTGGTTGAGAATGTGTGGGCGATTACGCCTGCCATATTCGGCCGCGTCATGGCTGAATCGGACCGCGATCGTATGAGCTTCAAGATTATTGTGTTGATGAACAGGCTTCTGGACGTTTATGGAGCGTACAATCGCTCCATTCTCAACTGCACACGACTCGCAACCTCATTTTTATTCTCGGCGATCCGCGACCAAATAATAATGAGCACGCCGGGCGTCAACGTGCAAAAGCTCGTCCTGTTGACGTTCGAATACTTGGAGAGGCAGAAGAACGACAGCGAGGTGGTCGGCCTCTTTTTCCAAATCCTCACGGAAGTTGAAGTTGCCGACACCGTGAAGACTATCGTCTGTGGCTTTGATGAAGAGCAGCGAATCAATGCACAGCTTCTTCTGCTGAGCCTGATGGAAGTTATGATGGCGAACTTGACGACATGCTTCGGAAATGGTCAAGGAGAAGCCTTCGACAACTGTGCCATGTTGACTCAAATGCTCACTTGGGTTTGCTGATGCCTTAAAACGAATAATTGTTGTTGTGTTTTTGTTCCAAACTTTTGAAATTGCATTATGATAATAAAGATAATAAAGAAGTTACTATTGAACGTCCATTTTTGTTATTTGAAATCTTTTTCTCGCTCATTCATGGCTGCGAGTCCAATAATTCTCTTCGCTAGCGCTGTCCGTCCAAACGCTCTTCCAATTGTCGTATAACAAAGCTGCCGAGTACATTATCGATGGTAAATTCTGATTTTTCTCACTCTCAATCAACACAATGAGTTCTACCAGTCAGATATTCTTGCAATTTTGCGGTAAGTCAAAACACATTTTGTTCATTAATTTTTTGCAGTCTTGCCACGACCGATCGCATGGACGATGACTTCTGGAGTGCTGAAAAACGAGGCGCCGCTACCGAAAGAGCTTTCCTGGCGGCCACGATTCTCTCCAAACGTCGTCAGCATCCGGAGAGATTCCCGGGGAATTCTGGATTCCAAATCACCCGCCTTCTGCTGATCTTCTACGCTGATTTCCCCGCAATCACGTTGATTAGAATCGGGCGAATTGTGATGGATTCGAAATTGTATTGATTGTACTGATAATATAGTTGTCCGATAATCCTCTCAACAAGCATTTCTAGAACCCCTCTAGTTTCATGAGTCGAAGGTGATTTTGCGGATGAGTTCAGAGAAAGAGAGAGAGGGAGTTGACTTCTTGCATAGCAATAACGTCTATTTCGTCTAAATGACTATTTCTGCCTTTATATACCCCTGTGGGCGTGGCCATTCTAATCAGTGGGCGTGGCTACTGCACCTGGCTTTTCCTTCTTCCCACGGTGCCACGACGTTTCGAAATCCCAATCGTACTTTCCCATCAGAGTCCTTTGTCAGCTTTCTTATCACTAATCTCCCCCGGTAATCAAGACCGCAGGCGTGGGAATTTCAGCTTCAAGCGGATTTGCGGCAAATTTCAAAGCAACCGACTTAATTACAGACGGAGATTAGTGATAAGGCCGCCGATAAAGGACTCCGATGGGAAAGTACGATTGGGTAGCTTTTTCTCGGTCATTACACCCAACATACTATTTACAGCCAGGAAAACCGCAAGCGGACTGTCTCGTCATCCAGTACGCGTCTGTGGAGCAAGACTGTCGCGATCCGAAAGCGCCGTTTGCGGGCGGAAATTGTTGCGAAGCCCCAGAACTTCGTACGACTCGGTACGAACAGATCGGCTTCGCATCTTCTTTCATTCCGTTGCCACCGGAGAATCCTCGTTCTCCCCCGGCCGATGAACCGAGCGCTCAATAAATAGTCAATTTATCTTCTCTAAATCTCCCTTTATTTATGTCTTTCCCTTCTCTTTCACTTTAATTCCATAATTTTGTCTTCAATTATCACTTTCCTCGGCGAATCCGCCCTCCAAATAATCGATACAGCTGATAGTGCGTGTTGTGCGTGTTCTCTACGCTCCTAAACGCGCCTCGCCCGGCGACATTCGTCCGCGCGCGCGGCTATCGTGGCGAGACCCGCGACCCAACTCCTACTATTTTTTCGATAATTAATTCACTAACAACGATTTTTTCCAGCTAATTGCTACCCTTTTTTCCGTCAAAAATTGACGTTTTCTACCTCACATTTTTTCCGGTTCTGTTCCGCTTAACCATCCGCCTTTTTGTGACTCCTTTTGCCGCGTTTTGAGGCCAGTTTACGGCTCAAAAGTCTCTCTGTGCCCAGGCCCACGATCTCCACGGTCGTGACGCCACGGGTCGTCACTACGGGCGATGTCAGCTGTGAACAAACCGTCTATTCATTTTCTTTGAGATTTCTTCCTTGTTCCCGACAGGTTTCCTCACCCCCGTTCGTCGACCACGTGTCGGCCACGGCCCAGAGAATTTTTGCCCTACGGGGCACGGTCTCCAGAGCTTACAATGGGCGCAAGTTCGCCTCGCCCAATAGAGCGATACATTGGCGCGAAATTCAAATTTTAACAGCAAAGTTAGTGTTTTTTGCCAGATTAGCCACGAAAAACCTATAATTTCTCATTTGTCTATCGATAGACCGATTTTAAAGACTATTACGATTTTTTAAGCGCAAGAGCGTTAAATTTGGTCAAGTCGCAAAGCACATTTATCCGTTTGAAGGTTTTTGGCTAAAACTGCGTGAATTTCAGCTGCTTTTTGGTAGTTTTCGCGGTTCGAGCGCTCAAAATGCTTGTATTTACGTGATTTATCATTCTCAATACCAATTCTGTCTGAAAACGGTCAAGAAAGCGCAAAATGAGAAGTGCGGTTTTTAGGGCATTTAATTCCGAGGGTACAACAATTTTGGGGCACAACAGGGTACAACTTATTTTGGGGTACAACTTTTTTATTTTGGGGTACAACTTCCCCGATTTTAGGGAATAATTTCTGTCAAGTATTTTAGGGTACAATAATTTTAGGGTACAACACTTTTAGGGCACAACTAGCACATAATTTCAGGGCACAACTTCTTACAATTTTGGGGCACAACAACATGATTTTAGGGTACAACACTTTTTTTTCTCATTTTCATTTTCTCCCCCCGTCACCCGTACCTCCTATCCTCCCTTGACCTACCCCATGACTCTTTCTTACATACCCATCTTGCCCTTTGGAACCGAGTGGCCAAGTTGTTTCCCGAAAGACTGTCCTCTGAGGCCTTCGCGGCGCGCATCGAGAAGATCCCCTCTAGCTTTTTGTATTCTAACTGACCTCTGGCTACTGCCGGCCAATGGTCATGTCAAGCCATTGTTCCTTCCCCCACCCACATTCCCCCTCTTTTTTCTCTTCTTTCTTTTTTGCTGTAATTTTATTCCTAGGTGGCTGAAGAGAATAAATGTGTTATTATTAACTCGTGCCTTTTTGTAATCTACCTCTCCCTCGATGGAAATCCGGAATACGAAATTATGAAGGCGAAGAACGAGAAGAAACTGAGTGGTAGCCATCTGAAGTGTTCCAATCGTTTTATCATGCATGTTTAGATGATGGAAAAAGCCATATTCACGATGCGCTGGATGGGAGAACGGTTAAGGACGCGTTCCGATTTTTACAGTCAAAATCGATCAACGTTTCTCAATTGCAGGCAAATAATATTCAAACAATGCGTTAAAAAATTGGCTACTTTGTCAGGTCCGGAATCAGTCAAAGTACCAGGAGAAATGCGTTAAAACAAAACGAGGGAGAGCTAATGTGACTACGCCTGAGTCGCTGGCAGAAATGTCCGGTATTTCTGGCATAACAACATTTTCTTCAGGAAAATGTCGCTTTAAAAAGCATGATGATCCGCAACCCCATTGCAGGCAAGAATTTTGTTTTAACATACATAGACGAAGAGCTATTTAATGTTTACATTCGCAATCTTCCCCTTAAAAAACCGTGCAAGAGTATAAAGAGGAAATCGAAGGATGTGAGGCTTGGAATGAGAAAGATCTGGATTCGTTTTGCGGTGAGGTGTTCAGTCTGTTCTAGTGGTATGCTTACTTTTACAATAAAAGGTTTTGAATAACCTCACGATTTGGTGAAAACAAAATGTGTGAACTGCCGCAGAAAGCACGAGTCGAAAGACTGGTTCTCTTACAAGAGATGAGTCTTTGAAATAAAAAAATCAGCGAAATATTGATATAAAAAGAATATGGGTTTGTAGTAAAATGCAAGAAAATACAAAAAAAAATGAGAAAAAAAAGTGTTGTACCCTAAAATCATGTAGTTGTGCCCCAATATTGTAAGAAGTTGTGCCCTGAAATTATGTGCTAGTTGTGCCCTAAAAGTGTTGTACCCTAAAATTATTGTACCCTAAAATACTTGACAGAAATTATTCCCTAAAATCGGGGAAGTTGTACCCCAAAATTAAAAAAGTTTTACCCCAAAATAAGTTGTACCCTGTTGTGCCCCAAAATTGTTGTACCCTCGGAATTAAATGCCGGTTTTTAGGCGGCGATCGGCGGCGAAGGCGAAAAAGCGAAAAATGCGCCAAAACGTCATTAATTCTGAGAATTCGTGTATTTTCATGTCGAACGATCATTTTTCATCGCCTTTGACCACGAAAATCAGAGAAAACCTGCTCAATTCATGAAAACGCCATTTGGCCGAGGCCACGCCCATATTGTCAGCTCTGGAGACCGTGCGGGGCCTTATGCCTCTTATACTTTCGACTTAGATAAATTAGAATTCTTTATTAACTTGTGTTATGTCTCGCCACGCTCATCCTATACAATTTTACTCGTTTTCTTTCCCTCTTCCGCAATCAGTCCATCAGACCCAAAACTATCGGAGTCTTTCGGGGTCCTCGTTCCGACCTGTTAAACCGGAGGCTCAACAGAAATCCGGTCGGCAGCCGAGTGATATCATCGGTCAAGAGATTATCGAACACAAATTGAGATCCTACAAGTAACGCCATTAATAAATGTTCGCTTCTAACTGCTCACAAATGATTAGGGCCTAACATTTTAAGCGAAACTAGAGCATTGGAGTCCGCGCAGATTGACGCCGAAATGTTCTGGAGAAAAGTTTTCGTTGATAAATTGTTGTTCAGTCATCCGGGGAACATGGATTTTCAGTGGTTTTCTAAACTTAAAGTGATCAGAAGACTACAATACACGAAACTGCCAGTCTTTTGTTTCTCGACAGATTCGTACATATCTGCTATAACAAAGGGACCATAAGAGAGAGGCAAACTTGCAAAATGTGCAAACATCGTCGCCTCGATCCTTCGATCGGAAGAATCAATACACACCCGCCCGCCCATTTGCACAATTTTCTGCAATTATCTTCTCCTCGTCGGGTATATAACGACGGTCGGGACCCATTATTCATCATTCATTTGTTGTTGACCTCTAATTGTCTACTCCAGTTACCACTTTTGCAAAAATGTCGATTCAATCGCTCCACCAACTCGCCTCAAAGAAAATGGATGAGTACATTGTCGATGGTAAGTCTTTTTCCATTTCTTTTCCTATCATAATTCAACTTTTTCAGAGTCCCTCGACGTATCCTCAATTGTTTTCCCTCGAAAAGAGAGCAATGCCATTTTCGAGCATATTATCAAGATGAAGAAGCCGGAACGTTCTCTAAATGAGGATTTGCTTGAACAAATGACTGGATTCAATACGAGCCGTGCCAATTTCAAGGGCGTCGAGATGACGTTGACAGACGTGGCTTTCATTGGCGAGCAGGATCTTGAGAGCTTTACACTCGGAGACACGATTCTTCTCATGGACGGATATCATGTTGAGAATGGTGAGTGATGACGAGCGTTCGGGCGAGTTCTAGTGACTGCGACAAGTGCTCCGAGAAAACTAATTCAATGTGAATCTAATTTCAGACGACACCATCCTGAACATTGATTTGCTGACCAGGGACATGTTCAACGATTCGACCCGCCAATCCCTCCGGCACCTGGACATTAGCGGATGGGGAAATTTCAATGGAGACTGGCTCAGAGCCATTGGATCCATGCTCCCGAACCTTGTGAGCCTGAATGTAGCTGGAAGACCGGTCAACATTCAGACTCTTGTTGAGAGCTTTCCGGGGCTCCAATACTTGAATGTCTCGAATTGTCAACTTGACAGTTTGGATGGCATCTCTGGACTGCAAGGGCTCCGAGTCTTGATCATGGAGAATGCGTACAAGATTCGGGACATGACGGAGCTGTTCGAGTTGAGAGAACTACGAGTTTTGAACATGGCATGGTGAGTTGACGTTTAAAAAGAAACATAATTGTTCATTCATCTATTTTCAGCCCATCCCAATTCAATGCCGATGGTTCTAACGATATCGCTGCCATATTCTGTCAGTTCCTGGAGGATGGATCCCGACTGCCCGAGCTTCGTTACCTGGACCTCTCGAAGACGACGCTGAATGCAAGAGATGTGAAGAGAGTCCTAAAGTTCATCCCGACGATCCAAAATTTGACTCTAATTGGAACGAACATCGCTCTCCGAGATTGCGTCGGCCACAACACGCACACTCTGGTCTCAACAACCAAAGCCCTGGAGCACTATTTCTCAGAGGACAGTGCCCTGATGATTGAAACCGTTCTGCAGGAGAGTTGTGTGCTCACCGACGATTTTCACATCGATGCGGCGAGCGGCTCGATCTCATTCGAACACATGCTGCAGTTCGTGGATCTCTTGCACAAGATCCTTCTCCGATACGGAGACGAGAATGTGATTCATGGAAAGGTGGTTGAGAATGTGTGGGCGATTACGCCTGCAATATTCGGCCGCGTCATGGCTGAATCGGACCGCGATCGTATGAGCTTCAAGATTGTCGTGCTGATGAACAGGCTTCTGGACGTTTATGGAGCGTACAATCGCTCCATTCTCAACTGCACACGACTCGCAACCTCATTTTTGTTCTCGGCGATCCGCGACCAAATAATAATGAGCACGCCGGGCGTTAACGTGCAAAAGCTCGTCCTGTTGACGTTCGAATACGTGGAGAGGCAGAAGAACGACAGCGAGGTGGTCGGCCTCTTTTTCCAAATCCTCACGGAAGTTGAAGTTGCCGACACCGTGAAGACTATCGTCTGTGGCTTTGATGAAGAGCAGCGAATCAATGCTCAGCTTCTTCTGCTCAGCCTGATGGAAGTTATGATGGCAAACTTGACGACATGCTTCGGAAATGGTCAAGGAGAAGCCTTCGACAACTGTGCCATGTTGACTCGAATGCTCACTTGGGTTTGCTGATGCCTTAATTCGAATAATTGTTGTTGTGTTTTTGTTCCAAACTTTTTAAATTGCATTATGAATAAGGATAATAAAGAAGTTACTATAACACGTCATTTTTGATATTTGAAGTCTTCCTTTTCTCGCTCATTCATGGCTGCGAGTCCAATAATTCTCTTCTCTAGCGATGTCCGTCCAAACGCTCTTCCAATTGTCGTCTGCAGAGTACATTCTCGATGGTCAATTCCGATTTTTCTCACTCAAGACCACAATGAGTTCTACCAGTCAGATATACTTGCAATTTTGCGGTAAGTCAAATAAAAAACACATTTTGTTCATTAATTTTTTCCAGTTTTGCCACGACCGATCGCATGGACGATGACTTCTGGAGTGCTGAAAAACGAGGCGCCGCTACCGAAAGAGCTTTCCTGGCGGCCACGATTCTCTCCAAACTTCGTCAGCATCCGGAGAGATTCCCGGGGAATTCTGGATTCCAAGTCACCCGCCTTCTGCTGATCTTCTACGCTGATTTCCCCGCAAATCACGTTGATTAGAATCGGGCGAATTGTGATGGATTCGGAATGTTCTAATTGCACCTATATACATGCCATTCTAATCAGTGGGCGTGGCTACTGCACCTGGCTTTTCCTTCTTCCCACGGTGCCACGACGTTTCGAAATCCCAATCGTACTTTTCCATCAGAGTCCTTTGTCAGCTTTCTTATCACTAATCTCCGCCGGTAATTAAGCCGGAGGTGTGGGAATTTCAGCTTCAAGCGGATTTGCGGCAAATTTCAAAGCAACCGACTTAATTTCCGTTGGAGATTAGTGATAAAGACACCGATAAATTACTCTGATGGGAAAGTACGATTGGGACTTCAACCCGTCATGGCACCATGCCAAGAGGATTCGGAAAAAAAATGATGATAAAGAATTGAAGGATTTCCGATTTCGGATGCAAACACTCAACACATTCCGATCGGTTTGAAGTTTGGACTCATAGACCCGATTGGGGTGCTGAAGAAGTTGCAGAAGGACGGCGTCGTCACGAATCCCTACTTTGAGACTTTCAAATGGATCGGACCCAAGGAAGCCGCTAATTTGTAGATAGATCTGGAATTTACATGAAAACTTATATTAGTTTATCGGATCCAAATAAATAACATATCAACAAATCACATAGATATCATCATCACCACTTTGTCAGCGATCGTTTCAACTGGCGATCCATCTCGTACACGTCGGATTCGGCCGTCGAAATGTGCGGAATCGCACTGACCAACGGTTCAAACGCGTTGAAACACAGGACGAACGGGCCGGCACCACCCGCCACCGCCGACTTCGAACCGTACTTGTCGAGAAAGTCGTCGAGCAGCAGACACTCTTGCAGAAATGCTCGGCCGAGCACCGCGCCGTCCGCAAAGTCCAGCGAGCTCACTTTTGACACGTCTGCAATGCATTAGTTTGAACTTTCTTTGGGAAAAAGGTTTTATTCTCTCAATTTTCTCGAGCAACCTATAGAGATACTTCGGCAAAAAATTTTAAAAAGTACCTCTAACATATTTTTTGGCAAACTCTCGAATGGCCGTCTCATCGGTGACGCCCGCTTTCGCAGTGATAAAGAGTGGTCCCTTGAGGTTGAGATCGGTGGGAAAACGGACGAATCGGATGAGTCCGTGCGCGAGAAACGTGGCGGTCGGTTGCGGGAGCGAGAGCACGAATCCCTTCTCCTCGGTTATTTGAGCCGCCATCTCGTCGCTCACAATCATCAGACTGTCCGCGTCGATTATGTCGCCGTCCGAGCACTCTGCGTGCGCGTGATCGCCCTCTTCCGTCAGGTACTGCAATGTTGAATTGGACATTTCATACTTGAAGCGAATTTGGCGTTTTCAAAGTTTTTAACAATTTTGACGAATTGCATGGTAATTTTCTGTGTTTGCCCAAAAAAAGACTGGAAGAAATGTTGGTTTGAAGACCGCGGTGTCGTATGCAAAAAAACGGGTTTTAAGGGCTGGACATAGGTGGGGGATGTTTGAAAAACGCCAACACATTTTTCCTATCTGCCGATCGGATTGAAATTTCGGAACCAGCGGAAAAGGATAACAACAATTTTCAAAAAATGCTCATCCATTTACCCTGGGCACGAATCCGATGGGATTCCACCTGGCATCTGTGGAACTGTTGTGCAGGGCCTCCTGGATGCGGGTCTTCTCGTCGACCCTCTGCATAATTCGCTGGATGACCGGATCGTGCTGATCCTCCATTCCGGCGCCTCCGCTCTTCACCTGCTGCACAATTCCGCCGTCCAAATCCAAATTGACCAAGAACTTTTTGCGCTCTTTCTCGCGCAACGCTCGCAGTTCTTCGCGACGGACCTTCAGTGCTTCGCGGTCCTCGGCCGACAGGAACGGACTGTTCTCGATCGTACTGTAGTCGCTTTGCAGATCGTTCACTTTTGTGCGGCGTTCTCTAGGAATGAAGAAAATTTAACGTGGAGAGTAAAAACGCCGAAACACATGCTATCGTTCTGATGTTTTTACTGAAATTTTTATACCTAACCCTTAAATTTTGCAGTTTACTTTTTCTATACAACCACCCCCTAAAGTAGTGTTGCTCTTGGAAGTTGAGGCCAACATTTGCATCTCAAGAGTTGGTCTCTCCCGGCCCAAAATCCCGCGCTTCCTTACGTGTCGGCGTCGGCTTCCAGCAATTTGTTGCGAAACTCGGTGGCCGATTGATACGCAGCGGAAATCTGTTTCAAGCCGCCGGGTCCTTCGGCTCGTCCGGCCGTCAATTCGGCCAAAAGTTCGCGGCTTTTATTCGTGCCCCGATTGAGAATCTCGCGCTCTTCTCGGGTGCAGACGAGGGTTCCGCAGGTGAAACACGGCCCGCTTCCCTCTTGTTCGCACACGATTCGGCCGCATCCGAGGCAGTTCAGCACCAGTTTGTGGATTCTCGCCTGGCACAGACACTCGTGACGGCCTGCAAAGTTCGCTTTATTGCACAATCGAGCGGTTTTTATGCCAGTCAAGATTTGTTCAAAATTTATCGAAAAGATCACAAAACAGCTGGAGAAACGGCCTAAAAAGCGGACACCACAGCGATTAGTCGCGTTTACCTTTCCGAAGCGAATCCGCAAAAGTGATCTCATTTTTGGCGGCCAAAACGTTCTTACGCCCGCCGACTCCGCCTCTTCCCGATTGTTGCTGCTGCTTCTTACCCATGACTGAAATTTTGAAATATAGCGGGAAAATCGATATTATACCGGCATTTTCAGCGAATATCGCATTTTTGAACAAATAAAAACACGAAAAAAAGGTAGAAGACTGTATTTACACTAACAAAGAAACAACGAAGCTAAATCAAACATTTCTTAGAAAACGTTCCGTATCAAATATTATTGGCGGCTCGAATTTTTCTCGCCTGCTCGAACGCCATTTGCTCGCGGAGAAAGTTCTCGTACTCTTCCTTCCGCTTGTTCGCCAGCAATTGTTCCTGAAAAAATGAAACTTTGCATTTTCCACAGCATTTTGTGTCAGGTCTGGCGTATTCTCCGCAGACACGCTCACGTCGAAAATGAACATTTTTACCTTAAACTCTGCCATCGCTTTGTCCCCATCGCTACTATCCGGAATTCTGTAGCCTTTCATCTGAAAAAATCGGAAAATGTTCAAAGTTTTAGGGAGCAACCTTACAAAATTTTTGAAAATGGTCGGCTGATTGAAGAGCCAAAAGGCGCCGACGGGGAAGGTGATGAGCATCAGAAATCGGCCCGTTTCCAACTTCCATCCGCCCATTTCTTACACTAAACTGCGCCATATTTCGCAATCTCATGCAATGTTCAAAGAAAAACAGAAATAGATATTTGAAAGAGATTCCAACTTCTAAACATTTTCACTAGAACATTTCTAGGTATACAGCAACAAGTTCATAGAGTTACATAAAAACGTGGAAAAACAATAAAATATTATATAATCGGAGTTATTATATAAACCCGAACAGGGCAATTGATTAGAACAGAGATTCGGCAGATCATGGGCTAATTCAAGGTGTCAACCAGCGAATTAGCCCATTTGACTGAGAAACAAAGAGAATATCAATAAAACAATGCAAATTTAGGTCCTGACACGACGGGCGGTCTCGTCGTTCGTCACGATCTGTTGTTTGAGTGCGGCCAGCGTCGGTCTTCCGTCGAACGCCTCCGGATGATTCAGAATTTTGTCGGGACCGTACGGCGTACGAACTGAAATTGAAAAATTAGGTGAAACTATGAGAATTTTCTGCAAAAACTCACTGCAAGGCTTCCAGCTCCACACACTCGACAACACTTGCTTTCCGCCGTTCCGCATGAACTCGAGCTGCGCGTTCTTCTCCTTGCTCGTCAAAATTACCGTATCCCAGAACGAGGCGTACACATTCTTGCCCTCCCATTGCTCTTCGAACAGTGAGCCGCACTTGTGATGCGGAGAGTGCGCGTACTGGCGCTGCTGACTTTTCGACCAGCCCAATTGCCATTCGGCTGCAAAATACGAGGCATTTTGAGTTTTTGGGCAAATCGGATTGGTTTAGAGCTAAAAATCATAGGTGTTTTGAATCAGTTTCCACTCATTTGAACCCACTAGGATACCGGAACATTTTTTTAATTTTTTAAAATCTTTTTCCACAGGGGGGGCCAGGTCGGAAAAATGTTTTGGCGTTAAATAGTACATTCTTCGGGTCTAGATATCATTCGAATCACTGCTTTCGACTCACCCTTGAGCACCCGTGCAAATCGGAGTCCGTGGCATTTGAAAGTAAAGTCGCCCTCTTTGAAAAGGGCGGTAATTTCTCGATCGAAGGGAAGAATCTCGAGATTCGAACGGAAATTCTCAATTTCACCGAGAGAGTGGATTTGCGCGGCCACCGTCAGATTGGGAGTTATGTAGCTTTCCTTACGACCCCATCCCTCCTTCACTTTTCGATTCGTCTGGAAACAAGAGAATAGCTCACTTTGCAGGAGAAAAAAATTTGTTGAGTGAGCTTAGAAATCTCTTCCCAGATGATCCTGTAAAATCAGGCTTTGAACTGATCTGGCAGGAACAATTGGGGAAAGATTTCTCAGATCTTCAGTCCCGTACCAGTCTCAAAGCGGTTGCGAACTTCCTCGCGGCCCTCAGCCGCTCCTCGTACGGCAACTTTGACACATCGTCGCCCGCGAGCACGGCAGCGTCGAGAATTCGAATGACCGGCGGGGCCGCACTTATTTTGATCTTGTTACTATCCGTCTTCTCGACCTCTTCAGCCATGTCGACGAGAATGACAGTGTTTTCGGGAATGCGCACGTGGTTCTTGGTCTGCGCCTCGAAATTGTCGTTTTTGAAGATGAAGGTGGTGTCGCCGGCGGCGATCAGAATGTTCGGATGCTTACCGCCGAGCGCCACAAATCTGTACTCGTCGTACGTGATGTTCGATGGGATGGACGACTTCAAAAAGTCCAATTGGAACTCGGGGCCGACATTTCCAAAATCGGAAAGTCCGCAAATCTTCGGAGAGTACTTTCCGAACACTTGTGTCGGATTCAGTCTCTCCATATTGTCGTAGCGATTTCCGCGGTCCCCACCGCGTGGGCGTCCTCGGTTTGGCACGGACCAGTACTTGAGGCACTCTTCCTTCAGATTTCCTTGATCTTTGTCGAACTGTCCCTGATTTTTCGCGAAACTCTGGTACTTTCTGAGGTAAAGCGTCTGACGAATGGCCAAATGATGGTTGTGCTCGATGAGTTCGTCCATGAACGTGCTGTCGGATTTGATGATATCAAGAGGCATTATCTCCTCCACATCCTTGCCGGCATCCGCGTTTTTGAGCACATCCATCTTGAGGTTCACTCTGGAAAATTGGGCAGCGAGTTAGTTAGCAACTTTAGAAAGTCTCCCCCAGTTACTCGGGTATGATCGGATCTTACACGAGCAACTGGGAGAAGATTTCCGAGAATTAAATGTTTACCTCTTCAAATACTCTTTAACAACATCCGAATACTCCCTGCGCAGTCCTTTGCACGTAATGTACCTCTCCGAGTTCGCCGGACGGCTAGTGTGTGGTTTGTGAAGCGAAACACTGTCGTAACACACTCTCATCAGGTAGATCAAATCCACGGAGAACGGAGTGAAGATGTCGAAGAGTTTGCAGAAAAAGTTGCCGCCTTCACGGACGATGCACAGCGAAACGAGGAGTTGGCAGAGATAAAGCCGCTTCGACAGAATTTCCTGTATGTTTTCCTGTCCTTCCACACTGAATCCACCATCGGCCATCATCAAATGAACTCCTCTTCCGTCGGTGCCGCGCATAATGAAATCCTCGAGCGAATCAATGTTCTCGGGGTCCATGACGTCGCCGTTGTCCTTTGTTCCGTAGAAAGTCTCGAAGAAGTAGGCGGACGAAGCGGAGAATTTCTGAAGTTTGAAGTCGTCCTTTCCGGCCAACGTGAATCCGAATCCCTTGGCGTTATAGAAGCCCTTTCTCCAGAGCATGTACTCGGAGAAGCCGCCCGGACCGGCGCAAACGTCTGCAAAGTAGAACAGCTCCTCGTTCCGATCGATATTTTTGCCGGTGGACGTGGAATCGAGTGGATTCTTCTCGAGAAACTTGTTGTTTTCCGTGTTCTCGCGCGACAGAATCCAATCGTAGATTTTGTCCATGTTGGCAGTCTTCATAGCGGCGCGATTTTGAAAAAATGCGGAGCCGATGGTTTCGTAGGGGTTCGCACGGGCTCTCGCTTCGCGGAGATCTCGATCGGACATCGCGTCGAACACGTTCTTCGCCTCAATCATATCCTTTAACACTTGCGCCTCACAGAAATTGATTTCGTCGTCGATGACCAATTTTTTGCGTCTCACAACGATCCACTCGTCGTCGGCGAGTTTTTCGACAATTTCCTTCCGTTGTTCATCGGAAATGTCGGTGAGCCACTTGACCGTCTCCTCGACCGTCTTATTCTCGAGTTCTTCGTTCCAGGCCTCGTTGAAATCTCTCGTCAGCGCTTTTCCGGCCTCACTTCCGAGTCCGGTACGTCCTCGTTGCGTGGAAAGGCCCACGGGCTCGGCGATTCCTTGCGCGTGCTTTCCGAGACCGGCTCCCGCCTTGTGACCCATTTTCTGCATCAATCTCTCGGCAATAGACAGAGGTTTGGGCGCCGACGGGCTTTCGTCCAGCAAAAATCGCTTGTTGGAAGGCTCATCCGAGACGAAAAGTTCGTCTTCGACTTCCGCATCACGTTGCATTGCGCGTTTTGACTGAAAAACAATTCTTCAGTTGAAAGTTTGAAATTTTCGAAAAGAACTCACCGGATTGAATTTTGCATGTTTTTCCTTGTAATCTTCCAGCTTTTCCTTTTGTGTTTTCCTCGCTAAGCTGGCAATTCTGTCTCTTGTGGACTTTGAGTCCCCAGATCCACCGGCATCCTGCAAAAATTAAAATTTTCAGCTGTAAAATCAATAGCCGAGAAAAAAATGAAAATAAAACTCACGCTGGACATTGTGTTTAGTGAGATTCTGGTGTATAATCTGAAAATTAACAATTTCTGATTTTTTGAAGGAAAAAATTGGCGAAAAATGCTCAAAAACGGCGTTGAAAATGAGCAACAACAAGCTGGAAAGAGAGAGGCTCTCAGAGAGCAAACAAAAATAAGCGGCTAAACCGCGCGCCGTGTAACTTCGGAGTGTTGTTGCAATGAAAAAGATAGTGGCGAACGGAACCCGCGAGACGTCGGTTGCGCGAAAAGGATGAAAGGCGGCCGGGCGCTTCATCTGCCTACCTTACTCGAATAACCCGTCGATGAAGACCAATAAATGACGAATCCTATAGAATCTTTGCGGAAACTGAGGCATTTGTCTGAGCGGGTTTATAAAACAAGTTTTGGAGAACGAACGGAGCACAGGCTTGGTTTATTTTGTTTATTCGAATTATCACAAGCACGAGATACCATAGAGTTTTGTACAAAGATCATTGAGAGCATCATGAGCCGCACCCGCTCGGCATTCCATCTCCGACGAGTTGGAGAACGATTCGAAGACCCGCCGCCGCAGCTGAATCATCGAACTTTTGTCGAGACGTTTCGCGCGCGTGTGCTCGTGCGTCACGACGCACTGGAAGACGGCAGCGTCGCAGATCGGAAACGAGGCGGGACGGAGACGGACGAGCTGCACAAACTCGTTGCGGAGCACTGAAGCCGCCGGCTCCGGGAGAGATTCTGAAATTTGAATTCGTTTCGCCGTTTTCAAAAGTATCTCAGGAGGCGCACAACCGACTTTTCTCCAAGTTTCTCTTCAAAACCCCCCGAGAAAAATCGACGAACTTATCGAGTAGAAATAGCAAAAATCGGCGACGAGCTGAAAGCGCTCGCGCGGCGTGTACGACGTGGCATTCTCGACGAGAATCTGCTTGATGTCTCGCCACGTGTCAATGTCGTAGTTGACGCGATAATAGTGCGTGAAGCCCAAATTCGAGAAGATCATTCCGTCGCGCACCGGCGACAAATGAATGCCATGACTGATCATGATCTGGATGGGCAGCTTGAATTCGGTGAATCGGAGCGGCAACGGCCAGAGCGGCATTCGTTCCCACGTGCCCAGTCCTGAAAGCATTCGGACGATGAAGGGGTAAGAATTTGGCGGCGTCGAAATACCATTTTTCACCGTCAAATTTGAGCCGTTTGCGTGATTTTGATCGAATTCACCAGACGATCGACGGTCATGTACGGGAATCCGCCGTGCTCTCGCCAATAGTGGAGGAGCTGAATTTTTTTCAAAATGTTTTAAGTTGCCACGGTTTTCAGAGCTGACAATGGGCGCGCAAGTGCGCCCCGCCCAATAGAGCGATACATTGGCGCGAAATTCAAATTTTAACAGCAAAATTTGTGTTTTTTGCCAGATTAGCCACGAAAAACCGATAATTTCTCATTTGTCTCTCGATAGACCGATTGTATAGGCTATTACGAATTTTTTAAGCGCAAGAGCGCAAAATTTGGTCAAGTCGCAAATCACATTTATCCGTTTGAAGGTTTTTGGCTAAAACTGCGTGAATTTCAGTTGCTTTTCGGTAATTTTCGCGGTTCGAGCGCTCAAAATGATTGTATTTACGTGATTTATCATTCTCAAAACCAATTCTGTCGGAAAACGGTCAAGAAAGCGCAAAATGAGAAGTGCGGTTTTGAGGCGGCGATCGGCGGCTATCGGCGGCGAAGGCGCAAAAGCAAAGTCCGCGAAAAATGCGCCAAAACGTCATTAATTCTGAGAATTCGTGTGTTTTCATGTCGAACAAGCATTTTTCATCGCCTTTGACCACAAAAATCAGAGAAAACCTGCTCAATTCATGAAAACGCCATTTGGCCGCCGAGGCCACGCCCATATTGTCGGCTCTGGAGACCGTGAGTTGCATTCGATTTCCCAATTCAAAGCCCTCTCACCTGTGAAACATAAATGTCGCCGTCGACGGTGGCATTCAGAAGCCCATAAAGCGTCTCCGAGTTCCACGATCCTCTCTTCGAGTTGTACACCATTTCATTGATCTTCGCAAGCATCGCTTTCTCGCCGATCAGCGCCTCTATCGATTCGAGCATCGCCACTCCTTTCAGCGCACACTTTTCGGCGATCTCCAGCTCATTCGGGTGCTCGTCGAGTTTCAACGTTTCGCCCGCCGCGAAAATCGTCTCGGAAAGGTAAACCTGAAGAGAAATTGGAAAAAATTTTACAAAAAAGTTAAGCCACAAACTTTTGCCAGCTGGCCGAGTCTCGTGAACTCGTCGTTCGTCATGCGCTTTATAATTTTCTGGGCAATGAAATTGACCAGATCCTCCTGAAGACACAATTCGGCGCCGTCCGAAATGGCCGCGTAGCCGCCGATCCATTGTTTCGTGAGCCACGTGGCGAGGAGCTGAACTTGATTCGCATAGTCCGAAGAGAAGAATTGGGCTATAATAGAGGCATTGAAACTATTTGCAAAAGCAAACAAAAAGAAACCAACTCTCAGACACCACAATCGCTCCGAAACACGCCGTCGAGCCGGTCTCGTGCATCGTGATCATATCGATTTTGGGGACCGGCAGCAGACTCGAAAATGTTTCTCTGAAAATTTGAGAAATTGTGCGTGCCACGTGGCAAAGCGATGAAACCTACTTGAGAAGCGCCAAAACTTGAGTGGCGGTGTGCAACAAATGTTTGGCCTGCTCTTTTTGCACGCGGAATTTGTTGAAATGCACGGAAATGTTGATGCCAGTGTAGGAGGATTCGATCTGAAAAAACTTTTTAAAGGTCCGCGATGGCGCGCGCTTATCATTGCCCTTGCCGCGTCGTTACGATAGTGTTAGTGCGGCTCAATGGTCGAATTTTTGCCCGCCATTCTCGCGACCAAAGTTCGATGCCACGTGGCGTCAAACCGTTTTTGCTTTCACTTACATGTGTGTACTCGTGTGGCAGCAACAAAAAACAAAGCATGGAGGGTGTAATCGCGGGCGTCGTCGAGAACGTTGTCGTCTTAACGTTGTTATTTGTTTCTAGACAAATTTCTATCAATAATCCTACCTGCCAATTGGAATCCACCTTCCTGGGACCACTTTCACTGGCGCCAGAAGTCAGCGCGAGGGTTCCGATCGGATGGACCATCGAAATCGAGAATGTCACTTTTTCGGTGCTTCCCAAATACGTGGGAAACACTGCGGGCGCCCGATTCGGGAATAATTGAGAGCCGAACACCGCGTGCTCACCGGCGTCTCTGCAAACAAACATTCGGATGAACGTTCGATGGAGCGCACTTGCCCACCTATAATAAATGGCACTGCCGATGAGTCCTTTGTAACGATGAATAGTCAACGTGTATCTGCCGGGAAATAGAACGGGCTGATCCACCGACAATTCCATCGAATCATCCGTGAGCAGCACATTGAAAATCTCCAATTCTTGACCGTTAAACACCAGCGAAACGTTTTCAAAGTGATCCAACATTATTATATCGAACTATAGAGAAAACATTGAGTGAGTTAGTAAGACTTGAACATGAGCGGTACCTTGATCTTTGCCCGATTACTCGTTGAATCACTGATGAACGCGGACTCGGGGCCGATTTGTTGGTTGATCTCGAACTGCATTACACACCGGCCCGTAAATAGGGGCACATCGGGGTCGGAGACCTGAAAAATGACAAATTCTAGGATCTAAACCAAGGTACAGGCTTACCTCGGACAACGGCAACTGCAACTGCAAATCGTAGCTCAACGGCCTCAAAATCGGCACTTTCGGCTCGGCGAACTGTGGCAGAACGGCGAGCAACTTGTGCAAGTCTGCCCAAACCGTACCGAACAGGTACAGTACCACCAGAAGCCACATCTTAGAAGAAACACGGCGAGAAGAAATGCGAGAGCGGCTCGCACTACCGTACTGTTTACTCGGGATAGACAGATCGTCACCCCCCAATTGAGGAGGACCGCCGGCGACGGGGTGTATGAGCAAGAGATTGGAAGCGAAAGGGCGGCCGAGGGAACGGGGCCGATGAGGCCGTTTAAGGTAGGTTCGGCGTCGGTTAAGCGGATTAGGAGGGTGAGAAGGCGAGCGGAAGCGGGCGACAAAGAGGGCTCCGAGTGAACCTTAACGACTTTTAACTTTCTTTTGTTTTGACGATGTTTCTTGATGGGGGGGAGGGCGTAGTCAAAACAAACACGGAAATTTGAGAACTGTACAATACTTGAATGCGGTGGTGAACACCGAAAAGTCGTATGCTTTGATGACATGATGTTTTTATTTTTTCACTTGGGACAGAAGAGGTCTTTGATTTGTACAGTAATCTTTCGAGTCGATTTCCAGAAAATTCTTCTCATGAGAAACACGAAATTTAATGAAAACGAAAATTAGGTGCTGCGCCTTTAAAGATACCGTAACCTCATTTTCTGCATTTTTTTTTCTTTCGCAAACCTCTTTTGACAGGTTTTTGAGTGAAAAAGCGGAAAAGTGAACGAAAATTCTTCGCTTTTTTTTTAATATCGAGGTTACCGTATTTTTAAAGGCGCAGCACCGGATTTGAAAAAGCGTGGCGGGTAAAATCGCTGAAAACTGGGAAAACGGCACAATTCACTCATTTTTTCGAATAAAATTCGCGACATTCGGCGGCACAATCGGTTTCTTTAGGTCGTCCGCGGTGACCTTCAACGGCTCCTCCTCCTTCATCTTGTCGAGCTTCTTCAGCTTCTCCGCGTGCTTCGCCGCCTCCGCCGCCATCTCTTTCTTTCGTTTCTCCACGTTCTTCGCCTCGTTCGCGCTCTGCTCCTTCGACTTTGACTTTTGCTTCTTCTTCTTCTCGTTTGTCTTCTTCTTCTTCTTCTTCTTCAAGCCGATCCCGTCGACCGTGTACCCGCTGTCGACGTGTGCCTGGGCGTACTCACCGAGAAGCTTCTGCGCAAGCTTTTCATCTCGCGTCGCGGCAGTCGGCTCAATTGCTCGTTCAAAATCGGCCTTCGCCAAATTCTTCTTCTTTTTGCTCTCCTTCTCCAGTTTCAGCCACTCGTTTCTCGTCATGAATCGATGCGGCGCATTCGCATTCGCTCGCTCCGCTTCCAATCGTTTCGTCGCTTCCGCCCACGTCTCCTCCTCCTCCGTCAACTTCAAGTCGTTTTGCGCCTCGACGAGCCGGTTCAACACGACGTCCCGTATTCCGTCGGTGATATCTCCCACTGCAGCTTCTTTTGGCGGCTCCTTCTTCACCAACAATTGACCGTATGCGTGAGCTAGCGCTTGGTTCGCGTATGGGTGCTGAACACGAAAAATTGATAGCGATGCAATTGCGCTTCGCTTTGATTTCTCACTTAAAAAGTGAACAGTAGCGCATTTGCCAAAACGTACATAAACGTAATCCACGTAGAGTCGAAGCTTGGCGATCGCCGGTCTCGAAGCGCTCACCCATGTCTCGTAGGCGTTCTGAGAAAAGCAATGGACGTGGCCTAGAAGTACAAATTAACCTCGTCCTCGATGGCCACATTGCGCACGTAAATGTGAAAATAGTGCTGGTACTCTTTGAACGGATTCGGCTTATTTTTCGGGATCAAATAGGCCTGCAAGGTGTCCAATTCTTCAAAAAATGGCAAAAAGAGTGACGCAGACAGTAATCGTGACGCCTGTCGATTTGTTGATGCGTCCCGTCCGACGTCTGACCTTGAAAAGATCGTTGTCGGAAGTCTTGATTTTGTACCAAAAGTCCTCCAAAGTCCGATTCGTTAGGGTGAAGACGGCTTGCACCGGCTCGAGGCCCACCTTTCCGATGAACACTATCTGAAATTCTCCGAAAGTTCCGAAATGGCCTAGCTTTTCCTCGGTCACCTGCGTCGCATCGACATGCAGCGGAAATTTGGCCTCGTAGCAGTCTTGATAGCGATAATTGTCAATGTTCGGAATGAGCAACGCCTCCTCTTTCTGCTCTCCCTCATCCGGTTTCTTCTCTTTTCCCGCATCTTGCGTGGCCATTTTTTCGAGAAATACGTGTATGGCGAAAGTATTCTCCCGGGGCGAGGTTAGTCCACGTGTCCAATGCGCACTATAGATTTTGTTGTTGTTGACCAACTTGGTCTAGTCTACCTATCTTCTTTTCAACAAAAAATAATAATGTTATCCTCTTGAAACCTCCGCTCGTCCGTTCTCGTCAAGACCGGTTTTTTCATTCTTCAATTATTTTTTCTCCCCCCTCTTGCGTAGTGTACTCTGTTTGACCTCGAACGAGAACACACCACGAATCGAATGGTGGCGGCCTAGAAACCCCTCGAATGTGGCCTAGAATCCCTTTATTGCTCAGTCGTTCGATTTCTGCATGTTTGTACCCATTTCTAGCCTTATTTCCGTGATTTCCGGCAGAAACTCTAGCGAGCAAACTGATTTTTGGTGTGATTTGAACAGTCTTATCGCACCAGTGTCTAGCCTCGGTGAATTTGCTGATAAAAACATCAACACATCAAAGTTGGCAACAATTTCCCTCTGTTTTCTGCAACGAAAACCTTCTGTGCATTTGCTCTCTGACTTCTAATTTCTGGCGTCGTGTTTCCCTGGGCAACTGCTGTTTATTGCTTGGTTTCCCCCGCCGCTGATAATCACTTTTTCGCCTATCGATTTTCCCGGTTTCGGCGACACTTGTTTGCTCCGCTCGTTTACCCCGTAAACCTCTCTTTCCAAGTTTTTCCCAACAAAATCGATAATCCTCGCTTTCAGAATGCCGGTGCCGTACCGCTTGCGGAAGGCCTTCAACACGTGGCTTCTCTTCGTCGCCTCCATCTATTTTTGGACGCTCCGCACCGCATTCTGGCTCGTCAATCGCTTCTTCCGCGAACGGAAATATGTGACGCAGCCCTCGGATCGACTTTTGCTCATCTCGGCCACACAGGCGGTCCGCATGATCTCGAAGCGCGAGATTTCCAGCACCGCACTCGTCGAGAGCTATATTCATCGCATCGAGCAGGTTCGTTCTTCAGAAGCCTTAGAATTAGCGGTTTGAACGGAAAAATGCGTTCCGATTTTCGTTTCTCAAATCTGAAGGTTCTAAACTGAAGTTTTGCAGTCAAATTGTTACACTTCAGAATTCATCTTCCAGGTAAACAGCACAATCAACGCGGTTGTCGTGAAGCTGTTCGAATCGGCACGCCGTCAAGCGAACGAAGTGGACAGCTTCATCGCGCTCGCCGACGAGGATGACATCGAGAAGAAGCTCGCGGAGCAGCCGCTCTACGGAGTTCCGTTCACGATGAAAGACGCGTTGGAGGTGGAGAACGAGATAATCACGTGCGGAGTGTACAATCGAAAGGACACAAAGTGCGAGCGGACCGCCGAAGCGATCCGACGTCTTCAGGCGGCCGGAGGCATCCTTCTCGCGATCACCAACGTGCCGGAAGTGTGTATGTGGGTGGAGGCGGTGAACACGATCTACGGCCGCTCGAGCAATCCGTACGATACGCGCCGGATGACGGGCGGATCGTCGGGCGGAGAAGGCGCTCTATTGGGTGCCGCCGGAAGTGTGGTCGGCGTCGGAAGTGACATTGGCGGCAGCATTCGCATGCCCTCCTTCTTCAACGGAATCTTCGGACTGAAGCCGACGCCCGGACTAATTCCGCTCACCGGACACGTGCCCGAACCCACCGGCTACAAAAAGCACATGCTGAGAATCGGACCGATGTGCCGGTTCGCCGAGGATTTGCCGCTCATGTTGAGAGTGAGACTTTTTGTAGAGAAAAAAAAAACGTTTAGCAATTTGTTTGCAGATAATGGCCGGAGAAAACGCAAAAGCCTGAACCTGAACGAGCCAATGTCAGGGAAAAAGTTGCGAGTGTTTTACATGGAAGGCATCACCGGAAGCCCGATTATTCAGCCGCTAGAGCCCGAAATGCGACACGCTCTTCTCAAGGTTTGTGCCGCTGATTTTTGAGACAAATGTTCTCCAACTCTGTCATAAATTTAAGCGCATTGTTCGAAAATGCTGTAAATTTGCGAGAATAGTCGGGAAGGTTTTCTAAGGTTGCTCACGAAAGTGTTGCCCAAATTTTTCCCGATTTTATTGCCAAAAGCACATTTTCAGGCGGTGCAATTTCTGGAGCGCAAGTACGACGTGGTGGCGCAAAGAATCGAGCTGCCGTCGGCGAAGCACGTGATGGAGTATTTTACGCTTTCGATGCACGAAGACACGACGGACCCGGCGTTCAACAAACTGATGTTGTGCACGAGCGGCACGAAGGGCGAGGTGAACTGCTACACGGAGATCTTCAAATTTTTCGCGGGCGCCTCCAAACACACGCTCTCGGGCATCGTCGCCGGAATCATCGACTCGAAGGACCCGCCGTTTTCGGAGAGCCACACGAAGGACATGCTCTACAAGCGCGACCGTCTGAAGCGTCAAGTCAAGGAGTTGCTCGGCACCGACGGGATTCTGCTGTTCCCGAGTTGGCCGTGCACCGCCATGTTCCACAACGAGCCCATCCTCGCCCCGTTCAATTTCTGCTACACGGCCCTCTGGAATGTGCTCTCGGTGCCGGTGGTTCAGTGTCCGTTGGGTCTCGACTCGTCGGGACTGCCTCTGGGCGTGCAGGTCATCGGAAATCAGTACACCGATCGGAATCTGATCTCAGTCGCGCAGGTTCTCGAGGAAGGGTTCAACGGATGGACCCCGGCGGGACCGCTGTAAATATGGAACAACAGAAATTGTTTTTTTTTAAATACATCACTAATAACTTGATTTTCTCCCTTTTTTCTACTGTCGATTCATTTTAATGTACAGTTAGGGTCCTGATTTTATTTTTCGGCCCAAACTTGTTTCAACTAGATTCTCTCAGATTTACGGCTTTCCCATTATTTTTCTACTGTCAATTCACCTATCGGACCCGAGTTTTATGTGAAATTAGAGTCCGATCGGTGAATTTTTAATTTTCCGTCCCAAATTTGTTGCAACTAGATTCTCCCAGACTTACGGCGTTAGACCCTATGTCGCTTTTTCTTTCGCTACTAATTCTTGTAATAATCTAAAGTTTTACCCGCCCAAACCTAATAATGTTTGTCTCTCCCAAAAATGATCTGTACAATGAAGTAATCTAAAAAAAAATGTCAAATTTAGAGATAACAACAAAAAAAAGCGAAACAAAAAAGGTAACACAACAATAACAATTTTGGGGAGAGGAATTCAGACGAAAAATATTTGTGCGTGTTGGCGGAAAATAACGACTTAATAGGTAAAAAGAGCGATGGTTCCGTCGGCGCCGGCGGTGATGAGCCACGGTTGAGTCGGATGCCAGACGGTGTGGAGCATGCACAGATCGTTCGAGGTCTGCAAAAATTAGTATGAAAAATTTGGACAGCACTTTGGTCCTTAGAAAGCCTCTCCAGCAATTTTCGACAAATTTAGAGCAAGTGCTTCAAATTTTGCGCAGAATCACTGGGAATGGATTTCTAAGAATTCGCAACTGAAGTGTTTCGAACCTTCTCATGTGCTCTGAGTCTTTGACCGGATAAAGCTCGTTATCCCGGCAAAAGTCCGAATAGATTCTCGCATAATAAACCATCGCGGTTCCATCGTCGGACACCGTCGCCAACAACGGGAATCGCTTGTGATAGGCGACCGAGCGGATGGCGGCCGTGTGATGCTTCAGCTTCTTCCACGGTTTGTTGCCCATCTGAAGGTCCATCCAGCAGAAGCGACGGTCGAGACCGCCCAAGAAGAGGTTTTCTCCGCTGGCGTCGGTCGCCACGGACGAGATGTGTTTGCAGCCGGTGATGAGCTTTTTGACGAGCACACAACGCGCCAGATCGTACTCTCTGACGTGGATTTTGGTGGCGACGAAGAGACGGGCCTGTGTCGGATGGAAAGCGACCGCCTGTACGTGTCCTTTGCGCTTTTGAAACGGACACTGCGACTTGGCCTTGCTCATCTGGTGCACGTACACCGACTTTGCGATGTCGTCAATTGCCACGCTGGCGAAATAGTCGCCCTTCGCGTGCCACGTCACTTGGCGCACTTCGTTCGGCATCTTCAGCACGAGACGATCCTTGGCTCGCCGCCACGTCACCACCGCCGAATCCTCTTGGCTCTCGGTCGGAACCTCGGCCAGCTGGGCCTCAGTTTGCTGGACGTGAAGCCGATCTCCGCAGCCCGTGTTCACGATCGCGACGTATTTACCCTCGTAGGCCACGGCGAGCAGCGTTTTGTCGGGCACCGGACAGAAAGCGATTGAGGAGACCTCGCCGCCCATCTCGAACGTTTTTATGCAGCGGCCGGTGGCGATCATCCAAATACGGACGGTGCCGTCCTCGCCACCAGAAGCCAGCAGCTCGCCGCGTTCCGGCTCAACCGCAATCGAGCGCACTTGTCCCGTGTGACCGCGCATGTACTGAAAATATGGGGATTTTGAAATGAAACTTCAGAATGATTTTCAACTAAACTCATCTCACCGCTCTTGCCCCTCGGTGTTTGCAGACTCAAGCCAAAATTTCTGAACTTAGGCTTGAGTACGCATACACCGAGGGGGCAGTGAATTGAGAGTATCTTTAAGCCAATTTTTCGAATTTTCGGACTCACAAAGGCAAGAGTAGTAGGGAACGGACGCAAATCGTTAGGATTCGGAAGATCGGGCAACAAATCGGTCGGATCGGCGTGAATTCGCATTTTTCGTTGGCGCGGCGCCAAATACAAGTCCAGACAGCGTTCGAATCGTTCGGTAATGAACTTGTCGTATTGAGGCACTTTGCGGAGCGCGTCGAATTTGGAGGGCATGAAATTGAGCACACGGTCCTCTTTTTCGGCCTCTTCCCACTTTTTGCGCTCGTCGTCGTCGAAAAGATACTCCTCGGGCGGGTTGTAGGATTCAGCGTGGGTGGGAAGAGCCACTTTGGGGGCGGGCATGTGGACACGCATCCTCGAAAGCTGCGATTTGGTGACGTTGTCGAGCGCGTCTTCGGAAGCCCACAGATCGTACACCTTCTTCTCTTTCTTTTGCTCTTTCGGACCCTTCGCCCAGCCCATTCTGATGGCGTGCACCATTCGGGAGACCATTCGCATCTCATCTTTCGACGGAATGAAACGGGCTTTCGGCTCCGGACGATTATCGATCGGATGGATTTCTTTCTGCGACGAATAAATGTCGAGGAACGGCTCGTAGGGATTGTAGCCGATCGTCGGATACTTTCCTGTCGCGATATTGTGGATTTTTTCGATTTGCTCGTCGGTCAGCTTGATATCCGTGCCCGTCTGCTTGTCGAACACTTTTCGCCTAGAAATACGAATTTTTTACCAATTTTTTTTACTAATTTTTTACTTACCAATAATCTGGATCCTCCATTTTCTCCAGAAACGTCTCAATCTCGCCCTTTTTCACCGGTTTGACAATTTTCTCTCCGAATTTGTCGTAGCCAATGTGCTCCTCATCGTCGTACCACTTGATCGGAATGTTTCCGATCGTGTTTCGCAGATCCTACAACGAAAATTTTATGATCTCTCCCACAAATTCGAAAATTATACCTCCTCATCGGAAGAATCGTAGTCGTACTCGTCAGCCGGCTTCGGAAGCACTGGCTTCATTTCGATAGTCTCGCCAAACTCGTCTTTCGGCGCCGCTTTTGGCTTCTTTTTTCCATTTTCCAACTTTCTCTTCGCTTTTTTCGGAATATCCGCCGATTTTGACGCCATCTGAAAAGATATGCAATTAAAATTATATGTCAAGAAAAAGCACAAGAAAAACTAGTATTAGCTAATTGAATACTCCGAAAATTCAATCGAGAACTTCGGACAAATCGACAAAGAATGGATGGAGGACGAGAGAAAGCTAGGCAGTGCGGCAAGTGCGCTCCAATGAGACACGCCTCGCGAGTGTTACCGTACGCGTCGCGGTTTTAGGCCAAACGTTTTCCCCAATTTTTTTATTTCTTTTCGCAATTTCTCCACAAAATAACCGATTTTTTGGCGGTTTTTTGCTGAAATTTGATTTTTAAGCGAATTTCAGCGGTTTATTTTACCGTTCAATATCGAAATTAACAGAATTTTCGGTTCAACACATTTATTAAAACATAGTTCTGTTTCGAAAATATGCGCAGCTTATTGATTTGTTATGGAGATCCTGTTTTTCCTTTTGGAAAGCACATTGATTCTGCTGAATTTTTATTGCGCCTCTTTATTGAAGTAGAACTCTCGCGTAATTATAGGAAATTTGGTGGAAATTAGGTTTTATACCAATTTCTGTCTCAAATACCGCTTCTGACCTTTTCTCACTATCGTTTCCTTTTTCGCAATTCCAAGTTTCACAGTTTTTTTTCCAGGTAATCCAGTCGCAATGGCCAAGAGAACTAAGAAGGTCGGAATCGTCGGAAAGTACGGAACCCGTTATGGAGCTTCCCTGCGTAAGACGGCCAAGAAGATCGAGGTCGCACAGCACTCTCGCTACACCTGCTCGTTCTGCGGAAAGGAGGCCATGAAGAGAAAGGCCACCGGAATCTGGAACTGCGCCAAGTGCCACAAGGTCGTCGCCGGAGGAGCCTACGTCTACGGAACCGTCACCGCCGCCACCGTCAGATCGACCATCAGAAGACTGAGAGATCTTAAGGAATAATTTCCTTTATGATTGTTGTTAATTTTTCACATATAAAACATGTGTCCACATTCGCCTTTTAACTTTTTTTTCTTGTTTCTCTTTCTCCATTCCGGAGTCGTCGTCACGTCAGATCTAATTCTCACATTCGTCTATAATACTTGCTATTCTCCTCGTTGTTTCTTCTTACTCTATATACACTTCTATGTTTTTTCAAGATGGGAGTTCCCGCATTCTTCCGTTGGCTAACAAAAAAATATCCGGCGACGGTGGTGAACGCTAACGAGGATCGTCGTCGTCTCGATGACGGAACTCGTGCTCCAGTGGATTGCACCCAACCGAATCCCAACTTTCAAGAGTTTGACAATCTCTATCTGGACATGAACGGTATTATTCATCCGTGCACGCATCCGGAAGATCGTCCGCCGCCCAAGAACGAGGACGAAATGTTCGCGCTCATTTTCGAGTACATCGATCGCATTTTCTCGATCGTTCGTCCGAGAAGAGTAAGTTGTGTCGAATTTTTCCAGATAATTGCAGAAAAAAACTTTTGTAGCTTCTGTACATGGCAATCGACGGAGTTGCGCCGCGCGCGAAGATGAATCAGCAGCGGAGTCGTCGTTTCCGAGCGAGTAAGGAGGCGGCAGAGAAGGAAGCCAGCATCGAAGAGCAGAGAAGACGGCTCATCGCCGAGGGCATCGCGGCGCCGCCGAAAAGGCCGAGGAGGCGCATTTCGACAGCAATTGCATCACTCCCGGCACACCGTTCATGGCCAGACTCGCCGATGCGCTCCGATATTACATCCATGATCGGGTCACCAACGATCCCGCCTGGGCCAATATTGAGGTGTGTAGGCTGCACGGAAATTGAGAGGATTTTTTCAGATTTTTTTGAAATTACTTGCTAGTTAGCGATGTGAAAAATGAAAAGAATCGCAACGCGGACACGTTTTTTGCATTTTTGACATCGCTGAATAACGTCTTTAGAATTTAAAACTTTGAACTAGGCTGGTCGAACAGGCGATTTAGGCACCTGTTTTTTCAAGCGCCTGTTCGACCAGCCTACTTTGAACTAATAGAGTAAATTTCGGCTAAAAACGTTCAATATTCCAGATCATTCTCTCGGACGCGAACGTGCCGGGCGAGGGCGAGCACAAGATCATGGACTACGTGCGCAAGCAACGTGGCAATCCAGCGCACGATCCGAATACTGTGCACTGTCTGTGCGGCGCCGACGCCGACCTGATCATGCTCGGAATCGCGACGCACGAGGCCAACTTCAACATCATTCGCGAGGAGTTCGTTCCCAATCAACCACGCGCATGTGATCTATGCGGACAGTACGGACACGAGCTGAAAGAGTGTCGGGGCGCCGAGAACGAGACGGACCTGGGCGACGACTACTGCAAACCGGAGCAGCGCGAGAAGAACTTCATCTTCCTGCGCATCCCCGTGCTCCGCGAGTACCTCGAAAAAGAGTTGTACATGCCGAACCTTCCCTTCGAGTTCAACGTGGAACGCGCGCTCGACGACTGGGTCTTCCTCTGTTTTTTCGTCGGAAACGACTTCCTGCCACATCTTCCGTCGCTCGAAATCCGCGAAGGCGCAATCGATCGGCTCATCAAGCTCTACAAAGACATGGTCTACCAGATGCGCGGCTACCTGACCAAAGACGGAATTCCCGCAATGGACAGGGTCGAGATGATCATGAGTGGGCTCGGCAAAGTCGAGGACGAGATCTTCAAACGCCGACAGCAGCAAGAGGAACGGTTTAGGGAGAACGAGAAGGCGAAGAAGGCGCGGTTCGGGAATGATCGAGGACGAGGGCGTGGTCGTGGTCGTGGACGCGCACAGCATCCGGCCTACGTCCCGACGCAAGGGATTCTGGCGCCAATGTCGGCGCCGATGCATCATTCGGGCGAGTCCACTCGTCATATGGCGTCGGACGCGCGGCAACAGGCGATGCGGTACACGGACGACGCGAACGCACAGGCGGCCGCCAACCTGAAGGCGTTGCTGAACGTCAAGGGCGAGGAGTCGCCGGCGGAGGCGAACTCGCGGAAGCGGAAGGCTGACGCGCCACTGATCATTCCGGACAACGAGCAGGAGGAGGAGGAGCCGGCGGACAACATTCGGCTCTACGAATCTGGCTGGAAGGACCGCTACTATCGCGCCAAGTTCGACGTGGGCAGCGATGACGTTGAGTTCCGACATCGGGTTGCGTGCGCGTACGTGGAGGGTCTCTGCTGGGTGCTCCGCTACTATTATCAGGGGTGCGCCAGCTGGGACTGGTATTTCCCGTACCACTACGCGCCGTTCGCCAGCGATTTTGAAACGGTCGCCGAGTTCTCCCCGGATTTTTCGCGCAAAACGAAGCCGTTCAACCCGTTGGAGCAGTTGATGAGCGTGTTTCCGGCCGCCTCGAAGCAGCACCTGCCCGTCGAATGGCAGAAATTGATGATTTCGGACGAGTCGCCGATCATCGATCTGTATCCGGCCGACTTCCGCATCGACTTGAACGGCAAGAAGTTCGCGTGGCAAGGCGTTGCCCTTTTGCCGTTCGTCGACGAGCAACGTCTCCTGAAGACCCTGGAATCCGTGTATCCGACGTTGACGGATGAGGAGAAGGAGCGCAACACGCGCGGCCCGAACCGAATTTTTATCGGCCGCAATCACAAATCGTTTGAGTTCTTCCAACAAATCGCGCAATCGGGCGAGGGCGCCGAGATGGTCGACCTGGATCCGTCGCTTCTGAACGGAGTCAGTGGAAAGATCGCCGCCGATTCTACGGCCGTCGCACCAGGACAGCCCTTCGTTTCACCCGTCAATCACGAGGAGTGCCCCGATTTGGCTGTAAGGAAATTTAGAAGTTCCAGCTCAAAATTTGAAAATAAGGGCTCAAAAACAGTTGGGGAAGTATGCATTTTTGGAAAATCCACATTTAGAGCTATCGTACATTTTTCAAGAATTTTCAGAAACAACTAGACTGTTTTTGCGAGAATCCTAGAAACATTTTTGAAAAAATCTCATCCTTCCTCCAATTCCAGACAAATTGCGGCATTTGCGTGCTGTACGAGGACCCCGAGTACCCGGACGGCTACATTTTCCCGGCGGTCCGTCTGGCGGGCGCTAAGGAGCAGGAGAAGACGTTGCGGCCGGAAGACTGGAATACCGAGAGAGACGGCCGTTCCGCCCGCAGATCGGCTTCAATCGGAACGCGCCGCGTGGCGGACTGGATCAGTCTGGACACCGACAAGTGCAATATCACGTTCGCGGAGCACAGAACGATCGGATGGGCGGCGGCGACAACTGGGGAACCAACAGTTATCGCGGCGGCGGAGGATACCATCGGAGTGGCGGATACGAGGATAGAAATGGCGGCGGAGGGGGAGGATACGATAGAAGACCCGATTTTGGAAGGAATTATGGCGGAAGAGAAGGTGAAACACACAATTTCTTCACAATTTCTCTGCGGTTTCCCGAATTTTTGCAGCACTTTTACAATTCTCGATAACATTTTTTTTGCAGGCGGCGGCCCCCAACGATACCACGATCAGCGTCCTGGCGGCGGCAACAACAACTATCAGCACCATCAACAGGCGCCACGTCATCATCAACAACAGGATCAGTACAGAGGCGGCGGATATCCACGTGGCGGCGGCGGTCCGCCCGGATATTCCCGACCACCGTACCAGGGAGGAAGAGGTCGCGGAGGAGGATACCAAGGAAACGCCTCGTGGAGATGATCTTTTTGACAATTTTGCCTTTTCCCATGTTTTTTCAGTTGCAAACCTATTTCTTTCCCCGACCCATTTTTAAATTATAATAATCTTTCCCCCACATTTTTTGTTCGAACCTTTCCTTGTTCTCAATCTGTAATATCGTTTTTGATGGCTAATTTTATGAATTTTGAGGGAAAAGACATTGAGAGAAAAATTGGAATTCTAGGAAAATCGGAGTTTCGGAAAAAAAACATTGGCGAAAACAGTATCATAAAGAGAAATAGGAAAAATTATGGTTCAACAAAAAAATAAGAAATGTTCAGTTTCAACAACGAGATAAAATGCAAAATCAACAACAAAGTACAACTTTTTCCAACAAAAAGAGATCTATTCATCGTCATTCTTGATGCGCTCGAAGACGGCGACGAAGAATCCGTTGGTAAGGGTGACGCGGGGATCGGCCCGCAAACAACTGGGACCGTCTTCGTAGGCGGAGAGTCCGCGTTGCTTCCACTCTGGCAGCACGTCCCTCTGGAGCCGGTAGTTGCGTCGGACGTGCGTGTCCAGGAGCACCTCGTCGACCACTTGCTCGTTCTCCTCCTCGTGCACCGAACACGTCGAGTAGACCGCCCGTTTCAGATTCGGCAGCTTCAGCGCGTGTTTTAGGATCATCGCCTGGCGAAAAAAAACGTAAGAATTCAATTGTTCCCTCCTAATGGTCTCGTGTACAAACCTGCAAATTTTTCAGTTTCTCGAGCCGCTCTTTTTCCGCGTTTCCGCCCGTAATCTCGTCCATTCGCTTCACAATTCCCGAGCCCGAGCACGGCGGATCAACAATTGCGAATTTGACCTAAAACACAACATGGCATAACTTTCTCCGCGGCCATCTAATCTCACCTTTGAAAACTTTTTATCGGTCACGTCGGTTTTGAGGAAATCGCCGCAAAACGAGCTGGCAATCGCCACACTCGACGCCTCCAACAACTGTTTCATTGTGGCGACACGATCCGGCGCGCGGTCGATCGCCCACACTTTTCTGCAGAAAATATATGGGTCTCGCCACTAGAATGTTTGAAAGTGCCGTACCCCTGATTCTCCATTATCGCCGCCGCATGCGACGTCTTCATTCCAGGCGCCGCGCACGTATCGAACACTTGAGAACCGGGACGAGGGTTCAGAAGGAATGCCGGAAGGCAGGACGCCTGAAGAATTGGAAATTGACGAATCATCGAGGCCTGCATTTTTCCACTACGGTACCCGCGATCTTTGCAGGATTCTACTAGGACTTGAATTGAATTATATTATATATTTGCCGATCGGATTATCTGGTCTCGAGATATCTAGGGCCTATAAGCGTTGGTTTTTGGGCTCTGAATATCTCCAGATTAGATGATTCTAGATAATTCTATCGGTCCGAAACTTGAATCCAAAATACTGATAATCGTGCAAAGTCGGATAGAAACATTTGCAATTAGTCCAGGCCCAAAAAGGCCCTTAAAGCCTACTGTCCCGCTGAATGAATTGTTTCACACTTTTCTCGAGTTCATTCACGGAAACGACAACCAAAGACTAATAATCCCTTTTATTTACCTTATCCTGAAGAATAAGATATCGTTGTTCGACCATCCAGTACTCGTGAAAGTTTTGAATGTTTGGCGCAAAAATGAGCAAATTTGGCACGTGCGGATCGAGGTAAATCTGCAAAAAAAGTGTGTGCTTTGTGCTGAAAAAGCTCGGCTAACATCCTCCTCCTTCATTGCGGCCACTTCCTCCGCAAACTCTTCATTCGCCGACGCCGGCCCATGAATCTTCCATTCTTCACTTTCCAACGTCTTCCGACACTCTTCGGCACTCCATTTCAGCGTGTTAATTCTCGCATATCTCGGAATTTCCAACTGAAATGCAAATTTGCTCTATTGATAACCAGACAAGGTCCGCTTACTTTCTTCGTCGCTTCCTCCGCTTCTTTGACACTTTTTATACCCCGTCCTTCGACCTGAATCGTCGCTTCGACCTCTTTAATCTTCAGAATTCGTCTGGAAATCACATTTTTCAGTTCGGCGGAGCATCGATTGAGGCCCGAGCCGACGAGCGTTTCGTAGAGGAGCACGTAGAGTAATTCGGTGGATCCGGACACATTCGGGTCCGATTTCATCTTTCGCAGCTCCGCATCCTGAAGGATCTCGTCGAAGACCGGACGGAATTTGAGCGATTCGCATGACAAACGGAGCAGTGCCTTCTTGTTCTGAAAAATTGGATTTTACTATTTTTTGAAGGATTTTTTCTATCAACAGCGCCAATAGCGTAACTTCAGGAAACTGAGGAAACGTTTATACCATTTCTCTTTCAAAAACAACAACAAAAACCGAACAAATTTATCGAACAAGCAAAAAAATTAGCAAGAAATCAACAAGGTTTTATAAATTTGCCCTGGATCCACTGCCGGTACATCTTCACTTGTTTCGCCCGATTCACAATGAGCCGTCGGTCGACGTGCATCACTTTCTTCTCCATTCCGTGCTCGGCGAGCAGCAGTTCCAACTCTTCCATTTCGAAGAAATAAACAAGAGTTCCGTCGCCGCGGCAGTACAAATTTCCATCGATTAGGCGGTCCTTTTTGAAGCGTAACTGCGCCAGGTCGTATCTGCCGTAATCTTTGAGAAGGAGCATTCCGCCGGGCTTCAGAAGACTCGTCAGATGGCTGAGAGCCTTGTGGATGTTGTCGGGATGGATTGCCGAGAGCACGTAGATGCACACAACATAATCCAGAGATTCTGGAGTTGGGGCCTCTTCTGGAGGTGGCTGAGTGATGTCCCAGACGAATGCGTTCATTTTCGAGCAATCGTACGTCTCTTGCGATTTGAGCACTTTGATGGCGTTCGGCGCGTAGTCACAGCTGTGCAGGAAGATCTTCGATACGCTATTGTTGACCTGCATCAGTGGAAATGTGGTATTGCCCACTCCGCAACCGACTTCCAAAATTTTGACAGATTCTTTCTGGAAATTGGAGGTCTTCATGCGTTTTTTAAGCAATAGATTACCTCTAAATTCCGCTCATCGTTCACATCGAGCTCGGGAAACTCCTTGAGCAGCCAATTGCGATCTTTGAAGAAGCGATTCTCGTTTTGCGCGTAAAAAGTGTCCCACTGCTCGGCGGGCGTGCTCAAAAGCTTCATCGCCTTCTCGCCGTCGACTTTCATCGTTTTCTGCTGCTCCACAATCTTCTTCGCCTCCTCCTGCTGCTCTTCCGTCCATTCGACGTCGTCCCACGCGTTGTGCTCGAAAACTTTGGCCTCGTCGGTCAAAAATCGTGTGCCGAACGGGTTACATTTTGGTTTTTCAGTCGGATTCGCTTCGGCACAACCCGCCACCGGCTCGTCACGCATTTTATCTGCCAAAATGAGATGAACATGAAAACATTTACGAAAAACACGGAAAATAGAGAAAATCTGGATTTTCAGTAAAAACTTTGCTTTCCACAGCTTGCGCGGCGCTTTTCGAGCAATTTCGTGCAAAACTAACTTTGTAGGAGCTTCCGTAGACGGCGTTTCTCACACTTTTCTCCTTGGCCAAAACGCAGCGGATAATCTCGGCGACCTCGTGGTAGAGAGAGTCCGTCGCCATCTAAATTTAGAATTTTTTTATTTCTAGATTTTTGAGGCAATTTTCAGCGTGGAAAGCAACGTTTTTACATTGAAAAAAAATGGGTGTAAAACGGAGAAAATAAAATTCTCGCCACAATGCCACAGTGCCGCCGCTGAGTGCGGTGGAGCGCGCTTGCTTTGACGCATTCGTTTTCTTGCATTTTCTGCTTCATTTCTTGTAATTAATTATAATTATAATTACCAACAGAAAATGATTTGAAAAATAGGGTTTCATTTGGAAAAAAAAAACAGAAAAACGAAGGAGCAACATTAAAGCAAACTTTGGAAAGGGCAAAATAGAAAACTGATGAGAGAACTGGCAGAAAAGACGGGGAAATGAATGGAAATAATAGGAGGGAGATAAAAGAATGCGGAAGGAAATAAATGAGTATAACAACAATTGTTGTTGTTGTTGTTTTGATGATCAACTGAACCACGCGGTTTCAGAGAATCTCGAACGGACTCAACGGACTCGCATTGCAACAAGGAAAAATGTTACGAGTGAGTGAAATTCGTAAAAATTCATTCGAGAAAAGTATCATTTCCAGCGTCCCGTCGATCAAGCAGAGGCATCTCCATCAACCTTCAGTAGGAGGATTTTTCGGATGAATCATGAATCATAATTCGAAAACTTTCCATCTCTGAAAAAAGAAAGTTACCTCTACAAATCCGGTCTTTTCCTGATTTTTCGCGTTAGAGCGTATTTACGCCGCATGCACTTGCGCGTCGGCTAAAATGCTTGCGGACTTTGTCGACAAGGCGCCAAAACTGAAATTCAACTTTTTTAAAGCATTTTAAACCAATATTCAGTCAATTTCACTCGTTTTTCAGGCAAAAAAGATGACGTGGCGAAAGAAGAACAAGAAGAATGCGCCGATTGTGCAGATGAGTGAAGAAAACGTGCAAGAAATGGAGGAACACGTCGCCGAGCTCGTAAAAACCCAACTTCCGCTGTCAAAAGTGAAAAGAGTGGTGCGAATGAATCCGGACGTTGAGATGGTCAACAACGAGTCGTTGCAGTTGATTGCCAAAGCAGCGGTTAGCCGAACATCTCGAAATATCCTCAAAATTCATTTTCATTGCAGGAACTGTTCATAAAAGAACTCAGTCAGGCGGCGAATCAGAATGCGGCGATGGAGAAGCGAAAAACTATTCAGGCGAAGGATATCGATCGGGCGATTCAGAAAAATTGGGCTTTTGCCTTTCTTGAAGACGCCCTGGACGGATGGCCAAAATTGGAGCCGAAAAAGCGAAAACCACGTGTGAGAGGCGAAGAAAGTCTGCAAGGTTTGACCATTTCTTGCTATTTTGCCATAAAATTCTTTTTTTTTCAGACACTGACACGTTAGAAGTCGGCGAAACTGTTGCGGAAGAAGAAGAAGAAGAGGAGGAGGAGGAGGAGGAGGAATTGCCCGAAACTGTTCCAGAAGACGTCGAATTCGACGAAGCCCCACCGAAAGACGCGTTCGCTGAACAATTCTAACCCTTTGTATATAGTTTGATTGTTGACATCTGTGAAATGATGAATCATTTCGTGATATCACTTTTGTCATCTTTCTATTTTTTCTCGTCTCCTAGTCTTGTGCTGCTTTCTAAAGTAAAAAGAAACTTTGGAAGTGCGGAGTAAATGCCGCGCGCATCGCGACGCCCTCTCCTTTATCACCGTCCTCTGCCGCGGATTTCGATGTCGCGCTATAGCGCAGTGGCGGCCATTTTTGCACGCCGCCAATCTGCGAACTCGGGTTCGAACCCGCGCGGGCGGCGAACTCCTTTGCAAACTCAAAAATCGCAGAATCGGGTTATCTCTTATCATTTCTGTGTCCATTTCTTTACATTTCCCCCTCTATTTGTCCTTTTAGTTCGCCCATCGCACAAGAACGGCCAAATATTGACCGAGCTGAGGCTCCCACACTCTTTTCCTCTCGTTCTCTGCCATACTTTTCACTTTTTCGTAATAAATGGTCTTGAAGCGAAAAGCGAAAAAGTGAAAATTGTCAATAGAGCGCATTTTCATTCATTTTTTCCACGTAAAATTGTGTTTTTTTGTCAACCCCCCTCTCCTGGCCAGATTAAAAAAATGAAAGTGAGGGAGCGAAAAATCGTATAAAAAGAGAATATTATCCATCTGCATACAGTCCCACTCTCTCTCTCTCTCTCTCTCGTGCACTTTTTCTGTGAATACATAATATTTCGCTCGCTGGGCGCGCTCCCGTAACAAAGTGGGCGGCGCCTCCGATTTGCCATTCGCCACCTTGACGACTGGTTCGGAGAAAGGGTGACGAATAAAAGGAAAAAGGAAAAAGAGAAAGAAAAGAAAGCTTCGCCACTTGGATTCGTTCGATTCGTCTTTTTTTTGTATCGTTCGATTTCGTGTTTTGATTCCATTTAGTAGCGTTTCTTTTCGCCCAGTTTTTCCCACGTTTTTCTTGTCTTGTCTTCCACACTTCCGAACCTCAAAATTTACATAACAAAACCGGCGTTAATGTGTCGTTTCTCGCTCTCTCACTTTCATCGAGTTTTTGCTTCTTGCCGCCAAAAGGTTGCAAAGAACTTTCCACACTTTTCTTCGTCTTTCATTTTGTTTCATTTGTTATCAGTTTGAGAGGGAATGTGACGAGATAACGCGTCGGGTGCGTGAAAATGTGGTTTGTGAGGTGTCAGCACACTCACTCTTCAGTTTTAGGCCAATTTTTTCGCGTTTTTTTCATTCGTTTTTCCAGTAAACCTACCCGCAACAATGGCCGCCGAAACGGAGGAGCGTTTCAAAGTGTGGACGGGCAACAACGAGACGATAATCTACTCGCCGTTCGAGTACGACTCGACGTGGCTCATCGAGTCGTGGTGGGACGATTTGACGATGCACACGTTCTTCAAACAGCACTGGTTCAAGTCGGTCTACCTGGCCGCCGCCTATATTATCGCCACGAATCTATTGCAAAAGTATATGGAGTCGAGGAAGCCGAAAAGGTAAAAAAAAACAGCCAAATTTTGAGCAGAAAATTTTTTCTTTTAGTATGCGACCACTGTTGCTCGTTTGGAACGGCATTCTGGCGGTTTTTAGCATTCTGGGCACGTGGCGATTCGGAATCGAGTTCTACGATGCGGTCGTCAGACGGTTAGCATTTTTGGGGGGATTTCCGATCCGATTCCCCAAACTTTCAGCGGCTTCATCGACTCGATCTGTCTGGCGGTCAACCCGCGCTCGCCGTCGGCATTCTGGGCGTGCATGTTCGCTCTATCGAAGATCGCCGAATTCGGCGACACCATGTTCCTGGTGCTCCGCAAACGGCCCGTCATCTTTCTGCATTGGTACCATCACGCAGTCGTGCTCGTCCTTTCGTGGCACGCCGGTCAGTTCAGATCAATGTTGCGTCTTTAGGAGGGAGGGGAAACTGGTCTTCGCTGAGATTCTATTCAAATCCACGAATGAAAGAGCGAATGAAATGGGACGGATTGGATCATCGGGCGGGATTAGAGGTGGAAAACGACGAGACAATGCCGTCGCCGACGTTAAAGGGCTTTGAGTGCAGGGCATAAGTGTTCGTGAGACGGGAGAGGGGTATTGGGATCAAAGTAGAGACTGGAGAAGCTTCTGGACGGCGTCTTGTACTTGCAAAAGGGTTTGACGGGCACCGGGGTTCGAACCCGCGACCTTTGGGATCATAGGCAAAAGCGTAACCCACAGAGACATGCAATAGACTGAATGCGACCTTTGATATGGCGGTGATAAACGTGCTGACCCACTCCAGACCCGATAAATGCGCTTTTTTATAGATTATCTCCGGCTGAACTCATAGAATTTCGTGCAGACAAACCGAAATTTTCAAAAGCGCACAATAGTCGTCACCTAATACTTCTGTGTTCCGGGGCGCCCACATCGAGAACTGGTATTTTGCTTCCGAAGCTTCGCGTCACGGCAAAACAAACATGGGCTCAAACAGTCTGCTCAAACATAAATATAAATGAGCCGAAGGTGGGGGGTGTCTCCGGAAACTAGGGTATGTTGTAGTCTGGAACGTCTGGCGGGTATATCACGAAAATCAAACATCCTCTGTTTTAGCGTCTTTCTGTGTAGTCTGACCGCTTCGGCTTCGACGCTATTATCCAGTTCTCTGATATTGTCCATCCATCGATCCACTTCAACCCACGCACACCCAACAAATTGTCCCCCCCCCCCACTAATTGGTTTGTACATTGGATACATTCGAGTGAGTGGCACATGTCATTCGGGCTCGCGGAGCCATGGAAACGCACAAAGCACGAAAACATGACGCGCCGCATGAATGTACGGAGGCTATAGTCGGGCGGAGGGGACCAAAAGCGGCGGACGAGCTTAAAGGGACCAAAATGTTTCGCAAAGATTGCTTCGCAAGAGTCTCTTCAACTTTTTTGCAACTTACAGCCATCGAACTGACCGCGCCTGGCCGCTGGTTCATCTTCATGAACTACCTGGTGCACTCGATCATGTACACGTACTACGCGATCACTTCTGTCGGCTACCGACTGCCCAAACTCGTCTCCATGACCGTAACCTTTCTGCAAACCCTTCAAATGCTCATCGGCGTCTCCATCTCCGTCATCGTGCTCTATTTGAAGCTGAACGGAGAGGTGAGTGAGGGACGAGACCACTCGAAATGTATATTGTAGATGTGCCAACAGTCGTACGACAATCTTGCCCTCAGCTTCGGTATCTATGCCTCATTCCTCGTCCTTTTTTCGAGCTTCTTCAACAACGCGTATCTCGTGAAAAAAAGTCCCGCTCAAAAAGGAGATGAAATCCGAGTAATTTTCCTTGTTGTTGTTGATACTTTTTACAATATAATCAATCATAATTATTATTATTAATATTAATATGCACATGATGAGTACGAGTCGATATCTTCTTTTTCTATTCGAAAAGAACACTGTTAATAAACTGTTATCTCTTCCGTTTATCTATCTCATCAATATTATACCTTATCAGTGTGTTTGTGTGTGTGTCGAGCCCATGCAGCACACCGCCCATCAATCGATAACTTCCGCCGAGTCCCCTTATCACCTCACCATCACATCACTTCATTTTCATGACAGAATCGAGTGCACAAGCAGCGGTGCAAATTTCCGATTTGACGCCCATCTCATCGGAGGATCTCGAGCTGAAATGGGACACTTTGGAGCACGACAAGTTGGGCGGCGGCGGCTATGCCAACATTTTTCACTTGTTCTACCGGGGACACGTGAGTTGTGAATATTGTCGAGTTGCGGAAAGGATGCGTTTGTTTTTTTTTATAGGATGCGGTGCTGAAACAACCGAGAGAAAAGTGTACGGAGGCGGAGAAAGGTAGGCGCAGCAAGGGTAAAAACAATAAAAAATTCCTTGGCGCAAATCAGGTGCGCTAAACAAGGCGCGTAACGCGTAATTCCGGAGCGTCGTTGTAGAGTTTCTCATTTCAATTTTTCCTTTTTTTTGCATTATCCACATCTTTTCAGAACCAATCAGTGTCAAAACGTATGATAATGATTAGAAATGAATAAAAAATGAAATGTTAACTGCTTCGTCATCGATTTCGAAACGTTTTATGTGAAAATTACAGCATTTTTTCCTTTTGGAATCGAAAATTTGCCTCAATTATCTCAATTCTGTATATTTTTCGACGGTTGAGCGCTTAAACGATGCGCAATAAACTGCTTGTTGAGTGTCCGAACGCGATTCGTCAAATAATCGTTAAAACTCCGTTTTTTTCAGTAGTTTTCGACAAAATCCCTTAATTTGGTCAATTCTGAACGAATCTGCTCCGTTTCGCGCTTAAATCGATGCTTTTAACTCAGACAATCGCCCCAGGGTTCGCAAAGAACAAAATTTGAGTGTTTATTAAGAGAAAAACAAAAGAATTCTGGTTTTTAATTGAAAAAAGAAACGCCGAGTCGACAGTTGGTGCAAGCGCGCCCCATTGACAACTCGCTTGCTCACTACTCACTTTTTCAGCGAAAATGTTGCGAGAGGCGCTCATCGTTGCCTCGTTGAACACGTGTCAAAACGTGGTTCGTCTGTACGGAATCTGCGACGAGCAGCCTTTTTGGGGCCTGATAATGGAGTACTGTGCGGGCCCGAATCTGTCGGAACTCGTCTACCAACTCGAGGAGCGACGCGTCACGATGGACACGTTGCGGGTGTTTAAATGGTGTTACGACCTGGCCAGGACCCTGTGCCACGTCAATGTCACCTATTTCCACGGCGATTTTACGCCACGAAACGTGCTTGTGAAGGAGCGGCCGTGCTGTTGTAGAGATGGACAATATCGCGATGCCGTGTACCGGGAAAAGGTGTGTGCACTCGTTTTGTGGCCATACAATCGGTTAGAATACTCTTTCAAACATTTTAAGACCTACCGCCAATGCGCAAACTGTTATGGAGTGCATTTGGAGCACCTAACCCTAAAGATTACCGATTTTGGAATGGCGGCGAGACATGGAACACCTCGCGAAAAGTACAATATCTGTCCATTTCCACTCAAGTCTACAATATCCGTTTCCAGCTCGGGTACCCTCGAATTCTGCGCTCCGGAGCTCGTCTGCCACGACGGCGTCTGCAATTACACTGAAAAATCCGAGATCTACTCGTTCGGACGGCTCATGTGCGCCCTCGTCATCGGAAAACGGTTGGACGATTGTGAGGAGGAGTTGAACACGTTTTTTGTCAGTTTTCCCGGTCTCCCAGGGGGCGCCAATGCTAAAACAGTGCGCTCGTAAATTGCGGAGTGTCGTTGTAGCTTTTGAAAATTTGCAGGCCTAAAAATGGAGTTCAATTCGAGTTTACCACCTTTATTTCTATCTTTTTGACTTGAAAAACGTCTAGAAAACAATATTTTACTGGCTGGAAACCGTTCTTTACAGAATTTGTTTTTTCGCATTTCGTCAAAACTTCAAACCTTTATATTTCAGCTCATTTTGCATTTTATGAGCGCAACAAACGATAAAAATGTTCGCTGAATTTTTCTTTACAAAATTCAAATTTCGGCGGTTAGTTTTCTTGAGCAGGTTTCGAAAACTATTCGAAAAACATCAAAATCCAGGCCAAAACGTTCAAATCGAAATAATTCGGCTAATTCTCAACGATATGCGAGATTTCTGTTATGGGGCTATTCAGCGTACGTTTGTTTTCCGTTTTTTTCGTTTTTTTACACTGCTCAACTGCGTTTTTTGACGTAAAAAAACAAAAAAAAACGGAAAAAAATCATTTTTTTCACAGCCTGAATAAGCCCATTACCAAAACGTAGCTAGTGCTCGAATTATTCAAATCCAGGTTCCAGGCGTACAAAAAAAATAGGTGTATTGTACAGAAAACATGGAGAGAATTTTAATCGGCCGCCGCCGCGTAAATCGACACAGCCCGCGTGGTGCAAGTGCGCCCCATTGAAATCATTCGCGCCGTGGCAGACCGTCGTTTTCGCAATGATGTTTTGTTTCGCTCAAACGATATTGTTTTGTTCAGAAAAAGCGAAACGATCCCAAGTTTGACTTGAATCTCTGTAAAACGAACACGATTTGCGATACTATCACCGAGTGTACGGTACGTTTCTTGACGAACGTTTGCGGGAAAAAAAATCGTCTGTTCCAGCACATCGACCCCGATCTCCGTCCATCCTTCAAACAACTTTTGGAGAAACTCGACGGACGCTATGAAATTTACGCGAGACTGAAAGGCGTGGATAGCCGAATTGAAGCCAATCGGGAACGTGACGAGTTTCTGGACCACTATGCGAATCCGAGGTGAGCAAGTGCGCTCTACGGAACTACTCCACCAAGTTTTTGCTCGCAGAAAGATCACAATGGCTCACCGATCGTGCACAACTTCAACGCTGTTGTCGGATAGCGAGAACGACGACGTTCGCAGCGGTCAAAAGTATTTTGGCGGTCCGATGGTCAATGAGAATTTTGTGTAAGAGAGTGGCACCCGAATATCTCTGCTGCCGGTGGAGATATCAAAAAGTTGTCAACTGATAAATTGCTCAAAAACACTTTGTGCACATTTTTCCAGTTGACCACTTTTTGGCATCTCTACGCAGCGCTGAGATACGCACAATACAAGTGTCTATAGGCCCAGCCCGACGTGTTCACCGCCCGTTTCCCGCAAAAACAGCCAGGACGTCGAGGTGTACCATCAGCGATACATCGAAAATCAGATTTATAACGAGTGGGTACTGATTTCGGTCACCCTCTCACGTATCATTCAATGTTTCAGACTGCTCACAAAACGTCGACGTCTTCACAAACCGCATCAGTTTTGGCGCGGTTTGAAGAATGCGATAAGTTCGAGATTGATCAAGTTTTCATTGAATAAACACATTTGAAACTTTTAAAACCAAAAAAAAGTTGTGGGGGGGGGGTTGGCAAGACAGAAATGTTGTTTGTTTTTGATTTTCGATTGATTCATTCGACTACAAGACTACCGTACACTCACACAGAATTATCGATTGATTGTTAGGGGGGCGGGGCGATGGGGACAGGGAAAAAACAAAGAATAGGAGACCCGAAACATCGGAACAAGAGATCCGGCACACACACACACAGCAGTATACAAACCAGAGTTGAGCGGAAGAACTCAACGGAAGAACACGGAAGAATTTTTATATCTTTTTTAGAAAATTTTTTCATGGAATGTGATCAACTGATGAAATGTATAGCAAAGTGAATTCTGCTCATAAAAAAATAATTGTAAATTTAGCTTTTCATACAAAAAAGTTATTCGAGTTGTTCCGTGGAAAAAGGCGGCTAACGGAACAATTCGAACAACTTTTTTGTATGAAATGTTAAATTTACAATTATTTTTCTATGAACAGAGTTCACTTTGCCATACATTTCGTCAGTTGATGACATTTCATGAAAAAATTTTCTAAAAAAGATATAAAAATTCTTCTGTGTTCTTCCGTTGAGTTCTTCCGCTTAACTCTGATACAAACCTCACACGTACTCCTCTTCGCCAATACTGCAGCAGATTGTGAACGGCACCTGAATTTGTTTCGATTTTGTGTAAAACGAGGGGAATTGGGTTGGGGAATAACGTCGTCGTCACCAAAAAAATGGAGGGAACGGGGGGACAAATACACCGAAAGCTTGGGGGGAAGAGAGAGAGAGAGAGAGAGAAAGAGAAAGAGAAAGAAAAAAGAGCGTAGGCGTGGGCGTAGGGCGTCGAGAGAGAGGCAGGCTTCTGATTTTCACTGAAAAAATATAGGAGAATGGGGCCGGTATGGGTCGTCGACATGCACAGGACACTCGTAAAACGGATAACACGCGGACACACACACAGAGATCTCAAGTCTTCTTACCTGACTCAATTCCGAGTCGAGTGACGGCGAATCGCGACGTGGATCCGGACTGTCGCTCGTGCTCGCGCTCTCCTCCTCGATCACACCGTTCACCGAGCCGCCTGTAATTTGGGAGGGGACAATGAATCGGAAGATCCTCGAGGACCATTGTTACCATTGCAAGTTGTCGTCGTCGTCGTCGTCGTCGTCGGCTCATAAGTGCTCTCGATCTCCTCTTTCCACTTGCGATGATTGTGGTGCATGTTGATCCAGAGTTCCGAGTTTTCGAGGCCAGGCAGGACGGGCAGGAGACCGCTCTGGAACTCGGAAGGACGTTCATCAAAACTTGGGACTAGTCTAGATACTGATTTCTACCAGAGATGTTGGGAATAAAAATTTTACTCTACGGAACACGGAACACGGAAAACGGAAAATTTTTTTTTTTACGGAACACGGAACACGGAAAACGGAAAAAAACTTATTTCTACGGAACACGGAACACGGAACGCGGAAATTTTTTTTTTTACGGAACACGGAACACGGAAAAAATATTGCAAAAAAACGCGGAACACGGAACACGGAACACGGAACACGGAACACGGAATTCCCAACATCTCTGATTTCTACACAACGCTCACCTCATTCATCGCCTGCGCGAGCGGACTAACCACGTGCGCAATGAACGAGTCCTGAAGCTTGGCCACTTGCGCGTCGGCCCGATCCATGTACGGAGTGATCGCCATGCCGCGCTTCTTCTCGTCGTCGCCCTGCTCGTAGAACTCCTCGCAAATCCGATCGGTCCACTGTCGGTGCAGTCCGTACGGTTTTGTGGGGCTGTTGATGTCGGCCATCTTGATGAGCAGCTTTCCGACGAGCAGCCGATCCGACTCGACTTGAAGATCCATGTCGGCGAGCCGGTCGTTGAACGTCATGATCACCTCGAAGTGCTGCTTCAGATCGGTGGCCAGGATGTACTCGAGCACGAGGTAGCGGAACCGTTTCATCTCCGCCGGATCCAGGTTCTCGATGAAGTGGTTCTCGGGCCGGCACAGCAGTTTCCACGACTCTGCGGCGTGATGATTCTCCAGAACGCTTCGATCATTGTACAGAATCGCCTTCTTGTCCTCGACGGCGACGAGGAACGCGTTCGTCCGGCCCGGATGGTCGAAATCGTGCATCGCGGCCGCCGTGTACAGCGCCATCAGCTCCAGCGTGCTCATTTGGGACATGATCGAGGCGGCCGGCGGTTGAGGCGCCGGGAGCAGCGAGTCCGGCGACTTGACCACTCCGAATTGTGGCCGCACCGGGTGCACGGATAGATAGTAGCAGCCGTGCAGCACGTCGGCCGCGTGGATTCGGTTGTGGTCTAAAAAAAATTTGAAATTTCCCGATTGTATGTACAGGCCTTTTTTGAGCTCACATGGAATCTCCCAATAGCCCTTCTCGAGCGCGTGGAAAAAGTTGAAAAATTTGATGGGCGACACTTTGAAAATGCGAAACAGCTCGGCGTGCTGGAACACCGTGTACGTCAGCCGCGACAATATCGTTTGCGGGAACTTTCGCGAGATTTGAAAGATGGGAAGGCCCACTCGGTGACCTCCTGAAAGTCCGGATCGTTGTCGAGCTCGCGCGTGTCGTAGCGCTGTCCGTCGATCGTCGTCACGACGGTGTCGACGTGCGTTCCGCTCTCCTTTCGCGACACACCACTGTGCTTTTTGAGCACGTCCACCGGCGTCTGCCGGTCGTTGTTGTTCGACGGCGACGCTTCGGTTTTCCAGTAGCTGCAAAAAAGTAGTGAACAATTCGGTGAAACTGTGAAAAGTCTCGAGTTACCACCACCCCGCCCCCCAGCAATATACCTAGCAAAAGCCGTCAACGGCGAATTAACGCGCTTCTGAAGGCGATTAACGACGAGCACTCCGAACGGCTGAATCTCTTTGTCGACGTTCACGTTCACGTTCATCATCATCATCGTTTCATCTGCCACGCTCTTTTAGTACATGCACAGAGTTGACGGACGAGAGAGAGAGAGAGAGAGAAAATGGGAAAATGTACGGCGGGGGGATAGTGATGAACTGACAAGGTGGCCGATGCCATGTGATCTTGCCGAAACGGATCACGTGGAAGTGGCTGGCAGAAGAACAGAAGAGAAAGAGAGAGAAAGAAAAGTGTATTATTCTTTCTAGCTGCCCGCAAATGGTCAACAAGCTGTTCATGTTGGTCTCGTTGCGGTTAGGGACTGGCAACCAACATTCTGTTAGACGAAAACGGTTAGAAACTTACATCTGAAGAGAATCTTATAGTTTCCACCCCCTTCCAACCCAACTACGTTCGCAAAAAAAAGGAGGAAGAGGAGGAGAGGAATGACCAAAAAAGAAGAGAGTGTGGCGGCCTGGCCTCCATTCTCTTTTCCGCCAAAGGACCAACAAACAGAGCGGCGGCGGGGGGGCAATTTCAAAGAGTTTTAGCACTGATTTATAAACTTGTTGCCCGATAATATATTGAAATACACGCGTTTTCGTGGAAGGGCGATTCGGAGAATTTGCTTGCAAAAGAGGGGGATGCGGTCAGAATTAGATGCGGAGAAGGGTAATTGTCGTCGTCGTCGAAAGACCTAACAGAGCCGTAGTGGAAATTGGAAAAAAAAAGCGAAGAGCGGGAGGAGAAGGAGACGGAGAAACGGATAATAGCGGATAGTGAATACCTTCTCTTTTTCTTTCAGACAAAAATATGGAAGGAAGAAGAAGAAGGGGAGGCATTTCTGAGAAAGAATGAGGAAGGATAAGAGCGATGGATGGGAAGGATTAGCAATTTCAAAGACATTTGTTGGCGGCCGAAATTGTATGGCCAAGTACAAATCTGGTCACGGTTCTTGGTCTAAGTGCGCTCAAAAATCTATGGCCCTCTTACAGGCCCTCTAAGGTCTGTAACTTTTCAAATCTATAACCAAAATATGCATCATCTCAGAACAAGGAAGAAAAGCAGAAGAACAAAGTGTGTGTGTGCACGTGGTGGTGCACTACTTTCTCACACACACAAAAAAAGTAAAACGTTGTTCTTCTCGTTCTTTTCCCTTTGTTCTTCTTCTTCTTCTTCATCCTAAAACGCTCTGCGTTTGGCCACACCCACTTTTTACCAGACTAGTGAAGAAGAAAGAGTGTAATGAATTCACGATACGTGTTGGCAAAAAAAAGGCGAGCGGCGCATAGAGCAATGGGCTCACGAGAGGGCTCGCAAAAAAAATTATTGCAAAATTGAAATAAGATATGAATGGAGAGATGAAGAAGTGGAAAAAGAGTTGAGTGACATGTCGAGTGACCCGCGTCCAACAACAAAAGATCAAGAGTATTATCCGGACCTTCGTAGACCCCCACCCCACTGGTTCCGATTCGTATAGAGAAAAATGAGAACAAAAGGGGCTCGCGCATTCATTTTTTTTTCGTTTTTTGACGAATGAAAATGTCATGTCAATCTTTGTCTCTCTATTCCTCTCAAAGTTTCAAAGGACATCTCCCCCTCTTCTTCTTCTTCTTTTTCCCTTTTTCATCTGCTCTAGAGGGAGTACCCGGAGAAAAAGAAGAAGAAGAAGAAGAAGAAGAAGAAGAAGAACGAATGGTGGGGGAAAGAGCGGAAATTAACTTGGTCCACCGAAAGGAATGACGTGGAAAAGTCGGAAGCTTTGGGACCCCACTAAACATTGTTTGGAACAAAGACTAAAAACAAACTCTCGAAAAATCTAGGCCACGCGAGTGAAAAGCTCGGCCAGCAGCACCGAACAACTCAAAAATCACACGGCGCGGCGGGCCCTTTTTGTGCTCAAAAAGAAAGAAGAGGAAGAAGAAGAAGAAGAAGAAGAGGGAGTGTGTTCCCACGTCTTCTTCTTCTTCTTCTTCTTCTTCTTCTCAATTTTCGCTTCCGCTCTACCAACTCTCTCTCTCTCTCTCTCTTCCTTGAAATCAAAAACGATTTTGGGGTCTCGTGATGTTGATGATGAGTGAGAAAGTCCGGGGCATTACTTTTTCCCGTAAAATGTTCATCCAATTGACGCTGATCTTTTAACGAGCCGCCGTGGGAATTCAAAAGTTCATTGAGATCAAAAACCAAGCGGAAGAGCTCAACGGAAGAACACGGAAGAATTTTTATATCTTTTTTAGAAAATTTTTTCATGAAATGTGATCAACTGACGAAATGTATAGCAAAAGTGAACTGTGCTCATAGAAAAATAACTGTGAATTTAGCTTTTCATACAAAAAAGTTATTCGAGTTGTTGCGTGAAAAAAGGCGGCTAACGGGGGAAGACGGAAGGAATAACTTTTTTGTATGAAAAGCTAAATTCACAATTATTTTTCTATGAGCAGATTTCACTTTGTTATACATTTCGTCAGTTGATCACATTCCATGAAAAAATTTTCTAAAAAAGATATAAAAATTCTTGCGCTCAACTGGCCCCGATGCCCCATGTCAAGTGCTCACCTGCTGCTCCTCGCCTTATTCGGCTCTGCGGGAACCGTCGGAAGTCCGGTGGCGGAGGTGACCGTCGAGAAGGTGATGTTCGAAATGCGCGGCTTCGAGTTCTGAAAACCAACAATATAGTGGATAGTATAGTGGAGCCGTGCAGTTGTTCGACGCCCTTTTCATCGCGCGCACACACTCTCACACCGACCGTCCCTCCCTCCCCTAAACACCTCAATTGGCAGACTGCTGGCCATGTCGCGCTGCTCGACGAGCGGCGTCGTCGTCTGAATGGCGACGGACGAGCGTGCCGGATGAATGCCGAGACACTTGACCATGTACTTGGGCCGCGTTAACAGTTTGAAAATGAGATTGTCGACGGATCCCTGCCGATGAACGGATTGCGTCGACGAGGAGGCCGACGAGGGAATCGAGTGGAAGCCGTTCGAGGAGAAGGAGGAGGAGTGATGGTGGTGGTGGCCCGCCGATTTGCAGCGCGACGCCGGCGAGTGCGACTCGCTGCGACGCGGTAGCATCCGATGCGGCAGCGAGGAGAGAATCGTCGACAGTCTTGACGAGGCGGTGATTGGGAGGAACGAAGCGGAGGGGGAGGAGGTGGAGGTAATCGTGCTGGAAGGAAAGAGATGCACCATGTGCAGAGGATCGTTTAGAGAATGAGGGAGAACGCGTGGATCAACAATATCTATTACCAAATGCATTGGCAAAAGGAAAAATGGGGGAAAGAAGCGAAAAAACAAAAAAAAAAAACGTCTAGTAGTGTGTTTTCTGGGGCATACATGCACAATAAAATACCTCCCTGGAGCCGGCGGCGGAGGAAGGAGCAAGGAGGAAGGAAATATTGTTCGGAAAACAATTGAATGCAAGTCACATTGGGCACCCATTTTCCCAACACAAAAAAACCACAAATCGACAATAATTATTCATACGGGCGGTCTAGAAATCCAAATGGCAAAAGTTAGGTTAGCACACACTTGATCGATGCACCATGGGGTTCTGAGAAGAGGGGGTTAGACCACGGTTTTCTCAAATACAAGGAAGGGGAAGCGTCGGTGGTCTAGAAATCCAAGTGGAGAAAGTTAGGCCGCCTAAAATTTGTGACGTGGCAAGGTGGGTACGTACCAGAGTTGAGCGGAAATGGAATTTTGAAATCCGGAAGACGGAAAACGGAAGACGGAAGACAACTTTTTTCCCGGAAGACGGAAGACGGAAGACGGAACAAAAAAAAATCGTCAATGCAGAACCTTTTTCTCCGGTTTTTAAAAAAAATAACTAAAGCAACAAAAAATTTGGATCTGGGTCACTGCCCGTGGAAATTCGCGTTCTTCGGGGCTAGTAAATGGCTTCTGAAAAGCTATTACTCTTTTAAGGTACAAAGAACAAATTCCGGAAGACGGAAGACGGAATTCCGCTCAACTCTGGTGGGTACGTAGTACACGAATAAATCAGAAACAAGGAAGAGAAAGAGGAAGCTTTGTATAAATGGATAAATGAGTGCTTCTCCCTCTCTCTCTCTCTCCCTCTCTCTCTTTGTGTGCTCCTTCTTGTCAGCTCGGTAGAGAGTACCCATCGCATCGGACACCTACGCTAATGATATGTGCATTCAGAGTGCTGCTCAATTTACACCAAAATTCTCCTTTTTCGCGCTCGCTTCCACATCATCATCATCATCATAATGATTGCCTTGGGTTGTTGCATAATATCCGGTAATTGGGGGAGGCCAGAGACTAAACGCCGACGGATGCACCATGTGGTGGACTAGAAAAGCGCAACGACCATGTTTGCAAACAGATTCTTGACTATGAAAATGAAAAAGGTACAATGGAATATTGTCGGTGCTCATTCTATGATCCTCATTGTGTCTAGGTTTGGCGGAAAGTTTTAAACATTTTCCGAAACAGAAACTTGTTTCGAAACGTGTCGCAACTCAAGCAATTACACTTTGAAATTCAAATTTGGGCAGCGCGGATGCCAAAACAAGCGGAATGAATCACAAATCGGAAAAAAAAAGAAAACAACAAGCCCGGCGATGATGATGATGATGATGATGTCAATTATGAGCTCAGTTTGGAGCAGCACGGACAATAACTGGTTTAGTGACGTATTATCTGTTCTGGAACACGTTTTAGCACACATTTTCGGTTCAAGGGCGCCAGTAGCTCATAGTTTAGTGGTTTAGTACACTACCGTAATCCTAACCTCCTCCTAGACGCTCTCAAATGAAAGCGTCGTAAGGTCGGTGTCCAATTTTCGTCAAAGAGGACAAAGATGGGGTAAGCGCGAAATGTATAATAATATCCGAACAGTTTGAATGAGGCAAGAACGAGAGCACGAGTCGTCACCGTTTCAAGGCGAAAAGTGAAAAGAGAAGAAGAAGGGGGTAGGCGTCCAATTAAATCCCATCCGGCTTTTGAGAAGAGGAGCAAAAAGTTTTAATTAAAATCTTTCTCGGAAGCCGGCTACGGTAGGTTGGGAGAGCAAGAAAGAAGAAGAAGAAGAAGAAGAAGAAGACGATGCAGTGGTGTGTGACTAATTTTTGGTAAAGGTTCTACATATTATTATTGGTTTGGTTTGTGGCCAGTCAGCGAATCACTCACCTGATGTCACTCATTTTTGTGTGGATTCTCATCATATAATATCAAAAAAGTTCATCATCACGACCAAGTTTTGCAACGAATTCCGACGTCAAAACGTCTCTTTTGAGTCGTCAAACGTCATGGAGCACAAAACCGGCCGGGGGCACGTGTCTTTGGGGGGAGGGAAACGGATTTGGAGTTCTCGGGATCAAAGGATGTTCCCCGGCGGTTGGTCGCTGGAAAAACATACCGCTCGTCACCCGAGAACGGTGAGTTTGAGTAAAGTTGGAACAATTTAGAACAAAAACGTGTCACTGTCTCAAAAGATGTCTTCTGATTGCGGTTGGACTATTAAAAAGTGTGCGGCCCAAACCCTAGAAACCCACTTTCCACACCAAATGGTTTTCAGTTTCGATGGCGAAAAGTTGTGTGCGGCGGCGCCTTCTTGCCACGCAATTTCCTAATCAAACACACGTCTTGACGCCGTCTTTTCAGGACAAAAAGGAATGAAAATGAATGCGCATCGCGCACAATTCTAATCTCATATAAAACATCCGAGCGCGCGCGCACGCGCGCTCGCCCAGATACCTAGAAATTCAAAAGCGTGCAAGTTGAAACGAATTCGAGAGAGAAAGAGAGAGAAAAAGAATGATAATGGGTGGGAGATGAAAGCGGAAGATTCAAAACTATCGTAATCGAGTGCAACTGACCCGAGAGTTGAGCGGAAATGGACTTTTGAAATCCGGAAGACGGCAGACGGCAGACGGAAGACAATTTTTTTAACGAAACACGGAAAACGGAAGACGGAAGACGGAATTCCGCCTCAACACTGGTCATCATTTCTCGTTGTAGTAGCCCAAAAAGAAGCGAGCAAAAAAAAAAAGTGAATTGGAAAACGGGGGGGGCAAGGGATGCGAGACTAGAACCATTTTATCATCTCGCGCTCGTGTTTATGTGCATTTGGAACGAGTTTGGCAGCACGAAAAAAAATGGATGGAAACACGGCAGATTTGTGACCAGAAAACTTGTCGCTGAAGCAAAATAGGTAGGGAACCAAGTTCCAGCTCGCCACCTAATCTCATCCTCCATCCCCCCCTCACCAATCCAATAAATAACAAATTCGAGCCCAGCCCCCCTCGGGACTCTGGAGACAGGAGATGTTCATGATTGTGTCTCCGCGCCGGATTCCCACGCCAAATCGTGTGTCGCCCGCCGCGCGAGACGTCCGAGCAAAGAGCCCTGAGAATGTGTAAAGAGGGGGGGGGTTAAAGAAGAAAAAGAAGAAGACGTCATTCTGGGGGGCATGAGAAAAACACATTCGAGCCGTGTGTGTGTGTGTGCTAAAACTTGGCGGGGACGCCTACAACTCGAAAAGCACACAAATTACTCGCCATTCACTTCTACTCTCTCTCTCTCTCTCTCTGTCTCTCTCTCTCTCTCTCAAAAGTGATAGTAGGAGCAAAAAGTCATCGATGAAGCCGTAGTTAGTTTGAAACATGTTTGACGTGGCACTACCTACTGTAGAAACAATTTCTCTAAAGAGAGAGGGCACAGCACACTGTTTGAGCACAAAATGAGTCGGAGCGTGACGGAAACATGAGAGCTGAGAGGTGCTAATTAGCAGCAGCAGCAGGAACATAATTTGTATAGCAAAAAAAATAGAAAAGTGTGACGCCAAGCTTCCGGTTCACCACTTTTCGTGTTCTTCTTTCAATTCCGATGTTCAGCACGCAGCAACATGCTTCTGTGTTGGTGGCCTAACTTTTTCCCGCGACATTTCTAGGCCACTTGTTGCTACTAATCACGTCTAGACGATGATTATTGATGAAAAAGTGCGAAACGAGCTAGTAAGGTGCTCTTTTTAAAAGTGCAAGAAGATGAGCGAGCAAAACTCACATGCACAAGATTGAACTTTTCGAAAAAGAGAGGGGGCACGAGGAAGGCGTCGAAGAGAGGAGCCCAAAAATTAATCAAGTTGAGGCTGCTGCTGCTGCTGCTCGGGGAGCTCAGACACACGGATTCAAAGCACGGATTCGATTGGATTACGTGGCAAAATGGGCAAAAGAGAAGTGAAATGTTCTGTGTCAAGAAGAGTCACCGCCGTTTATGAGATTTATGAGATAAAAGGGAAAAGAGAAAGAGCAAGAGCTCTTCGTAGTCGAAAAAAGTTCCGGGTTTCTGTGATAATTTAAAGATTAAGGCAGGCGATGATGGGGTTACTGTAGTAGACATACAATATTTCAGAGAGTCTTTCGGAGCCTAAAACATGTTTCTCTAACATTTTTGCGCGGATTCTCGTTTCCAGACACAAATCGCGTGATTAATTTTTTTAATTTTTTTTTTCTTAATTTCTTAAGCCACGAGCTAAATTTACACTAGAATTTCTAGGCCACGAACCTAGAAAAACGTGAAAAACAGCTAGCCAGATTGCCGACTCAAAATGCTAATCCGCCAATCGATGGCCTGCACACAAAATGATGATGGGATTTCCGGGTTTTCAAAGGGTATTGTGTGTGTGTGTGTGTCCAAAATTCGTTTGAAAAACGTGGGGGGCGTGGCCAACACTTCCACTGTTGATGATCCGAATGTTGTTTTGAGGAGAAGCCACGCACTTTTCCAGCCGAAACGCCGTGTTGTCGGATGAAAGTGAGTAAAAACACGTGACGGTTGGAAGGAAGATGGCAACAAAAAAAAAGAAAAGAGAAAAAAAAGTCGTGAACTTTTTGTTTATTCTTTTTTCTTCGTTTCTTGACAAAAAGTACTACTCGGGCTGCTGCTGCTGCTGCTGCTTTTGGCTGAATGTTCACGCAACTGGAAATGTGTCCTAAAATATGTTTTGCCGACAGCAGCTTGTCTGGAAAAACATGCTTAGAACCAGCAGAATTCAAACATTTAGGGCCTAGAACAGATGACACAATTATAAACATTTTGAAAGGCGACACATGCTTGAAACATGTTCTAGGACACTTTGATTTGTTCTAGGCACCTAGAAAAGTTGCATTACATGGCTGGCCATACTGTACTCACCGTGACGAGCGGCACCATATAATGCGCACAATCGACGCAGCACTTGCAGCGAAAGTCCAGCGAGCAGACGAGACATTGACCGACGAAATTGACGAGCGACGTCGTCGAATTGCGCGACGAACTGCCGCGATGCGTGAGATCACGGCTACCGCGCGACGACGACGCCCGATGATGTTGTTGGGTGGGATGCGTCGTGGTGGCCGGAGGCGGGACGACCGACGACGACGTCAGGTCCGACGAACTTCGCGGCAAATGGTGGTGCATCATTGGCATCGGAGGATTGGTTGGAAGGAGGAGGAAGTGTGCAGTTGGCTGCAGACGTTGGAACACGTTTCGGGAAGGAAGAGGTGGAGAAACGAATCGGAAGAAGAAGAAGAAGAAGAAGAAGAAAAGAGTTCGAGAAACGGAGAAGGATTCTTTGGGTTGAGGACCCGCATCTCTGTATTTCTTAGCCCCCACCCCACCCCGAAAGATGAAGGCAATATGGAGCATTCTCATTGTCCACACATTTCTAGAACCTCTTCAAAACAGGAAATTGACTTTTTGCTGTTCTCTCTCTCTCTCTCTTTCTCTCTTTCTAGCCCTCTTCCTCTTTCCCTTCAAAAAAAAAAAAAAAAAGGTGTGTAAGCGGCTAATCCCTTGACGACGGATTGACGTGCGAGAAAAAGGTGATGAAAAGACGATGATCGCGTGGGGCAAAGTCCACGGAATCCGTCGTTATCAATGAAAAAAAAATAAGAAAACCACACCCTATCTATTGTTCGACCAAAAAGTTTTGATCAGCAATGAATGGAACTTCTAGGCTTCTTCAAAGCAGAAAACCGGGGAGGGGGGGGAAGGATTTGGAAAAAGTGTGAGAAAGTTTTCATGGAGGGACTCTGCCTTCCCTTCCATAAACGTAAAGACAAAAAAGGTGGCGCCCGGCCGGGAATTGAACCTGTGAGCGTTCTGGCGCTTCGGACAAAACGCTAACCTCTGCGCCACCCAGACACCCTGATCTTCTTGCCGCAAGGGTAATGATAAACTGGCGGCTCGCCAAGATTTTGACGTGACATTCTTTGTTTGGGAAATTTTTTGATAAAACCTAAACAAAACAGCTACAATGTACACATCAATCGACTGGAAATTTTCAGCTGCACCCGACTAGCCCATTAGTTTTTCCAGAAAATGTGTCTGCGACAAGTTGAGCACCGAAATAGGGGGAAATGGGAAATGTACAATAGGTCGGAGCGGAAAAACGAGGAGAAAAACGGGGCGAGAAGTGAGCGCATGCTCAATGAATGAGCCGCCAAATTGGCGTGATTTGTGTGTGTCGGTGTGTGTGTGTGTGTGTGAAAGTAAGCAAGCACAGGCTTGAAGACGTGAAAAACGGGCAGAGGGAAAAGTGTGTCAGAATCGGATTAGGCGCCGAGCGGCAGCAGCTGCTTTTTCTTTTCGAAATGCGGCTGAAAATGACTGAAAAGATGGGGGGGGAGAGAAAAGAGAAAAAGTTTGGATCGTTCAGATATTATGCGAGTCTCGAAAGATTGAACACTTGTGCCTCAGGGTCTTCTAATCCTAAGCCTCAACCGATTGATGTCAGACGATTAGGGCGAAAACATTCTAAATGTTAAGCCAATTGGATTAGAAAGAGTTGGGGTGGATCGATGAACTTGATGCCAAATCTTTAGAAGACTACAATAGCAGTTCTCGCCTAATCATTTGGGGGGTGTTGTTCATTCAAAGCGATGTAACTTGGTTGCTTGTGAAGATATCAAAACGCAGTCAACTGCAAAAACGTGGAGAATGTCTTAGAGAACAATTTACTAGTTGACAACTTTTTGAAATCTCCCCGCCCAGCTGCGATATATTGTCTTAAAGCAACGCCGCGCGTGCCGCGCGCTGCCACGCGCTGCCAACAGTCCCTCCAGCAGCGACTCACCCCGACAACCATCGACTCTCCGCCATAGGGATTCTCGACGACCAACGGAAGACCGTAGTCGAGACCGTTCATCGGCAGCGGTCTCTGCTCCAAAAGTGTGGCGACGGCGCGGAGACACGTGCTCACGTTGCCCGGCAATTCCTTGTTCATCAGCATGTCGGCGATGAGTCCTTTCGCCTCGCTCAACGAGGAACCGGTGATCTGCAACAAAATTGATAATATATAGTTGGTTGGTGTGGAGGGACCGCCCATCTTTCTCTTTTTCTCTCTCTCCCTCTCTCTCTCGGATCATTTCATCGGAAGCCATTCATCAAATCGCAAGCAACGGTTCGTCTGCAGACACTTATCATACTAGAATGCGTACAAAAAAGCGTTTAGCCGATCGCAAACCCTCAGGACCGTGGAAGCGAACTTTGGGAGCACTCAAAAACCCCCCTGGAACCCAATTTACCAGCGGCCGGCCACCCAACGACAGCGAATTGGCGGGCAGACTCGTCCTCCGCTGCCGCATCGCTTCGTGGAACGTCCGTTGCATGTGGCTGTCCGACATGACTCCACGCCCACGTCCACCGAGCACTGGCAATCCGATCGAGCCGATGGAGCCTGCAAATGAGTGCATCTTTTAAAGGACCAGGAAACCCAAAAATGATTTTTTGATTTTTTTGTGAAATTTTTTTGTGACGACTGTTTGAATTGTCTCTTATTGCCTCATACACTGGTGAAATGCTGCCTCTCAAAAATGCCAATGAACGTAACGGCGTGCAGTTGAAGTTGTGGCCGTGGCCTAGCGCCAATGGCCTAGAAATATGCGCTTCTCGGCCATTTTATTTTTTCCGCTTTTTTACCGGTTTTTTTTTCCAAAAATTCACAGTTTCTCCCATTTTTCAGTTGATTGACATTATTTTTTCACTGCTAATTTTTTCACTGCTTTCCGTGGAACAAGGGCGATTTGATCGCAAAAAAACCGGTAAAAAAGCGGAAAAAATAAAATGGCCGAGAAGCGCATATTTCTAGGCCATTGGCGCTAGGCCACGGCCACAACTTCAACTGCACGGCCGTTTCGTTCATTGGCCTGTTTGAGAGGCAGCATTTCACCAGTGTATGAGGCAATAAGAGACAATTCAAACAGTCACAAAAAAATTTCACAAAAAAATCAAAAAATCATTTTTGGGTTCCCTGGTCCTTTAAGTTGTTTGAAAAAGGTGTGTGTGGTCGGGTGTTAACACGCGACTAATTGAAAAGGTCAACACGACCCAGTTTGACCTTGATATCACCATTTTTGAGCGAATACATATGGTGCATCGGACGGAAAACCATCAAAAATCATAACGGAAATGTGGCTTCAAAAATCATAACGGAAATGTGGAAAGGGGGGGGGGGGGTGAGGAACTTGAAAAAGTGTGCGTGTCTGGTTGGGAAAAAAAAAGGATGGGCGTGAGGAGGAAAAGAAAAGAAAACGGAAGGGACGGAGACACACACTTGATTTGATTCGAATTAGTGAGAATTCACGAATTTTGTGTGTGTGAAATTTCAACGCGTCTTGTTCGTTTACGACAAATTGCAGACACATCTTGGCCATCGTCGAGGGACGCGATTTTTCTAGGCCACCGTCGAGTGTACAAGCTACCGTACTCCTACGTGACTTTCTCCCTCCGCGCCACTAAAAACGGAGCGCGGAATAAACGTTGAAATAAATTGTAGGCGAGAAAAGAGAAAGAGCGTTCAGTGCCGCCCTCCCTTTTTATGATCGAAATGCAATGAAATGGTGGTAAAAAGCGAGCGGCGCACAAAAAGATGGACGCGTTTTTGTGTGCTTTTGGTACGAAATTTGGTAGGCCGGGGGAGGCGGTCAAAAATTGGATTTGGGTGGAAATTAAGGGGATCTGCACTCTTTGCTTTTAGTGAAAATTAGGCGCAAGCCAATTGGTCTTTGAGCGGTTCAAAGCGCAAACTGACAATAGTAGCAAAAAGTTGTGAACATACAATATACGAAAATGAATTTGTGTGTGTGTGTGTGTGTGTAGTGAAAGAAGAAAAGGTTTCCGGTCATCATCATCATCATCATCATCTTTATCACTCGAAGACAGCGCACGATAATTTGATAACAAGGGAAGAAGAAGAAGAAGAAGAAGAAGAAGAAGAAGAAGAAGAAGAGAGAGAGAGAGATGAAACTGGTGGTGGCCCACCGCTTCGCTTTAGAAGAACACCACTAAACGTGGACAATATCGGTTCTTTGATGGGAAACCAAGCGGGTAGGATTACTGTACTCAACTGGCGACGAAAAATTTGCTCAAGCAATAGAGCAAAAACCTGAGAAATCGAGCGATATAGCAGATTATATAGAGCGTGGACACAACACAAAAAAAAGAAGTTCATCAGGATTAATTACATACAATAGCAGACGGGGGGTGCGTGGCAAAAACACTTTTTTTCGGACACTAAACAATGAAGCCGGATTTGAAAACGGTGGCCTAGAAAAAGCTTGCGGCCCTAGAAAACTAGGCCACCAAATTGGTCGCGCTAAAAATGAGCTCAAAAAAAACAATAGAGGACGCATGATTTTGACATAAACAAAGCGCGCCAGTTTATTTTGGCTCTCACCAAGTAAAAAAAACAGCTCGCCGGGTGTGTGTCTCTTTTTTACGGACACTCAAAGTCGGTTGACAACGTGTGGCGAAAAGAAATTAATCGGGTGACGGAAGGAGAAAAAGAGAAATATAATAATGATACGGGTGGTGGTGGTGGAGAGGAAATTAACTTTTTCTTTTCGCTTTCGGCCCCCCTCCCCGGCTTTTTTTCATTTTTCTTCGCCTTCCCCAGTGAGTTTTGATTGCATTTAGGGCGGCGCTGATCAAGCGGGGCGCCAATCTCTCGAGATCCATGGTGGAGCCGTCCTAGGATCCGGGAGATCATCAACTCAAAAGTTTCAGATATTTTATGAGATCGTAGCGGCGCCGCTGTCACTCACCAGACCACTACTGTCGGTCTCTTTTTTGGCTGCTGCTTTTGGCTCGCCCAGGAATTTCCCATGAATTTTCAATTTATTTACCCAGACACACACACACACACCGGAATATGGTCAGAATCCAGAAAAGAAAAGACAAAGAGAGTGGGGGGGAAATGAGTTCAATTTATATGCCTTCTTTTTGCTGCTATTTATGTGACTCTTTCTGCGAATAAGTGAGTAGGTGCGAAATGAAAGAGAGAGAGGAAGAGAGAGAGAGAGAGAGAGAGAGAGAGAGAGAGAGAGAGAGAGACAATTTCCATAATATTTGAATAAGGAAGGAATGTGATGATGCACCATGAGAAGAGGGGGGAAATTGAGTACTTTTAATTTGGCACCACCTTTTCTAACGCCTTAGGCTCTTTTTCTCCCATTATTTTGCAGATTCACTTCTTCTCTGGTCGATGGCCGAGCTTTGGGTTTCTAGGCCACGCATTTGAACACCCGGCACTTGGTCGATGCACCATTCGAAGGCTTAACTTTGCGTGGGGGTACTATTCGCGGAAACTTTTAGAGCCGAGAAGATAATTGGGTTGTTCTCGAGTTGCTTACAAGAAGAAATTAGACTTCTCAACGACTTTTCTCAACAAAGTGGCGCAAAAATGAGAGCAACAGAGCTCAAAACGCACAAACTCTATTTGAAAGCCATGTATGTCCTTTAGCGGAAGGAAGAGTTTGAAAGTGTTCAGAATCTGCGTTTTAATGAGAATTTGGATCAAATTCTAGCCATCTAGACGCTTTGAGAACACGAAAAAACGCGTTGAAAACCAAGAGCCGAGACAAGGAACTCTTCTACTAGAAAATAGGAGACTGACAGTAGCTTCATGGGGAAGAAATATACATCGAAAAAGCGCAGAAACCATCAAAACGTGGATAGAGTTGCGAAAAAAGAGAAAGAGAAGGAGAGGAAGAAGAGGAATAAAAGATGGCTTACACTGGGTGATGGATCCGCGATGAATGGTGCTCGCGGAGCCCGGAGAAGCCGAGCCGAGGGGTGACGTGCCGTCGACGCCTCGATTCTTGCGCATTTCAGCCTGCAAAACGGGTAACGAAATTCATTGCGTCGCAACAACAAAAAAAATGGAAAAGAATGGATGAGGAGAGGAAAAGAGAGAGAGAGAGAGAGAGTACAGTAGAATTAGAGACATGTTTCAGGCCGAAAATCGTGGCCTAACTTTACCTAGGCCACATCATTTTGCTGATCCTCTAGCGACCTGAAGACCACACGAGGAGTTGAACAAAAGCGAAACAAAGAACCGCCTCGCGGTCACGTTCTTTTGCTCGAGTGCGTTTAGTACGTACACTCATTTTTGCGGCTCCTAAATTGCTATTCTCACTTGTCCGCTCGCTCAATTATACAATATTTTTCGTGTGCAAAAGCAGCTTCTCTCGCTCGCCGACAAAACGAACCTAATCCCGCACGGCGAAAACACCTATTTCCGTCTACAAGTGTTCTTCAGAAGTGTGTGCAAGAAACGAGAATGAACAATCAAAACGGAGAAGAAGAAGAAGAAGAAAGAGTGACTTCTTCTTCTTCTTCTTTCCCTTCTCGTTGACGGGATAATGTGACACACTCACGCGGAGAAAAGCACCGAAAGGACGAAGAAAACGGCTCCACTACGTGCGCTTGGCCGAACTTTTCACCTGGCCGAGAACGTTCGGCCACCCAGAGAGACACTGTGGCTCAATTTGAAAAGTCGAACGTTGTGGCCTGACTTTTTCTTGTGGGAAAAAGTTAGAGGAAGCCAATCGACTAGGATCCAAGGTGCTAGATCTCCGGGACCATCTCACACGATTTACACGCTCCCAATCGAACCTTTTCACCACGGAAATGGCAAAAAAGAAAAGAGCAAAAAGGCAGAGTGGGCAGGAATTGGAAAAAGAAAAACAAAGTGATTAAGTTGAATGGGCGCAGAGAGAGAGAGAGAGAGAGAGAGAGAGAGAGAGAGAGAGAGAGAGAGAGAGAGAGAGAGAAAGAGAGAAAGAGAGAAAGAGAGAAAGTGCAAGATGGAAAGCACGTGTGAGCTCAGTTTGGAAAGTGTTTGCTTCTGTTTTAAAGTTGGGGTAGGTGTGTAGACCTAGACTAGATGGGGCCTAACATTTTCATCTTGGGAGAAAGCTAGGCCACCCCCCTCACAAACAGGTTGATTCTGGCCAAGAAACATTCGTAATCCAATTAGTTGGGGGCACACAAAACTACAAAATCCACGTGGCACACTTGACGAAGGCTACAACATCGCGAGAGAGAGAGAGAGAGAGAGAGAGAGAGAGAGAGAGAGAGAGAGAGAGAGAGAGAGAGAGAGAGAGAGAGAGAGAGAGAGAGAGAGAGAGAGAGAGAGAGAGAGAGAGAGAGAGAGAGAGAGAGAGAGAGAGAGAGAGAGAGAGAGAGAGAGAGAGAGAGAGAGAGAGAGAGAGAGAGAGAGAGAGCGGGAAATTGGACGGGAATAGGGTGTGTTGGGGGGAAATTGAAGGAAAAGATGGCGAATTTTGATAGGAGAAGAGCATCGGATGCTCTTTTTGTGCTCAATGCATTCGGCCATCGATGACATGAAGATGACGATGATGAGCGCCCAAAAAGTTGGTTCCAAATGCAAAAAAAATGAGCGAAAAGTGGGAGGGTGTCAACTGAAAAGGACCATGTGACCATTTGAAATGGAAGCAGGAAGGGGGGAGGTGTCAACTTTCCGCGAGGGGGGGGGGACCTAGGTCCCCAATAGCTCACGGCTATTTTCAGCCTAAAATGAAGTCTAGACAAAAAAGTAACGTTCCGTCGTTCGTTTCCGACTTCTCAGGTGCTCAATGAGCCAAAGTGAGGGTAGGAAAAACAGCGGGGGACTTTTGAAACTTGATATTTTCTTCTATACGGGGGGGGGGGGACCCCCTAGACGATCACAATTTCACACCATTCCAGGGTCCAGACGAGTAAATATTGACACTCAGCTGTTACAAAATGTGGTTTAAGAATCTTATAAACTATGCAAAAGATGATACCAGCGATTGGGGATGGAACCCTGGTCGACAGATTCAAAGGCAAAAGCGATAGGCACTGGACTAGCCGGCAGCACACGCGCGAGAGTGGTGAGGGTGGTGATAAGATGGCGAGACGAGAGGAGATGGAAGAACGAAGCAGTCAGAATTCAGAAGCAGAATACAAAAATGAACCTGGTTGGCTCACCGAAAGTCTTGGCGACCGGTCCCGTAGTCGTCCCGGCGCGTTCTGATGATAGTGATGATGGTGCGACGGATGAAACGGCGGTGCACTTCCGGGAATCATCACAGGCGGACTCGTGGCACCGCCCGGCGGTCCCGGCGACATCTCCGACTCGGAACGATAGAATTTGGGGCGTTGGGAAGACAGTTTCGACGCTGAAAATGGGAAATGGGGGCGGGTTTGTTTGTAGAAAAAAAACGAGTAGAAAAGTGATGATAAGGGGGGCTCGGGGGTCACGCGGTGTTCAAAACAATAACAATGAGGGAAAGAGAGAGAGAGAAAGAGAGAGAGAGAGAGAGAGAGAGAGAGAGAAAGAGCACTTTTTCACTTTTCACTTTACAAACTCTTTCGAGAGATAGAGGCGGACGAGCGGAGAGAAGCATCAAATATCATCTGGAGAGTCGTGAGAAGGAGAAGGAGAAGGAGAAGAAGAGGGAGAAGAAGAAGAGAGTGATGATCTTTGGGCAGAGAAACACAGTTATGACGTTGGATACCTTCAAGAGTTCCACGAGAGAAATGTCGTCACGTGCTACTCGCGCAAAGTTTGGATCTTTTTGTGAATTTTTCACGAATCGCTGACACTTTGCAACCGGTTTTTCGCAAAGCACGACTCTATGAGAAACTATGAACTGTGAGCAAAGGTCTACGGCGCCAAAACCGGTTGCAATGTGTCCCGATTGAGTGCAGTTGCAAAGTGTCCATCGAGGAAAGGGCGGTATGGGAAAGATGAGAAATTGAAAACACTCGCTGCCGCCGCCGCCGCCACATCGATCACAATTTCCGTCTGATCCGGAAGTTTTGTTCCCGCCGCCGCCGGCGAATATCGGAAAAATAAAACAATAAATGATCGCATGGTCCCTGCTGGTTGAGTCGCGTTTTTTCGGGGCGAAATGAGCTGGGAAAGGACAAAAAAAGAGCCCCGAAAAAAAGTCATAAAAGTTCTGTCGAGGCCGGCCGCCTCTCGTTTCATAAATTTATATATACATTGTGTGTGGTGGTGGTGGGCGCCCCTCATAAACTTTTTGAAAACTGGAATGTTTGGGTGTGTGGGCAGGAAGAGAGATGGATAATATTCAAATGAAGATGATGCAAGTGTTGAAATGATGAAACTCTATGCGTTTTCACCTCTCTCAATTATTATTGTTGTTGTGAAGGGATGGGGCGTCAGGACACACACACACGCAAGAGAGAGAGAGAGAGAGAGAGAGAGAGAGAGAGAGAGAGAGAGAGAGAGAAAGAGTCTGATCATCAGAGCCCAAGAGATTGCGACGTTTTGTGAAGGATCCGGAAGTTTCCGGGCACCTTAACACAACCAGGACCACTGGGATATTGTCCGATCACTGCAATATGATATGTTGCATTTAAAGCAATGTAACTCAACGGAAAGTAGAGATATCAAGAAGTGGTCAACTACAAAAATGTACAAAATTTCTTGATGAACAATATATCAGTTGACAAGTTTTTGATATCTCCACCGGCAACGAAGATATACCAATTAGTTTAACTGCCCGTCATGGAAAACGGTGACAACAACAAAGCAGTGCAGAAAGCTAGAGTTACAGTAGCTTCTAGACACTTTGCAACTGACACAAATGGTTGCAAAGTGTCCATCAGTTGCCAAATGTCTATCCGGACCTTTTCAAGGCGTTTTCCTTTGTTATTGAGTAAGAACGAGAAAAAGGGAGGATGGATACAATGAGAACGACGAAGAAATGAAATAAGTAGATGAATAAACAAGAAAAAATGAGAAGACGAAGCAGAAGGAAGAGGCAGTGAAATTGAGAAGTCATCCCCCCTTCTCTTCATGTTTTCCATCGAGTTAGAGTTCAGTATTCACAGGTTTTCTAGATGTTCAGAGCAATTATTTTGAGCGTCAGTATCTCAACGGCGGGCAGTGATAGCAAAAAATGATCAACTGAGAAAATGTACACAATGTCTTGAGCAACATTTTGCTAGTTGACAACTTTTTGATATCTCCACAAGCGGCTGAGTTATATCGCTTCGAAAAAACATTGTCACAATCCAATGCGGCTCCAAAGCACAGAGCTCAAAAAGAAGAAGGTTGTAGACATTGAAAAAGGGCGTAAATGTCAGAATGTGCCCTGTTTTCTTCTGGTCAAATAATGAGAGGGTTCTCGTCGTCTTCTCAGATTCATGGTGTTAGAAATGAGAAAAGGCACGACACCCTTAGTGGCTCCATTTCGAAGAAACAGAAAAAGAAGAAGAAGCAAGCATGTATCGAGGGGAAACGACGAAAAACAGGGGTTGAAAGGGAATGAATCGAGTGAGGTCATCATTAAAATGAAGGTTCTGGGTACGCAATTTTATGAGAACACTCTATCTTCAATTATAAACCGGAAAACCTAAGTAGCCGCTTGTTTGAGGCAGTATATCTCAGCTGTCAACAGAGATACCAAAAAGTTGTCAACTGAGAAAATGTGCACAATGTCTTGATGAACAACATTTTAGTTGAACACGTTTTGCTATCTCTACCGCCAACTGAGATACACAAGTTTGAAGATGGGAACCTTGGGAGCAAGCGAAAAACTATTGTCGCTTCACAAAGTTTGGCCAGACAGAGAGATGACGACTATTGCCTTGAATTAAAGTTAACTCAACCACTTAGCCCTTCAATTCCCAAAACCAGTTTCAACAATTTTCCATTAACTTTTTCGAGTACAGTCATCATCGAGAAGTGACGTGGCAACTGGATCATTCCGACCATTCACACTTCTTGCTGTTTGCCCTATTTTCATTGTTTCTCCGCGCCCGAACATTTGCACCTCTATGCAAACGATTCTTTGCTCTTTCTTTGCGCGCCGAAACATTTCGTGGCATGTTACATGTATATGATACTGTGGTGTTATTAATTATAAAGTGTGTGTGTGTGTGTCCTGCCGGACATCCTGAAACTTAAGAAGAAGAGCATACTCAAGAAGGGGGAATGTGAAAAAGAAAAGAAATATTTGGACGTGTTGTTGCAAAATGTATGCAAAGAAGAAGAAAAGTTTATAGAGTGTGTCATGGCAACGTACGGAGCCGCAAGGAGCTCTCAATAGCAGTATATTCGAAACGATGTAATTCAGCTGACTGTAGAGATAGGGAAAAGTGGTCAATTAGAAAAATGTACACAATATTCTGATAAACAATTTACTAGTTGACAACTATTTGATATCTCTGCCAACAACAGAGATATAGAATCTTGAATAAACCGAATCATGCCGTTTATTCAAAACGCTGTAACTCATTTTCTCCTAAAGACATCAAAAAGTGGTCTACTGAAAAAATGTACACAATTTCTTGATAAACAATATGTTAGTTGACACCTTTTTGATATCTTAATTGACAGCTGACATATATTGTTTTGAATGAACAGTAACATCTTAATACTTTCGCACCACCAACAAATCCCTCGTCACTTCCTCTTCCAAAGTGTAAAAACTGGGTGCTCGCGATGTTCTTTATCTCGCCTCCGCCGCCTAAAGTGGCGTCAAACGCGGCTCTTCAGCTCGTCGCCTCCTGCTCCGAATTGGCAACAACACATCAGGCTCACGCCTTGTTTTTGTGCTCTCTCTCTCTCTCTCTCTCGGAAACAAGTCCTTTCGAATGTGTGTGTGTGTGTAGTTCACCGATTATTCAATCGCTTGAATCAAAGTCACCCTTCGATTCTTCGCGCCGCAAGATCTTGTTGACACACGCTGCTACCGTGTCATTTTGTGTGTAGGAATGAGTGGGCAGCGGCGAGCACGTTTGCCACGTGGCGCAGCAGCAGACTGGTACTTTTCGGAACATTCTCTGTGTTGCCCACAAACGATGAGCATTTCTGGTGTCAACTTCAACTTCAAGTCGAACCTCTGAAAGCAACAAAACGAATCGCGATTTTTTTTAAATTCAAACAGTTCCAGATGTTCTTGAATCGGCAGAGATCTTCTCGGGACCACGTTTCGTTTAATCGATGTTGATGCTTTGGGTAATAGTAGGGTTTAGAAGCTCAGAAAAGCGGAATACACGGCGATTTCTGTGGAATTTGAGGATCTCGAAGCTCTCAGAATCTTCCTCAGTTCAGAACAGAAGATTCTAGTCTTTGAACGATCTGGAAACGGAGCATCATAAGGTTGAGGCTCTCTCGGCTTCTCGGAGAACTTCAGATAAACCTTAAAGACCGGGGACGAGGATGCACAGCACATTTGACAAAAATTGGGTTTTTATAAGTTTCAGAACGTTCAAGGAGAACTAGATACTCGATTTGGGAGGTTAGAACGTTACACAGTACCAATTCGAGAAGTTTGGCCGCCCGATACAAGACCAGATCCTAACCAGACATGGTGTAACTTTGACACCCGATCATCCTCGAATCGTTTGACTTTCAAACAAACGTCAAACTCCACAAACGCATCGTTTTTGTCGGGCCAAAGTCTAGACTTTCATGACCTCATGCTTGCTCACTCCTCCGCGCCTCAGATCCCCGTTCGGAACGCGCGAGAGCAGCACAAAGCTACGGCAAAAAGTTTTCACTGGCATCCGCAATTTTTTTTGGCGAATAAAATATGACTATGTATGTGCTCTTTCACTGAACAATACAATAGTCTCGTGGCGCTTGTTGGTAATTCGATCCGCGCGGAAAGAGTGAGCCAAAGAGAGAGAGAGAGAGAGAGAGAGAGAGAGAGAGAGCGACCGCGCGGAAGCTCTATTTACCTGCAAAAAAAAGGAGGAGAAGGGCTGGAATTGAATACAATAAGGGCGGCGCTGGCCACGTGTGTTTGAAGCGCGGGCCGCGCAAAAAGTTGCCAACTCTTGCCTCTCTCGCCCGACACGCCTTTTCATCGGCGCCGCCGCCGCCGACGACGAAGACGACGCGAGCCGGGTACAAAAGGCGACGCGGAATCCCTCGACAAGCACATTCATCCGATTTCTTTGGCGCTGGCCTCTCGCGTGCGCCTACTTTGGTGCATCTACAATAGTCCTACAATAATCCTCTTCTACATTAGCCCCAACGTTCTTTCTTTCCCTAACAAGCCCTCACCCAAACGTTTTCTTCCAGAACCTTCCCCCATCATGTCCCGCTGGTCATCCGTTCTGCTGTTGGCATTCGCCGGCGCTCTTCTCGTCCAGGTCAGTTTTTTTTTTGGCCGGTCCCGCCACTTGATGCTGGAAGAACAAGTTGGGCGAACAAACAAAGTGTGCTCGCTTTAAGAGCCCCCCCTCATGACCAGTTCTCGGTATCCAGTTGTCATGTTGACTAGTGAGTCATGAACGACATGAAAATGCTATAGGAGAGCGAAGAAGTCATTGTTCTATTGAATAGCTAACCTATGCACAATAACTCAAACTATTCGCGCCTTTGCATAGTTATACAGTAACCACGATGCACCATAAACGTTCAGAGCCTCGCTGCTCCGACTCCGGACGAGCCAATCATCGTCCGCTCAAAACGTCAGCAGTGCCGTTGTGTCAAGAACCCGAACGGTGGGCTCACGTGCAGTTGCGCCAAGGGACCAGCTGTAAGTCACCAACCACCCCCTCCACTTCTATTGCCTCTCTCATTTTCAGAACGGATCTTCGTCGACCTCCTCTTCGATCGGCGCCGGTGTGCAGTACGACACGCCTCAATCGTCGGACATTGCGAACCAACTGACGGCGATCAGCCAGCAGTCGTCCGGCGTCGGAACCGCCCGTTGCGGATGCATCCAGATCGTGTTCCAGGGCGCGCCGCAGTACAATTGTCAGTGCGGAGATCAGAGCGGAAACGCGGTGAGGAGTGCCTCTATAGTTGTGTTATTTGATGGCCGCTTGATAGTTTAGCTGCCGACCACGACCACGATGGCGCCAAGCACCACCAGCACCACCACCACCACCACCACCACCACCCCGGCTCCCACCACCACCACCTCAACCACTGCGGCGCCCGTCTCCTACCCGCAAGTGCCGACGAACACGCAGGTATAGAGTGCTGCATTCACAGTGCTGTGACATAGTTAGATGTTCAGGGAAATAACGGCGCGTGCAACTGCATCATGATCAGTATCACCAGTCCGCAGACGGCCCAGTACCAGTGCCAGTGCGCCCAACCCCAACAACAACAACAGGTTTGTGTGGACGCATGATGTAGCATGATGATCCGTGATCACAATTGCATGATTCAATCTCACAGCAAGAAGATCCGACGGCAGAGTATGGAGCGCAGACGGCGATCCCCGGAACGTTGCCACCGCCAGCCACCACCCCCGCAACCTCAACCACTACTCCCAACACCACCACCACCAACACCACCACCACCGCCACCCCGTCAATGTACACGGCGTCGCCGCCGACCGTATACCCGGCGATCGGACAGTTGGCCACCGGCCACGAGTCGTGCTACTGTCTCGATCCGAGCACGTCGGTCATGTCGGCGGGGTGCGGGTGTCGATGCAATTGTGTCACGCTGATGGTCACCGTGCCGAATGCGTATTGTGGATGTCCACAACCGGGACAGCAGCAGCAGCAGGTTCGTCTCAAGCCTACCTCTGCGAGAAAACTAATAATAGAAGCATGGAGCATGTGTCGCTGAGCGTATTCGAACAAAATTGCAATCAAACTTTTTTGCAGGCTCAATACTCTGAAACGTACGACTACACGCAGGTCTACTCGACACAAGCGCCAACGGTATCCGCCGTCAGCCCCAAAAAAGTACGTTTATTCTTGTAGACCCTCGCGCCGACCACCTCCACCACCACCACCACTACCACCCCGACGCCAAGCACCACCTCCACCGTCACAAGCGCACAAATGTACGCGGACGCGACGACGGCGACACAGTACCCGTTGACGACGACGTGTGTGATGTACGTGAACGTGCCGACGAGCGCATGCTCCTGTCTGCCACAGTACGATCAGTGTGCGCAGAATGTGTGCTGTTTGAAGGCCAAGTATAGAAGTTATAAGGTAGTCGAGAGTCTAGCCCGCCGCCGCCAACTTGCCGTAATCTTTTCTGCTTCAGAAAGCCGAAGAATCGTCGCCATCCACCATCGACATGCTCATGAACGTTCTCCAGACGATCAAAACGAAACTCGAATAGAAATTTTTGGCCGAACAACAACTATTGTCTGTAAATATGAATACAATAATGCGCTTTTTTTTTCGTCTTTAATCTAATAAATTTATGTCATTCACATTATCGATTATTTGTGTTATCAATGGGGCGAGGGAGGGGGGGTGGGGTTTTGTATGTTGTCGAGAGGAACGTTTTTGTATAGACGACGATTGGACGAGAGAGCAAAAAAGTGACTATGAAACTATGAATTTGGAAAAAAAAGGAGCGTACAAAAAGTTATTGGTTGTTTGTGTTTGACGGAGATCATTCGGAGGTTACTGCTATCAAAACGTTTTTGGTATATTATTCATCAAAAATTTGGGGATTTTGGGAGGGGGAGAAAGTTGAAAAGACAGAAAGAGGGTCATGATAGGTGAGGGGGGGTCTAAAAAGAAGAGAAAAAAAGAGAAGGGGGAGAGCAACACTCGGATACAGAGGTAGAACGTTCGCAAAGTCCATGATCCTAGATGCCGGCGCTCAGGAACGGGCTCAGTGAGCACGGCGATTTGTCGCCGCTGGCTCCGCGCTTCACAAGAGCATTGTCCGCCGCCTCCTTCTTGCGCCACTTTGTCCGACGATTTTGGAACCAGACCTGCAAAATTGAAACGTTTGACAGGGGCATAGAATCTCTACTCTGCGCCACGGCGTCCGGGGGCGTGGCCTAATCTGAGACGCGTTTTCTGAAAATTGCCGCAATTCCAGCACACTTTTCCGTCGATATTTTTGTGTGTTTGCTGACGACGAAAGAAGAAAACATTGAAATTTTCGTGAAAACGCCGCGTTTGAGACGTTTTTGGCATATTTCGCAATTCGGAATTTTCATACCGGCCGATCTGGATCATTTTGAGACAAAGTGAGTGTTTCGGAAGTGATTAAGCACTTCAATACAAGTATTTTAAGCGTTCAAACGGCAAAAAGTATCGGCGAATGACTGAAATTCGCGCATTTTCAGCACAAAACTTGAAAATCGATTCAATTTATTCATTTCTAAATGAAACCTGCTCGTTTTAAGCTCAAAAAGTGCGCGCGATGATTAGTTTAACAAAGTTATTATGCAATCGCATCGTCGAAACGCGTACAAAATTTGGGTAATGTTTGAACGTGAAAAACGTGAAAAATGGGGTTAAATTTCGAATTTCGCGCCAAAAAAATGGTGATAAACCGTGCACTCTAGGCCACGCCCCTTTCTACGTTTTTGGTCGCCGTGCGCTCTGTTTCTGAGATGAACCCCCAGATTCCAAGAATTTAAACACCCGCCGCCACGTCAGCAGCTTTTCCCTTTTCCTTTTCCATTTCCCATCTGTCACTCATACAACTCTTTCTCTCCGCGCGAGCAAGAGGCTCGGCGCGACGACACATGATATCAAATAAAATTAAAATATTTGAATCGAAATGAACTAGAACATGTTCTTCTTCGTCTTTCTTTTCCCTTCTTTTAGTGGTGGGGGGTGGGGGCCCCGAGGGAGTATTGTGGAGGCAGATGTTTAGGATATTATGCATAACTATCTTCAACTATGTATGCGACTAACTATGATCATTTTGGTCGATGCACCATCTAGATGATCCATCCCCCGCTACCGTAATTCGATAACCGAATTGAGGGAAGAGTGTGGCGACGGAACAACGTGGTCGCATTCCCTCTCATATATGAGTGAAATGAGGTGTGTCCCGCCCGCCCCGTCTCGCGCGACTACAGTAACCGGATACGGCCGTTCCCCTAATCACATAAATGAAATCCTATTATACACCTCCTGATGACAAAAAAGGCGAAAGTTGGATGACATGCGACAGGTTGTTATAATGTTATAATCATAATAATGACATGGGGCATGAGTCAGATGGGTTTCGCACAATACAGAACTATATACACTATTGTGTCATTATTATTATTATTATGATTGATATGGTTAGGAACGTGGAATGTGCGAGAGTGGTCGATGCACCATGTGGAAAAAAACTTTGCCTTCAACCGCTTACCTTGACCTGGCTTTCACTCATATTCAACTCCTGAGCAAGTTGAGCACGATCCGCACCCGCCAAATACTTGGTTTGCTCGAACTTCCGCTCCAACTGATAGATCTGAAAGTGGTCCCGTATAAGTTCGGGTGGTCCCTCAAAGTTGCGCTCACCTGATGTCCGGTAAAAGTCGGTCTACTCTGCTTCTTCTGCATATTCAACGAGTTTGGCGACAACTGCATCGAGTGCGGCAGACGGCCCATTGGCGAGAGGGCCGGCAGTCCGGCGGATAGTCCGCCGAGCAAGTTGAACGGGTTCAGCGCACGGTTCACTGTAATTTGAGTGTGTGTCTTTTGGTCCCCCAAAGTTGGACGCGCGCTTCCGGTCGATTGAACCCAACGCTCATCATAATGCGACGCATGGTAATACATATGGGGAAGGCGCAGAAAACAAAAAAAAAGTGTTGTAAGAAGGTCAGACTAAGTACACATTCATGTTTTGTTTCCGGGACAGACAGACACGGCGCCAAGCGGTTAGGGGGGTAACGGAACGTAAAAGAGTACTGTACCCCTAGGGATCCACCTAACAATGTTCATATCTCATTAATTTTGACGGACAGACCCCCCCCCCCCTTTTGTGTGGACAAACTGCCTCATTAATTACGTCGAAATCGAAGCGTCCTTGAGTTGTCAAAGTTTTCGACATTGGTCCCCTGTGCTTGGTGGGGGGGTCATAAAGGAAATGTTGCAAAGCGGGGGGTTTACGAGCTTCACACATTTGTACAGTTGTAAATCGGCAGATGTCTGCGTGCCGATCTAACGGATCCACTAGGAATTTTTAAATGCTGGTCCCCCCCCGAACTGCTCTAATATGATCAAATTATTGTTATGCAATTTGTTGGCCATCCGTATGAATACGGTAGTGATCCCGCGGGGGGGGGCAGCTGTGTGATGACTCAACATGTGTGGGGACGAATCAAAACTAACCATTCTCCTGAGCGGCTCGATTCACAGCCGCCGCCGAGTTTATTTGAGAGGAGAGGAGCATGAAGTAGGCCTGAAAAACAGACGCAAATCTTCTAGGGACCATACCGAACTTCTAGGGGACCGTACCTGAAGTGAGCTCGGATCCACCGGCCCGCCACCGCCACCGCCGCCGCCGCCCATCAACTGGGCCATCAACGCGTTCTGCAGCGGAGCGTTCTCCGAAGAAGATGAGGTGGCCGGGAAAAGGAACGAGGAGCCCGAGGTGGCTTCGGACGACGAGGGACTGCGCTGATCGTCGTCGGTGCTCGCCGAGTCCTCCTCGCTCGAGCTGCTCGACGGCGACGACTCCTTCTCCTTCTTCTCCAAAAGGTTCGAGATAGTGTAGGTCGACGAGCTCTTGCGGTTCTCCGTGTCTTTGTCGTCCGCCAGTATCTTGTAGTCTTTGTCGGCGGTTGAGGTGACGCCGATCTGCGGCTCCGACATGATCACGCTCATTTGCGGGGGGGGTGGTCCTGAAAAGTTGGTAGTTGAAGGGAGAAACGAGTCAAAACAATCTTTCATCAAAAATAACAATCAGTCGGGCGGGGGTTCCTTTAATTTTGCATTGATTAACTGAAAATTGAGAGGGAACAGTTGGAAATGGCAAAACAATGTCATAAATTAGAAGCATGTCATATCCATACGTATACGAACCCGATCAGCAAGGCCAGGTGCTTGTGAGTTGGGTGGGGGAGAGTCTAAACTAATCAAAATGTTTGGAAATGTGCGGCTCGGCGAGTAATAATAATAATAATAATAATCATAATCATACCTATGTGAAACTAGAGACGTAATGAATGTGAAAACGGAAATTGAGTGGCCGGTCCCCCAGGTGCCCTTAATCCGTAAACGAATGGGCGGGCGGCTCATTAAGAAGTGCGAGCGAGGAGGGAAGGAAGGAAGAAGAAGAAGAAGAAGAAGAAGAAGAAAAAGTTCTAGAACACATGAAATCAAGGGATTCGTTTCAGGCAAACACTAGAATCTTTCGCATAAAAGACACGACTACAAACTCGCGGGGACCCGAAGACCCAAAGACCGGGCCGTCAACTTCTAAGGACCAATTCCTCTTTCAATTTCAAATCATCCTATCCACTACTCTTACAGACATGAACCTTTGGGGACCAGCACTGCTCGCCTCGAGAGCCCAAAAGCCCGAGCCAAGTTTGTCGGCTCGCTCGAAGAAAATCTATACGAATGATGGAAAACTTATAACACTTTTTGCGAGCGAGCTCAACACCGTCTCAAACCTTTCAATTAAAAGATAATAGGCGTAAAAAGACGAAGCGTGTAATAATAACTATTTTCATAAATATTTCTCACGCTCAATCTTTTCTTCATAACAACTAGGAATCGCGCGGAATCGACATAGACCTCTAGATCTCTCAAATTTCCTCGTCAGGTCATGATCATCATCAATATATATAATGAAGCCATATAAAAATGAGAGCCGCCCGGGCGGAGGGGTGTGTCTTTCTCTTTAATCTAACATTTTGATTGGCGAAATTTGAGAGATTGAGGGCTCTCTCGAACCGCCAAGGACCGTGCGTCGATAATAGAAATGAATGGATGGAGCCGTCGGCTCCTTTTATACACAAAAACGAGGCGGTTTGATGATTAGAATAGGAAGTTGACACACGTACATAATGTTGATTTTCATTTCTTCTTCTTCCTCCTCTTCTTCTTCGGGAGGACATACTAATTAAGAAAGAAAAGAGGACCCGACAGACAGTGTGTGTGTGTGTGTGTGCCGGTATTAGTAAAAAGAGTACAGGCAACCGACAAACAAAATGATACATATATGACTTTTTGGCGAGTCTGATTCATCCGTTCAGGAAGGCGCTTGCGGTTATTAGCATTAGTATAGGACAGTCTCTGACGATTCGATTTGGTAGGTCAAACTGAACCATTTGGAGGGGTCTCGGAGTTTTGGACTTGTTGACCGGACCAGGCGGTTCACCTGGACTAGTACTTGGATGAGATTGGGCCGTCTAATGACGGCCCAAAAACTGAGCACACGCGGTTCATTAGTGATGTTGGTGACGTGATGAAAAGCGGAGAATTTGTGAAGGTGTCAATAAATATATATGAAATGAAATTTATGATGATGATAGGGCTTCTCTTCTCTCTTTTCGTCGCTGCCTGCTTGTGTAAATGACAATTAGGCTCTTCCTTCGACAGAGAATGAAGAAAAGGGGGCTTAGTAGGCTAGAGAGAGAGAAGATATTATTGTTTTCCATGAAATGAACATGATGTCGGTCGAAATGAAGTGAAAAAGGGCATAGTGCTGGGTGGAAGAGTCAAATCAGCGGGCGGGGGGGCAATAAAAGTTGATCGGCTTTGGGTCTAACTCGACCGGCTAACCACCACTTTCCAACTATTATAGTCATAGTTCAATTCATCGACTCGGAGTGTGTTTCCACGAGAAAAAGTGGGCGGGGCCCACACATAGACACACACACTCTCTCTCTCTCTCTCTCTTTCTTTCTTTCCATTGGATGAACAGATGGAAAGTGGGCGGAGCTTCGGCGCGCGCGCGCCCCCGGAGAAATGAAGTGTGTACAGTGAGGCAAGAAGGACCAGGATGGTTTTAATTGAAAGTTTGTGAACGAAACGAATGAGGAACGATAATGATGCGAAGGCGAGGAAGAAGAAGAAGAAGAAGAAGAAGAAGAAGAGGAATTATAATTGGAAAAAAGGGAAGAAATAGTAATTGAATGTGTTTGTGATGGATTTGAATCCCCAGCCCCCCTCACCACCAATTCTCGCCTCCGTTTTGGTGGTGAACCGACGACCGTCTGTTTCGTTTTTTAGGGCGCCCAGTTTTGGGCGTGACCACGTCGAAAGAAAGCCGCTTGATTATGAGCAAAAGGTATAAACATTCATTAGGCCGTGGGAAACTCGGCGCGCGCGCGGTTTCATAATATTCAAAAGAGTTGAGCGAGCGCATGATAATCATAATTGGCAATTGTAAAGGTCAGTTTGAGGAGCTCGGGATACGACGCTTGGCATCTTGGATTGATGTGCAAAAAAAAGCGCGGAACATCTTCGCAACAACTAACTTTCTAGCGTGTAAAAATGTACAAACATGGAGCGACGACGTCTCATCAAATAACATGTAATCGAAATGTATATATCGAAGTTATTTCCTCTCCTCAAACATACCGTCGTTTTTGATGGTTTCTCGTCTTCTTCGGGGCAGACAACTTCTATTCACCTCATTTCACGCAATCATCAATATTATATTTGCTTTTCTTACCGCCATATTTGAATCGAGAAGACGAGACGAGCAACTCGAAGAGGGGGGAGGAATGTTGCAATGATTCGATAAATGGATAATATGGAAATGAGAGGCACGGAAAGTTGTTCGAATTAATATTAAAATTAGGCGCTAACGTTAGGGCCCAAGGACATATGTTTGAATGAGGCATTGGGGTGGGGGCCGAGAAGAACGGTTGGTTGGCGCGCAGGTGTATAACATTTTCGTGTTCAAAAACGTGTGGTTATGGTTACGGTAGGTGTCTAGCAAAAAGCATCTCAAGTGTCCCAGGACCCAACGGAACATTATTCTAGTCCATTAGGCTTCAACTCTTTCTCGGTTACGTATTAATCAAGCGCCTCTCTCTCCCTCCTCGGTAAAACATCTGTCCGCGCGCATCATCTCGCCTGAACCCCCCGTAAATTTATTGTGTGAGCAGAGAGTATGGAAACAAATTCGAGTCGACACTAATATGATAATGATCCCCTCTTCTCGCGCGCGCGACGAATTGAGTAAGAGAGCAGGTGCACTTTTGGCAAAGAGCACATCATTTTTAAGAAATGCGTATTCGTATTGTTTGATGAGGTCCTACTGTAAGACGACGGAAAAGTGAAAGGGGGTTAAGTAAGGGTAACGGTCAACATTCATTGTTTTCAATATTTTCCATGGCGATGAAATCAACACTGGGTGACTCATAGTTAACTATAAGTTGTACTTAGTTGGACAGCAGTTCCAGGACTGTCCTAGGCGTTCCTAAGCTTCAAGAAATATCCTAGAAGTCCAGGAACTGTCCCTTGGCTACAAAACTCTGGTTAGACGCCAAGAAACGCCACGGAAAGTGCTCACTTCACTTCAAATCACATCGCGAGACGCTCTTCAGCTACTGAGAGAACTGCTCAAAATGCTCATACTCAATTATGGTATACGGTGTGTACGCAAAAGAGGACGGGCACTTGATGGGCGCCGAAAATTGAAATTGAAATACAAATTCAGAATGCGCTCGCTACACACACACACACATAACAACTTCGTCTAACTTTTGACGCCTCCTCCTCCTTTCTTCGCGTCTATATAATCATGGGGCTTGACAAAGAGCCTCCGGGAGCCCTCTTCCTCCTATTCTCTTTTTGAATGGCGCACAATCAAGTTATAGGGACCATCCACACGCGGCACCATTATTTGATGATGACGCCCCCTATTCAACCACTATTTCCCGTTTTTCGTCGTCAAGAGCCGTCGTCGAGAGAAAAAAAAGAAGTTTTTGAAAAGAGAGACATCAAATGTTGGGGATGGATGAAGGCAAAGTAGTTATGGCGAATAGTAGAATTGAAATGACTATTTGGAGAGTCACGATTTATGACACGGCAACTGCGAGAGCCGGCTTGACAACCGGCAGGGACCAGCGCGGGGACGATGAGAAAAACCGAAAACATTGTACCGATACCATAGTCCCAGGAGCTCAAGGGTTTCAACTAACTACCGTAGTCCATGGGATCTCAGGAATGTCTACGTTCAATCAATAAAAACAGTCCTCGGGGGTTCAGTATCAAAAAACATGGTCCGATCACTGAAAAAGTGATGTCCAGGAGTTGCTTAGCCTCTACCAGAGATGTTGGGAATAAAAATTTTACTCTACGGAACACGGAACACGGAAAACGGAAATTTTTTTTTTACGGAACACGGAACACGGAAAACGGAAAATTTTTTTTTTTACGGAACACGGAACACGGAAAACGGAATTTTTACGGAACACGGAAAAAAAATATTGCAAAAAAAACGCGGAACACGGAACACGGAAAACGGAAAAATTTTTACGGAACACGGAACACGGAAAAACGGAAAAAAACTTATTTCTACGGAACACGGAACACGGAACACGGAAGTTTTTTTACGGAACACGGAACACGGAAAAAATATTGCAAAAAAACGCGGAACACGGAACACGGAATTCCCAACATCTCTGGCCTCTACCAAAGGTTCTAGAATGCTACAGCTAAGCGTCTACCACTGTCGAGGGGTTCCATGGTGCCTAACTAACAATTTCAGGTGCTAGGTCCTCCAATGATGTTCACGAACCCAATAGTTCCATCAGATTTCTGATTCTCACACGAGAATGGGGCTCCAAATTGTCGCCGTGACACATCTGATCGTTAGCGGCACAACTTCATTTTTCTCTCGTTTATGCTCTTGCGTTTGCGTCGCCGAATGTTTTGTTTGGCAACACCAGCAATGTAACATCTGCAATCCGTTTCGTCTTCCACATTCGTTCGCACCGAATGACGCTATTCTCGAGGCCATTAGCCGCTGCGTGCGCGCCCGCGCTTTCCGAAATTTGTGAAACACAATTTTCAGTGTAGCGAGGGGGGGAAAAGCCCGGAACGGTGTTGAATACAAATCTCCTAACGACTTGACCATTTGAATATTATTGGTATTTATGATTGTCCACCAATGTCCACCTAGGTCAAATTCATGTTTGTGTTGTAAACTTGTATACCGTCGCACACATTTACATAATAATGAATATTATTAACGCGTTCACCGGATTTTCTCGGACCGTTCAACATTTTAATGACAAATAGGTACCGCCGATAGGGATTGGAGGGGAGGGGGTGACCTCTGTTATTATGCAACACGCAACAGATATTCTTGTAGCCGCGAGGGGTCAATGACATAAACGACACATTGGCGGGCGGCTCAAGCGTGGTACCGTGAAGGCTTTGCCGAACTACATGGTGCATCGCCCAGCACCATTACAAATGCTCCGGAACTTTAGCGCCATATCGCCCCTAAATGCCAACCGATATAGTAGAACAAATAAAAGTGACCGCCGCACGCATATACCGTCCGTTTTCTTTGTCTTTTCTGGCGCGGCCTCGGTGTTGGGCCGGGTGGTGGTGCCAGGGCAGAGAAGTGAGACAGTTCTCGGTGGTCAGCTTATGAGACAAGGGCCTTAGTGACGAAAATTAGTGAGTGAATGATGGAGAGAAAGTAGTGGTGTGTGTGCGGGGGCGCAGGTGAAATCGCCGGTGATTGAGTCAAAAATCGACGTGGAAAGACAGAGAGAGAGAGAGAGTTTTAATGAAGTGTGGCTATTTATGAACTTTGCGGATGTATGATGATGTCAGGTGACATGTAGACGCATAGAGTTTAGTCATTTTGAATAGGATCCTCTTCCTGCACACGGTGCCGCGGTGTATCGTTCAATAATCGCGACCGAGACGGATGGATGGATGGGATGGGATTATTATTACCGTACATCACAAAACAGATGTAAAGGGTTCCGCCAGGCGAGACGCGGGACCACGCACGGATTACATTGAGGTGTCGGAGACGGACCACCACCACAAATGCACAAATTGTTTAACGAGCCAATAAATTCGGGGGTAGGTAAACGCGGAAAGGGCGATCGGAGATTGATGATCATTGTGTGTCAGTCCGGGAGGGGGCCGAACATATGTAGAGGACCCGGTGAGCAGAGAGGGACCGTGAGGATCAGTTGATGCACTCAGTTCGAAGCAGTAGGCGGGCCTAGAAACCAGAGTTGAGCGGGAGAGCTCAACGGTAGAACACGCAAGAATTTTTATATCTTTTTTAGAAAATTTTTTCATGAAATGTGATCAACTGACGAAATGTATAGAAAAGTGAACTGTGATCATAGAAAAATAATTGTAAATTTAGCTTTTCATACAAAAAAGTTATGTCCTTCCGTCTTCCGTTAGCCGACTTTTTTCACGCAACAACTCGAATAACTTTTTTGTATGGAAAGCTAAATTTACAATTATTTTTCTATGAGCAGAGTTCATTTTGCTATACATTTCGTCAGTTGATCACATTCCATGAAAAAATTTTCTAAAAAAGATATAAAAATTATTTCATGTTCTTCCGTTGAGTTCTTCCGCTCAACTCTGCTAGAAGCCCAAAAAGATTAGCGGTGAGCATGTGGCCCCAGAAAACTCATACAGAAGCAGGTGCTCCACACGTTTTCATACAAATTACATGTATATGCAGGGCCAACTCGCCGCGTAACACTAATAAATGTGTCACTCTCGACTCCTCATTCAAGCACGAGCCCATCGATCCGATGGGACCGCGTTGAAATTTGAATTCGGCTCTGTCAATTTGGCTTCTCGTCAACCGGTTAGTATACATTTGATATGGGACTGGTTCAATATATATATATATGAACTTGAAGTGAAATTATATAGCTTTTCTCGTTCTTTCATTTTGACGAGCAAAGGGTGTAATTGTGTTGAAAGTTGTGAAGAAGAGGAAGAGGAAGAAGAAGAAGAAGAAGAAGTTGGAATGAAATGGAGGTGGGATTACTGTAGTTGGAATGAAGAAAGTAATGAGTCAATATCAGCTGAAAGGGTGTAACTGATGGGCACTGCTGTAGAGAACAATACAGACACTTTCGGATGGAGGATCCGAACGAGAGGTGAGGGATTATAAATGTAATGTGCCAATAAAATCACTGCGACCAACAAACATATGGTCGTGCTCAGTTAGCACTCGAAAATGAAACTTTTATTACTTTATTACCAGGGGGGGGAGAGCTTCTGCGAAACGCCACTCTGATTGATGCGTCTGGAGCACCAATAAACAGTCGGTTTACTGTTGGATGCACCATGAGGAAAAAAGGCGGAAGCATCTCAGTTCAAGTTTAGGAGGTCGAATGGCGAGAAATACGTGTGAGGAGACGAGGAGGACAGGTGTGGCGGGCGATAAATCCGATTTTGCGAATTAGGGAATTGAGAAAGAAGACGAAAATTAGTGGTGTCATCCCGAAAAGAATGGAAAAAGAGAGACAGGTGCCCCCGAGAAGAGCCATAGAACAAGAAGGGGAGCAAAAGAGAGGACTATTAAAAACAATTAGGACTTTTGCACTGAATTATTCACATAAAGCGACGGCTGTTTATGTAATTAATTGTATGCACACTTTTGCGCCGGCGATGCTAAATACTGTAACTGTTCATTCCGAATACAATATCGCAGCTGCCAGTGGAGCTATCAAAAAGTTGTCAACTGATAAAATGTAGACAATGTTTTTCTGAACAATTTTCTAACAGACTACTTTTTGATATCTCTACCATGAACAGAGATATATCGCTTAAACGAAAAGCTGTTGCTCCAATTGGGTGCCGTTAATTCAGAACGAAGTAACTCAGTTTTTTGTGATGGTATTGAAAAGTTTTCTCTACCGGCAACTAGGATACATCGCTCTGAACAACCTTCTATTACAGTATTCACGATAACAATGAACTGACAAACCTACAAGAACACTACAATTGTCATAACTTGAGAGCCCATACAGACTGACAATCTGTCCTTGTGAATAGGGAAAACGGAACGCGCATATAAAGTGTCAAGAGGAGTAATTGGATTAAAATGTGTCATCTTCCGCCCCCCTCGTTTTCTCTGAACCTGACCGCCCATCCTTCTTTTTTCTCATCCCCATCTCTGACACCACCGCCAAAAAAAAAACGTCTGAAGAAGTGCCGCGCACCCCGGGAAGCCTCGGATCATCCAGAAGCCGAAAAATGTCTGTGTGAAGCAGCCTACAGTATTCCTCGCCCCGTTCAGAACATAATTAGACATTTGCGAGGCGAACCAGTTCGTTTCGCAGATGAGGCAGGATGTTTAATTGAAAAGAGAGGGGGCAAAGACAGTAATCATTTATATAAGGGAGATGGGCGTCGTTTTGTGACCTTCCTTCCATGTAATTGACTATTGTTTTCCATCGATTTGATCGATTTCGATTTCGATTTCGATTTCGTCTCCAGGGGTCCTCGTGGACCCAAAAAATGAGTGTGAGCGAAGTGGAATGGAAGGGAAAAAGTTCGTAGATGTGAAAGAGTTGGCTGAAAACTGCTCACGAATAGGCTGGGCTTTGTGAGCATTTGTTGCTTATTCACAACATTCAGAACATCAGTTTACAGCAAAAATAGTCTGAATTGTAGCAAATTTTTTCGGTTCCGCACGGTGGGCGTGGCCTCGGCGGCCAAATGGCGTTTTCATGAATTGAGCAGGTTTTCTCTGATTTTTGTGGTCAACGGCGATGAAAAATGATTGTTCGGCATGAAAACACACTAATTCTCACAGAATTAATGTCGTTTTGGCGCATTTTTCGCCGACTTTGCGCCGCCTAAAAACCGCACTTTTCATTTTGCGCTTTCTTGACCGTTTTCCGGCAGAATTGGTTTTGAGAATGATAAATCACGTAAATACACGCATTTTGAGCGCTCGAACCGCGAAAATTACCGAAAAGCAACTGAAATTCACGCAGTTTTAGCTAAAAACCTTCAAACGGATAAATGTGATTTGCGACTTGACCAAATTTTGCGCTCTTGCGCTTAAAAAATTCGTAATAGCCTATAGAATCGGTCTATCGAGAGACAAATGAGAAATTATCGGTTTTTCGTGGCTAATCTGGCAAAAAAACACAAATTTTGCTGTTAAAATTTGAATTTCGCGCCAATGTATCGCTCTATTGGGTGGGGCGGACTTGCGCCCATTGTCAGCTCTGGAGACCGTGTTCCGTAAATAAATTCGTCTTACGCCGATCGTTCGTTGCGAGACCCACAATCGAATTGTTTGAATGGTGCGTTCGTTGCGTCGCGCGCACGTTCACGGTCCTCAGACGGTCCGTCTCGCTCTCATTCGCATTCATTCATCACTTGTGTTCTGCTCGCAAAATGCTCTCAAGCCCACCATCGATTTTCGCGATCGAAGCGCTGCCCGAGCTGATGCAGATCGAAGTGCTAAAGAATTTAACGTTGCACCAACTGTAAGTTGTGACAATTTTCTCACTTTTTCCTCCTCAAACCATTCATCTTCTCAGGTACCGCTTCTCGAGAGGATCCCGACGATGCCGGCAGATGGTGGCTCTGATGAAGCATCATGTGCACATCGAGATCGATCTGAGCTACAGCGGAAAGACGATGCGATTGGTGCCGACGAATGGCGAGCAGCCGCTGAAATGGGAGTTTCAGACGGACGTCGCCGCGAACGGATCCATGTACGGAGCGATTGGACAGCCGTGAGTTGGGACGACTATATTAAACGTTTGAGATTAGATTGGGTTAACCGTTCTGGACTTTGAGTTCGTAGTTCGTAGAGTATCCACCGAAAACTAATTGTTTTAGGGTGCCACCTCGAAAACCAGCCGCCGAGTTGCTCACCGCCGAGCACAAGATGGGGATCAAGTTGGCGCACCTCATCGAGGCCTTCCGATGCCCCGTCCGAAAGTTCGATTTCAACGGCGAAGCGGTCAACCACTGGCGCTCCGTGTTCACTCGGTTCCGTCAGTGCGAAGAGCTGATTGTTCGAGGGGGCCGCACTGACGACGCGTGTCTTCAGTACATACTCGAGAACATCCGGGTCACGCGGCGATTCGAAATCCGGTATTGGACGAGCCGTCAGGTGAGATGCTCGAATCGCATCTTCAACTGTGATCAGCTGGACCTCGGCAATGCGCCCTGGATGAATCGCGAGCACTTGATGGGAATGAAGTGCGCCACGGCCGACATTTCCGGAGTGTGGTTCACAAAACAGGACCTCGCGGATTTTGTGTCGAAATGGTACCATTCGGATGACACTCGGCTGCAGTGCGTGCACTTCTTCTTGGCTGTCGAAATGAATGACTTCGAGTTGGAGGAGGGCATTCCGACGAAAAGCTGGGATCTACGCGAGCGCGGACCGGTTTATCGGTTAGTTTTTGACTAAATTTGGTCTAAATTTTACATTTCCATCGTTTCAGAGTGTCCCGTCACAAAAAAATCGACTGCAGAAAGGGCATGGACATCGAGCGCAACGACGGACTGCTGGCGACTGTGATCTCCGAAGAAAGGCATTTCAAATTTGTCGTCTGGCACAATCGTTTCCCCCGAATTCCAGACTTGTCAAATGCGGCGCCGGCCCAGCCCAGATGGCCCGTCTGGCAGGGCCTGTGGTAGTTGGAAATGTTTGAAATGTTTCTATTATTACGACCGTGATATAAATAAACGTTTTTACTTTTTAAATGAAATCACATTAATCCGAGTCGTCCGAACTTCCGTATTGTGCAGCGATTAGGGAAACTGCCGATGGAGTTGGACCCTTCGAAACTTTCGGACTTTTTTCTACGTCATCCACGTTGTCTGCCGCTTTTTTGGGTCGAATCACAATGCCCAACGTGGATTTCCGTTTAATGCCCAGCGCGTTGGCGGCTCCAGAAGACGTCGTCGTGTCGAACGTGGCATTGATCCGTTTGTCGCGTTCCGCCCGGATTGTCGCCTTCAGACGTTCGGAAGGCGTCACGCCTCCAGAAGAAGATGCACCAGAAGACGATTCAGATGACGTCGCTTCGACGATTTCTCCTCCACGTCGATTCTCGAAAATCCGCCGCGAATCGATGCGATCGCGGCTCGACGCCAGTTTATCGTCCTGGCCTCAAAAATGATGCGTTGGAAGAGGAATTTCTAGGGGCCAGGCCATCATGACTTACTCTTCGCGTCCTTGTACCGTGTGATCATGGACGCCACCTTCCGATCCTCCTCGCTCTCCGGCAGCAATCGGGTCGTTCCTATCGAGAGCTTCTCGCGGAGACTCGCGTCACGCACCCGCGATTCGTTCAGCGACTTTTTCTCGTTCTGAAAGACGGGAACTCAATTTTCTCGCGACTTTTTGGACTTCGATTGAAGTATATTGGGTTCAAGACTGAGACCACGGGACCAGACAATCCGATCGGCTTGAACCTTAAACCCAAATACTTCTGTCAAAGTCCAAGAAGAATGCAAATGGAGCAAAGGTTCATAGCCTTCGGAAAGCCATGACTGGATTGTTGCCCAGTCCTGACGATCTATAACAATTCGACTAACCCTAAACTGTGCCCTGAGGAACGAGTTTGCGGAGAAGTCGTCTCTCATCCGCTCCTGAATCCACTCGAGCTTGTCGACCCGTCCCTCCTCGCCGGCGGCCTTCTCCCGATCGCCCGCCTCGTGCTCCTTCTTGAACATGGCGTCGGCGGCCAGCTTCTGCGCGAATCCCCTGTCGACCGGCGCCACTTGCTGGATTTCCGACGGATCGAATCGGAGCTCCTGACGGGAGCATCCTTCCACGAGCTCGTAGTCAAAGTTCTGAAATAATAAAAGTTTCAGGGGCTGTAATTTGCTCCTTTCTCAAGTTCTAGTCTATTCATATGAATTTAAAGGAAATTTGGGCCCCAGTACCTTTGGATCAGTGCGAATCACGTAGTAATTGTCGCAAAGGTGACATTTCATGCGAAACTCGTACAACGGCGTCGTGTAGTACATTCCGCACTTCTTCTTCTCCGCATTGTACCGCACGCCCATTCCCACGTGGTTGTGGCATCCCAGACACCAGATGTTGAACGGCATCTCGAATCTGAAACCACGCACATTTTTTTTTGCACTTTTTTTCAATGTTTTCCAAATTTACCTGATGACCAGAATGCCTTGATCAATTTTTTTGGCTCTCTCGCGAAGCGCATGTGTTCCATGGTATCCATTCAGCGATTTGTGCGTTTTGTAGTTGAAATCGGGCGGATAGTAAAAGTTTTGTCCTTTTCGCTCGCCCATCTGTCAAGAAAAGTTGAAATGAAATAATAAGCTAGTGCGCTCCACTGAGAATAAGGTATAAATGCACAGATTTTACAGCTTTCGCGTGAAAAATTGGGAAGAAAATCGATGAATTATGTATGGACAGTCAAATTTTACCCGGAACATTTTGAAATCAAAGGCAAAAGTGTGCAATTTTAACTAAAAATAACAAAAATTGATATTATAAATCGACGCCGAGTGCGTCCGCTTCCAAACTTGTAAATCCATCCTTCGCCGTCAATTTCGCCACCAAATCCTTCGTCAGCTTTGATTTTTCGGTCCTCGTGTGCCACACGTACACTTTCGAACACTTCTCCGCGAGCGGTTCCATGTCGTACCGGTGCATTCCGACTTTTTCGAGAAACGTCGATTCCTGGTAGCCACGTGGCACTTCGAACGAGAAATTCGCATCGGGATTCTCGAGGATGAGGGTGATGTTGACGGCGAACGCGGCCATGTCGATCGGGAACGGACGATCGCGCTTCCACGTCGCGTTAAAGTCGATTATGGAGCCTGAAAAGATGGATTTGCGGTGTTTTGCAACTGCGGGGATGGCTGCGAAATGTTTTTGACTATAAGAAACGAGTGCTACACCAAATAATTGAAAACTGGGAAGTTCCCGGTTGTCTCTCAAGCTTACCATTTTTGCCGAGAATCGGAGTCTCGACGAACACGCCGCCCACAATTCCGACGGGCCAAACGGCGGCCCGCTGCACTTTGCGCATCTCGTCGAACAGCCGCACGTCGTACGTGTTGTCGTCGTCGCCGAAATAGACGACGCCACGTGGCACCGTCGCCAACTGGGTGCGTATCCACGCGAGCGCCGCGTTTCTCTGCGCAACGCCACGTGGCAACGTCCAGCTCGGATCCGCGTACTTCATTTTCTGATCGGTGGGCGTCGCCGCGTTCAAATGCGAAAACGGTATTTTGGAGCGGAGTAGGAGGTGCCGGAGAGCCGTCGATTGGATTTCGGCATCTTCGACGAGGATCCAGTGGAGGTTGGGCACGTGCGAGAGAGTCTGCGCCAGACGGGTCAGGTCCGCCTTTTGGGCCGCCCGGAAACTGGTCGGCGTGATGAAGTAGATGAACGGAGACGAGCGTGGAAGGCGTGGGAGGAGGGAGATGTGGTCGCGGATTCTGGTATTTTTAATCATTTTTAGAATAATCAGCCGGATTCAAAAAAAAATCACGAACATTCAGATACGCGAGCGCGCATTTGAATGTTCTACCGTATATTTGTCCGATCGCTGCGAGACCCTTAGTTTTTCGATCTACGCGCGCAACGCCAAACATTCGACTTGGTTCTCTTCGCTGTTTTTCTGTTTTGTTGCTCCGATGCGAGGACTTTTTTCGGAGGAATGCAGAGAAAAATCCTCGCGCATTGTCTTCTCAAAGCCAAATTTCATAAATTTCCTCTTTTTTTTCGTTTGTTTTACTCACAGAAAACCTCTAATACAGCATTTTTAACCGAATTTAGTGTTGTGAATTCGGCTTGCTTCTCTCTGCTGTTTTTCGCTTCGCGCGGCGTTTCTTTGACTATTGACTCACGAAATTGTCAACTTTTTTACCGGAATAGATGACTTTTGGCATGTAAAACTCACTGTGTATCGATTTCTTCGACTCGTCCGCTCAATCTCGTCAATTCTCGCTCTTTTTCCAATATTTTCAGCTGCAGCCCATCGCTTTTTCGTGTCAACACCTCGATCTGAACGTTTTCGGTTTCTTCGCATAAATTTCACAAAAACGAACTGTGGCTTGCAACGTGGCACGTTCCTCGTCCAGGCCCTGCACTTTATTGATGGCATAAAAGAGTTGCCAGACGAAAAAGAGGATAACGGCCAAAAAAGCGCGAAACCACCACTTTTCGACTATTCTCGCGGTGATCATGACGATGTGCGCCCACAAAATAATCTCATTTGGTCGAGTTGCACCTGAAAATCAAAAAAAATGTACAAATTCAGTCGATTAATGCGGCGTTTCGCAGTCGAAAACGGTCAGCAAATGCCTGGCCAGACTACGATAAGTTTAAAGGGACATATCGAAATTTGTAGCGAGGTATCGTAACTTTAAAGGCACAGCACTGCTTTGAATATTTGAAAATTCGAAGAAAGCCCGCGAACCTTAAAATTGTTCATTTTTCACCGACTTCATCGTTTTCCCACCAAATTTCGGGATTTTCGCGCGAAAAAATCGATAAAAACCTTGGAAAAGGGGAACATCAAGTGAAGTGTCGTACCACTCCTCTATCGTCTGCGTCTCGACCTCTCTTTCGCGTCATCCGACATTTTCGACCCAATTTACGTCATTCTTTCCACGAAAATGTTCAAAAACATGCGATTACTTGTTTACTAGAAAGAACAGCGAAAAAATGCATTTATGTGTTGTTAGTCGCTTTTTTCTTCTCTTTTTTCGATTGACGCTCGCAGAAAAGATAAACGATGACTGTTTCATTTTGACAGGTTCTTTTGTGCTGATAAGACGAAAAGAGTAACGATGTATGTGAAAAATTCGGCGCCGAACTCATTTTTCTCGAATTTTCGGGAAAATTCGATTGAAAACCTGTTTTTCGCTCAATTTGTTTATTCTCGGCAAAATTCCACGTGTTCCCTCTGTTCTGATGCAATTTTTGTGTTTTTCGACTTGCTTTCGAGGAAATTTCGCAATTTTCCTTGTGTATCTCCAATTCTCTTGTTTTCAGTATGTTTAGCTCATTTTAAAGTCGAAATCCATTTTTTCTCGGCTGTTCAAAAATTTGTCTTCAAACAACGTTTACTTTGTGTGATTTTCTTTGAAGCTTTTGAAAAGTTGACAAACCTTTAGTGTTTTCGACCAATTTTCACTTCCTTACCTGTTCCGAAACTGGTTTTCACTATTTTTACTAATCCTTCGTTCCTCGCATGCTTTTTGACAATTTGCGATTTCCTTCGAATCAAAACACCCAATATTTTGCACGTTTTCATATTCTCCCTCAACATTCCATCCCATGAAACATTTCCGATGCCTTGCCGCGCTTTTGGTGCTCTGGCGCTTTTCTGGTGTGTGTAATGTTAAACTTTAGTGCCAGTAGAAAGAAAAAGAGAAGAGTGTACCGAGTCATGAGTAAACTTTCGTCCTTACGCAACCAGTTCTTCCCGTGTCGTTCCGTTGAGTTGCACTGTACTTTTATCTAGAAAAAAACTTTGCGGTTTCTGTTCCTGAGCGCACTTCCAGAGCTTCATACGCTTTTCGGAGGGGAATTTTTAGAATCCTCGCATTCTTTTACCTACAACTCGTCGAAAAACGACATAATTTTTTAAAACTAGAGTCAAAGATCTTACAAACAAGCGCGTTGATTCTTAGAATTGAGTTCTTCGAAATCTGAATCACTCTTTTTCGTACCTGACGGTTCTCGTCACAACATTTGCATAATTACACACTCCTCGCCGGTCCCGCTGCAGCAGTCCCCTTCGTTTTAAATGGGTGCGGTGGTGGACCCCTATGGTACCTCCCAGTACCGCCCGAACAGCCTCGTACACACAAGAAAGTGTAATCAAGGGGGGGGGGGGGGGGGGGGCTCCTCTCTTCGGTTTAGACCACCAGCGGTCGGGTGTCTGGTGGTGACCTCCGATTGGCCGGTCATTCATATTCAAACACACGCACGCCCGCACACACCATTTGCTCGCTTTACATCTTGTGTGCAATTTTGATGAGATTAATAGATTAGAAAGTGTTAATTTCAATTTGCAATGCAATTTTCGACTTCTCAAAGTTTTCCTGTATCGATTGCCATTTGGAATGCATCCTTTTGTGGGATTTCGTCAGTTTTTACACAATCTGAAAACTTGAACTTTTGAGAATTTTTGGAGTACTGGCAGATGCTTCAGTTTCGATGTTTCTGTTTCAGTGAAGTCCAAAATTGTGAACTGAATGCTTTTTCAAACTAGAGATATGCAAAATTTGGAAAAAATCTGTCTGCCTCTTGACACACTGTTCCCTCAAAGACGTGCCCGAACGTACGTACACACACACACACACACCGAGACACCTAATAGATGTGGGATGGATGGATGGATGTGTAGTGGAAAGGGGGTGTCTGGGGTGGTGGTTGCTGTGCGGAGGGTCTCTCTCTCTCTCTCTCTCCTTCGCATTTCAATCGATACACGACTCGCACACATACTAACCGCCTCTCCGACTTCTTTTTCTCCGCTTCTCTGGGTCTCTGCATCCTCTGCGTGGACAATACCAGGCCTACGCTTTGAGAGAGAAAGAGAGAGAGTTCCACTCTCCCTCTCTCTCTCTGTCTTGCTTCGCAATGCTATTGTCGGTTTAGTATTAGTAGTATATAAACGAAAAAGAGTTCGCTTCAAAGTGTTCTCTTCTCTGTTCTTTTTTTTCGTGTTTCGCCGCGCCGCCGTCAACCACTTTTGCGAGGCCAACTTTTTGGCTGAATGCGTGGGCGTATGTCCCCCTTTCCCCCTCTCTCGCTTTCCCATTCCATTTCCCTTTCACTATACTATGTGGATGTCGCGTTGGATACGATTCTTAAAACTTTACAAGTTTAAGCGGCAACAGTTGGTCGAATCTTTCCAAAATTGAACATTTCGTAACCCTTAGTGAAGATTATCCATTCCCTCCGTAAAAACATTTAAAAATTTGTCAAATTCGACCGGAAATCGCCCCCGAATTGCCCGACCACACCCTCATTTTCTATCTTCTTTTGCAAAATTCATCGGAATGTGTTCTTCAATAATTGGCAAGTTTTGCTGTTTTCTCCTCTTTCTTCATTTTTTGTTCGGCTAGTTCGGGTTTCTGCAGAAGAATCGATTCGAGACCGAATTTGTTTGAAATTTAAATTCGAATATTCAAATTTGTGTGCAAAATGGGCGAACAAAGGAATTCAGTGTACTTTTGCGAAGCCACGCCCCCTGAAATTTTAGGCTTATCAGTCGAATATCACTTGTGTATTACTTCGTTTTTCTCTCTTTCCTCTCCATTTCCCTTATCAAACGTCTTTGTTCTCGCGTTCTCATTTGGAGGAGGAGGAGGAGGAGGAGGAAAGCGAATTGATAAGCAGAGTACCAGCAGTTAGTACGACAATATCGGTTTGAAGTTTGTTTGAAATGTTAACAGACTCTAGACGTAGCGGAAGAATGAATAGAAAATGGCGGGAGGAGATATCGATCTGCATGCCCGATATCCTCGTCCATCACTCATTCGTCTTCTTCTTCTTCTTCCTCGTCTTCCTCTCTCGCTACCCAAATTAGCCAGCAATCACTTTTTCCTTATTTCTCTTCAAGGTTCCGTCGATTCTGAGTGAAAAACGATGAAGGCTACCGAAAATTGGAAACTCGAGAAGTGTCTAGAGCCAATATGCGGCTTCTGGTCCCAAAAATTTGCGTATGAAGCTCAAAAAGTTACAATTGAAGATTCAACTGTAGTATTTCCACTTTTTAGGCTCTATAAGGTTGCAGAGCGTAACCATTTTGAACTTCCAGTAGATTACCCAATTTTTCACATTTTTCTGGGTCCTGCCACGAAATTAACCCAATTTGTCACGTATGGGTATTGTAGACAATTAGAAGTGATAGTAATAGTACTACCGACGCACTCCCTCTCTCTCTCTCTCTCTCTCTCTCTCTCTTTCTCGCTCCCACTCATTATTGTCGGCCTCTTCTTCGTCTTCGTCTTCTTCTTTTTCTTCTTCTGCATAAAACACCGGTTGACCCGGGCACACTCACTATTTGTCCTTCCCCTTGATGCGATCGAAAAGGACCTTCATGATGCGTGCCGGCACTTTTTCTGAGCATCAAGAAGTCCATTTTGATAGAAAACGCGAGTTGCTCTACGTTTCTCGGAAAATTCATCTAGAATTGGTTGGGATAGCCATTTCATTTCATAAAATCTTGGTCGTTCCCGGACCGCTAGACTCTTTCTCGGTCCATTTTGACAGAAAACTGAAAAATTTGGTACCCTACAATAGAAAGTTGTGCATTCGTCCACTTTTCTGTTCGCAAAACTCGGAAAAGAGGGAAATTGCAGATTTCCTTACGTCTTGGCCCTCGTTGACGTGAAATGAAGAATAGTGCATTTTTCCGATTTCCCCAACTGAAAAATGCGAATTTTCCCAGAAAATTCAAAATTCCCCGAGCAAAAGCGACGGATTTCCTGATATTATACTTACTTGATATCTCATGCGTGACTTTATCGCCTCTCTTTCGTCTTTTTCCGAAATGTTTTAAAAACGGTTGTCTCTCTGCAGGCGCCTCTCCACAGATTGTTGAGAGCGGACAAAAATGGACGAGCAACAGCCGCCGGCCACGTTTTTCCAGGCGCCAATCCTGACAATGCCCGCCTCGCGGAGGACCCTCGGACCGCACAATTCACCCGTCAAATCCATGTCACAGAACTCGTCGGTAAGCGTCTGAAAAGTGGACTAGAAATGTTCCGAATTTGGATTGAAGTATCTTGGGACAAAGTTACAGATCGATCCGATCATTTGGTCCCGATATGTAGAGATTTTGGGCCGAAAAGTTAGGGTGTTTTGCAAAAGCTCAGACTTCTCGGGACCAGATGATCCGATCGAACTGAAACTTGGTCCCAAGATGCTTCAATCCAAGTTCAAAAAGCCAGCAAAGTTTGGGCCCGATCAGAATATCCAGGCAGCTTTTGCTCAATTACTAAAATTGTCAACGTTTTCATTTCATTTTTCATATTTTCAGGCGCACACATCGCCGCGGGTAACACCGACAAAAGGCGCGAATCCGTACGGGGACCGATTTATACCATTGCGGCAGTCCAATCACGACTGGAACGCGCGTTACTGCTCGATCGGCAACGAGGTGGTCGTCGAAGAGGAGACGGGCGCGTTCAAGAAACCGCAGGGCAAATCGTGCAATCGACATTTGAACCTGCAGAATTCGTTGGTCATGTCTGCGAGCGCTTCTTCGGCGGCTTCCGGCGCCGCAGCGGCAGCAGTAAATGGTCCCGGTCCCTCGGGATCTTCGACTTCTACTTCTACTTCTTCCACCGCGTCTTCTTCTTCTTCTTCTTCGGTTCCTGCTCCCACACCCACTCCTACCCCGGTACTTTCAATATCCGACACCTCGCCGGCCACTTCATTCCTCGACCAATCCCCCGTGGCTCCACCCTCGCCCACCTCGTTCGCCTACCAGTTCGGCGGCGTCACCACCGTCCCGGCCCAGCACCACGGCCATCACACGACGCCCACGCACTCCTCCCCACAGGACTACTATCAGGGACCGTCGAACTCGGGCTCGGGCAGCAATTCGCCGACGAGCACGCACTCGAACTCGTGTCTCGACGACACCCGGAATAGCGAGGCGGTCATGCGGGCACTCCTTCGCAATGAAATGTTGAGGGATCGGATCGACGACGTGAAGGGGCAGGCGACGCAGCAGCCGGAGGAGAAGCTCTCCACGTTCTCGCTCGCGCCCATCGTCGCGCCGCTTCCGCAGCCGCCCACGCTCGACACTCCGCACGGGGTGACGACTGGAATGGAGCGGAATGCGTACGGAGGGAGCCAGGAGGCTCTTGTGTTCCCGACGGTCGAAGCCGGGGTTAATGAGGTTACCAGGTGAGCATAATTGAACAGATTCAATAAAAAAGTTCCATAAGACTCTCAAAAGCATACATTTTCATTTGCAGAGTGGGTTCGGTCTCTCCGACAGTCTACGAGATGATGGAGCCCCGTCTGCGAGGCGGCTCGGACTCGCCGATCGAACTGCCGCCCTCGCCGGCGGGAAGCGTGTGCGGCGGGGAGACGCCTACGAAGACGCCGACGATGCCGCTGTCGCCGATAGTGCCGAAGCAGTCGCCGTGCCGCGGCCTGTTCGCCTACAGCGCCAAAACGACGCCGATCAAGTTCGTGACGCAGCCGACGACGCCGACAAGTGCGCAGACCTCGCCGTTCGGTGGTCCGTTCAGCGTCGACTCGCAAAGACTGCTGCGGACGCCGCGGAAGCCGACGCGCAAAGTGCCCAAGAACCCGTACAAAGTGCTCGACGCGCCCGAACTTCAGGACGACTTCTATCTGAATCTCGTCGATTGGTCCTCACAGAATCAGCTCTCTGTCGGACTCGCGAGCTGCGTCTATTTGTGGAGTGCCACCACTTCGCAGGTGAGCATTTTAATGGTAAATTAGTTCAAACCCTAAAAACCCGAATTTCAGGTGATAAAACTGTGCGATTTGTCGACGAGCAACGACCAGGATACGGTGACGTCGGTGCAGTGGTGCGACAAGGGGGACTTGCTGGCGGTGGGCACGAACCGCGGCATCACGCAAATCTGGGACGTGACGAGCCAGAAAAAGGTGCGGGACCTGAGCGGGCACACGTCGCGCGTCGGCTGTCTCGCCTGGAACGCCGACACGATCTGCTCGGGCTCGCGCGATCGGAGCATCCTCCATCGGGACATTCGCTGCGACGATCGGGACGTGCGGAAGCTACAGCAGCACCGACAGGAGGTCTGCGGGCTCAAGTGGTCCCCCGACAAACAGCTCTTGGCTTCCGGCGGCAACGACAATCAGTTGTTGGTGTGGAATCTGCGGAGGCCCGAACCGATACAGACGTACAATCAGCACAACGCGGCGGTGAAGGCACTCGCCTGGTCGCCGCATCATCACGGACTGCTCGTCTCGGGCGGAGGCACCGCCGATCGGTGTCTGAGGTTCTGGAACACGCTCACTGCACAGCCCATGCAGTGTGTCGATACGGGATCACAGGTATGGGGCTTTTTCTAATGTTTTTGAAGAATTTTGAAGTCTTTTCGGATTTTTAATTTGGGTTTTGTAATTCTAAAGCTATTGTAGGTTTGCAACGTGGCGTGGTCGAAGCACAGCAGCGAACTCGTCTCCACTCACGGATACTCGTACAATCATGTAAGTTGTCTTATTCATCTAGGCGAAGCAACGCGTTTTTTGCAATAAGGAAGACTACGACCTGTGTCCTTTTACCTCAGGCGTTCTCACGCCTTCGCCTGAAAAGGCGTCCGGCCTGCGGTCAACCGAACTATCTCACTCACCGTGCCTAGTTTCAGGTGATAATCTGGAAGTATCCGAGTCTGCAGCCGGTGACGAAGCTCGTCGGCCACCAATATCGCGTCCTCTACCTGGCGATGTCGCCCGACGGCGAGTCGATTGTGACGGGCGCCGGCGACGAGACCCTCCGCTTCTGGCACGTCTTCAACAAGGGAAATCCGCCGACGATCACGCGGTCGAAGCTGAATTTGCACTCGACGCTCCGGTGATTCTCCGATTTTTTGCTATTCTTTTCTGTCCACACCTTTGCCTTGCATCCTGCCAAATTTCTGGTCCAAATTTTCTCAACTTCATGGGTTTTTTCATTCATTAATTTTTCTAGGATTTTCGAATTGTACCGCCTTGTTCATTGCGCCATTTTTTGTTTTGTGTGTGTCTGTGTTTTCTCTAGTCTCCATGGCCTCGGAAAAAGCTAGGCCACGCGTTGTGATAGTCTGCTAAAATCTGTAAATTTTTGATTTTTCTAGTTGCCCCCCTCCCCAGCTCCTCCTCGAATTTTCCCCATAAATCTTGTAAAATCATCATCATGTACTTTCCCCCATCCCCCCGCCCCCAACCAAGAAATTATCCCTCTTGTCTTTCCGAAACATGCCCAGTCCTTGAATTTTCAAAAAAATCCACCCCCCATATTTCATTTTTAATTATATTATATGACGACGACAATGACGACATAATTAAAAGTTTTACTAAAAAAAGACATAATGTAGGACTATTGTAGAGTGTAGGTGAATTGGTTGATATCGATCGCAATGTTGCCCTCGGATTCCTCTTGAAATCCGGCGAAACACTTGCAACTATACTGGTGCAAGTGGTTTTTCAGCAGATTGTCGAGGTGCCGGATGTAGCGAATCGCCAGCCGAAGCGTGTCCACTTTTGAGATCCGTTTCTCACTGAAAACCGCAATTTTTCTTCCGATTAGTTGGAATAGAAAGACACCCCAATATTGTCAATTCAAAGCTGCGCATCTCGGCTGCTGGTAGAGATATCAAAAAGGTGTCAACTAATAAAATGTATGAAATGTCTTTCTGAACAAGTTATCAGTTGAAAACTTTTTGATATCTCTACCGACAGCCGAGATAAACAGCTTTGAATAGACAATATTAGTTTTTTTTTGCAAAAATCTCCGGGCAAAATACTGTATCTTTCAAGGTTTTTGAGTCACTCATTTTCTTTCAAAAAGAAATGCTTGCCAATCTACAGTAACCCTTGGAACTCACTCCACATGCACCGGCAAGTGCTTCCTCAACCGCTCGTATCCATCGTTCACATTTCTCACTCGACACCTCTCCCGCTCATTTCGCTTCCAAACCGACGAACTAAAAAAACAAGTTGTTCTACAATACCTAAAACTGACAAACCTGTAGGGACCGAATTGGTCTTCGAGCTCGAGCGGAAGGGGTACGGTAGCTTCGGGATCGAACGGGTTCACGTACTTTTTGGAAGCGGACGTTGGATTCGAATCCGATGGTATTTGGGCTGAAAAAAGTCAAGCTTAATGCATTGTACGTTGTCCCAAAGTACAGTACTCACCCATAATATTATGCGGATTCTCGGAATCCTTAAGGACCACATTATTCGAATTGATAATACTCGAATAGACACCATTTTCGAACGTATAGGTAACCGGCGGGAACATGGAAATGAACGAGGAGTTGCGTTGGCTGCACATCACTAACTGAGCTGCTAGATCATGGGATCCATGAGCAAAACAGAACAGTGGATGGTGCATCGGCTGTGCAAACAATGGGGGGACTTTCCGAAAAAGGACGAACCGAAAATGATGTACAGTAGTATGTGGATGGGTGTTTATTTGCCACCGGCGGCCGCTTTTCTCTTTTACCGCTTTACTGGTACCTAGACGCGAGGACAACAGGACCCAGGTCCCATTAGAACGATATAAAATGCAATGAAAAGTTGGAACACTAATTGACACCTACAAATCAGTGAATATTTGTTGGGCAAACAGAGCAGATGGTAAATGCTATGCTAATCAGTCATCACAGAACGGTGACAGATACGGATGGGTTTTACACCCGGAGGCGAGAGGTTTATTGAGACGATTTTTTGAAAACGATAGTATTTGTTCGAGTACAATCAATGCACATTTAGAAGTTTACTATTGGATTCATGGCACTGTTTCTGCGACTACGTTGAGTTGAAATTTCTCGAAAAGCAAACGGTTTCAGAAGGTCCCATCGTGTTTTGTGACATCTACAGACACAGTAGAAGCGTTCTAGGCCAAATTGAGCAAAAAACATTTTTCAGGGAATGTGAAAAAATGGAAAAAAGTTCCAATTCCTTGAACAACTTTTTTTCGCTCAATTTGCTTCAAAACGCTTCTACTCGTGTCCTTGCTTGCAAAAAGCACAATAGGACTCACTGGAACCTCCTAATCTTCGAGAAAATGCAACTAAAATAGGCCTGAACAGCAATTCGCTTCAAAATGGTTCCATTCTGGCTCTAGATGACCAAAAAGGAACATTTGGACCCACTAGATCGTTCTAATCTTCGAGAAAGACGTCGTCGTGGCACACGAGACATTTCTACAAAATATTCATTTTTCGGCATGCAAATGCACTCCCAATCATTTCCCTCATTTTGATTGACGGATTTTCAGATCAATTTTGCTGTTTGAACTCTTAAAATACCAGACTTGCCAAATCCCGGGCCAGCAAATCGTCGGCCCGGCCCGGCCCGGTCGGCCCAGCTCCGCCCACTCTTGAGAAAATTTTCGTAATTTTTGTGAAAATTTTGCGACTTTAAACAGCAATTTCTATTTTTTAACAGGTTTTTATGCTATAACATTGCCTTTTTAAGTCTATAAAATTTTAAGTCTATAAAATTATGTTCGTTTCGAAGTTCTAGTTCGCTTTGAATTTTTAGGTGCATCCTCCCGGGCCGACCGGGCCGGGCCGGGCCGGGCCGGGCCGGGCCGGAAAATTTCCAATTTTGGCCCGGCCCGGCCCGGCCCGGCCCGGCCCGTTGCAAGTCTGTAAAATACTCGTAATTTTGCGCTTCACGGCCTTCCAGGGCGCCAATGCTAAACACAGTGCGCTCGTAAATTGCGGAGTGTCGTTGTAACTTTTGAAAATTTGCAAGTCTAAAAATGGAGTTCAATTCGAGTTTACCACCTTTATTTCTTTCTTTTTGACTTGAAAAACGTCTAGAAGACAATATTTTACTGATTGGAAACCGTTCTTTACTGATATTAGAGTTTTTCATGTTTTTAGCGTCTTTTTCGCATTTCGTCAAAACTTCAAACCTTTATATTTCAGCTCATTTTGCATTTCATGAGCCCAACGAACGATAAAAATGTTCGCTGAATCTTTCTTCACAAAATACAGGTTTCGGCGGTTAGTTTTCTTAAGCAGTTTTCGAAAACTTTTCGAAAAAGATCAAAATCCAGGCCAAAATCTTCAAATCGAAATAACTCGGCTAATTCTCAACGATATGCGAGATTTCTGTTACCAAAACGTAGCTAGTGCTCTAATTATTCGAACCCAGGTTATAGGCGTACAAAAACTAGGTGTATTGTACAGAAAACATGGAAAGAAAGCGAATTCCATTAATTAATTAATTATCGACACAGCCCGCCTGTTGCAAGTGCGCCCCATTAAAATCATTCGCGCCGTGGGAGATCGTGGCGCTTTATCGTTTGTTTAGTCAAAAAGTCGATAAATTTTTCAGAAAGTTCGGAAGCGTACCGGCGTCATTCCTATTCAGAGATTCGAGAAATTTCCCACCATTTTCTACACTTAGGAGCTTAAGGACGTGCCAAACTAAAAAGTAATGGAAGCATCTCGTTTTCCGCCAAGTTATCCAGCTCAAAATCTCAAAAACCTTGAACTTTTGAATAAAAGAGCGTTACCTTGCCGACGAGAGGGTCCTCGTGCGTGAAATGCCGCCCGTAGAGTCTCGGCGCCTCTCCGGTCGTATTTTCGATCTTGATGCACACTTTTTTGCCCTGCTTCGCCAGCGGGACCTCCTCGTTGTTTCTCTGCACCGACGAGATCGTTCCCAACAGAATTCGCTGCAAAAATGCACACATTTCGAGCATTTTCCGCCGATTTCTTCTCAAACAATCACTAAAATCCCGGATTTTCCCGAAAATTAGCTCCTTGCTCGGCACACAAATCCGAGTGCCCCTCTTAACAAGTCCCGCTTCGATGGGGACGCCGAACGCGCCTTCTCCTTCAGTTCCTCTCTGGAAAAGCACATTCTCTCATTACGAATTTCCATTTACTCTAATTTACACTCAGACCCTCGTCTGATTCACAATGAAGCTCATGAGGTTGCCGATGCCGTCGCCACGTGCTCACGACCGTCTGCGCTCTCTTCATCCTCCTCTCCATTCCATTTTGCCTCTCCGCCGGCCTTTATTGAATGGAACTTCTGGCCCAATTCGTGAACACGCACTCGGTGATCCTTCCCATCGTGAACTTTTCCCGAATCCGATCTTCCCGGGACCGTCGGCGCCGCGCCCTTCATCAGTTGATCGTCGACCACTTGGCACAACGGCTCCAACGATTTTTTGCCGCTAAAACCCGGATTTTCAGATTTTCTTCCAGGAAAAGCATGACAAAAACCGACACCAATCCGACGAAGATTGGACAGACGGGTCCGATCTGCAAATCATTTTTGTTTTACATTGCAAACGTTTTCAAACACAATAAATCGCGCTCTATTGCACTTTTTCGTCAAACCGCCTTTTCTGCTGAAATTTTGCTGAAAATACATGTTAAATCCAATGGTTTATTCGGCAATTATCGAAAAGTTATCAATTTTGGCGTACAGTCGAGGAAAATGCGATCTGAATCATTTTTAATCGGAAAAAGTAACATTTTGGCGATTACGTCCAATCTTGTGCATGGAAAAACCCCTTCCATTTATTAAAACACTTTGAAAAAGACATATATATATTATACAACCACAAATCAGCTCTTTCAGGTATTTCCAAGAATTCGGGTCGTTGTGGAGGGGGTGTCTATCACAGAATATACGGAGAAAACCAAACTAGAGTTTTTTTTTTGTTGCAAGACAAGACCAAAACATTTTGAAGGCCACCAAGAAAATTGTGTGAAAAACCCAGAAAACATTGAATTGAAAAAAAATAATAGAGACTTTGGATCGGGATCGCGAGAGCAAGGGCTTCAAAACCTGTTACGACGACGATTTGAAAAGGAGTTTGAAATCGAAAGTTTGGGGGAGAGACAGAGAGAGAGAGAGAGAGAGAGAGAGAGAGAGAAAGGAGCAGAGATTAAGGAAACGGTCAATAGAACTCTGACGTGGTTATCTGTGTGTGTGGGCGTATACATATTTGAGAGAGAGAGAGATGAAGATCAGGTTCGACTCAACACGAGATTTCTCCCGACATCGGTAGCTTATAACTTGAGGGGGAACGCAAAAATGCTATTGGATGACAATTGGAAAATGTTTCGATCCGGAAAGCGTGCGAGCAGTTACAAGTACCGAGTGCTGGCCAAGATTTGTGTGTTCTGACGTTGGAGTTCTCGAAATTTCAAAGAGATTGACAGAGATTCTATATCAAAAGATCTGTTTAACGTCTTCAAAACTGAGAAGTTCCAACTTCAGAACTGATTGATGGTGGTGGGGGAAACGACTGGAGATCTGCTGCCGCTGCTGCTGCTGCTGCTGGAGGCGAGAAGAAGAAGAAGATTCAATCCGATCGGAGTGGGATTTGATCCGGAGATCAGGTGTTGGTTGGTTTTCCCAGAGGTTTAGAGGCCGTTGTAGGCTTTCGGCTTGAGATCCGTCTGCGCGAGGATCTCGATGATCTGCGTCTTCTGCTCGGCCGTGAGCTCCCGCTTCGGAAACTCGACGTCGAACGTGACGACGAGCATTCCGCGCTGATTGTTGTTCTCCAGCGACGGCATTCCTTCGTCCTTCTTGCGGAGACGCGCGCCCGGCCACGTTACCTGCAAGATTTGGTTTTGAGATACGGTAGAACTGGGGAATGTTTGAACAGAATTTCGAGAAAAACTATGAGGATGAATAGCAAGTTTTTTTTTACTACGGAATTGACTTGTATCTCAATTACCAGTAGAGATATCAAAAAGTGATCAACTAATGAAACAGTACACAATGTTTCAATGAACAATTTGCCAGTTGAAAACTTTTTTATATCTCTACCGTCAGCCGAGATACATTGTCCTGAAGTATTTACGATAAGCAAGCCGATTGTGACGACCCAAAAAACTTTTACAGAGAAATTACGCTTCTACTAGTTCTTGTAGTCTACTGGTTGCTCTAAACGCTCTAGGCTCAAACAACGGCGTAAGCCTAGGATTTATAGTGCCCTAGGCCCTAGAAAGCTAGAATGTTTTAGAAGATTCCCGTGATCATAATGACGATGACAGTGACAATACCGGATCAGCATGGGCAAGCGCGCTCCACTGAACTAGTGACGTACTCTCCTCGCTCTTGTCGACTGAGAGAGAGAGAAAGAAGATCACGAGAATGACGTGGCACCGGCCGCCCGCGGGCTGACATGTCAATCACCAACACGCACACGCATCAACAATCGATTGATACGGGCGAAAAAATGACACAAAAAAACGGCGTTGAGCACAAGATATATATGTATACTTTGGACTGTTTGGATCTGGAGTTTGATCAACTGACATGAAATGAAATCAACAAAATTGGCTCATAAGGTGTAAAACTATAGCTTTCCATGCAGAAAAGTTACAGTTATACATTTTTCGAAATGAAAAGAGCCAATTATGTTGAACATTCAGTCAATTCCTCGTTTTTCCACCAAACTTTCGATCATCTCGTCCAGATATGTCAAAAGTTGATCTCATTTCTAGAATTTCGTGTTTTCCCCGAAAACTTTGTTTGGAAAGTCTTCAGGAACTGTTTTTAGACCGAAAGTAATACCAGAACCTTTTAGAAGCTTCCTGGAGCAGTCAGAAGCTTTCAAAAGCTTCCAGCACTTCCGTAACTCTTCCTAGACCGTCAAACCGTTGAAACCTTCAAATTTTCTCAAAAAACTTCTTTTTTCCACGTCTCAAATCCTACCTTATCACGTGAAACGTTGACAATGTGCCCGTCGAGATGCACAATTTCCATCTCGAAGCCGTTGAGCGCGTCTTGCAGCGAAATCGTCACGTTCGTGTACAGATCATCGCCTTTCCGTTCGAACCTGAAAATAGCGGATATTGTTGAAAATAGTGTGAATTCGGTTTTGAAAACGAGGCGAGGACTAGAAAAAGAAGAAGGGGGAGGAGGAGGAGAAGAGCGCCGCAAAGCCAATTGATTCGAGAGTGATCGGCGCGGCGGCAGCGGCGGGGCGAAAAATGCTAGAGAGATAGGGAGAGAGAGAGAAAAAGAGAAAAAGAGAATGAGAAAAAGTGTATGGAAAGCGCTTCTTCTTCTTCTTCATCATGAGTGGGCGGGTTCCCCGTGTGGCTTGCATATACATTATACACCTTTTATATATATATATGTATACGAAAACGTCAACGACAAATTGACTGCCACCAGACACATCGGAATGAGAGAAAAGGAGAGAGAAGAAGAAGAAGAAATTGATTGACATGATACTGATATCGACGTGTGTCCTTCAATTCTATGCAGCAAAAGGAAGACTACGACAATATCGAGACGGAAAAAGAAACCGGGTCATCGAGATAGTTCGCTACTATCCGCCCACTATTAGTAGTAGTAATAGCAGTAGTAGTAGGTCTTTTTGATTGGATTAGATTAAGTCGGCGGGTGTCTGGAGGTCATCTAGAACATCCTCTCCACCCAAGGACAGAACGATGTGAAGCGGAAAGGAAGCCGACTAAAAAATTGGGTTTAAAGGCTTTAAGCGTCAAAGTTCGGTTTTTTCGGGGATCATTGGACGTTTTGAAACTAGGATTGGTTTCGAAATGCCTGAAGGCCTAGTTGAGAAGAGTCAAAACATTCGGACATTCCGCAACTGAAAGAGAGCAAAACTATGCAATCTGTGATCTACAACTACTGATTTCGGACTTCCATACGGTTGGTTGCGAAATTTCGATTTCACAACCGGACTGAGTTTCGAAAAATCGCAGTTGCAATTCGTCCGGGAGTCTGGTCAAAGCTACGAATGTTGTAAGATTTGCTTGCCACGTCATCGATCCCTTGCGCTCCAAAACCATCCAAATTTCGGTGCTATGTTTAAAGAAACCCGTGCATCGGATCGATTTCACAGAAATCTGATCACCCTTGATGGTTTATCTTCTAAACCTAAACATTTCCGTGTGCCACGTCACACGCCAGTCACTCGTCTAATTGAATCAGTGTCTTCTCTCTCTCTCTCTCAATCAGTAGTAGTAGTAGTACACGAGTGATGATAAAAGTACTTGGCGGAAGTACACAAAGTGGTCGACCAAAAGACAGCCTACCGTACCCGTCCCTATTAGCATATCTTCCGCTTTTCATCTTCTCTTCACGAGATTGTGCGTGGCCGTCAGCATCAGCATAATTCCATCTCTGTCCGAACCTGTCCAATCCCGGAACTTTTCTCGTTTTTCGAACAAAATCGGCACGCAGAAAACTGATAAGAATAAGGGGGAATCCTGGAGGAAAAGAAAAAGAAGAAGGAAATGAAACGACCGAGTATCAGCGGGGAGTGTTTATATATATATGTGTGTGAGTGCGTGCGTGCGTGCGTCAGTATGGAATTTTTTTTAATATAAAAAAGTCTCGCCTACATTTTCCCATCCGATTGTTGCACGTTTTTCGCAGAACAAAAACATCGGCAATGGTGGAATGTGCGAAAAGCGCGGGCGTTTCCGCCGGAAAAGGCGGAAAAGCGCAGAAAACTAAAAGACAGGAGACCGGAGAACATACGGAGAACATTCCGTGATCCAACAAGATCCATCAGAAATACGGCCCGTTTTTTGGTGTCTGTGCCACCGGAAAAAGTGGAAAACGGCAAAACAGTACTCAGCCCACTCGCGGTCTGAATTCTACCTCCGAACACGTTCCCAGTTTCTCCAAAAGAACCGTATACGAGAAAGAAGACCAGCGGATGTGGAAAAAGCCTGAAAAACAACGATACAGAACATTTCCAGTCTGAGCTGCCTAAAAAGATAGAAAGGCTGGAATGACGCACACAAACTTCGTCAAGTACACCTGCTGCTCCTGGCTCCGACTGGTGGCGAACTTTTTCCACTTTTCCTGCTCACACACACACACACACACATACATCAATCAGTTGAACAAATAGAAAATCGCGGAAAATCGCAAGGAATGGAAGCGAAAAAGCGGAGGCGGGCGGTGGTGGTGGGGGGCAATGAGCACAAGGTGTGTGACTGAACACTTTTTATCGATTCTCGCCGCCGCGCGCGCTGAACCGGACGTTAGAGAGCATGATCGTCAAGACCACTGTTCTGGAGAGCGCCGCAATTGACAAAAAGATCAGTTTTGCAGGGAAGGCATGCAATTTTGTACACAAATCTTAGTTCCCCAAATCTCCTAGGCCCATTTTTTAGCATTAGACAGCCTAATCTACAAAAGTAGTGTTCCAACGCTCAAAAATCAGCAAACACTGGACATCCTATCAATGAGTCGCTCTCATAAACAGGCGGGTGTGGTAGTGTTGAAAACAGAACGAAAAAGTGATGAGAGAAGGAAAACAAAATACCTTCTCACTTGTCTGGTTGTGTTCACGAGACATCAACAACCGACTCGGTTTTCGTTTTTTTTTGTTGGGCGGCGCATTTGTTATTCGACGGGTTTTGGAGGAGGCGAGGGGCTACAGTAAATCTTTTTTTTTTAGCTTTAGGGTACTGTCAGGACTGTTAGAGGTATGGAAATGCCTAGAGAGCTCTAAAACAAACAGGTAAAACTTGTTCCAAGCGTCCAGAACGTCCAGAAAAGACTTCCGAGCTTTAGAGCATAATTATCAAGCCTTGCCTCAAAAACTTGTAGAATTTTAGGCTTCTGGACTTCCTTGAAGCTCTTTCCGGTATTTTCAAAGGCTCCAGAGAATTTAAAAGCCAGTTCTGTGCTTCAGGACAAACTTTTTATGGAAACTGCCAGAATTGCGCGTCCTTATCTCAATTTGAAGCAGTTTATGTGTTTTTTTTCTTCAAAGCTTTGCAAGCAGAGCAAAGCGGATGAAACAGCGGAAAAATGCGGTCATCGGCGAGCGAGCGCGCCTATGAATATCGAAAATCACGAGCCGGCGGGGAGCTCTCACTTTGTGTACTTTCTGACTGGGCGGTCTTTCGGCGCGCGTGCCCCGGGGCCCGCCGAAACCGAACGAACAAAACGGTCGGGATGGGGAAGGAATACGCGAAGAAGAAGAAGAAGAAGAAGAAGAAGAGGAACATGTGATTGTGTTTGGTCACACACGACCGAGAGGAGGACGAAAAGTGAGTGAAGAGGCGACGCGAAACCAGTGTAAGAGAGAGAGAGAGAGAGAGAAAAAGTAGTCCCGTCGGGAGCGGAGAGGATCCAAGCACATCATGAGGGAACGAGTCAAACACCACACGTTTGTTGTTTCCCGCGTTGTAATTTATGAGGAATAGAGCAAACGCGCACATTTCTCTCACTTTTTCTCGACAAACTCTGGTTTTTTGGACGTTGGAGCAATTGGAGCACTTGAGGAGGTCAACAAACCAACGTGCATTGATTTTGCAGTTTTTGGGAAGAAACTTTTGAAATTAAGCGAAAAACGGCTGGGTAAGCTATACTAGATATTGCAGGTTTACAATTTCCCTTCGCCGTCGACAAAATCCTCATCTTTTTATGTACAAAACTACTAACCCATATGATCTACATCATCATCAAATTTTTTGTTGTCAGTATTAAATGTGTGTGTGTGTGTGTGTCATCATCAACATCATTCCGATATATAATATATGCGAATACTGAACCGGTTCGCCACAGATTTTCGAGTAGAAATGCGACTGTGAAAGCGATAAATCGCGGGAAGCGAAATCGGGAAAACTTTTGTTTTTTTTTTGGAAAGGAACGAGGAAGTGATTTGAGGGGCAAAATTGAGGAAAAAAGTGCGATTGCGGAGGTGGAGAGCCATGGAAAAAAGTGTATATATTGCGTAACATTACACTACTTTGTGTGACCTATGCTCTTCTCAGATCTCGGACAGAAATAGCTCAAACGGAAGGAAATGTGTGCGGAGAAGGGGTCTAAGGGTACTTTGAAGGAAAAAAAAAGTTCACACATGCCTCTCGGGATCGCCGATTCGGCGGAAAACCTGAATCGGAAATTCTCCTGAAAAACCAACCTCGGATGTTTCTGAATGCGAATCTTGAACTTCAAATCTCCCGGATCGCCCTCAATGTGCGGTTCGCCTTCTCCGTGGAAAATCTGCTGATGACCCTCGTCGGCGCCCACCTCCACCTCGACCTGCAAACCAAACCACAGTTTTTTGGTGAAAAAAAACATCGAATTTTCAACGTGACTTTCTTTGACAAAGTTTATAGAAAACTGGGGTGCTAGGTTGGAGGTTAGTGGAACGACCAGATAAGGGATCCTTATAAAAAGAGCGGTTCGGTCCGAATCTCTTCACTCCGAGTCCTCAGCTCGCTCACAACAAACCCATCGTTCCCGAATGGCCCAATCGGTTCCGCCCGGAGACATCGCCACGCAGCCGAATGCGAAGATCGTGTTCAACGCGCCGTACGACGACAAGCACACGTACCACATCAAGGTGATCAACTCGTCGGCGCGTCGCATCGGCTACGGAATCAAGACGACGAACATGAAGCGTCTCGGCGTGGACCCGCCGTGCGGAGTGCTCGACCCCAAGGAGGCTGTGCTTCTCGCCGTCTCGTGCGACGCGTTCGCCTTCGGACAGGAGGTAAGGGGGGAGCTTCTAGAACTTCTAGAACGTTCCGGACACTGTTTTAGACTAATGGAAGCTTCAATTAGAGCTCTTCTAAAACCAATGTTTTTTTCCAGGACACAAACAACGACCGCATCACGATCGAGTGGACGAACACACCCGACGGCGCCGCCAAGCAGTTCCGCCGCGAGTGGTTCCAGGGAGACGGAATGGTGCGCCGCAAGAATCTGCCGATCGAGTACAATCCGTGAATCATGGCCCGCGCCATCTCTCTGTCTGTCAAGAGTTTTTCTTCATAAAGTTGTGTCTCCAAAATAAAGGATTTTGTGGGTTTTCCGGCTCAAATTGCACACTTGTGACCTCATTTCTCACCTCTAAGACCTTATTCTCCTGCACCAGCTTCACATTCGGACACTCGTCGCACACTTTGACCTGGAACATTTGGAAGCGGCCTTGTCCCATTTGTTCGGTTCGCATTTCGTGTCGGCAATTGCACTGACGCGTGCCCGACGTCTGCCTGTACACTGCCTTTTTTCGTTTGATCTGGAAAACATGCAAAATTGCTTTTTCTGCCAGATTTGCTGGTTTTCACGTTTTTAGCCGGAAAAAGTTATACCTCGACAAAGTGTCCACTGTATGCTTCTTCGAGTGTCACGAACAGATCGATTGTCACGTCGGCGCCCTGGAAAAGAGGTTTTGAGTGTAAAATGTCTCTCTAGCGCACTTTTGGCGGGTAATTTGAAAAATTTGCGGAAAAACTAAAATTTTCGTGGGAAAATGGAACTTTTCCCGTTTTGTGACAGGATTGAATTGACAGAATTGGAAAAAGGACAGATTTAGCTAACATTTGGTCAAATTGGCAAAGTTCGTCTAGTTTTACGTGGAAAACTGGTTTTTGAGAGAAAAAGCTGGTTTTCACTGGATTTTTAACCCGGCCCGACCGGGACCACATACGTACCTTCGGCGTTCCCTCTTCTCCCCCTCCACCCCCACCGCCTCCAAAGAAATCGCCGAAGAAGGAGCTGAACGGATCGTGTCCTCCGCCGCCGCCGCCACCGCCCATTTTGGCCAAGCCCTCTTCTCCGTGCCGGTCGTACATCGCACGTTTTTCCTTGTCCGACAATACCTGCACAGAATATTGATTGGATGTTTTCTGGAGAGAAAAAAGAACCTCATAGGCGGCCGACAGGTCCTGGAACTTTTCGTTCGCCAACTCGTCGTCATGATTCTTGTCCGGATGCAGTTCTTTTGCGAGTTTTCGGTACGCCTGAAACATTATTTTTGAAATTTGCACGGTTTTTAAGGTACTGTAGTGTTCGCAAGATTGATCGAGGCATCAAACTTTCGATGTTTTGGGCCATTCGTGTCGTAAATTTATTGAAAATCAGGTTATGCGCCTTTAAATTAGTGTAATTTTGCAAAAGTCTAGCGGGAATTTGAATTTTTACCATTTTTGTTTATTTTAATGATTTTGTTTGTTCATTTTAATGATTCGCCAAAAAATGCAAAAATCTCACCTTTTTGATCTGATTAGCGTTGGCATTTTTGGAGACGCCCAAAATTTTATAAAAATCGCGTCCACACACGATAAACTCGAAAACGGAGGTGGCGAGGAGGAGGATCTTGAGTAACCTCATTTCTGCAATCGGAGAAAAATCGATAAAAATCGGGAAGAATCGGGAGAAAATGGGGAAAATTCAGGCGAAGAGTGTACTTTTATCGAAAATTTTCCACAATTTTTATCTTTTATGCCTTCGGCAACTACCACGTCTAAGCACACGTCAGGCAAACGGAAAAATCGGCGTGTGCGTTAGAGCGCGTTTGCATCGCGGACCTACGTCTTATCGCTTTTTCACCTTGTTTTGATCGAAAAACGCTAAAAACCGGTCGAAATTGATAAATTTTACGGTTTTTAGGCAAGAAAACTAGGCGGAATAATATTTTGAAAGTTTTGACATTTTTTTAATTAGTTATGCGCCTTCAACCCTGTAAAGTAACTGTCCGATTAATTTTTCGTCCCAAATCTGGTCAGATCGCTTTTCGCACATTTGTTTAGTGATTTTTAAAGTAGAAATGCTGAAAAAAAGTTAGGAAATCTCAAAATTCAAGTAAAAATAAGATCTGCACCTTTAAATTGCTATAGTACTCTTGCAATTCGATATTAATCTAATTAGAAAGTTACTGATCTAAACGCGACCTAATTAGGTTCGACTGTTTTTTCTTGGCGCAATCGAGATTCGAGCCAGCAGACGGTTGGCGTGAAACTTGATTTCAGCACTTATTAATCTAGCTAGAAGATTTATTAATCTAACTAGACAATTTATTAATCTAATTAGGTGTCATATCAATCTTATTAGGCCGCCGTTAGATTAATAACGAAATGCCAGAGTAACCGTCTAAATAATTTTTCTTCGACTTCTCACTTCAACATACCCCTTACTTGAATTTTCCGCGCCAACTTCGATTCTTCAGCGTTTTCAATTGTGTTGTAAATCGTTTTACGTCTTCAAATTTCTATCCTACAAGGTATTTCCATTAAAAATCATCAATTTTCAGGTAATGCTCGACAAAATCCCTATTTTTCTACTTTTGGCGGTCGCCAACGCCGAAGACGTCACTCAAAGGCAGCTGAAGCCGGTGAAAGGGGTCGCCACTCAACGTACCGCCCGATTTTTAAACAAATTGTAAATTTTTCTGGTTTTCAGGCCTAAATTTGTATCAGCCGTCGTCGGGCGGCACGTTCCGATGTCTGGACGGTTCACGAACAATCCTCTACGCGCAGCTCAACGACGACTACTGTGATTGTGTCGATGGGAGCGACGAGCCGGGCACCTCCGCCTGCGGAAACGCCTTCTTCTACTGCTCGAACGTCGGCCACACCGGCAACTTCATCCCCACGAATCGAGTGAACGACAAACTGTGCGATTGTTGCGACGGATCAGACGAGTACGCGTCGGGCGTAGAGTGTCCGAACATTTGCGACGAGCTGGGACGGGCGGCACGCGTCGAGCGGGAGAGGGTGTCGGCGATCGCGCGGAAGGGCTTTGCGAAGCGGCAGGAACTGGCGAAAGAGGGCCAGGCACTCAGGGATGCCAAGTTGAGGGATGTGGAGCCGTTGCGGGCCGAGAGGGCGCAGCTGGAACCTTCAAGGGCCGCGTTGGAGGCGAGCAAGAAGAGCGCCGAGGAGGCCGAGAAGAAACTTCAGGTCTCGCTTCGAAAATCTTTTAAAAAATCTGACACTTTCAAATAACACACATTTCAAGGTGTGGTGCGTGCATTCTTTCTTCTTGCTCCAACCGCTTCTTCGCCTATCAAAATTGCCGGCTTGGCGCAATCGAATCGATATTTTTTAGCTAGTTCTTGACAAAAAATGACTTGTTGACCACGAGTTTCGTGCGAACTTTTAAATTCGGTTTTGAAAAAATCGGCAATTTCGAGGTGCGGAGGGGCTTAGAGAGCGGAAGAGCGCGATTGCTAGAATTCGCCGTCTACAATTTGGATCTTTATTCAAACGTACTAAAAAAAGTGTTCAGGATGAGCATCGCGATCGGTGGCAAGCGGTGAAGGAGGAGAAGAAGAAGGTGCGCGCGGCGGAGATGTTCGACGAGATGGATTTAGACAAGAGCGGCAAGATCGACAGGGAGGAGCTGCGGTTGAATTTGTTCCTCGACGAGAATCACGACGGATTCGTCAGCGAGGACGAGATTAAGACCTATTTGAGTGTCGGTACGCTTCTAGGGCCTTTTTTTTCAATTCCTAGTACACCTTTTCCAACTTTCAGACGAAGCGGACCTGGACCACTTCCAAAAGCTGATGTACGATCGTTTAAAGGGCGCGAAACAGCACTACGAAGAGGAGCAGCGGGTGAAGACGGAAATGGAAGCGGAAAAGGCGAGAGCGCTCGAAAACGCGCCCGACGACGACGATCTTCTGGCCGAGGAGGACCGGGAAGATCATCATGAGACCCATGAAACTGTGGGGGAGGAGGAGGAGGATCGGATGCCCGAGTACCCGCCGGAAGTGAAGACGGCGCAGGAGACGGCACGTGAAGCGAGACGTCAATTCGACGAGGTCGATCAGAAGGTCCAGGACATCGACGCGAGGATCCGCGAGGCCGAAGACTTTTCGAATCAGGACTACGGGGCGGATCTCGCGTGGGCGGCGCTCAAGGACAAGTGCTTCGATCGAAATGTGCAACAGTACACTTATCAGTTCTGTCCGTTCGGACAGAATACGCAAAAGGATACGGGCGCGTACAGCGGCACCAGTCTGGGCAGTTTCAAGAATTGGAACGGCGCCGAAGGGAACAAGTACGCGAGTCAGCGGTATGGAGACGGGCAGCAGTGCTGGAATGGTCCCAAGCGGTCGACTGATGTGAGGACGATTTAGCAGGAAATTGCTTTATTTTTAGAACAATTCACATGTTTTGATCTGAAAAGCCACATTTTTTGGATTTCCAGTAATTTCCAACTTTAAACATTTTCGTATTGCAGGTGGCCATCGAATGCGGCGAGGAGAACGAGTTGGTGGAGGTGACGGAGCCGGCGAAATGCGAGTATCACTTCACGTTCCGCACTCCGCTCGCGTGCCCGGATCCGGACAAGGAAGTGATCCACGAGGAGCTCTGAACACTGATCGATCGATAATCAGACTGCTCACACCCTTTTTTCTATTATTATTATTACCTTCTTTTTTCGTTTCGAAAATTCAAACTCGACGAGTTTCGCTTGAATGAATGAATGATTGGCTAGGAAACTCGGAAAGTGACACTTTTCTTTTTTTTCTAATTTATGTACGAGACTAGCACTTTGCCCGCCGTTTTTTTTCGCATTTGAGCACAAAAAATTCGGCCGAAACCGAATTTCCGCATTACTGATTCAAAAATTCAATTCCTGAACTCTTTTGTCTTTTCTCGAGCCTTTTCTCACTCGGAGCCCTATTTTTGTTCGAATTTGCAAATTCTTGGAGAAAATGCCCTCGGGCGGTCTGAAAATCGCAATTTGAAAACATTTTTTGTTTTTGCCGCATAAACAGAAAAAAGCGCGTCGATATCGTTATATTTTTTGATAAGCGATTCAAAAATCACAATTTTTGACGGAAAAGCTAAACAGGGGCATGGTCTATAGGCTAAGACGCGTTTTTTCCCGAAAACGCACTGTTCGAGACGCTTCGCATTTTTCGAAGTTCAGAATTGTCGAACGGAGCAGTCTTCGCAGGAAATAAGTGTCGGAAATAAAGAGACACGTAAAATTGATCGATTTTTCATTTCTAAACAAAAGCTGGCCGTTTTGAGTCCAGAAGTTGTTAATTTCACGAAAATCGTCATTCTTGAGTAAAAGCGAAAACTATCGACGAAAAATGCGAGGCTAACAGAAATTATTCATGAAAATTGCTATTCGCTATACAAAAATACTTTTTTGACTGAAAATTCGAAATTTCGAAACGAACATTCTCCGAGAAAGCGGCAAGTGGCGAAAGAAACGAGAAAGTTGCGAACATGGAATAATTTGCGAAAAGTTAGAGTTGCAAGGGCCAAAATATCGTTCGTCTTCCTCTCTCCGATGAACGGTCCCAGCGAACGGCAGTTCTCGCGCGCCGTTCAGTTTCGATCTACTGCGCGCGAAAATTTGATTTTCTTCAAGTTTCCAGAAGAAATAACAGTTTTCACGAGAAACAGTGGCTTTCTGGTTGTTCGTGAGGCCGATATAGCAAAAAGGCAGCAAAATGTGAAAGAGCGGGAATTGACGCGATTGAACGGACAAGTCGAAGAATGCGATAAACAGTGAGTTTTATGCCGCGTCCAAAGTCTCGGAAAACCCGCAAATCTCGCGAATTTTGCAGTCCAAAGTCGGCAGAAATTTGCGGGAAATCCGGGTACCTTATCGATTTTCGATTACACTTGTCATTTTAGCAACAAAAATTAGAAACTAAGAAACTGATTTTTTCGAAAAAAGAGACACTGCGAGAACGTTTCCCCGTGTGTTTTTCTAGGCCACCGCGCATTTCGACCCACAAAAACCGTCCGCAGTCCTTAAAACCCCCCAAAAAAGGTCGCATTCTTTTGCTTCCAACTGGCTCTTTTGCTCTTTTCTTCGAGTAATCATCCATGAGCACGCGAAACGAAATGAGCCGCGCAAAAAAGTGGGCGGGGCTTGACTCAAAATGGCCTGCGGGCCTTTAGAAACATTTCCGAGAATCGAAATTTTGATTAAAGCTGAAAAAAAATTCCGTATTTGGCCAGTCCCCCTCGAAATTGCGGTTTTTGAGCACTTGGAGCATTTGGAGCAAAAAATCTCATCGAAAATCATTTGGCTAATTGGCATCGACAACCTTTTCCGTTTTTTTTTCCCTAATCTCCCCCGTCCCGGAACATTTTTTCCTAAAAATTCCGTATTCTGTTTTCCGCAATCTTTCTCATTCCGCATCCCGAAAAAGTTAGATTCGATTCCACATTCCGCATTTCGTTTTACCCTATCTTATCACATTTCACGAGAAACAAGGTCATCGGCCCAAATCGGTTCGGCCACCTCTGTCTTGTTCTGTTATTATGCTCTCACACAATATTCGTCATTCTTCTTCTTTTTCCTCTTCTGCCGCTCCGACTCCGCCCCTTTTTTACATTCATCAAAAGCCTTTCGTCTGGCGGGCGCGGCGATGAAGAAGAATGAAGGAGCTCTTGACGAATTTTTTTCTCTTTGAACATGTTTATTGTTTTTTTCCGTCATGTATTCTTCGGAAAAGTACACCAATCGATACCTCCAGGAAAATGGAAAAATGGAAGAAGGAGGAGGAGTAATTGAGTTTGTTTCAGGAAAGAAAAAGTGGAAAAGTTAATTGCTCCCACACTATTGACTTTTTTTTTGCCGCAGACCTACAGTAGTCCATTCAATTTCCCGCAGAACTTTTTTTTTTTCAAAAGAGAAGAAATCCTGCACAGCGTTCTGTGAAGGACCTCCTTTTGAAGTGAAATGAGGTTAAGAGCAATTTCCCCTTTCCTTTTTTCCTCTTTTCCGCTTTTTCTTTGTCATTCCTCATTTCCTGGGCGCTACTGGGACCATCAGAAAAGGGGCGGAGCTTACTGGGCTAGTTTGACTCTCGCTTTGCTCTATGACCTAGAATTCCGTAGAAGAAGAGAAATTACGTCTGGATTTGCTTAATCCACATCAACCATTAGGACCACTGGAATGACGTGGTCCAGCACGAAGATCTATTGAAAGTATTCATCTGAACTTTTTGCCATTAGACTTTGAACCTCAACTATAAACGCCTATCCAATCACAATCTACCATATATTGCTCTTGTGACACGAATGGTCCCAACAAGATCACTTCTCTCCTTACTCCTCTTAAAATGCATTTATTTACTTCTTCGCCGAAGACCTCGTCATCCGCATCCTCATCCTCATCGTCACGCATCCATCCATCCATCCATCCATCCTTCTCCTTCTTCTTGCCTTTTGATTCGATTTGGTGTCGAGAATAAGAGTTATTGTGGTCGGGTGAGAGTGTCACACACGCACAAACACATTGAGAAAGAGAGCATCCGCTCTCCCCTCTTTTTGTCGCCTTTTTATCTTGCGGGTGTGCTTTGGAAAGAAAGGCCTTTTGCAAATGGTCCCCCCCCGGATAAATCTTCGATGGTCCCGTCCAGTTGATCTAGATTTATTGGGGCGAACAGGTTTTTGGTCCCTTTTGGTTCGTCCGGGGAGTTCTAAAGGTCCTCGCGCGCGATGGTCCCTGTTTTTCTTCGGAACCTCTCTTCTGCCCAATTTTTCGAGATCATTAACATTTTGACAGGGTCCGGAGAGGTCAAGGAAGCTTGCCAAGAGACTCTAAAGGTGGCCTAGAAAAAGCAAGGCCACCTTGAGGGTCCCTCGATTACTTTTTAATACTCTTCAATAGCCCACTTATTGTAAATGTGTGTGTGTGTGTGTGTGTGTGAATAGAGCGTGTGAAAAATGGTGTCAACTACATTCTGAGAGTGAGCTCGACGTGACTTTTTCTCCTTTCTTTCTTCATTTACAATCAAATCTGCAATCACTTGTTTTCGCCGGGCCCCTGAACTTCAAAGGAAGGACATGACCGAGAACAAACAATTCCCCGCATTGTGGCCTAACTTTTGGCCTTTTTTCTTACTTCTGTTCTAGGCCACCACTTTTCCCTGATCCGTGTGGCCTAAGATTTTCTTCTCACTACTTTTTCACTCTTCTGCCAATGGCCTAACTTTCTCTCGTCCTGTTTCTCGATCGCCACTTGTGGCCTAACTTTTCCCTCTGCAACACTGATGAAAGTTTCTAGGCCAGCAATTTTCACTGATCCCTGTGGCCTAACTTTTCCTTCCGCAATTTCTAGGCCACCCCACATCGAAACGATTCTCTTTGTGTGTCCGGGCGTGAACAGCTAGAGACCGCCACGAACCGAGCGAGCGGGTCTTGCGCGCGACAATCAGTGTCCATTATCCCTTTGGATCCTAGAAGACCAAAAATCCCCCGGGGTTTTTGGCTCTTTCGACCCATTCCCCGTGCCACGTTTCGACTCATTTCCCATTCCTCGCACGCCATTTTTCAATTTTTTCTCGCAACATCCATGCTCGGAGGTCCCCGGTTATCTTTTAATTGAATTCAAGTCGTTCAGCGGCAGTACATACCGAGCAACAGGGACCAGGAAGTGAAGAAAAAGATGGCTTCGGGCGCCGGCGGTTCGTCTGAAGACGAGTCGACGTCGGTTTCGTATGAGGACGAGTGGTGGGAGATGAACTGCTCGATTATACCGCCCGAGTTCAATCGGTAAGGACTTTACACACGTTTTGCGACGTTTCGCAACTGGAACTTTGAACACAGTTTTAGTTGCAATGTGTCCAGTTGCAAAACGAAACATCTTTATGACTAATTTATTCTGCTTCTGATCATCATGGAACATGACGAGCAAAAAATGATTATTGTGCAGGCACGGAAATTATTAATTTGGAGGGCACCATCTGCAATGTTTTATTCAGTTGATATTTGGTGTTTCTGGGCATGAACTTTGACATCCTCATTCGATCGTTTTGGTCTGTAGATGACGTCGTTGTGGACTAGGAAAAGCTAGGCCATGTGATTTGTCTTTACTTCACTTTTTACTTTTCAGACTAATGCTCGTCGGCGTGCTGGGCGCCGTGATCGCCTTCATCTCCGTCTGCTTCAACACGTTCCTCTTCGTGGTGCTGTGTCGGAATCCACGTCACCGCCACTCGCACCTCGTATACCTGATGTTCCTGGCGATGGCCGACATCTTCCTCTCGGCCGCCTACATCCTCCTCTTTCCCGTCAACCTCTACATGGACTACTTTGCGTCGGAGCTTCTTGCGGACGCCTGGTGGGCCTACATGCGCATCATGATCACCATTTCGCACGTCTTCATCTCGACGTCCGCGTTTCTGATTTGTGCCGCCGCGTTCGAGCGGTAAGCGGATGCGTGGGGCGAATCGAAAACAAGACGTTGCTTCAGGTACATCACAATATCGAAGATCGCCTGTCAGTTCGCCCGACACCACCGACTCATCATCATCGTCGTTTGCATGTGCATCGCCGTCATCGCCAAAGGACCAATGTACTTTGAAGTCGAGGTACAACCGATTAAATGCAGTTGCGAAATGTCATTTTAGGTAGTGCCCAACGCCAACTGCACCGGAGTCACCTCTCTGACGGCCATTCCGTCCGAGTTCTCCGAATCGGAACCCTACAAAACTGTGTACAAGGTATAATGGTGGCCCAGGAAAAAGTTCGGTTATGAAATGTTGACATCTGGTACTTGACACCCTGTTTCTACAGAGACTCCCTAGAGTACTGTGGCGTTAGGAACGTGCAAACTTCCAAGAGCTACAGAGCTCCAGGGAGTGGTCGTAGAAAAACGTTGTCAACTAGCAAACTGAAGTACTAAATGTCAAGACTTTACAAAACAACTTTGAGATCCATAGATTCATGACTGACTGTACACAATACTCATTCAAAGTTTAGACAACTAACACTCAAGGCCACACTTTCGAGGGCTCTAACTTTTTTCACAGAGGCTGTACAAAAAAGTTGTCAACATAGAACAGAAAGATTTAGGTGCCTAGAGTACAGAAAAAAATTTTGAGGGCTATATCTCGTATACTGAGTGGGTGGCATCCATCCAAAGTTAGTACCATTTATTCAAAACGATTATATCAGCTGCCGTTAGAGATAGTGAAAAGTTGACAACAAACATTGTGTTTATTAAGTTATTGTATACATTCTCTTAGTTGACCACTATTTTTTTTTACCTCTCTGCATATAGAGAAGATACATTGATTTGAATAATCGCCATTTTTGCAACACTTCTTTTCCAGTTCTGGTTCCGTAACCTGCTGACCGTGGCGCTGCCGTTCATCATGTGCTTCTACCTCAACTTTGCCATCATGCACCGCCTACGCATCCAGCACGTCGGCGCGAAGCTCTTCCGCTTCGCCACCTCGGAGCACCGACAGAACATCCGCGCGGCGACGCTGATGCTCGTGGCGGTCACCTGCTCCTACCTGGCCTCCAATTTGCTCAACGTCGTCGTCTACACGTGGGAGCTGGTCGACAAGGAGTCGTTGCTCTCCGAAAACATCCGGCCCCTGTACACCCTCTCGTCGGACCTCGTCTCCTTGTTGACTGTGGTTGCCAGCGCGTGCCGACTTCCGATCTATCTCGTGTGCAACGCGCGGATCCGATGTGAAATTCTGGACTACGTCGACAATTGTGTGCTGACGCATTTCAATATCAAACCTTATACGGTTAGTTTCTCATGAAATAGTGCGCTTCACCGCTCTTTGCCCACTCCTACGCATGTCTATCCATCCTCTTCTCTCAGGGTCTCGGCAGTAAACGATGTCGAGCAACTACCGTTCGTTACTGCGACACTGGCAGCGGCTACATGATCTATGACGTAGGTTTTCGCCGCCAAAAATTGCAAAAATTTCCCCATTACTCTATCGCGTCTAGCATAGGCTAATGATATTCAGACGAAACAGGACGAGGTGGCACCCCAGACACTGGTAAGACTTGCCTCCCACGCAATTTCTTCCTCTTTGTTTCTCTCTACCGTAATCCTGTAGTACCTCCTTCTTCATCTTCTTCTTCTTCTTCTTCCGCATGGAATTCTGATATTATGCGTGTCCATTATCATGATCAATATTCAAAACTAATCACATTTCAGGCGCCGAACAAAAAAGGCGAACGGCGGGTCCGATCGGTTGGCACCGGGCTCGATCGAGTGGTTTTGTCGGTGGCGATGGGCGGAATCAAGGCGAGCGGACACTTGACGGTTCCGTTGAACCACAACAACAATAATGTTATCGATAATAGAAACAATAATGATAATTTGATGTTGATTCAAGAGGAATGATCATTTGTATACTCTTGTTAGGCATTGAGTTTGTGTATGTACATAATGAATGTGTTTTTTTTTTCAAAAATGTACGATTAGGAAAGTTATTCCAACAATTACAATCATCCTGTGAGTTCGATTTAAAACTTGGGAGCCTATTGTTTTATCGCATAAAAAAGTGGCACTTGGGAACGAAAGTCGGCTGAAACCTCGTGTTTAGAAGTTTTTTCCAGAAAATCGATAACTTTTCGCTATTTTTTCGATGGAAATGCGGAAATTGCGCTACGTGCATTACGAGATTATTTTACGAAGGAAAACACGGAAGCACGCAAATTTTCATAAAATTTCAGCAAAACGAAAGAATTGTATGGAATTGTGGACGAAAATGAAAAAAAACAGAAAGCAAGAGTATTCTGACGGAAATTTATACGTTTTCAACTAAAATCTGAAAGATTTGACTGTAAAACATGCACAATACAATAAAAATCATCGAAGAGAGCGATAAAGTTGGAAAATTTGTTGTTTTTCGCAAAATCGATAAATTTTTTCGATGGAAACAGGAACATTTGCGTCACATTTGCATTATCTAAACGATTGTACGAAGGGAAAGAACGCTGACGTCAGCTATATATAGGATTGCATACTTTCAGACGATAATAAATGAAAAAACAGTAACAGATTAATCAAGTCGCTGGCCACGAATCTAACACTTTGAACACTTATATCTCTAGTTTCAATAAGTACTTTTGAAAGTTGTGGAATGATTAAATCCTGATAATGTTAAGAGGAATTGAAGTGGAATAAAAATTAATGAGCTGAAAAGTTGAGAATAATCAGGAAACAACAAAAGCAACAGACACGTTTTTTGAAAAAAATTAGACGGAATTGAGTGCATTGTTGCGCACGAACTCCCGCTGCCTATCAATTTCCTCCATGGCCAACTGATGGGCGGTCTTCTCGTCGCATTCCGGTTTCGCAGCAACTAGACGGTGCCGGAGGTGGAGTGGCTGATCTTTGGCCGACAGTGGAAGACGATTCACGAACTGGAAATGAAAATGCGTTGAATTTTGAATTTGTTAAATGTTTTCATGAATCAAACAAAGTACCGTAAATAAAACTGTAAAAGAAGGGCACCTCAAAACCGTTCATTCGGGATAATATATATCATCTGCCGGTAGAGATGTCAAAAGGTCATCAATTGATAAAATGTTCAGAATGTTATAATGAGCAGTTTATCAGTCGACAACTTTTTGATATCATACTGGCAGCTGATGAGATACATTATACGAAATGAACGGTATTGAGATGGCCTTCATATTACAGTATTTACGGTGGCTCCCCGGCGTTTCGATACCCACGTGAACTTTGACAGTGAAAATTATCGCTAGGTAACTCATGTTAGTTGTGAAACGTCGCGGTTTCGAAATAGCGGGGTGCGAAACGTCAAGAAGCCTATCCTAAAAGCACAACGTAGTCCGACAATTCTACTTATTTTCGGGTTTTTTTAGACAAACCTCAGTCTGCACCGAATTCTCGGTCATGAGAGTACGCCTCTGCTGATAAACGACAGCAAAAGCGGTCATGAACGCGTCGACGCCGGCCCGATGCAGGCCAGTTACCACGTTGCGCTTCTGCTCCCTGAAGTCCCTCGTCAACAGCTTCTGCTCGAACTTTGCGTTCTTCCACGCCTCCTCGTTCACTCCGATTTTCTCGGCGACGCTCTCCGCAATCACATTATTGTACCGTCGCTTCCGTTTGAACGCCTTCTTGTTCTCCTTGATCCGCTGCAGATCGATGGCGGCGTCGATGTCGTGCAGCAGTTTGCACCCTTTCGCGGTGGTTCTTTGATGGCAGAAGCCGTGGTGGGCGAAATATTTGCACACGTGCACGTGCAAATCGATGGGAATCGCGTGGTCGGGGAATCCTTCCGGAAGCTTCACGTCCACTTTGTCCGTCGCCGATTTCAGCGCTTTCGAGAGCTTTCCCGGGTCGGGGAACTCGATTTCAATGTGGTAGCGCTTGTTGAGACGCTCGATTTCGTTGTCGCCCTGGCTGAAAATTGAGACATCGGGTAAACCACCAAGATCAAGAAAAAAAAATTTTGCACAAGCAAAATAAAGTAAATTTCCGAGTTCTATTTTCCGCCAAAATTTTAATCTCCTTTCTTCTTTTTCCCGAAAATAAACATTTACTTCCATACAGCTCTGGAAGGGGCGAAGCTTAAAAAATTCGAAAGTGGTCCTTACGTTCGTCGGAACACGTATTCCAAGTAGGAAGCGGTCATTCTCGTCTGATACTCTGCCAAATACTTGGAATCGGCGACCGGCAGAAAGTCCGCAGGAAACATATCGGTGAGATTGTTGCAGAATTCGTCGAGTGTCTCGGGAAGATCCACGTCATAGAGTTGTTTGTGGATGAACGCCAAGTCGATGAATCCGTTGTGCAGGCAAAAAGTGGCCGAGGAGCCGAGGAGCTCGCGGAAAAGAGTCCGCAACGGACAGGCGGCACCCTGGAATTGGACGCCCGTCTGGATGAGACGGTTGAAGTCGAACGAGTGTTTGGCGAGGAACTGCAGCGCGGACGGCTCGATCGTGAACGGCTTCTCGGAGAGTGTCAGGATGTTGAACACTCGGGTCTCGTAGCGAAGAGCCCGCCGCTTCTCGCTCTTCTTCGTCAGCTTCATCGTCGCGATTCCCACCGAAAGAATGCTTCTGGAATTTACAATTTTAAAACTTTCCCGAACGTTTACATGCAATAGAGTCTCAGGTTTTGACTCAGTTGCACTAATCTGGTCGGAACCAAACCTTGCAAACTTGTTAGATTTGGTTTGTAATAATTTGAGTCCAAGTTTCAGACGGATCGGATAATTTACGCACTGTTTGCAAAAACGGCTTCAAATCAACATAATGCTGACCTGGTATGGGCGGCCTCGCGAATGGTCCGATATCTCTCGGCCACGTCCTTGGCGCGCAGTCCTTTTCCGCCCAGGCCGCTCAGCTCCAAGTCCATGGCGGTGAAATCGGCGGATTTTATGCAGACGAGCAGGTACGGCCAGATTTGGGCAAAATTGTTTCGATTCACCTCGATCACCTGGAATTATTTTGTCAAAATCTCAACAAATCCTTTTCTGCGCATTTTCAAAGCTATAAACATTGAAAAATGGCCCAAATCTAATTTCGTAGTAGAAGTTGTGAAAAACAGATGATTTTTAAAAGAAAGCTTTATGAAATTGCTTAAAAATCCGTACCTGTACTTCAGAAAACGCCGGAAGCGTGTCACCGGCTTGCGAGCCGGATTCCGACTCATTTTCGCTCATTTCCTTGAAACAAATAGTATTTTTCCTCAATTTTTCAGGTCAATAAATAAATATTCACACGGTGAGATCAGACACACAACACACGGGGAGAAAATGATTAGCAAATAATGAAAAGAATGTCAAAAGCTTTATAGGATTGCATACTTTCCAGACTCGTTGGAGAAAAAGAAAACAAAAGAGTAAAACAATATAAATTGAGCAATATTTCAAGAGAAAGTTCGAATAGTGAGAAAATCGCTAAAAACATTAAATATTATGAGTTTGTCTCTCGATATTATTGATCCTTCTTCTCCGAGGCGGCGATGGATCCGTTTTCGTTCGAATGTCCGGCGGCGCGGCGGTCGCGCGAGGCGGCCAGAGCACGCGAGACCGCGTCCCAGATACCGCCCATGAAAATGGCGCAGAACAGATTCTCGATGGGCGCGAATGGGTCGGTGACGTGGAGGATGACGGCCGACAGTTTGAAGTAGACGAAGAAGCCGACAATGACCTAAGATCAAAAAATACTGTCAGTTTATCGGTTATTGGACGTTTCTCAACTGACCAAGTTGCAATCAGCGATTGACAAGAATGTTTTTTCCAGATTTTTCCTTAACCTTATGCTGAGCTTGACAATAGCGCAGCCAACTAGAAAAGCAGAAGAAGTTTCAGAATTTTCCAAAAAAAATGTCTCGTCCTCTTGTCAATCGCTGATTGCGACATGTCTGGTTGCAAAATGGCCATAGTCAATACCTACCAGATAGATCAGGTCGTGCGGAGCAGTCAGATACGATCCGTTCTTCTCGAGAGCCAACACGGTGGCCGCGACGACGCAGGCCTTGGTGGCGAACGACGGGCGGAGCAGTTCGTTGTGCGTCGGCAGCCAGACGCCCCTCACCAGTTGCTCCAGTGTGCGGACGATTCCGGAGCCGGCGCCCTTGGCGGTTCCGACGAGAATCTGCACGAGGTACGAGTTCGGATAGAGTTTGGCGGCGTGCGACACTCCGTGTGACACTTTGTACGCCCGCTTCACTTCCTTCATCACGGCGAGCACACACTTGACGGGCGTGATTTTCGAGATTTTGTAGATGCCGTCGAACGGGGCGTAGAAGACGAGGTACCAGACGATGGTGGCGAGAATGACGTCGTCGTGCCGCTTGAACGGAGCGATAACGGGCTCGCCGAGCAGAAAGTTGGCCAGGAACGCGTCGGCGAAGCACATGAGCATAGAGGAGAGCCAGCACGAGAGCGGGTGTTTGCGCGAGAAGATCGACGCCGCGCTGCCCAGATCGTCACGCACTTCGATTATCATCTGCAATTTTTCTGATATTGTCTTTTTTTTTAGTTTGTAATGTGGTTCATAAAGAACAACTTTTTCATGATCCCACACTTTCTGTTTATATTTTAGCCTTATGGTTATCCACTTTTTATGAAAATTTGAGTTTGAACGCTATATTTATATACCGTAAATACTGCATCCGAAGGGCATACCCTTGTATTTTCCAGTGTACTAAAAATTACTTTTAAAACGTTTCAAATCTCTAGCTCATTTTACAGGGCGCCCTTCTACTACAGTAGTATTCAGTTAAGTTTATGTTTTCCAAACTTCTAGAAATTGTTTCTGCAGCTCTGTGAGTCATGATCACAATGTCACAAGTTTCTGCACCTTGTGATGACAACAAGTTTGTTAGGAAATTCTATTTTTCATCATGTGTGTCACATGTTTTGAACGTTTCACATTCTTCAGCAGTTTTCAGTTTTTTTTTCTCACTCTTGCCAATTTCAATACTCCAAGGCTTCTGAAGAAAGTCTGATGTTATTTTCAAATTTCCGTTTCATAGCACATGATCAATTTCACCATAGTAACAGGTGATTCCTTCATGACAACATACACCATATTTAGCTACTCTTCAAGGAAGTGTTGTGTAACTTTTAACCCAATTTTCTTCAAACCCCCATGATGGTGTTGAAATTCTCAGAGCATTGACTCACTATTTTCTCAAGTCTTCAAAGCGAGGATTTTGGTCTCATGAGTTGAAAGTAAACCAATGATGAGTCAACTAAAAGGACCAGCAGCTACCGCTCGGCGCAAACATTGCTTTGTCACTCACTCTTTTCTCTCTGATTTCCCGAGAATTCTACAGAGTCACTACTGAAAATCTATATCAAGCATTCAATCATTTTTTTTTAAATTTCCTTTTTCATAGGTATTCTCTCACCGCCTATTCTCATTTCCTTTCTCCCCGAGCCCCGCCCACTTTTCGCCTTCATTACGTGACTATTGTCGTCCTGCCGCACAACGGTCTGTTGCGCAACGGGCAGGTCGGACGGTCGGCAGACTCTTGTTCTTGTTCTTTTTCTCTCTTTCTCAGTTCTCCACACACACACACACACGCACACACAAATAGCGGCCAATTTTTGCGCATTTCTGTGTGTGTGTGTGTACTTTTCGAACCCTTTCTCTTCTCGATCTTTTTGCAATTTTTCACTCTTCCACAATATTGTTGTCATCATTCATCATTGTGGGTCCAATTATTGACTGGTACTCAAAAACTGGCAACTTTCATTCATTTTTGAACGAAATTTGCCAAAAAACACTCATCGAAAGTTAGATCGTAGTGGTCAACACAAACACACAAATTTTTGAACTCTTCTTATCATCATGTACGTGACTTTATCGGCGATGATTTCTCGGACCTTATCAAACCTATATAATTCTCAATTTCTTTTCCAGAACATTTTTGTCTAGGTTTCTAGTTATTTCTGTGAAAATCTCAGCTTATTTATTGTGATGTACTTGCAGAAAGATCAGGTTTTCAGGTGAACACTGTTAAAATTGATAGTTGTTGAGAGGTTCGGCGAAAAACACCATAGCTTTAGTCTACTTTTCCATACGTTTGCTTTGCATTAGCACTTGGCTTGGCCTAACCTTCAGATCCGATTACATTCCCCCACTCAACTTTTGTGGCGGAGCGGAGGAAGGCTTTGGCAGCGTTCCAAGTGTCTCCCGCTATCATCCGACCGCATCGGCCTTCACCGTCGTCAGTTGAGACGGCAGACGGAGGGAGGTCATATTTGTCCTCTCGCACAAACTGTCATCATCGTCTCGCCTCCTTTTTTGTGTCGAGAGTTTTGGGTTGGAATGCACCCACAAATCAAACATGACTAATTCTCTCCCTCCCTATTGTATTGTTTTTGATTGTTGTGAAACCCAATAACAGACACAGTTTTTCGGTTATTATTACACTTTTGATGGGTGTGGACGCACCCGAAATTCCGCAAATACTTTTCTCTCGTCATGATGATCACTGATTTCTCACAAACTTCAGACATGCCGTCGACTAATTTGATCAAGCGAGACTGGGAGAAGGACCACGTGTATCTTGTGCAGTACCCGAGAGCCGGAGCAATTCCGTCGCCGTCGCCGTACGCGCTGAAGCTCGAGACTTTCTTGCGTGTCGCCGACATTCCGTACACGGTAAGTTCAATCAAAATATTGTATGGCTAATTATTCGTGGTGATTTTGATGCATCTAATGGATTAGTTTGATTTGGGTATCAGTTTTTGCATAGCAGAAACTCCGAAAAGAACTTGTCTTGGAATACAACTGTGTCGAAATGGAACTGCTTCCGTTTTTTGTCCCGAAATAGAGAATGAATGATTTCTTATGATAAATCTTACAACCAAGACTTGTCTCGGTTCAAAACAACAACCTTTTCATTGCAGAACATCAACAGCGAGTTTAAGAAGACGTCGGCTCGCGGCCAAATTCCGTTCATCGAGCTGAACGGCCGTCAGCACGCGGACAGCTCGCTGATCATCGATTCTCTTGTGGAGACGTACCACAAAACGCATCTCGAGGATCTGTCCCCGACCGACAAGGCCACCGCCCGCGCCTTCTATGCTCTCCTCGAGCATCACCTTCTGTGGGTCGTGTTCTTCTCGCGCGGACAGGATCTCAGCTGGATGGCCGGTCCGGGCGGTTACGGTCGCATTCTGTCGGGAATCAAGGCGTTCGCGTTCAAAAACGTGATTCTCGGACAGTTCCAGAAGAAGATCCGTGGGCGGTGTGCCGCGCAGGGCATCGGCACCTTTACCAAGGAGGAAGTTGTGGATCAGGCCAAGAAGGATCTGGACGCGGTGTCCGCGCTGCTCGGCACTAAGCAATATCTCTTCGGCAACGACATCAAGACCGTAAGTTTCTTCATTTAAAAATTGAGCTCATCCAAAATTCGAATATTGCAGATCGACGCTGTGGCGTTCGCGCATCTCGCCGAGCTCATCTACACACCGCAATTCAGCCCGGAAATCAAGGCACACTTGGAGACGAACGCCGCGAATCTGCTCGCCTACGTGGATCGCATCAAGGCAAAGTACTGGCCCGACTGGGAGGAGACGACCGAAACGCAGAATATGAACACCGACTGGAAGAAGTGAAACCGCCCCGAAATGTTTTAATGAACCACTAATTCTTTCAAAAAGTATTTTCACACATTTATCTATATTTGTACTCATCCATTTTTCGAATGAATCCAATCAACCAAAGATGACCATCATTCCTAATAAATTAATTTTTGAAACAAAATGTTATCATCCCAGTTAATCGCATCAGCGCAGGAAATGATATTTTTCGTAAATAAATGAACTAACCAGTATATAGTGGGCAATGTCAAAGTAGGGATACATCTTGAGCCGGTGCAACTGCGCACCGACATCCAGAAGGATCTCTTGGTCCAGCTGGAAACTCTCCGGCACCACCATCGTCGGAGGCGGCTACCTGGAAGTGAAATAGATAAGGAAATGTGAAAGAGCGGTGATCACTTATATCTCAATATCTAATGCAACTGAAAAGTCGTTGCAATTTTTGAGCTCACTAACTTTGCAGTTGATCATTTTATCCCAAAACACGCCATTTCAGACGAAACAAAAAGTGAGATGTGGGCGAAGGAGAGTACTTCGGCTCCCAAATCAGGCTCTACTTATTATTTTTAAGACTAATAATTTACTGCATCCTGATGTAACTTTTAGCGCTCTATCCAATGACATAAGTAGCTCAAGGACCAATTTTTAGTGACAAGCCTCCTTTGATAAGAAAAAGTGACAAAGTGGTGGGAAATTTTGATAAGAAAATGGTGTTTCATCGAAGATCGCTTCGATTTACGTCAATGCGCGTTTTTTTCAGGTGGTCAAAAACATGATAAAGTGGTCTTGGTTTTTGCACATTTGGCTGAGAAAAGATTAGAAGTCAGACCCGATTGAAAATTACTGCTTCGAACAGGACATTTCGCAACTGAGACTTTGCTCCGGTTGCGGTCAAAAATTCGTGCACTTTTTTTTAAACAAAAGCATAAGGGAGTAGATCCCTAACAAAATTTTTCCATATTTCCAAAACATCGTCCCATTTCTCCTCTCAAAATGTGACGTTTTTGAAATGAACAAAATGTGCGTTGGCGAAACGTTTGCTCCCACTTTTTTGCGTGTGCTCTTTCCGTTGAGCCTGAGCTTTTCCTGATCTAATCTCCATCTCTTTCATTGGAAACGTAGGGGGGAAAGAAAAGAAAGAGGAATCGCATGAAACATTTATAAGTGTGAACGGAAAGTAAAAAGTAAAAGGCAAAACAAATTTTGAACTGGCTGCAGTTCAAGTATTTCTAAAGACGTGAAATCTAGGTCTAGAATCGAGAATCTTGCAATCTAGGTATAGAATCTAGATGGTACAGTAGAACATGCCGTCAAAGGATGCAAAGTAATGTCACCTCGTTTTATATGAATTCTCAAAGCTAAATCCTGTTGTACAAAATGTTTGTACTTCAGGATTTGTCTTTGAAAGCTCATATAAAATCAGGTGACACTAGTTTGCAACTTTTGAAAACAGGTTCAGACTCAGCATAGTCTACTGTATCATCTGGATTTTCCAAAGTCTTTGCATGAGCACTTCAATAGTGAATTTACGGTATTGTCACTGCCTAGAATGCGTCGAGTTCAATGACAAGAGTGCGAGTATTCAAAAAAACCTCATTAAATCTGGAAACAAGAATTGGAAACGTCGAGGTAAACAAAAAGTGTGCGTATCAACTGTCGAGGAAGAGAAATCAGTGCGGAAAGAAAATGAGAGCGGAAAGAGAGAGAGAGAGAGAGCAACTTTACACAGAGCTCTCTCGGAGCCGCCCAAATCTTTCTCTCTCTCTCTCTCTTTATATCCCTTCTCATCGTTTTCGCCCCTCTCAACTCGACTCCTCGGCTCGCCGCGACAGATGTCTTCTTGGCACTGAAAAGCCGAATTTTGTGTAAATGCGATTGAGAACAGCAGTTTGTGACCTCCAAACCGACACACGGAAATTAGTTTCGAAAAGTTCTTTCAACATCGTGACTTTTTGTGATTTCGAGTTTGCAAATTACGTTTTACGGCTTGTACTATGGAGTAAACAGACAATCAATGGAGTAAACAATCATTTTCCCGAAAATTCTATACACGAACCGATTTCAGATAAGTCTTCTCAGGCAAACCGTTTCTAATCTAGTAGTTAGCTTATTCGCGTTTCTAAACGAACCAAGGAATCTAGCTATGTGGGAACGATTCGCCTGACTGGTTCACCTACTACTCATTCTTGAGGCAGTTTGAAATGGCTTAAATAAAAACAGATATTGGCAGAAACCAAACAAAGTGTCTTACCTGCTTTTGCTGCTTTCCAGTCGATTGGCGAATTTTCTGTAATTTCGGGAAAAATTGAAAATTAGAGATGGGAACAACCAAATACCACATTTTGCAAAACTTGTCTCAAATGTTGAGACTCAAAACGATACAATTTCATGAAAAAATGTGTGGGGGAGTAACAAATTTAAAAATGTGTGGGGGAGTAACAAATTGACAATTGATTGTTCGGAAAAATCGAGTCAAATTCAACAAAACAAATGAGGAAGGGAAAACAACGAAAAACAATGAGGACGTTGGCAGAATTCTACCAAACCATCGGATGGGCGGTGGGGAAAATTTCAATGACGACGTTGTTGGCCGGGATCTGATCCGCGCATTCTTCGACTGCCGCCTCCAGACGCGAGTACGTTCCGATTAGGGATTGCTGCAAAAAATGAAGGGATATAAATTGGAAGGCCTGGACTTTTGACTCACTTAAAGTGATCCGACCGGACCCAAACTTTGCAGGCTTTCTGTTCTTGGATTGAAGCATCTTGGGTCCAAGTTCCAGACCGATCGGATTATCTGGTCCGGATATATGATCATCTGATCTGAGGCCGAAAAGACCGAAATTTTCGGCTTCAAATCTACATATCTTGGGACAATCCGATCAGGCTGAAACTTGGTCCTTTCAATCTTCAATCCGAGACTACAAAGCCTGTAAAGTTTGGGTCCGATCGGAATATTGCAAGAGGCCCAAAATTGTTCAAACCCAGATAGACTCTCGAAAAGCCCGCTATTTATTTGTCAACGTACCATTTCGATCAAAAAGTTGCTGACGGCGGCGAACTTTGTGTGCAGTTTGTCCTCGTACACAATGCGCGATCCGTGCGCGTCCATGAGCACCGTGATCAGCGCCAACGCCTTTCCGCTCCGATCCGCCACGCCATCATCATCGTCGGTCACGACGACGCTTTGCCTGTACACCTCGGTCAGCACCTGCATTATTTCCACGGACTCCGCCGCGCTCAGCACTTGTCCCACCGCCTCCTTCATCGAGCGTTTCGAGTAATTTCGCGAGAGTACCTGCAAATTTCTATTTTGAAAAACATTAGAAAAAATGAATTTTTTATTTCCATAGGTGTTTTGAGTTGTTGGGCGCCGGCAGTTCGGGACAAGCGAGTGTAGGAGGTTGTTAGGCTGCCCCAAGTTGAGGGAGGGGTCTTATGGTTGCCGCTGGTTCGGAAATTTCAATCCGACCAGGTCGGAAAAATGTCTTGGCGTTTCTCAAACATCCCATGTCAGGTGAGTGGTCAGCGACTGGGAGAAGATCGGGAAGCCACGACTGAAAGCGGCGAGAGAGAAGATTCTCACGGTCGACAAGAAGCCGATGAAGATTATGAGAAGTTTCGAGTGCAACTTCAAATGGAGAAGCTACGTGTATCGTGGAAAAGCGAATGTCGGCGCCACGGCTTCGATTCTAGGAATCGATTCGATCAACATGAATAGTCCCTGGATGCAAGCGTTCATGGAAGAAATCCAGGAAGATCCTGAGCCGAAGATGGGTGCGACGAAGAAGTCTCCAAAGTAGAACTTTGAACTTTAAAGGGGGAGAGATGTTGTGTATTTACGTGACCTTTTCCGAGTGTTCTCATAATCAAGAGTTCACTTTGGTGATACTCGTCAGTTCTTAATAAACTCTCTAGCTAGAAGTCCGAGCTTCCTCTAAGAGTCGTCCCTACGGACACAACAAATCTCAACATATTTTCATATAAACTCTGTCAAATCCCCTTACCTTGACAACTTGTTCGAAACGTTCTTCGGCATTCTTTTTCGTGGAGGCCAATTTGAGGAGTTCGGCCAAAATGTATTCGGAAACGACGCGGGAAGAGTCGAAAAGGACGGCCTCCACAACTCCCTGCTTCTCCTTCGCCACGCACATTCGCAAGAACACGTCCTCGTTTTTGAAGGTGAGAATTCTGGATTTGGCGACGGCCATCAGCAGTACCCCGACCGCCCCCTCGTCCGAATCCACGTCATCCACGTACTTCCGGACGGCCTCCACGAATTGCACTTGTTCGACGGCCGAAAGGGCGCCGCTCGCCTCTCCCAAAGGCGAATGCTCCGTTAATTTCTCCGCCAACTGCTTCCACTTCTTCTCTTTCTCCGGCGTTTCGACTACGTTCTGCACGGCTTTCGCGATCGAACGCACGTCGAAAATCTCGATCGGATTCACCGCGAACGCACTGAATGTCTTCGCCTTCGACGACGTTCCCGAACGGGCGATTGCCGTCGCCGTCAGCGAATCGATCTTCGATTTTCTGAAAAAACGAAACGCTGTGCAACATTTCTGTTTGAAAACTCGCTATAAAATTTTTCAAATAACGTACGCTAGGGGAATGCTCATTTCGGAGGTGGGCCCACTGATCAGAAGCTCTTCCTCTGCCCTCAAATAGACTATTTGCGTGGGCGGAGTCTGTCCGATCGGCCATCTCAGCACTTTCCGGGCCAGCGCCGCCGCCTTCACCGCCCGTTTATCGATCATTTTCAGCTGGAGTTCCGTCTGTTTTCGACTTTTTTGGCCTTCTTCTTCTTCTTGAACTCGTTCTAGTTCCACGCGGAGGTACTCGTTCAAATCAAGCTCCAGAAGCATTCTGAAAATGTGATTTTGTGTGAAAATGATTTTGGCAACGTTTAACGAAAAAAGGTAGAAAAGCGATAAAACGCTTGAAAAAAACGACAAAATCTAACAAACTATTCACTGAAAAGGCAATACTTTAAATTAAAAGAAGAGTACCCGGAAAACAAAAGTAGTAAGAAAATTGGGCGTTTTGTTAGTTATTAGTTATTTCTCTACAGGAAAAGTTAGTAAAAACGGTGAGGGGACAGAGACTAGACGGACTCTTATTAAAGGGAGGGAAGATGGGCGGGATGACTAGAAACATGATTATTGTGGGTAAAAACACACACTCTTTTTTTTGGGCTTTTTGAGCACTTTTTGATGGAATAATGAAGGAAATCAGCAAGGAAACTACGAAAAACAAGGGACTTGAGGAAGAGAGGGAATTTTGGGGAAAAATCTAACAAAACGAGAATTAGCACCTAATTTCTCAGTTATTCTTCTTGTTCTCCACTCCGTTCGTCGGCTGCAACGCCTTCTTCTTCCTCAGTAATTTCTCGCGTTCCTTCGCGAGAATCTCCTCGTCCGAAAGTGTCCGATTGCTTTGAATCGCCTTTCTGGTGGCGTCGACGGCCTTCGCGAACGCGTCGATGATGCCGCCCATGAAGACGGCGCACAGAATGTTCTCGATCGGCAGCAGCACGTCGTGCACCGACAATATCAGCGACGCCAGTTTAAAGTAGACGAAGAAACTCACCACGCACTGTAAATTAACTTTTTACCATTTTTCTATCATCCTCGAACAACTGACCAAATAGACGAGATCGTGCGGGGCGGTCACGTACATACTGTGCCGTTCGAGCGTTAAAACGAGCGAGGCGATGACGCATGCTTTGGTGGTAAACGAGGGACGGAGGATCTCGTGGCTGGAGGGCATCCACGTGCCCCTCGCCAGTTGCTCCACGATCTTGACGACTCCGGAGCCGGCGCCCTTGGCCACGCCCACCAGAATCTGCACCAAATACGACTCCGGATAGAGCCGGCTCGCGTGCTTGACTCCCGCCGCGATTTTATGCGCTCGCTGAATCTCCTTGAGCACCGCGAGCGTTAATTTGACGGGGAATACGTTAGAGAGTTTGTAGATGATGTCGAACGGCGAATAGAAGACGAGGTACCAGATGACGGAGCCAAGGATCACGTCGTCGTGCCGCTTTAGGGGCGTGATGACTGGGTCGCCGAGCAGAAAACACGAGAGAAACGAGCCGGCGAACGACATGAGCATGCAGGAGAGCCAGCACGAGAACGGGTGCCGCCGCGAGAATTGGATCGCCTCCGCGCCCAGGTCTTGACGCACCGATAGACATGTCTGCAAGATTTTATTCAGTTTTTTAGAATTTAAAAAAGCAAGGCGATTTTCTGGTATTCGAGCAAGTGACAACATTCTTAGAGAGAAAGTGGAAAGTTTGGCGAATTTAAAATGTTTCCCGCTAAACGCACCAGTACATAGTGTGCAGTGTCAAAGTACGGATACATTTGCAACTTTTGCACATATCCGCCGGCGTCTATGAGTGTGTCGTGGTCGATATGCCACTCGTCGGGCACCCATCCCATCTCTGCAAGCCAATATCATAAAGAATTATTGCATTGCCACACATTTCGATATCAAAGATTTTCGAGAATTGAATTCTGATTTTTTTAGCGGAAAGTCGGCAAATTTCGATGAAAAATGAATGAGTTGAAAACTAGGAAAAGTTTAATTTTATCGAAAAAAATTCGGGGCTAATTACGATAAACAAGGCGCCGTCGCCGGATTTTCGGAGTGTCGTTGACAACTTTTATTTCTTTTTTATTTTATTTTTCTCACAAATAAAATGCTCGGTTTTAAACCGATGAGAAGCGATAAATAAAATTGTTTAATTACGCATTCAAAGTTAACGAATTTCTCAATTTTTCCAAAAATTTCAGAATGACTTCTCGCCTCGTTCACACGTTTTCGCGATTGTTGAGCGTCTCACAAAGTTGCCGCAGTCTGACACGAGCGGAAATTCCCGGAGAGAAATTGGATGCAAAAAGGTAAGTTTTTCAATGTTTACAAACATTTATTCCATTCGAAACTACGAGTTTTATGCACAAAGATCAGTTGTTTTCAAAATTTTCCGGGAAAATTTAACTTTCTCATTGTTGTTCGTGTGGCCGAAAGAGAACAAATTTTGAACAATTCACCGCCTTCACACCCTCCATCATGTTCTCTTGCTCGTCTTTTATAACTTTATTGTTCTTCAGTACATTTCTTTCATTTCTGCTGAGTGCCAGATGTTCCAACTGTCTGAACTACTTCTCAATGTGATGTTCTAACAGTTTGCAATAAATTGGACCCTTTAGAATACGTCAGTGGAGCACCAAACACTATAAATGTACAGAGTGTACAATACAGTTGCATTTTGAACCTGTTCTCCTGAAAATTTGAAAAAATTTATGAATTTTCTGCAAATGCGCTAACAGGTATCCAAAGAGTTGGGACGCGGGCGAAGAGAACCACGAGACGGGGGGAGATGCTGCACTGTCTAATTCCAGAGCCCGTCTTCTGTATCAAAGCAAAAAGCGTGGAATTCTGGAGAACGACATTCTGCTCGGCGATTTCGCAGACGAGAATCTGAAAAAGATGAGCGCGGAGCAGCTGAAGGCGTACGACAAACTGATTAACGGAGAGCACATGGAATGGGACCTCTTCTATTATCTGTCGAACAAAAAAACGCCGCCGGAAGACGTCGGCAACTGTTCCGTCTACCAGATGGTCAAACAGTTTGTCGACAGAAAACGAGTGCCCAGATCTTCCTAATTTCTCGCTGTGTAGATATTTAGCCCAGATTACTTTTTTCTGTTTCTTTTTCTGTTACCTTTCTCCTTTTCTCCTACGTTCTCAAGTCATCTCATAAACGAGTACACGTACTGTTCGTATTACGATCGTCTGGAGGTTCTTAACCCCAATTATTACTATCTTTTCTCATCATAATTGCCATTTATCTTCTCTCGTCATAATTGCCATTTATCTTTTCTCATCATAATTGCCATTTACATGTGCGCGCATTCACCCATTTGCTCATTTTTTGCTCTCTAATCTTAGTAATTTATCGAAACTTTCAGACATGTCAATTAGGCCCACGTTTTTCGAATACTCGTAACCAAACTAGCAAGATTCCGGGCCAGGCCGCAGATATTCAAAGTCAATATCCGTGTCAATTTTGAACCGGATAAAGTTATTAGTAGCAATTGTCACGAAAGCCATCAGAATCCGCCCCATCACTTTTATGTTTTCATGAGAGCTAAAGAATGTTGAGAATTGCGGTCAAATTCTTTTTTTTTAAGACTCCGCCATGTGGCGGAGGTTTCCTATCATCAATTGTCTGATCGGGGCTCTTACTTGGTGGATGGGGTATTAGTCTTGGTATATACTTCCTAAACATCCAGGTCCTATAGTCAGTCCAGTGCTGAGTTGATCGGAAGCCATTCTTTCCTCCCTTCCCACCTTGCCATTCCCCGGTGCGTCAGTAGGCCCTCCTCGCACAACCGCCAATGTCTCGTCTCGTCTCGTCAAACACTCATTGCTAGGAGACGTACGTGCGCATTGCCATAGGCGCTCCTTGCGCTCTTATATATTAGACATTCTCATACACTCATTCATTCATTCGCTCATTGCTCGTCTTGCGCTCGCCTTCTACCGCTCTTGAATATTTCCGATCAGATTTGTTTCTTACTTTTTATCGTTTGTCTTAGTCTTCGTTTAGAGGATCTTTATTGAAAGGTTCATATAAAGAGAGACTTTTGGATCCTACCTTGCCATTCCCCGGTGCATCAGTAGGCTCTCCTCGCACAACCGCCAATGTCTCGTCTCGTCTCGTCTTGTCAAACACTCATTGCTATTATAGGGGCACCGAACAGAAATGGCGCTCTGTTGAGAAACTATTTTTGCAGTGCAAATTGAGCGACCTCGGGGCCGAGTTTGAAAAATTAGGCCACATTTTCAGTGGAAAATTACTTCGCGGCCTAGAAATTCGGCCAGATTGCGAACAGCGGCCCTTGCGCTCTCATATCGGACACCGTTCTTTCCTCCCTTCCCACCTTGCCATTCCCCGGAGCGTCAGTAGGCCCTCCTCGCACAACCGCCAATGTCTCGTCTCGTCTTGTCAAACACTCATTGCTAGGAGACGTACGTGCGCATTGCCATAGGCGATCCTTGCGCTCTTATATATTAGACATTCTCATACACTCACTCATTCATTCGCTCATTTCTCGTCTTGCGCTCGCCTTCTACCGCTCTTGAATATTTCCGATCAGATTTGTTTCTTACTTTGTATCGTTTGTCTAAGTCTTCGTTTAGAGAATCTTTATTGAAAGGTTCATATGAAGAGAGACTTTTGGATCCAATCTCTCGAGAACTTCCACTGTAAACACTCCATGATAGTGCGCGGAGAAAAGGGTACCTAAATGTAAAGTTAAAAAAAAATATAATATTCAAAAAAAAATATATTCATATATGAAATAATCAAGTTCTACCTTGACCAGGGGCGCTGAGTTGTGGAAATTCAAATTGGCTAGTGCTAACTGAGGCTCACTTACTTACCTCTTCAAAAAAATCTGAAATTTTGCAGATTTTTCCGAAAGAAACTTATGCAAATCACCTGTTTCTGTTGTTGTTGCAAACAGCAACTTGCAACTCTTGTTTACATCATAATTTTGCATCATTTCTCGCCGCTCGAGAGCTCGATTTTTACGTTTTCCGCGGAAAAGCGCTTTGAAAATCGTAAAAATCCTCCAGTCCTGCAAAGTTTTGGCCTTGCGACCGTACTCCAACGGCCGCGTGACGAAAAAATTCGAAAATTTACGAATCTTCTCTCTTATCTTCGCGAACTTGTCTGTTGATTTCGCAGTTCTCGTCGCCAATTTCTCTCATTCGTCTTTGGCGGAAATGTTCGCATTCCCTCAACGTTTTTCTCGATTTCCGCTCATTTTCCACCTAAATTCCTCGAAAAATTCAGTTCGATTCTTTCAGATTTGCACAAAATGAGTCGCCAGCACAGAAGAAATAGAGAGGTGGTGGTCCTGCCGGACGAACTCAGATGGGGACCCGCCCTTGTCGAGAGCGCATGGGACCTGCCCGTAGGCCGTGAGTTTTTATTTCAAATCTAAATTTTCCAATTTTCGCCAAAATTCAAATTTCAAAACCGATTTCTCAAGTTTTTGAGCCAATTTTCATTGAATGTCTAAATTTGCCAATTCTTCACTAGATTTTCCCCAAAAATCATCAAATTTTGCAGCGGTGCTAACGCCGATACAACACTACTTCAACCGGCAGATCAACAAACTGGTCACCCCGGTGCAAGTGTCGCCCGAGCAGCGGGTCGTCCACGTGTGGGACTCGCGTCTGTGGCGCCTGTCGTTACCGGGACCGCTCGAGTGGACGGATCCCGAGCAGCCGGACGAGCTCTTCCAGGACCGCTTCGTTCGCTCTGCCTACGTGAAGCACATGAGCGCGCCGAGTATGATCCGCAACGAGCAGCGCTTTGAGCAGATTGTGGAGCTTCTCAAAAAAGAGACTGCCAAAATCCGGACGACCTCGTTTCTGAGGCATTCGATAGTGCGGCCGTTGGGACCGCGTGAGCTCCGTCGGATTTGTCGCCGCGAAATAGCCAACGAGCAGCTGCGACACCGACGATACCAGGCCCTGATCAACCCGGACACCCATACGAGTTTGCTGTTTTTGGAGAAGCAATACGATGCGAAAATGACGTGGCATCTGATCGAGGAGGCGCTGAAGTCGGAGGACATCAACGAGGACGTGTGGTACTTTGCACCGTCCGGATCGGATTATCAAATACGGTTGGAAAACGGAAAAGAGCCCGAGATGTTGTTCGATCCAAGCGACACCGCCAGAGCAGTTGTGCACGAACATCGGGCGGCGCCGACTGACAACTCGCTTGTCTTCTACGAGAATCTGCTGAAATGCAAACTGAAGTTGACGCGGAGACTGACGGAACTCGAGACGAGATTGTTGGAAAAACGGACGGGACAGCTCGTCGAGGGACAACCACTCAGACTCCTCGAGTTCTACTATCAGCAGGACAGAAAGCGGGCGCAGGAGAAATTGTAAGGCTTTTTTCTAAAGTTTTTCCGATTTTCGAGAAGAACTATCGGAAAACAATTTCAAACAATTATTTTTCTGCAGACGTTGCGTGGACGCGTTCTTCACTGACTCGCTGCTCGACATGCAGAAGGTGTACGAGGAGGTGATGCTGCACATCAACTACGAGATGCGGCCGAAGACGATCGACGGAGTGAAGGTGACGCTCGTGCGTGAGTGCTTGAAGGACTTTACCGAAAGGGCGGTCCGCGAGAGCTACTACAACATGCGCGTATACTGCACGGACGACAAGGGCAACATGAGCGACGCGAGCAAGCACAACGTCAAAATCAAAACTGTTAGTTTTGGCATTCATTTTTCTACTTTTACTTTACAAAATGTGCTGCAGATGATCGTCGACATGTTCCCGAAACACTTCCACGACTTCGAATCGCGTCGGTGGTTCCTGAAGAAGATTCTGGACGCGAACAACATCGAGGTGGAGAAGTACGAACCGTATTTCGGTGGCGCCGAGTTCACGCGGGCGAAGGCGGCGGCGGCCAAAAAGAGAAACATCAAGCGGATCATCGACTACGAGACCTACAAAGTCTGCCACAACGAAAGGATTTACACGCCGATGGGCAACATTTTGTGGGACGATATGACGCTGGAACGGGGCGGATGCGGCGCCAGGCACTTCTTCACAGCGGTCATGAGCCGGCCCGATGTGCCGTGGTTCACGAAGAGAATATCGAGGGGACCGGTGCGGGAACACGAGAGCTACACGATCCACTTCCAGGACTCGGAGCAGGGCGTCGCGTTCATCGAAGGAGCCATCAAGGTGCACGAGACGGAGCCCATCTTTCGGTGCGATAAGGCCGACGAAGTTGGAGTTAGTTGATCTTTTTTGTGAATTTAAAAAACTGAATAATTTGCAGCCGGAGCTGGTGCCAATCTTCCGTCTCTTCTTCCCGATCCGCCGTCAGATGCGCGCGGCTTTCGGCGAACAGATCCGGGAGCTGGACAACCGCATGCGGCACACGTTCCGCGATCTCGCGGACAGTGAGGACGTGCTGATGAGCACCTACGAATCGGTCTTCTTCTTCGCGCGCATCTATGAAGAGTGGACGGACGGCGAGGAGTTCGGAGTGATCGGAGTGGAGGGATGGAATCCGAAAGGAGTCCGTCATTTTGTCAACCGTCTGCGCCACGTTATGCGCGCCATGGAATTCGACGCCCGCACGGAGGACCACGTCGAATTGCTGCACGGAATCGGAGAGGTGTGGGTCAGACATCTTCCGTGCAAATACAATGACGAGGTGAGCAAATTTTCAACAAAAAAAAGTTGTATAAGTGACAAGAAGAGGTCCAATTCTTGAACGACAAATAGCTAATCTGAATTTTTGGAAAAAATTGCTATTTTTCTAAAAATTTTTGCTAAACTCAAAATCTTCAGATCCTGATCGACGTGGACAAGAACCGTGAAGTGATCAGCGTATTCGGCGGCCGCGCGAACGAAGTGATCGACGAGCTCCGTGGCTACAAGGAGAACAAGAGCAAAATCCGCGTGGAGGTGGACATTCCGATATGCTTCCCGCACTTCAACGACGCCGCGCTACCGCTGATCCACGAGCACATTGCCGAGATGGCCGATGCGTTGGGCGTGCGGCTGTTCGTCGACATGCGGCGGATGGCGATCGAGTACGAGGGAACCGTCGCGGCCTACGAAAGGTTGACGCAGGCGCTCGCAGAAGTCTCCAACGCTGTCTTCAAGGCCGAAACGAAACGACTCGGCGAGAATTTCGAACTTCCGAACAAACATTGCATAGGATGTCTCGACGAGCGGATCCAGGACAACTTCTTCCGATTCGGCTGCGGACACACCATGTGTCGCCCGTGCGTCTGGAACATGGTCAGTTCGCGGATGGACAACCCTTCCCTGCGGATCGAGTGCTCAGCCGACGGATGCGGAAAGTGTCTGACACCATCTGAACTCAAAACGATCGTCCTCGGCGGAAGTCGTCGGTTGCGCGAGCTCGACTCGCAGAAACTCGCTCGAGTGGCGGCTCGCGCCAAGGACACGGTGATCGCGATGAACGGGGACATCGTGACGTGTCCGACGGCGGACTGCGTGGCCGTACGTCGTCCGAATGCGGAGGCCGGTAAGATGAAATGCGGCACGTGCGACTCGAGGTACTGCGGAATGTGTCTCGACGATTGGCATCCGGAGCAGACGTGCGCCGACTACAAGCGCCTCAAACAGCCGGAGGAATCGATCGCAGAGTTCCGTCGGAATCTGCCGAAGAACGCGCTGAAGTGCTGTCCAAAGTGCGGACTCGGGGTGATGCGCTCGGACGGATGCTTCCACATGCAGTGCCCGTGCGGAGCCCACTTCTGCTGGGTCTGTCTCTTCATGGCCGAGAACTCCAATTATGTGTACGAACACATGCGAAGAGTGCACAAAACCATCGGTGGAGAGCAGTGGCTCATCGAACATGTTAGTTTTGCATTTTGACCAAGGCTGAGATTTAACGTTCATAGACCCTGACGAACATTTTAGGCAAATTTTAACATTTTCGTGTTTTCCTTACGATAACAGAACGTTTCACGAATTTTACGGTGTTTACAGGAGTTCCAGTCTGTTAATTTCACGCACTTTTGACGAAAACCTTGGCAGACCTGGCAAAAATTGATTTTTTCAGGGCGAAGCGATCGTAATCCCAGAAGCGGATCAAGAGGTGCTCGGACCGGTGCGCGACAACATCAGGCAGGATCCAGACGTCGATGTGTTTATCGATGTGATGGACCGCGAAGTTCCGGCGCAGCCGCAAATCGCTCCGCCCGCTGGGATGATTCCTCGACCGCCCGGACTCCCCGAGCCGCCACGTGGACTTTTCGGAGCCGCCCGGAATTTTCCCGAAAACCCGGGGCCCGCACCACCGCCGGCCGACCGATTTCCCGGTGAGGGAAGACAGTTGGGACACGTGCGGCACACACTTTTCGGACCAATCCCGCAAGGACCCGCTCCACGCAGATGGATCGACGAATTGCCGCGCGAGTTGCTCCGCATGAACGAGATGTTCTTTGCGGATCTGCAAGTGCAGGAGGATGCGTTGAACTTTGTGAACTTGGCCCCGACTGCGGAAGCGTTCAACGAACGGATAGCGAGGTGCTGGCAGTTGGCCGAGGAAGCCGCGCCATAGTTTTCAACCACATTCTTCTCCTGTTTTTGGGGCGGTGCGATAGAGTTTGAGGAGTTTTCAAGAATAATTTGGAAACAATTCCGGACATTCCCCCGAACCCCTCTATTGTAGCGCCCTAATTTCTGTACTCAACCCCTTTCCACAAAGCCTGAATGACTCTATTTTATTGCTCCCTCACACTAGTTCCCCCACCCCCACAATCATTTTTCAAAAATGTTGAACCAAAACTCTTTCATGTACTGTCTTTCTCTCCCCCCGCTCAAAAAATAGGAAAAAATGACCCATCTGCAATAATATTAAATTTCTACACGCACAATCTCGCTACTCTCTCTCTCTCTTTTCCCAGGCTTTATTTATAAGCTTTATTTGAATTATGAAATGATACTTATGAATACGGAATGAACATGAATAATTAACTATTTCGTTCGTCTTTTGGTTACCAAGTCTCGTCGTGGCGGGACCCAATTATGGTCATACCGAGGTTTTTAATAATTTTTAATTTTTTAATTAAAATTTCTGGGTTAAGTAGCGCATACAATTTTTCAACAAATAATCGTTAAATGGATCAAGTAAGTATACAATTTTAAATCGGTACTTTTCAAAAAATCATGCGAGTACTCGGGTTGGGTAGAAGAAAAATCCGATAATAATGACGAAAAATAGTGTGATCGAGACGGTCGTCATGTCCGAAAAAAGGTGCTGATTGCTCTCGTATCGGTACTGAACATTTACAAATTAGGCCTAACTATTGTTCTAGAAAAAAACGAATTCTCACCGTCGGCGGAAGCACGCAATATCTCAAATTGTAGATTTTGTGCACGCACACTGAAAATGGATGAGAAGTGCAGTCCCTAAAAAAATAATTATCCATTTTAAAAAGTATTTTTCTTGTTAACCTGCTAATCCGGCACCTCTTTCGCTGCCATTCTAATTCATTTCCGTCCCACGACCGGTCGCCCATCACCACAACTCTCAAAACATTTTCGTCGCAATACGCGAAACGGTAGGCGAAATCCAGTGGGACGAGCGGATCGCACGGCGTCTCGGTCACGTAGTCGCTGTGGAACGGCGTCATTTTAGCCGACTTCTCGATTGTCACTGCAAACATTTTGGTACGTCTTTAAACTTGACCACAGTTTTTTCAACAACAAAAAGCAGTTTTCGTGCCGAGACGAGAGCTGAACAAAGGACGGGCCCGGACTTTTCGAAAGCCAGGCCTTTTGATCGACTTGCAATTAACCGATCGGACTCAAATCTTCCAGGCTCCTTGGATTTGGATTCTAGTGCTGTGGGTTCAAGTTTCAGCCCGATCGGATAATCGGTTCCCGAGATATACTGGTTTGAGGCAAAAGAGGGCACATTTTTTGCAAAAACCTGACCTTGTCAGCTTCAAATCATTATATCTAGGAACCAGATATTCTAATCGGTCTAAAACTTGGTCCCGAAATACTTCAATCTGTCTAAGTTCAAGAAACCTGAAAAGTTCGGGTCCTAACAGATCATTGCAAGTGGTCCGAAACTTCAGGCCGACTTATTGCCCAGCTCTTTGAACTTGACTACTCCGGTTTTCGCGGCGAGACCCATCTTCTCACATTTCGGACAGCAATGCCCTTTGTAGCACATTCCGTTTTCCTTCGGACAATTTCCCGAATAGTCCGAGCTCGCGCTCACATTTGTGCATTTCGGTTCGGTTCGATACGGAGTATACCCATTCGGACACATCGCTTCCGACTTTTTCTCTGAAAATTGAAAAGCTTCGTCCAAATCGATGTGATAAAACCAAACATTTTCCGTTTTGAGTGTAATTTGCATAGTTCAGAAGCTTTGTTTAAAAAAGAATGTGGAAAAGCCCATCATACCTTCGCAACAAGTCCGTTTCTTGAATCCTCTGTTGCAATGGGCGGTCCACTCGTGAACGGGCAAATTGATATTACAGTCCGCATGAGTTTCGCACTCGGCGTGGATCCGATGCCGATGTGTCGGTGTTCCGCCCATCGGACACTCTCTGTCTTTCTCTGAAATTCGTTCAAAACTGAAATTTTGCTATAGCTAGGAGCGAAATCCTACTACTGTAACAACACATTCCATATTTTTTCGACGTCACCAATAACCGTTGCAGTTTTCGCAAATACTTGCGTTTTCGAAGCTTCAGCACATACCACATGGCATCGGAAAAGTGACAAGTTCCTCTGAAAATCACGAAATGTGTAAATGTTGTCGGTGGCGCACACTTACACCAAATTCGGAAACATTGTACAGTCGGCATCCACGTGGCACGCCTCTTGCCGCCCGTATTTTTCGACCGGAAACGAGTAGGGAAAAGTGTTCTCTTGCGGATTGCACATTGCTCGCCGAGCACAACACACTCCGTGATAGCAGTGAGGACTGAACATGATTAGCTTGAAAATGTTTACAAAAAATGCCTTTTTACAGCAAAATCTTACTAAAATTCCACCTCCCCGGTGCGTAGAACTGTGAAATTGGCCATATTCTCACAATCGTCGTCAGTTTTGCACGCCTTCTCCGGTACTTGAGATCTGTTCGAATTTAGCGAATCGAACGGGCAAATGTGAGCATCTAAATGACACATTTACGCTATTAATATCATCAACACTTGCCGAACAACTTTTCAAAGATTTAGTAAGAGCCGGAAAACGTAACTTGCAAACTCCAAAATTAGACAAAATGCTCACCTCGTTTGCACAATCTGTGTCCGTTCAAAGTCGCCCAACTACACTGGGACTTCTCGTTTCGCACGACCCAATTCGAATCTCCGACCGCCCAGCAGTCCTCGTCTTGCGCACACTTGTACAGTTTTCCGTCGATGAAACAATTGGGACACGTGAGACCGGCTGCAATAGTGGTATTGACAATATTCATTAGAATTTCTGGTCATTCAAAACAAGATATCTCAGCTGCCAGTGGAGATGTCAAAAAGTTGTCAAGTAACAAAATGCTCACTAAAACATTGTGAAAATTTTATCCGTTGACGACTTTCCTCTATTTCAGCCCTTCTACTTCGGACAATAGTTGTGAAGTACAGACACAAAGTACTAAATGCCAAAATTAGACAAGAAACGTACGATGCCCGCAAATTCCTTTAACAGCGGTAAATTGCTTCTCATGTTCCGACACTTTGAATCCTTGAATTTCGATATCCACCGTCTTTATCAACAATCCATTACACGTCACATTGGCAGACAATATTCGAATTGAATTCAGTTTTTGCTCTCCAAAATCGTCGAAACTATAATAGCAATCGATCTTTTTCTCTTGCGTCTCGAGCTCCGTTCCGCTCGTCTCAATCCTCCACACCTTTTCCGTTTCGTCGCGCATCACCAAAGTGGTATTGTGCAAAGTTTGGGTGACGTCACCGGCGTAGAATGGAGCGTATATTGTGATTTTGGAAGTTTCCATTTTTTTCGCAACTCGCAAGCCCGTCAAATTGGCGCGGAAGATCGTACAATAATTGTTGGCGCATTCGGAATCCGAGTTGCAGAGCTGAACTTTGGAAAGCCAGTGCGCGGACTCTGAATTTTGAATTTATCGATAAAATATCAAATTCAACCCACTTTTATAGCAATGTTTTTTGAGTTTCGAGGTCACCGGTAGATTGTTCTCGAGTTCTTCACGTTTGAACGAATACATGCACTCCTCGGAATCATCGCATTCAGCAGAATGCTCACAGAGCTCTTCCTCGGTTTTCGGTGCGAATAAATCCAAAGGGATGCTAGTGTGATTGTCGGAGAGCTGTTTGTGGAAGACGAGATTCACGTATCCTTCGGCTGAATTAGTAGCATGACTGGAGAGGACTTTTTGGAAAAATTTAGCTCGTCAATTTGCGATATCCGGATCAAATAATCCAATCGCCACGGTCTCCGAGCTAACAATGGGCGCGCAAGTGCGCCCCGCCCAATAGAGCGATACATTGGCGCGAAATTCAATTTTTAACAGCGAAATTTGTGTTTTTTGCCGGATTAACTACGAAAAACCGATAATTTCTCATTTGTCTCTCGATAGACCGATTATATAGGCTATTACAAATTTTTTAAGCGCAAGAGCGCGTTAAATTCAAGTCGAAAATCACATTTACCCGTTTGAAGGTTTTTGGCTAAAACTGCGTGAATTTCAGTTGCTTTTCGGTAGTTTTCGCGGTTCGAGCGCTCAAAATGCTTGTATTTACGTGATTTATCATTCTCAAAACCAATTCTGTCTGAAAACGGTCAAGAAAGCGCAAAATGAGAAGTGCGGTTTTGAGGCGGCGATCGGCGGCTATCGGCGGCGAAGGCGAAAAAGCAAAGTCCGCGAAAAATGTGCCAAAACGTCATTAATTCTGAGAATTAGTGTGTTTTCACGTCGAACAATCATTTTTCATCGCCGTTGAGCACAAAAATTAGAGAAAACCTGCTCAATTCATGAAAACGCCATTTGGTCGAGTGCACGCCCATATTCTCAGCTCTGGAGACCGTGAATCGGGTCAAAAATTTGAACGTAGGAGCTCCAAACCATGATTGACTAACTAATGAAAAGTTCACTCACATTTCGAACAGCACACTCCATGGTTTCCGTCCCGGGAAAGACAATAGTGAGTGGGCGATAGTGTGCGACACTCTTCGTTCGATTCGCAATTTTCGCCGTCCGGAGGCGTCGGGCACACGTACCCGAGGGCCGGGAAAGTGCAGAAAAGGAGGAGGAGGAGGATGCCACGTGGCCGATATTGCATTTGTGGCGGATTTTTACGAGAAGAAGTTTGTGTATCTTTCAAGACAAGTTGGTAAGTAGTTCACGTAGAAAATAGATTCACAATGACGCTTTACCAAACCCATTGTTCATTGGAACAGTTATTATGAAGGTGGCACCTTCTAGTGGTTCTCAGAAACATTTGAGTCAAATTTTCACGAGGGTGACCTAATTCCAGCCGGTTTTATCATGTTTTTTCTTGAAGAAAATACCACTTCAAATCATATTTTTTTTACAGCCCGAGTTGGAGACAACGTGGCAGTGAAATTTTTAAATTTTTTCGAATTTTTTAAAAATGCCATGAACGCGTGACCGTCAAGGGTTCATGCCAATTTTTAAAAAAATGCCTTGAACCCGCGACCGTCAAGGGTTTATGCCAATTTTTAAAAAATGCCTTGAATGCGTGACCATCAAGGGTTTATGCCAATTTTTAAAAATCCTCTTTCCACTGTCGGACCGTTTATTCATGTTTCTACTGATTCTGAATCTGAAATCCCAAAAAAATTCGTTAATACCAATGATTTATTCAAAATTCCAAAACACAACAATACTTCAAGTTATTACGGAAGAAGATCCACCACAGGAACTCGGTCCCAAGATTCACGGATTCCACAGTCACGTCGTCTCCGAATCGCACTGTAAAAATTGATATGATTTGAAGTGGTTTTGTGTTGTAGATCCGCACATTCCGATTGCATCTCCAGACATCGGTTCCACCGTCATCATCATCGTTATCATTCTCTCTCTCTCTCTCAGTCTTCCTCTCCCCGTTGCATCATTCCTCCGTTTCCACCCGCATCTGTTCAATCATCACTCTTCCCCTCCGCATCGTTTTTCGGATCAGAACCAGCCCGCCCATCCCTCTGCTGCCCATCCGTAAAAACCATGGCGCCAACCAAGTTTTCGCGCCCAAAAAAGCGGCGCCCGTCATCGGTATAAAAGAGAGAAACGCACGAATGATAGGGTCTTTCTCATTCGATCAAAATGGAGGTGGACTCCAACACAAAGGTATCCTATTTTCTTGTTTTCTTTAATCTAAGATTGCGTTTACTTTAGGCCTACCGTATCATAGGCTATGTCACTGTTACCGTATCCACACTGTCGATCATCGCCCTCTGTGTAACTCTCCCGATTGTGCACAGCTACATTAAAGAGATGCAGCACTCGATGAAGGCCGAGATGAATCAGTGTCAGGTAAGATTGGGTACTTTGCAACTAAACATTTCTTAATGCTTGAAAGGGATTTAAAAGATTTGGAAGCGTCTAGTACGTTTTGTAGCTAGAAAACTAGTGCTCGACTAGTCTTTAAAGTCTGTAAAATGTCTAGATTGTCTCTAAACAGAGGACGTTTCGCAACTAATATTCCAGAACAACGCGAAGACCCTGTGGACGGACGTCTACATGCTGCGCGCTTCGTTCTCGCGTGGTTTCAACCGCACCGCCCGTCAGGCCGGCTACGAATATTCGACAGACGAGACGACTCCGTTCGCGCCTCCCAAATTCGGCTATCCGGTCGTCGGCGAGCAGAAGGAGGAGGCAAATGTAAGTGGTTGGCTCAGTGAGTGCTTTGAGGTAATACTTGCAGCCGTACGATGCGCCGGCGCCGCCAGCCGAGACTTCTCCGAAGACCACTAGGCGGACTACGACTACCACCACTACCACGACTACTGAGGCTCCAACCACCTCCACCACTACCGTCAGAGCAGCAGAGCCTTCGTCTCAAGGATATGATGATGTGGCAGTGGTGACTGGTGCTCCATCAACAGAACCTTCCGCGGAACTCACAACGGAGCACGCTCCAGAAGTTCCGGAAGTTTCAGAGCAACCAGAGCCAGAAGTCACCACTTCTGAAGCTCCAGAAGAAGTTCCGGAGCGTCCAGCTTCCACTCTCGAGTACTTGAAGACTACCGTACCGCCAGAGGAGCCGTACGGCACCACGTCGACTGCACCGTCCGCCGCAATTCACGAGGATGATCACGACGAGAGCGAGCCGACCGCGCAATGCGAGAACTGCTGTCGTCCGGGACCGCCAGGCGCGCCCGGAGCCCCAGGACGCCCAGGACCTCCAGGAAAGGCAGGCGCCAACGGACTGCCCGGAAACCCGGGACGTCCAACTAAACGGCCGTGCCATCCGGTCACCAAGCCCCCGTGCGTTCCATGTCCACAAGGCCCACTGGGTCCGGCCGGACCAGCAGGACCACCAGGAAACATCGGACGCCCAGGAGTGTTTGGAGACAAGGGACCACAAGGACCGCCGGGTCAGCAGGGTCAAAAAGGACGGCGCGGAGAGAAAGGAAAGGACGGACCGCCAGGAGCTCCAGGAGCCCCGGGAGAAGACGTCAAGGAGATTCCCGCCGTGCCAGGCCCACGAGGACCACCAGGACCGCATGGCCGACAGGGACCACGTGGAGCGCCGGGAATCCCCGGAAAAGACGGTCTTAACGGAGAGCCAGGAGCGCCGGGAGAGCCGGGATTGGATGGAGAACCAGGGTTGGACGGAGTGCCCGGAAATCCGGGAAGAGATGGAATCAACGGGCACAACGGGGAGAAGGGAGTGTGTCCGAAGTATTGCTCGGCCGACGGAGGCGTATTCTACGAGGACGGGACTCGACGATAAGGCGCTTATTCTTACTATTCTAACTTTAAATTATATGAAAATTTAAATTATTTGTCTTAAAGTCTCAATTCTATTACAGATATTATCACTAACCGGACAGGAGATAGTGGTAAAAATAACAGTTGGAATGCTCCGGGAGAAGAGCAACACAAACATGCGATAAAAAAGAGGGAATAATTGGAGGGAAAAGATCGATTAGAGGTGGAAAAAACAGCAGGAAATACATTTATTCAGAGTTTTCCCTCACTCAACAAGGGCAACGATATTCGGATCGGCGATTGCTTAGCCAGAAAATCTTTGGCGTCGAGGCCGATGTGCTGGAAAATCGGCTTGCTTTTGTCGTACAACATCAACATGCAATAGGCGTCCATTGCTGCGTAGCGCATCTGAAAATTATTACATTTTTGAAACATTGAAATTAGAAAACAACCTGCAAATTCCTTAACGGTCGTCGATCCCAAACAGAGCACTGTTCGGTCTTGTCGAGTGGACGTCCTAGCACTTTTTCGCATATAAACGAGAGTCCCTTGTTGAGGAACTGCTTCACGTTCTCCTCTTTCGCCGGCTTCGCCACCTCCGACGAGGATGACGTGGCGACGGCCTCCGACTCCATCACTTCCATCGATTCGTTCGACATCGACTTGTCGGCCGTCTCGTCGATGCTGCTGTCGGCACTCTCCTTGCCGCCCTTCTCCTCGTCCGTCAAAAACGGCAGCCACTCTTTTTTGATCTCCTCCGAATTGTCCTGCTTGCCAATCTCGTCCATCAGGTCCATTATCAATTTTCCGACGCACACCACACTGTTCGGCTTGTAGAGACTCGAACAGTTGCGGAACGCGGCACGTAGCTGATGGAGGTCCTCGCCGAACTGGAAACCGATCTTGATGATTTCGGGCGTCTCAAACAGATACGAAAGGAAGAGCATGTAGGTGTTCTGCGAGATTTGCGCCGACTCCAGATCCAAAATGTACACAATGTCGGTCAGCGCCATCTGCAGAATCGTCGCCTTGGACGGGTTCACGTAGGCACTCCATTCGGCGTCGACGCCCACGCAAAGACGATCTTCGCGCGACGCCTTGTACTCCAGAAGCATTTGCAAGTCACGCAACTCTTTTTCGTTGGAAATCACACTAATTTGACGGACGCACGGCGGAAAGTTGAGAAATTCGTCGGTCGGCTTGAGCGGATCCTCGCGAATAACATTCTGATTGAATATTATCGTTCTGTTCATCTGATACGGTTGCATTCGTCGCCAAAATCTCGCCGCGTTGTAGTCCTTGAAGTTCTTCTCGAGCACATCGATCACAAACTTCTTCAAATTGGGCCTCTGCGCCAGAACCGTCCAGATCAGGTCGTAGAAGTTCTCGTCCTTCCACGTCTTGTCTACATATCTCTTGTGGCCGAACTTCTTGATGGCCGCACAAGCCCAGCCCGCGTGCAGCCCCGTGTTCGCATTGTTTTCGCCGTTCAAATCGCGAATCAACTGGGTGACCGTCTCGACGAAATCCCGAAATTTCACGTGATCCGGATGGTTCGGCGCTATGTAATCCGGCTCGAGCGCCTGGAATTTCATCGGATCGCGCGTCGCCTCGATGGCCATCCGCAGCACTTCGCGGCATTTTCCGCGGAAAGCGTCCGAACGGTTCGCGGCGAACACCTCGATCGTTTGGGCGCTTAGGGGACCGATGTAGAGGGCGTGCAGGATCGTCGCCGGATTCTCGAGGTAGCGGTTCAGCGTCTGGTCGTGCATGAAGAAGTTCAGCGCGTTAAAACTGTAAAAATCATTTTTTAAATTAAATCTCCGAAAGACAGCGCCGATTTTTCTAGTAAATTGTCTTTTTTCATACAATTTTTAAAGAGTTGCTAAAGTTCGTGCAAAAAGAGTGATCTTCAAAAGTCCTACCTGATAAATCCAGAATCGGTATTTTTGGCTATAATTCGTCCGAAAACGGTCATTTGCTTGGGACAATTCGACGGGCACAACACGTATTTCGCCTGCTTCCACACTTTGGACTGCAAAAAAGTGGATTTTGTTTGAAAAATGGTTATTTCAAAATATGCCTAATTTTACCTCTGGTGCTAGTGGAATCTTGAGCATCTCCTCGAGAAGTTTGGCAGCCAATTCATTGTGCAGAACGACTCTTGGATTTATCGTCACATTTTTTCCCTTCTTTCCGGCTGCCGAACTTCTCCGTTTCTTGCGCGATCCTCCCCCGACTGCTCCTGCTCCAGAAGTCTCTTCCTCCGGCTTCTCCTCCCTCTCCTCCTTCTTCTCGAACGGCACGAACTTCTGTTGCGGCAGCTGGTAGGCGAGGATCATGTTGAGCAGCAGCTCGGGCACCGAGACGAACGAGTGCGGGAAGCCGGCGGCGCCGATGCGGCTCTTCTGGTGCATGTGCATGTACGACTGGCTCTCGATGAGCATCCGCACGTATAGCTCGCCCAACTCTTTCGAATCGATCGGATCGAAACACTTTTTCGCAAACGTTTTGAAGTCGAATCGGCCCGTGAACTTGGACGTCGCCTGGTCGTTCGCCAAGTAAAACGAGGTCACATCTTTCTGAAGATTTAGAGAAAATGAACTTTTTTTTGAGAAAAGCCCGAAAAATTAAGGTCGTCTATTTTGTCGAGCGTTCATACACATTATTTCAATGGTCTTACAGCCCGAAATCACTACAAACCTCATAATTTTTAACGGTGGCGTGCAGTAGATGAAGAGCGTTATTCTCGCTAAGAAAATCGCTCATTTTAGCATGCCTCAATTGAATTTACACCTGCAAACAGCTAAATTAACAATTTCTCAGCGTTTTGTGAGAAATGAGCTAGAATCAACGAATTAATCGCGATGCAAGTTGGCAAGTCAAAAATCGGAAAAGAAAATCGAGAATCGCGTCAGCAACCCGAAATGCGTAAAGACAACAGTGCTGACGCGGATGCGGATGCGGTGAATTCCGCGGAGACGTGGGAGTGCTGAAAATTGATTCGCCGAGAGACTGAGAGAAAAATAAAGAATATTTTGTTCGTGTAAAATTTGAATTTGAATCAAAATAAATTTTAATTGCAAAGTTCACATAAAAACGGCAGGGTCATTTAGCAGATTCTGAAGACGTCAAACATTGTCTCAGGGAAGCCTATTGCACATAGGAAATGTTTTCGTGTTTCTAGTTTTCCATAGTCAAAAAATTTCACTTCCTCAATAACGAAGCAGTGATCTTTGTTGTTCCAAAGTTCGCATTTCCCTCCTCAAAGTCATCATCATATCAAATTACATTCCGATTCCAACAACAGAAGAGAGTCTGACGGTCATTATCTATTATCTTATCAGTGAAAAATGCACAGAGACACACGTATGTTCACTCACAAAGACAGACACCATACAATAGAATAATAATATCTGTCACTTGATCATTTTCCATTATTTAACAACGGTTAACGATGCTCGTCCATCAGAGGTTCGTTTATTCGATTTGTCAAAGCTCAAATAAAAGCTGCTTGTGTGTCTCTCCAGGAAGAGTACACTTAAACTATAGACTATATAGTCTATAGTTTGCCCCAATAATACAATATTTTCGAAAAACCGTCAATCACACAATTCTGTAGTTTATACGCCCCCTCGTCATAAATATTTAAGTGCTTATCTATCGTCAAATGCTCAATTTGCCCAATCATTTGTGTGTCTGGTTAACCCGTCTACAAAGTGTTCACACACCATTGTTTGACAGCACTAAAAGTTTGTGTTGTGGGCGGAGCTTAGGAAATGACTAGTGTTACGATTTTGCCCTACGTCGAAAAATTGGCTATGCACAGGTGAGGTTTTGAACTCTTCAAACAAAGTTTTTTTTTCAATTTCTAGAGAGCCAATTTTGAAACGCTTAAAACGATCGTTTTCAGTACATTTGACTCAAACTCGAGCCGCATCAACATTTTCGACGTTTTCCCCAATGAGACGCCCGAATCGACGGACACAGAGCCGGAAGTAGCTGGTTTAGACGACGAACAACAGGGGCCTAATCCGAAAAAACGTGCAGAACTCTACCAATGGCTCAACACCTCCTACTACGGTAGCATCATCCGCAAAGTGAGCGGACAGGTAGCTCAAATACTTTTAGCCCGATAGTCCGTAACCCATTCAGCCGGCCTACATCCCCGACTACGCGACAGTCCGTCTCGAGGAGAACTCGACGTTGCCCGTGTTTGAAAGTGAGTTCAATTATTCTTGGCCTTTTTTTTTATCGCGAAATTGAAAAAAGTTTGCACTTTCTCTTTTCAGACGACGAAGAGTATTGTGCGGCTGCGGAGGAGACGAATTCGCTTCTCGAGCAGCACAAAATTCAAGTGGAGCCAATTGCGGCGGCGAGCAGCACAGAGCACACGAGCACAGAGAGTTACGAGTTGTGCAAGAGCTGTGTGAGTTTCAGGGGGCAGTTTCAGTTGCAGACTTGGATTGTCTGCTCCCGAGATGTGCGGATCAGACGCCGCGATTTTCGTAAAAACCAGACATTTCCGGTCTCTACTCCACCTATCTCGGGACGAGATAATCCGATTTATCTGAAACTTGGACCTGCAAAGTTTGGGTCCGATCGGAAAGTTGCAAGTGGGTCATCCTTCAATATTCTCAAAAGTGTTCGGACAAAAAAGTACTAGTCTTGAGCTTTCCACACACAAAATTGTTCAGTCCTACACTTCCACTCTGAACTCTAAGATCCCAAAATTGTAGACCGCCCGCTACACCCGCCACCGTACGACCCGCCACGCGCGCATCATCTGGCTCATTGTGACGACGGTCGCGCTCTCCGTATCCTTCTTTCCCTACGGCCTCTTCTCCGTCGTCCTCCTCCTCTTCATCCCGCCACAAATACGTCGTCCGATTTGCAAAAAGTGCCGCACTTCGTTCTGGGGCTTCTAGACACGGCACCCTTTTCTTGCAGATGCCCACCGTCCGATCTCTTCGTCTATGTCGCCCTATTTGTGCTCCGATGTTTTGTCAAATAAACCGCGAAAATTATATTAATTTGTTGTTCAAAGTTAGAGTTTCCCGTTGGTCAATTTCAAAAGATCCTCAATGGTCCAGGCGGTGCCGTCGGCGATTCGCGTGCCGTCCGGATTGATGCTCACAGTGTCGACCTCCTTCCGCAGTACCGTATCACAGTCCACCTGTGAGAAGAAGGCCACCGTCTGCAAGTGCGTTCTTTTGTACTTCTCTAAGGGCTGGCCTTGGCCTGGACTTTTGATCCACTGGCAATATTCCAAAGTTTGGGTCCGATTGGAATATCGCAAGTGTTTCAGAAGTCCGAAAAGCCCGGGCCAGCCCGATTTCACTTACATTGGGCAATTGACAAATGCCGACTCTTTGCGAAATGCAGGCGCGGACGAGGAGATTGGAGAGCTGGAGGGCGAGGGCAAGGCGCGGAGCATCTTGTTCGCGGCACATGTAACGCACTTCGTCATGGATGGAGATCACGAAGCGGGCGTCGATTTGATACGTCTCGCAGAGCCATTGCATCGAGACCAGAAGCAAGTGCAGGAAGTCGACGGCGGAGGATTGTACGATCTGAATGAAAAATGAAATGTTTAAAGTTCTAGAAACTAGAAACTACCCAATTCATGACGGATCGTTTGTACTTTCGATCAAAGTACTGCGCGTCGGGCGTTCCCTTCGGAAGCCGTCCCAACGAATCGGCAATCTGACAGCCGAGGATCGGAGTGCGCAGATGCGGCGCCGACGCCGAAATTTCCAGAAAGTTGAACGTCGACGATTCGTAGCCGCCCACGAACAGTTTGCGCGGTTTTTCCGGATTCTCGTACAGGGAATAGAACAGTTTTTCGGATTGCCTGGCAGCACCGAGAAGATCATCGTAATACTCGAGAAGCCATTTCTCGAATTGCAATGTCTGCGCGGAGAACTGGCTGCTATAACTGGGAAAGTAGTAGACTCCGTCGATGGTCAGAATCTTCGTGGCGTCCGGATCGACGCCCGTCTCCTCCACAAACCGATCCACGAAACAATTGAACTTTGGATCCAGCTGCACGTACGACGCCACTTCTCCCTTCGTCAGCCGGAACAGCTGGGACGCGGTGGCTGCCGCTTCGGCCTGTTTCATTCCGCCGATGCGCATCAGATGCTTGCCCGCGTGCGTCTCTCCGGAGCCGTAGAGCCGCGCGTAGTTGAGCGTTTTCGCGTGATTTCGGCTGATTTTGAGTTGGTGCGCGACCACCGAATGCAGGTCGGTATTGTCGGACTTTGAGCCGGCGAGCATCATGTTCGAGAAGGCCGTCTTGCCGGCAACGCGCTGGGCGATCGGAAGCCGTCGCTCTGCACTCGCGTCTCCGTACAACGCGGCGAGCCACTGCTCCTGCGAATCCACGTCGGCGCCCACCAATCGATAGCCCTCCGGTGCTTGCACCATCGCCTTGATGCCCGTTCCGATGACGTGGCCCGTCGACTGATTCGTCAGAGTCACCCACAATTTGTGCACACTTCGCCGGGATACTGTTCCCGCGGGGACTACAGCCGCCGCGATCGCGCCGCCCATCATCTCTTGGCCATCTCCGACCTTCCACGTCTTCGACGGATCCCAAATCGTGACCTCCGCCCGGTATCGTTCGCTGTAACTTGTCCAGAATTGCGTGGTTTGAATTGAATCGAGGACGACTTCAAAATGCTCTTCGTACCTGAAATTAATTTCATTGTTAATAAAAGTTTCGAAACAATACGCCAGAGTATTGATTTTCTCCTTACAGTAATTCAACCAGAAATTTTTACAAGTTCGCCACAAAAAAGGCCACGACTTGTGCGGCTGAGCGCAGTCATCTTCTTTTAAGGATAAAATTCTAAAAGACGTCGATAGAAAAAGTTAAAGCTGGCGGATGTTACTGTTCTAGAAATCTGAGGAGTACCTCGTCGGTCTGAGCACGTGCTGCTCGAGATCCTTGGCAAAGTGCTTCGTGAGCGGATCGCCGACGTTTCCCTCGCCCGACGGATGGTCCAATTGATAAAAACGGACGAGTCCCTCCTCGTCCAACTGAAATCCCTTCTTGTCCGGCGAGATGGGCAGCTCTCCAAACAAATACACATTCTCCTGCACCTTTTCGTAAAAGTCTCGAAGTGGAAACTTCTTCTTTGCCGCCTCCGCCTTCAGATCCACGGCGGCTTCGATGAAATGGACACTCTCATCTGCCAACTTCTTCTCGACCGCTTTCCAGTCCGGAACGAGGTAGCCCCATCCCTTGGCCCGTGTTTTGAACAGTGGATACGGTCCGTAGACGAATCCGAAGATCGCCGGAATCAGTTGGGATTTGAGTGCAATGTGGTGGCTGTCCACCTCCTCCAGGGGCAGATTGATGAAGCTTCGCGCTTTGAACAGCTTGCCGAACCACTCGAGACACGCTTTTTTGCCACTGAGCGTCCAGTCTTGTGCCCACATCCACACGTCCTTCTCGCCAGTTACACTGCAAAAAAAACGAAAGACGTTCCGCAATTGGATTTCCAGCGAACAGTATCTGGTTGCAAAATGTCCGCAAACTATATTTTTCAACCAGGTTCTGTAACTGTGTTCATTCAGGACAATATATCTCAGCTGTCAATATAGATATCAGCTAGCTGAGATATGTCGTTTCGAATGAACACGTTATTAGGGTTCCCTTCTTTTATTTTTAAATTGGTCTACAATAATCTGGTTTGAAGGATGTACCGTTTCTAATGAGCGCTATTCACAATACATGAGCATGAAGCCATTTTGTAGAGAATACTTTCAGTTGCAAAGTGTCCACCTATCCACTCACATCTCCCCCTGTCCGTCTCCGTTCGCCAGAATCCTGGCCGCCTCGACAATCTTCCTCGTCGACGCTGTCTTTTTCTTCTCGCACATTCGTACATTTTCATCGTAGAACATCTTCCAGTACGTGTTGATCGGCAAGTACACATTTCCCATGTTGAGCATGCCGGCGAGAGTGGCCGGATGCGGAAAACGTTGGAGATATTCGGGCCACAACTTGACATAGATCTCGGCGCACAGAATGTTGTCACGGGCGCAGTAGGACATCAGCGGCTGAAAGTCCTCGCGGATCTGCTCGATCGGGTCTTTGACGAAACTCGCGCGCAACGTCTTCTTCGAGAACGTCTCCGCGTTGACTGAAATTTAGGTGGTAGTGTTAGGACCACAGAAAAATGGGCAGGTACTGGTTTTATCCGGGTAGAGATGGTCGTGAACTGCTACTAGCGAGTTTTTCGATACTCTTCCCTTCCACGTATTCATCCAATCGTTCTGGAACAAAAAAAAAATGCATTTCGAAACTATAGAACGTCGGTTTTCTTGGTCCCCAACGGTCCAATTCACACCAAACTTGGACAAATCATTAAACACCATGTACAGAAGAGGTTCAAGGATTTTGATAATGATTTGATCACTGCTAAAGGTACATCACTGATAGCCCTTCCAACCGTTTCTTCTAACTCTGGCCCTTCTCTCACCCTCAAGAAACCCTCGGTAACTCCTCCTCCCCCTCGCATTGTTCATCTTCACATGAGCAGTGTCTTCGCTGCGACCCACTCTAAGGTTGTATCCGAGGAGGCAAGACCCCGCCCATTTGTCACTATTGGTCCCCTCAAGTCCGAGGATAGTCTTCCATCTCATCTCATCTCATTCATTCCATTCCATTCGTGTCTTCCACTCGGAGTGCTCTCTTCTACCTCTTCCAACTTCCTTTCTACCTCTTCCAATTCCTTATAACACAATTCTCGTACATTATTGATCGAATAATTGCAGAACAAGCAAATCAACGAAAATGTGCGGAACGAACGGATCTGGACGGCCCTCGAGAAGCGCCTCCCCGGAAGAGCGCGCGGAGAGAGAATGGAGCGATTCGGAGTCTGATGGTGGTAAGTGATTTTTACTATTCTAAGAAGTTCGAGCTTTCATGTAGTGCAAATTACTGTTCGTCATAAGAAATTGGCAGAAGTTCGAAAACAAGGATCTCATGTTCTGACCAAGATCCCTGTAATTCTAAAGTACCTTTGTAATGGCTTGAACGAAGAAGTCAACCTAGACACTGAGTTATACCAACTTTTGGTCTACCGTAAATTGTGTAACAGTAGGGCGTCCGAATACCGTTTATTCAAGATATATCTAAACTGCCTGAAGACTGTTAATTTTTCATATCTCTGGTGGCAACTGAGATACGTCGTCTTGAAGGGACGGTATTGGGGCGCCCTTTTTTATTACAGTATTTTCTGACTTTGAGTTCGAGAAACTAATTAAGATCTTATTCGATAGAGCATACTTTTCGAATCTAGGCGCAAGCCTAACTTATTTATAATATCAATAAATTTATAATATCAATAATTTATAATATCAATAATTCTTTCAGAGACGATGGAGGTCTCAACACCGACTACGCCAAGAAAGCCACTGAAGCGGGCGCGCGAGCCGGTTCGCGGATTCTCCCCGGAACGGGAAGAGACGCCGTCGGCCGACGAGGAGGATTGCTCCGACGACGTAAAGTCCGATGAGTCTGACTCCGACTCCGACGGGGAGATCGTCGACCGCGGAAGAATGGCCCCACCGCGGAAGTTGGCGAAGGCGGCCGAAACCGATTCAGAGGAATCGGGATCGGAGCGATCCGATTCGGAATCGGAAGACGACTCGGACGAAGAAGGAGTGTGCGTGGCCGAGCCGAGAGGAGGAATGGCGCCTCGACTATCGAGCGAGGCGTCGAGCGAGGATGAGAAGAAGAAAGAGGAAGAGGAATCGGATGATTCCGACGACGACGTGACCCCACCAGTCCGTGCACGAGTCAAGCAGACAAGCAGAAGAGGTGGAATGGCGCCGCGACGGCCGATCGAGGATGAGGAGGAGGAGGAAGAGGATTCGGACGACGATCGAGACGGGACCCCGCCAGTCCGTGCACGTGTGAAGCTGGCACAACGTCGAGGTGCCATGGCACCACCTCGGCCGTCGTCAACGCCGTCTACGCCGCCACCGAGAAGAGAGAAAGAAGAAGAATATTGTCCGTAATTAATCAGTTTCTTGCTAATTACTCTCTGAATACATTTTGACGTTTTCTTATAATTGCACTCACATTATTCTCCATCTCCTCGACGTCGTACATCTCGTAGAGCGCCTGCTGATGATCAGCCATTCCGTACATCGGAATCGACAACGACATCGTGTCCATAAACCGAATCCGCGAGCTCTTCATCTCGTACACCTCCGCACACCGCGCCCGATCGAATCCCACGTTGTGCCCAATCACCACCTTCTCCGCGCCGACGTCTCCGATCGGAATCAGGTCCTTTCGCGTCGGCACTTCCGGCACGTCCGTGCAATTGATCAGCCGCTCGCTGCACCATCCGTACCACGCATTCGGACCGAGGGCGATTGCCAAAGTGGGCAGATTTCCGTCGCGAACGACCAGTTCGATGTCGAAGAAGAGGACAGAATCCGGCGGAGCTGCGATTGGTCCGATCGAGTCGGCGCCATCGCTTGTTAGGTTGAATGGGTAGCGGGTCCAGCCTGTTTCGAAACGCCATAGTTCTTTTTTCTGGAAATGTTCCATTTCGTCAAGGTATTTGCCAACTAGACTTCCAAAAGCTACTTGCCAAGTGTCCTGGGTTTCAAAAGTTGCAAAACGTCAGCAAGGACACTTTGCAACCGAAAAAGCTAAAAATGGGTAAATGGGTTGCAAAGTGTCGTAATTTCGGCAAAGTTTAGTTGCGAATCTAATGGACATTTCGCAACCGAATTAAATTGAACATTTTATTGCTATTTTTGTTTGCTGACGGACATTTCACAACTACTCAGCCTTCTCGTTTTTCCCTACAAAACGGTACACTTTGCAGTAAAAGATTTCTAGTTGCCAACTGTCCAGTCAGTTGCAAAACGGCCCCATTCACTCACATCAATAAACTCGAGCACATTTTTGGCACGTTCCAAATCGAAACGGCACGCATCCTGCAGCAACTCTCTGTACTTGTGGGTCTGTCGATCGGCGAGCACTCGAAAGTGATCCACAATGTTGTCGGCTTCCAACGGCGGCAGCACTCCCGTGTACTCCTTCGGCGCCGACGTCGCGGGCGTCGGAATGTTCGGGAAAAGGTAGTGATGGATGCGCGGGCACACCGTTTCGATGACTTTTCGCTCGAACGCCGACGCCCTCGACGTCGAGATTCGGCGAGTGATTCTCGCAAAAACTGGACGCATTCCGGGGCGCTGAACTCGAGCAAAAATCGCTATTTTTGACACGTGTCGGACTGCAAGGTCTCGCCACGAAAACAACATTTGATCTAATCACAGAACCGCGCGTTGGTTTTGCGAGTCAATAAATAGAGTTGCAGAAAATTCCACTCGACACATTATTATATAAACTTTTGACAATCGTATAAATAAGTGCAAATAAATTTATTATCGGACCCGTTAAAATGCTCTCTTTTGTACAGTAAATATTATCGGTTCGAGTCGAGCAACGCGTTCTCTCGCGCGATCACCGACTCGTCGAACTGTATCACGTAGGCGGTGCCGTTGTGCCAATGAGCGGTCACTTTGCACTTGAACGAGGCACTCTGCAACACACAATTTATCAATAGAGCGCACTGCCGTTCTCGAAATTACCTCCAGGATGGCCTCGACGATTCCGGCGGCGAACGCCGCACAATTGAGCACTCCTTTGTCTCGTGGCACCGAAATGTACGTATTCATCAGTGGATCCTTCTCGATTAGCAGGTCTGTAATTTTGAAAAATTTTCGATGAATCTTAACACTTTTTGAGTTAATTCTAGCAAAATTCAAGCGAAAAAAAGAGAGCTGCGTACAAGTGCAATGATCGTCGTTGGACCGCTCCAACTTGTCGGCCTCTTTCCCGAACAGATTCTTCCAGACGGTCGACTTGATGAACATGAGCATTCCGAGCAATTTCGTCTCCCGTTTGTAGCCCTTCTCGCGCAAAGTGATAATATCGAACATGCGCAGTCCGACCTGCTTCCCGTACGAAGCGATCTTGTCGTGGATGTCCGTCACCGTCTCCGATCGGTTCTGCGCGTACAGCACCATCTCCGAGAACAGCACCGCGAACGTCGACAGATTGATTTCCGTCTTGCCGCGGCTCAACGACTTGTCCAAAATTCCCGTCGTTTTCGCCATTTTTTCTGGAAATTCAAAGGAAATTGTTGGGCTGATGAGATTGAAGATGAAGAAAAAGAACCAGAAATGAGGACAGTTCAGGACGATTCTGAGAAAAAGCGCATTTAGCAAATAGCAGATCACGACAGGGCTGGTCAAAAAACCGACCCAGGTTTTTCGAAGACCTGCCGACGCCTTTTTTGCTTGACATTGGGTCGAATCGGGTCAACTGTCAATTTTCGATTAATGAAAAGTTCCATTTTAAGTAGAAAGCAGAATATTTGCACTAGAGTATCGCCGCCCTTTTCATTCAGAATCAAAAACGTAAAAGTGCACCCCGACACCCCTTTTCTCATAGGTTTCCGCCTAACGCAGTGGTCCCCTCCCTCCCTCCCTCCCTCCAATTCCATGGCAACCGGAGCCATAACGAGAGTAGACGCGCACAAAATCCATAACACATTTAGATAGAGCCTCTATTTGCATCCGGAATGGATGATAGCAAGCAGGCGCGTTTCCATAATCTTCTCATTCGACCGAATATCGGCGAATTTCTCGGCTCGTTCTTCTTCTCGTTCACAGGTGAGCAGGTGTTTTTTTAGCCTTAAAAAAGCGGAAACGTACAATTATGAAAATTACAGCATGTTTTGCCGGACAACATCAGCGCTCGAACGACGTCACCTATCCTATTCTCTGTGCCCTTTCTCTCTACATTTCAAGAAGTTTGGTGGCTCATCTAACTCCGGCTCATTTGAATCCAGGTATTACAGGGAGTTCAAAAGCTATTACAACACTCTTAGACTTGTACAATTGGCCCTATCTATAAAATCCAACTTTCCGAACGGGTTTACTATTCGCGGACTGTAGAATTGAATTTCAGCTCAATCTGATCCAAATAGTACTTTTGAATGGTTTCAGCCATCTTTCTAAATAGTCCGAGTATTATTCATTTTCAAAAAAAAAAAACTAAAAATTACAGCCGTCACCCTTCTTCAATGGCTCCGAAACGAGGTGCCTCTCGTGCTCGCCTTCACGTTTGTCTTCGTCCAATTCATCGGATTTCTGTTCGGTGTGACTCTGTTCCGAGCACTGGTCACTCAAACCGAATTCAACGACTACATTGTCATGTACGAGATTGTCGCAGTGGATGGAATACGCAAGATCAATCGGCTTCAGGTGATTTTCGGCATCTACTTTCCTATTTCCATCAGAATCGACTGAGCACTTTTATTTTCACCGAAAAATTGCGAATTTCTAGGCATTCCTGCTCGAAATCGTTCTTTCTCTTCTCTTCTTCATGACGTATCAACTGGAGCGACGCCAAGAGCTCCCCGTGGCTGCTTCATGGGTAAGAAATGGAAAAATAGGAGTCAGTTTCGAGAAACACTGGGAAATTTGACGGGAATTGCGAGAAATAGGCTTTTCCCCAAAAATTGACATGAGAATTGGAGGAAATCGGGAAAAAATGTTTCTGAATTTGCAGGGATTCATCCAATTCGTCTCATATCCGCTTTTCGGCTTCACCTCCAACACTTCCCTCCTTCTCGTCACTTCGACCGTATCCTACATCTTTTCCCCGCTCACCACACCGTCTTTCCTACTGCTATACCTCAATGTGTTCGCTTCTCTGATTGCCGTTCTACTGTCATGGGTCATTGATTTGTAAGTTTTCTATTGAACACTTTGATTTTTTTAACAAGAAATTTCAGAGCCACCCGCCCCACTACCTATTTGGCTTCTTCCGAACTTTCAGACAAAAATAAAATCGAGTATAAATAATAAATTAGTGACGATAAACAACTGCTCGCAATTTTCACACACCAAACATGTTTTTAGCACGATTCGACCGCAGGAAGGATTTATTTATTAAAGGAACATTCGGAAAACTAGATGATGATATAAGCACAACAGAAATTTGGCTAGCGCACACACACGCACGCGCGCGCAACGTCGAGCACACAGCACATCGCGACGAAAGAAAAGGAGCACACACAGTGTGTGTGAGCCTTCTGATGATGATGTATACATGCACAATTTTTTATGAAGCGGATGGATGATGCGATTGTGGTGGCGCGACAAATATAATGGGAATTGATTGGCGTCGGGGGGAAGAGGTATTTCGAAGGCTCGCCGTGAGCTACAGACGAAAAACACTCTTTTGGAGAAAGAAAAATAGGGTGGTGGTGGTTGTTCAGCGGGGAAAAAGTGGGTCGTACTTTTTGTTTCGTACATGACATCAGAGAATGAAACCTTTTTTTTTTGAAAAACAAACAGTTTGAGGAGTGGAGATGGGAGGAGGCGCGCGGTAGTGAAGCGCGGAACACTTTGCGAGTTCAGACACATTAGAAAAACACAAAAAGGAAGGGGAGAACTTTCACGCACACACACAATAAATCAATCAATTTTGACATGAATGATAAGGGGGAGGGAGGGGGAAATTAGTCGAAGAACGAGTGCGACTGGAACATGTTGTGGTGTCCGCCGGCCTGCTGCTGCTGAGGAGCTCCGCCACGCATTTGCTGCCCGATCGGAGGCTGTTGCTGTTGCGGTTGGTGCCACGGAGCGTAACCTGGAGGAGGAACTGATTGCTTGGTTAGCCTTCTGCCCCCATCGATCCCTTACCTTGACCGTTCGACAAGTCGCCACTTCCATTGTGGGACATCATGCGGGCATTTCCGTAGTCTTGCTGTCCGTTCTGCTGCATGTTGGCGGCGCCGGTCCACAAATCGCCATATCCACGTTGCTGCTGCATACGTTGATTGTTCTGCATTTGCTGCTGCTGGTTTTGCTGATTGGCGTATCCCTGCTGCATTTGCTGATTGTTTCCGGGTTGACGGTTGTACGGAGAAGCTGGAGATCCGGTAGAGTTGGTCATCGCCCCGATTGAAGCTTGCTGATTCTGAAAAGGCTTTGAACAATTGATAGAATCTTTGAGTCCTCTGTTCAACCGTACCCTCAGATAGTCACTGCCGAGACTGCCGTTTCCGTTTCCGTTCGCCGCCCAAATGTCTCTTTGCAGAGAATCCATCGACGAGTTGTACGACTCATTGACGCTGGCCGGACGAAGCTCTCCGATCGTTCCGATGGTGTTCCACGACCAGAGCGACGACGGAGCATCACTCGCGGACTTGACCGAAACTGGCGATGGAACACGAGTAACACGCTGCTGACGAGACGGAGTCGAACAAGCCGATGGGGCTTCATTGGTCGACACTTGACGGCCGATCGGAGTACGCTGTTGGCCGATGACTCCGGCAGCTGGCGTCGGCGGAATGATCGGTGGCGGGATCACAGAAGCGGACGGGGCGACAACTTGTACTGGTGGTGGCTTCACGAGCTTCGGCAGCGGATCGGCGGCTGGGATCTTGATCTCGAGGATCTGAACGAGAGTCTTGACTCCGTTCTTGATCTGCTCTGCCGCGTGATCGAAATCGGCCTTGACGGACTTTGTTTGGGCGTCACACTTGTCTAAGGCGGCCTTCCACTCGCCAAGCGACTTTCGCATGATGTCACGATCGGCGACTTGACGAACGCTGAAAAAGGAAGAAAAATGAGTGACGGGCAGACAAGAATAATGACAAACCGGTTGGCGAGCCCCTCGGTCTCTGTGTATCCATTCTGGACGGCGTCCTTACGCTTCTGGAGCTCTTGAGAAGCCGAATTCCACCTGGATTCCATGACAGCCGCCTCGGCAGCACGAGCTCTTTCGGTCATTGCGGCCAGTTGAGTGGCTACCGCCTTCTTCTCCTTCTCCAGCTTATCCTTTCCGCGGTTCAACTCTTCGACCTCCTTTCTGGCCTTGTCTCTCTCGTTCTCGCGCTCGCTGATCTCGATGGACTGCTGACGCATCGTTTGAGTGTCACGCTCCTTCTCCTTCTTCGACTTGGCGCGCTCATCAGCCGACTTCTTCTTGAGAGTCTCCAGCTCTTTGCGAAGAGCCTTCGTCTTCTCGTCGAGATCATTGAGCTGAACCTGAAGAGCAGTTGCGCGGTTCTCCTCCTTGGTCGCCTTGCTCTCCGCCTTCTTCAGCTGACTCTTCACATTCGTCAAGTCCTTCTGTAGCTTCGTATTTTTGTCAGTCTCCGCAGTGATCGCCTTTGCCTGTTCCGCAACTCGCAGCAAGAGGTCGTTCTTTTCGGTAGTGGCGGCCGACAAACTTTCCTTGAGCGTAGAGATTTCCTTCCCGTAGTTGCTCTTGGATTGCGTGTGAGCTTCTATCAGATCTTTGATGTACTTGCCGATCATTCCATCCGCTCCGACCATGTCGGCGAACATTTTCTGCAGTTTGCGGTTGTTGGTAGTTATCGAGTGAATCATCGGTGTCATGGTCTGGTTGAGCCGACGGAAGGCGATGTGCACATCTCGCATGTTGTGTCCGTCGTCCTGAATCGGTTGGATCGGAATACTGTCGACGCAGCGGATGAAGTCGGCAACTTTTCCTCTGTTCTCGTCTCCCTCTCCGTCCAATATGACCGGTTTCATAGAACGCTTCGCAATCACAGTCGGTCTTCGGTTCGTCCCTCCAGCGTTGGCGTTCGAGTTCGAAGTGGCCGCAGCACTCGTGGCCGTCTTTGTTTTTCCGTCGTAGACTGCCGCGCCAGTACGCTTGGCGTAGCTCGCGTCCTTCAAAGTTCCGTTGTTCATCTTTTCCTCGAACGTCTTCTTCATATCCTCGCATTCGAGAGTTACCTTCTGCGATTCCTCGAGGGTGTTGCGGGTGGACATCAAGAAAGAACGAGCATCGTGGACGGTCTCTCGGAACTCGAGGTCCAAGGTGACAATCAGTGGATTGATCTTGAAGCTAAGCTCATCGACAAGCTCCTTACGATCATCTTCGCTGAGTTTGGCGATAACACCGTCCGGATCTATGCTTCCCAAAAGGGCTCCCTCCACGTCCAACCAACTCCGGATCATCTTCTCAGCCATCGACAACGAGCATATGGCAGCTCCGTCCTTGCCGACACGCATGACTGGTGGAAGATTGTCCAGGATGCCCTTCGTGAAGCTAGTCTCCTGTTCGATGCCCTCCACTCCGAACACTTTTTCGATCGGATCTTCCGGTGCCGCTTGGATGCCCATCTTAGAGTAGAAGGTTTTCAAACCGACGCTAGCATTGCTCTCATCCTCTCCAATAAAGGTTCGGAGCACGGTATTGGCGAGAAGACGCTGAAAATGAGAAATATAGAAGAAATAGAGTTCGCGAAACAAACGTACATCCTCATAGACCATCTGCGGAAGTTGACCAATAATGAGGGATTCGGCATCGCCCATTTGTGGATGTCCATTCTCAGTGTCATCAGTCTGAACATACCGATCAACGCAACCCAATTCTCCACAGCTTCCTTGATAGAACTGAAAAGAAGACAAAAGTTAAAAAGAGAAACGATGGGAAGGATTAAATAACCGGAACTGGCTCAGTTCCAAAGTGACGAAGCGCTAGCATTACTTCGGTGGCCTTGCGTCTCTCTTCGCGACGAATAGCCGCCTCGTCCTCATCCGAGCACGAATCATCTTCGTCGTCCTCGTCGTTCAACGGTCCACTATTCGAAGGGCCGAGTTCGTCGTTCATCTCGTCAGCCTGATCGGCGTAATCTCCCTCGTTGTACTCGTCGTCTACGTCGAACTCCTCTTCCCCGCTTCCGACAGACACCTTCTCCTCCTGAGACTGAGACTCGTCCGACGAATCGGTCTGCTCGTCAATCTCCACATCCTCCACAGATTTAACCAACTCCTTTTTGAGTTGTTCATCCGACTTTCCGTTTTTCTTTTTTTCAACAAGATCTACAATCGAAAGGTTTTTGTCTGCAAGCTTTTGCCATTTCTCACCTTTCACAGTTGGTCCCGAGTTGGTTCGCTGCGCATTTGTGTTGTTTCTGAAAGGATGACAATACAGGTGATAGAATCAGTCAGTTCAATTCTACTTTGAACTTACTGATCATATGGCTTCTTCTTCTTCATGTGCTGAACAGTCACCACCGCGCGCGTCTTCTTGCCTCCTTTCGCCGTCATCTTTCCGTTCAACGACTTCTGGGCTCCAGTCAACGCTTGTCGCAATGACGTCGGTTTCCCGTGTGTCGTGTCTGTGCAGACGACAGGTCCCTTTTCTATACGCTCGATACTTTCGAAGAGTTTCGCATTCACGAATGTTTCCCGTTGAGTTTCGAGACGTTGATAGCACACATCATCCTTTCCTTTGCAGAACTTCATGGCACTTTGATTGGCCTCGAGAGCCAGATCAATGTTGTTCTTCTTCATCTGCATGTCGGCGAGCACAATCCATTTCTCGATTTTATCCAAGAAATCCTCGTGGGTCATCATATTCTTCGGCGGATCCGCCTTCACAGCAATCTCCAACACGACCGTGTCGTCACGTATGTAGCCCTGAGCCTCGTCAATAATATCGGCCCATGTCATGAAGCACGAGTATCCCCAGTCGTTTTCCTTCGAAGTATACGTATGAGTCGTTCGTCGGGCAAAGTGGGGCACATTCGGCTTGTAGGATATCATCCGCATGTCGGCAATCGCGTGAACGCTCCACTGATCAGAGTAAGCCCGTTCCGGAGCGCACTGCAGGAAGAATCCCATGCACTTCTGCTGCTTCTTCTGCACCATATGCTGCTTCGGCATCACCATGATCTTCCACGACACTCCTTCGATAGATTTCGGCGGTGAGCACATCGTCTCCTCGAGATGCGAGAAACGGCTGATCACCAATCGCAGTTTGCAATTCTCATCCGACCACGACGGCCCGTCGCCCTTCGCGGTTCCATTCGTCGACGCGGAAGAGGAGGAGGCTGCGGTGGCGGTCGGCGGTGCTGGTTGCGAGTTGCGCACTTGCTTCTTGGCTTCTCCGACGACTCCATTAGTGGATGCACACCGCGCTTTCGATTGAGCCGACAACGTTTGACCGGGTGGAACAGCAGGCGCAGCAGCGATTGGATTCGTAGCCGATTGTACCTGTGGTTTCAGGGATTCTTGAAAGTACTGGTCAATGTCCTGAGGCCTCACACCCGCCACATTAATGCCGTTCTTGTGGTTGTTGGAGAACTGCAACAACAACGAATTGCGCATTCCGTCTTTTCGGTGCGAATAGATAGAAAGATAGAGAGGTTGAAGACGCTGTCAACTCTAAAGTTAACACATCTTTTAACCGAGAAGAAGTACTGTGCCTAATCTCCAAAAACCACAAGAAAGAACAACAAATGATGTGTGTGTGCGTGTGTGTGTGCGCAGTGAGAACATCGATCGAGAGGAGAAGGAGGTGATTGACGCTTACCGCTTGAGTGGCCGTGTTGACCGACGAGGCAGGCGAGAGTGGAGCAGTGGAGACTTCCGCAGGTGTAGCACTTCCAGGAGTCGAAGAAGACGACGTAGATCCAGACGTATTGTTAGTTATCGCTTCACCTGTGGCCTTGTCCAATTGTTTCAACGCTCCGTTCACCGCTGCCGTCGCCGTTGCCGCGGCCATAGTGGCCGCAGAAGCAGGCGTTGTGCCGCTCGGTTGTGAAGACGTCGTCGTGGAACTATTGGCTGAGGCTGCGGCGGAGGTACCATTCTGTTGATTTTGCGAGGAACTACTGTTACTAGGTTGCTGATGATCCGTCTGACAGCCCACATCACATCCTGTCTTCGTTCTGCAACAACTTTTGTTTTGTAAGAAATGTGGTAGTGTAAATACAATATTAATGTTTCGTATTGCGAAGCTGCCTATTCTATTCGTCAGTCAGAACTCTCACTAACAATGGTACATTAGTACAACTAGAAATGAGACAGGAAGCCATGAGAAGCTTCGGATAACTCAAATGTTCAAAAACATCGTAGACACACAAAGTTCACGAGTAAGTCTATTTACTTTTCGGCAGACATAGATCAAAGTTTTCTGATTACTCACCTGGCCTTCTTCTTCTGAATCTCTTCACTTTGACCTTCCATTTTTCTGCTTTCTGAGGGGGTTTCAACACAACTCGTTCGTGTCGTGTGTGGCAACAACAATAATCGATCGTTTGAACAAACGGTAAGTTACTGCAAAAAAAGCAATTATGACTTGGTCAATCGATACGAAACGGCTGCGGCGGCGGGCGCAAGAGAGAACGAGGAAGGGGAACCGATTGAGAAAGAGATGTGTACGACCCAAAAACTATTGTTGGTGATCGATGGAAAGGGAGAGATGAAGGGGAACGGCGAGGACGCTGCGGCCGACGAAGAGGAGGGAACGAGACTATGAGGAAAACGAGGAGAAGGAGGCAAACGAAGGGGGGAGGGAGAGGCTGGTGGCGACGGCCGGGCGGACGAGTAAGAGGGACAGACCAGCGGGGGGAGAAGTCGGAGGAGAAGGAGGAGGAGGAGGGCAAGACACGTCGGAAATCGATCAAGTAGCGGCTGCGGGGCGACTGACACGAATCAGCAGTCTCGGCAACACCAGCAAAACTAGCAAAGGAAGAAGATGAAGGGGGAGGACAAGACGAAGGAGATGGGGGAATGAGAAGAGCGGCCAAAAAACCGGAGAGGAGATATTCTCGAATGGTTCTTAGCACGGTCGGCCACCGAGGATAGATGAAATGGCGAAAAAAGTAGCAAGGACGAAGAAGAAGAAGACGATTGAGGAGATGGCCGAAAGATTGCGGTGTGTCGGTCGAGTTTTTGGACACACCGCCGTGTCAATGCTATCAATGAGAAGAGATGGACAGATGAGAAGAAAGAGAAAAACTTGAAACGTTGCAAAGTTTTTCTCACAACGTGGAAATTTAGATCTTCGAAGATTTTTCAGACAAAAAAGTACCAACAAAAAGAGTAGAATAGATCTTTGTACGGGGAGAATCAGCACAGACCAACAACAGCCGGCTGGCCGAGTTTATAAAGAGAGAATTATTCTCGCCCACGGTTTATGTTTGACATGTGCAGTGATGATAAACACCGCACAAAGTTAGCATTTCCAAAGTTTCTCGTACACCACATTTAAATTCGAGCGGAAATGGAATTCGAGAAAGTCAACGAAGGGAAATGGACTTCGGGAAAACGAGAATGCGCTGAAACAACATGTTCAACCGAAAATGCGCAAATCGAGATCGAGCGATAATAACGCAACGTTGCATTGCATAATATGACTACACGTATAACATCGATCGAATTATCAGAAAAACCGCGTAAAACAGAAATTCACTTGCAGTTCAATACATGACCGCCTACGAGAGCGGTCTAGGAAAAGTGAAATTTAGGGAACATATTTGTTCTTTCCTGTAATAAATCATTTTTCATGAGATTTAACAGGAAACCGATCAAAATTCGGAAACAAAACAAATTACCGATTGCTGAAGATGCGAAATTGACGAAAAACCGAAAAAGTTGAGTGCCACATGTCAATCAATACGGGCGCGACCATCCGCCGAACGACCGATTTCGGCGTTTTTCGTCGCGAAAATCTGTTGAAAAGAGGTTCCAACGATTCCCCACGTACCGCCCGTCCATCCTGCTTACTTTTCCCGGCTAAAAATCGTCGAAAGGCGGTTGAAAATCGCGAAAAAAGAGGCGCCGAAAGCACGACTTGCTCGCCAGTTCTCTCGTCTCGCACACAGCTAATTTGTCCGATCGTGGCGAGACCCGCGCGACGGCCGATGTGCCTGCGCCTTTAACGCGACAAACATTTCGAATACGGAGTGTTTGCTCCTTTTCTGCACATTGTTCATATTTTGATCATTGTTGCCAAAAATCAAGGTTTTTTTTGCACAGAAGTAGAAAAATTGATTGTCTGTCTATTTTTGCCCATTTACAGCCATGAAGTTGGCCTATTCTTGTTATGAACTTGATTTTTCAGAACTTCTCTTGAAAAAGGAAACTTTTACCTTTTTTTCACGTGTACTGACGAATTAATTTTGTTTTGTAGTTTTATTTTCCTAGAATAACAGCTTCAAAATATCTAACTCTTCTTCTTCATTCAGAAATACGCATTTCCTCGCTTTTCACGTTTTTCGATCCTCTCCCTCTAAATCGCACATCTTCCAGGTTTCTAAACATGTACGATGGTATTGGGCTTCAAACTGCCCGTGGGTCGGGCACAAATGGCTACGTTCAGTCGAATTTGTCGCATCTTATGCAAGCAAGAGTAAGAATTAACTTTAAAAAATAAGGAAAATGCAAAATTTGCAGAGAAAAATAGAATACAACGGCGAGGAAGATTTGCGTCGCATGGAAGCCGAGCTGAACAAAAAGCCCAACGAGGACATCATGGATCACAACAGAAAGCGGCAGATCGAGGTGAAATGCACCGAACGCGAGATGCTTCTGGAGGACAACGGCTTGGACGAGGAAGAAATCGAGCGGGAAGTGGCCGAATACCGAAAGAAACTGCTGGCACAGCTGGAATCCGGCGAACTGAACGTCGACAAAGAGTTGGACACCCGAGAATCTCATGCGAGGAGACGGGCGGCCGCTCAGAACCGCGACAAGATGCGGAGTGCGTTGGGATTGGATGATGACTACGTTCCGGGCAGTTCCATGGCCAAGATGAACAAATCTGACGTGGTGGGCGCCGCTTTGGAGGCCGAGCCGCTGAACGATCAGGACGAGAAGGATAAGTTGTTGAAAACACTACGACAGCACCAGAAAGACAAGAAAAAGTCGAAAAAGTCGAAGAAATCCTCTTCTTCCTCCAGTTCCTCTTCTTCGTCGTCTTCGTCCTCAGACTCTGACTCTTCCAGCGAAGATGAGAAGGACAAGAAGCGTAAGAAGAAGCTGAAGCGAAAGGAAATGGAGAAAAGACGAGAGAAGCTGAAGCAAAAGGAACGAGAGCTGATCGACTCGTCGGAGATCAAAAAAGAAGTGCATTCGAGCGACGAGGAGACGGAAAAGACGCCGAGAAGACGGGAGAGAACGCCGGAGAAAAACAAAAAGGACGACAGAAGACGTGATCGCTTCAGAGAGGATCGTCGCAGAAGATCTGTCGAACGGACTCGTCGTGAGTCTCCGGAACGTCGTCGCGATTCGCCAAAGCGCCGCCGTGATTCCTCAGAACGTCGTCGTAATTCCCCAGAACGTCGTCGTGATTCGCCAGATCGCCGTCGTGAATCTCCGGAACGTCGTCGCCAACGCTCCAGAAGCGACGAGAGGCAGCCGAAACGTGACAGAAACAGAAGCAGAGAACAGGAGAAAAGACGTCGTTACGATTCAGATGATACAGATGAGGTGGACAGAAAGAAAGTGAGATCGACAGTGAAGAGGGCGAAAGTGGTAAAAAAATGTCATTTTTGAAAAATTTCTGTAATCGAATTTTCAGGACGAGATCGAGGTGAAACAAGAGCCACTGAGTGATCACGAGGAGTTTGCTGCTAACAAAAATCTGGCTCCAGTCCGTGTGGATTCGCCGGATCGCCGAAAAAGCCCGAAAAAGAGCAATCAAGGAAGAAAGGCGGCGAGCTCGTCGAGTTCTTCTTCGTCTTCGTCATCTTCCGATTCTTCAGGATCGTCATCATCGTCATCCGATTCGGAGTGATCTGATTACTAATGTTATTTTATTTATTCATTCGTTTGTTATCACTATTATATCTGCTCGTCGCGTACAGCAATGAATTCCACTGATTCCTGGAAGGATCTCAAAATAGCGCTCTGTTCTGTTGTCAACAGTTTCAATACTAAGGTCCACTCCACTTCCCCTTCAAACTATAATATTAGATGGGTCACATCGAGACCGACGAGCTTCTCAACGTGATCCGCCACGAGATGCGGTTGGAGGACGAGGACGGCCCGGGTCTCTGCTCTCGGATTCTCCTAACTCCCGACCGCCGACTCCGATCTGGTGGGCTACCATTGGATTTCCGAGGAAAGGCGGCGGACAACTGCGGGGGCGAGTTCGAGGAGGCGTACGAGGTGAGAGCAAACGCGCTCTATCGCTCCACACTTTCAAATTTCAGATTCCGTTGTACGAAGAGCCGCTGCACACGCGCAGTCTGATCAACGAGTTGCTGGCGGTGCAGACGGAGGAGAAGATCAAATCGGAGCGGCGCGACAACATCTACACGGGCCCGCTCGACGCGCTCTTCGTCAAACAAGAGCCGCCCGTGTGGCCGCCGGTGCCACCCGTCGGCCCATCGGCTCTCGAGCGCTATTTGGAGGAGAACGCGGGGTGTTTGAACAACCCGCTCGGCGCGTATTTGAAATTCGCCGCTACCAACACCGATCCGTCCAGGGACATTGAGATTATTGTGCCGAAGCCGCCGAATTGCGAGGAAGAGTTCAGAAGCTTCCGCGTTTCCGTCATGTCAAAGGCCCGGATGAGGGAGGTGGTCGGATACTGTATGCTTCAATATTCATTGCTTTTCGATGAATATCTTCCGTAGGTTTTTCTTGAATCTCGACAAATTGCGCAGTTTCTACAGTACGCGTAGGAGTGGTCGTAGAAAAAAGTTGTCAACGGAAGAATGAAGGGCGGTCCAACATAGTAGAACTGGGCAGAATAGAACTGTTTTTGTGTATTTATATGGGCATTTTGTCCGTTTCTTTCAGTTAACTTTCGCAAAATTTTTCGTCTCTCGAACAATTAAGCAGAAGACCACCTAGCCCAGAACCTAGAAAATTACCTAGAAAATTGGTTTCCTTTCCTTTTTGATAGTACAATAAAATTATTTTCTGTGGGTTTTCGTTACCGTAGAGAAAAGGGATCACGAGGGAAGTGAAATTAATGAATGCAATAAATCGATCACGAGATTCAAAAATTATCTTTTTCTACGAAACAATTATTCTACAGAAAGGATTAAAAAGCGCTCCAAACAGTTATATTGTGTCGCAGTTCTATTATGCGTAGTAACAGTCATTTATCGTTTCATTTCAGCGGCGAAGTGGAAGACTACCAGTTCTACCTGGCCGAAGAGGACGGCGAGATCGAGTACGAGCTGCCCGCGCTGGACAGCTCGAAACTCGTCGGTCAACTCGGCTTCACCTGCCTCGGCCTCGTCTCGCGAATCAAGAAAAACGGGGGGAAACGGCAGAAGAAGGCGGTGGCGGTGTGGTTTCTCGACAAGGATCAGTACGTGATTGAGGTGGAGAACATGGAGAAGCCGTTGCGATGGCTGCGCGACGAGGCTCTTCGGCTCCGCACGGAAAACGTGCAGAAGACGCCGATCAGGGGACTCGTCGAAGAGAAGGAGTACTTCCTTGAGGCCGTGGATCAGTTCGACGTGAGATTGGACCTTGAGAATAGCATCGCCAGCGCGCGCAGCCTCGAATTTGTGATGATTCGGAAGAACAGCTCGCGCGCGGGATTCCATCCGCGTGGCGGACGATACGGCCGGCAGATGAGCGCGATGCTCACGCTCAAAATGCCGAATAGTCCGATTGCGGCCGGGCCGATGACACCGCTGCCGACCGTCATCGAGCACGAGGACAATAGCGCCGTGTGTAAGTTGAACGCTTCTTAACCGGGTTGCTAAAGTTTAACGCTAAACGTCTAGTTTCAGTGTCCTCCCCGGCAGTCGCGTGGAACGACGAAGGCGGTCAACTCTCCTCGTTCACGGTGATGCGCGTGCATCGTTTCAAACCGAAGTGGAAGGCAAGACTAGGTACGGTGGTCGTGGCCTAGAAACCAAAATATTTAAAATCTACAGTAATTCGTTGGACGTCGTTCGAAATCGACAAATACACGGTGGACAAGTCGGCGTTTCTACCGCAAGGATACCAGAAACAGACAAAAGTGCCGTGGGAGTACGTCGGCGGAGTTCGTGTCCAACAAAAGGATCCAAAGCGTGAGGACACTCGGACTCTTCGCAACTTTGTACGATTTTCAGCCGGACGCGTCGACACGTGGCAAATCACGTTCTTCTGGCTGCCCGTGCTCAGCGAGGAGACGATCCAGAAAGCGGTCGGCGACGACGAGTGGAATCTGCGGCACGTGGCGACGCTCTACCAGACGGAGGAGCGCTGGCGAAGTGTGAGCGTGGAGACTGTGTTCAAGCCGGACGTCGACGAGATCTCCAGCCAGATGAACTCGATCCTGCAGGCACGCGACTCCTCCATCTACAAGGCGTTCTCGCACTCGTCGTTCGGCGCGCTCACGCCCGCCGCCAGCGCCGATCTGGCACTGATGGACAGTGCCGAAGGCGTGGCGATCCGTTCGCCGACCTCCGACACGCCGACGACGTCGTCCGGCAAAAGTGGAGGGCGCATGCGGAAAATGTCGAAAATTCTGATGGCCAGTGTGCTCGGCAAGAAGTCTGAGTAAGCCTCGTACCATAGTGATATGTTAAATTGGTTATCTCCATGTGGGTTTCATGTGTACTTTCAATTGGAATGCAAATTATGCTAATACTAATAAACACTAACACGGCGCCGCCCATCTCCCACTATTCCACGTGTACAACCGAAGACTTCCTTCTTCACAATCGGCCGAAACATCGAGAAGATTCGCGGAGACGTAGACGCCCAGCAAGAACCTGTTCTTCTTTCTCTTCCAACTCATCGTCGGCCCTTTCCGTCTCCTCTGCGAGGATATATCCCATTCATTCCGTCCCCGATGACTTTTGTCTTTCTAACGTCTTCGTGGATATCGATTGATTATTCCGGGGCCCTCGACGATCTTTATCAGATGTCTGACGGCCTTTGCAGTTTGCCACATACACCTCTAACATAAAATTTCTCCTCTTTTCATTATTCCACCATTTGTTTTGCAATTCCAGATGAGATCTCTTCTCCTCTTGGCGTTTGTCAGCGCGACGGCGTACGCCAGCTTCGACAAGATCAAGGACTCGATTCAGAATCCGTTGGCACGCGGATTCGGCGACGACATCGCCTGGATCAAGTGGGAGGACGCGATCGAGACGGCGCTCGACACGAACAAACCGATCTTCTTGCTCATCCACAAGTCCTGGTGCCATGCGTGCAAGGGTAAGTGACACGTGGCTTTGTGCGGATAATGTGGCATGGATTTGGACAAAAATTGATAATTCCACGTGGCCTAGAGCGTTTCTTTTTTTGTGACTTGGCTTTTCAGTCTGAAAAAATGGGTTGCTAAATCTGCCACGTGGATAGTTTTTCGTGCGCTCTAAGCTAAACGATCAAAAAAATGTCTCAAACGTTCCGCTCTTCCTTTTCGCGGCCGCCGCCTCCTGCGCGCGGATTCCGACACCACTTTCGTTGCGCGTGTGTGTTCCCTTTCGCGCATTAATAAAGAGAAGTGTGTCAAGGATGAATACGCTAGTTCTTCCATGCTATCCCGCTGGTCTTTGATACCCTATGTATTCAAATTTCAGCCCTCAAAAAGACATTCCAACAGTCGAACGCGAAGAAGGCGTTCAAGAAGCTCTCGGAGCACTTCGTCATGGTCAACACCGAGGACGACGACGAGCCGTTCGAGGAGGAGTACCGTCCGGACGGAAAGTACATTCCACGTCTTCTGTTCCTCGACAAGAACGGTGATCATCTGCCGGAGTTCAAGAACAAAAAGGCCGAGTACAAGAATTACGCCTACTACTACTCCTCGCCAGCCGACATCCTCAACTCGATGAAGGACGTGCTCAAGCATTTCGGAGTCGAGGTGCCCGAAATGAAGAAGGGCGACAAGTTGAAGCCGAAAAAGCCGGAGGGAAAGAAGAAAGAGTTGTAATAAGAATAGATAATATTTATTTATGCATTGTTCTCCATCTCAACTACTATGAATCGTCGAATAAACTGGTCCCTTATAGACTAACTTTAAAAATTGATAGACTAGATGCTTCCAAAGATCCTCAAAAACTGGTTTTCCAAATAAGAAACTGTATTTGAACGGAACGAAAGTAATGCAAACAGAAGGCGTCACGTCTTCTCCTTCTCGCTCTTCCTTCCGAGCCTCTCCTTCGTCTTCTTCCCCTTCACATTTACACTTTCACCATGAACCCTAGTACATGTTCCCTCTACATTATCCTATTCTCACTATTCATCCACGTGACTTCTGAAGCACTGATGTCTCCAATTTACGAATATCTCAAAGACCTCTGTCCAAGCGGCCAACTCCCACTGACCAGCTCGAAAACCGTCAAAACGTGCGCCAATCTGTGTCCTCTGGGAGCACTGTGCTATCGTGGAATCTGTTGTGTTCCGAACCCGCAGTGCCGGCACCCGTCCTATCGGTAATTTAGGAAGGATTATGTTCGGTAGAGCCATTATGAAGCATAAATTCAGAATGTCGGCCGGGTTTCCCTGTCTTCCGAGCGTCAAGAACAACTGTCCGGACGGTGCGCAATGTGTCGCCTCCAGCCAGGACGGCATGTACATTTGTTGTTCCTCGAAAAGTGTGGGGAAGTGAGTTGGTGACTTTCAGTACCTAATTTCGAAATTTCTGGTTTCGAGACGTCTGGAAAGAGTTCGAGAAAATTTTAAGCTATCCTCGTTTCAGAGGATTCTCCAGCTCTCGCCTCAAACCTACCCGACCCTCAATGCCGATCAAAAAAGACCGATCGACGTCGAGCCTCGTCCCTTCCGACTCCTCCCAAATCTGCCCGAAAACGCATCCGATCATAGCGCACGACGGAAAATCGCTGGTCCTGTGCAAAGATTGTATCCAGGGCGTTTGTGCAAAGTTCCGAACGAGCAACGTGGAAGTGTGCTGTCAGAGTTCCGACGATATTTGCGGGGCCGGAAGTCAGGTGCTGATGGATAGTCTCGTGCCGAGGGACTGCAGCAAGAAGCCGTGTGGCAAGGGGTAAAAGCAGACTTGCCAAATCCCGGGCCCGGCCAGCAAATCGTCGGCCCGGCCCGGCCCGGTCGGCCCGGAAGTTAGACCTCAAAAAAAATATGCAAAAAAAATATGAAGGAAGAGGAAAACGCGTGCGGCAAAATTGCTAAAATGGCGTGCCAGAGTTGCAATCAATCGCTCCGCCCACTCTTGAGAAAATTTTCGTAATTTTTGTGAAAATTTTGCGACTTTAAACAGCAATTTCTATTTAGGTGCATCCTCCCGGGCCGACCGGGCCGGGCCGGGCCGGAAAATTTCTAATTTTGGCCCGGCCCGGCCCGTTGCAAGTCTGGGTAAAAGTGGGCGCGAGTTCAATAAAATGTTCGGGTTTTTTTTTGAAGGTACGAATGCTCGTTGACTCCCTCCGGACTCCGAGTCTGTTGCTCTTTGGCCAGATGCCCCGGCGGTAGCTTTGCGAGATCCGTGTGCGCGGCGGGGTGTCTGCGGAACGAGAAATGCGTGCCGATACACGATGAATCGTGGTGCTGTCCTGCGGAGATTTCCGTGAAAAGTGAACTGTCTCTTCAGTCGAACAGTCAGTTCCAGTGCAAAGACGATGGAAAGGGGTAGGTTGTGGCAAGTGCAACATTTATTTGAAGAAATTCTTCTAGAACTGGCGAAAAGTGTGATCCAACTTTTCCGATCTGCGCCCAGGGCGCCGTTTGTGAGCTAAATCTACTGGAAAACGCGCATATTTGTTGCAAACGGTTCAGCAAGTCCAAATGTAAGTCTGAAGTGTGAACACTTTCACGTTTACAAAATTTCTCAAGTAGCTAACAGGAAAACCCTACTTCCACCGCTCTATTACACGACAACACCTCCTCAAATCACTACAACTACACAAGAACCATTTCCGGTGGATGTTGTGTAAGTACTAATTTCTTAGCTTTTCGAAAGTCAGTCCTTCCTTTCAGGCCGAACTGTCAAGATCCTCTCGCCCGGCCGCTCATAGAAAACGGCCTGCCGTACATGTGCATTCATCCGGGCGACACGTGTCTCCGCGCCGGATTCACATGCCAGGAATCCGATATCGACGACGTTTTTGTGTGCTGTACCGCGCAAACGAACCGCCTGCTACCCCCGCAAATTCCCACGTTTCCGCTGATTCTCACCTCGACGACGGCGTCTCCGAAAACAACGACGTCTTCCGAGGAAATCGGACCAGCGTGCCCGTTCTCTTACATGCCTTCCAAGCCGGACAATCAGGAGGTTCAGCGGTGTTTGACACTATTCTCGTTGGAGTGAGTTTAATTCGATGAAAATATTTTAAAAGAAGAAATGAACATTTTCAGTTGTCCTTTCGGCTACACGTGTCTTCCTTCGTCTACGACCGACAGTTATCTCTGTTGTATAAGAAAACCCGTCATTTGAGTATAATAATAAATTTTTCAAAAATTAATTTGACATTTGACTTTGTTCTCAGAAAAATAAATTAACGCCCAAGGGCGCCCATTTCTGCAATATTACCGTATTCCTTAAAGGCGCACGTCAAACTTTTGCTGTGGGTCTCGCATCGAATGCGTTTTTGTAATTGTTTCTAAGTTTTTCGTTATTTTCTGTTCCTTGTTTCGAAATTTACTCTTTCGATTCACAAACATCGACGTACGTTTTTTTGTTTTTCTTTAACTTTATGTCCTTTCTATGACAAATCTGTGCAACATTTCTGGCGTAATATTTATTCTCAAAAATTCAATTATTTAGCAAAATGGCATGCAATTTCGTAATTGTCATTGGTTTCCGGCCGGGAGCATCGAAATCCCGTCAGATGCGAGCCTGTCTCACTTTTGGTTCGTTGTTCTCTTCATCCTTATTCGAAGACGGACCGGCGGAAATTCCCTTCGGAGAAGCCATCGACGCTTTGAGGTAGGATCTCTTGAACTGAATCCGCGGCGCCATTTCTACTTTTTGAGAAGCCCTCCTCATAAGTCGACGCATCGACGGCATTTCGTCGGCATTGGAAACATCTTCATCAGAGGTAGGACGTACGTTTTCTTCTTCGGCGTCCTTCCGAGGAATTGCTCCTCTCGACGTCACTTCCTTGTCACTCCCGACAGTTTCATCCTCCGAATCATCCGATGGCAGGTCGGGAACGAGCGCTTCCTTGGGAGGAGCCATAGAAGCTACGGGACCGCATCTTTGGACTGGTATCCTCAGAGCCATGGCGCCTTTTCGAGAATCTCTCTTAATGTGCCGACGCATCGGCGGCTCCTCGTCTTCATCGGAAGATTCTCCGGGAGAGGTCACTTCCTTGTCGACAATTTCTTCATCGGAATCTCCGCAGTCGTCTTCCTCCGACTCATCGGACTCTTCCTCCGAATCGTCGCTGACCGGTACTGCTTCTCCTCTTTTCGGTGCCATTCCTCCTTTGAAGTTGGAAACCTTTGCCACAAAAATTCGCCTCCTTTTACGCAATGTTGGCTGAGGCGCTTCGTTTACAGTCGCATCTGGAAAAGGAATCATGTGAACTTTCCAGAATGCATAGCTACTTAGTTGACAGTTTTGAAATGCGCGTGAAGGTTTTGTAGTTATCGAATCACGTACCTTTAGCAGTAACTCCATTGTTTTGGACTTCAACGATTCTGGAGACATTACTTGTTGCCTCGTCGTTGCTCATTTCCACTAAAAATTTAATCAAATAATAATTTTAGTTAGAAACTAGAAAAGGACACTTCGTCCAATTGCGTTTGACTCGAGGACAAGAAAAAGACGAATAAACGAGAAATTATGCGAGCATACAATTTTTTGAATACTATATACCCCTACCGTACGCCGCGCGACCGCTCCGCACCGCATCGATCTTCTCGCATGTTGCCAAAATTTATTGAAAATTGTTTTTTGGCCAAGAAGAGGGTCCAATTACCAGATTTTTGGAGGGTTCAATTATCACAATCAAAAAATCTGGATATATCTGCATATAATTTAGATGTCTAGAATCGTTTCAGGCTCAAACAATGATAGAAAAATAGGATCTGCGCATAAGAAAACTATACTGGTCGGTCGACTTGGAATCTCCGTCGGATTTTTTCTGTATTTCCTCCTTCTTCTTCTGACGCACATTAGTTTTAGGTTTTCGTTGTCTTTTCGGTTTCTTCGGCAGAGTCTCTTTTTTTTGTAGCGCCTCGGTGCCACAATTGGTGCGGAGTAACGTTGGATCGGCTGGACTTTTCGGGTAGATTTACGGCCAGTTTGGATGGAAAGGGTTGGTGAATTCATGGATCTGAAATTAGACCTTATCTGAAAGCCTATATCTCAGAGACGATTGCCGATAAGTTTCCCAAATGAGAAATTTCGATTAATCTTGCGAATTTCTAGTCAAAAGTGCTTGAACGCCACGCGAAATCAGCTGAAGAACAAAACAAAACACATCTTTGGAGTGTGCAAACGTTTATTAGCGAAATTTAATTATGTAAGAGGCAGAATTTTCGATTGCAAGATGGAGAATGAGAACAGACGGGTGATATATATTAGAGTTGAGATTGGGCGATGTAGAGAGATCGATTTAATCGGTGGTGGAAGCATCGGCGGCGGATTCGTCGGCGGCAGCTGCAGCAGCGGCGGCAGGTTCCACCTTGGCCTTCGGGGCTTTCTTGGCTTTCGGGCTCTTGGCGGTCTTGTTGGCCTTCGGGCTCTTGGCGGCCTTCTTCGCCTTCGGGCTCTTGGCGGTCTTGGTGACAACGACTACGACGGCCTTCTTCGCTTTCGGCTTAGTCGTCTTCGACTTGGCCTGCTTGGCGATCTTGGTTCCGGTGGCTTTCTTGGCGGCCTTGGCTCTCGGCTTCGGTGCCACGACTGGCACGGAGAAACGGGCGACGGATTGGACGGCACGGCCCGACTTTCTCGGGGCGATGGCGGCAGCGCTAGTCTCGGTCGACATTGTTGTGTTGAGTTCTGCAAGAAAAATAATATAGAAAAGAAAAATGTTACTGTAAAAACAAATCACAAGTAGGAGGAGAAAAGGAGAGGAGAAAGGACCTGTTCAGGAGGATAGCCGATCACCGAATGATTGAGGGACGGATCGAGGAAGACACATGTAGATCGTACGCGCACGCGACCGCGACGCGCAGCGTGCACGCATTTGAATTTCGCGGCAAGCGTTAGCTTAGGTGGGGCGCGTTTGCAACCACTCGACACCAAAGTGTTGGACAATGGTGGAAAGAAGGAGGGAAAATCAATAGCTTTTCGGGCAAAACGGGATATCGGCGGAAAAGATGGAGAAAGTAGAAAAAAGGATTTTGGAGCGTCATGGAGAAATGGAAAGTTTTAGGTTTTTTGATTGTAATAACAATATCTTAAGAATCGAGCTCGACATATAAATAATATGGCGAACTTACTGAGCATTTTAATTTCCTGATTTTTCTGTCAAAAACAGCGAAAATTACAACGATTCGATTCTAAAAAATTGAAGTGACAAAAGTGCGCTCTGGGAAGAAAACACTAATACTGGAGTCGATTTCTGTTTCATTCAGCGTTTCTTTTTGCCAAATTCACAGCTTTTTCCGACCAAAAAAAAAAGAGAAAGGATGTTGATGGTCCGCAAATGGTCACGCGCCGCCAGATTTGAATTCGAAATACCCGCCAAACGTAAACCGTGCGCCGGTCGTTATTATGGAGCCTCGTTGTTTATTTATCCACGACCTTGAGACAGGTCTCGCAACGAACCACTCGATTTTGGGCGATGCGCCTTTAAAACTGTACCCTGGGTTTAAACGAAATTGTACGGTACAGTTTGAAGGCGCGTCAGCGAGCAAACTCGAATCGATCCGTTCGTGGTCGAAGCAAGACGAATCATCACGTGCCCCCGCGGGTTCCTATCAGAATGTCTACCTTCTTCTACAATTTGAGTATCGGACGGCAAATGTGATAAGAGCGGGTGTCCAGCGGGTTCAGAATGTTGTCACCACATTCTTGACTCGCACAATATCGGAAGATCAGGACAGAAAAAGAATTGCTGAATCGGAAATTGGCATCGGACTTATTGGCGTCTTTTTTGAAGTACTGTACGTATCAAAGTTCTGAAATATATTGACACTATTTGTACTTATCGTGATCATTGAAACATTGAAACACGAAAACAAGTAAAAAAAAAAAGATCATTTGGTTTTTTCAATATTTCACGCCCAGCTACTACCCAGCTTTTGTACTTGTACTGTTTTGTTCCCCCACACAAACACACGTTTTTTAATCAATCTCGGGCGATCCAGTTTCCGAACAAAGAGCAGTTTGGGTCGTTTAATGTAAAACACGTGAAAATACGGCGAGGTACCGAAATCGGAAAGTTTAAAGGCACAGAGAGTGTTGCAGGACTGTACTGTAGCTGAAAACTGAAACTTTTTGACACTGAACTTCGCCGCGACAAACCAAACTGATTCAATGATTTCCGAACTTGTAGAGAACAACCACAACTGATACATTATATTAGTTTTCTCGGAGACAAGTACGATTCTGTTTTGATGATCATTCGATCTTCAGACAAAAACAGGACGGAGGAGGGAGATGACGTACCTGACCCTTTGGAGACAAAAGTATGATGTCTGAAAATGGTATAAATAGCATCCGACGATCCAAGATTGCAGAATTTATCTGTCATCTCGTTATGTGAGATCCCTTTGAATATATTGTTGCCTTTCCATTTTTCCCCCAACAAAAATGCGTCATCGTTTGTGTTTCACGTGCCCCCCTTCTTCTTTTTTAATAACCTCGATAAGGTTGTCGCGGAAAAAGTGACCAATTGCCTGGAATTGGCTGAAACTCGATCTGTTCGGACGAAAAGATGCAAAGAGCAACACGTGGCAGCCCAAAATATACCATTTTTTCTGCGTTGCTGGAACAGAACTTTGCCGAATAGCCATTATAGAGTCAGAATTTCGGAGAAGAACTCATTGAAATGCGCAACTCATCCGCCCCGATTCTATCTGTCACTTTTTCATCCCGAAGACTTATAAAACACAACTCTATTCCTCACTTCAATCGCGTTTCAGACTAGTGCCCTTGATTTATGGTTTTGTCGCTGAAAAAGTGTGAGTTTTAGCGTGACCTACTGACCTACTTCAATTGACCCACTAACGCATGACCTGACAATCAAACTTCTCAACCGAATTAAACGGCACTAAAGTTCACTTTCACTTTGCACTTTATGCCGATGTCTGCAAAGAAATTGAGCGCTTACAAAATATTCGACTAATCTTTCACTCACTGACGTAACGTTCTCGCCAAAAAATCACATAAACATAGATCAAAAGCTCAGAAAAAGACCCGTCCGCTTATCGGCCGATTCGGCAAGGAATTCGAAGAAGCGGTGTGCTCCGAACCGCCAGCATTCACGTGAATTTTCAACTATAATCGGATCCGAAGCAAAATGGGCCATCGATTTGGGTGGTGTAATGGTAGTTCGAGATGTCTGTTTTGACGGTCGTGATCAGCGATAATGTTCATTCTTTATTCGAATGGGGGAAAACGGGCCTCATTAGTCTTCTTTCTATGGGAACCAATTCGAGAGGGGTTCGGTAGCAGTCTCTTTAAAAGCGCATGACACAAAAATTATGCTTTTCGCTCCGTGGCCTAACTCGATTCCTAGGCCACCAGACTGTATAGCGAGACACTCCCTCTCCATCTTTTGATCTTGCTGACGTTGAGTGACCAGAAAACACGAATCACCCATTCCAGCCCATTATGAGGGTGTAATTAAACCCTGGCACTGATGTTTGTTAGAGGAGAAAATAACGAACGAAAAAAAAGGAGGAAAAGCTGAAATTGTCACCAAACATCTGCCACTTTTCGATCATTTGATCACGATACTTCGCACCCTCTCTCGTTCAGAACACATTCAATTGCTCGCCGATAAAAAGACCACGCGCGCCCGCGTCTGGCATTCTTAACAGTCGCCACGCCCACACGAGAGACACTGATACCCCACCCAAGGTGATTTTAGGAAAAGGGGATGTTCAGCATCTACCCTGAGACCGTGCTTGAAGAAGCAGTAAATTAATTTGCGCATTTTTCAACCTTTGTGCAGAATGACAGTGGTTTCGGACTCAAACGGCTCTACCGGTCTTAAAAATGATTTTGAGACTCTATGTAAGAATATTAATAATTTTGGAATACGTTTACTGTCCCTTTAAATTCATGAATCTTCAAGTAGCTCGTCTGATAAATTCACAAGAGTTTGAACCCACTTGAAAAGTTCAATAGTCTCCATATTTACTCTTCAACTCATATACCACTAAAACCAATAAAAACGGAGATCATAGTATCAACGATTAAGTTCCGCTCTAATCAAATTAACGAAACGTTTTGTTCCTTCCGTTCGGACCTCACGTCATTCGTTCAGTTGTAGAACCACATATTTTCTTGCAGGACTTCCAAAATTGCGATCCCATTGTGTTTTGTGCATTCCGAGCTGCTCGCCTCGCGTCGACCATGAAATGGCTGGAGAAGTTGCGTCGGAAAACGGTGTCGGCGTTCGGAGATGAAAGCAACGTAGCGGACAAAGTGACTCCGAAAATGCGTCGATCCCTGTGTCTTATGGTGAGTTACTGTACTGAAACATCTACATCTCCCTTTGTTTGTGAACTTCAAGCGAATATTGTAGAGTCTAGAGACGTTCTACAGATTTTTAGAAATTTTTCTGTAAAATCCTCATACATAGACTATATGTAAGTAACATAGTACTTTATTTTTGCAATTGACAACTTTTTTCTAGAACGACTCCCCGAAGTACTGCAGCTGTGCGAAATGGCAAGAGCTCTCGGCAAGCCCTAAATTGGAAGAGCTACAGTACTCTAGGGAGTGACGGTACTGAAAAGTTGTTAATTACAAAATTGAAGCTCTTGTCGAGTACTGTATTTGTTCAGTTGATTATTTTTTCTACAACCACTTCTAAGAGTACTGTAGGCCCTGGAAGTTGTCCCAATTTCCAAAGGCTTCTCAACTCTGCAATATTCATTTGAAGTTGACGCATTAGAAAATGACAGTTGAACCCGGAGGAAAAGCTGCTGAATTGTACCTTTAAGTAGCTACAACTTTGTTGCAGTTCAAATTCGCAAAGTCATCAGATGTCACATTCATAATAACAGCGTTAATCTGTGCATTATTGGGCGGTACAATCCAGCCGACAGTACTATTAATCGGAGGATGGATTACTGATTTATACTTAACTAATGGAACTGTAAGTTTTTAAATACATTGCAGATTCAATTTTTCCCTGTTCAGACAGTGGGCGATGACGAGTTCTTGCACTCGGTCCTTTCGCTCATTTACGCGGGCCTCGGCTTTGGCGTCATTATTCTCGTGCTCGCGCTAATTCAGGGAATCTGCATTCAACGTGGCACCCGTAGAATTCTCGATAATCTTCGCAAAGAGTTTTTGGGCGCCGTGCTGCGGCAAGACGCGAATTGGCTCGATAAGAACTCGTCTGGCAGCATCACTTGCCAGCTGAATGAGTGAGTCGCGTGGCCCCCTTATCATGGAACTTCACAAATAGACTCTCAAGTCACAGGAAAAACACGAACAGCGAAGAATCACTGAAGGAAGTTCGCTTCCCGCTCTTTCCGTTCACGTCGCTCATTGTTTCCCGTTTTATTCGAGTCTTAGCCTTTTTTCACTTGAACCAAGGGTAAAAGAGTACGTCGATGTGATGGTTCAAATTAAAATTATCGGAAAATTGAGAACAAATCCAAGTAGTCAAAGGACATGAATGATATCGCAGTGTTTTGTCTTTGCAGTCAGAATAATTCACCCAGTTGAGTAATATGCATTTTCGCTCCAAGTTCAAGTAATCGGACAGTGATTCCTCAGTTCTTTGCGTCCCCTTCAGTGACTGTTCACTGGCAGATTACTGGTTTTTGGCTAATCAGCGTCTGCTCGGTGATCGCTCGATAATTCCCGAGTGTTGCCGTTTTTCCTGTGGTATACAAGTCATCCTTTTTGCCCAGGGCACGCGAAAGTGCGCAAGTTCGAATTCCAGCCTGTACAGAAATCTTTTGCAATCGTAATCTATTGTTTTCAGGAACGTAGAAGTAATCTCGGACGGTCTGGGCAACAAGTGCTGTATGTTGGTGCGCGGATTCGCCATGTTCACCTCGTCGATCATCGCTTGCGCATTCATAAACTGGCAACTCACCTTCATCACTTTCACAATGGGCCCAGTCTCCGCTTTCGTTCTTCATCTACTCACAAAAGTACGCATCCGGATCGGAGCTTTCCGGTCGAAAATTTACATTCCAGGTGAACGAAACGACGAACGAGGAGCTCATGTCCCTGTCGGCCCAATCGCATTCGATTATCGAAGAGTCGGTGCTGAATGTGCGAACGGTGCAGGCGTGCAACGGACAGCAATTCATGATAAACGTGAGTTTTAGGCCTAAACTATTATCAATTGTCCAAGTAAATGTTCAGAAGTTCAAAAGAGTGAACGAGTCGATCAAGAAATACTACAACAAGAGCACATTCTGGGCCGGCTTCTTCGATGGACTCGCTCTTTTCGTCATCTATTTTATCACCGGAATTTCGCTTTTGTAAGTTTAGGTAATCAGGTCACGCCACGGAAAACCATGTCGGGTAGGTGTCACCCGTGGTTCCGTTGCCTCTTTAAATAATTTCTCTCCAAATTTGTGTCCTTGGACCCGGAAGATACACAATAACGGAAGTAACCACAAACGCGCCAACAACAGGCGACTGACGCATTTGTAGTGCAAAAGGGCGCCAAACGAATTTGTCATTGTTTTTTAGGCGGTCTGTAGGTCACGTTTTTTTAGGCGGTCTGTAGGCCACCTTTTTGGCGGTCTGTAGGTCACGTTTTTGGCGGTCTGTAGGTCACGTTATCATCTTTAATTTTTGAAGCTTCGGGTGTCGCCTATACTTTGATGGAGAAATCAAAAAAGCCGGCGATGTGATCCTAGTGGTCAACACAGTCTGTGTCACCGGTTACTTCCTCGGCCTTTTGGGTCCTCACATGTCATCCCTTCAACGGGCCGCCACGTCATTCCAACTCTTGCACGACGTCATCAAATCGGCGCCAAAGTCCGAGGGAAAAGAGGGAGAGACGAAAGTGACAGCGACCTCCGGACACATTGAATTCAGGAATGTTCGATTCAAGTACTCGTCGAGGGATAAAGACGTGCTACAGGTTTTTGTACAAAATTGATAATAACCTTAGTATATTTTTAGGGGCTTTCATTTGAAGTGCTGCCCGGTCAAACTGTCGCTCTTGTCGGCACTTCTGGATGCGGCAAAAGCACTTCCATCGGATTGCTCACAAAACTTTACCGAGCGACAGAGGGAGAAATTCTGATAGACGGCCAGAACATCGATATGCTCGACGCCCGGACTCTCCGCCAACAAATCGGAATCGTGCAGCAGGAGCCGAAACTTTTCGACGGCACGATAGTGGATAATATCCGGCTGGGAAGGCAAGTGGACGACGAGACGGTCCAATCGGCGACGGACATTGCGAACGCATCGGATTTCATTGAAAAGTTAGATAAGGGCTTCGAAACGAAGTTGGGAGCGGGCGGCGTACAACTTTCCGGAGGCCAGAAACAGAGAATTTGCATCAGCAGAGCGCTCGTCACCTCGCCATCGATCCTACTTTTGGATGAGGCCACCAGTGCGCTCGACGCGCACAACGAACATATTGTAAATGTGAGTTTCTAGTTTTTTTTGTTGTGGAAAAACCCAAACTTCTTTTCAGAAAGCCCTAAACAAAGCCTCGGTCGGCCGAACAACAATCATAATCGCGCACCGACTGAGCAGTCTCAAAAACGTAGATCGTATATATGTACTCGATCAGGGAAAGACGAAAGAAATCGGAACACACGATCAGCTGATCGAACTCGGAGGGATATATGCGAAATTGGCAAAGAGCCAGGAAATAGAGCAGAGTTCGAAGAAGGATTGGGAGCGGGAAGAGTTGCGGCGCGCGGAGAAGATGAAGAAAAAGAGCAGGAATGTGGAGAACTACGAGCCGAATTCCACGATTCTGCAAGAGCACGAGCACAATTTGGTGGGATCGGTTATCGCCGAAAATCATGAGAGCATCTCGTTCACGGGCATCGCGAAACTCATGCACTATCTGCCGAAACATCCGAAAATGCTCACACTCATCATTGTGCTCTCGATTCCACGTGCCATCGAGTTGTGCTCCTACGGACTCGGAATGTCGTTCGCCTTCAATACTCTCCAGAGAAGCAAGGACGACTACATGACGTGGAATTGGATCACACTCGGCGAACAGACACTCGCCGGCCTCACCTTCTGGGTACTTCAGGCTCTCCTGGTACAATTTTTTTTCCTTTTTACTTTACTGGATATTTGGATTATGGTTTAATTGTAGATGTACCTGTGTGGTTGGATCGCGAACGACGTGATGAACGAGGTGAAAGAGTCGATGCTGAAGGAGGTCCTTCACAAACCGATACCGTATTTTGATAACCCGGAGACTTCGCCGTCCGCTTGTGTCTCCAGGATCGTATCCCACGCACATAATTGCTATGCTGTAAGTCAACTAGGTCAACAATCACCAATGATTTACAAGTACCCAGTGCCTCGACCACCGTGCGATCCGGTTCGTTTGGTTTGTCGCCGGCACCATCTTCTCGCTGCTCCTCGCGTTCCCGTTCGTCTGGGAGCTCGGCATGCTCGGTCTCGGCATCACCATCCTCCTCACCCTCTTCTCGATGCATTTCGTCAGCGTCGCCCACAAAGCGCACAGCGACAAGTCGGCACAGGACCGGAGCGGCGAGTTTGCCGTGGAGGTTGTCGAACAGATCCGGGCGATCAAGTTGTTGGCCGTCGAGGGATACTTTGAGAAGCGCTTCGCCGAGTACCTGAGCACGGCGGAAGTGTATGAGAATAAAGTAGGTTCTAGGTCTTATGATTACATTGAATACTTTGTATTTTTAGATCGGCTTCCTCTCCTCGCTGAACTTCGCCGTCACCCAATCCTACGTGTTCGCCTGCGACATGCTCCTCTTCTACGTCGGCACCCTTCTAATCTACCACGGACGCTACACCCCCGACAAGATCTTCCTCGCGTTCAACGGCGCGCAAATGTCCGCCTGGGGCGTCATGTACTTCTCGCCGTGGTTCCCGGAGATCATCCGCGGATCCGCCTCCGCCAACCAGATATTCTCATTCTTCGACAACAAGTGCCACGTGTCGGGCGACGCGAAGCCGGACATCAACGGAAGTGTGCACGTGGAAGACGTCAAGTTCGCCTACCCGTCTACGCCGCATCGCAATGTCTGCGAGGGACTGTCCATCGAGGCGCCCAAAGGCAATTCGATCGCGTTGGTTGGAGCGTCCGGGTGCGGAAAGAGCACGATCATCGCTATGCTCGAGAGGTTCTACGAGACAAAATCCGGAAAAATTGTTAGAAAATTGTAATTTTATTTAATATAGTATATTAATCTTTCAGGAAATCGACGGGAAGAGCATCGAGGATATCGAAGTGAACCACCTACGTCAGAACATTTCGGTAGTGGGCCAGGAGCCCATACTCTTCAATGCGACAATCCAAGAAAACATAACAATTGGCATGGAAAACGTGCCGCTGTCCGAAGTGCAAAATGCGTGTAAAGTTGCGAACGCAGCAAGTTTCATCGAAAATTTCCCAATGGGATACGAAACGATAGTCGGAGAGGGCGGAGGATCGCTTTCCGGAGGCCAGAAACAGAGGATCGCAATCGCGAGGGCCATCATTCGAAAACCGAAAATTTTACTTTTGGACGAAGCGACGAGCGCCTTAGACGCGCAATCTGAAGAGATTGTACAGAAGGCGTTGAGATCGGCGACCGAGGGACGAACGAGTATTATAGTGGCTCACCGGCTGAGCACCGTTCAACACTGTAATATGTAAGTGAACATTTAAACTTGTTTACTTTGAACTTTTTATGTCACTTCAGGATCTACTACATATCCCGTGGCGCGGTGGCCGAGTGTGGAACGCACGCTCAATTGGTCGATCTCAACAAGAAATATGCTAGACTGGTGGCCGCGCAGAGCTTGAATTAAACTGTTTTATTCTAGAATTTGATAGAATATAAGAGAAAGCTCACTTTCTTTCGGGGCTGTTAATATTGTTTTGATGATGTGAATTTGTAATATAGTTTTTTTTTTGTTTTTTGTCTATATTGTTGTTTGACACTAACTGCGCCAAAACGTCTCAAATTAAAGTGAGGCTCAATCAGATATTTTCGATTCGCAACATTTTCACGTCTCCATTTCAATTCACAAAAGGTCACCTCAACTTACAGTAAGATTGGCGTGACCCTTTTCTCGATATGCGTTTTCAAAAAGAGACTATTTCTCGAAGACAATTCGACAATAGCGGTTGCTCAGTGAGCTCTAATTGGTGAGGCACCAACGGCGACGTTCGCAATCGAGTTTGCAGAGAAACAAGAGAAGAGGAATCTGAAAATGGCTGACGACAACGTCTCGTTCACGGACGCCGGCGACCAAACGGGCGCGCAGAACAAGGGCGGCAACTCGTCGGCGATGCTCGATTTGCTCGGATCGCTCAACAAGAAGGACGATAAACCGGGGAAGAAGGGCAAGAAGGAGAAGAAGTCGGGCAAAAAGGAGAAGAAGGGAAAAACCAAGAAGGTGCGAAAGGCGGACAAGTACGAGTCGCAGAACTTCCTCTTCCGCATCGAGGGCACCATCTTTTGCGCCGGAATCAGTAAGTCACCCGGGCCAGCTACTATCATACACCATTCCGTTGCAGTTATCGGAATCATCGTGGTCATCGTGTTCGTCGTCGCCGCCATCGTATTCGGAGTGATGACCAACGGAAATCTCGTGTCGTACATGCAACCGTTGTGGGGCTCCACCGACGAAAACACGGACGACAGCGGAACCGCCTAGAAGCGAAAAGCCACGTGACGGCGAAAAAAGAAGAGCACTATGACAAGTCGGCATATTTGAGAATAAATGGATTTTTGTGTAATTTTTCTTGTTTTGCCGTAGTCCCTTACTCGGCACACCCATAACTTTGCGACTTATAAAAGTTTGTCGTTCTCAAACCGAAATATTTAAAAGTATTTATAATTTCCACGTGGCAAACTACCTCTGCCCTACTTTTTTCTTTTTTTCCCTCAAAAGGTCAGTAGAACATCTTGATAAAAATCGCATAAATAGTGGATGCTGCGCCGGAAGCTCTTCAGTGTGAGACTTCTTCGAATCATCGTCAAGTCACCGATTCTCAACCAACTCAAGCGATGGCCGTGGAAATGATCGTCGAGCCGAAGTGGGTTGTGCAGAACTTTGGAAACGTGCGCATCCTCGACGCCTCGTGGACGTTCAAGCCGAAGCCCGACATTGCCGAATACAAGGCCAAGTACTTCAACAAGTTTGGTGTGGCGATGAACGAGCTGAAGAACCAGGACTATCTGGCGGAACACGTGAACGGCGCCGCCCATTTTAACTTTGACATTGCCTACTATCCGACGGAAGAGGAGCGCTTCACGCTCTATGACCCGGAGATGTTCTCGGCGTACGTGAAGCGTCTCGGCGTCTTCAACGGCGACCACGTCATTATCTACGCGCGCGGGAAGGACGGTGGAATGCCGGCCGCCGCCAGAGCCTACTGGACTTTTAGAGTGAGCTTTTCGACTCGGATTCGGAATTGATCACTGTTCTTTTTTCAGTACTACGGCTACACGACGGTGTCTGTGCTGAATGGAGGTCTGGAGGCGTTCAAGCTCGCGCAGGGAGTAGTTCAATCCGGTGAGAGCATGATCTCGTCCGGTAACTTCGAGGTCAAGGGCACCGACGTCAGCATCCTGGCCAAGTTGGCGGACATTCCGTTCGACAACCTCGCTTCGATCAAGTACCTAGACGCCCGTGTTAAGGAGGAGTTCACCGGCAAGACGCCCATCGGATATCCGGACTCGAAGGCCGAGGGAGTGCGCTGCAAGGACGCCATCAGCTTCCCGATTTCGGAGATTTGCGGAGCCAAGGGCTACAAGAAGAAGGTGGATTGTGATCAAGGTTAGACCGTTTTTAGACGATTGGAACCCAACTCAATCTGAAGTTTCAGCGTTCGCCGCCAAGGGCATCAAGGTCGGAGACACTGTCGTGATTGCCTGCGGCATTGGAATCTCGGCGTCGGCCGTTTGGCTCGCTGCGGCCCGTTCCGGCATTGTGGCCAAGGTGTACAATGGAGGAGTTCACGAGTTGGCCAACAAGGCTCCGCAGCACCTGAACACGAAAGGATGATTGCCGCCCACGCACCCGCCTGCTTCATTTTCAAGTCGCTGACAGTGATGCCCGTTTGGGCGCCTTCTCTCTTTCGTTTTCATCATAAAAGTTTTTTGATGATATTTGTGTGTTGCTTGTAATGGTCCGTCTACCTACCAACCAGACTTGCCAGATTTCGGGCCGGCCATGCGGGCCGGGTCGGTGAAGTGCCGGCCCGGTCGGCCCGGTTCAAAAGGCGGGAATTCAAATTTTCGCGGAAATTTTTTTTTCGTTATTACAAAAAAAATTTTCGAACTAAAGTTTTAGTGTTTCTTCTTTGTTTTTTTGCTATTATGAATTTTTTATGAGAAATACATTTGTTTTTCAATGTTCGATGCTTGCAAAAAACCCCTAATTCTACAAAAAATGGCTTCATGCGATCAATAATTCAAATTTTGAATTCCCGCTTTTTGAACCGGGCGGGGCCGGGCCGGGCCGGAGTTTTGGCAATTTCGGCCCGGCCCGGCCCGTGGCAACTATGCTACCAACAATGAAATATTGATTAAAAATTGGGCCTTAAGACCTTGAAATCACAAAAATGCATTTTTCGATTTATCTGGTTTTGCTTGCCAAATTTGTACTGTGTTCGAAACAACATCGGAGATCAATCATATGCCGCCTCGAGACTGTTATCAACACTTTTCCTTTTTTAATAAAAAAAAACCTATAAAAATAAAAGTTGTCCCTCTTCGTCTTCCTTGGCAACTTTCTCATTTTCAACTTTCAACTTTTATAGCTGTAATTTCCATTTACAGTTGTCTAGAATAAAAGGAAAAAACAAGTATCGCTTTTACACTAGTCTCCCCCTCAAAAAAAAACCGTAAAAGCGCGACCAAACATTGCCAATAAGAGGCCCATTTTAAGTGTCGGACATATAAATGAGAAAAGAAAACATTTGGGGAGAAGATCTCTCGCTTGTTTCATTCTCCCAGATCACAAACGGTCAAACAGTATCATCGTGTCATTTCGCCAGTTGTCAAAATTTTGTTTCATCTCATCAATCAACAATTATCATCCGCTTCAGACTCTGTTTCGGGGTGGGGACGCGAAATGGCCGCTACTCAGCAGTCGAACACTCAGAAGAGCGTCATGTATCGCATACCGTCCGAGCGCACTCGTAAGTTCCCTTTTTTGAGTCGATTTTTCATTGAAAACCAACCCGTATTGCGTCTTTAAAATTGGGCTACAGTGACCAAGTTTAAAGGCGCAGCACACTGGTTTTCGAGAGGATTTGCATCGATTTTTTGGTTGAAAACCGAGCTGCGCCTCAACCGAGTTTAAAGGCGCATGGTGTACATACAAAACCGTTTTTCAGTGGATCACCTGCACGAGATGATCGGGTCCCGAATGTCGAAAATGTCGCTGAAAAGCACGCTACGCGGCATTTCGAATCCGTACGAGCGTGACGAAAACGAGGGAAGCGATGACAAAGTGTTCGATCTGTTCAAGATTCCGAACAAGAACGAGGCGTCGATCGGAAAACTGCTCACTGTGCTCCGTCAACTGGGACTCCGCGACGACGATCCGCGCCTAGTTCCGATGATGGAAAAGATTCGGGAATTTGAGAATATCGCCGAGGAGAAGTGCAGCGAGGCGACGGAGCAAAAGCACTGGAAGCTGAGCAAGCAGCAGTTCAAAGAGTGCATCGCGCCGAGCATCGACATTGTCTCGCGCGCCCTGCAGACCGACCTGGTCATTCCGAACTGGCTGGCGTTTGTGGAGAAGATGAGGAATCTGTTCAACGAGTGCAAAGAGATCCGCGACGGTCAGGTGGCCACCTACATTCCTCAGTTGGCCAGGCAGTCTCCCGATCTGTGGGCCGTCTCGTTGTGCACCGTCGACGGACAGAGGGTACGTTTCGATCTTTCCCTCACAACAACAACACCGAAGATCACATTTTGGTCGTCTCTCTCTCTCTCTCTCTCTCTCTGTCTCGGTTGTTAAATACGACACACTTTTATGATAGTGCTGGTTGGAAAGAATTTTGGTCTCCAACGTCATCTGATTGGCGGAATCGCCACGAAACACTGTTCAACTTACAGGCGTCTTTCGGAGACGTCAAGCACCATTTCTGTGTGCAGTCCGTCTCGAAGGCCTTCAACTATGCGATCGTCGCTTCTGACCTCGGCGCAGACGTCGTTCATTCTTATGTGGGACAAGAGCCCAGCGGACGACTTTTCAACGAGATCTGCTTGGATTCCAAAAGTACACTCATTTCATAACCTTCCAGAATGATCTCAAAGTTTCAGACAAACCACACAATCCGATGGTGAACTCGGGAGCGATAGTGATAACTTCGTTGATAAAAAACAAGGACAACATGGCGGATCGGTTCGATTACGTGCTGAACCAGTACAGAAAGATTGCCGGAAACGAGTACATCGGCTTCAACAATGCCACGTTTCTTTCGGAACGATCCACCGCCGATCGGAACTACGCTCTTTCGTACTTTATGAAGGAGAACCGATGCTTTCCAAGAGAGGTAAATAGTTTGCAATCAGTAAGTTTCTAGTCAAACTGCTTCTCTACAGACCGAATCCCTGACGGACGCCCTTGATTTCTACTTCCAACTGTGTTCCGTGGAGGTGACGTGTGAGTCGCTGGCCGTGATGGCGTCCACACTTGCGAACGGAGGTGTGTGCCCGATCACCAACGAGACTTGCGTCGATCCGAATCCGTGCAGAGACGTGCTATCGCTCATGTACTCGTGCGGAATGTACGACGCTTCCGGACAGTTCTCGTTTAACGTGAGTCACTGATGTCCGACTGGTTGCAATCAGGAGACGATAGTTGTTTAGGTCGGACTGCCGGCCAAGTCGGGCGTGAGTGGAGCGATGATAGTGGTCGTGCCGAATGTGATGGGCATCTGTCTGTTCTCGCCGCCACTGGATTCGCTGGGCAACAGTCGCCGAGGAGTTTCGTTCTGCAAGAAGTTGGTCAACACGTTCAACTTCCACAACTACGATTGTCTTGTACACAACGCAAACAGCAAAGCGGATCCGAGAAGGTCAGCTTGTACACATAAAATATCAGTACACTTTCACAGAGAAGCTCAACTTTTCTTGAAAAGAAGACCATTCGAGCATTAAGTTGCATTAAGTTATCTTCAGAAACCTTTCGATGCTAGCTAGCACGTGTTCATAACTGCTCACTTTCCAGAAGAGACATCCGCGAACGGGACTATCTGATTCCGGTGTTCCATGTGGCACGCGGCGGCGATCTGCCCACCATGCGCCGTCTTTACATGCAGGGCGAGGACCTGAACGCGTCAGATCACGACGATCGGACAGTGCTGCACATCGCCGCCACCGAGGGATACGAGACGATGATCAAGTTCCTCGTGAACGTGGCCAAAGTCGACGTGGACAAGAAGGACCGCTGGGGACGGACGCCGCTAGACGAGGCGAAGCACTTCAAGCACGACCACGTGGCACGGTTTCTCGAGAAGGCGATGAAGCGGCCCGAGCACCGGCGCCACGATTCGGTCTCTTCGTTGGACTCGGACGACGAGATGGACGACGACGGTTTTCCAGAGAAGCCCACGTTTAGCATCGAATAGCTTTTTCAATGTCTTCAAGGTATTGGTGGTGGTTCTTTGTATAAAGTTTACATTTTTCGCCATTTTCCGCCAAGTTAAAGCTCTCAAAAGTTGATCTACTGATCCGTTATTATCTGTTCACAAAATACGCATCATCGAAGACGAAACATCAAGCCTGTTTTCTCGTGATTCACATCTCAATCCGCACGTAGTTCACCCTTCCACTTTTTAATGAAAAACAAAAGTGCTAGCGCGTTTCGTTTCAGTCTAATGTTTCCTATTTTCTTATCAGTGTTTCCATAGAACAAGCAAAGTGGTTGTTCACTGATATTACACGAGATGACGTGGCAAATAAGATCATATGCTAGAAAACGAACTATGATATCGTCCTTGATCATGATGCAACCTGAAGACGATTTCGTTGAAGTTCCCCTCGGGTCTAGTTGGATATAATTCGAGCTCTGAACGTCAGTTTTTGAATCAACAACGCTTTCACATGATTTCCTCCTCTTTTCCACTTTTGTTTGTCCTCTATTTTCTCTTTTTCCTCCCCCATTCTCCCGTTCTTTGATCCTCTCTTTCTCCACTTGCACAAATGGTTTTGCAACTTTCTTTCGGGTATTCGAAATTCGAAATTCGCATTTCAGGCTTCATTGGTCATCCAATTAGTTCGGCTTCTTTTTGTTTGAAAGGGAAGGGGGGAACCGGTATGGTATAAAAGAGGTGACAGATATTGTCGGTTCACAAAATGAACTGTGTCATTCTGTTCACCACCGACTTTACATCGTTTCAACGCTCCTCTCAAACTTTACCACTATGAACATAGCCTATTTCTAACTCGTTTTTACTTACTTGCTAAGGTATACAACCTAATTTATATTGCCAACTTTTTTAGAGTCAACCCTTATTGTGGAACCTAGAAAGGTTTTGAGAATCAGTCTGTTATACCAAAACCACAATACCGTTTATTTAGGATAATATATCTCAGCTGCCGCTAGAGATGTCAAAGAATTAAGTTGATGCGTTTTTTTTTGAGATACATCGATTTGAATGGAAAATTCACACGCTAACCGACTCTAGACGTGCAAAATTGTTTAACAGCTCACTGTAGAAATGAGACCCGCCGTAGTAAAGTGTTTCAATGCCACAAAGTCTCGAATACGCTCTTCCCGTGTTATCACTCTCCACCACCTCGAAAGTTCCAATTGTTATTGTGTGCGTTGGTAATGCGAATGTTTTCGATTGTCTCGATTCCAACAGTTGTCCTCCTCTTTTTCTTCTTTTTTCTCTCTTTGTCCGCCCCCTTCTGCTCTCGTGCCATCTGCGTCTCTCGGTTCTCGTCTGTCCCGATGGCTCTTGTTTTTCACTCTTCTCCCACCGCGCGCCCAATAAGTTTTTCCTCGATTTCGATTCCGATTTCCAACTTGCAATTCTTCAGTCCGAAATGTCACGTAATCGGTGTCGGTGTGCACGTCTTCCGGTCGTTCGGACTCATCCATCAGAAGACGGACTGCCGCAGTTGCCCGATGAAATTATCGAAATGATTGTGGCCAGCGTACTTCCATCCGAGGTGTGTTTACCGCAGAATGTGTTGACTGCTTTAGATGACTGCAATTCAAACATCACTCACTTTTCAGATTGTTGCCTACGGTTGGGATCGGGTCAGCCGTTCGTTCTCCACATTTGTCCATCGTCATTTGTGCGCTCGCACCTACTTTTGTGCCCTGCATGACCCGCTTTGGGAGCTGTACAAGGCAACCAGTTTGGGATACGGTATGATACATCAGCTTTAAATACACGTTTAACAAAAAACAAATTCAGATCCGGCGAAATTCGACAAGCTCCTCGTGCTGCTCATCAAAAAGTACTTGTGTCAAGTGGAAGATATCGTCCTGCCGGTCGCCCTCTTCTCGTACAGTAAGCACCTAGATGACGTTCCATGATACAACGAACCATTTGTTCATTTTAGTCCAACACCTTCTCCAACGTCATCCGCACGTGGCGGCGACAAGCGGCACCGCCTGTAATTTCCGTTTTCCGCAGCCGGGCGTCGCGTTCACCAACCTCTCGAAACTGACGATTCAGGTCGGCGGCGAGTGCGGAGGCCTCACGCTCTCCCACAATTTCGAGAACCTCCAAACGTCTTCTTCGCTGTGCAAAACGCTCGCCGAGATCAATTTGGACCTGCTGCTGTCGGACAACGAGAATGTGACGTGTGCGGGCTTCCGCGAGTTGCTCCGCTTTCTCAAGGAGATCTCGTGCAACTCGACGCTCTGGAACGTTCGGCTGAGCGACGACACGACGTCGGGACAGGGATGGTCAGGACCGGCGAATCTGAACAGATATCGCAACAAGATGTTCATTTGTTACATTCGCACAATGCTCGATCTGTCGCTCTCGATCAATCAGCTCGAGTTGATGGACAAACGGAAGGCTTCTCCGTACATGCTGGTCATGGCTCACGGGCGAAGGACTGTCTATATGTTCCCTGAGTTTAAGGTGCGTTTTGATCATTTTTTTGTTGAATCTAGTCAAAAAATTTTCAGCGATGTCGCAGTCTAGTAATCTGCTACGACATCGGCCTCATCGCTCCGTCGTTCAGCCACGAAAACGATCGGTTCGACGATCTCGTGCGCTTCGAGGTTTGTACCCGTTATCAAGACTACCTAAAAAAAATAGAAGTTTAGGTGGCCGAGTCGCACGTTTTGTACAAAGCCGACCTTCTCGAATATCTGAAGACGGCACACAAGCTGCGCGAGGTCAAAGTCGTCATTCCGGCGACTTTCCAGTCGAGAGTCTCCCGCTGTACCCTCGGATGTTTCGCCAACCCGGATTTTGCTTGTTTCAGGTGCGTGCATCACGCAAACTTTAACTTTCAAATAAATATATTTATTTACAGAGCCGATGGCTGGTGCAGCCTGCCAGCAAAGCTTCCGGGGGCTCATTTTCAAATTGTCGAGAACGTCGCTCCGGCCGTCCACGTGGCATAAACTCTGTAAAAACGAACACGCACTCAACTTGTACACACTTTAATGGTCTTGTATAATAACACAAATGATGAGATGAGGCGACGGAGAACAGGTTCGGTCCTCCCAACCACGGGCGGCAGGGGACACCTCTCTTTCTCTGCCGCGGCGCCCAAGTTACACTGTTCTTCTGCTGTTCGATGACTGAATAATAGCAGTAGTAGTTTGTCCTTTTTCCCCCCCAGTTGATTCATTGTTCATACTTTATTTTTTATTTACCTACGGCTATATATATATATAACGTGACGAATAATAAAGCGTGTACATCTACAATTGTTTTTGGAGTGTTGGCATCCGCCTTTAAATCTACAGTATCTCAAGGCTTGCAATCGAGCGGGAATTTTTGGATTTTTGAAGGAAACTGTCAGTTTTCTCGTAAATTTTTTAGCTCGGTTCAATTCTATTATTTATTATTGCCGTTGTTTTCTTTCTAGCATTTGTCGAAACATTCAAAGTTTTTTTTGTAAATGTCCAATTCCTAATTTCACATTTTTACAGGGAAAAAATCTAGTCAGAGTAATTTTAAAGCTTTCTCTTTAACCTCATTTTTTTGGCAGCCTGTTTCCGTTTCCAAAAGCATCGCAGACCCGCAAAATTTCGTCAAAACAATGCATGCGCCTTTGAATCGATCGTAACCCTTATTGGCGGGAAAGCTTGCATTTTTTGAGTTTTTCCGTCTCGCTTCCGAACGATTTTTCACAATTCCTCCCGTTTTCTGTCACATTTTTTCGTACTCGGCTCACGAAAGTTTATCCATACTTGTCGCTTGCCAGTCCGCCCGGGTTCTAGAACTGAATGATCTGAAAAAGCCGGGGCCCATTTTCGACAAGTCTGATTTAAACCGTGCCCCAACTTGCACTCTGAATTGTGATTTCTGCGCGCGTGTCGAGAATCCCTCTGAAACGAAGAAGAAGATAACCATCTGCCGTTTTCATCAACCCCACCACACTTTTCCCCTCTTTTTTTGCCTCTTAAAATTTTCTGTCAACAAGTCGTCGACCAGCTGACTTTTCTTCAGCTTCTTCGCTCTTTTTTTTTCCTCGCGTGCCCCGGGTCATCACCATTTTGTTCACTTTGTTACACTTGTATGTACTGCGTGCACAAATGAACAGAAATGAGGGAGGGAGCGGTGTTTGCAAACGAAAGAGAGATGAGCGGAAGCTTAACTTATCAGTGAAGCACAAATACATTGTAGGTACTTTCTCGAGACGAGAAATCTTTGTCTTTGTTTTAACTTGTAAGTCAAGAAGAGAGATCTAGTTTGTACCTGTCATCAGTGAATGTGAGAGCGATATCTCTTTCATTCCAAGTTTGCTCAGGAAAGTTGTACTCTTCCCTCACTGTCTAATGGAAACTTTGCAAAATGAGTGCAAGATAGTTGTCGGTTAGCTAAATTATGCTGTTCCCTTCGTGTTGAGACCCTGCTACAGAAGCGGCATTTCGCTGCATGACCCGTCCACATATGATTGCCGAGCCTTGCCCTTTTTGTTGTGTTGCTTTGCCCTGTTTTCCACAATTCTCCAGCCATCATCATCATAAAGATCTTCATTCCTCTCTTTCTCTCTCTCTCTCCGGAGAGTGATTAGAGAAAGAGAGTGGGAGAGGCGTGCTTCTCTTTCTCTCATTTCGATGGGGACACTACTCGGGGGAAACCCTTCCCGTTATCATCATGATCACATGACAGTCGCCTCCTCTTCGCCTCCTCTTGGAGAGGGGGTTCCCCGTACTGACTGAGAGAATGTGTCTTATCAGTTGACGTCGCTGGTTGTGTCCCGTGGCGCTGAGAGCCTCTCGTTTTCCACTTTTTCTATCTTATTTCTTGTGTCATTGCACTTGAACTTGACTTGAAACTACTGGCCCAAAAAGATTACCTTGATAGATATTGTGTAGTCACACAATTTGTGCGTAGCCTTCAGACGTGAGAACCGCATCGAAACACTAAACTTTTGGCAGTGGTGGTGTGGTTGACCGCTCGTAAAAAGAGTTGATTTTCAGAAGTTCGACGTCGGCGCTGCGCCGACTCGCTTTTTAATCACTTTTTCCCGGTCAAAGCCTTTTTCCGCAAATTGATAATAATTTCTGCAAAAGAGATCATCCGTGTCTGCGTCTCCGAAATGACCACCAGCACATGATGAAGTGCGTGCGGATTCTAATGCAATTTCGAAGACAGTGTCTAGCCACAAGTGTGATGAAATTATATTATTATTAGTATTACCCAATCACAAATAGTTGTAGTAGTATGTATGGTCACATGTAATCAGTGAAAGGGGCTTCCCCCATTCCATGTGATCTCTTCGCACTGTTCTCATGACGTAATCGTTCTTTTTTCGATAGTGATTCGAAAGGGAGAATAAGAGATCGATAAAATTTGTCGGGTTCTTCTCGATTGTTCTCTGAATGGGTCTCGTCGCGATAATGTTCTCGCGGTTAACTAGGGTCTTGTCACGAAGACATTATCAGACTGTTATCACTTTCCACGCTCTTTGAAAAGAGTGATAACGGTTTTAGGAGGCGAAACCTAACAAATTCCATGTTGACCACGTGATTTGGCGGAAAATGGCAACAGTGAGGCCGCCCCGGGTGAGAATGCAAATGCGCTCCGTCGCACCGCCCAATGGGGGACCATTTCGAATCGTTTACGGGCGGACCCTTTTCGCTCGAAACTAGTTCTCGACGGCTACCTTTTTTCTATTTTCATTCGCCCATTCGCCTATTCCCCCATTCCATTCACTCTTTTCACCTCTCCCCCCACTATTTGTTCTCTCATTTTCTATAAATTGCAACCTACTCGTAGAGTTCCACTAAATATTTATTTAGCCCTCCCCCCCTCATTCCACCTCCAACTGGTGCCTCTCCTTCTGTTCGTTATTGTGAGGAAAATGTTTGATTATAGTCGAAAATCATTTTAGATTTCATCTGATATGGATCACAATGTAGACATGACGACGTGCAGCACCTCGGCAATTCCGAGACTTTCCCGGCTGGCCACTGAACGCGTTGCAGAGCTCATTGAGAATGGTGAGTACTTTATTTTACGTGAAAAATTGCGTGGAAATTAGCACCTACGTAAGGTCACATTAAAAACCAGAAATTTGGCTCAAGTTTTCACGTGAACTCCATCAAAGCTCACGTAAATGAAAAACGTGAAATTTGGGTCCTAATCGGACAATATTAATCCCGATTTGCAGATAGTTTGCCAGCGTTCAACCACCAACTCATCGCCTCGTGCAGCAATGACATTTTCGAAGTGTTGCGGCGAAACAAGAAGCTCAATCATCGGACACTGCGGGCCCTGTGCAGCAGCTCTCGATTCCAGATCAATAAGATTGATTTGATGGGCAACAAGGTGGAGCTGGAGGATCTGCAGCTGTGCTCCAATCAGGATCTCGTCTCGTTCCGTCTCGGAGACATTGACTACTTTCCAAGTACGGGTTTTTCAGCGCCACGCGACTATGTGTTTCACGTGGAAAAAATGTGGCAAAAGTTCACGTGAATTGAAATATTTACGTGGCCTTTCTCGAAACCACGTGACGTTTTCACGCAGAATTTTGAAAATTATTGTTTTTGTAGAGGGTCGCATAAAATTTCAACGTTTTCACATGAATTTGCACCTTGTCCCACTCCTATTCAACACGAATTTTTCAGATACTAACAAGATTCAAGTGGCCGAAGTGCTTGACGCGGCGCTCAACCACACGTCCCGCCAGCAGCTCCGTCACCTGGATCTCTCCGGCCGGCATCGAATCACTTCCACGTGGCCCGCCTACGTGGCCAAGTACCTTCCCTCCCTACAAAGTCTCGCGTTTGCCAATCGGAGCACCGCCAACGACACGCTGGCTCAGATCGGTGCCAGCCTTTCGCAACTCAGATTCCTGGACATTTCGAGCACGTGCGTCACCGACATCACGTGCATCTCAAGCCTCCGCAACCTCGAAGTGCTCATCATGTACAATCTGAACATTCTGAAGGGCGACGTCACCGAGACGCTGTCGAATTTGACGAAACTGCGAGTGCTCGACATTTCACGCAAAGTGAACACGGACTACCTCCAGGAGACTTCGCAGGACGCTCATTTGGACCTGGCGCTCGGAATCTACAACCGATCTGTGGAGGCGATCGAAAGCGGAACCGCGACGCCGTGGGCGGAGCTCCGAGCCATAGACATGTCCGGATTGAGCATTGTGCAGTTCGGTACCGATCGGGCACTCGCCTTCGTCGAAAGGATCATTGAGGCACATCCGAAGTTGGAGCAGATCGGATTGTTAGGTAACTTCGAACGTTTTTTGCAATTTTAGTAGTCCAGGAGTTTCAAATCGTATTTCGGTTGTTTTGCACCAAAGTACTGCGAAAACACTATAATGTCCGAAATTCTCAACCCATTTTTTTCAGCCACTCCACTCGACTCTTCGCTCATCGAAATTCCGGGCCGAAGTGATCTGCAAGTGATAAACACAGTGTCGCGTAAATCGGTTCTTTTCGCCCTGTCGCATTACGCGAATCTTGACAGGCCTGCTTTTATTACGCACGCACTGCACTCGGTCTACTATCAGCTGCAATCGGGCTACGACAAGTTCTCGCAGGAGGAGCTGAAAGAGTGTCTGCGGCTCGTTTGTGTCTCGATGCAGAACGGCCTCAGCACGTTGGCCGTGCAGATCGCCGGCAGCGCCTGTCTTTATCACCTTTGCAAGTTAGTTTCAGGTTTCACAGTTTTGCGTTAGAACTCACGCTAAAATAGAAGAAATGTCGCGTGAGAACAAACAAATTAGCAAATTCTTTGCAGAATGAAGAGGATAAAGCGATTGTCGGTGAAGGAAGTGAACGATTGCATCGAACGGTCTCTGGACGCCGCCGAGTGCTACCGAAGCATGACGCAACTGCAGAAGAACGTGTGGCTGACGATCTGCAACGACTACCTCCTCCACCTCGAGGGAATTGACTTCTACCGCACGTGCAAAGTGGCGCTCGACACGATGCTCTCGAATCGGGACGCCAGCGTCGAGCGGATGACCATCGCGATCGTCTCGATTGTGACGCCGAAGATGAGGCCCGTGGACGCGAAGGTGCTGACGATGGACGCCAAGTACGTGAACCATCTCGTGCGCATCATGAACGACTACCTGGAGGCGTACCATCGCGAGTTCCGCAACGGACACGATCGGGACAACGACAATGCGCTGTACACTCTGAAGTTCACGCTCAGTGCGCTCTGGAACCTCACCGACGAGTGCCCGACGACGTGCCGCGCATTCCTGAGCGCCGGCGGAGTCCAGATCGCGTTCCGCATCCTCAAAGCTTTCGATTTCCACGGAAACGTGCAGACAAAAGTACTGGGAATTCTGAACAATCTAGCGGAAGTGGACGATCTGCCGTTGGGCGTGCTCTGCAAACAAGAGTACATTTCGGTGCTCTTGTCGTGCCTCGACGGTCATTTCACCGAGGTCGACTCGAAAGGACGGTACCGCGAGGTGGAGCGCTCGTACTTCGCCGCCGGAATTCTCTCGAATCTTCTAACGACCGCCGACGAGTGGGAGTCGGAGGAGCAGCGCGAGGAGGCGTGCGAGAAGCTGCTCGAGCTCATCGAGGAGTACCCGGAGCTTCCATCAGCCATGGTCTCCTACAAGTCGTTCCTGCCATTCTGCCGCATCGTGCGCACTTCCAAGTCGAACGGAGCGATCATGTGGTGTCTGTGGGGAGTGCATCATGTGCTCCAGCACCGCGAGAAGAACCAGGCGCCCACCTACGAGAAAGGGTTAGTTTTTGACGAGATTTCTAAACTATCTTGTTTTACGTTATCTTTTTCTTGAAAGAAACACGTGAAAATCAGCTTTATTCTTCACGTGTCTTGAGAGACGACGGTTATGTGTTTTTTTACGTGGAAGATCATGTAAATACAGACGACGTTTACGTGTCTAATACGGCTCTTGTCTGCAGGTACATCGACATGTTCCTCGAGTCGGGACTGGCGCCGATGGTGGAGGAGATGGCTCGCGGGCACTCGCAGCACATCCGCAACCTGGACATCCGCGTCGTGCACCTCGCCCGCCGAATCGTCGAAATCGCTTCGAGCGATCCCATGAGTCACTGACCCCCTCTCTATATTTTTAGTCATTTTTGTTGTTTGCTCGCCCCGAAAACTTTTACTGGTCCTCCATTTCCTCATCCAGATCGAAAATCGTTCGCTCGCGCGGGTTCCCTCTAGAATTTCACTTTTCCCCCATATATATATATAGCCCTTCCCCTGTTTGTACCATGTGTAACTGTGAATGTGCTCATTTCTCTGTGGATATTGCATCGGTTGTACTATTTATCCCACACCAACTCACCCAGTCCCCAAATTGACTTCTTCTCATTCCGTTCCCTCATCTTTTCTATGCGGGTAATCCATGGGAGTATCCGCCCCCTCACTCTCTCCAGCATGTACATTTTACTGTGTGAATGAAAGAATGAACCCGTCGAACCTCATTCGATTTCTGGAATTCGTTTTGCCGAATCTACATCTTTTGGAACATTTCACTTGTATTTTCTCGAAGTGAAGCAGTTTTGAGCGGCTTTCTTTAAAGATTATTCAGGAAGTTATTTGTGCTCGTATTGCTTTAAAATGGTTTTACTTATTTCCTAAAAACCACAAAGCGCAATGGGAGCCACGGGAACCTCAATGTCACTGAAAACGAGCGTCTGAAAGATGGATCAAGGCCTTATCATTGTTAATTCGTTTAAAAACCGATAAAAGAAGGGAACACCAGAAGGAAATATGGCTGTACGATGAACAGGAAAGGAAACTCAAGTGAGTAAAACACAAGTGAGTTTTAATTGGATTTTTCGAAATTTAGCAGGTTCTAGCAAGTTCTATGTATGGTGTTTTTTTGTGATCTAGGGCAACAGTAGAATCGATTTGAAGCCGATTCGGCAACATTCATATTTCGAGGATTTTGACATTGCGAAAATTTTCAGTTTCCTCAAAATGAAAAGTTCTCCAAATCTTCTTCCAAATGATTATAATGTTCCCTGAGATACCGAACAACAACATGAGAGTCCGCGGAAGCTGAAAATAAGTGAATACGGGCTTCGGAAAGGAAGCCTTCGGATTAGCTCCGTCAGTATCAGAAACTTTACAGCAGAGTTGCCACGGGCCGGGCCGGGCCAAAATTTTCAAATCTCCGGCCCGGCCCGGTTCAAAAAGCAGGAATCCAAATTTTAAACTATTGATTAAATAAAATGTTTGTTTTTCGTAGAACTAACGAATTTTGCAAGTATCGAGCATAAAAAAGAAATGTAGTTCTCAAAAAAATAGTTTTTTTATTGGCATCAAAGCAAAAAAATTTTAATTTTTGATCCCCGCAAAAAAACGAAAAAAAATAGATTTCCCCCAAAAAATTTGAATTAGCGCCTTTTTGAGCCGGGCCGGCACTTCTCCGGCCCGGCCCGGGCCGGGCCAGCAATGTTTCATTAGATTTCAATCAATTGGACCCTTCGGATTAGCTCGATCGGCCGTCATTATCTATGAATACAAAACTTTCTCATATTATTCACTTTTATTCCACATGAATCGCTCTCAACCGGGGATTATCATTATTATCATTTCTTTCAAGGAAAAAGCTGCAACTGCCCTCCATTGAACGTCTTTCTCGGAATCGTCAATGGAGCGCACTTGCCAAACACTATTTGTACTCGGGATAACTAAAAGCGAGGGCAAAAGAGAGGGAGAACTGGGAGCAGGATATGAAATGCAAAAAATGTACAGAAAAGTTAAAAGTAAAGAAATGGGCGGCCCGTTTTGGAAATGGAGAAGGAATTTAAAGGCAGGGTGCAGTAAATTTTGGGATCGGGAAACTTTTTTGTGGAAAAAGTGGTGGGCTGAAAGTCATGAAGGTTACGACGCTCCGACTGGGCACTTCCGATTTTTAGGCCAATAAAATGATTGTAGGCCAATCGGAATGTCCAGTCGGACTGGAAAAAGAAAAAGAAAAAAAAATGGACGGGGAGGGGAATCATTGAATTCGGCAATTTTTCTTCTTTTTCAGCTTGATCGGCGACTCCAACTTCCGATCGTCAAGAGGAATTGGCATCCGTTCGTCGTGTTGGTATTTTCTGAAAAATGCACAAATGTTTACACTTCGGTCAAAAATTCGTGGCGAGACCCGTCGAAGACGAAAAGTTCGGGTAGTGCGCCTTTAAAGCCCTACAGTAACCCACAACTTTCGATGTTTCTTACCTAACCAATCGAACAATATCGAAAAACGCCTCGTCGACATTTCTGCGCAATTTTGCCGAACACTCCAAGTACGGAACGGCGAGCCGATGGGCGAGTTCTTCCGCTTCGTGACGTGCCACCTGAAAATAATAGTGAGCAAATGTTTCTTGTCGGTTTTCTCTCGAATTCACTACCGTTTGCTCAACAATTTGCTGGCACTTTCAGTTTTTTCGTCACTTTGCTGGTCAAAAGACCTCTAGAGTTGAAAATTTGCGAAAAAAAAAGTTGAGTGTGACATGTGCATGTTTCGAGGGGCACTTGAGAAGAGCGCACTCACAAGTGTTTTCCGATAATGTATTTCATGTTTTTTAATTTCTATGCAGGGCTGGGCAAAAGGATGACCCAGACTTTTTGAAGCCTGGACGTTTGACCCACTTGCAATTATCCGATCGGGCCCAAACTTTGCAGACTTCTGGACTTGGATTGAAGTACAGTGAGTCCGAGTTTCAGACCGATCGGATAATTTGGTCCCGAGATATGTGGATCAGAGGCCGGAAAGGCCGCAAAAACAATATCGCAAAAGCACGACCTTTGATTCAATTGGTCTGAAGCTCAGACTCAACATACTTCAATCCAATTGGTCCAAAGGTCCAGGTCTCAAAAAGCCTTCGAAAATCCTGGGCCAGCCTTTTGCCCAGCCCTGTTTCTATGTACTCTGCACCCCTAGGCCTATTGTATGTTGAGAAAAGTTCGGAGCTCGCAAACGTTTTTTTCGGTGAAGTATGCGCGCATTTCCTTCCTTTCGTAGTACTATGTACTCACACTTTTTCGTGTTCCTCCGCTAGGTACGCGTTTTTTCAAGGAAACGGCTATACATAGTAGCTCAATCAGTTTTAGTGGTCCCTTTCGAAATGGACAAAAAGGAAAGCAGAAAAGATGTCGTGTCGTGTGCCGAAATGTTGCGATTCTCCGCCGACCGCCGACTTCCGAGAGTTTATGGTTTCGGTTTTTATGGGGCACAAAGAGAGAAGAGGAAAAGAGCATCGGATTACATGAATGAGCACACAAATGATGATGATGATGAGACGAGAAGAGAGAGAGAAAGAGAAAGTGTTTATGGGGTTTTTTTTCCAGAGACGGCTTTATCGAAATAGTAACACTTACATGTCTCTCATTCTCGAGGTCCGCCTTATTGCCCACCAAAATGATCGGAAACTCGTCGCGGTCCTTGATCCGGCATATCAACTCGTGCAACTTTTTGACTTCTTCGAAACTGAAACGATATTTGATTGTCTTGTCTATTCCTTTTCCCCATCCAAAAAAGTAGGTCCATCTCGGGCGGCCGACATGCGGCGCTCATAAAACAGATTAACCTATCATAAAATGAGTCATTTGATATTCTCGTTCATTCATTTCATTTCGTTTCCAAGGCCATCAGGACCATAACAGTAGTAGCCCGCCCGTGTGTGGAACACATTTTATTACAGACCCCTCAATGTACGGCCTCTTATTTCATATCCATCTATATATATATATATATTCCATGGGGGCGTCAACAGCTGCGCGGCCGACTGAAGAAGACGTAAACAAAAATGTGTTTTTTGTGTGGAGCCGAGCGGAACCGAAAGGTCAAAGATGGGAGCGGGCCGAATTGAACATAGGCAGCCAAATTGTGTTCGAGTTGAGCATTTTCATAGTTTACAACAAGTTTTTCGTACTGTAAAGGCTCAAAAATCATGTTCCAAAACGCCCCGTTCTTGTAAATTTGAATCTGCTCCTCCACTTTTGAATAACATATCGTTGAGGAGGCGCTCAGTGTGATGTGCCCCCGCTGCTATTTGAAAAATATAGGTCATTTATCACCGGGGCCCATGTGCTTCTTCCCTCCCCTCGCGCCGACCAAATGTTTCAAACACGAAGACGGCGGCGGCGGCTTCTCGTGGGGGTCAACTCAAGTCTAACCCCCCCTAAAAATTTATCGGAGCGCTCATGCTTTCTCGTTTGTGTTGTTGGTTTTTGTGGAGCTGCAGAATGTCATCATATTGGATGAGTCTTGGCGGGCCGAATCGGCATGTTTGTGTGTTACGCGGAGGTGACCAAATAATAATCGACTCGAGGGGCGAACGGAGGATCGGCGCGAAGAGCATCCTCAAACACCGCAAAATTTCGGATCGAGCAGCGGCCCCGTCCGCGCGGAACAAACGAACGGACTCGAGCCCTTGTTGGACTGAAATTCTGTGTTACCGACCGCAGATGTAAGGTTATGTTTAAGGTCACCTCCTTTCTTGAAGCTCTTTGAAGTGCCCGCCACTTGGCACCGTGCCAACTTTTTTCGCACGAAAGCCCGTCAACAAACACAAACACACCAACCTATTGCGATCGGTCACGGCGAAGACGATCAAAAATCCGCTGCCGGTGCGCAGGTACTGCTCGCGCATCGTCGAAAACTCCTCCTGGCCGGCGGTGTCGAGGACTGAAAATAACTGGCGGGGTTTTTTCGGTTTTCTAGGCCACGGCCACCGACTTTCTAGTTTGCACAAATCCTCGTCGACGAAGCATTGTTTGGTGTAGGAATCCTCGATGGTCGGGTCGTAGTCCTGCACAAAGTACCTCTGCAAATGATTTCTGTGCTACATATTACATTTCCACGATTGTTCCCACTTTTTCTTCGCCATCACTGGTCAAACACTTACTGGTAGATGGGGGAGAGCGAGAGTGAGAGCGACAAACATTTGGCACACGAGTAAAACACCCTCACTGTTTTGTCGACTCGGAGTGAGACTCACACACACACAAGGATTATTTTCGGGAAAAGAGAAGAGGACGCGACCCCGGCACGGAGAAGCTTACAATAGAAATGTGAAATTCGAGAGGGAATCGGCGAGGAAAAAAAAGAAGAAAATTTAGGCGTCGATCTATGAAACTTCGTGTTTATCCTGTACTTTTCTATGAAATAGGGTCTAGAAGGCCTTATAGGACTCTAGAATGCTAATCTTTAAACTTTGAACACATATAATAGGGCTAGGATACGTCCTACCGGTTCAAAGTTGTCTTAAGTAAAGTCTCGACATCTAGCACTATATGTTTTCAATTGACAACGTTTCCCTACGATCACTTGGAAGATTACTGTAGGCTTCTGAAGTTTGGGTTCGTTTTCACGAGCTACAGTAAAGTAGTAAACTCCAAACATCAAGTGCTAGATGAGAAGACTTTACCAAACAAAATTCTAGACCCCCCTAAGACGTCTTCGGACTGTACAGTATTCGTATTTGAAAGCTGTCAAGGTTAGCCCCCCGTGTATACAACAAAAAGTGAGTGTTGTCTGACGTTTCCCACTAGAAGCCTTGTGACTCAACTCCTTTTCTCCAATTTCCAATTTTCCTCCGCACAATTTCGATTCAGGCCGTACATGTACATGTACGTGCAGCCATGTACAGACAACAACAACACACAAAAGTCGTACAGTTTTTATATTTTTTCTCTCAAAATCGTCGTGTTCCGATGCTTTTATTGAGGCGGCCGAGTGTGTTCTCTACATTTTGTGTCAGAAATGGATATATATATGTGTGTATTGTCAGTGACCTTCTCTTCTGAAGCCAACGACCACCCACACACGCACAGACAATGGGCCGAAATGTGGCGGTGGCAGCGAGGCGGTAACATGATAATGAATGAGGCAAATTCGACATTGGCAACCGACACGTTTCGCCAGAATTCTAATTGATATTGTCACTTTTTACAAGTCGAACTGTAGTTTGATCGTCTAATCGAATAGACGATGACTGAAACTAAACGGTGTCTTCAATCCAGACTCATTTTTTTTGCAAAGATCACACTCCGAGCCAGCACGCAAAACTTGAACAAGAAGAACACTACATACCTGTATAAACTGAATGGTGAGCGCGGATTTTCCGACACCTCCGCCGCCGACGACAACGATCCGAAGGACGGCATTTTGGGCGGCTGAGTTCTGGCTCCGGCCGCCCATCGAAAACGGTTTTTGTTGATTGGGCGGTTAGTCGGGCAAGAAGACTTTGGGGCGCTGCTGCAAAAAGCAAAAATTGTTATTATCAAATTCGAAAATGGGAGACAGCTGATAAGAAGAGCGAGAGAGAGAGAGAGAGAGAGAGAGAAAGAGAAACGTGGCAAAGTGAAGCGAGAGACGGAAAAGACGGAGGAAAATTTGTGATGTTGGAGAGTGAAAAAGTGGAAAAAGTGAAGGAGCGCGACCGGCCCGACGGGGAACATACACACAAACTGGGCGGAGCCTGAGACATAGAGAAAGGAGAAGCAGAGGGAATGAGAAAAACGGAAAAGAGGGCGCCGCCCCATTTCGAGAGGACACACATGTGTTCTTCGTCGTTGAATAATTACTGTTTTCGACACGAACGACACAAACGACGAACAAGCAATTATTGTATACTGGGGGAACTGGTATTGCGAATTTGAATCGGTATTTTTGTGGCAAATTGCGGAAGTCGTCGTCGAGTAAACTCGGAGACGAAAAACGAAGAAGAAGAAGAGAAATGTACTCTCTTCCGGCAAAAAAGTGCCAGTTGGCGACACATGTGTGTGTGTCCATCACCCCTCCACATTTCTTGTGACAGGCTCGGTTATGACGTGGCCAGTTGCTCATTTCAAGAACAGCTGTGAAAATCTGGGGGTCCAACTGTTCTTGGCCACGTTGCGGACAAGAAAGAACAATTGAGATCTGAAACTGAGGTTTCTGGGCGACTAGGACGAAAAGTAAGGCTTCCAGGTATTGTAGTGATCTCCAAGGACGGACGTTTAGGCCACCAATTTGATTTTTAGAGTTATACATAGAGAAACTAGAACAAAAACGATAGGCTTCCAATCGACCAGAAGGTACAAGATAGGTGATATGAGGTCTAGATTTGAGAATTCTAGGCCAGAAAGTGGAAAGTTAGGCCACACACTTCGACAATCAAAAAAAGTGTATAATATCAACATTGGGCCGGGCGGACACAAATCTGTTGACGTGGCTCTAGCGAGGAGCAACCCGATACCAATGTTTTATACTGAAATCTGACCCCCTTTTCCTCTAGTTTTCATCATTATTTTGAGCCCCTCTTGAAAATCACAGTTGGTGGCGGTCCTTACCTCGTCTCGATAAGAAGACAACAATACGGTGTTCGGCGGACACACTCGAGGGGCTCATAGAGCATACGGGTAAGCACTTGATTATTCGGAGAGCCGGGGGAGGGGTGTGAAGAGTGAACACAAAACAAAAGGGTCTCGGAGGACGGTGTAAAACATTGATATGTCATTATTCTTCTTCTTCTTCTTCTTCCCGGAAGAGTGGAATATTACTACGGGGCACAAGTGAGAAAATGCACATTAGATCACTCATTCGACGCGACGAACAGCTGCTCCGAGCGGCTCTTCCGCGCGGAACCCCCACCAACTTTTGTTAGGATTCTCCATCGACTGGTCAGAAAAGGATTAGGAGCCGCCGGCCGAAGCAGACGGGGATCGGCACAATGGAGACAGATGATGGTCGGAAAGCGGTTGGGCAATAAAAGGGACTAATCTTCTGATTTATTATTGAAAGCCACCAACATTTCGGAAGAGGAAAAGGGGAAAAGCGTTGGGAATTGGGTTCGAGGGAGCAAATTTTTGAGTAAAGTATTCACCTGAAAATGACGAATTTTCCCAAGACCTCCTCAATTTCAAGGCCTCAATTGGATTGGGGGGGAAATCAATCAGAAAACACGAGTGTAAAATGAGAATGAAATCCGTGAGGGTGACGCGAAAAAACTGGTATAAATGTAATGGAAAACGAAAGAGGAGAGAGAGAGAGAGAGAGAGAATCTGTGTCTCAAACATTTCTGACCGTCGTCCATTGCCTTCTTTCCGACCGACGACGACGTGCGCCAAAAATAGGAGAGAGGGTGGAAAACGGAAAAGAAAAAGAAGAAATGATGAGGAAATCGGGCGGGACAAAAACTGTCGAAACCTATCGGCGTCAGAGAAAACGGATGAGATGGAATTGGGGGGGAGAAATTTTGAAAGAATGGAATAGTTGGAAGCCTCTCTCTCTCTCTCTCTCTCTCTCTCTCTCGAGGACGCGATATCACGCAATTAGGATTCGACCTTCGCGCGCGCAACGATGTTCACACCAATTATCAGAAAAAGGGATTAGGGGAGGAGGAGTGTTTCGGGTCCAAAACTGTTTTGTTTTGGCTTGGTTTTGGCTTGGTTTAGATTGAATTGGATTCGATTGGATGGGATTGGATTAATTCGTCGCGTAGGTACGAGTACTTATGGTCAAGTGGGCAGGTATTGTACGGTTTGGATTGGAGAAAAAAGTGTTGCGGGTCTTGAAGCGAAAGACACACTTTTTGGAACTACTGGAAACAATGTTTTAGTGAAGCAGAGGCACTTGGAAATTATGAATATAAGGCTTTTTTTGAGTTTGTTCTAGAAATTCACTGACCTACTGTTCATTTATGACAATATATCTCAGCTGCCGGTAGAGATATCAAAAAGTTGTCAAGTGATGAATTGTTCAAAAAGACATTGGGGACATTTTATAAATTGACAACTTTTTGATGCTTTCATCGACAGGAGAGGTACAGGTGCTCACGATAGGGCTCTTCTTAAACTTTGCTAGAAGCTCACAACCTTTGCAAATTTCAAGTACTGTAAACCGAGTTTGTGGAATGCATTTGAAAGAAATTGGTAACTTCTATTGAAAAAGTTGGACAAGATTTTCAAGAAAGCATTCACGATCCTTAGCCAGAAAGTCTAGATTTTCGATCTCTGCGATAGAAATTTCCGTCTGCACTAAAAGTTTTTCAAATGAATTGGAAGAATGGAATAATTGAATGGTAAAATGGTAAAAGTGAAATGGGAATCGTCTCGGCGAGGAAAAATAGGGAAGAAAAGGAAGACACACACACACACACAAAGAATATGGCAAACATTTGCATAAAGGCAACATATAAACGAATTTTCGTTTTTCACGTCATCTGCTGTGCTCACACGTTGTTGACCAACAAGAAAAAGGAAAAGTTGGCGGATCGCGGGATCCACCGTGAAATGCGTGGGTGGTGATGCGGAAAATTGAATCTATATTATACTTTTTGTTTCCCGCGAAAATTGTACGTTCGCTCTACTGCACATAATCACGAACAACAGGATTAACAGGAATTCCTCACGGATTACTGTACTTTTATAGCCATTTTAAAAGAAAAGAAATGCCCTGAATGCTTGTACATACAGCTGGAACAACAAGAAACGGCCACATTTGAATACGTAGGGGTAAACATTGATGATATGTGTGCATCGAAATTCGAAATTTTATTATATCTTTATTTTCCAACGCCATTCAATGTCTTTCTTGACAGTGAGGGACGGAAAAGCCAAAAATTGGAAGAAAGCGGACGGGCGGTTCTTTTTGCCTTCTAATTATGGAAACTGGTAATAATTAGGGGTTGTTAGCAGGTGTGCGCACAAGGTTTTCCGTTCCGCGCTTTGAAAACGTCTCGTGGCACACATTTGTATTGAAATTTTCGACTTTTGGTACATGGAAAAAAAAATGGACGTTCGAAACCTACAATATATGGTCAAAAACCCCGACCCAGGCTTTTCGAAGACCTGCCGACGGCTGCGGTGTCTCGTATGAACAAAAAATTAGAATAACTTTATTATATAAAATGATAAGAGAAATTGGAAAAGGGAGAGGAAAAGAGAGAAAGAAAGAAGGAGAATGGAAAAATAGAGGAAAGAAAAGGAAAGTTTGCAAAAGGGCAACATAACCGAGATGGATGAGGAGGAGGGGGTGAAATGAGAGGAAAATGGGAACACTTGAGTGATTTCACAACTTTTTTTACAAACAATTTGGTCGCTTTAAAAATAGATAATCATGTTGATGAGGGGGGGGGGGGAGAGTCATTCGAGCACAATCACCGAACTTCTCAACGGTTCCACCTCGTCGGCCGCCTTCTTTTGTTTTTCTGCAAGAAAAATGAGTAAAACTAGGAAGTTCCTAAAACGTTCGCACAAAGATCATAGAAGTTCTTACCATTAATTTTCCGCCGCAACTCTTCGAGTTTGTTGAGATATTGTGTGTCGCGCGAGTGCTTGTACTCTTCGATCGACCACTCCAAATTCGAACTCCAGCACAGTGTCAAATAACCGCAAAATGAAAGACCCGACTGAGAAAGAAAAGAAGATGTTAGTGGCCGAGAGTTTTCTAGGCCATACCTTAACATGAGCATACATGGCGAGAAAGAAGCTGAGAAAGAAGACCATCGCGGCGATTAACGTCACCGTCGACAGAATGTTTTCGGCGTCGTCGCGTCGATTGTACTCGTCTTTTGAGGAGCCGGAAGAGGAGGCGCTCACAGTTATATCACCTGAAATCCATCGGGATGGACAATATTCAATTGAGCCAACTGGTTTACCGATTCGTTTTCTGGCGCCTAACACCACACTCGGCGTCGTCTCTTCTGATGGCGCCGTTGGATGCGGGGGCGGAGGCCCGAGATCGCTGGCCACACCTTCCACGTTCAACGGCGATAATGTTCTGAAAACGGTCCACATTTTTTGGGGCATAATCTTGACCTCTAGCACTTCACTTTTGTAGTTGACAACTTTTTTGTACAACCACTGTCTGGAGTACTGTAGCTCTTTGAAAGTTGCCTAGGAATTTTACTAGTTCTACAGAGCCTTACCTTCCATGATCTACAGTACTTTTGGGAGTAGTCAAACAAAAAATTGGTCAACTACAAAAATACAATTTTAGACATGTACTTTAATTTTGTCGTTGACAACTTTTTTGTACAAGTACTCCGAAAACTACTGTAACTCTTGAAAGATCGGGCTACCGAGAAGCGCACGTATTTTAGTGCCAACTTTGAAGAGCTACAGTACTGTTGGGAGTGTTTGTGCAAAGGAGTGGTCATTTATTTAAATTCAGTTCTAGATGTGTACTTTTATTTAGTAGTTGACAACTTTTGTGTATCATCTCTCCTAAGCACACTGTAGCTTTTGGAAGATTGATATAGTACAACAAGCGTTTTGGAACTTACCGATTCCTGAGCTCTCCTTGCAGGCCGTAACTCTTCTCGAGCTGAAAACAGACGACGGTGGCGAACGCGGAGAGGATCATCAGAAGAATGGCGACGACGAAAAGTGTGTAGTAGCGGATGTCGGCCTGCGCGCACTGCGGAAGCTTCATCTCACGGTACTGCAACGGCTTTTGCGGGGTTAGAGCAAATAGTTGAATAGGTCAGGGGGACATACTTTGAGGACACGACGCCTTCGGTACTTGTACAGACACAGTTCGCAGATCGCGGGTCGGTGTAGCTTTCGCGACGAGATGTCGAGCCAGTGCTGCAAATTGGCGGGTCTTAAAGCTGCCCAAAAAGTTGCCAGAACTAGAGATGCTCGGTTTAAAAAACTTTGAATGAGTACTGTAGAACCAAAAAATGTTCTACGGCTCCCATCGGCAGACGAGATATACGTCGAATAACAAAAGCTCACCATTAGGCACGATACATGAACGTATTGCAGTGATCCGGAGCATCGGCACGGCGAGATCAGCGGATCGTTCGAGTCGGGCGGCCAACAGCAATGACAGATCCTGCACAGCGGCTCGTTCGACATATCCGATCGGGCCAACGAGTAAACGGACGAGGCGGACGGGGATGGCAGTTCCTGGAAATGAGAAGGGATTTAGGAAAGGGGATTGGAAAGGAACACGGATGATGGAGAACAAACCATAATCATTCTTAGCGGGCTTAGCAGGAGAATAGGGGTACGAATAATGTGGATGGATGCAGGAAATGAGAATAGGTAATATTGGGAAGGAGAGAAAGAATGGGCGTCGCAAATGGTTGTGCACCTGTCCCCGCGTGGCACGATTAACTTGAGACATTCGTCGGTTTTGGTGGGGAGAACGCCCTTGAGAGAAGGTAAAATGGAAAAGTAATGACCCCCTCAGTGATGTCACATCACCTGGACAGATGCGATTTGAAAATTTAGGCGAGTTGATTGGAATTTTTAAGGAAATCTTAGGGACTTGAACCTGTTACCTATTTAGTGCTGGGTAAAAAGTTTATGAAAGTAAGGCGCGAAAACAGTGATAGAACGACACTCCAAAATATTGTTTATTCAAGACGATATATCTCAGTTCTCGGTAAAGATATTGAAAAGTTGTCAGGTGAGAAAATCTACTACATTTTGTAGTGAGCAATATATCAGTTAGCAATTTTTTCATATCTCTAATGGCAGCTGAGATATAGCAATTTGAATAAACGGCGGCCAAAGGGACAAAATACTATTGTAACTTTGTGGGGATATCTCAACTGTTGGTAGACTTATCAAAAAGTTGTCAACTAATATATTGTTCATCAAGAAATTGTGCACACTTTCTCAATTAACATATTTTTGACGTCTCTACTGGCACGTGAGATATATCGATTTGAATAAAAAACCTACCTTCTGCGTCTTGGGACACGTCAAATCGGTGGTGGAGCAGTGATGACAAAGGATGCCGAGTTGTGAGACGTCCTTTTCGAGTCCCTTCTCCAAATCCGACTCCATTCCTGTAATAACCGACGCACTCTGTTTGATTAGCTTCGCCTGATTTGAAAACGAGAAGGCCCTTTTGGTTGATTGAATAATGTGTGACATGAGAGCAAGATGAATGGGGGATTCTTGCTTTTTGCACTTGATACGAGGTTGAAAAGAATGAAACTGGAAGAAGAAGAAGAAGAAGAAGGTGAAAGGAGAAAGGAGGAGAAGAGGAAGATAATGAATTCCATTCACAATAGCCGGCCGCACAATGGCAAGATCTTTCGGATCAGTGGAGATGGCCAGCGATCCAGCGCTGGCCTAGGTTTTGCATGAAAAGTTAGGCCAGTATGAAACCAGAGTTCGGTGAGTTGGATCACCTCCGGTCCAGTTCCAAATGTATCAAAAAAGCTCACAGCCTGGTCAAGTACCTTCTCGAAAACGAAGAGAACAGAGAATAGGGGTTTTGGGAAAAAGATTTGGGCAAGAGAGTTTGTGCAAAAGTTGTTAAAAGTCTGCGCAAAGTTCAGACGAAAAGTTGCGTAAAAGTTGCGTACTTCTACCAAGTCCTTTGTAAGGCTCCAACCTCTAAGGACCAACAAAAAGTGCTCACGATCTCCAACATGTGGGACCAAGAAGATATGCCTACCAATTGAAAAAATCAACAAAAAGTGCTCACCAATAGTGTTGGCGACCTCGTCGTGGCTCGGCAGCGAGAGAAGCGATCCGATGGCGTCGATGCGCGTCTTCTGCCGATGATAGTGGTCCCCACCGGTTGATTTTTGATTGTTCCGCCGCGCGCCGCCGGACGGGCACCGCGTAGTCGAGACGAACACGGGCGCTGCAAAAAAAAACGAACGATCAGTGTGGTCCTTTGTTGTTTTTGTGTGCTCTATCGGGCTCTGGGGGGCTCTGCGCGGAAGAGAGGCTAATGGTGTTTTTGCGCGGTCCCTTCTATATATATATATATATATATATGGTGGAGATCGATGAATAATTCAACATTTTTCGACCTGATACACTGTTGTGTGTGAAGAATTTCGGAAGGAGCTCATGTGGAGACAGACTAATTAGGTACGGGGAAAGTGGAAAAGTTCAATGAGCCAGGAAAAGTTTTATGGCGTTCTTGAAAATGTTTGGAAATACTAAAAGTTATTAGAGACGACGGCTTGACCCCTGCGCAAATAGCGAATAGCCAAACAGCCCTCCACGCGGGGAAGAGGGGGGGGGGGTCCAAAAATATTTGCCCCCGAGAGGTGTGGCCAGAGGTATGTCACGTAGTAGGAGGCAAAATTGAGAGGAAGAAGAAATGGAAGTGGAACAAAGGTTTTTGAGTGAAGCGGGAGTTCGGGAACAATTCTAGATCTTTTGAGAGATTTAGTAGGTTTTCAATAACTTTTAAGCAGGTTTTCTTAAATTTCAAGACTTCGGCAAGCCGTACTATTGGAAATATTGTGTAGCACTTGCAAATGTTGGGCAAATACCGAAATATGAGCATTTTGTTGATTACCCGCTTCATCAAGACGATTTATCTCAGCTGGCGGTGAAGATATCAAAAAGTTATGAACTAAACTATTGTTCATCAAGAAATTTTATAAATTTTATCAGTTGAAACCGTTTTGATAACTCTACTCGCAGCTGAGATACATCAATTTGAATAAACGGCACCCAAATGGAAAAACTGCTATTGTAGTTTTTGACAGTTGCTTTCAAAAACGCTTGATTTGAACTGCACAGCCCTGTGACATGACATTTCTTGTAAATAGTATGGGCACGAGTCAAAAACGCATCTATATACTATCCCCTTCAAATGTTTCGGGTAAAAAGACTTACGGGTGGTGTCGTCGAAGCTGTTCAGCGAGTGCGACTTTGCGAGTCCGACGCCTCCGTGCGCCGTCACCGTCGTGCTCGCTCTTCCGGTCGTCTCGCTGCACCTCTGCTGATTCCTCGTGTTCGGAGCGGCGGCGCCGGAAGACGTAGTGGCCGGCGAGACGAACGACGCGGTCGAGAAGAGGCGGATTCGTTCGCCCATCTGCAAAAAAAGAGGACGTTGGAAATGTGCGGGCTCGATGTGTCAAGAGGAAAACGGGTGTCAAATTAATTTTTCTCCTCCTCTTCCTTTGCTTCTTTTCTTCCGTTTCTCTGTCACACAAGTGACGTGGCTCGTTTTCATCAACATTCTTCCAACCAAAAAGAGAGGAAGTTCATGTATAGGCAACGAATTGTGTAATTTCCGTTCCCCACACTCTTTTTGTGCGAAAAAATACATTTCCGGCTCTTGTGGACAGCTTTTGCAAAGAGAAAAAAACGGCGGAACTACAATTGCTAAAGTCATTCACTTGTGAATAGAGCATATCACATTTTGGGGGCGGAGCCAAAAAGCGTACAGTTTCTGTCATTTTACAAAGTGAGTCAGAAAGAGTAAAACAAAGTATTTGGGGGGAAAGAGGGATGTCAGGCTTTCTGAGTCAGCCGTACCAGGCTGCAGAACAAAAACATTCGGAAGGTTGTACGATTTGGGAGGGAGGAAAGAGGTTGCTTCATTCGAAACTATGTATCTCAGTTGCTAGTAGAGTTATCAAAAGGTTGTCAACAGAAAAAATGTGCACAATCTTCTGAGATATATTGCTTTGAATCAACCGAACCACTAGGAAACTACAATATCAGTTGGGTGCCGTTTATTCAAATTACTGTATCTCAGTTGTTAGCAGAGATACAAGATCAAGAAACGTCAAGTACTTGCACTGTCAACAAAATTCAGAGATTCTTAAAAAAGATTTCAAAGTAAAGAACCACAAATCAAAAGTGAACGTAGAACCAGTGGGGACCGCCACAGAGACCCTGCGTCTTAGTGGATCCTAGGGGATAGGGGGCTGTGTGTGTGTGTGTGTGTTGGTGTGTATGTGATAAAAAAGAAAAAGCGAGCGGGCCGGCGCCGCACAAGAGGGGGGCAAAAGGGACGGGAGAGGGGCGGGCGGGTGTGTGTGTGTGTGTGATCACATGTTTTTGGCCTAGGGGAGAGGGGGGTTGTTCGTTTTCCTTTTCCCTAGGCCTCGTCTCCTTTGCGTCCATCCATGAGACGGGGGGTCCTCTGCCATCACAATCATGTTTACAGAAGACAGGCAGAAGAAAATGAAGAAGAGATCCCACTGATTTGGTGTACTTTCTAATCTGTTTGTCGCTACAACAACTGTGAAAGATGATAGTCGGAGCGATGATGTGTCAAATGACTTCTATTTATGGGAATGATAGTAGTATCTCCGAATGAGGTGTGACTTTTAATAGTACGGTGGGTTGGAAAGTGCGCAAAGTTGCGTCAGAGTGTTTCAAGTTTATAGCGCTTTAGTCAGTACCTAGCAGTATGTAACATAGTCCATTAACACAATTGCTGTAAGATTATAGTAGTTCCAAAAGTGCGAAAGGTGTCGTCACGGTGCTTGTACCGGTTGAGTCAACATTCTCGAACTTTGAGTGTCAGAAGCCCCCCCCCCCTAATGACGTTCGAAAAGTTCGTAGTGCACATTTTTGGCGAAAACGAAAGGTTTCCCCGTTTTGGAACAAAAAGAGCGTGTGAAATTTGAGCCGAAGCTTCCAAAAAGTCATTGTTCGAGCCTAGAAAATTCACAGGTGCACGTTTTTTGGCCACTTCCACGTCATTAAAGGGACGGTTGCAAAGTGTCCAGAAGAGTTGCGAAACGAAACGATGAAAGAAGTCACCAGTGTTTGGGGAAGATGAAATGCGTGTGTTAATGCGGATAAATGGAGACGGGGGAAGGGATTATCCAAGTGAGTCTTGGCACGAAAATCTTTGAGGATGTGTATAGACTCTTATCAGTGTCTGCCTGACAGATAATGTGAAAGCACTCTACATTTCTGAAGGGATCTGGATCTTCAAGCTTCCAGTCTTTTGCACACACTCTCTCTCTCTCTCTCCACCTGACAGTTCGTATTTATTTGCTCTTTTGGCTCCAAGTGGAAAAAGTGTGTTGGGGACGGAAAACAAAAAACAAGCCAAGTAACTCAAAGTCAGTCTAGACCTTCTAGAACTGACCCGTCGAGTTGTCTATTTTGATGGGAATTTGTCTGACATCTTTCCAACCACCACGTCCTAAGGGTCTAAGATCAAAGATCCCAAGTGCTTAGGATATGGTCTAAAGTCAAGATTGAAAGTAAGAAAACAAAAACTCTCTAAAAGCAAGTCGAGGAAGGGAAAAGTGAGTCAGAATAGAGTGCTCGAGGGTGTGACTGGCTGGGGAGCGGGAAAAGAAAGGACGGTACAAGTGCAAAACGAGGGGAAGGGGGAATAGGAAATGAGCTTTGCGAGTAAGCGGTGAGCTCACTGGAAATGGAGCAAGCAAGGGAGAGGAAATGCGTATGTAAGAAGGAGAAATGGGCGGTTCGTTGAAGATTTGAGCAAGATTACGAGAAGTATTCCTAATCCCAGAATCCAAAATCCTTTGCAAGATTGGATTAGCTCAAGTTTGGGGGTTTTGGCTGCGCCACGTGTCACACAACTTTTGGAGCCGTCTCTTTTGAGCCGGGCTCAGAATGCTTGATTTGGGTGGGCACACACGCAAGCCGCACTTTTCCGCCAATGTTTTCGCTCGTTTCTCGCTCGCCATGAACATCGATCGAGCAAAAAAGGAAAAATGGTGTGTTTTGATACTGAGAACGCTCGCGCGGACAACGGAAACGCTGTGTTTTCAAAACTACGGGTGTGGTAAAGAGGGATCCTTTGACAAAAAGGAGAAAAAGAGGAAAGAGGAAAGAGGTCGTCTATAGTTTAAAGGTACTTTGACAAAGGGAGGAATGTGACCTTTTTGTGAGAGAAGGGATCATTTCGATCATCTTTGGGACTTGGGACCGAACCTTGGCTATAAAGTTCTGGTCCAGAACCCTCAATCCGCAAGTCCTAGAGATGATCCCTTGAACTGAACCCTATCAACTCACTCAAAAACAAAAAAGTGCCGGTGATCTCGTTGGATGCTCAGTGCAAAACCATAAAATGGCGCGGGTCTTGAAAAGCCGAGCAGATGGGAAGTGCATTTCGACAGCCGGCGGTCCTGGTCTCGTTATTGAAGAACGAGTGATGAGAGGAGGACAGATGTTCATGAATAGACGCGTTTCTGATGCAAATTTGTTGTCGCTCGTTTGGTAAAGAATCTAAAATATACAATACCTCAATGTGGACCAACTAAAAAGAAGAGTGGCTTTGAAAACTTTGATCCTAAAGTCCTACACCTAGCTCTAGAGTTCCTAGATCCTTGGAAAATCGTCCAACTTTTGCGGACTTTCCTCCAGACCCTAGAAATCGCCTCAGTTCCTATGATAGACCCCTGGGACCAAACTTTGGATCCGTAGTAAGGATCACATAGGGACCGCCCAATTATAAAGAGTGAGAGAGAGAGAGAGAGAAGTGTAATACTTCATAACCTAGTTATATAGTTCCGCTTCACTTCCTCCTCTTTTCAAAAGTGCTCGAACTGACTAGGTGGTTAGGGGGCGGAAAAATGGAAAGTGACTCATTTTCATCGCTGTTTTTTGCTCGATTCTTATTCCAGTCACGTCTTCTTCTTCTTCTTCTTCTTCTTCTTCTTCTCGTCTTCTATTCATTCTGTGTGCACACAAGAAAAAAGATAATAGCGGTTTGGAAATGAAAAAATAGGAAGGGGAATCTTCGAATCTTGTTGGTGCGGAGGAGTAGGATGAGAAGAGCAAATGCTAATTACCACGAGTAGGCGAGAAATAGGAAGAGAAAGAGGGAGAAGAAGTGGGAAATCCAATCCGAACGAGAGGGCCTGTGCACTGTGGGCAGTCGAGCGGACGAGAAGAAGCCCATTTTCTTGGGGCTCAATTTCTAGTAGTTTTCTACAAAAGTTGTTGGGTAGGCTGAAAAAAGTGGGAAACATCATCTTTTTTCCAAGAACCTCTCAAAAGGGGGACTTTTAGTGTCACACACACATTCATTGCAAACGAGAAGTTGTAGGAGAAGGAGAAGGAGAAGGAGAAGAGAGAGAGAGAGAGAGCTCAAGAAGTAAGAGGAGAAGAAGAAGAAAAAGAAGAAGAAAAAGCACGTCTTCTCTCTTATAAAAAGTGTCATTTTGACACTCTCTCTCTCTCTCTCACTTTTTCGAGCACACGAAGAAGGAGAAGAAGAAGAAGCGCAAGTCGTCGTTTTGAGCTCACAAAAGTTATGAATCGACAATGTTCTAGGGGAGCAAAGTGAGCTCCGCGGGCTTTTTCTTCTTGTATCAAAAAAGTGTGAGAGAGAGAGAGAGAGACAGAGAGAGAACGGATGTTTTTGTAACCGAACACTCTCTTGAGGCAGTCCCGAGTGGTTGGGCTCGTGTCTGGTACCACCATCACCAGAAGAAGAAGAAGAAGAAGAAGAGAAGAAGGAGGAGGCAAATATGCGTGAAATCTGGAACGAGAACATGCTTATTTGTGCAGAATTCGCGTCGGAAATAAGAAAAACCAAAAAACTTTTGAAAACTTTCGAGCCTACTGTTCATTCAAAACTATGTAACTCACAATGTCAGCTGGATATGAAAAAGTTGTCAACTATGATATTGTTCATCAAGAAATTATGTACATTTTATCATGTGACAACTTTTTCATATCTCTACCGACAACTGAGATATAGAGGTTTTACAAAGACCTTCAAAATCCATTATGGAAAAGTAAAAATTGCACGAAAAACCAGTGCTCTTCCATTCGATTTCAACAATATCAGTTTGAAAAACATCAAAAGAAGAGTTGTACAATATCAATTTCTATACACTTGGCTGATAAGACACCTCCTACACACACAAAAACAATATTTCATAACTGAAAGAATTTCATAAGTCATTTATGTGAAGAAATCTTTGTATAGATGAAAAAGCAGTGTGAAAAGGGAAAGAAAAGGGGGCGGAAATGGGCATAGACGGGCAGCGGTGGCAAAGAAGAAGAAGAAGAAGAAGAAGAAGTAGTAGGAGAAGGAGTAGAAGGAGGAGGAGAAGGAACTTCGAACAAGAAGCGGAAGGAAGGGGCACGATTGTTGCACATACGCACAATATTACTACTACTGCTGGCACTTGGTCCGTAAGGGTTGAGAGTCTGACCAATAGCATCTGATCCTAAACAGTGGGACTAAAACTTCCAAATACTAGACTAAACTCCCAAAGAGAGAGAGAGAGAACTAATAGGTACCAACTATCTTCTTTTCAGAACTATTTATCTCAGCTGTTGGTAGAGGTATCAAAAGGTAGTAGTAAACTGATGAAATGTGCGAAAAGTTTTGACGAGCAATTTGTTAGTTGAACACTTTTTGATATCTCTAGCGGCAGTTGAGATAAATCGTCTTGAATGACCAACAAGTCCTGGAATTCTGGAACAAACTTATGGGATTCTCAATTGACTCTTCTTGGTTCCTGGTGGATCACACATGTTGCACCCTATCTACAAGTCCTAAGACAAGACACCGGTCCAGAAAAATGTGTTCATTTTGGGAGTCCTCAACTAACAGTACTTTCTCGTACCCGGCCAGGTGCTCTAGTTTGGGAAATCAGATCTGAAATTGTAAAAGTTGAGCCAAATAAGGTTTGGAATTCCCGAAATCTTAAGTTTTGAAAGACCTGAAACTTATAGGATCCTCAACAAACTCTTCTTGGATCTTCGTGTGCCCTATCTACAAGTCTAAGCAACTTTCAATTCCAAGGGTCAAACTTATAGGGAACACTAACATTTCTCGGTTCTTGCTGGATTCCTCAAGTTGAACCCATCATTCATCTCACCTAGAAGTCCTATGGAACTCGGTCCAGTCAAACTTTTGGGATTCTCAACTGACAGCTCTCGGTTCTTCCAAACTTCCACAATTTCAGTTCTGATTCCACCGAAACTCGATTCCGATGACGTACACTTCAAAAGAAGCGAAAACACGAGAAGAAGAAGAAGAAGAACGGTGTACTTTTGTTTTTCCACGTATTTTCAGTACAAAATTATTATAAGCTTCTCATGGAGATAATGATGAGAAGACTGAAATAGAGTTGGAAAGAAGTGTTGTGTTTGTTTTTTGACTTTGCCATAATTCGATTGATATATTATCGAATCAAACAAACCTCGTAGAAAATCGATCGTTTTCTGGTCGTCGTCGTCGTCGTCGACGATGACGTTGATGACGTGGCACACGAGGCGGATGCTCCAGAATGCAATCTTTTCAGCTTCTCCTGCAATTTCGCCGTCTATACATTGACAATGCGCGACACTCACTTTGTATTCTGAAGGCGTCGACGACGACGACGACGAAGGAGACGGAGACGGAGACGAAGATGACGATGAAGAAGACGTCGGAGAGCTCGTCACAATGTGCGTCGAGCAATTTTGAACTTCTGCAGAAAAGAACATGAAAAGAATAGAAGTGTGGGGGTGAAACGTTTTGAGTTCAAAATGGCCTATTCTTTGGGAGTGGGGGAGTGTGCAGCCGGCCTACAGTAACCCAAAAAGACCCAAAAGGACCGATCACTCAAAAAGCGAAACGAAACGAGGATGTTGTTCTCCGCTCAACCGAAAAGGACCTTTACAAGAAGAGGGGGACCCAAGAGACTCATGAATTTTTGTCGTGCTTGCTTTTTCTTGATGTTATGATAGTAAACATAGCGGGATTACTGTATATATTGAGAAGAAGAGGGAGAGAAAGTGAAAGTGGAACAAACTTTTTTGGGTGTTTGTGGGGGGAGGGGGTCTCAGTGTATGCTCTCTTTCTATCCGCGTCTCTCCGGCTCCAAGTACTCTCTCGCGGCTCTATCAGTGTGCTGCTGTTCCCCGTCGAACCCCCCCTCTTACTTTTGGACGGCGGGTCTGACTACTACGAGAGACAAGTATTTGGGGGCCGCCCGTTCATGAAAAAGGGGTAAACAACAACAAAAACAAGAGAGATGAGCTCAAAAGTCAAGAGTGTTCCATTTCCCACTTCTCAAATGTCCCCCATTGTTTTTGCGTTGTTTGTGCAGAATTTTTGAGAGAGGTAGGTCAAATGTGGCCGATTTGTTGTGCGTCTAGGACACAAACAACTTTTTGTGCCGGCGGTAGATCAAATGCACCTTCAAATTTTGCAGAGATAACACAAAAACAACTGGAAATCAAACCGTAAACACTGTAATAGAAGGGTGCCCCCAGACACCGTCTATTCAAAACGACGTATCTCAGTTGCCGTTGAAGATACCAAAAAGTTGTCAAGTCATGAAATGAGCACAATTTCTTGATGAACAATATGTTAGTTGACAACTTTTTGATATCACTACCGGCAACTGAGATGAATTGATGTGAATGAATAGTACTTGAATAAAGTGAAAAGAAGTTACTATTAGTGTTTTAAAGGCGCAGAACCATGCGCTTTCAAAATTATCGAACACACACTATTACTGTACATTTGAAGAAGCATTCGAACTCACTGCACTTGCGCAGATCGTGAAGTCCGTGAAAAGTGGCCGACTTTTGCGGAACCAGCGTGCTGACGGACGTCTTCTTTTTCGTGCTGCTCCTTCCATCCAAAAGTCGGGCGCTTTCACGCGTCTCTTCCCGAATTGTACCCAGAAATTCGGTCTGAAAATGTGAACACCATGATAACACTTTGGGGACTTGCTGAATAACTATTACCGGTCTGGAAAAGCTGAAAGTGGGTCTCCGAAAACCGTACTCGCTCTTCGAACCGTGCATCTCTCTCTCTGCAAATGTTTCTAGTTTCGTTCAGAAGAGACGTCAAGCAAAACGAATAATAATGTGAGAAAAGAGGTGAGAGATTTGGAGAATCGGATTAGGAGGCAGAAAACTGCCGGAACTGGCTCGAATATGAGCTCGGGCGGGTTAGAAGAGTCGGGGAAAAAACGCGTTTTTGGTTTGGTTCGGGTTGTCGCTATGATTGATCAGTCTTCTTGATCCCAAGGGGAGAACAGCAACAAAATAGTGAGGACTGAAAAGAGGGCACTTTGCAACTGTGTGCAAACTCTATTAATCCATTAGGTGGGTGTCATAGAGGGTGGAGATCGATAATATCGATTAAATTTACACTTCTTTGAATTGGTCAACTTTGAGGGACCGTCCCAGGCTCAAAAGTAGCCCTAAATTTGCCCTAAATTTGTTTTCTGAAAATTTCACATCTAGTACATTACTTTTGTAGTAGGCCACTCCTTGGCCTACTGTAGGTCCATGAAGTTGAACCACTTTTGAGGAGCTACAGTATCCTAGGGAGTGCGCGTAGAAAAAAGTTTTCAAATACAAAAATAATGTACTAGACTTGAAGATTTCAGAAAAAACAAATTTGAAATTGATTGGACCACTTCTGATTCTACAATACTCGTTGAAAGTTGGCCCACTTTCAGTTGAGTACAAACCGATATTGTGTGATCACTTTTACCTATATCTAGTAGAAAATAAGCGTACACAGCTGAAATTTAACACTTTTTCAAACAACAACTACAGAGTAAAGCTGCTCGAAGGTATCTCTCGGGGCTCCGCAGACTCCGCCCCCTCATTAGTGCCAACTGTACAACTTTACATAAATATCACTAACGACTATTCGTAAATATAAAAAAGTGTCTACCAGCACGCGCCCTAAACATGTTTTTTCCTCTTTTATGTGTCGATGAGACCGGATATCGCATCGATAAGCGGCTCTCTCGAAAAACACGTTATCGTGGCGCGTGCTGCGAAAGAGAAAGGGTTGGATGTAATATCTGGAATTGCCGGAAGTGGTGGGGCTCAGTGTCATTTTCAGGAGATGATGTGCAAACGACGTCCTGGACATGAAAAGTTTCATTTTCTATTCAATTTCATTTCAAGACGACGACGGGGAAGAAGAAGAAGACGTTGACGAAGGGGCCAAAGAAGAAGACGTCAGATGAGAGCGAGGACTTTGATCTCAGAGACAGGAGAAAGAGGGAAAGAGGATGTATTTCTGGAGGGGAAAGTTAGGCCACAGGGCTTGAAATGTGAGATCTCAAGGCCACGAGGAACATAGGGAAATAAGGCAAGGTTTGTGAAGCTCGGCCACGAAGGACGGACAACTATTGTGGCCTAGAATTTGCTTGCGTAGACCACGATTCAATTTTGGAAAGCTAGGCCAAAGGCTGAGGAAAGGCTAATGGCAAAGATTTTCTTCTAGGAGAAAGCTAGGCCACGAAAGAGTACATAGTGTAGGAGGGGACAAAGGACAAAAAACTTTAGCGTCAAGCCTAGTAGGAAGGAAGCAGTTCGGTGAAGAGAGAAAGAGGGAGAAAGATGAAGGATGAGTCAGGCTAACGACTTTCACACTCGAATTCACTCAAATTGACGCGACGCTCCCTAGGATGAGTGGGACGGAAAAGGCAATGAGAAAAAGAAGAAGAAGAAAAAGCAAAAGCAGAATAAAAAGATCTTTGGAACGCTAAACGGCCATTAGAGGTGTCTAGAAGTCGGCCTCATTTATCATAAATTGTCCACATCCAACCCCCATTTCTTTCCTAAAACTGAAAACGAACGTGCGTGGGATTTGACGTCATAACATTCTCATCCGGCTCTTCCGAGAATAGCCCGTTCAAGAGGATTAGTGCGGGGTGCCCTAGCTTTTTGGGAGAAGTTAGGCCAGAAAATGTTTGAAAGATGATAGTGGCCTAACTTTCTGTACTAATGGAATTCTAGGCCGTACTCAAGATGAAGTCTGTGAGGGTCAAACTTTCCCCAAGAATCCTAGGCCACCGCAAAACGAAAAAATGGAACGAAAAGGGTCTTGTGGGGGTAAAGCGCTCATTGTGAATTCATTGGCAATTCGAGAGAGCGAGAGAGACACACAAAAGAATAATAATTGATTCGGTTTCACCCCCGACACAAATCTCCGCTCTTTATGGGGCTTTAGGGGTTATCCTAAAGGAACGAAAAGAGAAAGAGAGAGAGAGAGAAAAGGAACTCAATTAGCGTGCACACCCATGCACATCTCTCTCCTTTTTCTTCTGTTCGCTCCGCTATTTTATCGACGCATCCACATTCACTCAGATTCGGCGATTTTAGGGGAGAAAATATTGTAAGAGCACGAAAAATGGGTGGCCTATGAACAATCCAGAAGCTCTAGCGGTCTAGAAAAACAAAAAAGAATTACGGTAGGATGAAAAGTGTGCAGACGACACTTTACTCACAAACCCATCTACAGTAGCCCGCCACGCGTTTAAGACGGCCCGCAGGTGAAAAATGTGCGGAAAAACAGAATTCTGGCGGAAATGGACATGACACACAAGAATACGCGGCGAAAATCTATGAGTTTGTGCGGAACGCCAAAGAGAATGGCAAAGAAGAAGAAGAAGAAGATGATGAAAAAGAAGATGAAGAGAAAGCGAAAAAGCGGAAGAAGAGGAAGGAGGGCGCGTAGAGGGGGAATTTCCGCCAACTCTCGCTCTCTCTCTCTCTCTTTTCTCTCTCAAAGTAATTATTAGTCTGCTCTTTCCTCTCTCTCTCTCTCTCTCTCTCTCTCTCTCTCTCTCTCTCTCTCTCTCTCTCTCTCTTTCTTTCTCTCTCTGATCCATTTTTTGCGAAAGCGCCCTCGGCCGGTGGCTTCTCCCCTTCTGCGTGGAACGAGCGGAAAAGAGAGAGAGAAAAGGGAGGAAACGTGGCAAAAACACTACGAAAAGCGTGGGTGTCCGGTTTCAGACACCCGTTTTATATATTTTAGCCACGAGGAGTTTTTTTGTGTTTTCGCTAGACAGATCACCGGATGAAATGTATTAACTACACTGAAAGTGTATGCAAAAGGTATATACATACCTTTTTTTAAGTGTTATTTCATCTTTACACCGCCTGATTGTGATGAGACTTCGCGTTCTGCCTAAAATCCACATGTTCACAAAAACCTAGCCTTTTCGGCCTCAAGCCATTACATCTCGGGAGTACTACTCGAAATTGTAGAGTCGTCTGAGATCTTTCTTGAGCCGTGCAGTGAACAATTCTCTTTCTCTCTTCTTCTTCCTTCACGGTCTGTAGAATATTACGTAATTCGTTTAGGAATATGAAAATTGAACCCCTTCGAGTACTTCTGGATGGGTTTTCTGTAAGTGGATCCGAAGGAAGTCCCTTTTTGAAGTGAAAACATTAAAGAAAAACTATTCGAATTGCGAAAATAAACAGAAAGTAAACACTGAGCGACGCGTTATTTCGGAGCGTCGTTGCGAAAAAAAAGCGCGGTAATTCGAAAAAAAAAATGAATTTCAAAACCTTTTAGAGGCGGAATTATGATTTTTTTGGCGAAACGCGGAGGCGGAATGAAATTTTTTTGCGGCGGAATGGCGGGATGAAAAAAACGGCGGAAAGCGGAAGGCGGAAGGCGGAATTCCGCTCAACTCTGCTCGGGACCAGATAGTCCAGTCTGATGATCGGTCTGAAACTTGGCCCCAAAATACTTCAATCCAAGTCCATGAAGCCTGTCCGATCATGGGTCAAAAGCCTTTGACAAGCTTGGTCTAGCTCTAGAGTTGCATAAAGACTGATGAAGAAATCGTGAAAAAATACAAAAAAGTTTATTGATCGATAGTATCCGATCGTCGGAATCCATTTTGAAACACGATTTCTCTCTCTCTCTCTCTCAGTTGCTCGACCGTCGCCAATCAATTTCCGTTTTCCTCAACCGCCGTCGCCTTGATCACTTTCGCGGCTTCTCGTGCTGACGGCGACGCCTGAACCACCGAATCTTTGAGAATCTTCTCACGACTGCCGCTTCTCGATCGGGTTTTCGAGCCGATCTGAAATTCGGTTCGAATTTCCGCCAAAGGTGCGGTGGGGACGCACTTACACTCTTCGCCACGGCCATGGCGTTTTTCAGCATTCCCGGGGGCGGCCTTTTAATTCGTTTTGCCGAGAAATAATTATGAATTCATGAAAAACAAATAGAATATTTAGGGGGCCGTGGGGGACATTGGGGCAATGAAAAGTTGATACGTGAAAAAATGCACTACAGTACTTTAAAGGCGCATACCGTTGGGGGCATTATGGGTTAAGAAGAATGATACGTGAGTGATGATTGGTAAATAAAAAACGAGCCAACAGATTCAGAAATATTTAAAGACAAGGAAAAGTCTCGCAAAATTGAACTACAGGGGGTGGGGGAGATTGGGGAACAAAAAGTTAATGTGATTTGTGAGTTCGTAGACCCTGAAACGGGGAATTTGTCAGTGAAAAGAGCACATTCAGGCTCTGAGCCGGTCTAATGGGAGCGGGACGCCCGGATTCGTTCTCTGCCACTGTAGGATCGATTGATTGTAGGCCGCAAGCCGTCGCTGGTACTTTTGACGGCGGAAATCGTTGAAAACGAGCCGCGCGTTGTTCTCGATCAGCAGAAAATTGTCGACGGAGAGTAGGAACTCTGTGAGCGCGACATCCGGGTCCACGATGCGCTTCAGATCGGCTCCGCTGCAACGGTTCAGCAGTCGCAACGTCCTGCGGTTGGTTATGAAGCGGGACAGCCAGTTTTGGAGGTCCGCTGCCTAGAAAATGCAGGGGTTAACGGTTTCTTTCATCAAAGTTAGCTTTGAATTACAAATAGTCACAATTGTAAACAAAATATTGGTCCCCAACTTACATTCCATGTCTTGTAGTTGCTGTCCTTCTCGCTGGGTAGGTGGAGCCGACCTTCTTGCACCTGAAAATACAAACTATTTCAATCTTTACACTTTCAAATCTTTTACCGTATAATAGTTGGGTCGAAGCGGTGGACGCATTGCCGGTAACGCTCGTCCGGCATCCCGAGCACGATCATATAGGGCCCGTCGATCGCTTAATCGAATCGGATCCTGCGGGTTGAGCCGGACACGCCGTGGTGGTGGTGGTGAAGCAGCGGCCGGAGATTCCCATTGCGCCTCCAGTTCAACCAGCCCCATCACCTCGCTTCTCCGTTCCGCACCTTCCGTTCCGATCAACGCACAAGTCCGTCGGAAGTGTGGCATGCGCAGTGTGTAGGGCAGGTTCAGCTTAAGGAGTTGAATAATGTGAGGCGGATCGAGTGCGGGGCCACGTCGGATGTGCACCGTGCGGATTTGAGTCACAAATCGATCGAATTCGTCGTCCGTCATGGGCCTCGTTTCCGCTTGGTCGTACGGAAGAACGGGCCAGCCGCGGAGCAGGTCGGCGAGCATCAACCTCTCGGCGTCGGTGTTCGGACGCATTTCCGACGGATCCGGATTCCGTCCCCACGGCCGAAGACGATTCATATCTTCGGCTCTCCGGGCAATTTCTAGACTCCTTGCGTAATCTGGCTGTAGTCTTCGTCGTCGGACAGGTTCGGCCGGTTGGACTGGTTGGACTGGTTGGACTGGTTGCACCGGTTGCACCGCTTCTTCGATTTCAGGTTGGACTTCAGGTTGAATCGGTCGGGCCGCGAGCCCCTCCGCAAGTCGTTCGGCGATTCGGTCCGCCCGTCCTCTCGGTGGCAAAACCCAACGTTCTGGAGATTCTGGAGATCTTCTGAGGCGACGCGCCCGATGTTGTGCTCGTTGTTCCCTCGCCAATTGTTGAGCAGCTTGAAGTCTCGCGGCTCTCGCTTCCATTTTACCTGCAAAATTTAGTTACGATTTACCGGATAACAATTCACAAAGGTTCACAAAAGTTTGTGCCGATTCACGAGCAAGGGATAGTTTCGGAGGTTTTACTAAACGACTTTTTGGGCATGCGCGTTTAAAATTACTGTTACAGTATTCAAAGTCTGTCAACGGACGGTCCAAACCCCCAAAACCATCCCCGTAAATCGACACGCGACAGCGTTCTTTGGCGTGTTTCTCCTAGATAAACCGGCGAAAGAGGGAAACAAGGAAACTGCTCTTTCCGCGTGGATTTTCGTAGCAAGACCTGTGAGAAAGCGACAAAAACGGCAAGAGAACGGTGTGGGTGGTCGGCGCCACGGAGAACTCTGATAATACAGGCCAACAAGAGTTTCCAGGCCGCCGGTGTGCCCGGCCGCGGCTTCCGATCGATAACTCTGCCGCCGAGGCGAACACTCACGCTTCTCGTTTGGAGAACACAGAGATTCGCAAGTTTAAAGGGAGGTGGCGTAGGCGCAAACGGCGCAAAATCAGAAGAAATTGGAAAAAGGAACGGATTGGACAGGGAATTGCTCTTATTATAATTCATTTTAGCCAGATTTTCAATTCGATTTGCGAGCGCACACCGACCCAACCACACCCGTTTCGGTTACCATGACCACGGGCGGATCTCGCCACGAAATTTACGCATTCCGGGCTATCTCCGGTTCAAATGATAATTATATCGTTCATTTCGGTTCTGTTTTACATGTAAAATTTCTTATAGTTAGAGCAAGTAAACATCAATTCAACAAACGTCTTTATTTGTTTTGTACGCCTTTCATGTTGTTGATCGAAATATTTTCAATTATGAGAAGGCATTCGCGCCGCCTGGAATTTGTATAAAAAACAGAGCATTTATCTCCCCGGCCGTTGTTGTGAGACCCTTTACTAACAGGTCGAGTTTTGCTGAAAACATCTGAATTTCACTCTGAAATTGAATTTTTGACACTTTTTCAGGCCGAATATTTGAAATTTACGCGATACTATTAATTTCCCGCTTAACGTGTATTCATTTTTCAACTACCGCCACTTTTCATTCTCTTCGCTAAACCGGGCGCAGTACGAGACTTCGCTCGTTTCGCAGTTGAATGCTTCAAACTTTCCTGATTGAAGACGTTCCGCCACGATTCTCAAACTTTTTTTTCGAATCATTTTTCTGGAAAATAGGAAAAGTCGATATTCAGACAGTGACGGAAATGGCGAACGAGCCTACGAGTGAGCAGGCGAAGGAGGCGAGGAAGGAGGTGCAAAAAGAGCAGCAGGATCTGATGGAGGAGCTCACTGAGTACGATTACATCACCCGATTCTTCAAGAACAAGTGCTTCGCGTTTGCCGTACGTTTTTTCGCAAAAAAATTCTGGAAAAGTCGGATCATTGACGATTTTTCGTGAGATTTCACAAAACTCCCATTGTCTAGGATGATGACAAGCAATTGCGAGTTTTTCTAGTTTAATTATTTTGACGCTAGGTTCTCCATTCAATTTTTCACCAAACAAGAGAGCTAAATGTGATTTTTTCAGGATGAAGCCGAACAAACGTCGGCGATTTCGTCGCTGATCAACTGCGAGGACAAATTCGTCGAAGCGTACATGGTGACGGTCGGAAAAGTGTACCAGGAGAGCCGGAAACGCATGTACCGACACTATCGGCATCTCGACACTTTTTACCAATTTTTGACCTCCGGTAAGGGTCCTAAGCTGTAAACAACATGGCGTAATGGAAAACTGGAAGTTTTCCCCCAAACGTTCGATAAATGTTCCTTTTTCTCGAATAAAGAGCATTTTTTTAATTTCTGATTTTCAGAAGAGCCGCTGGTGGACCCTCAGTCTCACCGCTTCTCCACTTTGTTGGTGTTCATTTGCCAAATGCACACGAATATGTACAAATTGAGAAGCGACGCGCTGACATTGTGCGAAGCTGTTCGGCAGATTAAAACGAGCAGGTGTGTTGCGAAAAATAGGGAAAAAACGGGGTTTCCCTCAAAATTATTCATTTTTAGAACCCATTCGAGTTTTTTCCCGCTTCACAAAGCGGCGAGTTTCCACCGTGTGTGGCGGCACATTGGCGAAATTATGTATCAATTTGCGACCGTCGACCAATTGACGCAGATTTATCCGAATTTGGAGAAGGAATTTGTCGAAATTCAAGAGTAAGCAACAAATTCTCAAAAAATGCGGTTCAACTCAATTTTCACAGACGAGAGCGGATACGTACGGAGAAGATTCGGAAGTATTACGGACAGGACATCGATGCCGACGTGGAAAGATGCTACGAGGACGGGTCGAAGGCGCAGGAGGCGGCACAGAAAATGATTCTCAAGGGAAACTGCTTTAGGGTACGCTTTTCCGACAAAATCAGCATTCTAAGGAGGTCGGAAACTGCATAAATGGGTGCTACAACGAAGTCGAACTCGCACGGAATAGAACTGTTACGATTTGGAACTCGCAGTTACATTTTAACGTTGCGAGTTCCAAATCGTAACAGTTCCATTCCGTGCGAGTTCTACTTCGTTGTAGCGCCCAGAAATATACCTCTTCGTTGTTTCTTATCAACCCCAGGACGACAGATTTTTCCGATTTTTTGAAACAAACCATGTTTTCTCCAGGTTCACACGGTCAACATGTTCTCCGATTGTCTATTTCATCCATGTCATGATCTTTTTTCATTGCTCACTGAAAATATTATTGGGGCACCGGACAGAAAGGGCGCGCTGTTCGCAGTCTGGCCGAATTTCTAGGCCGCGAAGTAATTTCCCACTGAAAACGTGACCTAACTTTTTAAACTCGGTCCCGAGGTCGCTCAATTTGCACTGCAAAAAGAGTTTCTCAACAGAGCGCCATTTCTGTGCGGTGCCCCTATAATACATTGTCAAAACTGGGCCAAAACCATTATTAAGTTTTTCCGCAGTGTCCGATTATTTTTAAATTTTTCCAGAATTCCAATCGCTCGCTTTTCAACCAATTCCCAATCGGTTTTTGCAGAGCTTGTACGAGTCATCCGGCGGTGAGATAGACCTTAATCAGAATTTCGCCGGCGAAATGAAGGAGGCCATTTCGGAGATGCTCAGCAACTGGGAAAAGGGCGTTGGTAAGGGAGGGAAACGGCGGAATTTCAGAATTTATTCATGTTCGTCATTCAGGTCAGGACTGCATGGACGTTCGTTTCTTCTGTGGAATCTGCGCGCTCACCGTCTACTACTACCACCATTTTTCGACGTGGGCCGACAATTCGATTGTCCGGAAAGTAGTGAACGCCTCGAGAAAGGTGCAATACTATCGAATTCTGGGCGAGGAGATCTTCATTCCGTGCGAATTTCTGCGCGTTCAAATCTCAAGCAACAATGTGATCGAACCGAAAACCGCGGCGTGGATCAAGAAGATAGTCGACGAGGCGGAGACGTCGCCGAAGGAGAAGGTGGAGGAGATGGTGAGGGAGACGAGGACGTACTGCGAATACGCGAGACAGTGGACCGACGAGTTTGTCGAGAAGCAGAAGGAGCAGATGATCAGCATCACGTACGGTATCGTATCCACCATGGGACTCTCAAGACATCAAAACAGCACCTTGCCCGATTTCTTGAACAAAGAAAGTCGAATAGACTGTTACAATATTGCCTCGTTAGCTGTTCTCAATTGACTTCCTTTCAGGCCTGGGCCTGCGATCCGGTTGGCGTTGACTGAGAAATTGCATAGCGAAAAAACGGTGGGCGAGGGAAACACGATTTGCGCCCCAAGAGAGAGGGACGCAGACGCAAAACTGTCTCGCGTCTGTGTGTCTCTCTCTTGTGCCGCACGCAAATCGCTGCTCTCTCGCCTTCCGTTTTTCTTTCCAGTCTGTTTTTATATTTATTTTCAATGGCAAGTCCTAAAGTACAAAGTCATGATTTTGTGCAGTAGGATTTTACTTTGAACATTAATATGTACTCAGGTGGATACGATTTTGCAACTCTTGATAACACATTTCAACTCGGCTCTGTCTTTTACTGTTTCACACAATTCTATTTTTTTTCGAGAATTTTCCCAAGTATACCGAACTTCATTGCAGAAAACTGCCGCAATGGGGTCGTGACGTGGCGGATCTCTTTCTGAAGTGCATCCGAATTCTCGATGTGCTCACGCGCAACCTCTACATGATAATCCGCTCGAAGCGCGATTCGGCGAGCTTCAAAAAGTTCGAGATAGATCGGCAATGCGCGTACGCGATTCTGTCGGCGATCGAGGTGATCAAACGGACTGAACTGTTCCTGCTCGCAAACTGGTCGACCGTCGAGGAGGGCACCTATCTGGCGAGGGCCACGTGGCGCAAGACCATGGCACGAATTTTGGCGGACGCGCGGAAGGCCTACGTGGCGGCGAAGAGCAAGAATGTGACGCAGATCGAAGCGTCCACCAAACGATCGTTCTACCACATCGCCGAGGCGCAGTGCCTGAGTGATAGTGCGTTTTTCGGGGGACTTTCCGCTCGTTTTCGTAACTACTGTAATAGAAGGGCTCCTCAATATTGTCCATTCAAGGCAATGTATCTCAGCTGCCGATAAAGATATCACAAAGTTGTCAACTAATGAAATGTTCAACAAGAAATTGCGTACATTTTATCAAGTGACAATTTTTGATATCTCCACCGGCAGCTGACTATGAGATACAGTTCTCTGAATAGACAATATTGTCTGTAAGAGCTAAACCTGGTGAAATAGAGAAAAGTTACGAAAACGAGGAGTTTAAACATAGCATTGAGAATTTCGGGAGAGCAAAATGATGGTTTTCAGTGATTCCGTCAAGAAATGTGGTGCTCGGATTGGCGTTCGAAATAGGAAAACTTGAGGTAACAATTTAGGTATTTTGTGAGTATTTTCACTTTTTCCCTTGTTTTCAGACGCACATGCCTCAAAGCATGCGCAAATTGGCCTACGAAGCCATGGCGAATTTGGAGTTGCTCAACTCACCGAAACAACTCTTGTCAAAGTTGGAAAATTTTTACTTGGTTATTTTAAGTACTTTAAAAATGAACTTCAGATCCGCCTGCACGGATCTTTTGCTCCGACACAGTTGGCTTCCGCACCTCTATTTCGAGTCGATGATCTTCAGAAAACCCGACGGCGCCTCTATTGAGGTACTGTCCGTTTTTTGGGAACTTTTGAAAAATGTTGACAATTTTTAGGCCTTTACAGCTGCGTTGGGCGGATTTGTAGAGGGTGCGCGGGAAACGGGCCAATCGGTGAAACTGATGACCAAATTAAAGGAGACTGTTTATCAGGTAGGCCAATTTTTTGAAGAGTTTTCCGCAGTTCTCTTGGACTTCCAGACGCTCATTCAAAAGTTGGGTGGTCTCATCGACATGGACCTCCGCGTGCTCGCCAATCCCGATTTGAATGTCGGAGAGCTGTGAGCTTCGAAAAACCCTACGAAAAATGCGCATTTCCCCCAATTTTTAAGCAATTTCGCCGTCAAAATCGGCGACGAAGACGTGGATTACATCAATTTTCTGGCCAACGACCTGAGGAGGTTCCAAGTGTCGACGACTGTCGTCCCGATTAAAGGTTTTACTGGGAAATTTGAGACATTTGAAAAAAAAAGTTCAGACGCGATTCGCGACTGGCTTGAGGATCACTGGTATCAGATGGGAATGCTCGTACCGAACAGCGTGACGACGTACACGAAAATGACCGAGTTGGCGGCGACCAAGTACGTGGTGGCCTAGGATCCGACAAACGTTTCCAGTTCGAGAGAACTCATATTTAAAGGCCATGCGTTGGCTTAGGATCCAAAACAATAATAAGGGCCTAGTAATTAACTGCTATGGCCTGGGGTTCGATAGAAAGCTATTAAAAGCTCTAGATAGACTAGATGGTCTAGAATCCCCTAAGACTACTATTTTCTGGTCTAAAATTCCCCGCTCTTCCAGATACGGCCTGAAAATGATCGACGGCGACCTTCCGCGTTCCGACACCGACGACACGGTCGCGATCATGGACCTTCTGCGCAACTTCTCGAAGTTCGTCACCAACTACTCGTACTTCAGCCAGGGCTACATGTTCGTCGAGAAGACGTCCGACTCGAAACGTCTGCACACGATCCGCGTGTCGGATCTGCGACGGGCGGTGCGGAAGCACGGCTGCGGAATGCTCCCGACGGCCGTCAACGCCGCCTACATGCTGATCCGCCACAAGCTGCAGACGTTCCTCAATTTTCTCGCCGAGGACAATGTGCGGATGACGGTGCAGAAGTATCTGCACGAGTTAGATGCGAGCAAATCGGACACCGGCAAAAAACGGTCGCACTACAAAGTCTCGTGGGCCGCCCATGTGCTCAAATCGCTGGCGAAAGCGGCGCATCAGGGCACCGCCTACGCGGGAAGCGTCGAGAGCGTTGGCACGGACGGTGCGGAGATGAAGGAGGACGAGATCACGTACACGTATTTCGACAAGTTCCGCAGTGTGATCACGCAAATCGGCAACGCGATTAGTCTGGTCCGCGTCCTGTGCCAGGCAGTACGCGAGAACGGCTTCTCGAATCAGGAGGTGTTCCCGTTCGTCAAACGCTACATGGACGATCTCGAGTCGGCCACGCGCGGTCTCATCCTCACCAACCGGCGGGACCGTCCGATCAACGTGAACAAAGTGCACGTCGTGCACCGACTCGGCCTCGTCCGTGAAATGTTCGAAAAAGTGGGCGAGCATCAGAATTTCGCGAAAATGCTGTGCATCGAGTTTAAAACGCTGCTGCTGCGCTCGAAGGTTCCTGAAGACAAGATCTCGCCGATCGAGCACTTCCACGGAGTGATCCCGGCGCTCACAGTGTCCTACGTCAATTATATGATGGCGCACGAGAACCGCGTGCGGAAGGTGTTCGCACTCAAAAACAACAAGGATTTGGTGGTGGTCGACGACGGATTCGCCGCCGGAATCGCCTTCCTGCTGCACGTCGTCAACGGATGGGAGGACTTTAACAAGTTGGGCTGGTTCGACACCTACATGACGTGAGTGAGACATTTGGAAATTGTGGAATAATTTGAAATTTTTTGAGTTTTCTTTAAAAATCGAGCAGAATTTTGGTGTTAAGCATTGTTTGCTCAAATTGGGTGAGCGGAGCCTATCCAGTTCCCTTTACTCTGGCAATTCGATATTAATCTATTATAGGAGCACCGGACAGAAAGGGCGCGCTGTTCGCAATCTGGGCGAATTTCTAGGCCGCGAAGTAATTTTCCACTGAAAACGTGGCCTAACTTTTCAAACTCGGCCCCGAGGTCGCTCAATTTGCGCTGCAAAAATACTTTCTCAACAGAGCGCCATTCCATATTTTTTTCGTTACAGAATGAAGCAGCACGATTTGAAGACGCAAAGGGAAAACCGTCAAATCACGCAGGCGGTCAGTCTGAAAATCGAACGTCTTCAGATGGAGCTGAAAATTCTGACCCGTCTGAAAATGAATTTCGGCATTCAATTCAACCTATTTGCCCCGTATTAATGTCTTTTTCTTCTTCATCATCATCATCTAAACAACTCACTTTCCCCGCTCATTCCGTTGCCCCCTGGTTTCCAGCTACAGTCTAGCCAACTACTCAATAACAAACATATTTTCATGTTTTATTTACTATATTTATGTTCTAATTCGCTATTTTCGTCTATTTTCCTATCCTCTCAACAATGCGTTTTTCCTTGACACTTGAGTAATTTGTTAACATAAACTCATCAGAATCATCTGTAAATCCTCAATTTTCGAATATTGTGTGTTCAAGTTAAATTCTCCCTCTCTATTTTGACCTCGATTCCATTCAGATACCCAGATATTATCCACAGTCGAAATGACGGCGTATGTGGGACGAGCGTGGTCGATGCTGCGATTCTACACGGACTTCGCCTTCGCCGGAGTCGCCTATCTGGTGAACTCGAAAGCGCATCGGTAGGGAAGTTCTTGTGACTTGTACCATTTTCTGACAGATACAAATTGCCTAAAATCATCATTTTTGTTTGTGTAGCCACACGGCCTACACTGTTCCCGAAAAGAGACGATAGGCGCAGAACAGAAGACTTGTTATCGATTGATTTGTGATTTTTGCATTGTGACCACTCTTCTTCGGGTTCATTGGATCTCACAACGATATTTACGAGTTTTCCTCTTTTGCTGACTGTTTTTGCACTAATATTTAGTCGAATGCAACAGTGGGAGACCTGGAGAACTTGTAGCGATCGCTGTGAGGCCACTAATTTGAAATTTACAATATTCTCTAGTCTCGCAACGATTTTCTCAAGTTTCTCTAAGCTTCAAACATGAATTCAAGGCTGACATTGCTGGAAATACAGTGATCTCGGTCGAAGACGCGTGGAACGGGATCCAGAAAACTTTTGAAAGCCGTTGGGAGGCCGCTGAGCTACGCTACTAACAATGTTTTCCTTCGATATCTTATTTTTCCATGTAAAATGCTCCTGCCACGAAAACCGCCTATTTTTGCAGAGCAATGCCCTCCCTCGCCCACGTGGAACCCATTGAAAAGTTGTCGGCGGCGGTGACTCGAGTGCTCGGCCACAACCCGGGACCTTTCACCCTTCAGGGCACCAACACGTACCTCCTGGGCACTGGCGATCGGTGCGAATACTGTCCATTTCCACGTGTGCATCCATTCCAGACAATTCCAGACGAATCCTGATCGACACTGGCGAACCCGACACGTCCGAGTACATTACGGCGCTGAAATCGGTGCTCGCGGCGACGAACTCTCGCATTGAGTGCATCGTGATCACGCATTGGCACGGCGATCACGTCGGCGGAATCGACAATATCACTGAGGAGATTCTCGAGAAGAAGCCGGTGCCCATCTACAAAATGCAGAGAGCCGCCGACGAAGGCGTCGAGCGCTTCCAGTACGTCGACGACGGATTCCGCGTGGCCGTCGACGGAGCCTCTTTGAAGTGAGAACACTGATTTTTTGAGAAACGATCGCTTTTCAAAAACTCGAAACCATAGCCTTTTTCAAATGTCTCGCTTTGCAGGTTCATCGCCACGCCGGGCCACACGGCCGACCACTTCTCGCTTTGGCTGGAAGAAGAGGAGGCCGTGTTCTCGGGAGATTGCATCCTCGGCGAAGGAACCACCGTCTTCGAGGACCTCCACGACTACATGACCTCTTTGGAGAAGATCAAGGCGTTGCGCGCGAAACGGATTTATCCGGGCCACGGACCCGTCATCGATAAGGTCGACGCGAAAGTGGAGGAGTACATCGAGCACCGGATGAAGCGCGAGCGGGAGATTGTGGCGGTGCTGCGGGCGCACGAGGAGGTGACCAGCATGGAAGTCACCAACACCGTCTACAGCGATTCCCCGTGGGCGGTACGGCTCGCCGCACTCAACAATGTGAAGTTGGTGCTGAAGAAGTTGCAGAAGGACGGCGTCGTCGCGAATCCCTACTTTGAGACTTTCAAATGGATCGGGCCCAAGGAAGCCGCTAATTTGTAGATAGATCTAGAATTTACATGAAAAATTATATTAATTTATCGGATCCAAATAAATAACATATCAACAAATCACATAGATATCATCATCACCACTTTGTCAGCGATCGTTTCAACTGGCGATCCATCTCGTACACGTCGGATTCGGCCGTCCGCAAAGTCCAGCGAGCTCACTTTTGGCACGACCGTCTGAGGAGTGATCATGGTGATTCCTTTTTTGTTTCTGGTATTGCTCTAGAGTGGGTTTAGACCGGATAAAAGTTAGATTGTATCATAAACGGTTTTGCTTGGGATACCGAGCCGTTTCATGATCGTTTGTCTGCTCACCCCTCCAGTGAACAAGCGTATGATGGGAACGGGGTGCAGACTAATCGGTGCTATTTGGCTGAAACAAATCCGTTTGGTCTGAGTCTTGGCCAAATAGTTAAAAACATGATAATATACAACATTTTGAATTAGGGCCACACTAGAATTGCGTCAGTACCTACGCGCGCCGCGTAACGGTGGAGCACCGTGCAGGCCGGCCAGTACATTAGACGTACGCGTGCGTGGATCAAGCAGCAAGGCAGAAAGTGAAGAGAATGGAGAAATGGAAGAGAATTACGAAAAACTAGTCCCCGGTCTTCTCCAGCTAAAATTCCCGATGTTTCTGTTGAAGTCAAACGCGATTCTCATGAATTCGCGGAACTCCTTGTAGGTCATCTCCTCCTCCATGTTTGTCATGCCGTAGAACCATTGGAAAATACTGATATCCACAATCCGCAAGCTGAAATTTCGTCAAATTCGACAGCGGTTCGGTGATGCCGCCCTTCAGAATGTTCATATAGTACATGATGAGCACTTTGAGGTTGCGGAAGCTCGAGATGCACGTGATGTCGGTGACGCACGTGCTCGAAATGTCCAGGAATCTGAGGTGAGAGAGGCTGGCGCCGATCTGAGCCAGCGGTGTAGCTGTGAGTGAAAGAACTCCCACTCTCCTTATCATGTACAACTTACTGAAAGAACAAATGATTTCATTTCATAACTGAAACAGGTTACCAAAAGGAAGCAAATAAAAAACTCATGGGTGTGAGTAAAAGCAGAACTGGAGATCGACGTCTCAGAATGAATTCCGGGAGATTGAGCGTATATATATGATGAATCTGTATATTATTTAATTAAAAGTTCTGTCTATGCTTGCTCCGCCTCGTCGGATATTCCTCGACGGACCGCCGCCACGTCTTGGAAAAGTGGTGCTCCTTCCGTTCGTAACCGCACGCCACGGCAATATGTCGGAAAGCGATTGGAGCCGCGCCCAGTGGAGCTTCTGCTCCGCGTGTACGTCCAAAATCATCGCCTCGCCGGAACTGTTGATGCAAAACGTCGACATGAACGGCATTTCGAAGTCGCTCGAGACGCGGTGCAGAAATTGGTATTCCGTGTCGTACAGCTGAAACGTTTTAGGTTTGGTTCAGAATGTGGGAATTTCTTGTTGAAATCGCGTGCATTTCACGTGATCTTCAAGACGCTGCAGTTACAGTGTCACGTGAAAATTTAATGTTTTCACTTGGTCAAACAGTTAATTCTAAGTTTCTACCTTAATAGTGTGTCCTTTGGCATCTCCAATGAGCAAAAATCCGTTGACATCGAACTGCATTCCGGACACAAACTTGAATCCGGATTCGTTGGCCAAACGTTCGATCGGAAGATCCAGTTCCTTTAAACAAAAAGGCTTTTTCAGAAGACTATAAAAAACAAACAGTTTCAATGACGCGTTGAAGGTTGAAATGGATGTCGTCCCACTGGCGATCGTCCAGATTATAAATGAAAACTTTATTGTTGCCCAGATCGGAAATAGCGACCGTTCCGCGGTAGGTGGCCAAAAAGCTCGGCTGCACGGCGCCGGGCAGGTTGAAAGCCTTTCCCCTGTAGTCTTTTTTGAAGACTCGCAGTCTTTTCGGTCCGTTGTAGGGCAAATCGATGGAAAGAATGTTCCAGCCGACGGATTTGGCGAGTCCGCGCATCTGATGGTTAATCTCATACATGTCCTCTTTATAAGAGGCGTACGAGCGCAAAAACGCCTTGTCTATCAAGTTGTACAGATAGATTGTGAATCCTTTTTTCTGGTCTTCCGAGCACAAAACCGCTGCAGTACGTCCCTCTTTGAAAATCATTATCGCAGACGGATTTTTTAGCTTTGAAGTTTCCGTAACTGTCACGTTGTCAGTTTCAAAGTTGATGCGAATGATTTTGTTGCTACTCCGATCGCAGATAAGCCATTCTTTGAGAGTCTCATCATAGGCAACTCCCAATGGATAGCCAAGTCGTTCACTGTTCAGTGTGTCGCCGAGCGGAAATGGCTCTTCTTTCAGCATCAGATCTGAAAAAACGTGTTAATCTCGATGCAATAAACATCATTAACAAGCATCATTCGTGTTGATGAACGAGAGAAAATCGACTCTGGGCTCGTTGGAGCTCGACTTGTACGGCTCCTTGTTCTCGCCGGACGCGTCGCTGTCGTCACTTGTCGTCTCGGAGAAATCGTCGTTGAGCTCTCCGCGGAGAGTCATCGAACTTATGCTTCCCGTCTGAAACTTTAAAAAAGTAAAATAATCAAATTTAGCTGATTTTCCTACCAAATCATCGTCCAGCGGCTCTCGTTTCATTCGCGAAGCGGCCAGTTCGGCTCGGATTCGCGCGGTCTCATTGTGCGCTTTCTGTACCTTTCGCTCCATTTCTTCTCGATCTCTCCGGACGTGTTCTCTCATCGTCAAACAAGAGTCGATTTTATCGATAAGCTGAATTTTTGAGACATTTTAAAAAATATAGTGTTTGTCCCACTTACAAGTTTTCTGAGCTTCTCAAGTTGTTCATCTGACATTGTGATATCCTGATTCGCCTTCGAGACGAGCTCCGTGATAAGTCGTGCGACGTCTTTTTGAGTTAGCTCTAGACACTCGAAAAATTGATGTTTTTGATATTGCAAGTTATTCTCACCATCTGACATCTCGTTCATGTAAGAACAAATTGAAACGCCTGCAAAATTCGATCAATGTTAAGCACAAACAAATCAAATCGTACAGTAGCTGCTAATAGCGCAAAAAGAGAGAAATTTAAATGTTTTCGTTTGCGGAGGAGTAAGCTCAAAAAGCGACAGGGTCTCACGACGAAGATACAATTTTGAAGCTGCGCCTTTGCTACAGTAACCTTTTTTCTGTTTAGAATAAAAAATTGAAAAATTATCACAAAACAATAAGGGTTTTCGCCGAAAGCGGATAGTTTTTACTTTCAAAATGCTAACAAAATGTCTGACTTATATTTATTTCTTTCTCTCAAAAATTTTGACAGGGAAAAGAAGAGAAACAAGGAGAGATCTCGCAAATTCGAAAGAAGACAAAGGGGTGAGTGACCGAGAAGAATTAAATAATTACAAGTGTTCGACGAAATCACATAGGAAAAATGTAACAGAATTGTATTCTGTATTCTTTCACGGGACGCCAGTTAAATTGAGATTTTTCCGTCGCTCCTGCTCATCGTGCTTCTCCTCTTCTACCACGTCTGAGCGACTTCTGGGCGGTGCCAAATCTCCAGAATATCCCCAATATTGTCCGATCCGTCGGGGGTCTTGTGCGGCGGGGAACGCGACACCGGAGCTCCCGGCCGCCGGCTCTTCCACATAACAGCCCTCTTCCATTTGCTCCGCCGCTTTCTCCACTTCCTCCTCCATCGATGACTTTTTCGCGCGTTGCATCCTTTCGTTCTGCTCAATTCGTTCGATTTCCTCGAGTCGAATGCCCACAATTTCTTGCATTTGAACAGACGGAGCTCCTCGGATCATTCGAAGACACTGCAATTTCACATTTTCCAGTTTTCCTAGCTTTGTTCTCCCACCTGCAAAGTCTCCTGCTCGACTGAATGTAAGTAGCTTGGCGAGTTCATATCCGTCAGTTTCGTGACCAGATTGGGTCGGAGGAGACGGGGCGTGAAGTAGTGCGAGTACAGCGAAGTTCCCGGAATCTCGTCGCCCATTCGGAGGCCCAGAATGACGCCAGTCTCGAGGGCCCAGCAGCGGGCCACGTTGCGGAGAGTGTAGCCGCCGCCGCCGAGCACCATCAGCGGTTTTCCCAGCGCCTTCACGTATTTCACGGCCCGCGCGTGAGCGTTGAAGCTGGAAAAAAGGTCACTTTGTTTTCCGCGTGAAACTTTGAGGAGGTTACGAAAGTGCAAATTGTCCGAGACGATCTTCGCAAAGCGAATCGGAACCGCATTGGAGCACAATGGCTTCCGGATCGAAGTTCTCATTGACACTCTGGATGATGCTCTCGAACAGATTAATGTACGGTTCGTCGCGGATTGCGGCGAGAAGCGGCACGTTGATGGCGAAGTACCTGCCGGGACCGGATCCCTTGTCCATAATGCTTCCGGTTCCGGGGAAGAAGTTTCCGAAGCGATGAAACGAGACGGTCATGACCCGATCGGAGTTATTGAACGCCTCCTGGACGCCGTCTCCGTGATGGATATCGATATCGATGTACAGTACTCGCTTGTGGTATTTGAGCAGTTCCAGAATGCCCAGAACGATGTCGTTGACGTAGCAAAAGCCGGAAGCTTCAGACTTTTTCGCGTGGTGCAGACCGCCCGGCCAGTTGATAACAATGTCGTTGACTTTGTGGTTGAGTCGTCGGGCACCTTCCACCGAACCGCCCGCGTAGAGTGTACAATAGTCCCAGATGCCCGGGAAAATCGGACAGTCCTCGCCGATGTTGAACTTTTTGAGCACCTCTTCCGGATAGCTCATTGCCTGTTTTGGCGTCACCGTTTTGAGGAATTTCACGTAGTCCAAAGTGTGAAATACGGAAATATCGTCGGCTTCCAGTTTCGGCGACTCGACGACCGTCATGTATTTGGGCATTTCGTAGGAGACGACGAGGTCGTTGCAAACCGCCAAACGTTGCGGTTTCATCGGATGCAGTTGTCCTGGATAATTTGTTATTTTCACGTGAAAATCCACAAATTTTCAGGTGAACCTTTTAAAGGTGAGGTGTACTCGTGTAAAATTTTACGTGACCTACCATTCCACGTGGACTTTACACGTTTTTCACGAAAATATACTAGGATCACGCGGAAATGTTCGCTTACCATAGTGAAAATGACCGACATCTTTGTGAAAATAATAGGCGACGTTGCGCTTGCGAACATCGGCGCCGTCCGGTTCGATAGGCTCGTCGCTGCTGTCGAAGAGCGAGACGGGCTTGATTTCTCGCTCTTTCTCTACCGACATCTTGTTATTTAATAAAGTTTTAGACAATTTTTCTTTTTGATTTTTGAAAAAGTAACAGAACTGAGCGAAACGCGCATTCAATAAAATTTTCAATGTTTTTGAGTACAAAATTTAAATTTTGCAGGGAAAAATTGAGGTGCGAACAGTTTATTTAAGAATGTAGGGCAGAGAGAAAGAGAGAAATTGGACAGAATGTGTAGTTTTAAGAAGTTTTTAGAAGAAAAATAAGAAATATTGAAGGTGTGGAGAAGATCTTTCGGGTTGTTTGAGGGGAGAGCAGCGACCACGTTTCAGGAATTTTTCATAAATACACAATAGAAATAGGGAAAAAAGAAAATAGTAAGATAGAAAAAAGCTTACAATATTTTCAGGAGGAGGGAGCTACCCGTGATTGTTCCGACTGTCACCAAAAAACGTGTGCGTTGGCGTGTGGGCGTGGGGTATCATAGATTCTCGAATAACGTTCTCTGCTCAATATGAGCAGATTTACAAAGTTTCAGAAGTTTCGCCCGCAATGATCTACAAAGAACACACAGAGAGGAGTGACAAGTGAAATGGAATTGTAGGGAAAAGGACACAAATGGTGGTGGGTGGTAAGAGGGAACCGATTGACGAAAAAGAAAAACAAAGAAAAAGATAATTTTATAAAACAAGAAGATAACCGATTAGAGTTGAGGAGAGGGAAAGGTTAGTGTCCAGCGCCCGCGCGGACAGGTGTTGTTTGAACGAGTGGCGACGGCTGAGCAGGAAGATGCTGCTGGATCGTCTGATGACGTGCTCCCGTCGAAAACGTGGAAGACGCAGAGGACGTGGAAGGCTGGAACTAGAGGAAATTGTATACACTTTACGTGAAATTACGGATTTTCACGTGGGCTGATGCCACGTCAAACTTCGGCAGAAATGAGAAGAAAAGGTCAGGTGAACTTCAGTTACTTTTCACGTTTCAAAACAACCTTTAACGCGTGACCTTCCTTCACGTAATTTTTTTTTACAAAAATTCAGGCAGAAATGTATCACTTTTCGCTTTAAGGTCGCGAAAAGGGTCACGTAATTTTCAAAAAAAAAAGTTGCAAATTGTTTGCTTTTCTCAAGAAATTTCAGGAATTCTTACCATATCGGTCGAGGGAGCAGGCGAGGAGACAAGCGCCGCCGAAAAGCTGAGCATCCTGTTGACGGGCACGGCGCGATTGCTGCTCACCGCCTCCGCTTTCCGCATCGGCGTCGCCATTGAGCTGGTTTGCGTGGGCGAGTCAGGAATCGGCGGAAGTTGCGAAGTGCCGGCCATCGAGGAGAGAGAAGCAGACGAGGGAACTGCCGAAATGGAGCCGCCCTTCTGCTGATCCTCTTCTGCGACGGGAGACTGATGCAGCTCGGAGAGCAGTTGGGAAAGAGCGTGCGAACTTTCCAAACGGGAGAGTGCCAGCCAGCAAATGTGCGATTCGTGACGACGCAGTTTTCTGGAAACGGATAACATTTAGTAGTGTTCAAAAATAGAAAAGTTAAATGAAACTCACTGTCTTCCCTCCGCCGAGTATCTGGCCAAATTTCTCAAGATAAGACAGCTCGTGAGCCGAATGCTCTTTGTCACAGGTCCTTCCGCCTCGTCCGTCAGCTCGCGCGCCAAATAGTTGAAGGCGTGCCTGCGGATGGCGTCGAACGCGGCGTTTTTCGCGTAGCCGGGGTGGTTGTCACGTGGCTGCACTTCGGCACGTGGCATTCCGCGCTGCACTCCGCCGTCCTTCCGCTTCTGCGCCGCCGCTTTCAGCTGTGTCTCGTTGCAGTGCGTGTCCTGAATGTGTGTGATCAGGGACCAGCGATTCCGCGGCGTCGGGTCGGTGCATCCGTTCCAGCGGCACAGGAGACGGAGCTCTTCTGCCACGTGCTCCTCGGAAAAGTGCTTGAGGACGTGAGAGGGCGAGAAGTAGTAGAGGGAGCAGCAGTCCCAGTCGCACATGAACTCGGTCGGCTGCGAAGAGACCGGCACACCTTTTCTCCTCTCCTCAGTTCCAGAAGTCGTCGCTTCAGGGTCTTTTTCCTCTTTTTCTGTCTGCTTCACCTTCTCCTCCGGCTCCTTTTCCTGCTCTTTCTGCTCCGACTTCTCCTTGAGCTCCGTCTCTTTTTTGCACTCCGCCAATCCGTTGTTCAATCGATCCAAATCGCCGTTGACGGCCGCGGCGACCGCCACAATGTGCGCCGCCCGACTCGCCATCGACACCTTTTTCGGCTTTCCGTTCCCATTGCACATCACGCCGTTCAGTTTCTCCTCCGTTTTCACTTCTGATTCGTGCTGCAATAACAGAATGAATTTGTACGGTTATTAGCTGGACTGAGAAGCTTCCATAGGTGTTTCCAATTGTGCCACGTGGGTTGTCGTCAAATTTCCTATGATATTCGTTTTCAGCATAAATTCTCTATCGTTTGAAAAAAAATTAAGGAAAAATGACCGAAGCAAGAAATTTTCATAGGTCGGGCGGCACAATGTTCTTGCACCTATGGAAGCTTCTCGATATCTCTCTAATGTTAATTGATTTTGATACAGGCTGTTTTAGCCTAACATGGCAATATGGTACACAAAATGCTTCAGTATTTCCCGAAATAAACTGAACAAAGGGAAGCACAAATCCAAAAACACAATTTCAACGAGACACACACCACAAACTGCTGCTGTTCGCGTATTTCGATGGCCACCTCGCTGCCGTTCTTCATGTCGTTCTCGTCAAACAGTTCGGAGGCTTGCACCGGCTCCTGACACACTTCCATGGTTCCGCCCGCGCATCCGTTCAACAGCTTCTTCTGCGCGAAAATGAGAAATAGAGAAAGGAAGAGAAGTAGAGAACAGAAAGGAGAAATAGTGGCATGCAAAGGTAGAAAAAGAAGCGCAGGAAGATGGATTTTCATGGTTTCGAGGTGCTCACCTTGTCACTAATAGGAACTGGCGCTTTTTGCTCGTTGATTTCTTTCTCCTTGGTCTCTTGAGAATCTTCCGGCTCCACTGGCTCTTTCGGCATCACAGATGGCTCCGCGATCACGTCATCACTGAAAAATTAACAGCTACGTGAAAATTATCAAAGCGTTTCAAGTCTTATTCAGTTTTCTACGTGAATGCGTAAAAGAAATGACACGATAACTTTGATTGATCACGTCAAAATTCAACGTTTAGCTTGAATAGGCGTATCTGTACAACTCAAAATTCTGCGTTTTCACTTACATAGCATGTCCGTTCACTCCATTCTCCTCGCCATCTTTCTCCTTCTCCTTCTCCGCCGTCGTCGTCGTCAACATTTTCTTCATCAGCGGATGAGCGTCAGACGTCGAATTCTGCGAAGGCACAAGTCGATGCGGTCGGACGAGTCGAATTCCCTGTGCGACAATCATGATTCCGTTCGACGCCATACGGAAATTCACGTCCGGATACAGGTTCTTCATGACACCGCTGAACATGGCCAGACTTCCGCTCATTGAATGATATACATTGCGCAAATCGTCCACGTACGCCGCGTAGAGCTCGCCACGTGGCGTCGACATTGTCGGCTCGAAAACGCAATTCTGTTTGATCCATTTCTCGGTCAACTGTTCCACTTGGCAATCGCCGCTGTTGGTCGAGGGCGCAATCGGACGGATCGGCAGATTTCCGGTGCGACGATCCATTTTGGTGCCGTTTGCGTAGGGGGACGGCGAGGAAGGCACATTCTGGGCATTTTGCTGCTGCTCCCGAGCCATTTGCTCTCGTTGCACTTGCTGCAGCGCCAGGTTGTTCTGAATGACCTGTCGGACAGTCATTGGCGGCGGAACGGTGGGCGATTGGGTTTGCGTGGGCGGTGCCTGTTGAAGATGCTGCGGAACTCGCTGTTGCTGGGAGTACTGTACAGGATGCGGGGCTTGCTGCATTTGCTGCGGCTGAGGGGCGTACTGCGGCTGATACTCGACGACTTTCATGCCGGCGAGTCCGGCGGGTCCGAAAGAGACGGCCTCGAGGGTGGCCATCGAGACGAGCTGTTGGATGGCTCTCGGCGAGTCGGCGAGCATGTCACACGCGGAATCGCCCATCTCGGAGATTTGATAGAGGCATTCGAGGGTGTAGACACACATCATTATGTCCTTGACGCCGACGACTTCGAAAATGTGACGGATTGTGTGCGGATTGAGCCACTCGCAAATGATCGCCTCGTTTCCCTCAAATCCGCACAGTCCGGTGAGCATTTCGAGGGCGCGGATGAGTTTGAATTTGTCCAAACTGAAGATTCCGTCGTGGATTATGCGGAGGATCGCGTGCTGCGACACGTGTACCAGTATTTTGTCGGTGAGATCAATCTGAAAGGAAGAATGTCATGAAAATTAAGGTGTATGGCTTCAGATATTGCTAATTTGCTGAAAAGATGCACGCGTCACGTTACCTTCGAGCTTAACAAAATGAAGATGTATTTTTACGTTACCTTGTAAAGCTTACTTTCGCTTGAAAAAAGGGCATAAAGTCATGAGCAAAATACCATTTCCACGAGAATCTTTTCAGCAAATGGATGGGTAATAAACTTACATCAGTCGCCAAATTACTGAGCGCATCCAACGCGGCGACGTAGAGCGGAGACCACTTGCACGAGGCGCACATCATCAGAAACTTCATGACTGGCCACGTTTTGACTATCGTCACCCGATTTCCCGGCTCAAAACTCAAGTTGCGGATGATGGTGGTGACCTGATTGATGCGCCAACATCTCGAATCTTTCACTTGGTACGAGTCGGAGACGCCAGTGAAGAATTGATCGTCGTCGTCCACGTACTCTGACTCGATGTCGCTTCCCAAAAATTGAGTGAGAAGACCCAGCGGGACGCCGGAGGACGCCCAGAAACTGCGGAAGTTGTGACGAGTGCTTCTCGCCCAATCCTTTCCCAGCTCGGCCATGGAAGTGTCCTCCTCGTCGTAGACACCCGTGTGGGCGACCAGAAGCGTCAAAAGTGTCGGCGCGTGGCATATTCGCAATTGTTTGGGTCCCGCGTGCGAGAGCAGCATACAGACGTTCATGGCGAAGTCGATTTCGTTCGGAAGACCCGACATGAGCGATTTTGTGAGCCGCGCGTAGTCCGGATCCGTGATAATCTGGCCTCTCTCGTCGCGTGGCGGCTGTTCGGGATGCATCCGATTGTAGCTGATCGGACAGTCGTTCGTGGCGAAGAACGATGTGGCATTCCGGCCACGACTCCTCGACATCTCGTTATCCACGTAGTCGTCCACGTCGCCAATAGTTTCGACCTGCTCGAACTTCGACAGATATCGCATGTAGATGAGTTTGATCGCATGGTCGCCGCACACTATATCCTCTTTGCAGCCGAGCATTTCAGCAATGTCCGACCACTTGTCGCATCCGCCCACCTTCTGCCAGCCTCCGAGAGCCTGGACAGTGTCGTAGAGCCGGTAGAGGTTTACCTCGACGCCCTGCACGTGGGGCAACTTCAACGGCGCATTCCAGCGTCGTTTGTAGAACATGCGCAGACTATTGTAGAACTCGGTCATCTTTCGCTGCTTCTCCGGCGGATCTGTCAGCTGATCGATGTAGTTTTCGAGCTCTGATTTCCGTTTTCTACTTTCCATTTTTGTCTGCGTGGGGTTCTGGAAGAAAAAACTTTGGTATTGGGCTATTATGGATCGAAATCAAGAGGAGGAGGGCGAGGAGATTTATGCCGATCGAGTACTCATTTTGCATAATTTTTAATCTCGGTGTGAAGTGTCTTTGATAAAAGTTTCAACTCAAAGATTAGCAAATCTTTTCTAGTTTCTAGCTCAGGTAATCCAATCGAGTTGATATTTTCACTAAAGATACAAAACATGCCAAAACTGATAATAGTGCAAAACTAGAAACCGATTGGATGTCAGCTAATAGAGCAAATGGATGAGCCGAAAAATGTGCGAAGAAGATTGTTGTTGATCAACATTTTTGGAGGAAAGGAGACGAACGGAAATGAGAGAAATGGAAGGCAGCATATTGAATAAACAGTAATTTGGGATTGGGACAGGTGGCGAAGAGGATTGGCAAAAGAAAAGAAAAAGGGCATTAGACACCAAACGGCAAATTGGATTTTTTATGACTTCACTGGCTTTGAAGTGGAGAAAAGTCAGCAAAACTTTTGAAGTTCTGAAGAAGTGGCCTAGTTTTCAAGTGGAATTCGGCAAGAGCCAAAATGTTATTTACAAAATTGTTATTATACAATTACGAAAGACTGCTCACTTTCCTATGAAAACTGGCGCGTTCTTCTGCGAGGTAACAGCTCGAACAAGAGAATCAAAGTGGACGGATACTAGCTAGAGGTTTCAGAAGTAGATGAACAACATCACTAGAAATGGAGATGCTTCCAATAGAGATTTCAAATTTGGCGGTGTGGTACTGCGCACAGGCCGAAGGAGACGCAGACAGGACAGAGAAGATACAGCGGCGCGAACTTCGAAATAATGAGCGATGAGCTATGTATCTCTCGCAGCTTCTGTAGGTCTTCCGAAAGCTCCGCCTCCGCGATGAAACGGTATTTTTTGGCAAGAGTAACCAGGAGAAAACGGAGAAAGCAGAGATAGGGAACGGGGGGAAAAAGGAAGAAGAAGGATGGAGGAGGCCAGAGAAGCGAGAGAATTATTTGAACGTCGGCGCATCATCATCGTCGTGGGTCGTGCCCCCTCCCCCTTCTTCTTGCCCCCACACACACACACACATATGAATAGGCGTGAAGGGGGGCCCCGGGGTTGATATGGCGGGCGGGCGCGCGCGGAACCAACTTCAGACCCCGCCAAATTCAAATACCTGCAGTGCAGCAGCAGGCCACAGCACAGACGATTTTCGAACGAGGCGTGCGTGCTGCGACGCGGTCCTGTGTGAGTGTAGTGTGTTGGGTGAGTGTGTGCGTGTGTGTGTTTGAGTGTGTGTGAGCGATTGATCGGTCGGGGCAGCAGCAGGCACGCAAGGCGGCCTCCCTCTGCCCGAGCGGGGGGGCTGGTCACTGCGCTGTGTGTGTGTCTGTGTGTGCCTCCCTCGTTCTCATCACTCCCTCTCTTCCCTTGCCTTCTCCCCGCGACGGCCTGGTTGGGCCACAACGAAATACGAGAGACCGGCTGGCGGTGGTGGTGGTGGCTAGGAGGCCAACAGCCAGTACTTAATGCTAACAATCATGGCGGAAAAGACCTAGTTCTTTTCCGTTTTTCGTGTTGGTTTCGTTGGACGGATTATTCCTATATATGATGATGATTCGTTGTGCGAGATGAATGAGAGGAGAGGAGAAGCGGTTGAATAGAAGCTTATGAGCGGAAAATGAATATGGGTTTCTGATTGGCCCCCTCAAGGGCAAAAACGAGAAATTGAGTGATTTTAGCAAAACTTCTCACGCATTTTTGTGTCGGAAACATTTTTTTCAACTTGACATCTTTTTTAATTTTTTGGGAAAAGATGGAGTTCATTTTCAATTTGTTGAAAAAGCCAACCGCTTTTTGAGTCTTTCAGCTTGAAAATAAAACAAAACGACACGCTTTTTTGAAAAATGAGATTTGGACTGGGTTTCACCTGTTTGGGTTTTTATGAGTCGGAAAACGCACTTATCGAGAGAAGAGAAAGTCGTTGAGTCAAAAATTAGAAGACAAGCAAAACATAAGAGGAGCAGAAACCAAATTTCCTTTCTGAGAAGTCTGAAATAGCTATACTATCAGATTTTTAGCTGAAATTTCACATTTTAGTAGAAAACGCGAAGAATAGACACAACAGAAGAGCGTAATTTTCAGACGAAACAGATCAATTCAACAAATTCTACACTTTTACAGTGGAAAAAAACTTAATTGTAATTTCTTAAGAAGCTGAAAAGTTAAGTGTTTCAATAGAGCGCGTTTGCAACGCCCACAACTCGGCGCGAAAAAAAAGAATTAAAATTTATTCTAAAACTGCGCTCTGCGCCATAAAACAATTCCACACGAAACCAGTAAAACTTGGGGGAGAAATGAGGACTAGAAAAATATAATGTTTCAAATAAAGAGTGAAAAAATTAATCCGAGTGTCGAACCCTGTTCAGTGGGACCATCTCAGCCGCATTTCCATTGCCATCTCGTTTCGCCTCCCCATTCATCACTTTTTTGCTGTCGAAGAGCATCTCGTCGAGCTTGTTAAACGGTTTCTCAAACGCCAGCGAAAAGAAGAAGGCGAGGGTGTAGGAGGCGAAGACCGCTTCCACCGTGTACCGGATCTGAAATTTTTGTTCAATTCACATGAGTTTCGACACTGAAAAAGCTAACCATCTGAACAAAAGTAGTGAAATGGAAGGGCTGGGGACGGCTGAGATTGTAGATTTGGAGCATGATCGGATGAAGGAGATAGGCGCAGAAGGTGATCTTCGAGAGGGGGACGAAGAGTCGCCAGGAGAGAATCGTATCGACGGGACCGCCGTTTCCGGTCGTGCACGCGAACACCACCCATCCAAGCGCCATCGAGTAGGCTGGCGTTCCGAACAGTGTGTAGAGCACCTCCCAGGCCTTGGAAATGTCTCCGGTCTTGGCGAAATAGTAGAGGCCAAAGACTGCGTAGAGGCCGAGAATGGTGGACGTGCACCAACCGATGAGCACCGTCCTCCGCTCCAATTTGATCTTCAGATCCTTTTGATCGCGGCTCGTCCAGGCGTTCAGAAGGTAGGCGACGATAACGCCTACGATGAACGGAGTGCATCTGATGTACGGACGCACGTACACGTCGTTCCAGTAGTCGTTCAGTTGGTGTACGCTGAAATTTGCAGAGTTTACAGGTGTTGCTGACCTTCACTTACATCTGAAGCTTGGCCGTCAATAATGGCGCCGGTGGATATCCCTTGATCTGGGTGATAAACAGACGAATGAGCGATGACAATCCGATGATTCCGGTCGAGACTCCCAGCCCTATCTTCATGCCCCATTTCAAGAAGGCAATTACCAAGATCGGCATGAGCACCACGTGGAATTGCATGTCGTTGGCCAGGTACCACGTCCAACCCATGCACTGTATGGATAATACTCTTTGAGGCACACTCTGTAAATAACTTACACACTCAACATCTTGAAGCAAAAAGTTGTTCAAATAGATTAAGTTGGTCCACCAGGCGTGTCGACATCCCTGTCGTTCGATCGGCCGCCAGAACGGTCCGTTCGAGATGTAGGTGAAGAGAGTAACGTCGAAGAGCATGACGGTCATGTACGTGGGCGTGATCCGCACGTACCTCTTGTAGTAGTACATCGGCCACGTTTGGATGTTGAACGCGCTGAGTTTGGGCGGATGGTTCGGGTCGGCTTTCATGGTTCGCTTGAAGAACGAGAAGGCGGCCAGCATTCCGCTGAAATGTTAAGTATGTAGGTTTGAACTTAAACGATCAGGTCTAGCCAAGTTTGGTCCGAATAGGATCTCACCTTAAAAAGAAGAAAGAGTCGACGGCCAACGGGGCTTGGACAATTATTTGAGTGTGGAATTGCTGCGGAAAATTGATCAAAGTGGGCACGAGATTGTCCGTCGTCAGACTGGTCCCGATGTAGTAATAGGTGTGACCCAGAATGATCCAGCACATGCTCAGGAATCGGACGCCGTGCAGCGAATTGATCTCTTTGTCGTTCTTTTTGGATTGAAGGATCTCACTCCCGTTCGAGTACATCGAGAAGGCCAGAATGAACTTGATGAATGGATCTGAAGTATTATTAGTTTGAATTTATAATATGTACCGTACTTAATTAAAACATACGACTGATAGCTGGATGGTGATGAGACTCCGGAGGATTGTTGGCCACTATGAACAGATCGTAGAGCGTTCCAAACGCCACGAGGACTACGGTAGCGATGAGCAAATATAGGGCGAACATGGCCAGTCCGTTTTCGCTCATCGCATCCGAATACGACTCTGCACGGCACTCGACGTCCACGTTGCACACTGATTCGGTGCCGACTGCCGCTTCGGTGGCTCTGATTGCTACAATATCACGCGTTTCTTGATTTAGAGACTCTAGTAGGCTTACCAAAAGTCAACATCCGCTTCACATCATAATCGGTACAAGTGTTCGGCATGCAGACGCCGAATTTCAGAACAGGGAACAGGGCAAAACAGGAACCGTCGTCGGTGAAATTTTTGACGGTTTTCTCGCTGAAACGACGGATTATGGTACCCTCTCCTAATAGTATCAATTCACTTACTAACAATGTCGATCCGGCGCCCCAGACATCATGTTTCCGAAGTAAACCAACGGATTGTCCCGTTCATACGCGTCAATAGTGGCCAGACAGTATTGTCCTTTCCATTTCTGTCTGTAAATCAGTTTATCACTAGAGCGCACTTCCCTTTCCCACCCTCACCCTTGAGCATTCTTGACCACATCAATCTTCCGACACGTGCTCCACGAGCCCACCCAGAGATTGTTCCCGCTCATGATACCCGCCGGCACCTTTCCCATCGCGTCGAACACATTGAAAATCCAGTGCCGTTCGCTCTTTTTCTGCTGGAAAAGCGGTGTGCACTTGCAGTCGGAGCAGTTTCTGTGCTCTTCCACGTGCGTTGCGTATTCTACTCCAGTCCACGCCAGGTGCATCATGTCGCCCACGCAAGCTGAACGGTGAGGAAGTTATTGTACTTTCGGGAGTAATCGGATCAAAAAGTTGTCGACCACAAAAATGTTGTACTAGATGTGTACTTCATTTGTGTTGTTGGCAGCTTTTTGATCCGATGCTTCCTAAGAGTATTGTAACTCATGCAAGTTACGACAGTCTCAAACTTTCAAGATATATACAGTTCTCTTGGCAGTGATCTAGGAAAAAAGTTGGCAACTGAAAAAGTAAAGTACTAGGTATGAAGATAATAGACAAACCCATTGAGATATCGAACGACTTTAACTTCTCGACCATCTCCACCGCGTACTTCATTAACTCCAGATTTCCCTCTTCGGCGCCCGATTTGTAGGCTTCTGCGTAGTTGAAAAAGTGGCGGAACACGTCCAAATCGAGAATCAGTTGCGAGTCCGAGTCGGCCATATATCTGGAGAAGACCGACCCGATCGCCTTGGTGTCCGTCTCGTCGTAGTCGAGTTCTTTGCTCGAGAACAGCGAGCCATCATACTTGTAGCTGGATTTCGAGTTGGCCGGGGCCACGAATACTGAATGCATATATTCTCAAACTTCTACCAATTTGGTTTTTGGAATCTTCAGAACTGAAGCTGGACATGTTTCAACCGAAAAAGCCAACATTTCAATTTTGGTTATTGTAGGTTCACGAAATATGACATTAAGACCTAGATGATTGCAACTATAATCAACTTTTCAAACCTACCACTGACTAGAACGACAACATGGAAGAGTAGCACATTTCTGTGCATTCTGCCCTGAAATGCCTGAAAAAGTGAAAGTTGAGAAGCGAAGAGAGAATGGAATTAAACAGAATCGGGGACTTTTCAGTGTCAATCAGTGTCGGCGTTTTTTGCTCCGTCCACAAAAGACGTGCTGATAAGATTGTAAGTGGAGACTAAGTATTTGGAGAGATGGAGAGAGTAAGACAGTAGAAGAGAGCGCATAAAACTAGACATGTACATGATATTATAGGGGCACCGCACAGAAATAGCGCAATGTTGAGAAACTCTTTTAGCAGTGCAAATTGAGCGACCTCGCGGCCGAGTTTGAAAAATTAGGACACGTTTTCAGTGGAAAATTACTTCGCGGCCTAGAAAGATTGCGAACAGAGGGCCATTTCTGTGAGATGCCCCTATAATAGTGAGAAGGAGAAAGAAAGGAACTATTTAAAGTTCAAATTGTTGTTTTGCAAGCGCGCTGTGCTGCATAAGTGGCCTAGCTTTCTCAAGGTCACGTTCAAATATCTTTGGAAAGCTTTAAAAAGGTCACTGAACTTTTCACGTAAGAAACCTGTCTGAAGCTCACGTGACCTTTAATAAGCTCGATCGGGGTTACGTAGTATTGTAACTCATGCAAGTTAAATGGCTCGAGTGGAATATTTTGAAGGAAAGGTTTGTCAGAAAAGTGATGACTAATTGGTTTTCCGGTCATCACAGTCGCCCGCTCTCTCTCTCTCTCTTTTCTCGTTCGCGGTCCGATACCATTCAGGCATTGTTCATGCTGTCTCCCCCTCTCTCCATCTCTCTATTTAACTTGTTCCGTTCCCTGATAGAATGGAATACACTCATCGATCGGGAACAGGAAAAGGAGAGCGCCTGAAGGACACTTTTCACACCTCATTGGGAACTTGGTCAAGCTAATTGGATTGGGTGAAAAGTTAAAACAAACGGGATTACGCGCATGAACACACACACCCGTCTTCCCGTTTGTTTTAATCAGAGAAATAGAAGATGGAAAAAAAAAGAATTGCAAAAAAGTGATTGTAATTGAAAAGGAAAGGTGTGATTGTGATGGGCGAATGATGATAAGGGAACACATTTGATTGAAGTCAACGTGACGTCGAAACGTCGCAGAATCAGTTTGTGTCTGTGTAAAACGAAATAATTTAAGAATATAATAGTGAAGTCGAGACAGAAAAAGAAAGGAGGGAAACAACAATTGAGTATCAGTTTTACAGTTTCACAATTCGATAAAAAAGAGAAAAGAGAAGAATTAGGGTGGTGGTGGTGGTGGCGGGATCATTCCGTGCGCGGATGGTGGTGCTGGTGGACGACTTGGCGGCGGTGGTGGGTACATTCCGGGTCCGGCGGACGGATAACGCGGGGGCGGTGGTGGCATTCCTGGCCCTCCCAGGTACCTGAAAATAGAAAAATTTGTAATTTTCGCCGAAGCTTCTGTCGGTACCGCATTCCAGGTGGTGGCGGCGGCGGCATTCCTCCCATCGGCGGTCCGAATCTCGACGGAGGCGGCGGTGGAGGCATGCCCATTCCGGGCGGTCCTGGAGTTCTTCCTGGCGGCGGCGGTGGTGGCCACATTCCGGCGGAAGGCGGTGGTGGCGGACGAGGAGTCATTCCAGGCGTCGGCGGCATTGGAGGCATCGGAGGAGGCATCGGAGTGGCGCTCGGCGGTGGAGGTGGCACCGGAGGATACTGTCCGTATCCGCTCGGAGCCATCGCCATCAACGGAGGCGGCTGATAGCCCGGACGACCGGTGGCGTGAGCAGCGATAGCCGCGTGAACTCCCGGGATTGCAAGGGGAGTGTTGGCTGGAATGCCGAGAGGAACATCCGAGAACTGCTGATGCGGCCGATCTTTCGGAAACAATGGATTCTGCGCGGCGAGCATTCTCTCTGCTGCAGTTCCGTGCCGTTCTCCCTTTGAGTCTCGCTTGAACGCGTAGGATACAGTGATGGCCCGATTGCAGAGAAACTGTCCGTTCATGGCTTCCAAAGCCGTATCAGAAGCTTCGAAAGAGGCGAAGTTGATGAATGCGAATCCTTTGGATGTTCCCGAATCCACGTCACGCATAATTTTCGGCACCTGGAGAATGACTCCGAACGCACTGAACGTATCGTAGAGCAGCTTCTCGTCCACTTCCGGATCCAGATTTCCAACGAAAATGTTCGCGCCGACATCCATGTTCTTCTCGTGAGCAGATGCTTTGTTCACCTGGAATTTTTTTTAAAAATTAAACACAAAGGTGGGGGATGTTTGAAAAACGCCAAAAGATTTTTCCGAACTAGCGGCAACCATAAGATTGCCCATAGAAGTAATGGAGGCACTTGGAGCAACCTGGCAACCTGCAACAGTCCGGGTAAAGTCAGAAATGACTAGATTGCAGCGCCTTAAGGACACTCCTGCAATCTGGTAATTAGTGAATCTAGTGCTCGTACCAGGTTGTCTAGTGGGTTCAAATGAGTGGAAACTGAACGAATGTGACCCATAGAAGTAATTCAGACAGTTAGAACGACTTGACAACCTGTTACTGTCCGGGTAAATTTGGCAGTCTTACGGCCAATTTTTTTCCGTACCAGGTCCCTCCTGTTCCGAACTGTCGGCGCTCAACTCAAAACACCTATGATTAAAAGGTAATGTTGACTTAATTTTCACATGAACTTTTTTGAAAGCAAAGGTCACGTGGAAATTCGAATTGAATTCCTACCTTTATGGGCTTTCCGTACAATTTGATCATGTTGAGAATCTTGATAGCATAGTCGGCGTCCTCTTCGCCCATAAACTCGACGAATCCGAATCCCTGATGGTTGGCAGTGACTCGATCCTTCGGCATGTTAACGCTGACCACCGGGCCCGCCTGAACCATCAGCTCCCAAAGAATCGCCTCAGACACTTTTTCGTCGAGACCTCCCACGTAGATCGTCGCATCCTGGTTTCGTTCCACTATCGGCCCTGCTGACATCTGAAATGTTGCAGTTTTTGTGGGTGACAAGCGAATAGAAATTTAGGAAAAGATATTGAAATGGTTTTCGAAACCTTTGACAAAAATTTCAAAACAATAAAAAAAAGAAAGCAAAAATATATAAGCAAACGGGTGTGAGCATAATTTATTTGACAAAATCTGGCAAAAAGGTGAGCAAAAAATTTAGGAAGCCTCTTCCTCTTCCTCATCTTTCGGTGTTTTCTCCTTTTGTTCTTCGAGAGCACGTGACTCTTTGAGCTCATCCGAGGATATGACAGTTTTGAAGAACTTTGAATACTCCAAAGAGTCGCCGCGCTCGTTCCATTCCTTTCGATTCACCCACGGAATGCGGACGTTCGGCGTGCTGAGCAACTGACGAGCACACTGCCACGCATGAGTTTGCGCGTTTTCCACGGCGTCCGAGATCTTCAGACTGAATTCTGCGGGTAACATTGAGCGAATGTCTTTCAGAAGTCGTTCTCGGAAACCCGTAAAGCACGAGGATCCTCCGACGACCACGATGTTCTGCGAAAGGGCGGCTCTGAGTGTTTCCGGGGAACGGGCTAGACTCTCTATGACCCCTTCCGCCACTCCACACTGATCAATGTCGATGTCTGAGGGATTGAAGAGAATCTCGGGAGTGGCGAATCTCTCGATTCCGAGCGTGATGGACGGGGTCGACGGATCGCTCGGATCTCGGGCGTCTTTGACGACGCCGCGGAATGTGTTGTGGAAGTCTGGCATGATATACTTCTTCACTATTGTATTTTCGTCGAACCTTTTTCTGCAAGAAATAATGACATGAAAGAACAACTGTAACTTTCGCGTGATCTTTCATTTCTGAGTGAAAACCTAGTTTTTTAGGCAAAAAGTAACGTAAAACTACAAAAATCTTACTTTGCTTCTTTCATGCTGCTCTCAAAGTCCATCGTCACATAGCAGAGATCCTCTTTGACCTCGTTAATCACGTAAGTCTCCGAGCTAACGTCTAGTGTTCTATACGAAATCCAATCCTTCAACTTGTTCGTCAAAGCCTTCCCGCCCACGTCGATCCGCACGACACTGTCCTGAATGAGCAGTCCGTCCACGAAGCAGGAGATTGTGGTCCAAGAGAAGCCCGTGTCTACCACACAGACACACTTTTCGCGCAATACTTGATGCGAGTGCTCGGCGATGAAAGTGGACGCGGAGCCTTTGCAGACCTCGGTGAAGTCAAAATGCTCGAAGAATATCTCGTTGGAGACGTCCGGAAGCGCCGGAATCAAATAGTTGTTGTCTGCGTAAACGATCCGTGACGTGGAAGTCTCCACTTCCAGCGCGCCAAAAACTTTGTCCCAAATCTGTTGCTGCGTGTCCCAGTTGACGACGTAACCTCGCTCGATCGGCCGAACGTAGAAAAGCGAGAACTTGTCGAGGCACTCCTCCTGCTCTTGCGCCACAAAGACCCGCCTCCGCTCGTGCTTAGATTTGACGATACTGTTCGGAATTAACCTGAAATTAGAAGAATAAGGATTTCAAAGTAGGAAAACGATACCTGGGAGCATCATCGTCGATGTTTCCGATTTTGATGTTGTGCCCTCCATTGTCAAGAATTAATGTGGTTTTGCTCATCTGGAAAGAAGCGTGTGCTTCGAAGAAATTTGACAAGAAACCGCGAAAAAGGATAGAAAAATGGTCAAAAACCGAAAGCGAATTTTTGGAAAAAACGTTATCACATGTTTCATGATAAGGAGTATAAACCCGGTTAGTTATTGTTGAAAAGAAAATAGGGGGTCTAAAAGAATACCATGCGAACACAGACAAAAACGGGCCGTTATTATTGCCAAGTGAGACGGGCGGTGCCTCCTCTTTGCAGGAGCTGCTGGAGTCGTGCGATCTCTTCATCTTTCCGATTCATCTCGGCAACGGGCGTCCAACTACGATCATACTCCAGCCGATACGATCCGACGAACTCCTCTTTCTTCTGACTTTGTCCCCACTCGTCAGGCGCCAGCATCGAAAAATACTTGTCGGTGGATCCGTACTTTTGGTACAAATGATAGATTCGTCCCGGCTGTTTTTGCATGTTGCACGGCACATTGTGCAGCTCCTCGTCCCTCTGCGCGTCTTCCAGTACCGCCCGCGCGGCCATGTGCAACTGCTCCATCTGATCGGCGATCTGCTTCAGACGGTCGCACGCTCGTCCCTTCACTAGTTGACGGGCGGCGCTTAGTTGGCTCGCCAGGGCGAGCAGGTCGTCCGCGTCGATTTTGTCTGTTTGACGGGCGCTCGTCACCAGACGTTCTTCGGCTTCTCGCGATTGAACAAGGGGAACGGATACTGAAAAGCTTCACGGAAATATTGAAGAACGCTGATTTTCTAGCGCTAAGATAGATAAAATATTAGAGAATGTGTACTGAATAATGGGGTTTCGGTTCGACGAATATTTTTGAACGAACGTTAACAAGTTTGGGGTTGAATGACCGCAAAAGTCAATTTTTGCAAATTTCACCTTGTTCTCCACTTTGTCGCAGTTGCACTAACGGCATGCTGTTCTCCATATCCACTTCTATCGCCTCCATCTGAACACATGTTGTATGCAAAAGTAAAGTAATACGAAAATTGAAACAGTTGAAATACATCTAAACGACGGAATCTACCAAAACTCTGCACGTTTTTCAAGGAAACCATAAAACACAGTTGTATTTGGGATGCGAAACTCATTGCGATAAGAAAAAAGAATGCAGGTACACAATAAAAAGAATAAATAAATAAATAAAATAGTAGTCGTGATCACAAGTTAGATGCGCACTTTTACTGTTTTCTCTTCAACTCGAGCATCGTCTTCTCGGTGGCCATTTTGGCACGATGTTTGGCCGTCATATGAGCGGTCTCGATGAGTCCGTTGAGCTTTCCTTCTTTCGCCAGAATTTTCATCAGCTGCATAACGAACGGAGTGTAGTTGTGACGGCGACGGCTGTTCTCTCTAGTGTATCTGAAGTTCTTTAAACATTAAGCGTTTGTATTTTGGGAGAGAATTTTTGGAAGTGTTTTCGCATCATATTTTCCGTACGTACTCAGCCATTTTCTCCTCCTCATCCTCGATCGCTCTCTTCACATCGTCGATTTGCACGGCGAACTCGTTGTTCTCGTTAGCAGCCTCCAAGCTCCGCAGCATCTCCTGGAACTTTTCCCGCCGGTCCGAAATCAAGGCCATCAGGTTGAAGTGGATCTCTCCCTCGCTGTACTTCTCCATTCGTTTCTGGATCACCGGTTCGATCACTTTAAGCCAATCGGCTCCCTCGGGGATCTCGGCGGCTTCAAGCGGTGTCTCGCGGAGACCGTCCAGCTCGTAAACTTTATTTCCGACTGGCACATACGTCACAAAATGATAGTTGTCCTCTGGCTCGCCGCCCTTGATGTCCAATTCGAACAGAGTCTGACGGGAGAAACTATTGTGCACCTCGCGAATTTCGTCACTGTTCGAGAGGCACAGTCCACGGGTGGCCGGGTCCATATCCTTAGCGAAATCCTTGTATTGGCTCATCAAATCACCGATTTTGATATTCGGATCCTCGATGTTCATCAGAAGGTTGATGAGGGCCTGGGTGGCGCACGCGTTTTGAATCACTTGCTGCGCGAAGAAAATGTTTGGAGCGTCGACCGGGGCGCCGGAAGCTTCTTCTCCTTGTCGCCATTTGAACAGAAAAATGAGTCCGTAAACTGGCCTAAACGACATTTTTTCACTTCGTTGCTAATAAAACGAATAACTCACTTTGTAATAGTCTTGTCGTCGTCGAAGGAATAAATCTCTTCGACCTGCATTCCACCGACGCCAAATCCGCGGAGCATTTCAGTGAATACTCCTGGGTCGCTTTCGATAAGGCACCAGTTTCCAGCCTCCGACATCCTCAAAATTCAAACTACGAGATAAATAATGACAAGCCGGTGAAAAAATAAAGGAATGAAGTGATTATCTGCAACGAAAGACGTTTTGGATTCGAAAAATCAGCATCGTTCAGTGGAGCACACTTGCATTGCTTAGACAGAATCCTCGGCCATGGTTTTTATTTATTTTTTGAGAGCATTCCGAAATAGAATTGACTCGAATAGAACTGTCCTGAAATGAAACAGCCCCGAATTAGTCTAGTTAAATTAGTCTAGTTTCTAGTTATATTTCTGAATCTAACTAGGAACTCCGATGGAATCGGAGCTCGGTCAAAATAGAAAAACAGTAAGACCGACAGAAAGTTAATCCTGAAAATACTACTACTCAGATTAATAATATTGCCTCCGGTTCCCCGCCGCAACGCGACCGCTTCGCAGCTAAAAAGACCGGCCCCTTTCTGCAAGCGGCGCACTCCCAATGTGCAACCGTGCCGCACACGCTGTCAATTAATTATTTTTAAAAAATGTTCTTGGCAAATACACAAATTAAAGTTTAGAATCTTGTTTAAATCGATCTTTTTAAATAATTTTGCCAAAAAAACAATTCATACAAACACCTCAAGTATTGGGAATTAAAAAAACAAGAGGTAAAACGTGCGAATTTCTGAAAAGTTGCCTGTAAAACGGTGTTTTAGATTCTTTCGCGAAAAAACAGCGTAGCGTCGGTGTCCAAATTTCACCTGCAAGTATTCCCGGCTTCTCTTGTCTAAAAATGATTGGAACAGACCCTGAGACAGTGCGTTCTACGACTAGAACCCAGACTGTCATTGACAAAACGGAAAGAAGTGCTCAGACGGGCCAAATACGAATAAAAAGGATTGGCTCTGATTTTCAGAGTAAAGAAATTTCAGTTCAGGTCTTGGGCAGGGCCTAATGCAAGGTGCGCGCACACTGTTTCGACTCATTTTTGATTGCCTTTTTCGCCCCTTTAGTAACTATTCATTTGAGGCATGAAAATTTGACAGAACGATTTAAAAATGCCATGAGGAGTCCAATATTCTGAGTCTTCTGAATTTTGGCGTATCTATGTTTACGTAATTGTTTCTACTGGTTTCGACATTTATCTACGGGATTGTCTCACTCTCGAATTGCCCCCAAAAGTTCGCCGACGTATCTGTTGTTCGTGTGCAAACACGACGACGAAAAACTGCACATAAAAATTGTTTGACTGAAAACTTATTCCAATTCCAGCTTAGTAATATTGTAATAAAAATTATTTTTTTAATTTGAGTTTCAGATGAAAGTAGTTATTATGACTTCATCAGTCAGTTTCACTTTGACCTAGTCGGGCTCCAATTAGATTTGCTATAAAATCGTTTTTGCAACTGAACTTTTTGTGTAATTAAGCCACGTTTTCCAGGTATGAATCAGAAATATGCGAATGGATCGATAAACGCGAGTTATGTCAAACTAACAGTGCCCGAGAACTTCATAAAGGTTAGTAGGCAAAGACTAAAAATATAATATAAATTTCAGTTACACAAAAGCAAAAAAGATGGAAATCAAACGATAGACTTCTCCACTACTTCAAACTCTTTCCTTACGCTGGCCACCACGCTCGCCGTCTTCTTTTGTTTCCAAGTGGCGATTTCTGTGAATCCACACTCCGGAGAGTCACAACCGCCCATGTTTGGCGACTATGAAGCACAGAGACACTGGATGGAGAGCACTTATAATCTGCCGATCGAGCAGTGGTACGTGAACGGTACACACAATGATCTACTCTATTGGGGTCTCGATTATCCGCCGCTCACCGCTTATCATCATTGTTTTTTGGGTTTTGTGTATGTTTTCCGCACTGTGTTCCCTTAAAAATATGTTCGGTTCATTTCAGAGCTCATAAAATCAACAAAAGCTGGATAACTCTCGGCGGCTCGCGCGGATTCGAGTCGGTGGCTCATAAGCTATTTATGAGAATCTCCGCCATTTTGCCCTTTTACATTTTCTATCTTCCCCCGCTGATTTTCCATTTTTCCAATTCAAAGAGTACGTCTCCCCTTCTTCAGGCCCTTGCTCTTCTTTATCCCGGACTGTTGGTCATAGACAACGGACACTTCCAGTGAGTAGAAACAAAACATCAATTAAAAAGAATTTGTTAAATTTTACACGTTAAAATGCTTGGGCGCAACATTTGCGTAAGGTCACGTGAAATGTACTTGACATGGTTCTATAAATTCCATGTCTCCGTACGATGTCAATGCACACCTCAATTTTCAGATACAACAGCATTTCGCTCGGCCTCTTTATTACGAGCTATGTATTTCTCTCCAGAAATCGCACTAAAATCGGTTCGATATTTTTCGTGGCCGCTCTGAACTACAAGCAGATGGAACTGTACCACGCCTTGCCCGTCTTCGTTTTCATCCTTTCCAGGTCTTTTAATCGCTCATCGTTTGTGGATTCATTTCTAAAAATCGCGAAAATCGGAGCCGTTGTAATCGCTACTTTTTCGTTCATTTGGCAACCCTTTCTGTTGAACGGAACCGCGAAAGACGTGCTTATTCGCGTTTTCCCGTTCAATCGAGGAGTTTATGAGGATAAAGTGGCCAGTTTCTGGTGCGCTTTTTCGTTCATTCTAAAACGATTGCCGATTGAAAGTTTGCAGATTCAGATGAGGTTTGTCAAATTATCAAATTAAACTTGTAGTATTCGAACAATTCTTCCCGTTTTCAGCGCCGCCCTGGTTCTCCTTTGCTCACTTCCATCTCTAATGCAACTATTCCTCCGCCCATCCGACAAAAACTTCCGTTTGTCACTGGTTGCCACATCACTATCTTTCTTCCTCTTCTCATTCCACGTCCACGAAAAGACGATCCTTCTAGCGGCCGTGCCTGCTCTCCTCCTGCTTCCCGACTATCCCGAGCACGTGCTCTGGCTGCTGAGCATCTCAAACATCAGTCTGTTCAGTCTGTGCGTCAAAGACAACTTCTGCTTCTCGCTGGCCGTCTTTGCCGCCTATTTTATAATCTCTACAGTTTTGTTTGATTTCAAGACGAAAACCTCTTTGTTGAAGAATGTTTCCGTTCTAATCGGTTTTTCTATTTGTATTCTAGAGCTTTATGGCCCGAAAAGCGCCAGATTTCCTCACATTTATCAATTGGCCAACGCATTCTATAGTTGCCTCCACTTTTTATATTTTCTCGGGTTTTTCACGGTTAAATTGGTCAGAGGGTTGGAGAAACCAAAAATTCAATAAACAATCGGCTTCTTCTTCAGCTCTGCTACGAAAATTGTCTTTCTGTGTGGTTTAGATACCCCAGTGTGTTTGAGTGAGTCGGCGAAAGTTCAAATTTTTAGTGTACACCCGCCAAATTTACTGGCGCGCACGCAAGACGCGTCATGCTCTGCAAGCATGGGGCGCCAAATGTAGCTTTTTTTGGCGCTTCAATCACGTTTTTCTCGCTTGCTACCTCCCCCAAATTGCTAATCATCTGTCCCTCATCAAAAGAAAGAAGCAGAGCTTTTTATGGCAAATGATGCTTTTCTTCTTTTCGCTGCTTTCGCACAAAAATCTTGTCTCGCAAAACGAGCCCTAAAATGTCAAATTTTGCGGGCTTTTCGTTAATCCATGGTTTAGTTTACCCAACCAAAAAGTCCCGAAAAGGATTACTCTCCTCATTTCAAAAAAGAAGACGTCGCTTTCGTTCCGCAAACGCACACTTTCGACCCCAATAATAGTCAATTTCCGGGGACGAATCCTTTTTGTCGCGCGCCGCGCACACCATAAGATGAGCCCCATTCAACAACGCGTGGTTTTATTAGTTTCTGCTTTCTCGGCCATCGCGTGCCTGTCTAGTGCATCTTCATTACGTTTCTCAAGTACTTCTCGCTCTGTCTTTCTTTAGGATTAGTTTTCTTCGTCGAAAACACTCGGAACCTTTTTATTCTTCAGAAGTTATGGTACGGGTGGATGATTCGGAAGTTGAAACGCCCGGCGGGTACGTTCGACTAGCCGGCAAAGGTCTTCCCGGCGGCGAGCAACAACCGTGCAGCTCTCCCGAAGTGGCTGCCGCTCCGTCCGACGAGAACAGTCCGGGCAGAACCACCCAACTCGCTCTGCCGTCCTCATCAAGTGCCGCCAGCTCATCCACCTATCAAAATCTGATTCCCCTCGATGAAAATGAACACAGATATGTGGGACTTGTCAATCAGGTAAGGCAACTCGTCGTATTTAAATATCGCAATCTTTCTCAATTTTGAGATATAAAATTGTGGAAAAATATCGGATTTTATTAGCATTTTTTAACCATTCTCTTTACAGGCTATGACGTGCTACCTGAACAGTCTCGTGCAGTCGCTCTACATGACTCCCGAGTTTAGAAACGCCATGTACGAGTGGGAATACGTACAACAACCGGCTCACGCTAAAGAGCAGAAGCGAAAGGCGGATCAGAGCATACCGTGCCAGCTGCAGAAGCTGTTTCTCTTGTTGCAAACATCTGACAACGACTCGCTGGAGACAAAAGATTTGACGCAGAGCTTCGGGTGGACGTCAAACGAGGCGTACGATCAGCACGACGTACAGGAGCTGTGTCGTCTGATGTTTGACGCTCTGGAGCACAAATGGAAGGGAACGAAGCACGAGAAGTTGATTCAGGACTTGTACAGAGGCACGATGGAGGACTTTGTGGCGTGTCTGAAGTGCGGTCGCGAGAGTGTCAAGACTGATTACTTTTTGGATTTACCGTTGGCAGTGAAGCCGTTTGGCGCTATCAACGCCTATAAAAGCGTCGAAGAAGCGTTGTCCGCTTTTGTACAGCCTGAATTGCTTGACGGATCCAACCAGTACATGTGCGAGAATTGCAAGAGCAAGCAGGACGCTCACAAAGGACTTCGCATCACTCAGTTCCCCTACCTGCTCACAATCCAGCTGAAACGTTTCGATTTCGATTACAACACCATGCATCGAATCAAACTGAACGACAAAATGACGTTCCCTGACGTGCTGGATCTCAGCGAATATGTCAAAAAAGACAGAAGCGGAGGAGGAGAAGAAGGGACGCCGATCGAAGTGCCGAAGGAGGGCGACGACGACGATATGGAACTGGGATCACCGGATCTAAAGAGGTACACGCCAGGCAATCATGATTCGCCTAATCGATACAGTTTCCGAGGAGAGGAAAGTGGTTAGTCCAATATTTTCACGTTTCAGTCATGCTAGTAGCTGCATGTGTTTTCAGCATGCGTTGGTAATCCAATTGACCATGAAGCCGTCGACGAGTTGATCAAGACGAGCGGTGATAACGTCTACGAACTGTTCTCCGTAATGGTTCACTCTGGAAACGCCGCCGGAGGGCACTACTTTGCATACATTAAAAATTTGGACCAGGACAAATGGTACATTTTCAACGACACTCGCGTCGACTTTGCCTCCTCCCAAGAGATCGAGAGGAGTTTCGGAGGAAGTCCGGGCGGATGGAATCACTCGAATACGAATGCGTACATGCTCATGTACCGAAGAATGGATCCGAAACGCAACGCCAGCTTCATTCTCACGGACAGACTGCCGCAGCACATCAAGGATTCGCAAGAAAAGTGGCGGATTCAAGAGCAAGAAGCCGAAGAGGAACGTCTCCGAAAGCTGAGCCTGATCCAGGTGTACGTTAGCATCAACTACCCGTTCCCGTCGTTTGTGCACCACGTTGACAATCAAATACTTGACTTGACTTCTAAGAAGTATCAGATGGCCGAGGATTTCTGCGAGTATAAAACTGAGATTTCGCGTGAACAACCGATAAAATCAGTATTCAACCATGCATTCGACTTTTTCAATGAGCGAGCACGCGCCTACAACCTGACTATTTCAAAGAGTCATGCTCGACTCATTTACGTGGAGCACAACACACTCAAAATGGACTTCCGATCGCCGTCCGACCTGGAGAAAAAGCTGAGAGTGGTGTTCAATCCACACATAGGCGAGCCTGGATCCTTGTACCAAGTTCATTTCATTCTCGATATTCGATTTGCACCCGGTTTCTTCCCTGTCGATGTTCCGTTGGGAATGACCATAAAAGTGCAGAGAGTGGACGTCGGAAAGCGAACAACGGCCAACGAGCTGATTATGGTTGTGAGGCCGGACGAGAAAATGATCAAGGTGAAGGAGATGATCGGATCGCAGTTCTGTGACGACATTCACCAAGTGTGCCAATCGCGAATGGTTCTCGAGGCCGCCTCGTCCAGATGCGAATTCCTGGTGATCGATCAGTCACAGAACGGAGTCGAGTTCCGAAACCTCATCGCACACCACATGGGACAGGCTCTGCCGACGGTAATTCATCGCAAATCAGAATAAAATCGAAAAATATCATTTTCAGTTGTACTACGACGGCGGTCTTAACAAAATGGTGTCAGAAGAGTCGAAGAACGAGACCCTCATCGATCGTAACAGACCGTTTGAAACGTCCCTCATGTACCAGATCCTCGACAGAAAGTGCTTCTCTACATTCGTCAAGGTTCGCCTGCCATCGCAGGAGGAGATCGAAAAAGCGGCGACGACAAAGAATGTGTATCAAGGGCCAAGTTGGGCGGAGACGATGGCACTTATGAACGAGGAGGATAGGGTGTGGAATGAGCCACGGGCGCAGGTCGATGTGCTCTCGACGACATCCAAGAACGAGAGCGGAGACATGCCACTTTTGGTTAAACTTGATTTTTTTCAAGAAGTCCAATTTAGTTTTCTCATTTCAGGCGGATACTGACGAAGAAACAGTCGCATCAGGACGAGTTTCCACATCTTCAATGCGATCGATCAGCATGGACGAGATCGATTCGAACGAAATGGTATCCGGAAGCTTCTGCAACAACACACCGCAACTGTCTCCGTGCGTATCGGAAGGCGACGACTTGGATCCGAATCCCAGCAGTGTGGAGGGTAAAGCGCAGTTGATGGAGGACTACATTCAGAACAAGACGTCTAACATCTATCAGAACTTCTCGCCGGCCAGTCAATTGTCGCTCAATAAGAATCTGAAAGTGGCACTCGGAGAAGACACAAGTGGCGCCGAGTCTCCGTCGGCAGTCAGCAGTGGTCAGTCCACTCTGGTTCCGTCCACTTCTAACCAAGCACTCTCCCGGTGCGAGGATTCAGTCGAAGGAAAGATAGTGGCAGTTTTGTCGCACGAAAACTATCATAAACTCGACATTGACCGTCGCATGAAGGTGTCCGAATTCAAGAAGTGGGTGTCGGAGCAGCTGAAAATGGACAAGAACCAGTTTGTGATCATGAAACACACATCGGACGATGGATCAGACCCTGGATACGAGACGAACGCGTCGGACGAGGAGAGCATTTCGGGGGCCTTCCAGTCTTGCTTCATCTCAATAAAACTCCGTGCTCCGCTCAAACAGAACGAGCGAATGATTCAGATAATTCTTTTCGACATGCTTGAGAACCAGCGGGAAAACTGGAAGACATTGTTTGAGTTGCCAATCTCGCCGAGCACAGTCATCGGAGACGTGCTTCTTCAGTGCCTTCGCATGTACAAGGAGATTTATGGAGAGGAGCTCACTCTGAAACAGTCAGTATTAATTGAATATTCAACTTTGCCTGATCATTTTATTTCCAGGGTGCGTCTACGAGATGTCGGAGGGAACGGCGGGCCGGGCAACTCACGGGCAGCTCTCAACCCGAACGACACAATGGACAAAAGACCTTTCAATTGGGGGGCGCACCTTTACCTTCAGATCATCACCGACGAGACGATTATTGGAAAACCGGGAGAGCCGGTGTTGGTGCGAAGGTTCCGTCCTTCGACAGTAGAAACCAGTGCGACGCACGAGGTGCTTGTGGACGCGTCCGCCGAGAATCCGGTGCAGTCGTTCTGCGAATCAATCTCCGCGCATTCTGGAATTCCGATCGACCAGCTTGCTATCACGGAACCGAGGGAATTCAATTGGCAAAAGTGGCCGTTCGTAAAGAGCCGACTGGATATGCTTGACAACAAGTGAGTTTTGGAACTGATATGCGCTGCATGCAGCTGCGCATAGTCACAAGAAAGTTGAATGAGCATTTTTTGTTTTCAGGGTCAACTTCACCCGAGATCTTCATCTGAACTACCCGCATCCGCGCGAGTTCCTCGACAAAGTCGGCGCCCGAGTCTTGTACTACAAGGACGCCGAAGAGGAGACGAAGTTGCTCACGGAGGAGGAGCGAAAGCAGATCAAGATCAAGGAAAACGGACAGGTTTGTGGAAACCACGAGCCAATACGACCATTCTCTTTTACAGTCTGCGAATGTGAATCGCCGGAAAGAACGACCACTTCGCATCCAGATGAGCTCCGTCAGCGAGGCCTAGGATCCCCCTATCCCCTCCCAATCACCCTTCATTTTCCCCGGGTCTTTCATTTATTCTCTACCCTCTCACCCTATCGCCCGTTTAACCTATCATCTCCGCCTAGTTTCTCCCCGATATTTTGATGAATTTATATATTCCCCGGCCCCATTCCCCCCCCAGTGAAAACCCTCTCTCTCTCTCTCCCAGTTATTTTGTAAATTATTATTATTGTCGTCGTATTTTTTGAACACAAACCAGTTAAAAAACACTTGATTCGACTCCTATTCTACTTTTTTGTTGAGGACTTTTCAATATTGTTGTAGTAAATGCTCTTCTTTGAGAACTTTCAATCCACACGTCTTCTGTGTTGTCTTCAGATGGCCTCCAAAAAAGTGACGTTCGACGTGGCAGATGACGTGGCGTCGCCAGCGCCAAAAGCAACGAAGAAGAGCAGGACGCCGATGAAGAAAAAGGCAAACGGACGTGTGCAGAGGCACACTCAGAAGACGTTGCAAAGAGTGAAAGGTAGGGGATTTCGGTCGATATCGTGTTGAATTCTCATTTGTGTCCAGAAGAAATGGAGAATGAAAACGACGTGGAAAATGACGGAAAAGTGGATGAGAAGACAAAGAAAGAAGCGAAAAAGCAGGTGAAAACAGAAGATTCAGACGTGGCAGGTTCGTTTTCCACGTTGAGAAATGCTTTAACATTCATTCTTTATAGATGTACAAAATGAAGAAAAACCGAAGATAGAATCGAAGAAGCGGGTAAAAGTGGACGGTGAAGATTTTGATTCAGAGTCTGCAGCCGCGAAACCAAAAAAGAAGAAAAAGACGTGTGGAGAGTCTGAGGCACAGAAGAGGTCACGTGAAACCGTCGGAGCAGAAGTGCTCTCCGCCGTCGGCTCTTCCCAGAAAATGCTCGGATTCCACGTGAGCGCTGCCGGAGGGCTCGAACAAGCGATTTATAACGCTCGCGCCGAGGGCTGCCGCAGTTTCGCCCTTTTCGTTCGCAATCAACGCACGTGGAATCACAAACCGATGACCGAGGAGGTGGTGGAGAACTGGCGGAAAGCGACGGAAGAAACGGGCTTCCCAATGGATCAGGTGGTGCCGCACGGATCGTACCTGATAAATGCGGGCTCACCGGAAGCGGATAAACTCGAAAAGTCGAGGGCAGCGATGGTGGACGAATGTCAGAGGGCCGAGAAGTTGGGCATTCGGATGTACAACTTCCATCCGGGATCCACGGTCGGAAAGTGCGAGCGGGACGAATGCATGCGGACGATTGCGGAGACCATCGATTACGTGGCCGAACGCACCGAGAATATCGTTTTGGGTAAGCCAAACTTTGATATTTCAAACTTATTCAAATTTGCGAGGGGGACTTCACCATAAACTAGTTTTTGCGGAAAAAAAGAAAAACGCGTGCGAAAGATCTGCTAGAAGTGGGGGCCAGTGTTGAGATCTGTAGATCTGTATTTTTCGTTAATTTTTTGTATTTTTGAAAACGTTTTCACTGCCAGTTTAGTGAAATAAAATAAAATGCATTATTCGTGTTTATTACTTTATAGTTTTCCACTAGGGTCACGTTAAATGGCGAACGCGCTGTTTAGTAGTTTCTGCAACTTTGTGACGTCACACTATCTAAGCAGAAATGTTCAATCTAACTTCAGTTCTCGAGACCATGTCCGGCCAAGGCAACTCGATTGGTGGAACATTCGAAGAGCTCAGGTACATCATCGACCGAGTGAAAGACAAAAGCCGCGTGGGCGTGTGCATTGACACGTGTCACATCTTTGCCGCTGGATATGATATTCGAACGGAGAAGACGTACGAGCAGACGATGAAAAAGTTTGAAAATAAGATCGGATGGGAGTACCTGAAGGCGATGCACATCAACGATTCGAAAGGAGACCTCGGATCGCATTTGGATCGACACGAACACATTGGTGCGGGTAAACTGGGAACAAGGACGTTCGAGTTGCTGATGAAAGATGCGAGATTGAATGGGATTCCGATGATTTTTGAGACGCCAGAGGGAAAATATCCAGAGGAGATGATGCTGTTGTACGGAATGGAAAACTGAATAACTGCATGTAAAATGTTGAACTTTGCTCTTGTTAACTGATATATCACATATGATGCTGATTTTCTCATAAATTCTTAACGTTCCCCTTGTGATCCGGAAAACTAGATAAACTTTACAATCGATATCTATCAATGGAAAATCGTCTCTTTCCAACTGGGCCAGATTGCCGTTGCTATCATTTATGCTCTTTTCCCTATCCTTTTCTAAGAAAACGGCCTCTCTCGCAACCAGATTCCCTACCTTTTTCCCTTTCTGCTTTTCATTTCGGAATTAATAGTCGAATTTTCCCGAATTTCCCGAATTTTCCTGAACTTTGCGCAAAAGCTGCGTAAAGTTTGCGCAAAATTGACGAATCAGAACTATTTTCAGTGCTAATTGGTTCTGATTCGTACCAGTTCTGATTCGGGAAGTTCCGATTCGGGGCAGCACCTTTTCCGACGCCCGTATTCACTTATTTTCAGCTTCCGCTTGTTCTCATGTTGTTGTTCGGTATCTCAGGGAACATTATAATCATTTGGAATTAGATTTGGAGAACTTTTCGTTTTGAGGAAACTGAAAAACAAAAATGCCAAAATCCTCGAAATATGAATACATATTGCCGAATCGGCTCCAAATCGATCCTACTGTTGTCCTAGATGACAGAAAACACAATCTGACTCATCGGAACCTGTAAATCTTCGAGAAAATCCATTTCAAAAACGACTTCGATCACACCGAAAATACCAGACAAGGGTCGGAAAACGTATTTTTAATTTTTGTGCTCAAATGGTGCAGAATGAGGCACAAGAGGTATAGTCCCTCGTATTCCATACCGTATTCATTCAACCACGCACACAACAAGAAGTTTTCATCTGATGAAAAAGTCAAAATGATTATTTATTTCGGAAAGAAGTGAAAATAAACAAAAGTATTGCAAAGTATTGCAGCCGGAAAACATAATAAGTTAGTTACAATTGCATTTTACACTCGGCGAGCACGAGCTCTTAGATGAGCAAAAATCTCGTTGTCAGACTTGAACTGAGTGTCGAACGGATCGTCGAACTTGCATCCGATACGGTAGTTGACAGTCGAGTTGAGACATTTTCCGGAGCGCCAGAGCACGTGCTCGTCGTTGCGCTTCTCGATTTGGTAGGTGATGAAGTTGAAGCAGGCACGGTGTCCCTGATCGATGAACGAGATGAAGACGGTGTGGGATTTCGGGCACACGATGTCACAGTACTCGCGCTCCTGTCCATCGTGCTCTTCCTCAAATAAAACCTTTTTTGGCGTGCATCCGAATCGAATTCAAACCTGCCAACATCCGAGGCCAGTTGGCACTGGTCTTCCGGTCTCCAGCTCTTCCTCTTTCAGAACCAAGTGACATTCGGCACGGTCCGGACCTCCACGGATCGTATTGGTCGGGGTGGAACATTTCAGCTCACGGTACTCTATAAAATAGGAATCTAGCTGCAGAATGAAACGTTTGAATCTGGATATGAAGCTGCAATTACTTTTCACGTCAACTTTTTTGTATTTCAATTATGGGCTAATGTGCGCGAAATTTTTTTGGCTTGGAAAGTGTCACGCTAATTTGCACGCATGTTTAAGTTTTAACAATCTTACGGTGATAGGCCAGCACGGTGCAGGAAAGAATTGCCAAAATGAGGCACGGACGGAACATTCTTGAAAAGAAGTGGCAGCCACCGAGTACAGAAACAGATATCGTCTGTTTTTGATGATCTTTTCTGAATATGCAAATGCTTCGGCAGCGCGGCCGCCCATATATGGCAAGATAAGGGACCGGTTCAGCGACACGATCTAACCGTTTTGCGTAATAATAATAATAATTATTATTATTATTATCCATTTCGAGTTTTTCTTATTCTAGATTCTTGTTTATGACGACACTGGTCATTTGGCGACTGGAATTGCCCATGGTCAATGAACTGATACATTGGATCAGGTATTTTTTGGTGTTTGAGGGAAACAGCAGAAGATATGTTTCGGCCCAAATTCAAACCACTTAGTGTGCACATCTTTATTAGTTCATCAAGTAGCAATTAGTTCGAAGTAAAGTACGATCTCAAAAAGTTCGAATCAAAATCAGCATGCGGTTAAGAGTCAGTTTCTGTTCCAATAAGGAATGAAAGTAAATTTAACTAATCACACAGCATGGTTTCTTCTTTTCCATTTGCATTTCCTTCGTCACTGAAATCTCCGAATTCACTTTGGCCAGACTACCACCTTTCGGAATGGACGTCGACGAATTATTGCTGTTCTCCAAGTACTTGGCATTCTGAAAATAGAGCCCTAATCTCAGTTGTTCTCTTTTCTGCAAGCGTACTCTCGCTTCCACCAGCTTCACAATCTCATCGATGTTCGGCCATGAGTCACACCGATCGTCCTCGATGTGCTTGTACAGTATCTCGCCGGTTTTGTCCACAAGTACCGTACCGCCCTTCTGCGAGATGTAGGCGACCGAGTCTTCTGAACCGTCCTTCGAAGCGCTTGTCGGACGATCTCCATCCACCAAGGAAGATTCCACAACCTGAGAAGTTAAAGATATTTTCTAAAGTTTCAAACTTTTGAATACTTTGCACATAGACTCCCAGCCACTGAATTTACGCGCCGGCTTTCTGTTCAGTTTTAGTTGCTCCTCGGCTTCATTCGTATCATACAACTTCCGGAAAGGCACTCCGATCAGTTTGATGTACGCGCCGCCACTGGATCCGATGGGCGGTCCTTTTGTGAGAAGGAACACATCGCATCGCAGCTTTTTGAGTTCGTCAATCCGATTGTAGAGTCCCAAAATGTGATCATTCACTTCCGGCTTGTTGAAAGCGCTGAACAGAATGTACGAGCTCAACGCGAATCACGGTCAGAACCAACCGAACTACAATAATGAGAACACAATCGAATGCGCTGCCAGTCACGTAGTACGAAATTGTTTTGCTTTGTAGTCCCAAGATTCCGGAATCTGCATAGTCAGAAATGTACGAATTCAACTTGCTATTAGTCAGAATTCACACGTGATCTATTTTTAATTCAGCTAAAGTCACGTGGCCAATGTTTCCGTACCTTCTGGCTGCGTGGCAGGAACCTTCTTCACTGGCCCGAGTGTCCGATCCAATTCCTCATCGATCTCCTGAAGGAACTGGTCCCAGGCGACGAATGATTCGTAGAGAGCCTTTCCAGAAGCTTCTGGAAGCAGAAAAGTGATAAAATGATGATATAATATAATGGATTACGGCTGGATTATGCTGTGATAAATATTTCAGATTTTCTTTTTGCTTTCGTCAACGAATGTCAACGCCTCCGCACTTCCACTTACTCATTTGCGGGTCCTCTTCCCATTCGGCCAGTTTCGACTGCAGTTCTGCTAACGTCTTCACTTTGAGCACCTCGAAAAGTTTCGCGATTTCAGGACAGAATTCGCTGACGAGAAATCCGTTTTGCACATAGTTGACCACGAAAACCGAACGGTTGTTTTGTTGAATTATCTGTAACGGCTTACTGTAGTGTGATTCCGACCTTGTTAATCTCATAAAACCAATACTAGAAAAACTTGCGCACCTCATTGTACTCGGCGAGTTTGCTGTGGAAAAAGTCGACGACGGCGGCGATCTGCTCTTCGGCTGACGCTCGAACTTGTTCACTCGCAGTGGTGGGTAGCAGAAGAATGTCACGGACCTACAATAACTTGGATCACAACTTTATCTTGGAAGTATATGAAGTACCTGTTCGCTCTGTTCTTCAGCCATTCGGTATGCCTTAAACATTCCAATGAGTATTAGTTCAATTAGTCATATAAAACTCGAGATTAGACAAAAATGGAATGATGATGTGGAGAGAAGAATAAGAAGAAGAATGATAGGAAAAAGAGGGAAGAAATCAAAGCAGAATTCTCCCTTTTTATTTTATTTTTTGTATTCGTCTTCTGCCTACAATGCAAGCGTCTCTAATCCGTCTTCGTCTTTCTCTGAAGATGAGAAAAAATTTTGTGAATAAACCCAATCAACTAGTGGGGGCATTCCCTGGATGACTCGTCTCGTTCCATGGAAGGACAATATCTTTATGGGATAAGTTTTTGATGTGCGGATAGGACGTCATCCTATTATGGCGGAATTTTTCTGCAATCGCGCTCTACCACAATCTCACGTGAAAACCCAGCCGCGACGGCGACCTTTTCCAATTTGGCACTGAATTCACGTGGTGTGCGGTAGAGCGCGATTGCAGTCAAATGCATCCGTATTAGAAAAATGGATCTCTACTGAGTAAGTTTTCTGGACAAGACACCAGAGTTCTCAGAAAATTTCGCGAACTTTTTGATTGAAACCTATAGGCTTAAGTACCTCGTTAGCTAATCCATAATCACAAGAAAACCTATAAAATGATATAACTCAGGTAAATCGTTGGTAATCGAGCTAGCTAATTCGCGTTTCTAACCGGACCTAATTAGATTGCAAATTCTTCTAACTGGACTGATACATTTTCTAATTAGACTGGCGAAGCTAATTAGATTGCAAAAACACTGATATTAGATTCAAAATTTATCTAATTAGATTAAAATATCGGGCAAAATCTAGCTAGATTATGTTTAGATTGCAAAATCAGCTAGCTAGATTCAGAAATCGGTAGCAATCTAACTAGGTCCGGTTAGAAACGAGAATTAGCTAGTTAGATTAGAAACGATTTGCCTGAGAATCTGATAAGGCCGTTGCATGGGCTTCAAATCAACTGACTCACAAACCAGAGAAGATGAGAGCTTTTGTATTAATATTGAGGAAGATGGGCGGAACAAGGAAACGGATGACGATTTCGATCAAAAATTGTTTATTGAAAAATGTAAACATAATGGTGTTGTCTAGATTTGACTATGTTTCAAAGTCATTATGACTTAACTTTAAAAGCGCACAATCGTTTCTCTTCTGCGTGCACATACGTCACCGAAAAAGCGGGTGAATGACTATCTAATTGCGGGTTTCCGTTCACATAAATATAGACATTACGAACGTTGTTTCTCTGAAGTGAGAAAAAGAGAGAGAGAGAGAGAGTGGAGCCAAAAAAGCCCAAAAACATATCGTGTTCTTCTTGTTGTTCCCCTCCCGATTAAGTTTGTCTTTGCAGAAAAAAAAGATGAAAGACACAAAGATTTTTTTTGCTGAAACTGATGACGTGTCTCGTGTCGCGCTTTTTAATATGGCTGGATTACGGTAGAGCCGCGCTCATTTAAGTACGGGCGGTAAATAAATCGAAAGCGAGATCCGTGCTTTGCCGGGAACGAAAAGGCGAGAAAGGTGACGGGGAGAGTGCCCAACCTAATCACATCCACTTATTATTACCCCACGCCATGTCCACTCTCCGAGAAACTCAGGCGCGCCGAATTATTATATTTATATGCTTCGCGGTCTCTCACTTTTGCCCCCCATCATCACCTGGAAAAGAGAAAAAGGGGCTGGAAAATAAAGGTATTGATGGCTGGATGGATGAGAAATAATAGAGGTCTTGTTGATGACACTGCGATGTCATGATCCCTAGGCTATTATGGTTCATGCCTTCTTACGTAACTGACGGGACCGAGCTTCAGAACTGCGGTCATAGCAGCAAACGTTTGCGAAGCTTCGTTGAAAATGTCGGGGTGCTGAATCTCTCCGCCTTGCCATCGCGCTCCATCAAGAAAAACGCAACGTTGCAACGAGAATATAAGAGTTTCCACTTGAACTTATCGAAAAATGGCTCACAGAGGGAGCAAAATGAGAATTCGGAGAGAACCGAATATTGTGTGGCTCCAAAAATTCATCCACACCGCTTCTCGCTAGCTGTTTTCGGGTTTTTGCCGTGCGGAGACAAACCAAGAGCTCGTGAGAGTCAGAGAGAAATATACTGCAGAAAAATGAAAGGAAAAATCCAAGAGGCAGCGAAAATTTCCCATAATCATGCGAAGAAAGAAAGTGACATCAGCCACCTTCTTCTCCGGTCGGCTGCTGATTCTGAAAAATATTGGGTGAAATGGAGAAGCCCTCGCGGGGACAGCTGAAAATGGTGATAGTTTCAGAGAGCAAAGCTAAAAGACCGAATTTATTATGTAAAACACGAAATGAATATGAAAGAGATGTCGAGAAAGGAAGAGAGTACACAATTTTGAGTGAGAAATTTCAGATTACTTCGTAACAGAAGAGATTTCAATTTTTGAGAACATAGAACAAGAGTACATGAAATTAGAAGTACATTGAAACACGTCGCAATTTCACGTGACGTTTTTTCGTTTTTGGATGATGATGATGACGTGACCTTAGATACTGTAGGTCGTGGGTAACATGGTCAATTATTGTTGGAGTCCAACTTGAGAAAACTGGGGCAGAGAAATGCCTTGAGCTTCGAGTTCCGCAATCTGCCGGAGGATGACTTCTCTCTGCCGATCAATATCATTCAGGGCAGCATTCTGGGAGTCCATCGGGATGTTCTCTACTTGGCTCGTCTGCTCGATTCCTTGCTGAGCAGCCGCCAATGCATCCGTGAACTGGGGACCCATCAGCTGCTCGACGACGTCCTTCTCCAGCCGAACACTTCCTCCGTTTTGATTCATCAGCGCTTGCAGGACGTTCGACACATCCGGCACCATGCTGTTTCCGTCAAAGGGAATCGAACCGAGTCCTGGTTCTTGCTGGAGTTGCAGTGGATCCTGAGACACGACGGCGGCCATTTGATCCTGCATCCGACGGCTTTCGTTCAGGTTTCTCACGCGTCGGAGGTAGGCAATACGGTTGTCGATCTGGCGGCCGAGACGTGGATTCGCCGGAAGTCCGAGGCGCTTGATCTCTTCGTCCACTTTCGCGGTGCGCAGTTCGACTGGCCATCCGTCTCGGTACGAACGATCGACGAGCTCGCGGATTGTTCTGGAGCAAGAAAAATTGGTTGTCGATGAATTAGTGAGAGATTGCATGCGTGTGACCTTTTAAACTCATTTTCAAGGTGAAGCTAAGAAACTGTAGGATTTCTGAAGGCCACGGGAAACTTCGGAACTTAAAATCATGAACATGGCCTTGCTTCACGAAACCACATTCAGTTTCACCTGATTTTTACTCACTTTGGCAAGCCGGCATGACTTCCGGGCTGTCCGACGGGCTCGACCGCTCCGTGATTGTGCACGCACTTCTCCTCGACAATGTAGAACTCGTCCTGCTTCTTGGCGCGCACTCGGTAACGGCACTTGCTCTGCAGGCGGTGCAGACAGTCAAAGTAGGTCCATCCGTCAAACTTCCGATCGGTGCGTTCGGTGACGAATACAGAGAAGAGCAGCGCCTCGTACTCGGCGAGCTTCGTCGTCGTGTAGCACTCCATCCACGTGTCATAACGGTTCGACGACCTTTGCCTAAAAATGGGGGTTATTCCTCATTGTTTTACTTCAAAATCTCCTCACTCGGCGTTAGTGGGCGTTCCGGCGGCAATGTTGGCTTGCGAGTCGATGGTCACCTGTTGTAGCGGATTCTGAGAGTAGTTCTGAAGAGCCGGCTGCTCAGCCACGTCCGTCTCGCTGATCTCGGAGCTGGCGGACGGCGATGCCTTCAGCGTACTTTCCGCCGACTCGTGCGTCGTTTCGCAGGCGACCGGGAGGTGCTGCTGAGGTATCAGCTGCCCACCCGTTTGTTGCTGAATGTTCATCAATATCTCCATCACTTTCTCATCGAGCAAAGGCATGGACTTCATCGGCGAAACCATATTCTGCTAAAAAGAAAGATGACGCGTTTCAAACGGGAAAAGTAATTTCTTACCGGGATGGCAAGCTGGTTGAGCGCCGAAAAGGCGTTCGTCTCTTCCATTTTCCTGGAAAAAATATCATTTTGTAAAGTGTAAAGTGTAGGGAGAAAGTTGTGATAAAGATGAGAGTGAGAGCAAGAGAGGTCGAATAACTCAAATGAAATGGGTTTCGGAGGAAACAAAAATAAGATGATTGACCTTTGGGTAGACAAAGATGTTGGCGGGTTGCACCGCGAAGGGTGTGTTCTTATGTGCCTTTAAATTTGTTACAGTATGCCTGCAGTAAACCGACAGAGAAAAGACTGCTCGGGAAGAACAGGTTCTTTGTTGTTTTCTATATACAAAGAAAGGGTGATTGACATACTGTAGCTCCCAAATTGTTCTACCGCCGGCAGTGAAAGCCACGTAGAAGTGAGAACGTCTTAAGAAAACCTTCAGAAACGTTTCTTTTTCAATCTACGAAAAAGCTAACGCGTTCTTCATTCTAGGATGACGATGAAAAGAGAGAAAGGGAGAGTAGTAAACTGGATAATGATGCTAATAATTCAAGCAAGTGACTTTACACTCAAAAATTCTCTCACTTTCAAATCAAAAAGCGGCGATGACAAGAATAGAAAGAGAGAGAGAAAGAGTTGTACTTTGTGGTGAGAAGACGAGAAAAATCTGGGTGAACAGAAAGAGAAAGTGACGTGTTGAGGAGTGGTGCACCTTCTATTTGTTCTGTGTGTGCTTGGCGGTCAAATGGTGAACATTGGACGGGCGGCCCCTCCCCACCCAGCCGAGCAACGAAAGAACGAGCGAACGGAGAGAAGAGATTGGAGCGGTGACCCCGTTGCGCGGGGAAAAAAGTGACTAAGGAGGCAGATTGCCCCTCGGATAAAAGACCCATTTCAATGACGGGGCGCATCGATCGAGCAAATTGGGTGGCAGTGGTGCTCTGAGATGCGATTGGGAAAAATGGAATCAAGAATGGACTCAAGAACATTCTGTTGAGAACAAAGAAGGAAGTTGCACGGAATGTGTGCTAATGAGCAGTGTTTATAAAGCTTCGATTGTTTACAAAACGATCAGTTTTGCTTTTTTGCTTCAATTCAGTTGGTTCTAGAGAATGGACTCACAGAATAGACACTCAGGCAAATCGTTTGTAATCTAGTTAAGAGATTTCGTAATCTAAACCGAGTTCCGAATCTAGCTAGATGAAAATAAAATCTAAACTAAATCTTGCTAGATTTGACCGAAAGGTCAATCTAATTAGATGAATTTTGAATCTAATTTAAGCAATCTAATTAGGAAAAATTTGCTTTGTCAATCTAATTAGAAAATTTATCAGTCTAGTCAGAAGAATTTGCAATTTAATCACAGTAAATTAGCAATCTAACTAGATGCGGTTAGAAACGAGAATTACCTAACTATTTAGATTAGAAACGATTTGCCTGAGCAATTCAACGATACCAGGCTTCAGGAATCATGCGAGAAGAAAAGAGTTTTTGTGTAAATTATGATTAACTTAATACAAAAACCGTAAAAATTGCGAGAAGATAAAAACGTGGAGTCAAAAATATCTGACTGCGACAGCGATTCCGTGAGTGTTACAGTAGAAATTCAACGCTAATATTTTAAAGGCGCAGAACATGTTTTGGCCAACCGGCAAACCAAATTTGCTCTTCTCACAGAGACGAACTATAGCTCTGTGTCACAAAGTATGAAGGGCCTGTGGTACGATGCATGCGTGAGTGTTTGTGCAAAATTGCATACCAAAATGTCTGTGTGCGTATGTGCGTCTTACTCTTTTTTGTGTTCAAGTGCTCCATAACCAAATAGAGGCAAAAATAGATGGGTGCAACACTGAGATTACCCACATCTGAACAGATACTGTCGAAAAACATGACATTTCTTCATAAGAGCTGTTTGAAAAATTCTCAACAATTTGTTCTGGGTATAAACAGAAAATTCTGAAAGGTATTGATGTCATTTTGTTTTTTTTTATTTTTGAGGGTCTGAGTCTGAAGCAGCGTCAACACGAATCTGTAAAATGTTTGAAATTTCAACTTCAACTATTGTGCCCTACTTTTCTCGTACACAAGAAAAGTTTGTCAGTTTTCTAGATAAATTCTCCACATCTTCAAGTACAACTTTGACAGAATTCTGCTAATTTTCCAGCTCGCCACGAAGATTGCATTTCAACTTCAACTGCGGAACTGCGGCGACCCGCCACTGTGCGGTGCAAGCGCGCTCTAATACGAACCCAGCCGAAATGTCAGCCTTTTTCTGAGACTGCTCTCTTCGATTTCCTATGTTCTCGTGCGCGCGGTGCAAATAGATTTTCTCGATATAGCACATCTTACTCTTTTCCGGTAAAATCACCCGATTTTCTCAAATTTATCCTTATTTTTCACAAAAAAAAATTCTGCAAAATGTCTGATTGTTGCAACCAGACCCATTTTCTCTGTTCTCTTATCATTCTCTCTCATTCCATTCGCTTATCAGTACTTTTTCTTTGAAATCATATCACGTGATTATCACACGAAAATTGTGTCAATTTTTCAGAAACTGAACTACCAATGAAGGACACGTCAAAGCTTTTGGAGACGGTTCGTTTGCCTTTTCTTTTTTGACTCTCGACACAAATTTAACTTTTCAAGTGGACTCATTTTATTTTTACCTGAAAGACACGCGAGAACTTACAATTTGCCGTTATTTCTCTGGCAGACGAGAGCGGCGAGGCAAAATGATTTTTTTTGAAAGTTCAATTTTTGCAGAACGAAGAAGAATGCTGGGAATTCCTGTCGAGTCTTTTCGAATTCGACAAGAAGACGGAAGAGGAGATGATTCGATTCACCGATGCTACCGACGAAATGGATAAGATCAATCATCACCTTAAGTGCGATGCTATGCAATCAAACTTCGAGAAAGTCTTTATTAATTACATTTATCAATATAAAACTAGCGATAAGAGCGGCGAACATACCAATTGGGCGAAGCGTGTCGGACTTCCCTATATGGTAGAGTCCATCGGATCGGCCGAAGAGGAAGCAGTCGAGTTCTTGCTCACTTCGTTCTCGCGTTGTCATCGGGAGCTGTCAAATGTGAGTAGGGTAGAAAATTCTGTTTCAGATCACTGTAAATTGGCTCAAATGTGTTTTTTAGCTCTAATTTTCCAGGAAAACCATTCGGAGATTGCGAAGGGAGTGATCACTTCTGCACAGCAAGCGATACTCATTGCGTTTGTCAACTTGCTAAGAGGATGGTTCGATCAGCGCCTCAGTCGTCAGTTGTCGGTCATGGTGTTCTATAAACGACTGCTGGAGGATACGGTTTCCAAGAACTTTGTGTATAAACTAATCGAGCTCTGTATCAATCCGGAATTATGCGACGGAGATGCGTTCAGTGATGTTTTCAATCCTATCCTCACCATGATGCGCTCTACAATGCTTGTTCAGCACTTTGAGGACAATAAGGATGATATTGTGAACCAGGTGCTTCGATTGGGCGGTTACCTTCTGAATATCAGATGTCCCAACCAGAGACCTCTTAGCAAATTGCTTGTGGAACGAGACGATTTTCTTCCGGGACTTTCTGACGTAATTCCGGGACGAGAATTCGGCATCATGTCCTATTTGGGTACTTTCTTCGACTACGGTGTTATATCATCCGGAGGTACTCCAAACACACGACTCTTCCTTGGAATGGAAGAAGACGCACGCAGAAAAGAAGGATTTGTGAACATGGAACAGAAGAATTGCTTCCGAAGAATGGACTCGTACCGCAATTCTCTCCACGATATGATATCGCCAATTCTCCAGGAAAAATCAAGTCGTGATTTATGCATCAAATGGATGCACACTACCGTCTACAGCAATATGCCACGTGGCCGTACCCACTTTGAACATTCGGAAGTGCTTTGCGATCATTTCATGATCAACTTTTTGGCGATCATGTACAAGTTTTCGGTGAGAGTTCAGATGCCCAGGATCAGTGTAGTCTATCCGTTCCAACCGGGATCTCTTACGGACGCATCTGAGGAGACCCACATCAATATGGATGAGACGACTGGAATTGAGTATGCCACGCAATATTGTAAGTTCGTAGCTCAGTGAAAGCCAAAATAACTATAACTTTTGCATGGTTTCATTTTAAAATATTTTCCATTTTTGTCTGAAACTCAAAAGTTTATGTTATTCGGCCTCTACTGTTTATATTCTGTACAAAGCCTGCCAAATTCATCGTACTCCTTCCAAACTATCGTCTTTCAGTGGATCGTCCAGCAGAAGCGGAGAACTTCTCGACTGTCTGCTTCTTCCTGACAATCGTCACCCAACACTTGGTACTTCCCCCAGTGTACCATCAAATCACCGAGTTCAGCCGGCACGTCAAGGATTTGCAATCAAAATTGGAAGTACTGAAAAACCGTTTGCTTACTGTTTCCACGGAGCCGGAACGCTCTGATTTGACAGAAAAAGTTCAGAGTGATGAGGAGCATTTGAAATTCATGTGCCGTCACCTTTTGTGCCTGAAAACTATGACCCAGGACGATCATCTGGCCGGATTGATAATGGAGTTCACGAATATGGAAATGAATATGATTATGGATTCGCTTGTTCCGAATCTGAATATGATGGGAGATGACAGTCAGTTGCCCGCGGAGCCGACTCCGTTGTTCAGTGCGTATCCTCAACATTATCTGGAGGACTTGTTCGATATTTTCGCCTACTTTCATCACGGTGTCCCGACCGTTTTGATGAACAGTAACACGGATTGGCTCTACCGTTTCGTGATACTGTTCGTCCACTACGATTACATGAAGAGCCCATTCTTGGTTTCCAAACTCCTGAGGGTGATTACTGCTTCCAGCCAAAATATATCATACCACCTGTTCAATTTCCGAATGGTGCAGGAGAAAATGCTTCCAATGATGATAAAATTCTACTCGGATTTCGAGGATAGCGGCGATTTTTACGAGAAATTCAATGTTCGAGGAAACATCCAATACATTTTGGAAAAAATGCAGGATAATGTTTTCTACAAGTCAAGATTTATGGAGATGGCTCGGGAATGTGGCCCAGAATTCATTCGATTCGTCAATATGGTTATCAATGATGCAACGTGGTGCATTGACGAGAGTTTGTCCGGATTGAAGAGCATTCATGACGTGGAAAAGAAGATGGCGAACACTCTTGAATGGGCTAAAATGAATCATGAACTCAAGAATCAACAGCTTGGAGTGCTGGAAGAGGCAAAGCGAAAAGTGACGGGATGGATGCAGACTGCAACCAGCAACCTAAAGCTTATGGTTCAAATCACCGACAACTCTCCGGAACCGTTCCGAACTTCGGCTCTCGGAGAGCAGCTGGCCACAATGCTCAACCACAATCTGTCTCAGTTGATGGGAAAGAAGTGCACCGAGCTCAAAGTGCGAGATCCCGAAAGTTATGGGTGGAAGCCACGAGAGTTTGTCAATGATCTCATTGCAATCTACTTGGCCCTCTATGTGCCGGAGTTCGTCAAGTGCATCGCTTATGATGAGGTTTGTTTCGGGGCGAAAATAGTTTTCATCGTCGTATCCCTAATTACTGATTTCAGAGAACCTACAGTCCGGAGTTCTTCAAGATGGCATTGGAACGAATGAGAAAGAGCCAGATTCTGAGCTTCAGTATGCTCGAACACTTTCAACATCTGGCCGAAGACGTCGAACGCGTGTACGCATCAAAGGCGGAGCTTGAGGAGGAGTACGATGACGTGCCGGAAGAGTTTAAGGATCCGATTATGGATGCGATCATGATAGACCCAGTGAAGTTGCCGTCGGGACACATTATGGATCGGGCGGTCATTGAGCGACATCTTCTGAGTACTCCGAACAACCCGTTCAATCGCGCGCAACTCACGGTCGGAGAACTCCTTCCGGATGTCGAACTGAAAGCCAAAATACAGGCGTGGATTGCGAAGAAAAGATTGGAAAAACGTAAATAACCATCATTCAGCTCATTTTTATCTTTCACTGTTTTGTAAAATGTATGTCACTTCTACCAGCGGTCACAATTTGTTTGTAAATCTCGTCTTTGCTGACTCCTAACTATCTCTTTTTATCGGTCATCTCCCTAATTATTTCCCCGGAAAAAACAAACTGTGAAGTCTTTAGAGGTTTCACGGCAATTTGTGATATTGCATTTCTGGCATCCTTTTGCCTCTTTCATTTTCATTGCAGTCACATCACGCAAAAACGAGTAGCTCCTCCTCTTTTTTTTATTGTGAATAAATCTCTATCTAATATAGGTCCCTTTTTTCCCACTGCTATCCGGTTCAAATCCGTTCAATTCCTTTTTGCTTCGATTTAAAACAACCTTTCCATCCTTTAAGATTTTCTTGCGAATGCCCAAATTCTTGTAGGTTTCTTTTATTGAAGTTGTTGTGATTGGTTCGTGGCATGTCTCATTTTTGTAATATTTCCAGTCTCGGCAATTTTTTAAAAGATTTTCTTACCCTTCTAAATAAGTTTCTGATATTGCCGAGCTCCCGTCCCTTCTCCCTCGTTTTCAGTGCTTTGCTCTCCTTTGCTCGCGCTTTCCCAATCCTCCAACTTTTTTCTGAATCGCTCAAAATTTCAGTAGCTTGGAACAACTGGAACGTATTTGGTCGATGACAATGGCTCTGTTCGCGAGACAACTGCAGTCGGCTGGTTTTCGAAGTGCTCAACAAGTGCGCCTCGCGTCCAGCGAAGTTTCGTTCCACACGAAGCCGTGCAAATTGCACAAATTGGACAGCGGGCCAGCCACGTCGGTCACTTTGAACCGCGAGGATGCGCTCAAGTACTACCGCGATATGCAGGTATCATTTATACTAATTTTTATTCTAGAAAGACTGATTTCCAAAGTAATACCATAATTGGAAAAAAATTCAGGTCATTCGTCGTATGGAATCGGCGGCCGGAAACCTGTACAAGGAGAAGAAGATCCGTGGATTCTGCCACTTGTACTCTGGTCAAGAGGCGTGTGCCGTCGGAATGAAGGCTGCCATGACCGAGGGAGACGCCGTCATCACCGCCTACCGTTGCCACGGATGGACGTGGCTTCTCGGAGCCACCGTGACCGAGGTGCTCTCCGAGTTGACCGGAAGAATCGCCGGAAATGTGCACGGAAAAGGAGGATCCATGCACATGTACACCAAGAACTTCTACGGAGGAAACGGAATCGTCGGAGCTCAGCAGCCACTTGGAGCAGGAATCGCACTCGCCATGAAGTATCGGTAAGTCACGTCTAAACGGAACGTTATTTAACTTTCGTGGAATATTTTCAGTGAGCAAAAGAATGTGTGCGTCACTCTTTACGGAGACGGAGCCGCCAACCAGGGACAACTGTTCGAGGCGACCAACATGGCCAAACTGTGGGATCTTCCGGTGCTGTTTGTCTGCGAAAACAACGGATTCGGAATGGGAACCCCCGTCGAGCGCTCGTCCGCTTCCACCGAATACTACACCCGAGGAGACTACGTTCCCGGCATCTGGGTCGACGGAATGGACATTCTTGCCGTCCGCGAAGCCACAAAATGGGCCAAGGAGTACTGTGACAGCGGAAAGGGACCACTGATGTTGGAGATGGCCACGTACAGATATCACGGACACTCGATGTCCGACCCTGGAACCAGCTACCGTACTCGTGACGAGATCCAGGAGGTCCGTAAGACCAGAGACCCGATTACTGGATTCAAGGATCGCATTATAACCTCTTCGTTGGCCACCGAGGCAGAGCTGAAGGCTATCGACAAGGAGGTTCGCAAGGAGGTCGACGAGGCTCTCAAGATTGCCACCAGCGACGGAGTTCTCCCACCAGAGGCACTTTACGTCGACATCTACCACAACACTCCGGCTCAAACTGTAAGTGTGCTCGCGTTGAACAATTCTTCTAATTACATTTCAGATCCGCGGAGCCACCATCGATGAGACGATTGTGCAGCCGTACAAGACGTCTGCCGACCTTCTCAAGGCTATTGGAAGGGCATGAACAACTACGAATTGATGATCGACACTCGAATTTATATATGAATACCCGTTATAAGTGTAGAGCTTTTCTGTAGTTTCGGTAACACTTTTTCAGTGTTGTTCTAGTTTAGTTGTACGTTCACTTCTCTCATTTCAATCTTTATATTGCATAAATACAATTTTTGGCGAAATCGTTCAGTCTCGGTAGACGAGGACCTATTATAGGGGCACCGGACAGAAAGGGCGCGCTGTTCGCAATCTGGCAGAATTTCTAGGCCGCGAAGTAATTTTCCACTGAAAACGTGGCCTAACTTTTCAAACTCGGCCCCGAGGTCGCTCAATTTGCACTGCAAAAAGAGTTTCTCAACAGAGCGCCATTTCTGTGAGGGGTCCCTATAATATCAGCAGGAGCAACGCATTTTCACTGTGATTAAGTATTTGATATTTGACGTCGCTTGTCGATTTATGGGCCTATCGAATAATATTATTTTCATAGAAATATGGGTGAGCGTGCGCTGAAAACTAAACAGAAAATGGGGACAAAAAAAGAAAATGACCATAGGGGAGATAATATTATCATGAAATTGTTGTATTTTATCATTCGGCGACAGCTGTGAACCCGAAAAAGTCTGTGATTGTGCAGACAGAATTGATGACGTTGCTATTTTGTAGAGACCATTGGCGCAGTTTGGAAGCTCGAAATGTTCAGTTTATCCGTGATGCTCTGCAAAAATAAGTTTGCAACTCATTCTAAGAATTCGATCCGACGATTTCTACCTCAACACTTTCCTCCTCGGTCTCCTCCAACAACGCCGGATCCGAGTGTGTTCTGCGTGTCGTCTTTGCAGTTTCTGGCGGCGTGGAATTGTTGTTCTCGGCGCTGGCTGGCGACGGCGATGGAGCACGTTGTGGAGTGCTGGCTCCGGAGCAACTCAACAGAGCTTTCTTCTGCTCTCGCTCCACAATGAACACGTTGCGACGACGTTCCTCTTCTCCGATACGATCGTAAATGACTCCATCCACTCCCAGCTCCTTCTTGAAATACTGGATGTTCTCCTTCTTGTCCAGATCCTCTCCCCAAACAAATGTGACCATTCCGAACTCATTGGCCTTTTTGACTGGCATTGGATCCTTGAGAAGGTCTTCTGAATTGAAGTTAACGCCGAGAAGATCGGCTCCGACGGCAAAGTTGACGGCAGTCATCGACGTGCTCGTTCTCTGATCTTGGAATGGAGTGTACCTCTGAGTGTCGCCAACACACAAAAACAGCACTGGATACTTGTTCTGCTTGGTAGCCACCATCGAGCAGATATCCGGATCGAAACTGCTGAACATGATTCTTCGGTTGGCCGCGTGTTTCATCACATCTTCGAGGATGATGTCGACAAAGAGATTTCGCTCAAAGTAGTGATCGCACTCGTGCTCTCCGTTCTGAAAAATAGGCACGGGTTGGAGAAGTAATTCGTTACGTAGGATAAACATTTTTCAGCCTTTGTAATAATTTCACGTGACCTCCAGTAAATACGAAGATCACGTGCAGCAATGTAAATTTGGAAAAGGTTACGAGACTTTGGTTTTTCTGAAAGCAAAATCGCACTTAAAACTAACATTCTGCATCATCGGATACTTCACTTCCACATTGAATCCAACATCCGGATCCACTTTGGTAAGAGCTTCGACTAATGTCGGGAACGGTTTGAAGTCTTCCTCCTCTTCTTCAGCTTCCACAAGTTTCTTCACATTTTTCTTCTTCTGCGGGAAGCTCAAGTGGTCGAGCATCAGGAGTTTGAGCTGCGAGAGCTTCAGATCTTTGACCGGGAGCTCATGAAAGTCCAGGTTCGATGCATCGACCTGTTCGCGAGTCATTGGAGGTGGATGAGCATGTCCATCTCTTCTGGCCACTGACACTAGCACGTGGAAATCGTGGTAGATGACGGCGATGCGATCTTTCGTCAGTTGCACATCGAACTCAACGTAATCCGCTCCGTTTTTGGCTGCCGTGTTCAGCGAATGAATCGTATTCTCCCTGGCCATCGCGAACTTTGTGTACGAGTTTCCGGCACCACGATGTCCCACTTCCAACGCATTGTTTCTCTTCTTCCAGTGACGACAGAACGTCTGCTCCATGAGCTGCGGAACATTCAGACGGGTCAACGCACGAACGCAAAGATACTCGATGGAAACTTGACCGATCGGACGGCCCGAAGAGTTAATGAATGGCAGGTGGATGGTTCCGGAAGCGTCCTGGAGAGAGGACGGAAGGGCGTAGCAGGCGCCGATTCGTTTGCGCTCCTCCGAGAATATTTCAATATAGAAAGTGAGAAATTCGACGGCCAGTGAATGGGTACGAAACACCAAATAGTCCTTATTGTTGTTGAAGACGACTCCAGTCTCCTCCTGATCATAGAACTTCGGGCGTGGATCGGAGAGGACGGCAACATGGGTGGCCGAGTGAGTGCACTTGTTCGACGGAACATTCGAGTCGTCTTCGTCGTCCTCCTCGTCTTCTCCGTAGCTGAAACTGATGTGTCCGCTGGTCGGCTGCTTGTATCGTACATCCAGCGGCGTCATTTTGACACGACAGTTCTTTCGGTCTTTGGAGGTTTTGTAGAATTTCAGAGCGTTCCCGTGAAGGCGGAGCAAGATTTGATTCTCGTCGGCGTGCTGAAGCCATCCGTCCGACACGCATTTTCTACCAGCTGAAAGATGTTTCATTATTACGGTAACGAACTAGTGAATATGTATGAATTCACGTGACCTCAGGTAAGAGAACTCGCTTATTTGAACGCAAAAACTGTTGATATCGGCCGAGTTTTACCAACGTCACGTGAAAAAAGAAGTTACAAGGATTTCCAATTTTTGTGAAACTTACCATAATATCCGAAGATATCCACACGATCTTGGCGGCATTCTCCGTTGCGGCTCTCGACGTTGCAAAGCGTAGAGCGTGGATGAAGAAAAGCTTCCCATCGGTCTGCAATGTTAAATGTAATCTTTAGACTTTTTAAAACATTTTCTTACCTACAACCAGCTTCTCTCCCTCGTCAGACATCAGATTGTAGCCGATGAAATAGCGGAACTTGAGCTGATCGACATCAGTCATTATCGATCCTTTCCAACGGATTCTTAAAAGCGCAAAGGGTTTTCACTTTCATAGGTCAAAACTCACTTTCGTTCGGGATCTTGGACTAGCGGCATCGCCCGGTTGGCTTCCCAAGCACCGAGCGCATCAGTCGATCCCACCACGTACACCGACTGATGCGCGGGCAAGTTTTCGACATCGACCGCGAAGTGAACGCGTGCCGAACGCGCCACCGACATCACTGAAAACTAATATTTGTAAAAATAGTTCAGAAGAGGAAGAAAATGGAAGAAATTTTTCTGAAAATCTGGCATAGTTTTGTTTCAAGGTTACGGTGGTCATTACGGTGATTGCACACTTTGCGCGTAGTTTGAAAAATCCAAGGGAAAAATCTTATTAAGGTCAGATTCCAACTAAGAAACCACCTAGCCGTGGTCAGAGTACCCACAACATTGATGCGATATAAAATGGCAACAATCCTTATCACCGCCATAAAAAAAACCAACGTGACGGCCAATTCGCTCGTCTCGTTTTTTGTTGAAAATTTGCCAATATTTTATTTTTCCTTTTTCCAGCGCAGAAAAGCGACGAAATTCACATAAAACCTGTTCTTCTTTTCGCGTTTTTCATACATTTCTTACTAGATCACCTTTTGAAAGTGCTGCGGTGGCAAAGCGTTGCATGGCGGACACAGAGTAAGAAAAGAATGAGCGGAATGGTTTGAGGGGGGAGAGAAACGGAGGGCAGAGACTCACGTTGACCGAATTATCACACGTGGGTTATCAACGTGTAGAAGAGGCTAACGTGATTACCATCCTTCTAAAATTAGCCGAAATCGCGGACATCTTTTAAAGGTCAAATTTCTATGATGGGCTGTGCAAAAGAAGAATACGTTTTTGTAAAGGAACTGTGACTAATAAGACCGCTTTTTTGAACTCAAATTTGAGATAAGAAAAGCTTCCTTCCGGCGTCAAATAAATAGAAAACAATGTTTGTTGTTGACTGGTCTTATACCCTCAAACTCAAGCTCATCCGCTCAGAAGTAAGATCAAAAGTCGGGTGGAGCGAAATATGAGAGGGATGAGATGGGCCCGCTCGTCAAACAGCATTGAGTGCATCTGCACTCGACAGATTACTTTACGAAATCTTTTTTCTGTTTGACTGCTACAACTATATTTTTTGAGGACACCGTTTAGAACAACAGAATCAGACCTTCAAAAAAAAGTAGCACATTTTTTTGTGAAAGTAAAAGGACCCAAAATATATCGACTTTGTTGCTTAGAGTCTATGAAATAGTGAGCAAAAAGTGGAGATGCAGACTACCAAGCGTATATTCGATGGGAGCGGAAAGCGAGCGAGAAGCTGGCCAAAAGAGACTTGCGGAAGTGGAAAGAGGGGCAGAAAGTAGCGAGAGAGAGAGAGAGTGAGAGAGAGAGAGAGAAGGGACATCATCGTATGACACGTGGGAAAGAAGGGGCCTTTGCAATATTACACTGCACCACACAAGTTATGACAAATCGGCTGAAGGTCGCCGAGGAAGATAGAGGAACATTTGCGACTTCGGGCGGACCTGTTCCTCGATGAAATCTTCTTCTGTCTAGTGTGTGTCCTCCGGTCGGACGGCTGTTGACTTTTCGACGAAAAGTAAATATTGATATCGGATCTTAAACTGACTATGAGTTGCGATGGGATGATGACCAGATCACTTCAACTACAAAGTCTCTCCACGGCAAAAAATGCACTTGTTTTTACGTGACTTATCTAATCGGAGAAGAAAATCTGAGGAAGTAGGAGTCACGTAGACCATTTTTTTTCTTGGCTTTGCAGAAAGCTAGAACACTGGGGAAATACTTCCGGACACAACCCGCTAAACAAATCGAAGCTTGAAAGACGAATGAGTAATAGTTATTTCGCTGTTCCCTTCGGACTCACCTTATCTAGGTCGCAAAAGTGTAAATAAACAAATTGAGAACGAACCGAGATCATCGTTGTGCTCGGATTCGTCCTCCTCCAGAATGATCACTGGAGTACTCTCCTGAATCGTCGGCCTCATCTCGATCTCAATACTTCCGCTGATAATCTCGTCCTCTTCTTCAACACACTCGGAAAGTCGGGGACGTCGTGACAACGAAGAATTGATGGTGCCCACGTGGCGGTCGAACACGAAAGAAGCCCTCGGAGAGACGGCGCGGCGGGTGAAGTGCATTCAAGAGCCAATGACTGAACTGCCGCTATCAGTTGGAGAAGAAGTGTTTATGATAAGGGGACGAAATTGGGTTAGGCGCGAAAAAGAGGCGTGGTTTTGGAGTGGCAGGAAGAGCCTACGTCTGTGATAGGGAGAAAGTACAATGTGTTGTTTGTAGCATGACTGGTTTCCATGTAAGATCACGTAGTATCTCGGTCACGACGACATTGTGATAGGAAACTTTGCAAATATTGTTCCAGATGTCTCAAATGGGAATGGTGATTGCTTATAGCTTGTTGTGAAATCTCTCGTTTCCATTTTTAGTTCACAGGCCTCTTTAGTAGCGAAAGTTTCAACTGTAGAGTGTTTCCAACAAGGCTAGAAACACCGTTATGGGGCTATTCAGCGTATATTTGTTTTCCGTTTTTTTTTTCGTTTTTTTGCATTGCTGAATTGGATTTTTTGACGTAAAATAACGAAAAAAACGGAAAACAATCATTTTTTTCACAGCCTGAATAACCCCATTAGACATTTTTGCACATCATATTTCAGTTGAGCCAACTTACTTAAAGATTGCCAGGGTACTGAAGAGCTGCTTGAGCGTCTAGCTCAACTTGAACTTTGTTCAGAACGTTCTCGACGTCTTCCATAGCCCTTAACAGAAGTTTTCAAAAACGAAAGTAGCTACCGTAATCCAATTAGTATTCTTACTATTAGACATCGAATCAATTCGGATAGTAAACAGAACTAATCAGAGATCATCTCTGGGTCACCTGAATCACGCGGAAAATATATATTTTTTAATTGAGTGAGTACATCTTTCAGATGGTCACCTGTTTTGATGGTGTTGAATTCAAATCACATTTGTCACAACTGCTTTTCAACCGGAGAGAAACTGAAAGTTAGAGTTCGGTGGACTCTGATCTGATATTTGGTCAGGAAAACATTGAAATATTTGCTACGAAATGATTCCAAAGTCGAAGTTGATATTGATATTGTCGTTATCTAAAAAACCGTAAAAACCATGGTGTGATTTTATGATCAAGAACAAAAGAAGGGAAAAAGATGACGCCAACACTTTTTTCTTTTCACTTTCTCATTTGCACAGACAGGGAACTAAACTCATTAACATATTTTTGACGTCTGGACCCAATTACACAATTACCACATCAAAAATCTGTGTGGCAGATGATTGAATTGAAGAGGAACTCATTTAGAAGAGAATGTGATCAAAAAACGAAAAATAATTTTTTCCAGTGTTCTTTAACGCTACTGGCAAAACCAGCGTAGGCGCTTGTTTATAAGCGATCTACGCGGAGCGTACTAGACTCGCATTCGTGGCGCACTCGCTAACACGATCGGTCGCCACCCGCGATGTCTCCTCGGGTTCCATCTTCACGCGTGAGTACTGGCTGTTTGAGTCTCTACCGTTGCCAATCAGCTGTCATTAACCACGCCATACTGTAATCGAGGTGCTTAATTACCGTGTGCATACCACGTCTTCATTGGTCACTCGGAGGAGGCACCTCCACATGTTTTTTTTTATTTTTTCGACGATCGTACATCATTCGAAGAACCGCCCATCTGTTCGGATGAAACTTCGTAGACTGGCAGGATAAAATGACGAGATGGAGACTGACACTACTCATGTTTTTGAAGTTTTAAGACTGAAAACATCATGTTTTTACGCTATTTAATTTTTCTGATTCCTTTGATTTGTTCTCTCCAAGTTCACGGAGAGGCCATCAGACAATGCTTTTGTAAGCCTTACGAGAAATGTCTGCGAGTTATGAAAGACGAGCCGCTAGACAAGTGTTTTTCAAGATGCCACGTAAGTGATTCGCCAGTGCCATCTCACAAGGTTTTTGTTTTAGAAAGTATTCCCGACCGGGGGATTTGTCAACTGTATGAAGCAATTCGTACCGGATTTTAATCGACTTAAAGACTGCTCTTACTCCAAAAATAATGGATTCAGAGGGTGCACATCTCAAAAGACAAACGTACTGAACGAGAGGAGCATAGGCGATTTTCGAGATATTATGATATCAACGATGGCGGATAAACTGGGAGCTATTGGTAAGAACGTAGATATACCTTAAATGAACCGATTTGTGGGCATGCCACTCGATCTTTACTGCATCATGAAATGTCTCTTTATCAGATGAATCCAGCCAATGGATGAACAAGAAGGCTGCACTTCAAGCCGAATGCGTTTTCGAATGTCTGTACCCAGGAAGAAATGCCTGCACTCGAAAATTGAAATGCGATATATTTCTACCACCCGAGGATTCGTTTTTCGAATCCTTCCGGTCGTGCGCCCAGGAGAAGAAGCTATTCACTAAATCCGGGCAGATATTTGCCTGTGTTTGTGAGTTTCCTAGCACTTACTAAGTATTGTCCATTTCTATTTTTCAGCAAAATTGATGGTGACAAGTGAAGGCGAGATGTTAAGTAAAAGAAAGTTATAATTTGGAGCATCTAGACTTTGTTATTTATTATTATTTCACGCCCAGTGATTCACTCTTCTAATTCACGATGAACATGCCAATTTTCTTTGTCTTTCCATCTGTTCGCATCCTAGAAATAGGTTATGGGTTGCCTAAAAAAACAGGCAGTCTTCGGGAGTGTGTGTGTGTGCGAGAAGCATATTCTATCGGACGACGCCATCTGTCCGACCGTCTTTCGAATACTATTTCTTCAAAGGTCATTCGGGAAAATGAAAAGGAGATGTGGATGACTCTATTTGAGTCACTTACTCTCAATACCGCAGAGATCTTGATGTTTTCAATCGAGTTCTGTTAGTGACTAGTGATGATGTTTTTTCTTCAAAGTATTTTCAAAGAATTAAGAACATTTAATGCGATTCACGTGACCTTTCAGTTTTTAAAGACCACGGAGACTAATCACGTCTGAAATGTTTACGTGGCCTTACCTCGCCATCTTTTTTACGATCTTTTCATTTTTGACACGGTAGAAATGGGGACACCGTATTCACGTGAACTCACCGGAACAAAATGAATCTTAAAGATGCCGGAAGGAAGTTCACTGGATTCGCGTGACCTCACTGAGTAAGATAAAGCTTTGTGAACTGGCAATAAACAAGTGGTCACGTTAGGAAAAACATTTGACACGTCAAACTTCCGGTAACATTTTTCGCATCGTTTGCAACACCTTCTCCGATTGCCCTATCCGTTTTTATCACAAAAAGTATTTGCGGAACACACCGAATCCAGTCCTACATTTTTCGGTCGCTCATCGATCATTCCCCTCTTCCTTTTCTTGCCTTTTCTTCCTCCGAATCTTCCATTCTTTTCTATTCGTTCACAGAATTGAGGCCGTGTGATATGATAAGCAATCGATTGGAAACCTCTTTTTCCTCCTCTTCCAACATTATCATTCAATCAAAATTTTTTCCATCTGTCGCGCCACACTTTACGTGTTATCAGTGGACACTGAGTGAATACCTCAACTATCATCAACAAGTTCTCAAAATTGATTTTCTTTTCTTTTTCAGTAATCGGCCGGAAATGACGACCCGCTATGACTACGCACTTTTAGAGTTCACCGCTAATTTGTAAGTTACTTCAGTAGAGCGCATCCGCCTACATTGAAAATTTAGCGCAGAAAAGGTCTATCGCTACCTAAAAACAAATATATTTCGAAAAACGAGAAAAGAGTGTGAACAACTTTCAGAGCAGAAGCCGAGGCGACGTACGGGGAAAAACTTCAATCCGTCATAGACACATTCTCTCAGTCTCGACTAGATTTACCTCTCAAAAGACTGTCAGAAATTTCAAAAATTCATGGAAGAGCAGCGCAAAATTTGCGAAAATTTATGGACCCCAAGAAAAATGAGCACTTGAATCTGTGGAAGCTGTGCAATATCTATTCGTGTTGTGCAGTTGACCTAGATAAAGCGATGCGGGAAACGAGATCATCGCTTCGAGCCAAAATGACAGTGGAAGGAGCAGTTGCGGTGAAGCCAAAACGAAGGAACATATTCAACTCGATTCTGAATTCCAACTCGACACTTGCCAGCAGAAATGAAAGTACAGTTGCCGCCGAAGGTTCTCAAGAGAAGGAACGCAAGTGGTTCCCGAAGCTCTACGATAGAAAGGCAGATCTTCGGACGAGCCGGAAGATCACAACTTCTTCTCTGGAGCAAAATGAGAAGGAGGAAAAAGAAATGACAGGGTCAAAATCGACTCCGCCCACGCCGCCCGTTATCAGGGCCCATGCTCCGCTGACTGTGAGTTCAAAGAAGCGTAGCTAATCTCAGTTTCTTTTTATTTTCCAGACAAGTGCATCCGTGGCTCCAGAGACGCTCAGCAAGCCCCCGAGGCCTCCGCGAGCCACCATAATCATCCCTCCGGATGTCCCATCTACCGTACTACCTCCACTCCCTGCCACGTCACCTCCACAAATGTACGCCACGCCAGTCTACGCGGATCTCCAGAAGGCGTCGCTAAACAACAATAATCGAGTAGGCGGGATTGTGGAAGAACATTCGCTGCGTCATTCGGATGATGCTCCTCCCAAGTCATCAGTAGTCCGAATTCGAACGGACGTGGAAGTGAATGTGAACGGAGAATCGCGAAGGAATGAGACGAATGTCAGTGCTTATGGCAGTCCGTACTTGAACAAGAGCCATTATGTGAATATACGGCCGCCCATTGCTCAGAAGCCCAAGATTATTCCTCCAGGTTAGTGATGTCAGTTTAATGCAAAAAATTCTTGATTTCAATTTTAACAATACGTGACCTTTGCATCTCCACGTAAGATTTGAAATCGAACGCGACCTCAACCTTCCATTAGTCTAACTTTTAACGTATACTTTCCAGATCGTTCGCCACGTTTCGAAAGTGACGTGGCACCCACGTTTATCTCGGTCGACTGCCTGCCTTCGAGTGCTCCGGTCCCTTCACCGCGTACTTATTTTAACTCGGTATTTCGAATGAGAGCATTCCAACCTAGCTAAGTTCATTTCTCTTTTCAGAGTGACATTCCCTCATCGCAACGCTCTTCTTCGTCTGCCTATTCCTCCAATTTCTCGTCGACTTCTTCCTCCTCAAATGTCAATGTGACCTCTTTTGCCGTGGCGGACAATAGTCTAAGTTCTGAAATAATCGAAAATGCTCGAATTGTTCGCGTCGCCTCCCCGGACGGCCTGCTTCATAGATTCTGACCGAATATAGTGAAAAATGTGTTAATTTATTCGATTTCAACTGTTTTTTGAATGATGGCAATTGCAAACTTGCTTGTTCTAGACAACATAAATATATCATGAAAATAAGTGGAATAAAGTGGACAAGATACATAATACTTGTTTGGGAAACAAAAATGTAAAGGAAGAAAGATATAGTTGAACGTGTTTTTCGGGATACGAGCATTTTAACCGGAAAGCAGCAAGTAAACGGGTGCAGGGTACGGGAAGAGTTGAGAGGAAGGAGCTTATAGCTGTTCACGAAAAAATCCAACATTTTCGAAAGTCGACAATAACATACAAAGCATACTCTTAGCCGAAGATGCTGCCTACGATCTCCTGAACATCATTTGAGATCTTGGTCACTCTATCTTGAATCGGAAACAGTTCGTCGCGGATATGAGCAACCTGAAATAAAACGTTCAAAACTTCATGTTGATATGCTCTTTTTTGCAAAATTTCACTTCCGTTCTTTGTTGAAAAAGCCAGAAGAACAGTATACCTTCTCCAGTTCCACAGAAGCATCAGAAGTATTGGCTTCGATTAGTCGGGACGGTTTTTCCCGATTCTCCTCGAGAATCGTCAGTGCTTCGCGGATTTCGGTGACCAACATCAATTTTTCAGTACTGCTGGTGACCGGAGCACAGCTGTAGACCATTTCGAATGCCGTGTTCACGAAAGAGTACACGCTTGCGATGTCGAGTTCTTTCTGAATTTTTGAATCTGGTAACTTTCTTGTGTTCTCGCCAAATCGACTCACAATTTCCTGCGGTGCCGTAATATCGTGTATTTGTTTCTCCTCCTCGGATTCCCGGAACCACGTGTGAATTCGTGCAATTCCCAGCCGAACCTCCTTGATGATTTCATCCCATTTAATGCGACGATCTAATTCTGTATGCAAGAACTCCATGTCGAAAACGGTGAATGTTTGATTCGTAAGGTTGTGGAGCAGCTGTTTCACAGCCGCTATCACAGAGAGTATGGAGGCGGTCTGGATGACTTCTGTTTTCACGAACTTTAACGAATTATCACTGAAACACTTGGTCTCCTCGTATATAATCTTTTCAGCGACTCGAGCCATTCTCGCCAGATACATTGCGTTGAAGCAATGCTCCATTCGAGCATTCATTCTGGAACTGGTGGTTGCTGAGCAAGCGAGACATTGTGACCATGGAATAACAACGTACCCCTTTTTCCTATCCATGGTTGCCTTGAAATTCTCCAGAGAGCTCCGGGTCGCCCAGGTTTCCAGACATCCAACTTCATAAATGTGCACCAGTAAATAACTCACTTTAAGCGTTCTTTGACATGAATCACGGAACCTTTCTTCGTAATTCAACAACTCGATTTGGGCCCGTGTCGACAAAACTCTCACGTTGGCAAGGTGCATTGCGTAGAGCATAAGAAATCTGACAACGGCGACGTTCAGATGGGGAAATGAAGTGTGGACGAAGAAAAGTAACGAGGAGCGATTGTTAAATTTTATGCCATCCAAAACCGAAGGAATGTATTCCGTCAGATACTGTAATTGCATAAAATTATAAAGCTAAAATAACTCGTTTCGAGATTACCGCGTTAAAAACTTTATCAATATCGTTCTCAGCGTCTTCTCGGAGTTCGTCGAGTGGGTAGCCTCTGAAAACAGCTTATAAACTTTTATAAAAAGTTGTCGGGATGCTCACAATTTCGTCTCAAGGAATGACTTTGCACCATTCAAGTCGAACCAGAATCTTTCGAGATGATATTCCAAAAAATTCTGAGAATCCTTGAATTTGTTTGGCTCCAAATTAGTAATATAATTCCACATTCTTGCTATCTAGAATAATATATCAATGAGTTTTTCCACGAAAATGTAAGTTTCCTGACCATCTGAGTAACTCGATCGATTTCTAGATCCGTGGCAATAACAATCGGATACTCGTCGAGCCGATCGGTCACAACAGGTAGTCGGCCGGTTGGATTCGCATTTTCGTCGCCTTCGTTCGGCTGTTCTTCGACTCGATACCAAGTGAACGTGCTCGACGGCGCTTTCTGATATTGTCCGGGAGTTTGCGACTTTTCTTGTCGAAATCTGAAAATTCACCATATTTATGGAAAACTTCTGGAACAATTAAATTTGTTTCCTTGCTTTCGACTACTGATAAAGACGAAAACAACAAAATAAAAAAAATTGAACCATTTAATTCAAATCAAAAATACCGACGAATTGCTTCCTTGATCTGCGCCCTCTTTAGAGCCACCATCTCCTGCATATCATTCGGAAGTATCTTGATAGCCTCGCTTTCCGTCATGTTGTCGGCGCCAATGATGTCGTGAGCATCGGCCAGCACGTACATGAGCATGTAGGCGGACGGCGAGGAACGGGTTCCGCTTCCAAACGAATCCGATTCGACCTTATCCCAGCTTACTTCTTCTGTCGTCTTGTCGTTTATCTTCTCCCATTTTTCGGTACCATCGATCGTTCTTTCTGAAGTTGAGTCTTTTTATTCTAATATGGATAATCTATATAATTTTATACGATTTACAAAGTCTCAAATAAAAAAAGAAATTAAAAAGCATCAATATCTTACTGAGTCGATATGTCCAGTAATGACCGCTGTTTGCCTCTCCTGCGTGGATGATGAGTGCCTGAAGTTCGTATTTCTTCTTGTGTAGACTGTCCACTTCGTAGATATTGTTGATCTCGTCCTCCAGCTGCGCCACTCTCTGTGACAATTCGGTCTCCTCTCGGACCAACAATGCGACCATAGCTTCGAGTGAATCCGCGCATAAACCCAAAGTCGGGCACTTTTCCTTGTCAAACGAGGGGAATTTCTTTCCCAGATCTTCCACTAACGATCCGGTATTGCAAATCGGAGAACTTGCGGAAGACGTTGACGGTAGAAGAGGTTCACAAACCACGTTGTCATTTTCACACAATGACGTGGCCTTCTCATCCAATCTCACGTTTCTCAGTGCTTCAAGGACCGTCTCGAAAGCGGTTGCCAGACGCGTCGAGGTCCCGTCGTTTTGCGGATATTTTTGTAGGCCGGCCAACTTGGATTTTGTGACTGACAACTGCTCACGGAGAGCCAGCTGCTTCTTTCGGAGTTCCAGAATGGTGTCCAGATTGCTATACAAATAGCGGTCCATGTACATGTTTCTACAAAAACATATGAGAGAAAACTGTTACAGTCCGGGTAAATTTGGCAGCCTTGTAGCTGCAAAATTTTCAAAACACTTATGACGTCATGGACATAACAAAGCAATGAAACAAAAATTACCTTGGAAACTTGAATGTATTGTGTAGTTTGTTGGCTCCTTGTTCATAATTGAATCTCGAGAGATTCATGAACAGAACTGCGGGCATCGTGGAGTACAGGGACCGCGCGTGCGATCCTTCGTACCGCGTAAAATCAAACGTCGCCGCTTCCAGAGCATCGTGCATGTTCCCGAATGACATTTGCAAGTTGAGAAACAGTGGCGAGCTCTCCGTTTCGGCCTTTTGTTCCACGCTTTCCAATCCCGTCGCATTATCGATTATTTGAGTGATACACGTGAATTGGAATATGTCCTTGAACTGCTTCAGAAGACTCTCCACAAAATTTTTCTCGGCGTCGGAAACTTCCGGAACTGGCTGATCCACTTCAATTCTGGAGGCTTTTGGAGGTGGGGACGTGCGCGCTCTCCGCGAGCTATGATCTAGAACCCCTTCCGATGTGTCCATCGCTTCTTCAATGGACGGAAGCTCATTTTTCAGACTCTGATGGGACGCTCCGAATAAAGAGCCATCAACGTGTGGAATTCCAATGCCACTAATCGTATTCTTTTTAACCGGTGAATTCGGTCTCGATTTTGCTTCTCGATACGCTGATGACGTGGACGTGACGAGAGCGTCCATTCCACTATCGTAATCCGGCGGAAGAGTGCCTGTTACGTCGCTGTTCGGAGCCTCGGCTGTTGAATCGGCCACGACAAGGTTTTCATCGGCCGCTTCGAGACGCTCTTCCGGGTGAAGCTGGCTGTGAAGTGCCGCGTACAATCCTTTGCGAAGCCATTCCAAAATAAGCATGAACATCTCCGACGCATCTTGCTGCCTTCCGATTGAGGTGTTCTTCGATCTTTCTCCGTGATACAACCTATCGACGAGCTGAAAAGTTCTCTTCTTGTTCTGTGTTAGCAGAAAGATTTGTTTTACCTTGTGAAGTTCCGGATCGACGGTAAGATACGTCAGCTCTGTGAACTGCAACTCCGCCAGAAGGGTCCGAAACCCGAGGAGAAGCTCGGCGTAGAGCAAGCTCTCACGGCGGATGTTCACAATTGGTTGCTGCTTCCATGTGTACGGAACACAATGATAGAGAATCGAGCGGAACCTCGGAAGGCTGTAGAGCACCTGAGCCAGACAGTTGAACCAGCACGTGTTCCCGGAGTTGGCGAGTCCCACGGAGACGTTCGGATCGCGGATCATTTCTTCCATATCTGCAATCTCGACGTCTTTCATGGACTCCTCGAGCACTCGCTGCAATTCAACGTCCTCCTTACTCATGTTTGTATTGCTGATATGGTTGGGGTCGTAAGGAATGACCGCCAGGGAATCGGTCGTATTCGTGGAAGTCGAGGCCAGATCCGGACGGAAAATTGGTCCGATTATGGGCTCATCTGATTTGTTCTCCTTGAATAGATCGTCGATAATCTGACCCATGAACGTGTCGTCATTCTTCGGCTCCGAATGAGTCTGAAAAAATATTCTTTAATGTTGAACTACGATCTGGTTTTGCAAATTTCGTATTTTTCATAATTTTCAGAAAGAAAACTGTTTTGGAGCAAACTCACATGAATAGCTTGCAAGATCACTTCTCTTGAGTATTGATTGCCCAAAACTTCTTGCACTTTGGCTATTATCTGGTTTTCTATTTCAGTTTTCTCGTCCGGCGACTCAAAAGTAACATTTCGACTCGTTCCGGGCGGAGAGGTCACAGTTATTTCGACCATATGGAGCTTATCTGAAATTTTACAACATGAACTCAAAATTGTTGTATTTATTATCTGGAAATCTGAAAGAATTATCGAAAAAAGCAAACGACTTTGCGTTGTTGGCAGGAAAAAAAATTGTTCACACTGGCGCCAGTGGGCCGAAGGCGACTAGTAGGCGACTCGTCGCCGACCTCTGGAGTGTCGTAAAGTCGCCCGGTTTAGCAGAAAGTTTTCGAGGCCGTGCCAAAACGGGAGGCCATGCCAAAACGGGGGAATTCACCGCGGAACCGTGCAGGCGCAATACCTGATCCGCATTTAAAGACTTTTGCGTTTATTGAATAGAGGGGATTGAAATTGAATCGCATCAAACATGACAATTTGCAGAAAATAACTTTAAACATTTATTGGGACGTATAAAAAAGGCCGTAGTAAAGAAAAACAGCAGTGAGCGTCAAATTTGGTCGATTGAGATTAATCCGTTTGAAGTTTTTCGCCTAAAATGCGTGAATTTCAGATGTTTTCCTGTAATTTTTGCTGTTCGATCGCTCAAGATTCTTGCTTTGTATTTATGCAATTTATCATTCTCAAAACCAATTTCTCTGAGAACTCAATTGTAATCTAATTAGAAGCGGCTGTACCAGGGGGGATTGAGAATACCTGGAACGAGCTTCAGCTTCAATTATTTTTTATGCTGAAGAAGTCTAACTTGTATAAACTCTTAGACTTTCAGTGTCGTTTGTGAGTGGTCTCAGGCACTCTTTTCCTGCAGGAATATTACATGAATGCCGAGGATTTCCCACCACAAACGGGATGTTGAACGCTGAAAACTTCTTAATAGATATTTGCTGTAATGTACCCGAGTACCGTTTATTCAAAACGATATATCTCAGCTGCCCTTGAAGTTATAAAGAAGTAGCCAACTGACAAATTGCTTATGAACACACAAAGAGATGACGTACAGTTGACCAAAGTCTCAATCAAATGGCAACTAAGAGATGTAATAAGGAGCAGAAGACGCTTGAAGAAGAGGGAAGCCGGGAAAATGAAGTAAAGTAGGAAGATTGGTGAGGATTTTGTCTCAAAGATCACGAGCTCTTCCAACGGACGCGATCGTTTGAAATGGAGAGACTGTCCGCAGCGTCTGAGAGCAACCACATCGCTTCATACAACGGACCCTGCACAACCGCTCTGGAAACTCGATTGCAATTTAATTAGAAGAGTTTGCAATCTAATAAGAAAAATCTCTATTTCGCAATCTAATCAGATTTAATGGAATTTCTAGTAAAATCGTATTAGATTACAATATATTTTTCCTGAATTGCAATCTAATAAGAATAAATTGAAAACTAATTAGAAAACATTGCACTCTAATTTAAAAAAATTGCAGTGATTGTAATCTAATTAGAAGATTTTGCAATCTAATTGAAGCAAATTCTATTTCGAACGAGTTCGTATTAGATTGCAAAGTTTTCTAATTAGATTGCGGTGGGGGTGGAGCATGATGGTGAAGCTCAGTGGGCGCGAATTCACTGTAGCTATATAAACCGAGTAGAACACTCATTATCACCGATCCTATTGCTATGCAAGAAGTCGGGTCCTCTCTCTTCCTCTCTCCGACGTTATTGCTATGCAAGAAGCCTTACGCCTGCCAAAATGTTTCTTTTTCTAACCCGGCGCCTCCTACTCGCTCCGCTTAGGGAAATTAAAGTAATTGTCGCACGTCAAATTTATCAACTTTTTATTTTTATTCAACGGTATCTGACAGTACGCATAGAACGAAAATCTACTCGAAAACATGGGAAATACTGCGTGAAATGGTGTGTGACAAAAAACAGTAATGAGCCTATTTAGTCCGCGAAAAAATCGTTTATTCTGTTTCACGAACTCAAAAGGTCTATAAGAAAACTCGGGATTGTAATATCAAGGGGTTCAGGATTATGTGGGTTTAGGGCATTTTCAAACAGTTTCAATACCCTGCAGGTCCGTTTCTTTCTCTCAGGAATGAATGGCAACATTAGAGGGAACTTAGGGGGAAGATCCTAAATTTAGAATCTTTGAAAAAGAAGAAATATACATTAGATTAGCAGTTCCTCGAATGAATGAGATACTTGCAGCAATGGGTCAACAGTTGCTTCCCGTTAACTAATTGGTCATCTTGGCGTGTGTAGATGTCGAGACCGTACTGCCCTTCTCCGGGAAAATCAACTTGGATGTAAACCTTAAATTGATCGTTCTGGCAGTAGTTCACGACTTAAATTTACCATGTCTCCCTTCAACATCGACCGGGTAGATGCTTGAAGAATTCTATCGTCCGTTCGGTTTCTGTGTAGCGAGGCGACGAACTCAGAAAGTGGACGTGTCATTCTAAATCGAATTTCCACGTATCTTCCAGTGTTTATGATTGCGTCGGGATGAGAAACAGGCAGAAGTCCGAACAATCGGGTCGCTTTAGCCGGTCCCCACTCTCCCGAAGCACATTCCGGCAGTGGGACCATGATGACTTGAAGCGATTCGCAAACGACCTGAGATAAACTTTTAGAGTAATATTTTCATGAGCTGATAGTACCTTAAACTTGCAAACACTCTTGAATTTGATCGGTTGGCCTGTTAGATAAGCTCCAGAAGAGACCGAATTTGCAAAAATGTCTAGAAGAAGTGGACGGGTTGATGGAGCATGAACTCGGAAAGTCACAATCTGAAACTGAAGGATGAAGGGAAGATCTTTAATTCCGGTTACTCACGTCTTCGGTAACTGACTGCATAACAAATCGTTTCAGTGACATCCCACTGATCGTATTCTCTTCGGAATCGAAGAACTTCAGATTATAATGGAAAATCAGAGAGTCTCCTTTCGGAGGCAATCGAATTGAAATCGAGGCGGCTCCAGTTTTGTCGGTCTGCACACAGATCATAGTCAACTTTTCACTTCTAAGGCACTTACATAAACAGTCGACTCGAGCTTGTTATCAATAAACGAAAGGTTGTATTTGAAGAAAAGAGATCGGACGAATGGAATGCGTTCAAACTGTAATAGTGAGAGAGGACGGGGCAAAAGTTGCCACGCGGGATCCGAGGGGAAGAATTCGTAGATGAACTCTTCCGGATCTGTCATGAAATAGTGATCATCGTATTCATAACGGAGGTTTCCATCGGTCTTCGCTTCATGTGATCCGTCTTTGGCGTTTCTGAAATAAGAAATTGTTTGTAGTGAGTGTTTTGGGCGTGGAAACAGAAGTAAAATCAAAATCTATATTAACGGACTTACACTAAATGCCTGGCTCCCCAATTACACTGCACAAATCTCCAGGATCCATCCAAAAAGACGGCGTTCCACGTGTTTCGGAAGCGGTGATCATCGAATGAATATCCGGGTTGATAGCCGGCGGACTTGGAGAATCCTTTGATGACGACGCAGTGAAGACCGGCGTAACTGAACAGGTGAAATTGGAAAAAAACGCGAGTAAATGAAATATCTCAACCTGCACAGTCGTTTGAACAGTACGTGATAACTCTCAGTTCCGTACTTGATTCCTCTCAACAATCCCATCGGAGTGTCGTTCTGAACCGAATCGTCGAACACCATCGTATTCAGATTCTTGATCGTGATCCAACGATAAATGGCTCTTGCCACGTCAACATCCGACCTAGCGCCAGAGGAAAGCGTTCGGATGAGATCGGTGAAAGAAGCCACTTCGTTACGAGCACAGTGAATTGCCACTTCGTCAATTGACTGGAAGGATAGTTCAAAAATGTTTAAAAACTCTGTTGTATGCTCACTGAAAAGTAATCCGTCGTTGTGTAGATTTCCCGCTTGCTGCAAGACGGTGGCACCGGTGGTGGAGGTGTCGATGGGTACTCTAGATTGCTGTACTCTGACCGAGAAGCTTTGAAAAGCTCCAGCATCTCTTTGGCTTGACGGTCTACCAACTCGGCGGTCTGATGACGTTCTCTTTCCTGAAAATTTGTGAATATATCCCAAATGATCAAGTTCACTATATTCTCCAGCCGATTCCAATTTTTATGAGCCTTATCTGGATTCTGTAGCATTATTTTGAAAAGAGTTATGCCTTCTCTAATGTCTCGCACTGTGGGCGGGGCTTTCCTACTCGCAAAGTATAGCCGGCAGCGGAACCCGCGAGGCGTCGGCTGGAGGGTTGCAAGGCCTGATTGACGCACGCCGCGACGGGCACGGCAAATGACGAAAACACACTCGGCCCGACTCCAACCGTGGTGGGCGAAATGAGCTTTTTAACTCAGATGTCGTTATAAATTTTGGTCAATGGGTGATATGGGTATCAGTATTGTATAAAAAGTTCCACGAATATTCAATAATTCACGTGTCAGGTGTATTTTTCAGAATGTCATGCCACTTAACAGAAACTTTATTTCGGCGCGACCGTACCTTCCGTTTAGTGTGTAACGTCTCCAACTTCTTCTCCCTCTTGATGGTCAACTGTCGGATGAGATCGTCCTTTTTCATGTTCGCCTGCCCCTTCTCGTACTTTTTCGCAAACTCTGCCAACGCTTTCTCCCACTCTTCCGTGTTTTCCTTCTCGAACTGCTCTGCCTCTTTGACGCGTTTATCCTGGAACGACTCGTACAAATCGTCCTCGTCCTTCCGATGCAGCAACTCCAATCTTGTCTGAGTATCGTAATCCACCACGTACTTGGCTCCCTCATGACTGATCTTCGGGTACGGTCTGGCCACTTGAGTCGCTTTCATCGCATGCGCTATTTTCATGTCACTGAGACCGGCGTCACTGGAAAAAGTCAAAAAGCAAACATGTGAAGTGTATGCTAAATTTAGAGCGGCTTACATCCAATTTCCATTCTTTACGTGATTATTGTTCTCCAAATGTTTGCCCGATCCATTGGCAGAAGCCAGTGGGAGGTCGTGAGGTCCGGCGATCGGCACGTGGTTCGAGCAGTACACTTCTTTGTCGTTGATGTCATTTCGGTTGTTGCAGTAGGTCTTGAGAGCTAGTCTCGTGCCACAGATGTAGCATTTGAAGCAGCCTGAAATACGGTAACGTGATAATAAAGTAGTGAAAATTTCTATTAATTTCGCCGCTCAACTAACCTTGATGAAAAAACGTGGCATCCTTGAGCGGACCGACTTTATCGGTCGGATACACCTGCTTCGTGCATCTGTTGCAGTGCTGTTTCGAGTTCATCCTCGTCCGGATTCACGATCTTTCCTTTCTTTATTTCAACTCGTCTCTTATTTGCCGTTTTTCTCCTGGAATTTGACGAATTTCGAATGCGACGGTTCACCGGGCAAGAGAAGAGAGGAATCAGGAAAAAAAGTTGGTCATAAAGGTGAGGGGTGAATAAATGTTTACATAATATTCGATGATGATGACTCACGGGGAGAAGAAGAAGAAGAAGAAGAAGAAAGAAGACAGGTCAAGTATCGGGAGAGGGAGGAAAAGGCACAGCGGGTGGGTATGAGGATGCGCATTAAAATGACAAGTTATGGGAGTATTCTTTACAACGTTGACTCATAACTTATACCTCGATCTATAAATCATGTTACTATTGCTTGAACTTTGCTTTCATGTGACTTTACGACTGGTACAGCATCTTACTACCACCTCATAAGTTGCGTAAAATTTCACAGAAAAGCTTCAGCTGAAAGAATAAAACTACACTTGAATGGCCTCCCAACACTTCCAACGAGTTGAATGCCGACTGAAACAGAGAAGAATGGAAGCTTCTGTTGCTTCCTCCTCGGGATGGGTCGCCCGTCTCGCGATGGGAAACCGGAAAGGCGTGGAATGAGAGTCAGAGGCGAAGCGTAGAGAGAGGGCACAATTAGTCGTGGAAACGCGAACTATGCGACATAATAATTGGCGAGGAGGCGAGACGTATTAGGCATCACCGGGCATGATGATGTTCACCGTGATGAATATCGGCAACAAATTGAAATTGACCACGATGACGGCAAAAGTGTAGACACGAACATAATCTCAACAAGCTTAAGGGAGGTGATCAAGAGATCTTCGAGGGTTTCGGCTAATAGGAACGAAAAGAGGAAGTGGTTTCTGATTGATAGGCCTACTGTATCTAGTACCTAGCTTGGTGTGCGTCTGAGGACCAAAGAAAGGGAAACTTCGGATCTGTAGGGTTTAATGTGAGTATGAGGAAAAGCCCATTCCTATGCTAACAAAATGTTTCAAAAACGTTCAGATCCTACGTGTGAAATCTAGCCAGACGAAAAAAAAGAACAGATTATGAAGTGGAAGTTTTGCGTGAACACCGGATTACACCTAAACCACAAAAAAATCGACACGAGCCTAGTGAAAGTAAAAATGGAGGGAAAGTTAATCTACAATATCTGTGTGTCTCTAATTGGATTACTACTATAAACGACACAGTCAGCGCGCGCGGATGTACACACTGCCATTTATGCGATTGGCATTCATTCGTTTTCACAAGAAACATGATACACTATTTCCCCGAATGGTGGCGCTGGCGGGCGGGTGTCATCGATCCGGTTGAGAGGGAAAACGAACTTTTTATGGGATATACATACACAACTGACTTGCCTCCTCCTCTTGTGTAATATGTTGGAAGAGAGAAAGAAGCGAAAAGAATAATAATTATATACAGAAAAGGAGAAGAATGGAATTTTTGGAAGAAGGAAGAATGGGTGACTATCTGAACGAGGATCAGCGGAAATGGAGAGGGAAATCGGCGAGTTATCAGAGTGGAAAATCATTGAGAATTGAGGATTTGAATAATATAGCAAAGAATTTAGAAATTGCAAAGAATTTTCTCATAGCATAGTAACAAAATTCACTTGGAATATGAGGGACTGTAAAGGAGCTAGAAAGGTGAGGATACTTTAACAAACACTAAAGTAAACACTTTAATATGTTGAAAATAGCGTGATAAGGCTTCACAGTTTAATCCTGGAAAGGTTGAAAGTCAATATTCTAGACGTTCTTCTAAGAGTTTCGGTTGTCTAGACGAATCAACTTTGAATGAAATAGTGATTAGTTCAATTTCAGGAAGATTTTTCAACGGAAGCCTGCTGTATGTAAAATTCTAGAGAACTGATAAGAAATTCCAAATCCCACAATCAAAAATCAAAAAGTGGGAGTGAAAAGAGTGTGGTGGCACACACACACACACACGTATTACGTGAAGCTCTTACCCAAAAAAGTGACAGATATCCGGTCCTCGTCGTTTCACACGCACTGGACGCCCCGAGGAGCGTCGTCCGGAGGCCGGGCGCCTGTGGGTATGTGATCCAGCACAGCAGCGGCGGGTACGCGCGCGGACATCAAAATGCACAATAAAACGCGTTTTTATTTGATGATGGAAAGTGCGCGTGCGTATCGGCGTCTCCTCTCCTCCGCGCGGGGACGCATCGGTTACCGGCGGCCGAGAGCGAGCTTGAGGATCGTCAGGAACACAACTTCCCGAGGAAGTGGGGGCAATATACAATCGTTTTCGACCTCTCTTCTACGTCGGCGAGGATGCGCGCGCGCGCATGTTTTCGAGAACCTCTACACATGATTTCAATCGGGTTGCTAGAGTGTTTAAGTGTCCTATTTTTTGTCGTTCCGTCTTCTCGCAGTCGACTTTTTGTGGTCAAAACATCTGAGAACCAGAACCTCACTTTTATGCCTAATTAGGATCCTTATCGAGAACTTCTTTCGTTTTTTGGTGCTGCCCCGAATCGGAACTTCCCGAATCAGAACTGGTACGAATCAGAACTATTTTCAGTTCTAATTGGGTCTGATTCGTACTAGTTCTGATTCGGGAAGTTCCGATTTGGGGCAGCACCCGTTTTTTCTGCACAACATTGCAAAAACGTTGAAACTCGAAATTGTGACGTCAAATTCTAAAGGGATTTCATATTTTCGGCCGAAAGGAGGCGATGAAAAACTCGATTAACTTTGCTTAATTTTGAGCATCTAAAAGACATTGAAAAAAGTATGAACAAATTTTTTTGTCGAAACGGTTTGTCCCGAAGTGTGTGAAAATAGAACTACGGGAACTGCTATTGTCTTTGCCTCTGAATGCCTTCTTTCACTACCGAATCCTCCCTTTTCCGGGGCGCAGGCGCTGGCGCCGAAACGAGAAGACGAAGAAGAATAGACTCAGCGGCCCAAGAAATTTGCAATCGTTTTTGATTGTTGACGCTTCGGATTACGGTCTGGCCGAATAGGAAGAAGGGTGTTTTGAAATTGAGAAGAGGAGTGTGAAGAGCGAGGAAAATTGCAGGAAAGGGTGCGAGATGAAACTTTCTTTCGGAATAATGAAAAATACTACAAGCCCCACACATAGCTCAAAAAAGAGAGATGCGTACTCAAACTAAGACACCTGAACCTTTATTATCGTACAAAGATTATATTGGTGGTGATATACTCAATTAATGTCAAGGAATCCCAAATATTTGGCTATGCATTATGCGGGGCCGAAATGCTCTCCCTCTTAGGTGCAAACAAATCAACACAGACGCGGTTTTGACTTTGAAGAAACGAGAGAGACCGACGAGAGCATTCTCTCATATCAAGTACTACGAATGCTTGCTTTCACAGAAAAAAGGAATCCATGACCATGACGCATATTTGTACAATACTACACCCACCGGTAAATAATGGCTTTATACCATAGAAAAAGGCGAGAAAAAAGTAAAAAAAAAAGCTTTTCCTGTACGATCGATTTGTATACCGATAGATACGAAGGTAGAAACCAATTACGAACGGAGCTGGCAGGTGTGGTGGGACAAGAAACAGCGAAACAGCAGGCGGGTTGACCTTGTCGGAGGAGACGACCGCCCGGGTGCCAAACAACACGTTAACGGAGGCAAAAGGAGGAGGGTGGGGAGGATCAAGGACATTCCGTGTGTGTGTGTGTGTCAAGTGGCAATACCACGCAATACGATTCCAGAACGGTCACACCTCAGACCATTAATGAAGTTTCTGCACGGAAACCAAACTTCTCACGGTCATTGATGATGCTTTAGCGGCCTTTGACCGAGTGCTGTATCGGAAATTATTTTGGTATCGCAAAATTTGTACTACGTGAACTTTTAAATTAGATTTTGAATCATCCTAACGTGAAAAATGAATATCTGTGAAAATGAATATGCCTGAGGTTTATTACTCGTTTTTTATATATGACAATGATTACAACGTTTTTTCGGCAGATTTATAACTTGCTTTAAGAGAATCCAAGATTGCAGGAATGGCGAATTCACAAGAGTGGCATATGTTTAAAAAAATTAACGAAAAAGAAGTTGAATGAGGAAAATGTTGAAGAGTGTTGAAATACGTTTCCTTACGTCTCCTTACAGCTCCTTTTTTCAACTTCTTTTTCGTTAATTTTTTTAAGCATAAGCCGACTATAAACACTGAGCGATAGTCGACTATCGACATTTTCCATTGTCGACATTAAATATTTTGTCGATTATCGTGTCGACACGTCACTCTAGTCAAGATTTTCAGAAGACAGGACGCAGTATGGTCAGCTGCATCCGTTCATTTGTGTGTGCGTTCACTTCTCGCAAATTTGTTCAACAACGTAATTGTGCATAGAGTTAAAGTGTTCATTTGTATTCATGTTTACATGTTCATAATGCCTTTTCAGTTATCCTCATTTGTACTTCTTTTCGGGAATATTCTCCTCCGTCCACTTCTCCTCTTCTTCTTCTTCTTCTCCTCGTTCTGCGCTTCGACCTTTTTCAGAATATCCATAGACTTTCTCCGCATCTGATCGTCCCATTGACTGCTCAGACTTGTGAAGTATACGTTCGTCTCGTCGTTTGTCGATAGATTGCTGTTCGATCGAAAATCTTCGGGGAAAACGCGTCCGAAGAAAGGCTTTGTCATCATTCGGATCAGATCGAATCGGAGGAAGAGTCGGCGGAAGTTCCTATCCGCCAGAAGAAAGACGAATATTAGGATTTGACCGTACCTGAATACTATCTTTTCAGTTTCATGTGACTTTTTTTGTTACTCACACAGCGATTGCAAAGTTGAAAAAAGTGTGAAAATGCTTGACGATGGCCTGATTATTGTTGCGCAAATATTCATCATTCGAAACTGAAACAGATCGTTTTCGTCGGTTTTCTATTAAAGCTTCAGCAGTAATGTTACCGATGAGGAAGCCGGCAAGAGTCATATTCAGAGCTGCCATCACTACAATCGAGTTTTTGAGCCACTGAACAAATAAGAACTTTATCCTCGGGAACCTTCTTCATAAACTTACCTTCATAATTTTCAAATTTTCATTTAGCTGGAACCTGAAGCTCAACGTGTACAAAGGGCTCATTTCCCTAGTTTGACAATACTTCAGATTCGTTCTGTTCAGATTGTACAATGTGATGAATGAAAATATTGAGATGACGTTGAGAGAGAGGCCTAAAGCGACCAGAAGCAACACGCTGATCAGTTCTGAAACCGTTGTGCATCTGGAGGAATTTCAAAATAGCATACCATAGTGAAAGATCAGTGTTCCTATCACACCTGCTACTATATTCAATTTAACCAGGACAATTGAAATCCATTTGTGCTTTTTCATCTCATAAGTGGACACCCAAATGGTGGCGAAGTATCGTTCGACTGCCAAGAGTAACGCCCTGAAACATGCTTTCTTCAATGACGACGTGACTTGAAAACTTACAAAGAACATATTAAAACCATGAAAAAGACTCTGTATAGACTGCAGAACACTAGAACAATATACAACTGACTGGAAGCCTCGAGTATGCCTACTGTAGACTCTTCTACAATCACCTTTTCTTCTGAAAAATGTCATTCATTAGAACCTAAGTCAAGCTGCACTGGCCTAGATTCAGAATGTTGGCTTCTAGAAGAATTATCATTGTTCTGGCGACAATATCAACAATATAGGCGATTGCAGAATAGGACAATATCACTTTGATGTTGAAATGAAATCGATATCTTACCAGCACTACCATCATTGCCAAGTAGGCGAAAAACTCGAAAAACAAAAGGGTTCCTTCTAGAATGAGGAAAATGAGTAACAGGTAATAATTGGAATCCTGAGAAGTGATTTGGTGATATTGAAGTAGAAGCATGAGTAGCGAAACTTTCTTGAATGAAAAACATTCGGAGGCAAGGTTTCTGCGAAAAAGGTGAAAACAGGTGAAATCGAATTCAGATTATAATCGAGTTTCATGATGTTAATTTATTGGATATTCAGTTAGATGAAGTTAAAAAAAAGAGACATAAATCCATAAAGTGCATGATCATTGGTCTTTAAAGCCCCTTGTTATAGTACAATTGGGAATGACTCGTCTTTTGTTGAAGTTCCGGCTCGAGGAGTGACGTGGAAATCTGAAAAGCCAAAAAAGAGGTCAGTCTCAAGAAAGATTGAAATTCACAGCGCTTTCTTGTGGGAATAGAGCCAAGGCAACTGGAAGACTGACGGCGAACGAAAGAGTGCAAATGACGGCGTTCACAAATATGTGACGGACCTGAGTCTTCGTGACCCATTTAAACCTGACATTTACATTAAATTTATATAAATTTCCTTCTTTTCACCTCTCAAGGAATGGCATGACACACGGCGGGATGAGCAGAAGAGGGACCGGGAGGAATGCTCGGACCATCGTGGTATCAGTGACTGCTTGCTTGGCGGCCGTCTTCGAAACGCCCACCACTTTCCCCGTTTCCTTCTCATAGACCTGGATTCCAGTCTCCAACTCGTTCCACCGCATGCAGATGACGTTGAGCGAGGAGGCCAGTGACGTAGCAGGCAGAGGAACGAATCTCTGAACACTTACCGATGGCTTGAAGTGAAGAGTGGAAGACGTTTACCTGAATGACAAGGCGAGTAGTTGGTGGAAGAGACGAGGCCTTCTTGATGAAATAGGTCAGTCCGGCCGAAATGGAGCACGCGGCAGTGACTGCTGCTCCGTAAGCTCCGATGTATTTTGAGATTGGCTGCGGCTGCGTAGCATTCCGGTTAGCATAGTTGACGCATGCGTTGTGAGACTGATTCATCCACTGCCAGAACAAAAGAGTTGGCCATGAGGGGTTGGGCAGAAGCATTCCTGTTACAGTAATCCATCCGAACGGTACGAAACCGCTCATTCGGAAGGGAGGCAGCACTTTCTCTCCTGTGTCCGGATGAAGAACAGCTTGTTTCAACTTTTGAGCTTCCCACAGAGCTTTGTCTGAAGTATCACCCACATTTCCAGTTTTGTATGCATCCAGAAGTTGGAGTGAGTCTTCAAGCTTCTTCTGAATACTATAGATGTTGTACCGTTTTGTAACACTCTAAAAGTGTGGTGCTGCCCAAATGGGAACTGCCCAAATCAGAACGGCCACGAATTAGAACTGGTATGAATGCGAAGTGCCCGAATCAGAACTCCTTATGGCAATACTTCCTAAATTAGAACATGAAAGCGTTTTTCTACGCTAACACATTTTGTTACCTTGTTAATTTTCGTATTGTAGGTATTCTAGATACAGCTAGACATTCAAATAAAACAGCGGTCCAACATAATAGAACTGGGCAGAATAGAACTGCGCAGAATAGAACCGCCACACAATAGAGCCGCGATATAATAGAACTGTTTGTGTATTTATATGAGCATTTTGTCCGTTTCTTTCAATTAACTTTCGCAAAATTTTTCGTCTCTCGAACAATTAAGCAGAAGACCACGGTTTATACCTAGAAAATTGGTTTCCTTTCCTTTTTGATAGTACAATAAAATTATTTTCTGTGGGTTTTCGTTACCGTAGAGAAGAGGGATCACGAAGGAAGTGAAATTAATGAATGCAATAAATCGATCGCGAGATTCAAAAATTATCTTTTTCTACGAAACAATTATTCCACAGAAAGGCTCCAAACAGTTATATTGAGGCCTGTTTTATTGTGTTGCGGTTCTATTCTGCCCAGCTCTATTATGTTGGACCGCCAATGAAACAGTTCATTGGTAACGAAAGCAAGTGTGAAGCAGAAAAAATATTGTGAATAAGCAGAAAAAGAGAACGAGAGAAAATCTTAGAAAGCGATTGAACTTTTTGGTTACGCGTTGCTCAAAAATTGTTTACAACGAGCAACTTTTGCGCAACTATTCGTAAAAAAGTAGAATTTGTTGAAACCATGCACAAAATTGCGAGAAAAAAGAAAGAGAGAAAGTAAGAGACACAGAAGAAGAAGAAGAAAGAGAAATACAAAAAAATAGAAGCAGAAAAAAGCAGAGAATCTGGATCAGAGGCTTCCCTATTCATTTTCGGTTTTCTTGGAAATAATATTGTCAGGGTGGTATTAATTTGATCAGTTCTGATTAGTATCAGTTCTAGCTTGAAGAGTTCTGATACTGGCGCAGTTCTGATTCGGGCAGTTCCCATTCGGGGCATCACCAAAAGTTTAAATTTGACGAGGTCTTCGTTGACCAATTGCATTCACGATTGTTCTGGCATGCAATTCCGGCTTTAAAATCTTACATGGGAAGCAAAAAGAGTTCTTGGGTCTATGACATCGAGACAATGAAGATATCTGCCGAGGAAGGTGTCCTGGGGGAATCTAGGCTCTCCAAGCTTGAATTTTGGGTACACTGGGTACCCGAAAATAGTGTCCTCCACGGACATGACCTAAAAGAGTGAAAGCATGAGAGCAATGTTTATTGGAAGAGTATAATAGACACGAGAACAAATCGAATTGATACCAAATGATCATTTGCGATGCAATGCAAAGCGAGAGAAGAGTGTAAACGAAACGAAAAGAACACGACGGGTCACGAGACGACAGACAGACACGGACAGTTGTTGTCTTTTTGATGAACGTGAAAGTAAGAAAAAGAAGAAGGAACAAAAAAAATTTGAAATAGAATTGACTGGGAATAGAACATTTGGCGCCTAAATTGTATATATAGTGAAGAGAGAAGAGGAGGAGAAAAAGGGCTAGAGATCGATGAGCAAAAGCTAAGGCCGGGAGAGACTTTTTAAATTTTTTTGAAGGGTGCACGTGTGCGAGTCTCAACGATCTATGAGTTTTCTGTCAAAGTCGAATATGATGAAGTCCAGATAATATATTCGTTTCAGCCATTCCCTAATGATTTTGTCACTCTCAATCTGCTTCTTCACCACGTGGTGGGCGTCGGAGTCGTAAGTGGCGTGCTGCGTTTCTCCGTCCAGTGCCGACTTCTCAATGTATTGGATGGTCGCGTTGGGAACGTGATTCTCCGCGAGCACATCCATTAATCTGTCCAATCCATTCTTCCGATCTTTCGGGTCAACTGCCAGCTTTACAATCTTGTACTCATTCAAATGCCTTCCGAATTCGCAGTTCCTGAAAAAAGTTTCACGTGACATTTTAAGAAGATAGTAGCTTGAAAGGCTATAACGCGTGGCCTTTTCTGTTCATAACGGTCATGGGAAGTTCAATTGGCGTGAAATTTTTCTTACCAAGACAACGGAGCAGCATGCCGATCCTCATAAGAAGGCCGGAGTCTCGAGTAATCACTAGCGTGCTGCACAAATCGTTGATATTGCTTTTCCAAAAAGCACGTCACATTTCCTTGACAATTATAGCATTGCTTCCGTTCTGGATACTTTTGGGCTTCACTGAGAAAGAGAAAGATGGGAATATCCTTCAGAAACTGTGAACTTACAAAATGCACTTGTTGGAGAAGAACGAAATGAATCTGGCAATCGGGTCTCGGATCACGGCGAGTTTGGTGTAGGTGTGATGGGCATCTCCCATTCGCCACTTCACCTCGTTCAGTTTTCTGTACTCGTTCTTCGATGCACAAAATCTTATGTCGATAATATGTTTTAAAAGTTATTCATTAACCTTCTTACCTTCGACTCCAAACCTCCAAAATGCTTCTGTTGTTCTTCATAAACTTTGCGGTGTCGTACAGAACACAAGCCACTCCGGACATTAACGTGGACATTGACTTTTTGATACGGCAGATGGAGATGTTATATTTGGGCGCTATCTGAAAAAAGGTGAAATTTTAAAATTAGAAAGATCGCTTACCGCGTACTCTCTTTCAAAGTCTACAAATGGCGGAATCAATGGCTTCCCTGTCTGATTTGCTTCGTTTTGTAAGGTTTCCAATTGGGAAACTCTATTTTCCCGCACCAACTCGTAGAATCTCGTGTACGTTTGTGTTTTCACAGTTTTAATCCACGAGTTGGTGGCGAACAGATAATATGAAGAATACGAAATGGCGGTTAGAAGTAAGCAGGAAACAATGAACCACTTGGATCCGCTCATTTTGAGATCAGGTTTGTTTGGAAATATTTAATGAACATGAAATTCAACTAAATACACATTTACAGTTTGAAACGGTTCTTTTTATTCCATCCCATTCACTCGCTCGCTTTAATCCGACGTAATCCCTTTTCAACCTTAAAAGTTTGCAATAATTCATATATCTGTATCAAAAGAGCAAGCACAAAACGGGCTGCTCAACACTCCGGTAAACGGTTTATCGTCAGGGAATTTCAGTGGACTGACAGATTTGAGTATATTTAACATCACCGCCCATTGAGGCCCTGATTCCGTCACCCAGGCAATTATTTATCCATTGAGGCCCTTATTCTGTCCCTTGTCAGGCCCTTATAGTACATATCATTTCAGAATTAAACAAAGAAAAACTTACACTTGGCAGCAACAGCATCAGCGTGAAATCCAGAAAAAATGTCGAGGGAATGTCTTTCTACCTTTGAAAAAGTTGTACGACTTAACTGAAGTGTACAACTTATACTAAGAGTCGAAAAATGTTTCCACTTCCATGTGGAGTTTATAGACCGTACCAGACGGTACGGTCTATGCTAATCCTTCGCCCATTGCGGTTTACCTGTGGATCACGTGACCTCCTCGACCGAGTGTCGCTGCGAGCATTGAAGAAGGACGGTGTGCGAGGTCAAGTGAACACGCTGGAAAATGCGTCACTCCGGGAAAAGCAGGAAAACAGCATCTAAATAAACAAAAACAAGACGACAAATAACGAACAAAGGAGCAGAATGCTATAAAATAGAGGAACGATAGGATGAAGCCATCTGAAAATGAGCTCCAGCGTAACTTTGCTCCAACTATTGCTCCTTACTGTTATTGTCCTTTCCAAAACAGTGATTAACAACTCTGAAGAATTGGAAGAGTTTTTGAAAACTAATAAATTATCCCGTGAATCGAAGCAAGCACTTAGGAAGTACCAAAGAGAAGGAATGCTGGCGTGTGAGTTCATCTTTTACTCTTTCTATTTCTACAGTACCCATTTTTCAGTTCCCTTGGATCCATTCAACTTCCTCTCTCAATTTCAATCACTTTTCTCTCAACTTCCTAATTTTTTCTCCTCTTTCTTCAGAATTCCATCCTTTTTCGGACCAGCTGACACTAGAATAAGTGTGGATCATCGAAAACAAGTGAAAGATTGATAACAGAGGATAACTTTATTGCAACCATTTCACTGACATTGAGCTTCCATCTTCAACATTTCCATTTCCTGAATTAACATGTTCTTTGCAAACCTTCAAAGTAAATGTGTCTCACTCTGATTTTTTCAATGGCATCTTTCACTTCATCCGTGCAACTCAGATTCTGAACTTGATATCCGAACAACGTTGCGCTTGAGATAATGTCTGGAAACGGTCAATAAACCTCATGTGCTCGTGCTGCCGTTTACCGTAATCGCATCCAATTTTATTCTTATAGAAGTCGACTTGATTCAACGAAGTCGGCGCAGAGTACATAATTTGCGAAGAAGTTCTCATGAAAGAGACAAACGGATTCGGCACATTTGTCATGGACTTTGGGGTGCCCAGTCTGATTTTTTGCAGGTTCAAATTCACAAAGACGTCTTCCCCAATCCATTCCTCCTCACTCAGTGGGTTTCCGATCAAATTGATATCTTCCAGGTTACAAAGAGTCTCCAGTGACATATTCTGAACTGATGTCAGACCCAAATTGCCTAAGTTCAATATCTGAATTTAATATTTTTTTCTATAATGAATTCTAACTTTCACATACCTCTAACTTTTTGAACTGTCCCAACATTTGTCTATTTTGACTTAGAAAGTTCGACTGTCCCCTGATGTCTAAAGCAAGAATTCCTTCTGGATTGGGCACGGTCGGCATTGATTTCAAAACGTTTTGTTCCGAATATCCGAGTTCAATTTGACATTGCATTGTTGTTTCATCGAATGTTTGGATGGTTTTGATGGCAGATGTGGTGTTGTCGGTTCTGAAAATTAACGTCTTCGCTTTCTAAGATTTATTATTCAACAGAATTATTGTTAGTATTCGAAGAGGATCTAGAAGATCTCTACAGTATCTAAAATGTTGGAATGTAAAATTTAAAACGAACGCTTTCAAATCCAGTGTCAGCAAGTTATCCAGTTTTGCGAGAAGAGCTTCCGGAAGAGTGACAAGTCGATTTCCAGCCAAATTCAGAAATTTCAGTTTAGTCAAATGATCGAATGCTCCTTCGGAAATGGAGTTAATCGCATTGCACTGGAGTGTCAGCGAAATCAGGTTTGTGCTTTGAGCCAAAAATGAACTTTTGATGGTGGTCAAACTAGATTCAGTAAGTAGAAAGTGCTCTAGCAGAGGCAGTTTGTCCAACCCACTCATATCCATTTTGTCATTCAGTGTTACTTGGAACTCGAGAAATTCTAACGAAGAGCTCGTGACCCAATCGGGAATTGAGGTCATTGTCACGTTATAAAATCCGATGGATTTCAAGTTTTGGATCATTGCATCTGGCTGAAATAAGCATTAGTAAGAACTCAACTAAATTGATAGAAATTTTGAAAAGCGAAACCTACAATAGATTCCTTGCCAGTTATGTTCACCAAAGCAAGAGCCAAACTGGATAAAGTGGGAACTTTGGCAAGAGTTGCGAAGAACTTGTCGGTCAGCTCAAATCTCGGAGCAAAATATTTAGGCTGATTTCTGACGACATCTCCGAAGAAGACTACTGGGTTTCCGAACGCGATATGGATGATTTCGGGATGCTTCTTCACAATTGTCTCGAGCATTTCCTCCATTCCAGCCAAAGCTTCTGCTTTTTTAGTCGATTCCACTATTGGTTTCATTTGAAAACCTTTGATGAACAAGCTGTCCAGATACTCGATTGATTTATTATCCAAAGAATACGGAGGAGTGAAATCTTCCCCGCTTCCCGAAGCAAAAGTTCCGTAAGTGTAGATCAAGGAGATTCCCTAAAAAATCCCACTTTATTCTAGCATTTCCCGTGACCCTTCGTTTAATTCGAATTCACGAGTTGCATGTGAAAGGCCAGGAATCCTTAAACCAAAAATATTTTGATTCTCACGTCTTTCAATCCTTTTTCGGTCAGGGGAATGTCCCAGTTCGAACAGTTAATCTTGCGTTGAGCAGATCCAACTGAGCCCACTTGCCACGTCGGAGGAGGGCGACGTTCACCGCAAGTGAAGCGGACTGAGAAACAAATGTTCAACTTTTTTAAAAAAAAGTGAATGTTCCTTACGAGCATCAACAAAATGAGCACATTGACGTTCGCAAATGTTCGGAGCAAAATTTCCGAAAGTGAATATATCAAAAAGTTGATTTTTGTAATTATTGTTAACGTTCAAAGAGAAACACGGATGCATGAGCTTCGGAACCGCCAGATCTGCGACCCCGGAAGATCCAGGCGGCGTAGTTGTCATGATTGGGAACTCGTACGAGTTTAGAACTAAGTTCGCCTGATTTGCAGCATATTGCCCATATGTGTCATCACAATAGATCACGGCCCTGCTGGCAGAGACTTTTGGAATCCTAAGATTGATACAGTATATAATTAAGGGAGCTCATTGGAACTTACAAAAAAATTAGAATTCTCAAAAGCCGAATCATTGTTGGACAAATAACTCGAATGACTAGATTTTACCTAAAGCCCCCGCTTTCATCATCAGAAGCGTTTCAATATCCAATTTCCTGTAGGGGATTTCCGGACTCGAAATCGACTCGTTTATATAATACTTTCCTGATGAAACTCCGAAAAAAGTAGTTATCACAAATTACACTAATACAACCAAAATGATACAGTGAAGAGGAAGCAGGAGGAAAGGAGAGAAATGTTAAAGGGAGGAGATCAGATTACATTAAAAGCTACTGAAAACAGGGAAACAGCAGATGACTATTGTTATTAAAAAGAAACCAAAAGAAATGATACATCTGTGTCAACGTTCGATTTCTCAACGGTAGCAAAAGGGCACTTTGGAAGAGAAACTCGGATAGGACCGTTAATTGAGAAACACACTATTTTTGATCAGTTTGATCACTTTTTGCAAAAATGAAGTTAACTTTGGGCATTTGGAACACCTGGATTACTCTTTTTCTTGTTTTTGAGCTTCAGAGGGATTCGCTGCACTTCAGCCTTCGGTAACGCACGAGCCCACACTTCATTTGACATTTGCTCTTTGATTTCTCTCCTAATCCTCTCTTCTTCCTCCACGATCGGAGCCATACGTTCTCGAACCTGGAAAGCAAAAATAATACCGTGAGTTTTTCACGTGAAATTTTGGGACTTCGATCGTTCAATTTCTGTGAACAAAAATTTGAACTATTATAGCGTGACGGCCTTTTGGAGGAAAATTTTGAAAATTCGCGTTATTATGGCAGCTTGGGTACAAAAGAGTGAAAGTGTCTGAAATTTAAACTTACATCATCAGAATAATACCGTCGGAAAACGGCCTCTCCCGCACAGTATTCGGTTGCTTTGTAGACGTGAAGTAACAACTGTAAACCGAAGCTTACATGGTTTTCTAGAGAAATAACTAACTCTGGGGAATCTGGAAGTAAAATAATGAAGAAAGTGATCAGGAATGTCGCCCAATGACAATCTAACGTCCTCGGGCAATTCTCGATAGTGATGCTTCTTGTTACGCATTGCTCTGAGTAAATCTCGTACCGAATACGATTTGTACGTTCGGAACTTTCGGAGATCTTCTTTTAGTGCCTCACAGATCTTCTCTCTCCATCCACCGCAAACGACTGCTCTGGCCTCACTCTCGATCCTTCTCACTACTGGACTGCCATCTTCCTCTTTCTCAACGCGATCCGAAACATCGGAAAAAAAGGCCAATCTCTTTTCAGAATTCCAAAAGAATGGATGATTGAGTACTGCTTCTGCAGTTAACCGCTCTGATGGATCATTTCTGAGCATTGAAGTGATAAGGTTGTCAGCCAATGACCAATCATCCATATCAGCCAGCTTATTCAATGAGAAATGTCCTTTTACAATGTTGACTTGTCGATGAAGCGATTTTCCGAACGGGTGAGTTCCAGAGGAGAGAACGTAGTAGAAAATGCATCCAAGTGAAAAGATGTCAACTGGATAAGAAGTACTCGCGGAAATGAGTACTTCCGGAGCGATCCATCCCTCAGTTCCTGCTAAACCAGATGCGATCCCCTTCGAAACAGAGTTTTTTCCTGGTTGCACTCGTTTACACAACCCGAAGTCGGAAATGACCGCTCTCATTTCGCCTCGTTGGCTGGCCATTGTGATAAGAACGTTCTGTGGTTTCATGTCGCGGTGCACAATCTTCGAAGCATGAAGATGAGCCAACCCGTCGGTAGATTGTCTCAGAATGTCGTTGAGAGGAATCGTCACATTTTCTTGTACTTCTTTCCGCTCCACGTAGTCATTCAAAGAAGAAACACACAATTCCAGAGCGAGGTAACGAAACTGACTGTCGGATTCCATGCAGAAGTACCGGATGACATGTGGATGCATGTCACTCTCTCGCAGCAAATCAGCTTCTCGGTGTGCGAATTTCACAAACTCCGAGACCACTCTTTTCACAGCCACTTCTCTACCGTCGAATGTGCCTCTGTATACGACAGTTCCTTCGCATCCAGTACCCAGAATATCCGTGGGGCTATACATTAACTTGCTTCCAACGGCCAACCAACCTTCAGGAATCTGAAAAAGAAACTGGGAACAATGCACAGATCTTCTCAAGTAAGTACCTCAATCTTTTTGCTCATCCATCCGAACGAGCCTCCTCGATTCGATTGTTTGGAGGTCTGTGCACTTCTCGGCTCGCCAGGATTCAGAATCTCAAATGATTCAGTTCTCGACGCCTGATCCCACTGCCGTCCGCATTGCCAGATCACCGTCAACAATAAAACAATCATTGTGACTAGAGTTCCGTAGAACGGAATAGGATATTTGTCCAGAAGCAACAATATTATTGATGTTTCCTCCGTTTTCATCGGCTCCGTTGGTCCGGCAATCTGCGGCAGTTCTATGGTAGATCCGATGGCTCCGCGAAGTCCTGGGATAGGATACCGTGTCGGAATGATGGTTGCCAAAGCCATTGTCGGTCTGTCATGATACCCTGAAACTCTCGAATATTGCACTGTCGACAGGGCTGTGCAATTGGCCGGCCCGGGCTTTTGTTGGCCGATCCTTGACCTGGACTTTCGAACCACTTGCAATATTCCGATGGGACCCAAACTTTGCAAGATTGTTGGACTTGGATTGAGGGCCATTGTGACCAAGTTTCAACCCGATCGATCAGATCGTCGGGTCCCGAGATATGTGGATCATTAGCCGATTTTTTCCAAAAAGCCCGGGCTTCCGGCCAGTTTCGGCCAATGATCCACATATCTCGGGACCAGATGATCCGATCGAGCTGAAACTTGGTCCCAGTATGCTTCAACCCATGTCCAAGAAGTCTGCAAAGTTTGGGATCGATCGGAATATTGCAAGTGGTTCAAAGGTCCAGGTCAAGGGCCGGCCAACGAAAGGCCGTGCCGGCCAATTGTCCAGCCCTGACTGTCGTCATCAACCCCCTTCGCTCGTCACTCGTCCGTCCGCACCGATCAACCCTTGAAACACTCTCTTTCTGTTCTTTTTCACTTGCAGGGGGAAGGGAGAGAGCAAGATCATTTCAACAAGAAGGTGGGAGGGAAAAAGAACAAAACGCAAAGAGAAACAGGCAAAAAGCGAAAAATGCCGCCCTCTTGTTTCGCACCTTTTCTCTATCTCTTCGCTATCTCTGTTTTTATGAGTCCGAAAATTTTCAAGACGGAGGAACAAAACATCTGGGTTGAATGGGGGCAAAACAAAACGGACTCACCGAGCAACAAGAATTCGCCGTCGAGAGTTTTATGAGTGATCGAAGACGGAATATTCCGAATAATTGGTCGGCGTGGTGGCAGATACTCTTCTTTTTCCATGTCCTGAAACGAAGACGATTAATTTTCTGAACTGTTACAATCTTGATGTCTCAAAACTATAGGAAAAACGGAAGCGTACCGTCAACGCAATAGGAGCAGGTCCTTCCAGAAGTGGTGGTCCGAGAAGTTTCGGGGAGTAGGTAATGGTCTGATGATCAACTAGCGCTTCTATCGCATACAATCCGAACGGCGACTCTCCGACGTAGAGAGTGGGGAAGAATTGGGTGGTGAGAGAAGTGGTATGCGGATCGGCAGCATCCACTCCGAGCACGGTTGGCCATTTGTCCACAGTTAATATGTTCTGAAACTGATCAAATACTGCTTCGTCGCCGCTTCTTTCATTTTATAATTTTCTTCCAAGTTGTCACCGACTCGTCATCCCTTAACTCGCCCACAACGGATAAGACACTGATAAAAGAGAGAAGAGGACGGAGAGAAATCAGAAGCTCAACGAGCCTCCCGTCAGCCACCACCTCAGCTGTGTCCAGCTGTTGCGTCTTTGGCTCTCGAATACCTCTGGCGATCGCTCACACATTCAACATACACATAGAGGATACATACGAGATACGGGCGAGTGGACGTGGTATCCTCCGAGCCCCCGACTGCCCGAGACGAGGAGGCATCACGAAACCAGCTCGTGGCCGTTAAATATGATGAATTGTTGAGCGAATTGTGTTAACGTTTATGATATGTTTACGATATCAGGACTGATCTTCGCTTTTTATTTCGATAGTTTCTTGAAATTTGAGGAAATGAAGGAGCTGTAAATCTGATTAAGATTTGTTTGTTCTCATAGCGTTCATGGATTCTTCAGAATAATTCTGAAATCTAGTAGCTGATCTGTTTTGATAATTCTGGGCAACCCTCGCTCGTCTCTATATTTATTGGTCCATGTTTATTCCTCTGTGTGGCTACCCAATCTCTAGCTCTCGGAAGCCATTAATCACAATTTCTCGTGTGCGTCTGTCGCAATTGAATCACAATTAGTCTCTTTTCCGCCCGTATCACTCTGACACCTTCCAGACACAACATCTCAGCGCAAATGGGAGCATGGAGGATGTGGCGTCGACTACCCAACTGTCCATAGATGTTGAAGATCCAACACTGCCACCACTGCCACCCACAAACCATCACAGGCAACAGCAGCAATGGGCACAAGATCAGAATCGAAAAAATTTGTCATTTGAGAAGTCTGGACAAGGTAGAAAACATTCCATGGTATTGGCCGCATAGCCAAAAATGGAACATTTGATTTCAGCTACTCGAAATGCTTCCGAAGACAGTAAGAATATCAGGTTTCTTGCCGACAATGCTCCTCCCACTGGAGCACGAAAAAGATCACAAAACAAGCGATTGAACGACTGGAAGCGAAGGTTATCGGTCAATCCGGAACTTCTCAGGAAGCATGGTGAGATTATTATTCGCTCGAAAAGTTTTAAAAAACAGAGATTAATTTTTCGAGAATACTTTGCTGTTCTCTTTCTGCTCCTCGCCAACGTTTTATAAGTTTTTTCCAAAAAAAAGTTATGATGAGAGAGAGGAGGGCTGAAGAATGAGGAAAGGAACGCAGCAGCAAGAAGAAGCACCTTCCAGCCAGCCATTTTCCCCTTCATCCTCTCACTTCATACATCATTTTGTCGTCGACTACGCGACAAGTGCTCCAGCAAGCATGCTGCAGCCTGGAAGTTCACCACTAACTGCTAGTAAAATATCTATATTCCCCCAACATGGTAGGTCTCTGGATCAGCCATTTTAGATCATTCAAAAGTAGAAAGACATTCGAGAAGATAAGCTACTAATCAAAGTAGTTCTAGGTAGATGAAAATTAGTAAAATAATAGGCTAATACGAAAATCCTTTGTAGGTCAACATCATTTTGCACGGTGTCGTGGCGGGGTACACTGGCGCAAGTGCGCTCTAATGAAATTTTCCAAAATTTTGCTTTGGCCTAATGCTTTAAAGGACCAGGGAACCCAAAAATTTTTTGATTAATTTGTGAAATTTTTTTGTGACTGTTTGAATTGTCTCTTATTGCCTCATACATTGGTGAAATGCTGCCTCTCAAAAATGCCAATGAACGAAACGGCATGCAGTTGAAGTTGTGGCCGTGGCCTAGCGCCAATGGCCGAAAAATATATATAAATATATGCGCTTCTCGGCCATTTTATTTTTTCCGCTTTTTTACCGGTTTTTTTCCAAAAATTCACGGTTTCTCCCATTTTGGCACTTCATATCGACTGAATGAAAACAATTTTTTAGCAGTGAAAAAATAAGTAAGTGCCGAACAGATGTCAATCAACTGAAAAATGGGAGAAACCGTGAATTTTTGGAAAAAAAACCGGTAAAAAAGCGGAAAAAATAAAATGGCCGAGAAGCGCATATATTTTTATATATTTTTCGGCCATTGGCGCTAGGCCACGGCCACAACTTCAACTGCATGCCGTTTCGTTCATTGGCATTTTTGAGAGGCAGCATTTCACCAGTGTATGAGGCAATAAGAGACAATTCAAACAGTCACAAAAACATTTCACAAAAACATCATAAAATTTTTGGGTTCCCTGGTCCTTTAAGATAGAGGCGCTACGCAATCGACCGTCGGCGGAAGTTCAAATGTTAGTTTTCGATGTACCCGTCACGACCCCATGTTTTGGAGGACTTTGTAAAAGTAACTCTCGAGGCCCTATAAACTTCTTGACTAGTACTGTTTTGATTTCGACTTATCTCTTTTCGGTAGAAAAAAATGATTGTCGACTCCCAGAAGATCTCTAAAAGTACATCCTTCCTTTTTATCCTATCTCTTTCTCTCACATATCTTTTCGTATCGAACCCGAATAGATCATTGGATCTCTCTCCTCTCCTCGATTCGCAAAAGAAGATCAGCGGTGTGATGATGCAACCCGCTTCACGTCGATGTCTCCGATGATGTAACATAAGACCCTATAACACCATCGGCGGGCAACAAATCAACCCGAACAACGTGAAGCGTAATCGAAGCATGTCTGCGGCTCCAATCGGCTCTGGATATCTCTTCTCGATGTCCCACCACTTCGTAGCATCTTTTTTTATTTCTTTTTAACTGCTCAATCAACGCCCTTCTTCTGCTGGTCTTCATCGGAATCAGTTAGGACCGAGAAGATTATCTTGAAGAGTTTGAACTTCAGAAATCGAATCAATCAAACTTCTTTGAGCAGAAACAGTTGGAGCTGGAGGACTTCGGAAAAAGAGAAACTGGTCGATTGCTCTCTTGAGGTCCTCTCCCAATTGTCGCTCTGCCTCAGTGTCTCGTTCAAGAACACCACTTTTCCTCTACTATTACACCGCCATTCCGGCTCATTCCAATCCAATCAGACAGATATTTTGTCACACGAGAGGGGAGACCACGCCAAACAACTAAACCCTCAACACTATTTCTACTTCGTCATGCTTATCCTTCTGATTTGGATAAGTAATTTTTGTTCACCGGCTTTATAATAGTCTTACTCGGACTGAAGAATGGCAGAGGAACGGATCAAGTCAAAACTTCGGCGGCCTCCGTCCGTCGAGTCGCGAGCATCGAATCGGACTCAGCCTAGGACTAAACTGTCTCCTATGGCAATGTTGATGCCACACATTATGGTCGGCGAATCGTTCCGCAAATATCGACCACATGGTAATAAATTCCTCATGCGAAGGGCTTTTCGCTCTCTTCTTTTCGCTTATATCCCTCAAAAAACTTTGAGTAACCTGATATCAACAAACGACATGACACTCATTTCTGAACTAGAGAGTGTCACGACAGCTTTGACTATCAAACATTGCTTTTTGAAAAAAGTACTGAAATCATCTCCATTCGATGACTATAGAACCGAACAAACAGTTAGGTTACGATCTACGTAATCAGATCCCTGAAGAAGGTGCATCGCACATCAGAAGGTTGAGTGCCGGTGAGAATTGAAAAGGAAGTAATTTTACTTGAGAGAAATTGTCACTTTGCAGGTTTGCGGAACATTCGGATGACTGGCCATTTGAACTGGAAAGAAATCAGACACAGGTAATAGAATGCGTTCTATACTTTTATAATCCCCGCATAGGTTCGAACGGCAGTCAACATTTCACGGAATTTCGCACGCTGCTACTGCGCCGACCAAGAAATGGCGGTGGTTTTGGTATACAGCCTTCACGATATGCCTGTTCGCTCTGCTCATTCAAATATTCTTCATCATATCCAAATATCGTCAATATGGTAAAACAGTTGATCTTGATGTGAGTTTCGTCGTTGTTCTCATGCATTTAGTTGAATTGAAAATTGCAGCTCAAATTCGAAAATGCTCCATTTCCGTCTATCACGATATGCAACTTGAATCCGTACAAGAAGAGTGCAATACAGTCCAATCCGCATACTAAAGCAATGGTACGCTACTAAACATTTAATTTTTAGTAAACTACGATCGTTAAATCCAGATGGAAGCCTACACTCGGAGAATTGGCTCCGGTGACAAGGCGGAAGGCATTGCGGCAGCGTTATCAGCAACCGGAGGTCTGCACGCGAAAGTTCGAAGAGCGAAGAGAAAGGCAAAAGGAAAATCGCGGTTACGAGACAGGCGATACCATCAGGCATTCGCTCAGTGCTTATGTGACATTGAGCCGCTGACTGGAGACAGGAAAGGATCCTGTTTTGCCGCATTCAAAGGAAAGATTGAGATAGACACGAATTCGACTGCTGGCCTCATGAATCTACACACTTCAAAGTGTCTCTGCCAGTTAGATACTGTGTCGAGGACCCTCTGGCCGTGCTTTCCTTGTATGTTTTTTATTTTTTCTATCAGCCTTTCAAATGATCGTCGTTTCAGATGCCTCTTGGAAAGAGAAACTTTGTGCTGAATGCGTTGACAACACGGGGCACTGCCCGATGAGATTCTACAAAGGAAACGAACTCTATGAGAACATCAAGGAGCAAGTTGATCTGTGTTTGTGTCACAAGGAGTACAATCACTGTGTTTCCACGAGAGATGACGGGATAATAATTGAAATTAACCCGAATGAAGAACTTGGAAATATTGATATTGGATCGAAAGTGGCATCGCAGCTGAATGCTCGGGAAGAAAAGATGGCCGAAACGACAACTACGGAAGCTCCGACAGTCACTCAGGCACTTGGATTCGAAGAACTTTCTGATGACATCGCTATCACTTCACAAGCACAAGAGAATCTTATGTTCGCAGTTGGAGAAATGTCAGAGAATGCAAAAGAGGGAATGTCGTATGTGCTCGACGAGCTCATTTTGAAATGCTCATTCAATCAAAAGGACTGTCATATGGACAGGGACTTCACACTTCACTACGATAACACTTTTGGCAACTGCTACACTTTCAACTACAATCGAACAGCTGAAGTGGCATCGCACAGAGCAGGAGCTAATTACGGTCTCCGAGTTCTTCTGTACGCCAATGTGAGTGAGTATTTGCCGACAACGGAAGCTGTAGGGTTTCGGATAACTGTTCATGACAAGTTTACGGTACCCTTTCCGGATGCTTTCGGATATTCTGCTCCAACAGGCTTCATGTCTTCTTTTGGAGTGCGCATGGTGAGTTTCTCTCCGTAGTACAAACGAGCATTGTGCTTTTTTAGAAAAAATTCATTCGGCTGGAACCACCATACGGACACTGTCGACATGGTGGAGAAGACTCTGACACGTTCGCTTATTTTGGATTCAATTATTCCGTAGAGGCTTGTCATAGAAGTTGCGCTCAAAAAGTTATTATCGATGCTTGTGGTTGTGCTGATCCGATGTATCCTGTGGCTGAAATTTTTGGGAATGACACAAAACCGTGCCAGGCCGTGAACATGGAGCAGAGAGAATGCCTACGGAACACCACGCTCTATCTGGGGGAGCTGTATTCGAAAGGAAAAGATGTGATCCCAGACTGTTATTGTCATCAACCATGCCAGTGAGTCTTTTTTCTTAATCCTCCCTAATATTTCCTTATTTCTAGAGAAACAAACTATGAAGTTACGTACTCTTCTGCCAGGTGGCCATCTGGATCCGCCAAAGTCATGGAATGCCTTCCTGGAGACTTTCTCTGTTTAGAAAAGTATCGTAAGAACGCAGCAATGGTCCAGATATTCTATGAAGAGCTGAACTACGAAACAATGCAAGAAAGTCCGGCCTACACTCTAACTTCCGTACTTGCCGATCTTGGTGGTTTGACTGGATTGTGGATTGGTGCGTCGGTGGTATCTCTTTTGGAAATAGTTTCGCTCGTCGTGTTCGCAACTCAAGCATACGTACGGAAGAGAAAAGGGTGAGTCGAGTTAAAAAAGTAACCAGAGTAGTGTAGAAAGTCGAGTTGCATGTCAAACTAGGATCTAACAAGATCTGTCGCGATCCGTACTTGCAGCTCCATCTCGGCCCAGTCACACCATTCCATACCCGTCCATAGAGCTTCCAGGGTATCCTTGAATACTCTGCACAAGAGCAGCACAACACAGAGTGTCAAGTTGTCCGTCATGGATATTCGATCACTCAAATCCATTCACTCGAATCACTCTTCGAAAAGCAAGCAATCTATTTTGATAGAAGACATGCCACCGGCTATTCAGGTTGGCAGAAAACTTTCTCCTCAGAAACTGATTGAAGATTCAGGAGCAAAGTGACGACGAAGAAGAAACGACAGAATCCTCGCGTACAAATGGTTCTTGTCGTTATCTGGCTCCAGGAGAAGATCTTCCATGTCTTTGCAAGTACAATCCAGACGGAACAATACGTGTGATGAAGGCGTTATGTCCAGTACATGGATACATGGTCCGGAGGAACTACGACTACAGGTAGCTTAAACTTTTCCCGTATTCTGAATCAAAAAAAATTGCCAGTGTCTCTAACAGTGAAGAGGAGGAGATTGAAGATGAGGTCCATCAAGAGGAGCCATTCTATACAGCTCCCTACCAACATCGCAAAAAGTGAGAGAATTAGAAAGGAGAATCGTTTGTTGTGGTATGCTTCGCACTCTTTACTTCTCAGGAGTCCTGACTTCATTCACTGAAAGTCGTAGGCAGTAGATTCTTCGCATGTTATGTACATCTTTCCATCTACCTTCCCTTTTTAACACTTTACCTTCTCACGTCTTGCCTTTCAAGCTGAAGGCAAGTGATCATGTTACAGAAGTCAGAGTAATCGGAAGTCTCTCCGTCGATCGACAACAGCAGCAGATGAGGATCTTGCCATGGAGGCTCACAACGATTCAGACGGAAGACCGATCTCACCGGCCGATCAAGGTTCCCCTTAGCTTTTTTGTTTCTTTTAGCACATTTCGACAAATTAACGGCTCAATCCATGTACGGTGCATCTCACTTATAATATCACCTTCTCTCCCCCACTATCATCTTTTCTTGTTTCTCCATTTTATGCTCAGCTATATATTGTGTCTTTCTCATTCTTGGATACAGGTTTCAATCATTTTCACTGCAATAAACTGTTTTTTCTCGACTCACTTTCGCCACATTTTCCATCGTCTCTTTGCCCATCACTTCGAACGGCAGCTTGTGCAGCCCGTCGTCTTTTAGCAGATATAGAGCAACTACTGGCTGCTTCAGATCTTGTTCCCAGCGCATTTCACCTGGAAATGTCAACATTTTCCAATCACACGTCTATGGGTATTATTACGCAACCTTTTTTCTTACATGTTCTTTTCAAATTCTCTCCGAATTACAACTTTACGTGACCTTTTACGAGATTTTCCTATTCCTTTCAGCAACTTTTTTATTTTCAATTTCACGTGAGCTTCATGACAAAGGTAAATAGTTATTTTGACAGAAATCTGCTGTAGCTTCAAACAAGGTCAAGTAGAATTGAGAAAAGAAAATTATTTTTAGTTAAGCAGTACTTACCTGTATCCTTGTCAAATGTCAGAATATATCCATGAGAAGAAGATGCGTAATATTTGAAGGGCCATGAGTTGACTTCTGGCAGGAGATGAGCCGAATAATCGTTGAAAGTCGCATTCCACGTTTTTCCGCGATTTTTCTCATCGAACATGGACACTCTGTACTCGGTCCTTCCCAGAAAAATAGTTCGTTTTTGATTGGCAGGGCATATTCTGTCCGCAGAAGCTGATGATAGAGTTTCGACCTGAAAATATTCAAACCAATGGCAAAAAGCATAAAATTAGTACTTACTTTAAGACCAGTTTTTGGATCAATTCCGAACCAGACGTCTTTTTTGCTCCCCGCGTACAAAATTCCGTCATTTCCTTTGCATGGCGAAGCGTGAACCAATTGCGGAATGTTGAACGGTAATCGTTTCAGTGAACTGTTCTTCAAAACATACAGAGAGCCGTCGAGAGGATTCGGCAGAAATGTGAACCCCTGCTTTACAGATGACGGAGAACGTAGCACAGGCTCTGAAAACCAATTTTTTTGGTATCATTTTTTACGTGGGCCCACGCGTGGTCGGGCCGGGCCTTGTAGAATTTTTTAAAGCCCAGCCCGGCCCGTTGCAAGTCTGATTTTCGTTTTTCTTTTTCAAAATTTTCTGAAATTAGGCTTGAGTCTGCAAACACTGAGAGGGCAAGAGTGGTAAATTGAGTATAGCATTGAGTTGTATGAAAATTTTTGACAAAAAGGAATCATTTTTTTAACAAACCTTCTTGCAAAGTCCACTTGATTTGTCCAGTTTCTGCGTCAAGCGCTCGCAGTCGTCCGTCAATGGTAGATACCAGAATGGTAGCGGATAAATCTGCAGAAGTTTCTTCTTCTTCCTGAAAACCGATCAAACCGTTTTGTCCTACAGCTTTCCGTGTAACTTGCATTTGAAAATCCCGGCGTACCACATGAGGCGTAGGAAACGAGCAGCAGAAGAATTGTGCATAGATGTTGAGAGAAGGCAAGCATTTCAGACTCGAATCCTTCGAATCTCCATTAAATCAGAAGCTCTCGCTGCTGAAACTCTTGCTTCACAATTTTGCAAAACGTTTTTGACAATATTTCGTCACAGCCGGTCCAAAAATCGATAAGAGTGGTTTTCTAAGACTCCAACCGAAAAGTTCCACGTATGCAAATTTTAAACCATGCACGAGATTGCGAAATATGTTTATTTTCTGGTCTTGGAACGATAATAATGTGTGTGAAATAAGGCAACGTATGCAAGTGGTACGGTGTGCGACGCCGATGCGTTGGGTACGTGCCACACACCGCGGTGCTAAATTGCAGACAATTGTCGACCGTACTGCTTTTTCCCGCACCTCTACTCAAAAGTTGGCTTCAAAACTTTCAAATTTCACCTCTTATTCCGCTAGAGAAATGTTGTCAAGTTACTATTCGAATGCAACACAGATGGAAGCGCGCCAAATGAAAATGAAATGAACAAAAAAAGTAAAAACTCATTAATTTGTTGCATTTATTTCAGACAAGTAAGTAATGATGGGAGAGAATTGGGGAATTTGGAGGATCGCAGAGGAAACTCTAACAATAATTGGTTTTTGCATTAAAATGAATTATTTTTAAGCAAATAAATTTGAAGAAAACAGCTGAAGTGTCGAACTTCTGCTCCTTGATCCGCGTGGCAATCGTGTGGGAACAGAATGACAGCCTGAAAGACATAATTTTTGAACAAACGGTTTGGGAAATGGATACGGAACAACACTAGAGTTTCACTCACAAGACAAGGTGTGACTGTAGGCTGGTCGAACAGGCGCCTGAAATTAGTATCGTTAACCGAATGGGCGAAAACAGGAACAATTGAATACCGGGCAGTTATCGAGAAGTGTTCGTTGTATGTCGATTCAGGACTGTTCTCTCTGAAACTTTTGTTTTCGCTTTATATCTTGACGCCAATTCATATCACTTTATTCGTCGACAATTAGTGTTTCCCGTTTGCCTGTCGCCTGAGAGTACCATACTTTGTCGAGCGAGAAAGAAGATCAAAAAGGGGTCGGACGATTAATGGCGTCTTCTGCTGAAAGAGTGTTCACATACTTTTCGCCTTAAAAAACAATTAAACGTGAGCAGTTTTAGCGAACACGGGACACAAGAAAGCAAACTTTTCCGAAATAGTTTCCAAACTTTTCCGAAATAGAAAAATCGATACCGCAGCTGATTATTGCGGAGAACTCGGCATTTTATCAATACCACACGAACTTAAAAAATATAATTTTTATCGAAATAATATGGTTGAGCTCATAATTTGCGTTTGAATAGTGCACGGGCCGGCAAAGCATACGGAGGAGTGGAAATTGTGAAGCTGTAACTTCTCTCAGAAACCTTACATTTACCTCTGACCTGGCTCATTTTGAAGAATCCAGTAAAATTGCACTCTTATCAAAAAATCAGAGGTCCCTATGTTCGATTTCTGGAGATATATTGAGAAAACCGAAAGTCCTATGTATGAAAAGCAGGGTCGTGTAGTGAGGAGAAATGCTTTTTTTTTCAAAAGAACGCAGCCAGCGAAGGGACTGTGCAAGCGCGCTCCATTGCAAGGAGCCGGAATGTCGGTGCGTTTCCGCTGCTGTTGAGGTACTTGTCCTTTTTAAGTTATAAATTCATATGGAGAGTTGTGTTTAAATTCATAATTGAAAAGTTTTTTGCACTGTTTCGATTTATTGCATTCGGATGAAATTTCAAAAAACTTTTTCCATTTTAAAATCTTCTTTATTAGTGTTTGAAAAAAAATTATTAATTATGGATTTTTTCAGGTTACCGAAGTTCTTTCATCAACTCGGTTTCTTAGGATCAATATGGAGTCGGTATGTTTTGTTGATATTTTATCTTAGTAGTCAATAATCTTATTTTCAGTTTATTGTCGTTCGAGCAAACGATCGAGTCGTTAAAGTTACCGCAAGAAATGATGGAACAATTAACGAGAAGACTTTGCGCAGGGCTTTCCAACTTGAAGATGACGTCCCGATCGGATTATTCAAAAACGACTTAGCTTTAGCGTAAGTTTTTAAAGGTTTTATTAAGACATTTCGATTTTCGTTAGCAATTTTGAATAAAATTCTGAGCAAATTTTTAATTAAGATTTTTAGGTGCAGAGATGACGATGTTTTCGAATTACAGGAGGGATGGAAAGGAGCCGAGTTTGAATTGCGCTGGGAAGAATCGCGGCGGAAGTTAAAAAAATTAGGTATTTTCTAAATATTTTGTTTACGTCAGACCCATTCTCGAGTACGGCTGTGAACTTTTCCATCCCTCATCGACATCCCTCTCCAGCAAATTAGAGTCTCCCCTTAGATTTTTCAGTAGAAGAGTCTTCCAAAGATGTAACATGCGGTTCGCCTCCTATAGCGACCGTCTCAGTCAATCTAATTTAAAATCGATATTCCACAGAAGGGTTCTTCTTATTCTCAGAACATTCCACAACATAATCTCGCACAAGTACCATTTCCCCTCCGTAAGCATGTTCCTCAAACCCGGCGTCTCCCCCCGTCACCCGTACCACCTATCCTCCCTTGGCCTACCCCATGACTCTTTCTTACATACCCATCTTGCCCTTTGGAACCGAGTGGCCAAGTTGTTTCCCGAAAGACTGTCCTCTAAGGCCTTCGCGGCGCGCATCGAGAAGATCCCCCTAGCTTTTTTGTATTCTAACTGACCTCTGGCTACTGCCGGCCAATGGTCATGTCAAGCCATTGTTCCTTCCCCCACCCACATTCCCCCTCTTTTTCTTTTCTTTCTTTTTTGTTGTTGTTAATTGTATTCCTAGGTGGCTGAAGAGAATAAATGTGTTATTATTATTAAATATTTTAACGCCTTTTATTGATTTTTTTAACATTCCAAGATTTATTTTAAACATTAATAATTTATCAATTCTAGGCGCTACAAATCCGAAGAAACGGAAAATCGAGCCAGAATCTCAAGAACTCCCTGTTGATGGTGATTTGGCTGCTTCGATTGGACGATACGCTCTCTACTACAATGTAAAGAAGGACAATTACAAGAGAAGTGCTATTCCGTTGACTCCAAGACTTGCGGCAACTTTTCGTCACGGAGATAACAAATCAATCGAAATAGGTTTGTTAGTTATGGGTTTATTTCATTCAATTGGCTATTTCTAGGTGATGAAATTGTAATCCGTTCTTGGTCCGACGAAAAACTTAAAGTATCAACTCGTGCTGTGAAAATCGTTGAAGAACTGGACACAATCATCTTGGAATCGGACGGAGCAGATCTTTGTCATAAAGATCTAATTTCCAATTCAATCTTACCTCGAAAGGGAATGCAATACCTGATGGTAATTTTTTTATCAATTAAAGTGGCTTACTAAATTATTCCAAAAAATGCACTTATTTAGATGGGATATTCGATTCTTCATGAAAAGACAAGTCATCAATCGCTTTCAACTGGAATTATCGTTAGTGATGTGACTCGAAGATTGCGATATACGGGATCAAGCGGCTCATTCAAAGGAGATAGCGGTGGCAGCTGTTGGAACGAAAACGGGCAACTGATAGGAATGCAAATTGAAGTACAAAAAAGGCCGCACACTCAAGATGAAAAAGGACGACCGGCTTCACCTGCTTCTGGAGGCCGTTGCTGCATTGTGGCGATCATATCCATTCTTGCTAACATTCAGGTAATATTAACTGATAATTCATGTAAACAATTTTCGGACTTTAGGATTTGTTGCCACCGGCCGACTCTGATGGGGAATATGAATGGAATGAATGATTTTTCTTCTTTTTCGGTTAAATATTTCGTTGATTAATTTAATAAAAATATATGACAATATGTGTGAAATTTAACAAAAAAGCAAAGAAAATCCGGTAAAGCATCTCTCATAAAGACACCTCGGAAATTCTTGATCTTTAATGTGTCTACTAATTCAATGAGATCATAATTTGTGAGAGGTTTAAGATTTTGGGAAAAGCTCATTTAATAGCAATAAAAACAATAAATACAAATGAAAAATTGAAAGTGGGCAAAATGGTCACTTCTACGTCCAGCCCAAAAGTGACGTTTTTCAAAAATGACTGATTTTCGAACGTTCGAGAACGCAGAAATTTGGAGCTTTTCGAAAAAAGGGCGTAAGGTGAGGGGCCTGGGGGAGACCGCAAATTTGTGTGGGGGACAGAAAAAAAGCGAGACAGCCAGCGCGGAGCGCACCGCCTATGGATGAATCGATAGGGCGAGGCGGGGAAAGGAGGGGGAGAGGAGAAAAAGAGGAGGCGCCAGAGAGTTGAGCGCATGCGCATACGTGTCGCACCAGCGGCCGCAAGGAAAAAGGTCTCTGTTAAATCGGAGTAGAAGGCATGAAATATCACCTAGTGATAGAGTGAAAGGTCAACCAGAGCAACACTAGTGAAGAAAGAGAAAGCGACGGCTGGCGGGTGGACTTCAGAGATAGCAACTACAAAGAAATGTCGAAACAGTGCAGTCAGATGGAGAAAAGAGATTGCGAGTTTTATTTTCCGTAATTCTTCTCGAACCCATTGAGTTTTGAACTTTATAGAAAGAAAACCATTTGCGAAACCTGAATCGCCAGCGTGAATGATCGGCCACATAGTCTATCTTCTCTCCGCCAGACCAAGTGGTTTTGTATGTGTGCACTAGAGAAAAAGTTTTCAAACCGCAGAAAAGTGCAGGCGCTTTTTTCTCTCATTCTTTACCGCGCTTTTTGAGCCTCAACACGACACGCAGCATTGACTTTTTAGTGACTTGTTTGTGTTTCAACGTAAAAACAAACACAATTAGGGTAGAAAACATGGAAAGTGCAGTAGTAAGTCGGTTTATTGCAGTGAAAATGATTGAAACCTGTATCCAAGAATGAGAAAGACACAATATATAGCTGAGCATAAAATGGAGAAACAAGAAAAGATGATAGTGGGGGAGAGGGGGAGATTTTGTAAAGCCCAGCCCGGCCCGTTGCAAGTCTGATTTTCGTTTTTCTTTTTCAAAATTTTCTGAAATTAAGCTTGAGTCTGCAAACACCGAGAGGGCAAGAGTGGTAAATTGAGTATAGCATTGAGTTGTATGAAAATTATTGACAAAAAGGAATCACTTTTTTAACAAACCTTCTTGCAAAGTCCACTTGATTTGTCCAGTTTCTGCGTCAAGCGCTCGCAGTCGTCCGTCAATGGTAGATACCAGAATGGTAGCGGATAAATCTGCAGAAGTTTCTTCTTCTTCCTGAAAACCGATCAAACCGTTTTGTCCTACAGCTTTCCGTGTAACTTGCATTTGAAAATCCCGGCGTACCACATGAGGCGTAGGAAACGAGCAGCAGAAAAATTGTGCATAGATGTTGAGAGAAGGCAAGCATTTCAGACTCGAATCCTTCGAATCTCCATTAAATCAGAAGCTCTCGCTGCTGAAACTCTTGCTTCACAATTTTGCAAAACGTTTTTGACAATATTTCGTCACAGCCGGTCCAAAAATCGATAAGAGTGGTTTTCTAAGACTCCAACCGAAAAGTTCCACGTATGCAAATTTTAAACCATGCACGAGATTGCGAAATATGTTTATTTTCTGGTCTTGGAACGATAATAATGTGTGTGAAATAAGGCAACGTATGCAAGTGGTACGGTGTGCGACGCCGATGCGTTGGGTACGTGCCACACACCGCGGTGCTAAATTGCAGACAATTGTCGACCGTACTGCTTTTTCCCGCACCTCTACTCAAAAGTTGGCTTCAAAACTTTCAAATTTCACCTCTTATTCCGTTCGAGAAATGTTGTCAAGTTACTATTCGAATGCAACACAGATGGAAGCGCGTTGCGAAGTGCCTAGGAGCGTAGAATTCATAATGCCACGTGGATAGTTCAGTCTGGCCCTGAGCTTTTGAAAAGAGTAGCCCGAAGTTTTTCGTATGTTTCAATTTTACTATGTTCGAGGTGTACTTTAGATCGAAAACTACCTATTATTTTCTTTTTCAGCAGAATTTTCATACTCAAAAGTTTTTCCCGTTTTTTCGAAGATAGGAAAAAACGCGTTCTCAGCGTCCTGTATACATTTCAAATCATATATTTGTCACCTTCTCATTTTGTTTTTTCCGTTTTACAGTCCAATTATCAGATGGAACATACATTCCTTCACAAAAACGGACGGCGCCGACTTACTACTGCACTTTCCACGTTTTCTACCCTAATTGTGTTTGTTTTTACGTTGAAACACAAACAAGTCACTAAAAAGTCAATGCTGCGTGTCGTGTTGAGGCTCAGAAAGCGCGGTAAAGAATGAGAGAAAAAAAGCGCCTGCACTTTTCTGCGGTTTGAAAACTTTTTCTCTAGTGCACACATACAAGACCACTTGGTCTGGCGGAGAGAAGATAGACTATGTGGCCGATCATTCACGCTGGCGATTCAGGTTTCGCAAATGGTTTTCTTTCTATAAAGTTCAAAACTCAATGGGTTCGAGAAGAATTACGGAAAATAAAACTCGCAATCTCTTTTCTCCATCTGACTGCACTGTTTCGACATTTCTTTGTAGTTGCTATCTCTGAAGTCCACCCGCCAGCCGTCGCTTTCTCTTTCTTTCCTAGTGTTGCTCTGGTTGACCTTTCACTCTATCACTAGGTGATATTTCATGCCTTCTACTCCGATTTAACAGAGACCTTTTTCCTTGCGGCCGCTGGTGCGACACGTATGCGCATGCGCTCAACTCTCTGGCGCCTCCTCTTTTTCTCCTCTCCCCCTCCTTTCCCCGCCTCGCCCTATCGATTCATCCATCGGCGGTGCCCTCCGCGCTGGCTGTCTCGCTTTTTTTCTGTCCCCCACACAAATTTGCGGTCTCCCCCAGGCCCCTCACCTTACGCCCTTTTTTCGAAAAGCTCCAAATTTCTGCGTTCTCGAACGTTCGCATTTATCGCTGCATCGTATTATTGGGGCACCGGACAGAAAGGGCGCGCTGTTCGCAATCTGGCCGAATTTCTAGGCCGCGAAGTAATTTTCTATTGAAAACGTGGCCTAACTTTTCAAACTCGGCCCCGAGGTCGCTAATTTTGCACTGCAAAAAGAGTTTCTCGACAGAGCGCCATTTCTGTGCGGTGCCCCTATAATAACCCTTTACAACAATGATTGTGAAAGGTCTTCGAAGCCCGTCAGATTGAAAGTGACGTGGCTCAATTTTCAAATTTTCAATCGCTGATCTCTTCTCTTTCTGCGAAGGCTTGTCCGTCTGCTTGAGAGCCATGACACGATCATCTCCGGGTTAATAGATTGAGCGCAACTGCCAATCCAATAGATATCCGATTTCAGAAAGAGGTCAGCTGTGTATTAGCAAGTTGATGGTCGCCAGAAAAAAAGTGTGCTATTCACTTTGGAATAGGAATTTCCTATCACTTCCGCCAACTCTGATAACCATACTGGCTCCACTCATAACGCTTTCGTACTTAGTATGACGCTATCAGTATATCAACCAGAATTGCAAATCAAACGTGTGTCAATCATATCTCCGATCCGAACATCCGAATATAGTACGGTCTACATCTGTATCGATGAACTCTTGATATCCCTCACGCATTCTTACCCTCTCATTTATTTGAATTACCCGTTTTTTATCTCTCGATGTAATGATTCTTACAACCGGCTTGATATTGCACACCACTAACACCCATTGCAACATGAGAATCAAAATGATTTGTTGTTGAATATATATATATATATATATATCAATCACTTGGCGGCAAAAATATCATTGTTTGGTAATCAGCTGATTGGCAAGGCAACCCAAAATTTTGTACTGTTGGAACATCGAACATTGTGTTCGAAAGTCTAAAAGTCTAAAACGTGTTTGTGTCTCCCTAATGACAGAGACCAAGAACAATGGGTCATTTATCTGTTATTCGAAAAAGTACCCCCTGAGGACCTCTGATGGTGGTGTAGTTTCGCGGGTTGTCCACCTTCTAATTGCTGTCATTTCGGTTATCAGACTAGTGCTTATCACTATCGTGTATGCACTATAAACCATCGTTTCTGCTGCATGGTGAGAGTCGTCATATACAATTCGCAACATTTTTGGGCGAGTGAGTGAGGAGAGCACAGTCAGTGGTGGGTTGGCCTGTGATAACAGAAGTGTTGTTTGTGTGTATGCGCACCACTCAAGCCATCTTCTCCCTCTCCTCCACTCCGTCAGCGGGTTGGTCTAATAAGATTATTGCACTTTTAGGATTGGTCATCTTCGATATTGTAATTGTGCACAAACTAATCGCTCCTTGTCTTATTACTTTCATATATAATGCCGTGCCCAAAGTCACAATAATCTACGAAATCTGTAGTGTTTTCGCTGTCCAAAGTCGGCAGAGATTTGCTTGAAAAACGGGGTGCGCACAGCTGAACGAATGTCACCGTATAGCATAAAACTACTGAAAAATATATTTACCCAAGAAATTTTAATATTTACAAATATTCTCACTAAATTTAATCTTTAAAAAAATACCGTAGTTTTATGGTATACGGTGACATTCGTTTCAGATGTGCGTTTATTTTTTTATTCTGTAGAATTGCGACGAGCTTTGGACTGCAAAAACACTACAGATTTCACAGAGTTTTTTTTTTACTGTGGACACGGCATAGTGCCGCGTCCAATGTCTCGGAAAAACCGTAAAAACCACAGGTTTTTCTGTCCAAAGTCGGCCGAAATTTGCGTGAAAAACGGGGGTGCGCTCAATGAATGTAACCGTACCCCTAAAACTACGGTATTTTTTGAAAATTTGCGCAAGAAATTTGAATATTTTCAAATATCCTCAAGAAATTAACAAATTTTAAAGGTTATTTCCGAGACATTGGACGCGGCATAATAAACGGGCTCGAGTCGCTTTTGTTTAATGTGCGTGGCTGGAAATGGTGGGAATGGACGTTTTTCTTCTTTTGCGTTTTTATAGAAGTAGCCGCGATCAAACATTCATATTGTGATGATTATGGGGGTTGTAGAGCTGAGCAAATATTGTTCGAACCTGACGTTGTCTTCACTTCTTCTTGTTATCGTCCAGAGTGATATATTCAAAGCCATTTATTATTATCGCGAACACTAAAATCGCGCAATATTTCGTAATATCTGAGCTCTGATTACTGGTGAATGTGGAGAACCAACACCACTGCTTTTGAAAGTTGTCACAAGACGTGTCAAAATTCTTCTAGACTAGGCATGTCTGCAAAGTCCCGCGCTTTGTCTACGTCTATCACATGTGAGAAGGTCGTTAACATCTCAAGGTTCTTCTCTTCGCAACATCGCTTTCTCTTTTCTCATAAGTTTAGAAGCATGCACTTGCAACGGACGTTTTATCCGTCAGTCGAGAAAGATAGAAGTTCCTTGTCCTTTCCTTCATCCCTTTCGAATCGGTCGGCGTCGATTGACCCATCAAATACTTCCTCGTTCTTATCCTCTCACTGATACCCGGTAGTCCCATGTCCCCCGTTATACAACGCGGAGTTCGAGGGGAGCAGAAAATGAATATCATCTCTGTCCGCTCGCCGCCGTCGCTGTGCAGCGCGATGATGAAGACTGAAAAAGTTTATCGAATAGATCATTGGCAGAAGAGAGACATCGACAATTCCTGGCCGGCAGTCAGCGGCCGTCGTTTGCGATGTGTGTCCCGCCCTACCCTTTCCTCTCCATTCCGTCGGCCCTTCGTCCTCATTGCTGCCCTCGTTCTATCTCTCCTACCCCCAGCGGCGGCGGCGGCCCGACGATGAATCGGCCTGGGGGATGAGAAAGAGGACGGCAGTTGGAAAAGAAAAAGGTCTCTCTCGCTCTGCCCGCACTGCCCGCACTGCCAGTGTGTTTTACCGTTCACTCTCTGTCTGGTTTTTTTGGGCGACATCATGCGAGGCACAAAAAACAGAATTTGAATTAGCACTATTTTGCGTTGTGTTTATTCCATTTATATTGTGAACTATGCGAAAACAAGTAATATCTCTGTATACCCCTAATATCCCCCTACTATCCCTTCGACATCATCATCAGCATGCCCATACGGCTACATCTGCATCATTGTAGACTGCAGCGTTGGGTAAAAAGTATGTGTTGGCTCGACCTGGTCTGTTCTCTACTCAGCGGCCTTGGAGTACCCGTGTCAGTCTGATCGATTGACGTTGCCCTTATCTCAAAAAATGCCGAAAATTAGAAGTGTATCACGGTTCAATGGTGTGATCCCACAAATTTCTCACTCGAACTCAAGTTGCACGGGCCCTTTCTCTCATCCAAAAGACCACCTGTTTCTTCTGACGCCACGCTATTCCGAAAATCTAAGTCGTTGTATCGGCGCTGCCGCTATCTCTCGGAGCACTCTTTCTCTCTGGATATTTCTGCGAAAAAGTGAACTGGAATGATCCTTTTCATTAAAAATTTGCTGATCCGTCGAGCTTTTCCAATTCGTCTCAACATCTTATCTCTTTTCTTTTAAATATGCTCCTCAAATAAATTCAATACAAAATACTTCTTTGCAGAACAACCATCCTTGTATGTATTGCACGTAGTACATGAATAAAATCAGAAATGGAAGTGTCAACGTCTTTTTGTACTCCTGCTGTCAGCTTCAAGTATGGCAGCTTCCAGGAATCAGATGTCGCGATGCGAGAAGATGATCTGTACCGGATCGGAAGCTACAATTCTCAAGGGTACTACGAAGGAGCCCATCGTCTCGGTACTTATAGAACCCAGGAGCCCAACTCAATCTGAATGTTTTGAGAGTTTTCAGATGGTTCCATCGGGGAAGAAGAAGGCGCGTCGTCGTCGTGCAGCAACGACGATGAGCAGATGGAATTCGATGTGGTCGATGAGGAGATGAGAAGTGACATCTTCGACGTGGATTCGACTGAAGATGAGGACGAAGAAGAAGATGATGAGGAGGATAACGACGAGTGGACTAATCAGAAGCGGACTGATAATAATAATCAGGTGAGCAGAAATACCCGTGGGATAACTATGTGTTGTTCACAGAATCACCTGATTTTGTGGTGGGAAAGAGGAAGCAAGAGCAAACGGAAAAACAAACATTCTCCTTTCAGAATAGCGTTGCCTATTACGCCGCCATGGAGATGCTCCGTATTCGCTTCCCGTTCCAGTCGATTGCCATCCGCATCTCGGACTTTTGCTGTCTTCAGGAGAAGGTACTTCTAATACCATCCATCCATCTTTTTTTAGACACACTGTATTTGTGTGTACTAACGTAAGAAGTATACCGCGCTCTTAGTGCTTGTTCTCTCTTCCATTATTTGCATACCCTTTTGTTGTTTCTGTCGTGTTTCTCTGGCGTATTACCGTGAGATGGTTATTATCAGCACTATGAGCGGCCCTCTAATCTATGTGTAATTCTGTAAGGGTCGTCGTTCCGAATTTATTCGTTTTTCCGTCTCACCTCGCCCGCGAAAAAATCCCTCACTTCTTCGCCGTGTGTTAATCGGTCCTTGTTGTATAAATGGGCGCCGTCGATTCAAATGACGGATTGAAAATGGGAAACATACTGAGGGCGCATTTGAACTTTCGATGCACTTTTTCACGAAATGCGCCGATCAAACGTTTTTTTCTGCGTTTCTGAGTCAGAGCAGTCTGTATGTGTATGTTGCGGTTTTTGTTTGGATTGCATTCTTTTTTTCTCTAGGGACTATTTGCTCTCTTCCCTCCTATCAGATAATCCCCCGAATGCTGTCCACTAACTGGACTCAAGTTATTGTTGTTGTCATTGTTGTTGACGTTAATAATTCAGTCAGTCAGAAGCAGAAGAGTTTTTGACGAGAAAATTAGAAATTAGCAAAGCTGTCAACACGACTCCTCCGCTTGTTTATCGCATTCGCATGGAAGCATTCTAGTCCTCAACGAGTGTGCGCACTTCCTCGATATCCCTCTAACCCTGTTGATGTCCTCGCCTCCGCTTCCATGTGCAGAAGAGATCTCGTCGTGTGCCAGAGAACAGAATAAGCGGAGAGGGCGCCCAGAGTGAGAGAGAGAGCGTTCGGTGCCAGGTACGAGCTGCACGGGCTCCGCCGCGGCGCGCGCGCAGAGAAGCGAGAGCCGCCCCGAGCAGAGAAATTCATTGAGCAAAGAATGGAGATGTGAGGCGAGCACTTGGCACAGCGCCAAAATGGGCGCGCGGGGAAAGAAGATCCTGAAGACAAGCTTGGGAAAGCGAGTGGTCCGATATCTAGTTGACCCTGAATTCGTTTTCCTCGAGAGGGTGACATTCAGATTCGCACAAAGAATGTGTTCGATATGACTTTCCGATTGCAGGAAACAGAAAACCGATGAGTCTTTTGTTGGTTTGCCTCACAGATGACAGGAGGCCTTCACATTCATTTCTATTCGATTTTCTTAGATCGCCGGCGGCGTCCGACGCCGTCATCGCCGGGCAGTTCAGGGTCATCTGGCGTAGCAGTAATGAACTGGTTTTTTGTGCGCGCGCAAATTTTTCGCGCACGCACCCACATACTCAGTAGACAGTTGGTTTAGTTGTGAAGGATATGTTAGTGGGAGGTCACATACTCGCCAGGAACCGCCATTGAACCTGTGAGGGAACGGGATGGGAGTAATATGGCTGTCACAATGAGCAGACGGAAACAACTGGTGGTCTTTGATCGGCTATCGAACATGTATTACAATAATCATGCGCGAGCAAGCGAACGGGGGAATCAGAAGATCATTGGAACTAAAGGGACCTGTTTACTGAGCAAACAATTTTCAGGATCTTCTCAACGATACCATGATTGACTTCTATCTGAATCACATCGTCGAGCACGTTCTTCCGGACAGCAGAGGGTCGAAGGTCACCGTCTTGCCGTCAATTTTCTGGCACAACCTGTCTCTCAGACAGCATGCTTTGGATTCGGATGACGAGAAAATGTTAAACGACGAGCAGAAGATGGATCTCAAGTTCGCGGATTTGCACGACTTTGTAGCCGATTTCGATCTGCAAGACTTCGATTACATCGTAGTGCCGGTCAATGAGTGGGAGCACTGGTCCCTCGCTGTCATATGCCATCCGTTCACCGCCAAGGCCCGCACGGTCATCTTCGACTCGCAGCTCACGGCCGACTTGAACAACCTGCAAAACATGGCCACTCTTCTCGAGTCGTTCATGAAGTACTCGTACGAGAAGCGCACCGGAAGTGTGATGCCGTTCCCGCTTCCGTGCATTCTTCCGCAAAGAATGCCACAGCAGACCAATAACTTTGACTGCGGAATATTCATTGCCGAATTCGCCAGACGCTTCTTGCTGAGCCCACCTAAAGATGTAAGTTTAAAATTTTCTGTTTTGTTGCAATTTCACAATGCATATTTTCAGCTCGACTCGTTCGACTTTGCTCGCGAATATCCGGACTTCTCGACGACCACCAAACGTGCCGAGATGCAGCGTGTCGTTCTGTCTCTCTCAACGAACCGTAATCGTTGGCGCCCTCTCGTCGAGTTGCTCAACGGTTACAACACTGCGGCTCCGCATCGGGCTTTGTGAGCAGCAAACTTCTCCTACGCGTTTCCGTGCGCACACTCCGTCTCATATGCCCCGGTTTCTTACCGTTCGTCTTCCACTTTCCTTAGAAAATCCCTGCCCCAGATCTTTCCTAATTATATCTTTTGGCGTTTGGCTGCGTGGCAAATGGGAATGTTTTGTTCTGTTAACTATTCTTCTCTTTAAAAAAACCTATCACAAAAATTCCAAAAAATGTCTCCATCTAACATTGTTTTGTCTTGTTACTCTGTTTTTCTCAAGCCTGTTGTTAACCACATTCACTTCCATTCTTTTCCCGATCGAGCATTAAGACGTTTCGGCTGTCCTGTTACTCATTTCCACCTTTTGCAGCCGTATGGATTCGTGTTTTCGTCTCGTATTCCTTCCCCGTTTCCTTCCTATCTCCGCCGACTTTTTAGACACAAAAAACAGGTGTTTCGAAACTTTTTGCGTGTTTTCCGGCCCAATTTCATCCATACACCTCTTTTTTTCCTCCGCTCCATATCACTCCCTTCCAACCTCTCCTACTGTTGCCTTTTATACCCCTACACTTTCAACTTCATTGAAATCGGTAGTCTCACTCAGAACTGCTATTATTCATTCACCGAAGCGTTCACGACAATACAAAGCGTTTGAATTGCCCCATTTTTACGTGGCCTTTTAAGAAAGGCGTCCTTCAGGAAAGGTCACGTGAAAAACAAACGAGCAACGTTTTTATTGGCATGAAGTGATTTTTCGTTTTGACGAGTGAGTAATAATAATATCATCGTGAGAGATTTGAATTTGTTTCCCTCCTTCCCTTCCCTTCCCCATCAAAAAATGTCTTCCCTTCTGAAGGTGACGTATTCCTTTCGGTCGGATATTGTGCGCTTACTTTGTCTCCAAGACTTTCCAGAAAGCCGCTTCCAATCGATTAGCCCCGGAGTTCCCTGTTTCTGTTATCAAAACTTCGGATGCCACCTCTCAAGTTTCATTCTGTCATTTTGTACATTTTTTGTTGAGTTGGGTACCACGTGTCAAAAAACACCATCTATTGTACCTTGCGGTAGACGAAATTTGTTTTTTGTTCAGTAGTCTATTGCGAAGGGACTTACACTTTTTGCCACGTGGTACATTGATTTTGTTACTGTAAAAAGAATCAAATCTCTCGAAATCTTCGTGTTTTGAGTTCCACCGCCACCGATTTGCTCCCTATCCTTTGATCCCATGACACAAATACAACAAAATCCACGTACCCACCTTGCCTACTCAATTTATATAATATTGATATTATATAATTTAGGGTTGGCAACGGGCCCCCCCTAATATAATCACGTAATCAGGTTGGAGAAGTGTCCGCTGGTTTCCCGCCCACCTTGTTATATTTATAAGCCCCAAACTAGCGCCTCGGTTGATTGGATGATATGGATCGTCCCTTTTGATTTGGTAATTTTATTTTTTCTGATTCCTTCCTCCCATGTTATATTTACCCGTTCACCTCTTTTCTGTTCCCTGCCCCTTTCTTCCCTTTTGATTGTGGTTCTCCTTCTTGAAATATTCAAACTTTAATCCCGTGTTGAATTGATCCTAGGATCTTAGATATTGTCCTTTCGTCTGTCTTTCTCTTCGATTTTTTGAAAAGATTTGTGAACGGAGGCAATAAATTGTTGATCAAAACACTGGGGAAAAAGATATGCAATAGAAAATATGTACAATTTCTTCAAAAATTTGGGAAAAAAACTGGGAAAAAGGGGAGGATGACTATTTAATCGTGAACAATAATTGGCTCTGCTGACTCATTCGACTCATCGTCGCCGTATTGTTCGGGATCGCGAGAAATCAAATCTGGATCTGGATTGTCGACACCAGAGTACTCGTTATGTGGTACCTGCAGACGAGATAAGTATTGTTTTTTCTCCAGTATCCAGACTGCTAAATCACGCCACGTCAAAGAATACAATTCGTACTTCATGTGACCAGTTGTAGAGATTTCAGATGTACTTTCGCGTATAGACTCCACGTATTAACAAATTCTTATGAGGTCACGTGGAATTGAATTTCTTGACGTGACGAGATTCTATATTTCGGCAGCTGCAGTGGCGGTGCCAATGGCATTCCGGTTAGAAAATGTTAAAATTAATTGATCAGTATTTTTTCAAACTGAAGTACAAGCATTCACTTAATTTTTCTAGAAACGGCTCATTTCTTGACTTTTCGCTTTTTCGGACTCGTCGGAGTTCTGCAAGCGGATAGACGGATAAATACCACACAGTTATTTTTCACAAAATATCTACAAAAATATCGAAATTACCTCAACATTACGGTAGAAAACGAAGTGCTGGAGAATGAAGAAGATGTCGAAGAAGATAGAAACGAAGCCGAGACCGAATTTGACAGGATTCGCATAAAAAGCGGACCAGTCGTCGACGTTGATCGCCTGCAGAATCATCTGAAGAATGTCGAGCGAGCCGCCCGTGAAGTCGAGAAGTATGTTGCCAATCGACCAGCCGACAGTACTCTTCCGGATGCAGTTGAAGTAGGCTTGTGGAAAATATTTGCAGCAGGTGACAGCCATTTTAATGTAGGACAAGCTGGTCACGAATGCCAGAATCGAGATCTTGTTGAGGACTGTGGCACTGGCGGAGAGGAAGCCGAATGTGATGAGAATCACCATCAGGACGATGCATTTGGTGGACACCCTCTGATTGTCGCGCTGAAAATGTGTTCGTTTGAATTCAGAATTCGAAAATGTCCTGGACACTTTGATAGGTACGTATTATCACGTGACGTCTTTTTCCGCTTTAAAAATAAGAAAAGGAATGAACTGCAAGTCTTGCGAAAGATCCCGTTAGATGTTTGTCTATCGATAGTCTATATGAGCTTACTTCATAGAAAAGGCTCTGCATGATGGTGACGAAACACGCGAGGAACGCGTGAACCGCAAAAACGACGTCATTCAGAAGCACCGGAAGCGGTGATCGAGGATTTTCCAGATTATAAATGGCCTGAAAGTGAGAGAATGTTAGATTTTCGAGTGAAAATATGCGCAATTACCTTTACATGACTATTATAATACATCAACAAGTTGAAAATGGAGTAGGCTCCAAATCCGACAAAGTTCAGAGCAAGAAAATCGAAGTTCAGTCCGACGACACTTTTCCGTTTGAAGTTCAAATAAATTTGCGGGTAGAACGAGATACTCCATGCAGCGAAATAAGTCCAGCCGACGATTTGAATGAGCAGAGCAAGCCATTGAGAACGGATGACCGTAATCCGGGAGAACGCTTTGTCAAGACTGGAAATATCATTCAATATTCCATTAATCAGTAATGATCCTGTGCTCACTTCAACGGACAATCGACTAATCCGTCTGAAGTGCAGTTGAGTGCCTCGACGACAGCACCGGCCACAGGACTCGCTCCGATAACGGTCACTTCGGCGGTGCCATTGGTGATGGAAATAACATCGGGGTGTTCGAGGAACGGGGACTGGGACAGCACGACACGTGTCTCATTGAGCGGGAACGACGAGCGATTACTGAAATAATTTACGTGATTTCTACTGAAATGCAGCGTGTTAAAATTTTCTCAACAGCGCCATTTCTGTGCGCTGCCCCTATAATAAAAGAAACTTTAAAATTTTAAAATGTTCACGTGACCTTCCGTAAGCTAACTATAAGGGTCACGCTACTTGCTTCGAAACTTTCAGATTTTTGTGAATCAAGATGGTCACGTGGCCTCTATTGATAAAACACGTGACTAACCGTATCTCAAAGATTATGACTTCCCGTTCACCGAGTAGAATTTCGACTTCTTTCTGCTTCGTAATCAAATCATTGAACGGCGAAGCAGTGGGAAGTAGAAGAATGATGAGCATCGGAAGAATCATGATTTCGGGTAAAGGTTCCTCAACACTTTTGTGGCATACTGAAATGGAAATTTGAATGCGAAATCACTTTTGCGATTAAAAAGTTACGAAGTGTACAGTGAACGGAAAACTAGACGGGTTCTCTATCATCATCATTTCAACGAACGAGGGGGGAAGCTATTTTGAATCAATAGTTGAATCGAGAGCGAGAGAAACACGAGTGTTGTCAGTTGGAAAGAACGGGGAAGGCGGTGGTGGCAATTTATAAAAGTTAAAGTAAACAATTGTACGTATCGGGGAAAAGAAACTGAAATAGACAGTAGAAGAACACGGAAGATATCTAATTTTTAAAAATGATCTGATTGTGATTCATGGTCAGTGATAAAGATTCCAGTTTTTATGGCAAACCCTAGAGGCGGCGCGCCGCATCAACTTTTGCTACACTAAAGACGGATTTGAAAAATTATGTTTTTTAGTTGAAAATTTTAATTTCACGAGGTCTGCAAGCTGAAATAAAAGTATTGATCTTATTGAAATCTAGTTATTTTTGTTTTTTTTTTCAGTTCAGAAACTTGAAAAAAAACGGTACTCAGAAATACAACGACACTCCGAAATAACGCTCAGACATGCGAACCTCAAGCAGCGACGGATTCAAATTTTCACGTTGTTTCCGCTTGCTTTTCACGTTTTATTGCTAAAAATGGCGCTACAACGAAGTAGAACTCTCACGGAATGGAACTGTTACGATTTGGAACTCGCAGTTATATTTTAACGTTGCGAGTTCCAAATCGTAACAGTTCCATTATGTGAGAGTTCTACTTCTTTGTAGCGCCCTAAAAACGAGTTGTTTTATTATAAATAAAATATTACATCTTTTTTCACTAAAAGTTCACTCGTTTTACAGAATGAGTGCTCAATCACCGGACGACGCCTGTTTTGCCGTCCCGATGCTTACGGGAGATCTCCCTGGAGAAGGCTCCTCCAAAACTGCCCCTTTGTACGCTCTGTTACGATCTGTCAATGCTGAATTTTATTCTTTCAGAGACATTCCGAAGCACGACACAGGACGCTTCAAGCCGATCAAAACACTAGCTAGTAGAATCGATGGATCGGAATATTACGACGAGGCGAGCATGGAGAAAGTTTTGTCAGTAATATCGATTTTTTAGGAAAATTCATTTAATTTTTAGAGAAATGCTCGAAATTGGACGGACGGAAGAGGCGGTGGCCTACGCGGACTCTCTTTATTCAAACATCATCGATGACGATCAGCAAGACATCGTCACAGTTGCCGAGTACGTCAAAGTACTGATCGTTCTGCGTCAATGGAGACGAGTGAGCCATTTGATTTCCCGGCGGAACTATCATCAAATCCACGTGGTTTTCGCATATTACGCTGCTATCGCGTTTTTCAATCGGAAAATGTTTGATGATGTGACCGAATTGGCGGTCGGACATCTTCTTCCGCACGATGGAAACTGTGGTCCACTTCCTGTTCGGACACTTTCGCAGGTCACCGGAAGATATGTGGAAGAGGAAAGACTAAAGTTTTCGTTTGCTCATATGGCCGAATTGGACAATATCTCAAGGAAACTTCGAATGGTTCCTGCGCTCATGATTACCATTGCGGAGAGCTATTTGAAACTGATGAATCGAGATGCAGCCATGATCTGTATCAACTACTCTCTGAATCTGGACAATACCACTCTTCACGTGGAGCGATTAATGACCAAGTACAATCTGGTTGAGCCGGTGCAGTGGGAAAAGTATAAGAAAGTGCGGAAGGAGCAGTTGAAAATGCACGAGGGAAGTCATGATCCGCGAACTCTGATTGAAAGAGCACAACATTCGTATGAGATGGGGAGATTTGGAGAGGCCAAGAAGTTGACTGACGAGCTGTTCGATTTGTTCGGACCACATCATGAAGCTATTCTTCTGCGTATTCATTGTCTCACTATGCTCAGAGACTCGCGATCCCTTCTAAAGTTAGGCCATCAGTTGGTCTCTGACGATCCGCACATTCCCTTGCCGTGGTATTGCGTTGCCATGTACTACTATACGATTGGAGCTAACGCACGGGCTCGGAGCTTCATCTGCAAGTGCACAATGATGGACTCGACGTTCGCCGAAGCATGGGTGGCGTTCGGTCACATTCTGCATTACGAAGTGGAGCACGAACAGTCGATGAGCTGCTACTACAGAGCTTCAAAGCTTGTGGATCGAAGCTCGGAGCCATTTCTGTACACATCTCTTCAGTACAGCACTCACAGTCAGAAACTGAGCAAGAAGTTCATGGTGGAGGCGGTCAATCGGGCGCCAAACGATCCGCTGATTAGACATGAAGAAGCGTGTGTTGCGTACACAGCAAAAAACTACGAGGAAGCTGATGAGCTGTTCAGAACTGTGCTCTACATGGTTACTGAGACGGAGTCTGGAACTCCTGTTGAGGTCGCCTTGAAAAAGTTCGTCTAATTTATTCTAATATAAATTTCGTGTGTTCTTTCATAAAAAAATCCGAGAAATTCGTCACGTGAAAATAAACTCAATGTATCGCTATTGCCCCTCGATGTTTGCAGACTGAAGCCAAAATTTCCTGAAATTAGGCTTGACTCTGCAAACACCGAGGGGGCAATAGCGATAAATTGAGTTTATTTAACACAATATCACGTTTAGACTAAAATTCTACCTAGGCTGGTCGAACAGGCGCCTGTTTTTTCAAGCACAGGCGCCCAAAATCGCCTGTTCGACCAGCCTAATTCTAGCAATTGGATGATAGCTCATGGAAACCAGTGAAATTTATAGGAAAATTGATGACTTCTGGCGCCCAATGCTCAACAACATCGGGCATATTGCGAGACGGCAAGGAAGGCTTGATGAAGCGATATTATTCTACCGAAGAGCCATCAAAATCGAGCCGAAGTTCGTGGACGCAATTGCCTCGATTGCTCTGTGCTATTCCGTTATGGGAGACACCACCAATGCCACCGAATTCTTCAACAGAGCTCTTGCCATTGATCCGTTCAACGAAACTATCCGTCAATGCATGTCTAGAATGATTCTATCGCACAAAATTGTGTTCGATTTGGAAAATTGCACTGTAAGCCCGTTCGTAGATTTTGCCTTTGAAAACAACCTCGTTCAGAACACTAATCAAGTGGATGTGGACAATTTCATTCCGCAATTCGTGATTCCCCACTCTTCGCTACGAAAACCACACAACGATGGATTCGTGGTACCTTCCATCCTATCTCATCGTCAACCTTTTATCACAATGCTCAAAGATCGGCTCAGAGAAGAGACAAATGCAAATGAAGAGGAAGTAGATGACGAAGAGGAAGAAATGACTTAATTTACTGTCAAATACAAATTGTTTAAATGCTAACATTGAAAGTAGAAATAAAGTTTATTCATTTGGAAGACGATCGGTTTTTTCTTTCTTGCACGGCTTCCCAGAACAGTGTCAAACAGCTGGCGAGAGAAATATTATCTTCCAGGCTTTTCGAGTACACTAGCGTCGGAAGCATCGAGATGGCACGACCTGAAAGTCCGCGTGCTTCTTCGGCGATGCGGTACAACTGGTTCGTGGATTCATTGGGAATGCCGTCAATCTGAAAATCGAATAATAGCTTACGGCTTCACGTGAACATTGTGAAATCGGCAGTTTTATGAAAAACATGACCTTGCCATCAAGGCTGTCAAAAACAGGTCCGCGGCCGGCCGCCGTGACAAATTTCGGGCCGTCTCTTCAGAAATCGACTGAGCATATCGAAATGACAGGAAAGCCGAGCCGCCGTGCACTGTGCGCTCGGCATCCAGCATAAACAAAGCATAAACAAAGCCGGCCGCCTGACAGCCTTGCTTTCCATCAGTTCACGAGAAAATGGAAAAAACAAGCTTACGTCCATGATATCCTGCGGTAAAGGCTCATCTTCGACGATTCCAATACGAATCAGTTCAAGAATACACGCTTTGAGCATGGCATAAAGAGCGAAAACCGATGGTTCCCCAACGTTTCGGACAATGTCGGCACGATCAACAAGTGCTCGATCGAGCGTGTTTTCGAGATTTGAAGTGCACAGAATGAGTACGTTGTCTCTGCGACGAATTCGATCTATTTGAGTGAGAAGTGCATTGACGGCTCGGATGGCGTCGGCGGGTTCGGATCGGGAAGACGAGGATTCGCGGCACATTCCCAGCGATTCAACTTCGTCAATCAAGACGAACACCATGTTCTTATCGTCTTCTGCCAACTCGTCGATCTGATCAAACATCTTCTGAACGAGCTTCCCACTTTCGGAGAACCACTTGGAGAAGAGGCTGTGACTGTTGACCTCGACCATGACGGAGTGAGGAAACCGATCATTCAGGCGAATTGAGAGATGTTGAGCGAGTCCTTTGCACAGTGAAGTCTTGCCTGTTCCGGGCGGTCCCGTGAGCAGAATCAGGCGGTTTACATTGATGATCTTCGTGTTGACGTGTTTCTCCGAGAGCCGAACAAGAGCATACACGTAAGACATCACCTCATTCTTGAGATTTGACTCGTAAATCAGGTTCTCCCAGATATTTTCAAATTCGATACACGGTAGCTGCCAGAGTTGCGATCCGACAATGTTCTCCTCGTCGCCTTCTTCTCCGATACTTTGCGAGAGTGGACCGTCCGTATTCAGTTTGTAGACATGAATGTTCGTGGAGTTTGCGGTGAAATTGTCCAGATTTTCAAACTTTTCTCCGTCTTTTAGTTCCCACGTCCCGAGCACCAGCCTTTCGAACAGTTCAGAAACTGAAAGAAGAAAATTGAGAGCATTACTTATACGGATTTTCCAGAATGTTTCATGGTTAACTTACTCGGTGTTTCATTACTCGAATCAGGTATGTTTTCTTTTTCCTCGGGTGTTAATGGCTTCCAATTTCTGGCGATAGACGCATGTGATTTGATCAGTTGTTCGATTTCCGATAATCTTGATTGCACAGTGGACTTTGGACTAGAAACAATTATTATTTAAATAAGTAGGTTATTTTTAGCTTACATTTTTCTATTGATCTTGATTGCAACATGCAAATTTTGAGTATTTTTACGCTCGGACATGTTAAATTCTGAAGAATTTTGGATTAAATGAGCAGTCAATAGGAAAACCCTTAAAAAATTATTTGAAAATATATTTGTTCGCGCGCAAAGTAGCACGAGGAATGCGCCAACACAAACTTGCGTAATATTGGTGCGGTGACGTCATCACACTCTTAGAAAATAGACTTTGTCAAAATAAGTACTTTATCAAAGAGAAAAACATAATAACGAAAAAAAGTAATCAAATCAGTTATTAGCTTCTCTAGCCTCTCTTCTGGCCTCCTTCTTCTCCCAGTGCTTTAAGAATAGCTCTCTGAGCCAAGTAGAATCTGAATTGTATTTGGGGTCTGACATCTGGAGAGCGCTTCTTTTGTATAAGGAATAGAATATACACGCAAAGAACTTGTGAAAAATGAAAAAGGAAAGGAGTGGGATACTGCGGAAGATGCTGATCGATTGGTCGTCCCAAGTTGTACTCTGAAGGATTACTGTACTTACAATGTCCTTTCACAAACGTGTGCTTGCGCGAGAAAGGTCAAAGAATGCAAAAGCTTCCACGCGAAACATTTCATTTCCAAGAAATTGAACGACACCTGCACTTGCAACTGTTCTGCAAACGTGAAACTAACCAAACTGGCATAATGATAACCGATCGAGAGCATTATGTAGGCTATGGAGACGATGACGGTCGGCAGAAACTGAAGGATTACAATGTGAATGAGCCCGAGTTGGAAGACAAATGTAGCCGTGAACGAGACGAAGAGCACTAGGGCGGAACTGATGAGCAACGTGTCTTGTAGTCTGAAATCCTCCGAAATTCTAAAGATTCTATAATTTCTACTGACATATAAATCAGCAGAAGAAGCATATTGCTCCCGTAGCACATGACCGAAAGTCCGTTGAAAATCATATCGGCGAAGAGCATCGCCATTTGAGTACTCAGCACGTACGGGTACTTTGAACTCATGCCTTCTTCTCTTCAGCTTCTACTTGTTATCTGTCTTTTCCTCGCGCGCCAGAAGAGAATTTGCGGAAATAGTTAAGGGCGTGGGGAGACGGAGGGCGGCTGACTTGAAGCTCTCACGCGGGTCTCTATGGCAACCGAAACGCTATTGAGCTCGCGGGGCTGTCGGCTCACTCGGTTCGCAGCTAATCTGCTTCTTATTTCGCTTGTTGAATTATGTTATCCGCTTTCCGTTCTTATCTGCCTTAAACTTCCTAGAATAAGACCTAGAATAAACTAATAGGAAACCGAAACTGAAAGTTCTTTTTGTCGTTTCAAGCAGATAAAAGTGAAAAACGATGTAACTGAACCATGGTTCTCCATTATCCGTTCGACACAATACTCCCACTAGCTCTAAATATCAGGAGTTCTGGCAGATCAACCATGACGGACACCAATTCTCAATGGATCGAGATGAATCTGCAACGTCAACGCAAGATGCTGGAGGACAAGCAGAAGCAAAAACGTCAGCAAAGTGCGGGAAGTGTGCGAACGACCATGACGCCATTGAGCACCGGGTCCAGGTGGGCAGGCTACGTCAATGATTCTGAATATTTACGTGTAATTTTGTAGAAAAGTGACCTTTCCATAGACAACCTATTTCCTACAAGAGCACGAAAAATTTGAATTCATATTATTTTACCTAGCTTCAGTGCCACGTGGTTCTTTTTCCAGCACGAAAGACTTCCCAGTGGCGTTCGAGAGCTCTATTCCATTCGCACCGCTGGACACTTATCACAGCAGCTCTTCTCAATCGGCCATGAACAATTCTTCAAACAATCCTCCTCAGCTTCCTGTTTTCCCGCCGCGTGTACACTCCACGTTTCGGGCTTCAGATAGAGACTCACCGAAGTAAGGAATAATTACTAGGCGTTTCGGGAAGGGCGCGGTCCGTGATATGCACCTGCTACTTCGAATTCTCATTGATAATGAGGCAGTGGTGTGTAGCAGAAAGAGCAAGAAACATCTAGAAAAGTGTGAATAGCAGTTATGAGCGCAACAATTCTGTTTGATTAGGCTTCTTGCACTTTTTTAACAGCGGGAATGGAGAGCAGGGTAAAGTAGAAATGTACAATTCCATTATAGCAGCGCCTACAATAATACTTTGAAACAAGATCTCAACAAGAAGCTGTCAGAAGTGAATCTTTCAACGTGCGTCGGGTCCGATGAGGAAGAAGCACTGAGTCCGTGGGAAGGAAGGGAAATCGCATTGGACCATATCCCCGGGGACGTTTTGCCGGATTATGACTACATTCGGACCAACACTCTAAAGTAACTACAATCATTATCCAAACGTAGTGTTCGCTCTATTTTCCAGGTTTGTCCAGGATACGGCCCCAGAAAACTGTCTCTATAAGTGTGTGATCACTCGACAGAAAAGTGGAATGGATAAGGGAATGTTCCCAACATACTTCCTTCATCTGGAAGAGCCCACTAACATGAACCAAAAAGGAAAGCTTTTCCTGTTGGCGGCCAGAAAACGTAAGAAGAGCACCACCGCCAACTATCTGATCAGCGCCGATGCGACAAACTTGTCCCGAGAGGCCGACAGCTATTGTGCCAAAGTTCGGTCGAACGCGTTGGGAACTCAATTCACTATCTACGATAGTGGATTGAGCCCGAAGAAGGTGCCTAATCATAAGATGGGAATCCGTTCCGAACTCGCTGCTGTCATTTATGTACGTTGCCACGTTATTGACTTAGATCACTGAAAAACTTGTCTATTCAGGAGACCAACGTTCTCGGATTCAAAGGTCCTCGCAAGATGACTGTAATCATTCCGGGAATCGAGAAGGGATCCGAAAACGCCACTGGACAGCGTCACTTGATTCGTCCGGTTGACGAGAAGGATACTCTTCTGGAAAAGTTCCGCAATAACGATACCGTCATCAAGGTCCTCAACAACAAAGGCCCGCAATGGAATGACGGTGAGCGCTGAGAACGTATAGTTTACGTGATTTTATTCGTTTCATCCAGAAACCCAATCGTATGTGCTGAACTTTCATGGAAGAGTCACTCAGGCGTCTGTGAAGAATTTCCAAATTATACATAAAGACTCTGCGGAGTATATCGTCATGCAATTCGGAAGAACTTCCGACGACTCGTTCACCATGGACTTCAGATATCCGCTCTCTCCGATCCAGGCGTTCGGTATCGCAATGACCAGCTTCCATGGCAAACTGGCATGTGAATAATCTCCGAACTTACTGTAACGCACCTAATTTTTGCGAAACCTTCTCTTTACCGCTCCGAGAAAAGTTCACGAAATAACTTAAACTAAACGATTTATTCGACGTGATAGTTCGAATACTGTGACTTCATTCTCTCTAACTTATCCCCACTGAACACTATTATTTTGCTCTGAGAATTATTGTATCACCCTTAAAACTCTGTGATGTGTGTCTCATCCATGTTACAATCGTCTCCCACCCAATAAAAGCAATAATGATTATTCCGCCGAAAAGAGCAGCGCCTTGAGTGACAAATAAAGATCAGAAGGGATGCCGCACAAGGAAGATCATGAGTCAGAGAACAATTGGCCCGCCTGCAAATAAAAATGACATTTATAGTTATGTTATCGTTCCCTCAAAAAACCACGACATCTTGTTTTGATTTTGATTTCGAAAACTGAAATTTTCAGGAAGAAGCAGGTTTTTAATAGAACAAATTACTTTGAAAATAGTACTGAACCACTTTTTCAAGTGTTGGTCACTCGTAGCAGTAGGTCAGAAACCAGTTTCAGCGGGTTTTAGTCCCTCGCATCGAAGATAGTCATCGACGAAGAAGAAAAAGAAGAGGAAGCCAAGAGCTTTTACTTCTTCCACTGAACAAGACCGAAAAACTGTGTAATGCTAGTTGGGAAATGCGAGAAAAACTATATTACGACATGCATACTTGTTTTTACACGTATTGGTTTAAAGTTCACGTTTCTCGTTTTGACCACTTTCGCTAGAAAAAACAAAAACAGCATGTACTACGTGAACTGTACGTTTCCAAGTATGCTCTATCGGGAATCTTCCTACAGTACTCAGACTGTGAGATCACGAATTCTGGCGTCTTCCTTCTTCCAAAAAACCCTAGTAAATGTTTTCGAAAAGCACGTCATATTTTTTTCTCCGAACAAATATTTCACATGGCCTTCCATGGACTTTCCACTTCCTCAATCCTGGAAAGTTCTAAAACCGCTAAGGTCAGTGAAAATGAGTCTAGGGAATCATTTCTCTGAACACTGTAGATATCAAGCTTCGTCCGTCACTCGAACGTTCGAAACCATCCCACTACCGTAAATAGAGAGACGGTCCGGTTGTCTTTTCCTTTTCTTGTCGCAATATGATATTGCCTCTTTTTCTTTCACTCTCGTTTTTTGTCTTCTTCTTCTTCCACTGCTTATGCTTATGTGCGTTGTTCTTTTCTTTGCCGTACCATTGTGAATGTCAGGACCCAATCTATTGTGTAAAGTTACTGTAGAGCCCACTTTTTGAGTCAGACGTCGTACTCGCTCTTGCACACACATACAAATGACTCAACAAAATCGCGAGAAAGGGAGCAAGAGAAGGACGAGGAAAAATAAGAAAAAAGGGGTCAGTCAGTTGTGGTCAGAGAGAGTAAAAAGGGAAAAGAAGAAGAGGGGTGGATGATGGGCAAACATGGCCACGAAATTGAATTTCGCGGAAACCTTGAAATGAGCTTCTGTCGGTCGCCGGCTCAATTTGTGTTGCCTCCTGGCTCCGTCGAGCAGTTTATCCGTTTTCCGCCAATTCCCGACCACATTTTCGGGTCAAATCTATTCATGGTTTGGGTTCCAGGTTTTGAGGTTCCTACCGTATGCACGTCATGAAAACCTAAGCTTTTATGAGCATGTATCTTCTAGGACCTAGAACGGCTGGTTTCAGTAAAGATCACAAATTTGAATTCAACATGGAAAGGTTTTGTAGTGTCGTTATGCGTTCAGGTCCCTAGGTCTCCGGATTTTTTGCAACTGCTAAAATTCGCAACCAGGACTGTAGATGTTGTTTGCGAATCGAGGGTGCCACGTGGAAAAACAGTTTCAACCGGCAAGTCGAAGTGAATAAATGAGTTATTAAGTCACTTGAAGTAACAAGCTCAGAAAAGAATATATTTTTGCTGACGTGGCCTTACTGTCGCATCTTATCTTGGAAATTACAGCGAACACGCTCTCGGCAATAGAAGTGTACTACAAAAATAAACACTTGTCATTCGCATTTCGTTCGAAAAAAAACGAATGTGAGAAAAGACGAAAAAAAATCCAGTTTTTGTTATTACTGTACACTTTTACACATTCGGAACCAATTCAAATAATCTCTACTCCCACCACCTATTTTTCGGTCGTCGTCTGGTCAGTAATTAGTGCCCCCGCCCACTTTTCGTTTCATTTCTCATCGTTTTCGCTCGTTCGAAATGCGATCACTTCCCATTTTGCTTGTCAAAGTCCCCATTTTCAGACGAACCTCAAATATTCTAGTACTTTCTCAACTTTTTTTCGAAAACAACTTTCTTATCATCTGTAATACAACCTGTTACAGCCTATAGTAGGTACTTGTTTTTTTTTCAAAAATTTCCATCCGATAACCAAAAGTTTTGGCAAAAAGTAGGAAAAATCAGTACAGCTCCGTCGATTTTACTCAACTGATTATCAAGAGTGATAAGCGGAAAGCTGTTCCACTTTTCATGTTCCTACTATTGTATCTTCGATGACTATTGTACCTTCTCAAATAAGGTGCTGGGCCTTGCCAACTTGTAATTCACTTAACGTTCACATATAGATTACGGTAGGATGTCTTTCTTTTAAAAGGGGGTCACGGTCCGGTGCAAACAAACGATCCGGTGTGTGATATTTCGAAGGAGCAAAAACAACTAGAAGAAGCCAACACTGATATGACTCATTTGTGCACCGACAGGTACCGCCTGACTCCGGTGTTCCGATGGGAAAAAAAGAAAAAATATCGTCTGTTTGTATAGGATTACGGTAATGACCATTCTCGAATGCTCGAAAAAGAGTTTAGAATATTTTTCTCGTTCTTATCATTCGATCGCACGAGTGTTTTCACTTCAAAAACACACCTGAAAACAGGCCTTCTGACTGTCTCGAGAGGAGGAAGACGACCGTCGAATTAGACATACTCTAACCTTGTTTTCTAAAGAGAGATACCATTTTCATTGATTCAAAATTGAAGAAATGGCCGATAAATTCTGAGAAGTTCCTCGCTAATCAGTGTGGCAGGTGACCACTCTTTCGCGAAGAATGCCTTGCCATTCTTAATTTTTTACGGTCGGACGTGGTGTCTAGTCTATCAGTAACCTGTAAATATGTAGGAAAGTATGTGCTGGCGTCATCACTGAACGAAAGCTAGAAGGGTTCCACGTCATACTGTAGAGGTCCGCTCGCTGAAAGGTCGCATGGCTTAATTGAAAACCTTTCCCAAAATGGCGACATTCTCTATTCCTCTTTCCTCTTCCACCCTTACTCCCCTCCAATACCACCCCACCGTTATCACTGACTCCGCCCCTTTGGCACCCCCATCACCCTCTTCCACACGCACTTCCTTTATTGTTCCATCCTTTCATCGTCCGCATAATATCAGATTTACAGTATCATGGAAGAAGAAAATAATCAACTTTCCCCAATTTCGAGTAGTACATCTTCTAGCAGCTCTGTTGAGCATGACGCACTCGTTCAAGTTCGACACTGTATCGAGGAAGATAAGATTGACGGTACACCAATTGGTATTCGGATTTTTTTCCGAAGGTTGTATTTTTTCCAGTAGATTCTGTATTCGCACATCGCCTCGTGCTCTCCACATTCTCTCCAATGTTCCAACAGTTGCTCAAGGATGCCACGTCATCAGATGATATCACATCCATCAGATTGGATCTAACCAAGTTCCCGAATGGTTTGGCTGCTTTCAAAGTCATGCATGAAGCGTTTTACACTGGAGAGATCAAACTGGCAGGAATCAGTCCATCTGAGGTTAGTCTAGAATTCCACGTCATAATTTTCACGTCACTGGTTGTTTAGGTGCTAGCAGTCATCAGGCACTGTCAAGTCGCGGGGCTTGAGAGCAAAGTGATGTCCGCAGCCGTTTCTCCGATGAACATAGCCGGTCTACTACAGCCGGCACAGGTTCCAGGAGTCAATTCCTTTGTACCGTACACCCCGCCAGTGCAGAACTACCTGTCAAATATGCTCAGTCTGTGGACGAACCCGTTGTTCAGTGCTATTTTCGGCAGCGCAGCTACGACTCTTCCGTTCTCTCCACAATCAGATACGGAAAACATCAGGTACTATCCATTCTCAATGGACTTTTACACGCCAATAATGTAAAATCGAGTTTCACGTGACTTTTTGAGCGAGAGCACTACGTTGAAGTCTCTCACTACTAACCATATTTCGGAAGAAAAAAAATTTACTGGCCTAATCTAAGGTCACGCGAAATTGAAGTTGCAGTTCATTTCCTGCAGTTCATTTCCAAATATCCTTTTTACCGTACCGTAACCCAACTCTTCCTAGAACTCAATCGGAAGGCAGTTCGCCACGTGCCAACTCGACGGCCACTCCACCAACTACTGACTTGGAGAAGATTGTTCCTAACGACGATAAGGAAGGATGGTGCAGAAACAAAAAGTACATCGAGAAGGTCGACGGCGGATTCATGTGCACAGTGTGCCGAAAGATCTACGGGCGGTACAACTCTGTCTCCTACCACGTCACAATCTATCACAGGAATCCACCAATCAAGTGAGTCTTCATAGCGGTCGCTTATCTTTAATCATCTGGTATTGTAGATGCGAAGAGAACGGATGCAATTTTTCAACGCGTGAAGCAAGATACATTCATTTCCACAAGTACTACCGTCATCATATTCCTCTTCCGGAGAACATTGACCTGGGTATACTTTCTACAGATCAATAAACAATTCTCAAAGAATATTCTAGGTTCCCGAAAGTGTCCCTTCTGTAGACACGTCTCCAAGAGTCCTGCAATGCTGGAGAAGCACATCGCACGACACGAAGCCGAGGGATTATCTGGAACTCCGGGCGCACTGAAAAGAGCTCAGAGCAAGTGAGTACCGTACTTTCCGGCTTTTTCACTTTCTAAAGTGCAATCGTTCAAATCTCGACATTTCCCTTTGGTAGTCTCATGTGCTCAGGCACTCAAAGTGCGGGAATGAGTCTATTAAATTAATGCGTTGGGTGGAGAATTAGTTGCACTTTGTCGAGCGAACATTGCACTTTTTGAATTCTCTTGTCAGCCGGGGGAAACAGACGAGTTTATGGAACATCAGGGACCTCTCATAGAGATGATCTTCATTTCTTGCAGAAATGAATTTCAGCTTTACAAGCGGTCATGTCAATGTTGAAGTTCTATATTTTTATTGACGTGACAAGCCCAGATCCTTGGGAAATGAGTATTATCTCTATCTGAAATATGTGATGACATAGCCCAAAAATCATGTTTTGCCCGTTCATCTACTTCCCCGTTGTTACTCTCACTCTTCGGAAAATCCAGTTTTTCCGTTCCTTTCGGCGATATTTTCGCTAAAAACAGTTAGACGACCGTACGCGAATCTTGAGAAGAAACAAACATCGGAAGACTAATGACTTGAAGGGGCTGACTGGAATTCACAACTTGATTTTCAGAAAAAAGATTGTGTCGACGGCGCCCGAAGTCGCCATCCCAAATTCCATCTTCACGAACACTCCTGTGGTGCCTCCGATTCAGTGCTCTCTGTGCCAGTTCACCACGTTCGGAACTGATATTCTCTTCATGCATCTGGCCACCGCTCACACGCAAGAACTCGCTCAATTGGGAATAGCCGACAACTCTTCGGAGACCTCCGCAAGCACTTCGAGCAACAGCGATAGTGAGCCGATCACTGACATCGACATCGACGTGAAGCCGCTGATCGACCAGACTCTAATGCTTCCTCTAAACACTCAAATTTAAGCCCGATCTTTGACACGAATCATGACTGTTTCCATTCTTATACTCTGTTATTTTAGGGCTTTAGTTTTCCACAAAGTTCTCCCACCTCCTCCACATTTCCCGTCTTTTCTTGTGATTTTTCACTTTTTCTTTCTACCCAGTGCCTTTTATACATTTGAAAATGAATAAAGAAAGATTGTATTATTCAGCATGTGTCAAAAATTGAAATTCTTGAAAAATCACTCGCAATCAAAGTCCCATTTGAACTGATTCGTTAGATACTGTTTGAACTGGGCCGTTTTCTTTTTAAGATCGTCGCCGGCGTGTGCAGAGTCTGAAAAACGTTTATTTGAAGATGGAAATGCAGTTCGACCATTCTTTAGTTCGTACCTCTGATATTGGCGAACAGCATTGACAGCGTTGTTGTCAAGAAGTTATCGCGAGAAACTATGTCCACGAAGAAATCAGTGGGGCACTCCTTCAGTTGGAAGAAGAGTACCTGCAAAAGTCACGTGAAAATCATTCTCAGTTTCATCTTGTCAACGTGGCGAAATTTAATTTTGAAACATAGTGCCCATACGCGAGTATTTGTGAAAACAAAGTTTCAAATCTGCGAAAACAGCGAAATGGACTATTTTACAAAAGTCACGTGAAAATGGCTTTGCTTCTTTTTCTCATGAAACTTTCATGATGAAACCCACTCTGATAAACGACAAGAAAAGCTCTTTTTCGGATCCCAGTGAGTTCGGACAGCAGGACATCAGGTGGATGATGCGTTTCCATTGCTCGAATCCTTCGAACACTTGCCCCTGTAGGAAACAGACGAAAGCGATCTGCATCTCAGCCAACAATTGCTTCCAATCGCCGCCAAGTCCTCGGAGAAGGCGGTATAATCTGTCCGAATACTCGATGCCAACCCGATTTTGACTCAGCTGAAAAAGGCGCAATAGGTTCGTGAAATTAAAGACGGACTTACGGTGAGCGGCGGTATCTCCTGGAAGCGTATCTCATATCCTTCTCGGATTTTCATAATAGGCAGTCCATGCTGATCAACGAAACGTGTGCGCACCGGATTCTCCCGGTCGACCCTATTCCGGAAATGCGATTCCTTGTGCTCTCTTTCAGCGTTTTCCATGAACTCCGTCTCAAGACTGACCAACTCAGCTTGAGATGTGATCCGACCCAAAATAGGGTGAATTCTTTCGACTGTTCCGAGTGTGATGAAATCGGTCAAGCCGTACCAGCTCCGATAGTTTTCGTATGGATATGGAGCCAATGAAGAGTCCATATTTTTCAATTGCCGTTTCTTCTCGCCAATTTGCTGGAAGAATAAAAAATTCAATGTTTTATTGTGCCTGAAATGTTACATCCTCCTCGACTTTTTCGTCCTCAAACGTTTCGCTTTCCTCATTCCACTTTTTCACGACAATTTCTCCGGCTTTGAAGTTATGGAAAAACCCAATCCTCGGAGCAGACTTTATACTGCAGTAGACAAAATGAACTCCTGGCGGAATCATTTTGAGGCCTTTGAACTTTTCTCCCGTTTTCCATGACTTGTAGTCGATTCCGAACTCGGAAGCCTGTGGAAATCCAAGGAACAACAGAAACGCTCCATTCTCGTACATGTAATCGACAATTTGTGGTGGAAGCGAGCCACCCATCCGCATTGCTTGTAGAAGAACAGCCGTATTATCTCCCATCTGTCGAGCGAAAATTTTTCTACTATTCGGGTCGTTGAACATTCAATAACTCTACGACGTGAACATGGGCCCAAGACAACTTTTTAATAACAAAAAAAATTATTTATTTGCTTTCAACAAATACGACCAATAACCAAATTAGATTGGGTTATCAATCCACTTGGAGAGTGGTCCATGCTCGCGCTGGAGTTGAACACCAACTCCATCGGAGACGAGTCTTCCTTCAGCACGCATGCGCTCGTAGTCCTCGCGATCCCACTTGGTGAATCCCCATTTGCGGGAAGAGACGATGATTTGACGCCCTGGGAACTTGAACTTGGCACGACGGAAGGCCTCAATGGCGTGCTTGACATTCTAAAATGACAAACTGTTGCACCGAATAGCTAGTTCGAAAACTCACACCATCCTTGACTCTCATCGAGAAGAGGATGTCGCCGATGTCGACACGAGCGACCAATCCTTGTGGCTTTCCGTAAGCTCCACGCATTCCAGTTTGGAGTCTATCAGCTCCGGCACAGGAAAGCATTTTGTTGATACGGGTAACGTGGAATGGATGCTTGCGCACACGGAGATGGAATCCGTCCTGAATGAAATCAATTGATTATTAGGAATTACTTTTTTTTTAAATACCTTTCCGCAGTTCTTGACCATGTACTTGTTGGCGCAAATACGGGCGGCTTCAAGAGCTTCGGAGGAAAGATGCTCACGCTCATTGGACATCATGTGCACGCATGCTGGGAACACCTCAACATTAGCCCTCTTGTTTCCCAAATCGAAGATTCTGATCTTCGCGTCCGGAACTCCCCTGCAGAAGCGGGACTTCGGGTAAGGCTTGTTCTTGATATAGCGGTAGCACCGCGCTGGACGTCTACCCATGTCTTCTGAAACGAATAATAATAAGACTAGCGGAAAACAATAGAAAATCAGACACATATACGAGTAAAAATAATTGTCATCATTATGACGTCATAGAATTTTGTCAGCATTATTGCAAAACGGAAAGCTGATGCTTGCTTTTCTCAAACACTTTGGTCTCTATCGCAAGAACTGAATCAGAAGCAAAATTGATTTTTAATGGGGCTATTCAGCGTATGTTTGTTTTCCGTTTTCTTTTCTTCGTTTTTTTACATCGCTGAATTGGGTTTTTTTGACGTAAAAAAACGAAAAAACGGGAAAAATTCATTTTTTCACAGCCTGAATAACCCCATAACGTGAATTAAGCGAAAATTAGATGGAACGTTGATTACTTTGGCCTAGTATGAATTAATGACACGTGATTATTACATTTTTATGAAAATTTCAGATTTTTAAACAGGAAAAGAAATTGAAGGAAAAAAACGAAATTCTGCGGGAAATTTAGGCCAAACGAAAAATGAGTCGCAACACTAATGTTCACTATCGGCATGCTGCGTCCAAAACACAGAATTTTACGACAGCACATACCGTACTCTTTCGTAAAAGGAGCAACTTTCGAAAAAAGTTTGTTCGAGATAAAACGGGAATCGAAAATATCCGGAAAATTACTTATTTACGCAACATCTTGATACACTTATGAATGGATGCAAAAATACCAGAAATAAAGGTTAGTAGAGGCTGTTGCAAAAAGCATCAGAATTTTTTTTAGATTGTGCCTCTTGGAGCAGGTCAGGATGTAGGTCGGTCGTGTATTTTGATCACTATCGGAGGAAAGAACATCATGCTTGACTGTGGAATGCACATGGGATATCAAGATGAGAGAAGGTTCCCGGATTTCTCGTAAGTTTAGGAACTGGAACAATTGAAATTTCACAAATAATTCTAGTTATATTGGAGGAGGAGGTCGTTTGACCGAATATTTGGATTGTGTTATTATTTCTCATTTTCATTTGGACCACTGCGGAAGTCTCCCGCACATGAGTGAGATTGTCGGATACGATGGACCCATCTACATGACCTACCCTACAAAAGCGATCTGTCCAGTGCTTTTAGAGGATTATCGGAAAGTGCAATGTGATATCAAAGGAGAAACCAACTTCTTTACATCAGACGACATCAAGAACTGCATGAAGAAAGTTGTTGGGTGTGCTCTTCACGAGATTATCCAGGTCGACGATGAGCTGTCCATTCGAGCATTCTACGCTGGTCACGTGCTCGGAGCTGCCATGTTCGAAGTCCGACTCGGCGATCATTCAGTTCTGTACACAGGAGACTACAACATGACACCAGATAGACATCTTGGAGCCGCCCGTGTTCTTCCCAGTGTCCGTCCTACTGTGCTCATCTCTGAATCTACGTATGCCACCACAATCAGAGATTCGAAGAGAGCCCGCGAGAGAGATTTTCTTCGAAAAGTGCACGAATGTGTCATGAAAGGAGGCAAAGTTATTATTCCCGTGTTCGCGTTGGGCCGTGCGCAGGAACTCTGCATTCTTTTGGAGTCTTACTGGGAGCGGATGGCGCTGAAAGTTCCTATTTACTTCTCGCAGGGACTTGCCGAGCGAGCCAATCAGTATTACCGTCTATTCATCAGCTGGACAAACGAAAACATCAAGAAGACGTTCGTGGAGAGGAACATGTTCGAATTCAAGCATATTCGTCCGATGGAGAAGGGATGTGAGGATCAGCCAGGACCACAAGTTCTGTTTTCGACGCCTGGAATGCTTCACGGAGGACAATCCTTGAAAGTTTTCAAAAAATGGTGCTCGGACCCACTGAACATGATCATTATGCCCGGATATTGTGTCGCTGGAACTGTTGGCGCGCGGGTTATCAATGGAGAAAAGAAAATCGAAATTGATGGAAAACCAGTAAATCGCAACGAAGTTTTCTAGTTTAGTTCACTTTTTTTCAGTACGAAATTCGACTTGGCGTAGAATACATGTCCTTCAGTGCACATGCCGATGCAAAAGGAATTATGCAGTTGATCAGACAGTGTGAGCCTCAACATGTCATGTTCGTGCACGGAGAAGCCGCCAAAATGGAGTTCTTGGCCGGAAAAGTGACGAAGGAGTACAAGATTCCTGTGCATATGCCTGCCAACGGAGAAACTGTCGTTATTGAAGCACACCCGAAATTGGATATCAGAGTTCCACTAGAGGTAACAAAAAGTCTTCACTTAAAACAATGTTTTCGTTTGCACGTGAACATAGCTGCTTGTTTCTGCTGAAAAACGCTCAAGATAAAACGGTGTTATTTGTTTCACGTTGCTATTTCAAATGTAGATACGGGCTTCTGATTGAACATTGATTGAACATTTAAGAATCTGCACACTCTAATTTTCCAGAAAATTGACAGAAGTCTGAGCCTCGATCCGAATCCTTCCAAAGCGGAATGCCCGTTTGTCGCTGAGTTCGTATTTGACCAAGAAGTCAGTTTTGAAAGTATTCTTTGAAAATAGTGTTTTTTCTAGAACGAACGCCTGAAAATCCTCACAACTGCCGACGCCGACGATTTGCTCGAAAAGGAATGCTTGCCGATGACTCTTTCACTATCGCAGGTGATAAAAGGAAACAGAGTGGACTGGAATACGCTCAGCAATGAACTGCTCATCTATGATCCTCACTTACAACTGAAGGAAGACGGAATTGAAATGTTCAATGGAGAAATTGCCATTTTGTCAAATAACGAGGAGGAGACCGAACTCGAATTGGTCTGGGACGAATGCCGGCAACAGTGGTTTAAATTGATTCACAAGACTATTACTGACATCGTTTCAAAACCGATCGCTGTTATCGCCTGATCATAACTTGATTGATTTTTCGAAAAATTAAAAACATTGTAAACTTCAAATCAATTCATTCTCCGAAAGCCGGCAGATCAGGAAAAATTACAATAAATAGAGATTTGAGGGGAACATGTTTAGTTGTACAAGTCATCGTCGTCGTTGGCAGCTGGGTCGCTTCCTGATGTTGGTTGTCCCTCTCCCGGGAACTTGAAGTTGTTTCCGAATCCTCGTGATTGTTGGAGAGTCTGCGCGAACATCTCGTACTTGCGGATGTCGTTGTCAGTGACTGATCTTCTGGCGAATTTCATCGCCTCCTCGAAGTGTGCCCTCGTGATTTCTGGGACTGGATCTGACGCTTCGTCGTCCATCAGCTCTTCTCCACGGGCGAGGCTGTCCTGTTTCTGCTTCTCGAGGCGGATCTCCTTTTCGATGGACTCGCGAATGGCGAGCTTGCAAGCACTGAATAAGAAGTGTTAAAGGAATCTATTGAAAACAGAGGCTTACCGTTGGCAAATCTCAGTCAGATCGGCACCAGAGAATCCGACAGTGTTCTTGGCAAGATAGTTGAGATCCAAGTCGGCAGCGAGTGGGGTCTTGCGAAGTCCGGCCTTGAAGATTTGAAGTCTCGAAGCCTCGTCCGGAAGTGGAATGTAGATCAATTGATCGAGACGTCCTGGTCGAAGAACAGCCGGATCGATAATATCCGGACGATTAGTGGCTCCGATGATGAACACGTTTTTCTTGGCGTTCATTCCGTCCATCTCAGTCAGAACCTGGTTGATGACACGATCGGCGGCGCCTCCACCGTCTCCGACACTCGATCCACGCGCTTTGGCGATGGAATCCAACTCGTCGAAGAAAAGAACGCACGGCGCAGCGGCACGAGCCTTGTCGAAGACGTCACGCACATTGGCCTCAGACTCTCCAAACCACATGGTCAGAAGCTCAGGTCCCTTGATCGAGATGAAGTTGGCTTGACACTCGTTCGCTATGGCCTTGGCGAGAAGAGTCTTACCGCATCCGGGCGGTCCGTAGAACAGAACTCCTCGAGATGGCTGCATTCCGAATTTGAGATACTTTTCCGGGTGCTCCACCGGATACTGCACAAGCTCCTGAAGCTCCTGCTTGACTTGTTGCAGACCGCCGATGTCCGACCAGGTGACATTCGGAGTCTCGACGACGGCCTCGCGGAGAGCTGATGGGGAAGACTTGCCCATGGCGAACTGAAAAGAAATATATAAATTACAAAACGAAATCCTTGGAATTCCAAGATGAGGGCACATTAAAGTTTGAAAGTTAGGAATACGGTATGAACTCACTCTAAAGTTCTCCATAGTGACAGCCAGCGAATTCAGCACCTCGGCGTCAATCTGATCATCTTCCAGATCAATAAGTTCCATCTTCTCACGAATCTGCTGGAGAGCAGCTTCGGAGCAGAGAGAAGCCAAATCAGCACCGACGAATCCATGGCTCTCGTTGGCCACTTGTTCCAAATCCACGTCATCGCTGAGCTTCATGTTCTTGGTGTGGATTCTCAGAATCTCAAGGCGTCCAACGGCGTCTGGAATTCCAATGTCGATTTCACGATCGAAACGGCCGAAACGACGAAGTGCTCCGTCGATGGAGTTGGGACGGTTGGTGGCGGCAATAACGACGACATGAGCGCGAGTTTTGAGTCCGTCCATGAGAGTGAGCAATTGAGACACGATGCGCTTCTCGACCTCTCCGTGGGCCTTCTCACGTTTCGGGGCAATCGCATCTATCTCATCAATGAACAGAATGGCCGGAGAGTTCTTCTCACATTCGGCGAACGCCTTTCTCAGATTGGATTCCGATTCTCCGGACATCTTCGACATGATTTCGGGTCCATTGATCAGGAAGAAGAAAGCGCCAGTCTCGTTAGCAACAGCTCTGGCAATGAGAGTCTTTCCGGTTCCTGGTGGTCCGAAGAGGAGGATTCCACGTGGAGGCTTTACTCCGATAGCCTTGAACAGTTGAGGGTGACGGAGCGGCAATTCGACCATCTCCTTGATCTGAGCGAGTTGCTTGCGAACTCCTCCCAAATCATCGTATCCAATTTCGTTGAGTGATTCCTCCTCCTCTTCTCTCTTGATTGGATCACCTTCGTAATGAATGACGGTATCAGGAGCCACGATGCACGCGGAAGATGGTTCCACTTCCACAACCTTGAACTCCACCGTTCTCATTGCTGCCTGCACAGTGAAAATATCACCTTTGTGCAATGGGCGGTAGGCATCTGAAAAGTACGGCCTGAGGAACACATCGAAAAGGTTTCCAGTCAGTCCCTCAATCGTGTCATCGATAGGCAGCACATGGATCCTTTTTCCATATTCCAATTGAGCACTGGAGATGTTCACAACGTCTCCGAGACGGCTTCTAAGGTTGTTCCGGATGACCTTGTTCATCCGGATTCTGTCATTCGGACATCCGTCAGCGTTGATCACAATCGAAACGGTCTCTTTTCGTTTCTTTCCTTTCAGAACGACAGAATCTCCTCGGAAGAGACCTAGCTCGTCCATTTTGGCTTGCGAGAGCATTACCATCGAGTTATCGTCATTTTCCGACTGATCAATGATGAGGCGGTTTGGACGAACCTTGTCCTGAAACCATAATATTGTGAAAAATGTGAGTCAGTGAATTTAAAACACCAATATCAAAAAGTGAGTGCATACCTTGAGGATGGCCGTTGCCAGCTCGTCGTTCTTCTTTTCTTTTTCATCCTTTTGAGTAGGTACTTGAGCCATTATTAAAGTGGTTCCGAAGTTCTGAAAAAATCGATTATACGGTAGACGAGGACAGGAGAAGACAGAGCAAATAAGAGTGGATGATGGGGAATGAATGAATGAGACCAGACCTCTCTTGGCTACCATGATGATGACAAAACGTCGCACAGCGTACTGGAGAGGGACGGAATTGTCTGTGGAGCGCGTTTGAGAGCGACCGCTGTCGACCTGAACGCCCGCGTCTCGCAGGTCTGCCCATCCATTAGAGAAAGTGCAGCCATACAAATGAGCTGGGTCACATGTTGGCATGTGATGTGCTATTGGAAGAATCACTTGGGAAACGTATGGATTTTTTCATCCCAAAATCTTAATTATATATGATTTGAAAGGTTGCATTGGTAACATTGTCAGACGATTTCGTAATACTTTGTTCTAAAGTTTTGAAAAAATGGGGTTGTGATATGTTTTCGTAGCAGCTTTGTAGAAATTTGAAACTAGCTGAACCGAACAGTAGCACAGTCTTCTTCGAAATATTGTATTAAAATATTGTATTGTACACTTTTTTGTCGGGAAATACTGCGTCAAAAAAACTCTGCGAGAACGGTTTTTTTTAAATTTCAGTTTTATGAAATCGATAGAGCTGAAAATCTGTTAAAATTCTAATCTTAAACTCTAAAATTTTCTTTTTTTCGCGTGACCTTCACATGTGAAAATTTATAGCTGGAGTAACTATATTTGAATATCGCGCCACTTTATCTGTTCATTAGAGCGAGCTTGCATTCTTTCAGTTCTCACGATCGCTTCATTCAAAAGGCGCTAAAAATGTTGATGAATTCTGAGGACGAATCGAGTGACGAGAATGAGGCATCAAAGCCACAATATCAACGGTTTCTTAAAGCAAAAAAGCAGAGCAGCATTCCTACTCAAAATGTTTCAGGGGTGTCCCGCAGAATCAGTCATCGTTTCCCAGAGGTCGATCAAACTTTTCCTCTGGAACTGTGCCGAATCGCAGAGTGGAAAGCACACCTGTCAACACTCTGGCCACTGGACACTCAAATAAAATGCTTATGACCACATATAGAATAAGCAGACCGCGGTAATATTCTGAAACGTATTGAGAAAAGCAGTTAGAAACATCCTGCCAATTCTAAAACAGCCGGAAAGCATCTTTTTCTTTTTCTTTCTCGAATAAAAGCGTTTTTCACAACAAAAAAAACAATTGACGAAGAATTGCAGAGGTCCAAGTTCGGAAAATGGAGAGAATGACCAAGGCTCTGCCGAACAAATCTCGGATGGAGCATCCACGTCGCGCCACGACCATCTGAACAACTACTCCTATCCGATTGACAGAAGCTACCTACAAGATGTCAACATTTTCCCGCTCAAACCGTCCATCAAACAAGATGCTAGTAATGTCAAAAGATATTCATTACCATCTACCCACATCCTTTACGAGAAAACGAGACATAAAGGCGGTGTAAACATTGAAGAACAGGAGAAAGTAGCGAAAATGTTGCAAGCTGCGGTGGAAGATACTATTGTGGAGCAGCCGGCGCCCGTGGTTCCCCAGAAAGACAACCTTCAGTTAACTGTCGATGTGAAACTGTTCGGAGCAATGAACAATGAAACTTTTGGATACTACCGGACTCACATGGGCACTATGAAACAATTCTTCGGAAAATGTCTCAAAAAGGTGAGTTTCTCGAACAATTAAAATACTAAATTCATCTGTTTAGTCTGACGCGGTCGAAGTGAACTGGTTGAAGACGGGCTTAATGCCTCGAGCCACGTATGAAGAACAAGTTTATATGATCGAAACCAATATTTTAATCCGGCCAATTGAACTATTTTCTTACCCGCACGAACTGTTTACCCAATTTGTCACAAAATTCACGCGGCAAACTGTGGGAATGTTGCACGATCAAGTGTTTGTAGAGCCTACTAAGATGCACACGCTTTTTCCCAAAATTACGTGAGCACTGTCAGTTTTTTCTGATTTAATTCGACAATTTTCAGTCCTCAGCACATTGATGTCAGTGTTTCTGGAATTGCCATTGGAAACTGTCCAAATCCCGGACTTTTCCTAGTCAGAGGAGATTACATTAGCCAGGAGAATACTGTCTGCAGTGTGTAAGTGTTATTATGAAACGCTAATTTTGTTCTAAATTCTCACAAGTTTTCAGTAAGCTTCAAGCCCAGCACACCGTCGATCCAACCCGTGAACATACTGCGTATAAAGTAGCTGGAAACAACCGATACCTGTCATACGCCCGTTTTGAACACGACAAACGAGTTCTCGTCGTCTGTTTTGGAGTTCGGCTTCGAGATTTCGGAGACGACGGATTAGATCATGCCGGTTTCCGGCTCAACATGTACTACAACTCGTTTACCAGAGTCATCGTGGATCTTTCGAAGGAAAACATGAATAGCATCTACATTCAACTGAAAAATCCTCCTCTGTTGTGGGAAGGGATTCCCAAGAGTACTGTTTACAATCCATCCAAGTCTAAAGTGTTGAACATGGAAATGTGTACTGAATGGGTAGATTATTTAATTTCCAGATTCTGTTTCCTTGCGAATAAACTGTTTCAGATGAGAGTGCTCAGTTGGCCTGGTGATGCTGAGCAACGAGGAATTGGATGTACTACGGAGGCTTTTGCCCAAAGCCGTTGGGTCAGAATTACTTTTCGGAAAGATGATGTTGAGACTGACGTAATTTCTACATCTTCCAACTTCCAAGCTTTTACTTTTAAAACGTATCCTTGCAGATGTCATCATCATACTTACTGGAAATAATCTCGAGAATTGCGTCCCGATGCAATGTGAAAGTGTCATTCGGTTCAGTCTTCTCTATCCGCAGAAAACTGGCGCCATCTCCAGCGTTCCAATCCCTCGGAACATTCAGAGCAAATTACGCCCTTCAAGCGCTTATAACGCGTGGGAGCGTCTTCCTTGATCAGTTGCTTGACGTCACCGACGTTCATGTTCCGGAAGATCAAGAAAAACCAATGGTGTTAGAGCATGAGCCACTATTCCTAAAAATCGTGAGAAGATGTATGAAAGAATGCACACAGGCCACGGAAGAAACTCTTGAGCAACTTCTGAATGCTATTGACGAGCGGAGAAATGTTATAATTGTACAAGCATTCCAGTCACTTTACAAGTCTCGAAAAGTACAATACGAACGGCTTCTAAGTGGAGAAAGCATTCAAGATTCCGGCCTTGCAAAACCACTTCCGAAGAACTGTGTTTCTGTGGCGAAAGTAATTGTAACTCCATCGCGTGTTTTACTGATGGCTCCAGAAGTGATGATGGTCAACAGAGTGGTCAGAAGATTCGGACCTGATTATGCCCTCCGATGCGTTTTTCGTGACGACAACATGGGTCGCCTGGCCATTCGTGACTTCTCCATCAACAATATCGATCATATGTCAAACATTGTTACTCAAGGAATCTACCACACCCTTCGAAATGGTATTCAAGTGGCTGATCGTCTCTATAGCTTCCTTGGTTGGAGCAATTCTCAAATGAGAGATCAGGGATGCTATTTGTATGCACCTCACGTCGACCAAGTCACTGGAATGCTGACTGGGACTGTGGAGGACATTCGAGCGTGGATGGGTGACTTCCGGGATGCAGTCAGCGTGCCGAAGATGATGAGTAGGATGGGCCAATGCTTTACACAAGCTCAGCCAACCGTTCGGCTCAAGCGAAAACATTGGATTGTCGAGGCGGATATCGAAGGTGGCCTTGACAATAAATACTGCTTTTCGGATGGTTGTGGACGCATTTCGTGCAAATTGGCGGCTCAAATAACGAAATTACTTGAGCTAAAAGAGGTTCCCGCTTGTTTCCAAGTGAGGTTCAAAGGATTCAAAGGAATAGTTGTGATTGACCCGACTATTGATGAAATTATCAACATGCCGAAGATTATCTTCAGGTATTGCTTGCCTAGATATCCATAACAACCACAATTTTTACAGAAAAAGTCAGAGAAAATTCGGGGAAGGTTCTGGAGACCTACAAGACGATTATCTGGAAGTGGTGAAGTATGCGATGCCTTCTCCCGTTTGCTTCAATCGTCCGTTCATCACAATTCTGGATCAAGTATCTGCCAAACAGTCAGCTCGTTCTCACGCAAGAATCACAAATCGAGTACATTACTATCTCGAAAGAGAGCTTTGTCTGCTGAGCAGTAAGTTTAAAAGTTTCATATTCCACGGAGAATGAAATTTTCTCAGATATGATGATAAACGAGAGCCAAGCCGCCGAGGAGCTGTTCAACCGTACTAATCTACCAATCGATTGGCTCAAAGTTAGCAAAAGAGCTGGTTTCCAGCTAACAGTAGATCCATTCGTTCGTGCTATGATCTTCTCCATTTATCGCTACAATATCATACATCACATCTCAAAGGCCAAAATCTTCTTGCCACCAAACATGGGCAGATCGATGTACGGAGTAGTGGATGAGACGGGTCTTCTGCAGCACGGGCAAGTTTTCATTCAGTATTCGCCAAGCATCCGACAAACGAGTCGACAGCCGGTTCTGAAGACTGGAAAAGTGCTGATAACAAAAAATCCATGCCACGTTCCCGGTGATGTGAGGGTATTCGAAGCGGTTTGGCAGCCAGCTCTCGTGCATTTGGTCGATGTGGTTGTGTTTCCACAGCACGGACCTCGTCCTCATCCCGATGAAATGGCAGGATCCGACTTGGACGGAGACGAGTATTTGATTATCTGGGATCAAGAGATGCTCCTGGACTATAATGAGGATGCAATGGTGTTTCCGAGCAGTTCGGCTCTAGAAGAAGAAAAAGAGCCAACTGTGGATGATATGGTCGAGTTCTTTCTCCGATATCTCCAGCAAGATTCGATTGGAAGAATGAGCCACGCTCATCTCGCGTACGCCGACCTGCACGGACTCTTCCAGTGAGTTTTTTACAACGTTACTTCAGTGCCCTTAAAAAAATTTTTTAGCGAAAACTGTCACTCGATTGCCCTGAAATGTGCAGTTGCTGTGGATTTCCCAAAAAGTGGAGTGCCAGCAGAGCCACTTGCAATTTATGAACAGTGCGAAGTGACTCCAGATTATATGATGTCGGGGGGAAAACCAATGTACTACAGTACCCGTCTGAATGGACAATTGTATCGAAGAGCTCGAAAAGTGGAAGAAGTGCTAGAAGAGTACGAAAATCGAGATAGTTTATTCGCAGGCGAATATGACAAACTCATTTGTCCGGACGATGAAGACGTGTTCTTTGGAGATCAAGTAAAACTGTTTAACATAGTGGCGATCAGGGATGAGTACGCCAGCAAGATGCAGCAATTACTTGATGAGTACGGAATCGAAGACGAAGCGTCAGTGGTATCGGGACACGCGGCCAGTATCAAAAGACTAGCAGGAATGGAGAGAGATGACTACTCCTTCTATCACACTGACAAAGTCGTCGAACTTCGCTACGAGAAACTGTTCAAGATTTACCGTGCCATGTTTTTTGAAGAGTACGGCGGAGAAGAAGCAAATTCTACCTCGGATGGCAGGAATAGTCATGTAGTTAGCACCCAGGCAATGCAGGAAAAAGTGCGACAGTGGTACTTCGTTGCCTACGTGCAACCACGAAAGAACAAGGCCGGAAGAAGCATCGGACAAAGCTTACCTTGGGTCGCTTGGGATGTTCTTTGTGATTTGAGACGAAAATTGGTGAGTTTAGGAAGCAATCTTTGATCTGAAAAGTCAAAAATTTCATTCAGATGCTTGACAAGGCTGAGCTTGGACCACAAGTTAGGTACCCGATGTCCGTGCGATTGGCAGAAGAGATGGAACTGTCGATAGAAAGACAATCTGAACAATTTGAAACGTTTAAATGTCTCGTGAACACTTGCAGAGACGGACTTTGTATTGAAAGGTTCTTTTTCTTATTTTCTTATCCGAAGACGCAATGTCTTACAGATATTCTCAAGTTTATGGTGACAAGATCACGAAAATGGTATTTCTTCTCAAAGTATGGCTGGAAAAGGAGAACGTGCTTCCATCAGAGGTTTTCAATATCTGGCACGTTGGTCGACTTCTAATACGATTCGCTCTCGGCGTTTTACGTGGAAATCCGCTCATCGACTACGAAAAAAGCATTCTGAAAACGGAGGCTGTTCTCCATCAATGGATTTCGAGAAAAGAAGAACAACTAGAAACAAACGACTGTCAAATTGATATGGGTAGTCTGATGATCGAGTTTCTTCGATATCTTGCCAGTCAATCGTTTGCGCTTTCCGAGAAAATCAGTCTACGAGTGTTCAGTGATAAAGGGATCATAGAGCCAGTGCTCCTACACAACTCGCAGTGGATGGCTTTGCATCATGTTTACTTTCCTTTTAAAATCAGGATATAATGTTGGGTTCAGGTCGCTTATCGAACATTCCACGCATTGTCCGTATCCGGTCGCTTTGATGCACTCCATCTGGACGACGACGGTGTCATTGAATACATTTCGGAGAGCAAAAATCCGATTCTGGTCAATGAATCTGTGTTCAACTGCAAAAACTATACGGAGGATAATCCAGTGGCCAGAGGTCTTATTATGCAATCACTGAAGGTAAACAATGGTTTCACCGTGGCCGTTCGTGGGCGTGCGTGAAAAACATGAATAACATTTCAGGAATGGTCCGGAGTGACTGAAATAATCTCCCGAGACTATACAGGAAGAGCAAAGAACGATCTCGTCTATGTGACATCAGTCGGCACAGTTTTAGCCAAACAGCGGCTGGCTCGGCTGCTCTTGCTTAGCGGAGAAACAATTAGGGATGCGATTGCCAATGACACTGTGCCTGCAGAAGTACGGGACGAATTCTTGTAATGATATATCCGGTCTATAGATTTTTAATTATAATGCTCTATGAATTTGGAAAAAATGTATTTGAATTTAAAAATTGAATCACATCATGCGTCAACAGCAAATGGAGATTTTCCACCAGATGGCTTGGTCATCAGATAAAAGACAGTAAAAGTTCCAAAGACGGCGAGGAAAAGCATAATAGTACAAATAACAATGGAGCAAAGAACAAAAGTTATAGACCACTCTTTGTTAACTGCGTGCGTCCACGAACCTCTCGGCTTTGGCTTACTGGTACTGCTAACCGTGGGATTCTTTCCTAGCGTGAATTTGCTCCATTGATTGGTATAATTAAATGTGAATTCTGTGCCCAGTGACGTGGTAGGCGGGATTACGGAAGTCGGCTCAATTTTCTGATAGGGAAACGTGGCTCTGGCTCCTCCAGTGACTCTCAGCATACTGTTTTCGTAGACTGTTGAAGCCGAAGAATACGCTTTGAGATCGGAATTGCTCAGATAAAGAGCTCGGATCAGGCAACAGGGAACACTTTGCGGTATCAGAACTCGAAATTGATCTTGTGAAGGATCATAGGGACGACGGAACAGCTGATCGCCGATTTTGAATACTATAGTCTCGTTGGAAGTGCGGACCTGAATTGGAACATTCACGTCATAAACTATTTCAACGAGGTGACCCACTTTAATTCTCAGAATCTTCCGGTTTTTCTCCCTGCAAGTGCCCAACATCTTCGGCGTCTCGGGCACCGTAATTCCCATAGCTCCCACCGATTCCACATCTATTTTCCGTAAAGTCACGTCATAAAATGAGAAAATAAAACGTGTTGACTCTATTCTCTCAGTCTTGAACAGCACGGAAAATCTGCAACAGCTGTTGTTGTCTCTTCGCCCAGATTTCACTTTCTGTGTAGTTAAAATATCAGTTAAACTTCAATCATGCAATTGGTCGCTATTATTTTCTTATTTTTTAGTTGTTTGCTTTTAGTGGGCGTAAAAGTGAGTTGACTCTTTAGAACTACTAAAGGGCTAATGGAAACAGGTTATATTTCTAGACCATCAAGACTATGGACGTATGCCGTACTAACTGTGACACCTACATCGAAGATAATTCTAGAAAGTTGTGTCTCGAGAGATGCGGAATTGTTAATTAATAAACTGAATTGGTACCAGTTGGTGCATAGACATGTACAGTATCCGGACGGCAACGTTTGGTTGAGCTCAATTGAAAATTGAGCTGCCTTCCACGTGATCTTTCGTGAAGGCGTAAGCTGCAGCAAGATGACCCAACATGTTTTTTTAATTGTTTTCGCGTCTTTCACACAGCCTTCGCGAAAGTTTACGTGAAAAAACGTTGCCGTATGGTTATTGTCGATACTTTTCGCAAGTTGCAAACAGATGCAAATCTATGAGTGCGTCCTCGTATGTGCTACCATCAACTGTAATGCCTTGCCATTCATTGACACGAATTAGTTTCTGCAATAAAAAAAGTTTATGACGAAAAATAATGTTTTTCAAGCACAAGCAAATGAAAAATGGGAAACGCTAATTGCTTAAAATTGAGTTAAAACAATACCTCGTTTATGACATCTGCCTGAAAGAATATAGTTGTGAAAAAGAAAAATTTGGAAAACTACTTAGAAATGTTTGCAATTTCTTACCGATTGGACGACATTGATATAAAGAAGAAGAAGAAGAAGAAGAAGAGGGAACATTGTGCTCAGCGGACATTCATTTTGGATTTATTTCCTTTAAAAAATTTTGGAAATCATATGGCAAAAATGCGTGGTCTTTTATGCAGAAAAAAAACGCGAGCGTTTAATAGAAGTTATTCCACGAGAGTTACTCAAGCAATAATAGAGCACCAGAAGAGAAACACAAAAAGTGAGGACATAGTAGTCAGTGAAAGCAATAGAAATAAAATAAATGTGGAAGCACGGATGGAAGTAAAATTTCTATTCTTGGAGGAAATTGAACTTTGCGACAAAGTTGCTTTTGTCTTTATTTCTTTCTTCTAGATGGCTCTTACGTTAGATAAGATGCGAAACTTATCTTGATGAATTCTGGAAGAAATAATTTGGTAAAACATACTTCGCGAAAAAAGACCTTTGCCCATACTCAATAAAAATGTTGTTTCTGGACTGAAATTTAAATCGTAAAGTCGAGAAGGTGTGTGTGTACGCGCGGCACGATGAAGCCAACAATATTCATTCACAACACAATGAATATTAGAGCACGTGCTGTTCACTCACCTATAATATGAAGAGAAAAAGTGTGCTTAGTTTCCTGTACTCATTCAAATGTTCGCAATAATATGAGGAACAATGAGACCGCAAGTAATTGTTGTTATGAAAGCGGAGAACACGTACAGACAGAGTCTGTCCACGGCCATCGCGGCGAATCTCCATTCGGAGCGAAGCTGAAGTCAAGAGTCCGAAAAAGCTATGAAGTATTTTTTCAAACCATCTCTTCCTTCGAGTCTTCCTCAATCTTGTTCACCATCTTTTCTATGTCTCGCTCTATTATCAAAAGTTCCGAACATATCCTTGATGTGTTCTTGATAATGGCTGGCGTGTCTACAATTGTCTAGATCTACAATATACGAGTTCTTGTCACGGCTTACCCTGATAAACAGAAACACTCTTGCCCGGAAATGACGTTTGGGAAAGACGTGGCAAGTTGAGCATAGGAATGAATGTGGATAATCTGTGGACCGGAAGGATTGATTTGTCAATGACTTTTGGCTTGGGCGTCTTTGGATGATCGGGTTTGCACATGCAGAGAATGTATGGCAGCCAGTCGATGAATATCTTTCTCATCTGGAAAATGTTACAGTAATGACAGAATGGTATTGTAAGATTTACTGTTGGGCTCATCTCATGCGTTTCTGGTTTTCTATGATGAAGGGACAAAGTTAGGACGGTGAAAACGCATGAACAGGCGACGAGCATCAGGCAACATGAGAAGAAGGCGGCTGATAATTGTTGTGATCTCTCTGAATTTCCTATAAGTGACATACCCAAAATTGGAACGCTTTGTGATTGAGGTGGACTTGTACTGGAGACCATTTGAAGGAAAAAAATGACAGAGAGAAGAACAGTAGTTTCTGTAGAACAAAGTACATTTTAGATTCCCGTGCGGTAAAGGAAACCCAAAGTAATTTTCTCGCAGGCGTCAGGAGGAAGAGTGAAGCCTAGGATGGTCATCATTGAGATCACAAGCGACGGAATAATCAGATTGATTCCATAAGCCAAAGTCCTTCTCCGAATGTGGATATAAAAATAAAGTTCATGATACTCATCCGTTCCGAACATTTGGACAACTCGCTTCCCAGGAGTTCCTTCCAGATCCCACTCTCCGTTCTGGAGATAAACTTGAAGATCAATGGATTCATTCACAAAGTAAGAAGCTTGACTTGATGAAGATCTCTCTGGCTTCACAAGGATCGCGTTCCCTTGGATTCCTATTATTGGTTTCAGAAGGAAGTCCAAGTTGATGTATTTTCCATTGTAAGTCCACGATCCAAGCTTGAGAAAGCAGGTCTGACGGTCGAAGGGATAATAAGTGACGTCAATCTGAAACAATTTTAGAGGAGCTTAAGTTAGGCGTGTTGCAAACTTGACAAATGAATCGAAAGATTCCAGGTGGATTCTGTTGAACATCTCCATTGAAAGAAACAATAAATCTTGATGAGTATGTAGAATCGAACGATTCTGATACACTACAAAAAACGTGTTTGAAACTTCTGGTGTGTTTCACCTTCTCACCTATTGAACAATAGTACATCCGGCCTCCAAAGCTTGAAATGGGCGTCATCGTCGCCTGAGAATCGGACATCTCTGATACCTCCAAACATGCTTGGATCCCACTTCAGTTTGTAGTCGTTCCAGTGCTGAAATCGGAGAGAACAGTCTTGGCAGTGTTTTTTATTAGCTACATAATCCATATACGCCAGAATTGACATCACTTGATTCTTCTCATCCACATCCAGGATCTGGTTGAGAAGGAATCGAACGCTGACATCCAATGGAGCAGAACTATTTTCAACAGGTCTTTCGAAGGAGTCATAGTTCTGAAATTTATTAATTCGCTAATATTATAGGGACCCCTCACAGAAATGGCGCTCTGTTGAGAAACTCTTTTTGCAGTGCAAATTGAGCGACCTCGGGGCCGAGTTTTAAAAGTTAGGCCACATTTTCAGTTTAAAATTACTTCGCGGCCTAGAAATTCGGCCAGATTGCGAACAGCGCGCCCTTTCTGTCCGGTGCCCCAATAATACGCACACTAGACATCTATTAACATTTGTGAAACTATTAGAAGTTTCAAACAACTTCGCAATAATTCCTGTATGAAGGCCACGTGAAAAATTCAAATTTGACGTGACAAATTTTCGTAAATGCTCACGAACCTCTTTCAAATACTGAATAAGCCGATACTCATCAACACTAGCCGAAATGGCCAAAAAATGCGTGAATAGAAGAAAATAAAGTAGGCTAGACATAGAAGTGATGACCCCCGAAGAAGGAGAACGCAAGACCCTTTTCGATTGAAACGAGGATTAGCAGTGATCCCCTGGGAGGCACACTTGACAAATAGTCCGTCTTTTTGGAATCGTGAATGAATCATGTATTATGATAAAAACAATTAATTATATTATGAACATTAATATTCAAAACCCGAAAATTATTGAGAAAAGTTGGAAATATTTTAAATCTGTCCATAGACAGCATATCCTGGTGTCAAGTCGTCATCTGGATAAATAACAGTACTTTGATATCGCGGGAACTCCTGAAATATCAACTATTATTACTATCAATTCACTCGGTTGTACGCTATACTTGTTGCTTCGAAAACTGCCGTCCCGCATAGTTATCCGCCGCATTCCAATAGAACTCCGAACTCATTCGGAAATAGTACTTAACAAGTTTGAACATGGCGAATACGCACGGAAGTAGGGAAACGCAGAGAAGGAGAGAAGAGAGTAGAAGAGATTGGACGGGCGCCAGGGACCGAGAGCACTGGTTCGTGTTGATAGAGTACGTTTCGATGAGACTCTTGTGATGGTTCGGTGGTACCATTCCATTCGCTTGCTGGTGTTGTAATTGTATTGTTGCACACAGCAACTCGTGAGAATGAGTGTAGAATAGTGTGAAACTAGAGAATATCAACAGACACGGCGACATGAAGAGAAGGATCGATGCATTCACTGAGACGACTCGTCCGATTTTGTTGGATACACTGCTTCGATTCATTGGATGGTCACTGTAGATGTAACATCCAGTGCCTGCGACTATCAAGAAGAACGTTGGCAAAATGACCAGGGCCAGAGCAAGAGCCACAAAACAGAATGTAAGTCGACAAATGAACACGAGGATTCTGGAATGGAGGCTGAGATAGGTCATGTTCGGATTGTATGTTAAAGCCCCGTCTGTTGTTTCGGAAGAAGAAGAGAGCAGTTGATCCAGGACGTCATCCTTCAAATCAGCATTGTTTTAAAAAAAGTTACACGTTTATGAATCTGAGTTTAGTTTTGCGTGACCCTTCAGAAACGTCAAAAATGAAATTAAATTTTAAAAAGTTAAATAAGTCCACATGCAAATTGCGAGAACTAACCGTTTTCACATCTTCAATCTGTTCCCAAGTGGTCTCTGGTAAAACTTGAGTTGTGGTTACTGTAGCTCTACTTGATTCAGTTGTTGTTTTCACGGGTTTTTGCTTCTTTGTGGTTACTGTAGTGGACGTTACAGTAGTCGTAGTTGTAGTCTGTGCTATTGTAGTAGGGGCTAGTGTCGTAGTTGTAGCATTTTCCGGTATTCTTGTCGTAATTGTGACAGGAATGAGTTCATTTTCCGCAGATTCTTTGTATTCCTTTGACTGAGAGGCATCTTCTGGTTCATAATCCGCTTCCACGAGCATTGTCTCTCCCGTAACCACCAACACATTTCCTCGGTTCTTCTCTTCCAATTCATTCGAAACTTCGTGTTCCGGTCCTTCTGTAGATTCATTGAAGTTGTCGTCTTCTGGATGTTGCTCTTGTTGAACAGGCTTTGGGAAGTTCTGAGGACAAAATAATTCGGATGAGTCTAATGAAATCAAACTCACAATTACAGTATCCACTTCTGCTTCATCTGTTTCTTCTTCAGGATTCATTTGACTCACAGCCTCTTTGTTTTTCACAATAAACTTGCCAGAAGATCCCGTAAACTGAACTTCTGCTAACGGTCTCAAAGGAATCTCAATTCGTTTTCGAAACGTTTGCGCAGGTTGTCTTCTCTGAACATACTCTCCGTTTTTTTTTCGCAATTTTCTTCCCTCACAATATGAATTCTTTTCAATTTGCTCATAAAAGTATTTGAAGTGTCGGAAACGTTCTCAAAATCTCCATGATAGTCATAGTTTACAAACAGTTCACTGATGGCGCTTCGAGATAGTCTCTGAAAATGGAAAAAAATCTCATCTCCATTCAAAACCTATCCAGTCACTACAATTGATGAATTCGAAAACTTTAAAGCAGGTTTTCGAGCATCCAGCTTCTCACTCCAAAATCCAGCTCCAGCCAGAACGAAGTAGGCGGAGGCAGAAGTCACAATAATCCAGGAAATGAAAAAGAGCATGAGGTAGATGGCATAGTTGGTGGAGTTGGATGGATATTCCTGATGGCATTTACATTTTCTCAGATGTTATAGAGTTACTGAATACTTGATACTTCTGTGAACCGCATTGTCCGCGCAGTCGACAGGTCAGGAAAATGACGGCAAATACGACAAGACCGAACGAACAGGCAATCAGTGAAAACAAGCTGGCGGCGAGCAACGGCTGACTTCCTATGTGCTCTTCAATTAGATCCGAATCGAAGAGATCTTTCTGAAGTTTAATAGTAAACCACTATGTGGCATTTTTGAAAAGAACAAAATGTTTTGTGATGTCAACGAAACCGGATAAACTTACTTCTGGATCAAATATGAAGGATCTCATTTTCGCAGAGTGAAATCGAAAATATTAGCAAGACGAATGCGTCATGATACAAATCTCTCAGCATGAAATTATTTCGTGAATAGGTCAGCGAACGGATAGTTTTTTCAATGTACGTAACGGCCTTTCCGTTCTAATCACGCGGAAGAAATCAGGGAATCGCCTCAGTTCACACACTCACTTACCGTATCCCAGAAATGGTGAAGTGTTCGTTCGGCGGCGTCCTGATTGTGACGAAGCGTGAGAGCGTTCAGAATATAGGTGGCCATTAGGACATATCGTCGACAGTTCTACAATAGCGGAATAAACTGTATGATGTGGCGCAGACACTTTACAATGCTTGAGCAGAGATAGATTGATAAGAGATAATGACCGGCTCATCGACAAACACAAGAGGATGGTGAGAAAGTGTTTGATATATTCCTCAAGCATCATTTACTTAAGATTAAAACCGGAAACGGAAAGGTTTAGTTAAGAATTGTCGTCACTGTAATTCACAGAAACGTCACAGCTTCACAGTAATGCAAGGTTTTCCGAAAAATAATTTTATTTAATTTTCGAAAATGTTCACGTGACTTTTTGAAACAGCAGCTGAATTCCAGGGATGTTACATGAACCATTAAATAAAATGAATTCAATTGATGTGATTCGTTTGAGTACTGTAGAAACACGACAGACTGAAAATAATTATCTTGCAACTACAGTAACCCGTACACAACTTATAAATGAAACAACTATAATGTGAAAACGGAAGTAAGTTACGTTGAATCTGATGGCATTTCGATCAGACAGCTCAGCCGACTGAAGGCTTCCGTTTTCTCGCCGGACTTGGTTTATTTGTTGGCTCTGGCCGCACGGGGAACCCCCACACCTGCAAACATGTCAATTTTGTGCCGAACGTCCGTGCATAATGTCCGGGTGCCCTCGGCTTCCAAAACTGGTCTATTTCCTTTTCCGTATCTTAAGAAATGTGTCGCGTAAATATTCGAGTCATGGCACCGTCGGCTTCAATCAAGTACACATCACGGCGAGATTTAATAATGATTGGACGTGAACTCTTTGTAGTTTTTATTATAATGAAATTTTTTATTTTTCATTAAAATCTCGAATGCCAAGTAACCGTCAGATTCGCTTTATTTTTTTCAGAAATTCTTTTCAGAATCCGACGTCTCTTCCTCCTCGTCTTCGCAACTGACGTCGGCTCTTGATACTGACAACGGCCCGGATTCTACGATTAGCATTTCGAACATACCGAGACAAAGTCGAAACAAGATTAGAAAACCGGAGAAAACCACGTCGACTATTGAAAAGCCAAAAAAGAAAAAGAGCAAAGAGACAGAAGAAGATATTGTCGATGACATCATCGAAAAAGCGTTTGACGTAACAATTGGAAAATCACAATATTCTCAGCTGAAGACTGTAGATTGGATAAGCAGAATCATCCAGAACGTCTCGAAAGCTCTTCTGAAACGAAACGAGAAGCGAAAATTCATAGTTCACTGCATCATTTCGTCGAAAACTAAAGATCTCTCGATTTGCTCGGCGAATATGTGCTCGTGGAATACTTCAAAAGATGGTATTGGTGCCGCAAAATTCTGTTAATCGCGCTCTGCCGCCCTAAACGTAAATTCAGTGCTACTGTAAATTGGTGAATCACTTCCGGATTTTCACGTGGGATCACGGTAGAGCGACATTACCAGAATACTGTATTTTCGAAATTTTCCATAAATTCTATATCATTTCAGTTGTTTACTACACGGAGTGGACTTCTAAAACGGTTTTTGGCTCCGCCTACGTGTTCTTTATAACTCATCGTTTCTCGGACTGAATTTAGTTAACTTGGTAAACTGATTTTATTATAAAGTCTAAAGCATGTTGCACAAGTGGACAAGTATTTAGTGTTTGAGCAAAATATGTGTAAAACAATATAAAGTTAAATACATTGGAATGTCTGCGTTAGTTTCTTACGACCGTACGATTCGCGTTTTGCCAATCTCATTTTCAAAATCTGCGGCGATCTGCGATTGAATCGGAGAGGCTAGAACCATTGTACTGGAGAGAGGAGTCGGTGGAGGTCCCCCGATGCCACCACTTCCTGGAATTTGTTACTAATTTGGATAAGAAAATTGCGAAAAGGGCTTTGTGAATACCGTTCGTCAAGCTGGAAGAAGTGACTTGTGACGGAGCCGCAGCCATTTGTCGACTGTTCTTCGTTCCGAACATGTGATAGTTTCCTGCCGGGTTCATTCCAATCTGACTCTCTCCGACCATCGACGCGTAATCATTCGTCATCGGGCTTTCACAATCGCGGCGTCTACGGAGCCACGTCTGATCATGTGCTACAGGACTCAGTGTAGTGGTCTCAAGACGATGTGGAGGAATTCCACGTGCTCGAGCCAGGCCATGAGGAGCAGGCGATCCAACGTAAGTGACTTCTGTGGTTGCATCCGCTCTCATTGTTCCTCCACTGGCTCCAGAAGTGTCGGTAGAGTTTCCACTGGTTAGAATACCATCTCCGAACACGTAGTAGCACTTCTCAGTGAACGTCAGCTTACTGACTACATGTCTTATGAGTCCAGCTGCCAGAAGTCGTGAAGCATACATTCTTGCATGCTTTTTAGTGTGAATATCCGTCATGTGCTCGATAAGCCAATCGATAAGATCACGACCTGGAATCTTTCACTTTCTGTTAAAGGAATGTCAGAGTTGCCGACCTATAAACGACATCGGTACTAGAATTTTCAGCCACTTTCTGTTTTTCACCACCAAGCCGGAATCAGATCGAGCCATAGTACGCACAACAACCATCGGATCCACGAATTCATTCAGCTGCTCAATTTTCTCGTTCTGTTCATTCTCTCTTCTGCGTTCGTTCTCCTCCAATAGCGCCCGGGGGATTCCATTGCGTCTCTGGTCGTAAAGAATTCGTTCCTGGAAGCGAATTTTTTAAGATTTCAGGCATTTTTCAGTGATAATTACTTCATCGTCACTCGCTGTAGACGTGAAAGGGAGAGTTCCGTCGTCGATTGTGGTTATCGTCTGCTCTTGAGGATCTAATCCCAGCGCTTTCATCTTTTCCGTGTTCTGCCTGAACCTTTTTTATAATAAGATTTTAAAAATGCACTTACACAGCGGTTTCTACCCAGACTCCAACATCGAGTGGCATTGTTTCGGAAGCCATCGATGCCAAAGGATCGTCATATTCGCTGGCTGCCGTTCTCGCGAATTTACTGATGTACAATGTAATAGGCCTGAAATCATGCGTTTTGTTCCAGATAACGGATTTTAAAAGTTACTTTTTCGAAGCAGCTGCATCTCTCAAAGCCCTGACAGCTTGTGGTCCGTTCAGCTCTTCGAAAGAAATTCGATTAACCTGGAGAATCTGATCGCCGACGTTCACACGGCCATCTCTTTCCACTGCTCCTTCAGGAGCAATTTCGGAAACAAAAATGTGTCCGTCTATGGTACAAACACTCAGACCAAGATACGGAACATTTTTCATCGACAACTTAATTTCCAGAATTCGTGGAAGACCGCTACCGACGCTTGATTCGGTCGCGGAACTGATTGTGCTCGGAACGTATGGTCTGCGAAACCTCTCTTTTTTCGGTTTCCTCTTCTGCCGTCTGTCATCATCGTAAATTTGATTCAAATCTCTTGCCGCTAGCGGTTCATAGAGTGATGAACTGTCCCCGGCTAGCCTAGTGCTTTCGTCGTAATGATATGGATCTTCTGAGGTCGAAGTGTACATTTCGGCAAGATGTTCTCCCGCTCTTTCTGAAAAGTAAAGTGTACACGTTTTGGTTCGTTTTGCAACTCTTTTGGTAAGAAATGCAGCTTTCATAAAACACTTTTTTGAACCAGAAGTAATTAGAGAAAAATCCTACTGCTGACAATGGTACTTGGAGCAAGACTAGCATCTGAGTATGGAACCGAATCAAAATCAGCACTCCTCCTTCTTCTCTGAAAAAGTAGCATTCCAGGCTTTTCCTTTATATTCTAGATATTTTTTCTCAAATACCTTGTCTAGCGCTTCTCTTCTTTGTGGCCTCGTCATAGTTCCACTGTTTCGAGGAAGAGTTCCATAGCCAGGAGTGCTGACCAAAAAAATTTCGTAAAAACCATTTTGTGATTTGCGTAGTCTATCGGAGTCGATCGTCAATTCAATCTTCACTTCACTAAAAACGAAAAAGACGTTTAACCAATCCTCCGACTAATTTTTCACCGTTGAATATCTGGATCGAGTTCTTTTCCGTAATATTTATAGCCCCGTTTCGTGAACGAATTTTTGAAGTTTCCAAGAGTTGCCACACCGTCTTTGGTGTCGATCACCGACACATACGGCGTAGTTTCATCGTCAAGATAATAAAATACCTAGACAACACATTTTTTGCAAGAATTGTAAAAATTTAAGAAACTCTAACTTTTATTTGACTGGAATCTGATGTACACGGTGGTTCCATATGCTGCAAAATTGCGATGAATAATCGATAAATAGAATTTGAGCACAAAACAGTTATAAAACACAATAAAATATTCCGAGTAGCAATTAAAAAGGCGATAATTTTTAACGGGCTAATAAATCTTGAAATTTGTTCACTAGTGCGCTCAAATGAGTATTTTTCCATTTCGGTGGGTCTCGCAACGATTGGCCACGCTCACTGCGCATACTACGGTGCGCGTTCAATTTCTACCCGAAATTTCCGAAGCTCGTTTGAATTCATTCTAAATTCAAAACTTCACGAGTTTCCAGAAAATTTTCTGATTCTCCAATCTTCAAATACTTGTACTAACATTTTATGCTACACTTACCAAAATTAATTCGGACACCTGCTCTAAAAACTCGAGAAAGTTCTATTAAGATGTGCTTGATATTCTATTCTTTTTGACAACTTTTCTCTTCATCTATAAACTGTTATTGTAATTTTTCAGGTAATGGCGTCTGCTGGAGAGTCTATCTTGGCTCTCACTGGAAAGAGAACCACTGGTCAGAGCATCAGATCGCAAAATGGTAATTTGAAAGAACTACTTTGGATGTTCCTTAAATTATTGCTTTAGTTACTGCTGCTGTTGCCATCGCCAACATTGTGAAGTCTTCTTTGGGTCCTGTTGGGCTCGATAAAATGCTCGTCGATGATGTTGGAGACGTTATTGTCACTAATGACGGTGCCACGATTCTCAAGCAGCTTGAGGTAGAGCACCCTGCTGGAAAAGTTCTCGTTGAGTTGGCACAACTTCAAGACGAAGAAGTTGGAGATGGAACGACTTCGGTTGTCATTATCGCCGCTGAGCTTCTTAAACGAGCCGATGAGCTCGTCAAACAAAAGGTTCACCCGACGACAATAATCAATGGGTACCGTCTGGCCTGCAAGGAAGCAGTTAAATACATTCACGAAAATGTTTCGTTCACCGCTGATTCCATTGGCAGGCAGGCTATTGTTAATGCTGCCAAGACTTCCATGAGCAGTAAAATCATCGGACCGTAAGTTTTCGTCTATTATGCTAGAGTCAAGTATAACATTTTTAGTGACGCCGATTTCTTCGGTGAGCTGGTTGTTGATGCTGCCGAGGCTGTGAGAGTTGAAAACAATGGAAAAGTGACTTATCCTATTAACGCTGTCAACGTGCTGAAGGCGCACGGAAAGAGTGCTAGAGAATCGGTTTTGGTCAAAGGATACGCTCTCAACTGCACCGTTGCCAGCCAAGCTATGCCATTGCGCGTGCAAAACGCTAAAATCGCCTGCCTCGATTTCTCGCTTCAAAAAGCCAAGATGCACCTCGGCATTTCGGTTGTCGTTGAAGATCCAGCAAAGCTCGAGGCTATCCGCCGCGAAGAATTTGATATCACGAAAAGACGCATCGATAAGATTCTGAAGGCCGGAGCTAACGTTGTTTTGACCACCGGAGGAATTGATGATCTCTGCCTCAAACAATTCGTGGAATCCGGAGCTATGGCTGTCCGAAGATGCAAGAAGTCTGATTTGAAGAGAATCGCAAAGGCGACTGGAGGTAAAGGAAAGCCTGAGAAAGCAAAGTAATCGCCGTATTTCAGCTACCTTGACCGTTTCTTTGGCTACTCTGGAAGGAGACGAGGCTTTCGATGCTTCCCTTCTCGGAAGTGCCGACGAAGTTGTACAGGAAAGAATCAGTGATGACGAGCTCATTCTCATCAAGGGACCGAAATCTCGCACGGCAAGCAGCATCATTCTTCGAGGAGCCAACGACGTCATGCTCGACGAAATGGAGCGCTCAGTTCACGATTCTCTTTGCGTCGTTCGTAGAGTTCTCGAGAGCAAGAAGCTTGTTGCCGGAGGAGGAGCCGTCGAGGCTGCTCTCAATCTTTTCCTGGAGACATTTGCTCAGACTTTGTCTTCCCGTGAACAGCTCGCCGTTGCCGAGTTTGCGACAGCTCTTCTTATCATTCCGAAGGTTCTCGCCAGTAACGCTGCTCGTGATTCCACTGACCTGGTCACCAAGCTTCGTGCGTATCATAATAAGGCTCAGCACATAGCTCAACTGCAGCATCTCAAATGGTAAACGAAATGAAATAATACTTTAAAAACGCTGCGGGTTTTGAAGGGCTGGTCTGGATCTCGAGAATGGAACCATTCGCGATAACAAAGAGGCTGGTGTTTTGGAACCAGCTTTGAGCAAGGTCAAATCCCTGAAGTTTGCGACTGAGGCTGCCATCACGATACTGCGTATCGATGATCTGATCAAGCTTGATAAGCAGGAGCCTGCCGGTGGAAATGATGATTGCCACGCCTGAATTTACTCCATAACCCGCTTTTTTTCCGTTTTTGTTCGTGTGCTTCTCACATAATATCGATCTGCCGTGCTCTCGTGCTCTCACATGAGCTCTTCTTCTCACCAGCTTTTGTTGTTTTCACTACACTTTATTGAATGGAATGTTGTAAGATTGTTTATATCATATTACAATTACAATGAAGAAGCTTGATTTGAAGCGTTCTAGGAATTTAGAGCATCACTTATCATCGTCACCCAGTGAGGAGAAGTTTTGGTTGCGGTGATCGTTACTGGCTCGACGACGGAGGCTGAGAGGAGGAAGACGGACACCGTTGGGAGTAGTGATGGTGCTGATGGGCTTCTCCTTGGAAGACCACATCGAACCGCGGAATATTCCACCAGACGACGTACTAGGACTTTCCACGGGCGGAGAGGAAGATGATGGTTCCGAGGCAGAGTGTTGTGGGAGACGGATGTGATTCTCCTGAACATGTGATTTTAATAATTTACGCGGAATTGAATAATATACCTCATAAGATACGCTTGTTGACTGATATGCAGAAGACTTTGTGGAAACGGGAACGAAACGAGCAGGCGGTGGGGCAGCACGCTCAGTCGGTGGCTGCAAACATTTTTCTTCCGCGAGAGTTTTTTTAACGGGGTTCTTGATTATGTCACTCTAATGCTAGCTACTATGTCAAACCAAAGTCAAGATTGATACGACATGATCTCCTAAAACCAACCTTTCTGCTAAAGATGCTGCGAATCCTTTCTCCGACAGACGAAAAGACCCCATGATCCTGTGGAGGCAACGTCAATTGGGGAGTTGTGGGTTCGGAAGAATCCACAGATTCCGATTCCACCGAGAAAGTTCTCTGAGACATTAGCCTCGAGTGAGCCGACCTGGATCGCTTAACCATCTTCAAGTACTCGTGGCCAGCTGTTGAGGCAGAATTTCCTCTGTTTGAAACTAGACTGTTAGAGATTTTTTCGCGACTGAGACGTTTCATGGAAAGACCATGGCCAGAAGCAGATGAGGACTGACGCACCAGCTGTAGGTTTTGGAAATGAGTAGTCTATGCGAAGTAAATGTACAAACTTCTTTGACATAACTCTCATCGAGATGTTCGACTGCTTTTTGGCCCAATGAAGACGTCACTTCCTCCTCGGTTGTCATCGTTTCGTACTTCTTATCGTTAGGAAGTCGAGGCTATAAAATGATTGAATCTAAAATCCCTGTTTCGGTTTTGCCTTACTCTGAGCTTCGCGTATTCTCTGGCAACTTTGGTGATCAACATTGCACACGTTTCACTTCCGGCACGCACGGCCATTTCGACGCAGTTCAGTCCTTCGTTGTTACGCATATCAATAACCTAAATGCTCATGATATATAACATTGAGACGATTCTATTAGCACTCATTTTCAAATGTCTCTCGCCAGTTACCGCGATAATGTGAAATCTGGTTAATAGTCCTATTCCACTACATTAATAATTGATCATCAGAGCGAAATCTTTTTATTCATATATACTAACCTGCCAGAGCTTTCCTCCGTTTATAGCCATTGTGAGAATTCCTTTGACCTGGAGAACACGATTCTCGGCTGCAGCCAGCATGAGTGCAGAGTTCCCGTGCTCATCTTGCCACGCAATGTCCATGAACGCCTGAAGTGTGGTCAGAATATCAGTAGAGGCTTAAAAAGGAATACCATAGTGACGAGAGAAGGATCATCAAAAGGGTCGTCTAGATTGAATTCAGCACCTTCGTTCTTGATTTCATCAACTATACGACTGACCAACTCTGAGTGATCCATTCTGAAAACAAGAAAAACGTAATAATGGGCATATAACTATAATGTATATGTGAGATATATCTTTATACATAAAGCGGGGAGAAGTTGGATGGTGATTGGCTCTACTGGTTAGTATCCATGACAACGAATCACAGAGGCAGCTCATAGCGGAGCACAACGTGATTTCGTTAGATAAACAACACCCAAGAGCAACTCCCTCTTCTGTCTCGAGATCTATCGGCGTACCTAAACGAATTTGGAGTTGAGGTTGGGTGATTGAGAAGTGAAAGAACGTATCCGTTTGATAAATCAAACAGATTGTTTGCCACGGGGTTCCAAAGACTAAACGGCCGAGCTCATTCAAGTTTTCCCGCCGTTTTTGCAATTGGGTGCTTAGCGACTCAGTCGCCTTTTTTCAATTGAAATTTAAATTTTGGCATGGCGCCAACCGCATCGCAGCGCACGCGACGCTGGTGATTCCTATGGAGCGCGTCTGCTAACTTATTCTTCGTGTATTTGCTGATAAACTCAATTTATCTCTATTGCCCCTCGGTGTTTGCAGACTCAAGCCAACATTTCTAAAATTAGGCTTGAGTACGCAAACACCGAAGGGCAAGAGCGGTAAATTGAGTATATGAGAATACGCAGAGGAATTGTCGTTTGGTGAAATACTAAAGAAACGTTTGATGAAATACTTGAGATGGATGACCAAATTTACGTTTAGAGAGTACGAGAAAGGGAATATTTATCAGAGATTTATAAAAATTCCTAAGACAGAAGATTAGTAATATCATAATAGTCATTGCTCATTGCAGCGAGAAGAGAGTTCAATGAACATTACTCATTGATGGGTGGATATAATGCGCCAAATGTGAAGTCCTTGTGCACCAATTAATATGATAGTGGATGCTGAAAAGCAATTGATTGGAATTCTACAGCATCTTCTGTTTAAATAGAAAGTAACCACTACAACTTTTTAATAGGAAGTAGATATTTATTAATACTTAAGTAATATGTAACGTGTTTACAATACTGACCGAAAAGAACTTGAAAGACTATTAATTTTGGTCCCACGCCATCTGATATCACGCCTGAAGAAGATCCACAAGATTGATAGTTTACAGTCTCCCTAGCCGTGTGGGACTTGTCAACTCTCTGAAAATATTCTCAGCTCCGATTGATATCGCATGATACTTCCTAACATCTCTGCGCTGCAATTCGGCTAGCTCTTCAATAATCATATCTTTGTTCGTTGTGTCGATTGAAACCCTACAAAAATTTTTAAAATTATTTTGAAGGTCTTGAGAAACCTTTCGAAAGCGAGATGCTCGCACAACGTTGTACTACCGGAGCAGCATGACCAAGGGAGAGTGAACAGACGTCTGAAACACTTTTGTAGACTTTTCGGTTCTACTGTATGCAACTAGCACGAAAAAATCATGTGCTGACAACGAATTTGAACGTGGCCTCAACAGTACTCTAGATGTCACGTACCGTGCTTCTTCAATGTACTCTTCGTTCAGAATTGTATAGTAATACCATGAGGACCAGGGAGAGGAGAACGGCAGAAGGGACTCATTCCATATCGTCTCTGTTGGAAGAGGAACTCCACAACATTGAGAATTCTGTTGCATTTTGTGAAGAGCATGGAAAATTGCAATTATGAAGCCACAAGATGATTAGCAATCACCTGTAATCTATTTTCAGAATTTGCTTGCAAAACTTCCAAAAAACTATTTTCGAAACTGGATTTATCTGTAGCTCCCTGTTGTTGCAATAAGACTGCGACTCCTGAAAACAGTGTTTATATTCGCATAAAGGATCGAATCTAGAATTTGCCTATAGAAACAATGAATATGACAATGAGGACGGTACCGGAGACGAGCATGCTTTTGACATTGTCTAAATCCAAAACTGAACCTTATAAATCGAAAAAAGCCTTACTTGTACGTGATAATGCTACAGTAACGAAACTAATCAAAAGAGACACAACGGTACAGATTAGGAGTGTGATGGCAAGTATTACGGTCGTGAAAGTGAGCAATTCACTGTAATTTCTAATAATTTCCCTGAAACAGGATACCTTTACCGTTTACGGAATATAGACTGAACAGCTACATAGCAGGAGAGAAAAGAGCAAATTTGAACGAGAATAAGTACGTTGATCAGGCATCTATGAGTTTTTGTACATTTTTCATTCAGATCTGTAAAGATAATGATGATTATGCGCTCAGAAGTTTTACATTCACCTTGTTGTGCCATCTTCACAATAATTCTGTTAAAGAAAACTAGAGAATTGATCAAAAAGTCACGTAAAAAACAAAGTACTAGGACTTCGCTCTTATGCTGTTTGTCTACAGTAACCTAATCGTGTTTCCTTCCAATGGGTATCACATTCTGCCGCGCATAGATCCAAACAAACACCTTTTCCTGCTGAACTACTCATCTTGTTCGTTTATCCTGTCGCTTCTCCAGAGAATGTCTCCATCATTGTCGTTAATTCGAAAAGACGCACAAAGTGGGTTAAATAGGTCGTCAAGTTGACAAATGTTTGCTTGCGCTTTTACCTGTCCCTCGCCTGGAAAGAAACAGAGTCTTACTTTCTCCGAAGAACGCGACACCTTCTTCTTTATCTTCTTCTTCTTCTCAGTTTTCTTTTTTTTTCTTTTTGTCTGATCTTCCTCGCTATCACTCAGGCGCCAACAATCATCCAGATATATTAGAAAGTATGTCAAAGAGATGTCTTCATGTGGAAACGAAGGGGACGCCCAATCACATTTGTCCTCGTTTTTCGATTGTTTAATTTTTGACCCCGTTAGCTGTTGGAATAGAAAGTTTCTGTCTGTATATCATGTACATCATGTCGTCACACTTGTTTCCCACCGAGAATCCAACGGATCGGAACGGAACGAACGTTCTCTTTGAAAGTGTACTTTGCGAAGATTACTGTAGGGGATAAGCTGTGCTTGCATTCACATCTTCAACGTATTACGTGATCACACGTGATCTCGACGGTCTTTTTAGGATTTAAACATTGTTCAAAATGACCTTTCGGGAGGGCAGTAGCTCAATCATATAGGGCACAAGAAAAAAGAAGTCCGTGTTTTTTCACAACAAAACTTCTCACTGCGTGAAGTCACGCGTAAATTGGAATTCCCGGATACAGTACCTGAACATCTTCTGCCTAAGCATCCGTATCCATTTTCTCCTTGTCGTCATCATTGCCGCCGCCCTTCATCATTCTCTTCCGTTTTTATATCCTTGTTTCTATTGCTACATCCCGAAATCTACATAAAATTCATTGAGGGGGCAGCTTCCGTTAAGTCGTTCCTTTTCCGAGATTCAGATTTCTATCTGATTCGAGAAAAGGATTTGCCCTCTATGCCAATTTTGCTTCGAAAAAATCATTGCGGCCTACATGCTTTATTATGAATTTCCTACAAGTTTTTTTTACATATTTTATAGTCGCTATCGTTAAAAACCGTCGCAAGATTGTTTCTCGCTTTCACATCCCCGAGTACTATTAACAGAAAAAGGCGTCGCCGCGCCGGATGGACCTAAAAGGGGGATAAATTCTTTTCTTCGCCTGTTCTCACCCAATCCAGTCACTCTCCCGAGACATGTATGTCAGACAATTGGCTGACTGGCGAGAGAAAGTGCAGCCACCTATTCCTCAAAAAACGTAGTAGGATTCTCTTTTCGGAGAAAAGAAAGGAAGGAACAAAAAGTAGGAGAAGAAAAGAAGTCGATACACACTCTTTTCCCGAGATGTCCGGTTATCTACCGTGTATTTCTTGTTCTACCCGTCAACTGCCTAACTAAGACTCCCTTCAACTTGTTCACTACTTCTTATTCGTCTTCTTTCTTTTTTATTTTGCCCCTTCCGCTATTATCCATTCGCTGTTAGATCCCTTAGAGTGTTGATCTTCCGACCACATCTATCATTCGTTATCAGGCATAACCCGCAAGTTCTGGATTCTACGTCTGCTTATTCAGTCCAACTTCTTCATGCTTCTTCTCAAGATCTAGTCACATATACACATCAAAATAACGATGAACTAATGGGTATTATTGACGAATTAATGAATCGCCAAAAGAAACTTGAATGAGCCGCACCTAGACACCGTTAAGCTAAATCTATTCTCCAGATTTTCCCGTTTATGACTCATTCGGAGTTTCATTATCCAGTTTTGGCAAGAGTTGCATTTCAGTAACTCGCGTTCCAATGATCTTGTTTTACTTACTGTAGTTCATAAAATACGTCACAAAATAACGTGAATTGTTATTAGAACATCACTTTTCTAAAGGAAAGTAAACATTTACGGCCAGATTACTGTAAACGTTTTGCAAGTATGTTTTTCTTCCTACGACTATCCACTTAAAAATAACCTTTTCTGAAAGTCTCTGTCATGGCCTCATTTCAATCCCAGTTTCGTGTTGTTGCGCATTGAACACTTCCCGATGTGCCTCCAAGTACTCTTATCCACTTGTCAAGTACCTACAAACTCATCCATAGCGCTCCCGATCCTCTGTCCGCATCCATGACCATTCCTCATTCGAACATGTTTTCTCTCTTGTATGTTATAAACTGGATAAGCTTGTCTCGTCCCCCGAATCGTCTTCTTCCATCCATGTTTCCTCAAGCCGAAACAGTGGGGCGTTGCCTCTTATCAGACCACGACTTTCCGTTTCCAAAATTTTTCTTTTTATTCGCATCCAGAGACCGTTCTTACCTAATTTTTGAAACTTTTATAGATGCGGCGGCATATTGCCATACTGCCAATTCTCCTTTTTTGGACTTTCTCTCAAGTAGAAGGTCTCAATTATAAATGCCATAATAATCAGGTAGGAACGTTTCGCTTAACTTTTTTTATCGTACTTTTTAGGTTCTCGTCGTTCAATCTTTCGGAAATGATACTATTAGAATGCACTGTCAAAGGTTGGACCTTTGTGGCTACCAACAGTTGAAGTGCGATTATGATGAACTTCAACCACAATGCGGTGGTAAACTCAACTTTGTAGCCCACGTGAATCAGAAAGGATCTACAGCCCCGTAAGTTACTCGCACAAACATTTCGACGACCTGAAGTTCGTGTAACATGGGCATTTTGAAAACTCGCAAAACGTGACGCATCTGGAAAACCGCTGTCAGTTCAGAGTCGAACACACTTGCTGTAACCTATTCAATCCACGAGGTCACCACTCAATTCCAACACACATCGGAAACGATTGTTTTATTTACGAGCTTCCGGATGGGTCATCAAACGGAAAAAAAGTGGACCCCGCGCCATCGGACGACGCGCCGTACGCTGTCCTCAAAGTATGTTCAGTGTATCTACAATATTCGTGGCATTTAGCATTTAGAATCCCGCCGAGATTCCCGAACAGTTCGATGGCGTGACTGGATATCGGCTTCGTCTTTTCCTTCTCAAAAATAAATCGCCACCCACACTTCTCGTCAAAGGAATCGAACGCCGCCTGTGAGTATCTGTCTAAGTGTCGTTTGCCTCTTCCCCCACCCCTCTTTCACTTTCCGCCGAAATTGTCGCTTTCAATCTCGGGTTCTTCCGTCTTATTCTCATTGGAATGTTGCAGTGACGGATACCGAGTGACTATATGTCGACCGAGATGCACTTCTTACGATAAAGTGGTCAGAGAACAGGAGGTCTGTGAAAAAAAACCAGTTCTGAAAGTTTGGTAAACTGTTACAGGGCGCAGAGGAGGGCGAATGGAAGGCAATCACCTGGAGCTCTTGGAGCTCATCCTCTTGGAGCACATGGGCGCGGCATGCGTTCAACAAGGCCGCTGCTGAAAGTGGAGGAGCGGACAGGATTCGTACGAGAATGCCGATCGGAGAGAAGTCTGGAGGATCAGGAAATAACATAAACATCAACGTCGAGTCGAACGGAAACAACAAAAATTCTTTTGGCGAAAGAAGTTCTTCCGAAAAATCGGAACTGAGAGGATCAGACGGAGAGTCTGAAGGGAAGGACAATGCCGGAGCAGTTGGAGAAGCTGGCGCGGGAGCGGGAGCCGGAGCCGGCACTCACGGAAACATCAACATTACCGTGCACACTGGAGAAGGGAAAACTGGAGGATCAGCAGTTGCCGTGGCTGGTGTCAATGTCACTGTCAATGGCAAGGATGATCAATCTGTCAAAGTTAAATCCGAAGCTGGAGGAAAAGGATCAATTACCCGTGGAAATGGCGTGGATTCTGAAGAGCCAGCAAATGTCGGAAATGAAAAAGCAAAAGGAAGCGGAAATGGGAAGGACAATGGAGATTCTGGAGATGATGGAAACGGGAACAACAAGAAGTCGGATAAGAAAAACGGCGGCGGTGAAGGCGATGGAACAGCAAGGAGCGGAGCTTCAGGAAAACTAAAAGGAGAATGGGACGACGGAGACGGAGATGAAGATGATGATCAGAATGGAAGCAAAGACAACAAAGGAGGCAAAAGAAACGGAGAAGGCAATGGAAATGGAACTATTTCCATCAAAATTCACTCTCCTGATGACAACGATTTGCTCGAAAAGGACGAACACGGAAATGGGAAGGACAAAGGGTCTCGATCTGGGGAAGCTGGTTCCAATGGAGGTGGTACTGAACAGAGCGGTAAAGCTGGCGCCGATCCTGATTCTGGAAATAGCTCTGGAAAAGATGGCGACGATGGCGAAGGAGCAAAGGTTTTCGGCGGCTCTTTGGGAAATGGGAACGGCAACGGAGCTACTGATGAAGGAACGAATGGAGATAGCAATGAGCCCAATGGATTAAGTGGTGGAACGTCTGGAAGAGAATCCAAAACGTCTGGAGATGAAGATTCAGATGGAAATAAAGACGGAAATGGAAATGGAGAAGGAAACGAAGGTGCAAGAGGTGCTGGAAAGAAAGGAAGCAACGACAAGTCAGGGAAAGGAAGAGGATCCAATTCAGATGGAAATAAAAACGGAAATGGAAATGGAGAAGGAGATGAGGGTGCAAGCGGTGCCGGAAAGAAAGGAAGCAACGACAAGTCAGGGAAAGGAAGAGGATCCGATAAGGACAAGAACGGAAAAGATAGTTCAAATGACTCAAATGGAAAAGGCTCGGACGGAAAGGACTCTAAGGGATCCGGCAATAAGAAAAGCGATAAAGATGCTGGTGACAAAAAATCTTCCGGAAATGAATCTGGAAATGCACCCGGAAAGAATTCTGGCAAAGATTCTGACAAAGGAAAAGGAGCTGGATTAGGAAAAATCAACGGAAATGGAACAGGAAAAATAATTGGCAAAAACAACGGAAAGTCTGGGAACGGTGATTCCAGTGGAGTAGGCAAAGGAAAAGGAGATATGACGATAGGAACGAAAGCTGCCGGTCTTGATTCTGCCTCTGGAAACGCTTCTGGAAAAGTTGGTGATCGTCCAACGCCAATAATCAACAAAAAGGAAGAACGACAAGGAATTGACGGAAAGAATTCGGATAACGGAAAAGGAAAGGGCAAGGCCGATCCTGATGAAGATGATGACGACGGCGTCGATGTGACAGATACTGAAGTTCGAACGAAATCGGTCACTATTCCTAAATTGGAAGAGCTTTTGGCTAAACTCCCGAACGAAGGCGGCGAAGATGGAGGAGAGAATGGTGCCAGTGTTTCTTCGCAAAGCAAGCCGTCCACTATTCCGTAAGTTATAATTCCGTTCGGACCGTAAAATGTTTCATTTTAAAAAATGTTCACGTGACTTTTACCTTCCTATCATAGGGACACCTCACAGAAATGGCGCTCTGTTCGCAATCTGACCGAATTTCTAGGCCGCGAAGTAATTTTCAACTGAAAACATGGTATAACTTTTCAAACTCGGCCCCGAGGTCACTCAATTTGCCCTGCAAAAAGAGCTTCTCAACAGAGCGCCATTTCTGTGCGGTGCTCCTATAATAACCACAATTGCAATTGCATAAATCGTGACTTAGAGGTCACGTGAAATGAAAACAGTATTGGTACTGTATAGAATCACTGTTTACAAATTGCTAATTTCAGAGAGACGGAAGAGGAGGCCGCCTTCAAAACAGGCGACAAAGTTCTGATCAAGCAGAATGCAGAGGCATCTGGATCCGCAGATACCAGTGGAACCAGTGGAACTTCCAGTGAAACGACTTCAGGAACTTCAGGATCTTCTGGAACGTCTTCTGGGTCGGCATCGACTGCTTCTGACTCCGGAACTACATCCGACTCCGGATCAGTCAACGCTGTTGCCGCAGATGACGCTGGAACTGGATCCGGAAGCGGTGGAAGTGGAAGATCCAACTGCTTCTCTGCAAACTCTCTTGTGACTACAGTAACCGGGCAGAAGAGGATGGACGAGCTGCAAGTGGGAGACTTTGTTCTAGTTCCATCTGCAGGAAACGTCTTGAAATACGAGCGCGTAGAGATGTTCTACCATCGAGAACCGCGGATACGAACGAGCTTTGTAGTGCTTTACACGAAGAGCGGAAAGAAACTTTCGTTGACCAGCAGGCACTTGCTGCCAGTGGCCAAATGCAGTCTTTTCCGGGAGTATGCTTCCGATCCCGATGGCATTGACGTGGCAATGAGGGAATCAAAGTACGCTGAGAAAGCAAGGAAGGGAGAATGTGTTTTGTCTGTGGATACGGTAACCGGACAAATAATAGCCGACGAAATTATCAGAGTGAGTTGATTAATAGAAAGCTCAATGTTGATCAAAGTACGTTTCAGATCGGCCGAATGACGAACGAAGGCATCTACTCGCCAATGACTGTTGAGGGAAGTCTGATCGTGGACGGCGTTCTTTCCTCGTGCTTCTCGCACCTCGAATCTCACTCCGCACACAAGCTCATTTTCGACTTCTTGTACTACGTTTACCACGCTTTCGGACTTCTAAACAGTGAGTACAAAATTTTAATATCAATCTTTGACGAGTATACATTTCAGCCAACCATGTCGAACTTCAACCAATTCCCACATTCGTAAGATTCGCTCAATATCTTTCAAAAACTGTGTTCCCATTCTCATAACTTATCATATCCACAATAATTTTTTAATAACTTAATTACAATATCTAGATGAGTCTCATGCATTCATAATTTATGAAGGAGGTCTTTCCAAGGTTGAGCGGGTACACAACTATTGTCATCCCAAAAAACCTAGTATTTATACCATAATAACAGATTTTTGTCCGAGTGAATGTCTTCCCCTGTTCCGAACATTTGTTTCCCACATACGTGTTTCATTTTTCCTAGGTTTGTTTTCTCGAATGAATTATTTCACTTTCTGTCTTATCACTACGAAAGATCGAGTGTATACAATATATTGGAACGGCGCACTTGTCAAGGACATTTGATCAAATCTTCTATAATGCGAACGCATAGTATTCTCTTCTTTTCACATCACCCAAGTCTTGTTCAATGTATCTCATACAATTTCCCATTTCTTATACAGTTCTTTTCCAGGATGTTGATCCCTCAAACATCCCAGGCTGTTTTGGTGTACTCGACCATCTTCTCAACTGTTACTTTCCTGGCGACTATAGTAGCATTGCCAATGTTCTTTATGAAAGTCCAGAGAGTAAACTCTCAAATGCTTACTCAACTTCACAATTGCCATGTAAGTGCGAAAGTCTGATGAAACTATGCACCTAACGTTTTACTATAGCAAGACACGACTGACATTTGGAAGCAGTTATCACAAAAGAAAGTCAGAGGGAGGAGGTCATACGGAAGAAACGTTCCAAATATTCCCAGCGGGAAATGTAAGCTATCAAAACCAGGATACTGAAGATCCCTGAAAATAGTCCTGTTATTTCAAAAAAAAGTAATTAATTTACAGGTTGTAGTTGTCAGCAAGGAAAGCCAGGCGCTATTGGGCTTAAAGGTTCAGACGGGACTCCAGGCCAGCCAGGTTTGATCGGGCTGAACGGACGCAATGGCAGAAATGGGATGTATGTGGCCTTCGAGTCTCACAACGAACCGGCATGCCAGAAGTGTCCAGTGGCTCCTCCAGGTCCGCCGGGGCATCCAGGAAGGAAAGGGCCACGAGGCGCAACAGGAAAAGCCGGGACCGCAGGAAATAACGGAATCCCTGGGCGAATGGGGCCGCCCGGTCCACCGGGAGTTCGTGGACCACCGGGAGATCTCGGAATGCAAGGACCAAATGGAGACCCTGGAAAAGTTCTGAATGGAGCTCCGCAAGGACCTCCAGGACGGCCCGGACGAGTTGGGGCACGTGGAAAGGCTGGATTTACTGGGAGGTATTGTATTCACGCTCATTAGTTATGTTCACGATCACATGATGCGCTCTGAATCCAGACAATGCCTTGTTTTTATTTGCTTTCGTTTTCGCTCGCTCTTTGTTTTCCTTTTCTCTGTCCGGTTGGGGGAGCTGCTCACTACAGCTGGGATGAGTCGTCGGTTAGAGCGCCTGCGACATACTATTTTCTTTTTATCATCCGTTTATGAACAAGACATGCGAAACCTGCTGCTCGTTTTGATCTGACGCTCGGAAGCGGCTCTACATTCTTTTTGGAAAGTTCACGTGTTTATTTCTTTTTTTTCCCGTCACAGCTTTTTCGTTTTAGAAATTGAAGTGGGACGGACAAAAAAAAAGAGTGAAAAAATGAAAAGTTTCCGTTAACTTTTCATTCTTATTTTTAAAATCTTGGGAGTATTTATTTCCGTTTATTTGTTTTTTTCTCTGTTTCTCAGTCCCCACCTTCATTTCTTAAACGAAAAATTGTGACGGAGAAATTAAGAATTGAAAACGTGAACTTTCAAACATTTCTGAGAATCAAACAAGCAGCAAGCCGCTTCTAAGCGTTAGCTCGGCCCGCGTAGCGGCCTTGGCAGCGAGCCAGGACTTGTAATTATATTAACGAGCCAGGACTTGTTAGGACTTGTTAGGACTTGTTAGTGAGCCAGGACTTGTTATTATATTAGTGAGCCAGGACTTGTTAGGACTTGTTAGCGAGCTAGGACAAAAGCTAAAATGATGATGTTGCAACATGTTGATGATGATTCTTTAAAAGATCGAGACTCCAGAAAGGTTACTGGAATTATTTTTATCGGCATATCAAGAGAGTATTGTTTAGATACTCAATACAGTAGTGATTTTGCAGAGACGGGCGTCCTGGCTTTGAAGGAACTCCGGGAACACGTGGAGTACAAGGAGAACGTGGAACTCGTGGAGCACGTGGACCGCCTGGACCACCGGGACCAGCAGGAGTGGACGGTCGGAAGGGATCGTGCGCTCACTGCACAACAGACTCTCAAGAAAAACCAAGCGGGCCACAATATCCTAGTATAGATGAAGTGAAGTCGACTCCTTCACCAACTCAAACAATCGGAAGTACGGAAGAATCTTATCAGAATCCTTCTCTAGTTTCACTTGATTCATCTTTCTCTTCTGCCATCCCAGTCTCAACACCAATTCAACAATCTCTCCAAGAGGTCATTCCCAAGACTATCAACTACGCCGACACTATCCATAAACCTTCTCACAAGCACGATGGCGATGTGACTGGAACAGAGGAGAACAGTGAAGTGGTTATACTGGCCGGACAGTATTCTGCTAGACAGTACGCTTCCAAGACGCTCGGAAAAGCTATTCCATTCGGTTATTCCAATGACCAACTCTCCGCATTCGCTCCAATGTCTCCTTCGGACAACTATGGAAGAGAGTTCCAGACCAACAAGGTATTTTACGTTTCCTTTTTTATGTATACAAGTACTAGAACTAAAAATTCAAACCTTACGCATGAACTTATTCCCATACACTTAATTCTTGGTCTAAACCGAGCATCAACCTCGTTATGACGTGAACTATTTTAGGGCTACAATGTTCAAATTATGGGATCAGAACCTACCTATGGTGCAGCACCAGTGGGTACCACGTGGCAACATCCTGACCGCCACGCTCAAGCCCCAAAGTTCCTGTCGCCTCCATTCACCGGAAACGCTTATGCATGAATCCTCCTCGGTTTCCACTATTCCAATTGCCATAGGAATTTCATTATGGATGTCGGCTATAATGAATTTTTTGTATGTGCTCAATTTCATCACTGACAAAGTGGTTATTTATGAAGATTAATAAAGTTAAAATATACATGTATATTCATCTCTACGAGGAAGCATAAATATCACAATTCAAATTACTGAATATAGTATCAGATGATCGACGTCAAACTGCTGTGGGTGGTGGCTGTAAGAACTGCCGATGATGCATGGGAGGCTCTGCGCACATTTCGTCTTCGAACTCTTCACACTGAGAATGGTTAAGAACGGAGTGTCGCGCCCAATTCACAGAGTAACGAGTTCTCTGGAAACGTGGGAATAAAAACTGTTCTTAGAACCTCAAAATTCTGTGAATGTCGCTCTACCGCAATCCCACGTGAAAACCAGAATTGAGCGGAAGAACTCAACGGAAGAACACGGAAGAATTTGTATCTTTTTTAGAAATTTTTTCATGAAATTTCACTGAAAACCCGGCGGCGTGCACAAACTTTTCTAATTTAGAACTGAGCTCACGTGGAGAGCGGTAGAGCGCAATTGCCAGATTTTAGCGGCAGCAATAAGAACAAATGGAGTACTTCTAACACTGCATGAGGTAAATTGTGCAAAGTTTCGACTTTACAGCAGTGAAAAATGATAACGACTGCAATTGAGAAAAGCAGGAGAAGAGAGCACATTGCGATTGCCAAAACAACAAGCAACGTTTCAGGAGAGAGAGTCATTCTGGAAAAGCATTGTTTAAACGAAAAATATTTTCTTTTCCGTTACATTAGTGGCAGCATACTCCAGAAAAGCCCAAAAAAATGCAATCCCGTACCAAAATCCAAAAATTTTACTGAAAAAATATGGGATTATCTGAAACGTTTTTACTTTTACTCTTTTACATGTCTCTATGCTTGGGGGGGCGTATTTCACGCTTCTATGACCACCACGTTCATCATCAGAATTTGGAGAGAAAAAGAACCCAGAGACAATAGAGCACGGGACTGAAAGTAACCATGTGTGCAGGGTGAGCTCTCGAGACTAAAAGAGGCAATCTTTCGGGAATTCTTGTCTACGAGAGTCTCGAGAACGAGAAATATTGAGACGTAACATTAAAAACAATAATTAATGCTTATTTAATGTTTTTAGGTTTAATGCTCTGGCAATTCGATATTAATCTAATTAGAAAGTTACTGATCTAAACGCGACATAATTAGATTGGACTGTTTTTTCTTGGCGCAATCGAGACTTGAGCCAGCAGACGGTTGGCGTGAAACTTGATTTGAGCACATATCAATCTAATTAGAAGATTTATTAATAGAGCTAGACAATTTATTAATCTAATTAGGTGTCATATCAATCTTATTAGGCCGTCGTATAACTCGAGTAGACTACGATTAGATTAACAACGCAATGCCAGAGTGGAAGCTGCTGTTATACGGCGGAGTAATAAGATTGATATGACACCTAATTAGATTAATAAATTGTCTAGCTAGATTAATAAATCTTCTAATTAGATTGATATGTGCTCAAATCAAGTTTCACGCCAACCGTCTGCTGGCTCAAATCTCGATTGCACCAAGAAAAAACAGTCCAATCTAATTAGGTCGCGTTTAGATCAGTAACTTTCTAATTATTATAGGGGCACCGCACAGAAATGGCGCTCTGTTGAGAAACTCTTTTTGCAGTGCAAATTGAGCGACCTCGGGGCCGAGTTTGAAAATTTAGGCCACGTTTTCAGTGGAAAATTACTTCGCGGCCTAGAAATTCGGCCAGATTGCGAACAGCGCGCCCTTTCTGTCCGGTGCCCCTATAATAGATTAATATCGAATTGCCAGAGTATGAATTTGTTACGTTATCACAAAGCAGCATCTAACAGTAAGATTGTAAGTCAGATCAATTCGAATCTAATAAGGTGATTTTAGTTTCTAACGCAACCTCTTTAGATTCACATTTTGTTTAAATAACGTTACTCTCTGCAGAGTTATAACATATAAATGTTATGAAGGGTAATTTTGAGACAAATACGATATCGTAAGAAAGTTTGCATCAACTTTTCAGTTGACGATTTTTTAACAAAACTTTTGGTTCTTGAGAAACAAACCACAGAATTTCACTTTTATTCTGTAGCCTGTATATAAATAACCAACCAGTATTTCAAAAAAATTTTTAACTGCAGTTGTAGCAAATATTCTTGCAATAAACTTCGTAGTTTATCGTTATTTATCAAAATCGTCCGTTTTCAAGTTACTCCCAATTCACCGCTCTTTCCCCCTTGGCGTTTGCGTACTCAAGCCTCCTCAGGTAAAATTTCAAACTTTTCTTGGCTCATCTGAAGACATTCTCAAACTTTCTCAAGACAAAAAACTTTTCCAAGACCTTTTCAAACTTTCTGAAGCACTAAAAACTTTTCTAAGCCTTTCTTAAACTTTTTCCAGAAATTCTCAGACTTTTTCCAGAAATTCTTAAACTTTTTCTTGCCGAAATTATTCCAAACTTTCTGAAACTTTTCTAAGCAATTCTCAAACTTTCTCAAGAAAAGTTTTGAAGAGGAATTCCTAGGCCACGAAGTTTTGGACTCCTCGTGGACAACATTGTTTTCTGCAAACTTTTTAGCATTTCCCCAATTGTTATAGTTGTATATAAGGGTTTTCGCATTTTTCGGTCTTGTTGAGCTCATAATTGAATTTTTTAATTTTTAAAAGTAGTCTTTAACGAATTAAGCGGCAAAATAAAGGAATATCCGTGAGAAATTGTAGAATAGGCCTAAAAAAACCATTTTTTTAACTAATTCAGATTTTTTCCGCGCTTTCTGCTTTTTTTACAATGAAGTAACTGAATCGGCACTGTTTTTTTAGTCGCTCTTTTTTCAAATATTTTTACTTTTCAACACCACACCACCTCGTCCGCGACAGTTTAGCAAAATGATTATCGTTTATAAAGTATACTTCCCTCAGATCTGAAACGTTTGTTCGTGTTTTTCTTCCATTTTTTTATTCTAAGTTTCTGAGTTTACTGCTACCAGAGTTGAGCAGAAGAACTCAACGGAAGAACAAGGAAGAAGTTTTTTTATCACTTGTAGTAAATTTTTTTGATCGAATGTGATCAACTGATAAAATGTATAGCAAAGTGAACTCTGATCATAAAAAAATAATTGTAAATTTAACTTTTTCATACAAAAAAAGGCTGTATTCGAGTTGTTCCGTGAAAAAAAGGGGGCTAACGGAAGACGGAAGGAAATTTACTGTTAAGCATCTCGTTGTATCGCTATTCGAAATTGGCCCTTTATTGACCGGAAAAAAGGAGAGTTCAGTGAAATCTCCTTTTCCGTTATAGTTTCGGCACTAGTATACGTTTCATTCCCAAGTACTCAGGCCTGGGCGAGTTACCGGTTTCACAGGAAAAAAACCAACGAAAAACACAAAAGGCGAAGAAGAGGCGATTATCAGGGCGCGCAATCATGGAAACCGGGGAAACGAAGCTCACATCTTGAATGGCCGAAAATTCAGGGAATTGTGAAAAGTAATGTATGGAACCATTGCAGACAACCTCTTCGAGGTGATTCGTATCGTTCCTGGGGAAGACGAGAAGTTTTCCAATAAATTCCGACAATTTTCTGAGCCGTCGTCAAACTTTTTCAAGATAATCTCAGACTTTTTCCAGAAATTCTTAAACTTTTCTAAGCCTTTTTCAAGAAATTCTCAGACTTTTTCCAGAAATTCTTAAACTTTTCTAAGCAATTCTCAAACTTTTCCAAGAATTTCTTAGGTGGCGCCTGGAAAAGTTTGAAAATAGCTAAGAAAAGTTTGAAATTTTACCTGACTAGGGAATGGCCTGCACTTACCTTGGGCTTTTGGAATGGGACCTATATGATTCGAAAGAGAATTTCACGGAGAATCCGAATCTGCTCTCCATTTTTGCTAAAGAGCACTGGCTGGCGAGAAAATCGCATCTGAAATTCCAGTGCTAAATTCATTTTTTAACATGTAATCTGCAGTTTGGTGCAGAGGGTGTGGGCGCCCGAGCGACTGTTGTTGTCACACGCCCAGTTTCAGTGCTTCCGCAGCAGCTGGATGGTCGAATGGTTAGTGAGTTAGAGTTGTGAGTGGTAGGTATGGGGTTCGTGTCCGCGCTATGGAAAAGTTTTTGGCAATCTTTTGCTCTTTTTTTTCGAACAATTTCTGGATATCACTTTTGCATTTTTTCGTCATTATTTTTTTAACGAGTCGTAACTACTGACCCTTCAAAGTCCCGAAAAATGAATCTCATCGCTCTGACCCCAGTACTCACTGTTTTCTGCCTGTTTCTGCCACATTTTCTAGCAAGTTCATCTTCGGCGACCTGTATCTCAAGAACCACGCGTCCGTTGCAGAAGTAGTCAACTAGTAAGTTAACGCAAATTATCTCGTGAATAACTTTGTAGTTGATGGTCTATTTTTAAAAAAATTAGTTTTTGAGTTATGAACTGTTTTCCTAGAGCGACAAGAGCTGGGGTCAGAGCGAGGATAACTCAAAAACTAATTTTTTTAAAAATAGACCATCAACTACAAAGTTATTCACGAGATAATTTGCGTTAACTTACTAGTTGACTACTTCTGCAACGGACGCGTGGTTCTTGAGATACAGGTCGCCGAAGATGAACTTGCTAGAAAATGTGGCAGAAACAGGCAGAAAACAGTGAGACACACGAGCGATGAGATTCATTTTTCGGGACTTTGAAGGGTCAGTAGTTACGACTCGTTAAAAAAATAATGACGAAAAAATGCAAAAGTGATATCCAGAAATTGTTCGAAAAAAAAGAGCAAAAGATTGCCAAAAACTTTTCCATAGCGCGGACACGAACCCCATACCTACCACTCACAACTCTAACTCACTAACCATTCGACCATCCAGCTGCTGCGGAAGCACTGAAACTGGGCGTGTGACAACAACAGTCGCTCGGGCGCCCACACCCTCTGCACCAAACTGCAGATTACATGTTAAAAAATGAATTTAGCACTGGAATTTCAGATGCGATTTTCTCGCCAGCCAGTGCTCTTTAGCAAAAATGGAGAGCAGATTCGGATTCTCCGTGAAATTCTCTTTCGAATCATATAGGTCCCATTCCAAAAGCCCAAGGTAAGTGCAGGCCATTCCCTAGTGAGTCATTTCAGAAATTTTGGCTTGAGTCTGCAAACACCGACGGAAATAGCGATGAATTGAGTTTAAAATTTAGAAACCGAATGCTTCTGAATACCCTTGCTTGGGAGATTACTCCAAATCTCAGCTGACAAATCATTTGTCGACCGTCACTCACCGTCGACAAACGTCGGATTTTTAAAAAAAAATTTTTAGCGTTTGGAATGTACGGTTCTGCAGTAATCCTGGAAAAGCAGGCTTGCAAAATTCCTATGAAGATATAAAAAACGCTCAACTACAATCTTAGTGAGCAGTAGAGTGACGTGTCGACACGAGAATCGAGGAAATGTCGGGTCGATTATCGAAGGGGATGATCGACAAAAGTAATGTCGATCAAAAAAAAATGCGCGGACTGTCGACAAGTGGTCTATCGACAACACTTGCCCACTTTACTTGTCGACAATAATTTGTCGACATTCCCGTGGCCTAGAAAACGTCACGTGTAGTCCGAGAGGAGAATAAATTATCATCATTTTTCGAAACATTTTTTCTGTGTTTATTACTTTTTTTGTACATATGATAATTGTTATAACTAGGGGGCGCCACAAAGGGGGCGTGGCCTGCCGAATTTTCTCTCCAGTTTCGCGCGCGCATGTTTGAGGACATGTACCGAGGTCCACAAATGAAGTACCATACCCAAAATGATTTACTTTATGTAATCGACCATGCTGAATCCAATGAACAACTCAGTTTCCCGTGAAAACGCACCGTTTTTCCAAAAAACGGCGAAAACGAAAATGGAACTCAGTCTGAGAGCTCGTGTGGCCGGTGTTTGTGCAACACGCGGCTAAGTTTTAGTTAGTTTACAGTTTAAGTGATGGGGAATCCGTTTTTGAAATAAAAATTAGATTTCGTCTTCTCCATGGCACAAAAAGTTGTGAAAAAAAAAGTAAAGTGGGCAAGTGTTGTCGATAGATCACTCGTCGACAGTCCGCGCATTTTTTGCTGATCGACATTACTTTTGTCGATATTGTCGGCATCAATTTCCTCGACTTTTGTCGACTTTTCGACAGACTCTCATGTCGACACGTCACTCTAGTGAGCAGATATATGTCTCCAACTTTGTAGTTTACCTTTCCTTGATGTCTTTACCGGTTGTGGAGTGAGCAATTATACAAAACCCCTACTTAGTTACTAAGTAAGTAAGTGGGTTTTTGCATGCAGCTCTTATTATAGGGGCACCGCACAGAAATGGCGCTCTGGCGAGAAACTCTTTTTGCAGTGCAAATTTAGCGACCTCGGGGCCGAGATTGAAAAGTTAGGCCACGTTTTCAGTAGAAAGCTCTTGCCTTACCGCTCTTGCCCCCTCGGTGTTTGCAGACTCCACGGAGTCGTGGCGGGGTACACTGGCGCAAGTGCGCTCTACTGAAATTTTCAAAAATTTTGCTTTGGCCTAATGCTTTAATATAGGGGCGCTACGCAATCGACCGTCGGCGGAAGTTCAAATTTTAGTTTTCGATGTACCCATGACGACCCCGTGAGACTCAAGCCTAATTTCTGGAAATTTTGGCTTGAGTCTGGGGCAATAGCGATAAATTGAGTTTATGTATGGATAGCCCTCCGGACAAAATGTTCTACATCGTTTCAAAATGTTTTACTTTTTTAGAATGTCTTTTTTTCATAATTTTTTCATCGCAATTTTTCAATTGCAATCTGAAAGCCCATTTCATTTCCCACATTTTCGTTTTTTTACCAAGTGTTTTATATTTAAAAAAAAGTAAAATTTTACTCAAAATTTGACAGAGACACGATTTTTTTTGGAAAAGTCCTATTTTTGCACCTTTTTGACAATATCTCGGCTGAAACGAAACATGGAGATGAACCCCCGAGTCTATTTCTACCCTTCATGGGACCTTTCAATCCCCCCTAGCAGAGTTGAGCGGAAATGGAATTTTGAAATCCGGAAGACGGCAGACGGAAGACGGAAGAAAATTTTTCTCACGGAAGACGGAAGACGGAAGAAAACTTTTTTCCCGGAAGACGGCAGACGGAATACGGAAAAAAAAGCGTCAATAATGAGCCTTTTTCTCCGGTTTTTTTTTTTGAAAAAATAACTAAAGCAACAAAAATTTTGGATCTGGGTCACTGCCCGTGGAAATTCGCGTTCTTCGGGACTAGTAAATGGCTTCTGAAAAGCTATTACTCTTTTACGGTAACTCTGGGAACTCGATCGCAATCTAATTAGAAAACTTTGCAATCTAATACGAACTCGTTTGAAATATAAATTGCTTCAATTGGATTGCAATCACAGCAATTTTTCTGATTAGATTGCAATGTTTTCTAATTAGATTGCAATTTTTTCTAATTGCAGACGGCAGACGGAACAAAAGACGGCAGACGGAACGGCAGACGGCAGACGGAACAAAAAATCCACGGAAGACGGAAGACGGCAGAATTCCGCTCAACACTGCCCCCTAGTCCCGACTCAAACCCCGTTATGCAGTTCGGGTACATTCCTTGTTAGAACATGCACTCACTGTGCCGTCAGCCCTATGGGGACGCGCAGCGTGCGCAGTTTCAAAGTCTTGTGAATGAATAAATAAACACAGGGACAGACTCCATCAGACTTTTATTGATATACTCAACTTACCGCTCTTGTCCAATCGGTGCTTGCGTACCCGGCCTTACTGATGAAAATCCGGTGAAAACTTGCACGAGTTTCATGTGCAATATTTTCACCGGAAAACAGGGAGAGAGAGAGAAAGAGAACAAAGAAATTACCAACTAGAATGAAGGCGAATAAAATTTCAAGACAAAAATAAACTTCTGGCGGAATTTCCGGCCGAGTGACGGCTTCTACGACTATAAATGGAGAGGGTGTCCACGAAATCGAGACCATCCATAACCTCCGGGGCGAAAGCTATCACGAAGTCTCCAGTCTGAAACATTATTCTATTATGGGGCTATTCAGGGGATGAAAAAATGATTGTTTTCCGTTTTTTTTCCTATTTCAGGTGTCAAAAAATTGAAAAAAAAAACGGAAAGAAATGCATCGCGCGCAGCGTTTTTTTCCGGCGGGTCTCGGCGGGTCTCTTTTTCATCCCCTGAATAGCCCCATAACAAAATTTTCGCATATGTCACGTCAACAAAAAACTTTCAATCATAACAATCACGCGAAATTCGTGAGTACTCGGAAGAACTAACTTCCGAGGAAAGTGCACTGAGTAGCCAAGTCATGCCTAATATTACGTGAATTATTTTATTAAAAGACTTTTGGAACCCGGGACCATTGTGCGGTCCGAGCTAACGCTCAGAAGCGGCTTTGTTTGCTTCTCATAACTGTTTGAAAGTTCACGTGCTCATTTCCTAATTTCTCCGTAACAACTGTTTCGTTTTAGAAACGAAAAAGTTGACCGCGACCTTTTCCAATTTAGCACTGAAATCACGTGGTGTACGGTAGAGCGCGATTGCAGTCAAATGCATCCCTAATAACTAACCGGTTTTTCATCTTCCTCCTGTCCACCAAGCATACCGAATCTGGCCAAAGCGTGCAGCTGACCAACTCCACAAACAAAACCCTGTTTCATGTTGAGAGATTGTGCCAATTGAAACATTCTTCCTGCCAACTGCTTTGCCTTCCCTACATGCCTTCCCATGTAATGAACACGGTCAATGAGCTCAGCAGCCACGATGTCTAGAGTTACAGTTACAAGAATGACTCCGACTGTAAGAAATAACACCATGTGGATCACGTTCATCTCGGGCTGCAATAAATGTTTTCTTTACTTCAGTCGGTGTTGGAAAAGTTACAGTAAGATCGCCAAAGCCAATTGTGAAAATGGACGTTAATGAAAAATAAACTGAATCCAAAAAGCTTATACTTGATGTGGAATATAGGACATAACCAATTATGAGAGGGTAGGCAAAGAGTAGACATACAAATATTGCAGCTGGAATAGCCATATTCTGAATGCACATTTTCATTTGTTTCATAGGGATCTGCCACTTACGTCACCAAACCAACGAGTAACCAAATGTGCTGCAAACTTTCCGGTATCTGCCATGGTCACCAAGGTCAGAGGAATTCCTAAAAGAGCATATGCCACCAGAGACAGTCTTCCATACGATGAAACGGGAAAAATATATCCATAACCTGAAATATGGGTTTTGTGAATTTGAATGAGCAGTTCAATGTACCAACGGGGATCACTGTAGTTGTTGTGAAAACCAGGGCTGAAGAAAAAGTCCACATGTCCTTAGGGCTCTCTGTACTTAGAAAGAAATGTTCAAATGCGTGGGCGTTGTGAGCATCTTCAAACAAGTTAAACAAATGTTCAGTATACGCCTCGATATTCCCTTCTAAATCTATGCCTACAAACGTGGCATTGCTCATGAACTGTCCTTTCAGCTTCGCGAACGCTATCAATGCTCTTTCTCGTCTTTTGAGCTCCTCTGGTCTTTCTATTGCTAGAAACATGTAAGCTCCTCCAACAGCGTACATGACACAACTCATAACGAGACCGGTGTGAAGAGCAAGTGGACCGAGGTGCTGAAATTTAGTTTCTTGACCAAACAGTACACGTCAAATGAACTTATTTGGTTCTGTTTTTACTTGTACTCAGCTCTGTACTCTGAATATTACGTCGCACTAACATGCTTTTGATTCTCGAATTTGATTTTGAGAATAATCTATTATAGGAGCACCGCACAGAAATGGCGCTCTGTTGAGACGCTCTTTTTGCAGGGCAAATTGAGCGACCTCGGGGCCGAGTTCGAAAAGTTATACCATGTTTTCAGTTGAAAATTACTTCGCGGCCTAGAAACTCGGTCAGATTGCGAACAGAGCGCCATTTCTGTGAGATGCCCCTATGATATTTTTATTATACAAAACTTTTTTAACCTGGGGCTAACGCTCGAAAGCGGCTTCGCCGTTTGTTTGATTATGAGAACCGTTCGAAAGTTCACGTGTTCCTGTCTCCATTTCTCCGTCACAACTGTTTTCGTTAGAAATGAACTTGGGGACGGACAAACGGAGAATTAAACAAAGTGACAAGCAAGCGACTTTTATGGGGTTATTCAGGCTGTGAAAAAAATGGTTTTTTTCCGTTTTTTTCGTTTTTTTACGTCAAAAAACCTAATTCAGCGGTGTAAAAAACGAAAAAAAAACGGAAAACAAACATACGCTGAATAGCCCCATTAGAACCTGAGCCCGCTTCGCGGTCCGAGCTTACAGACTTGTGAAAAAAATGAAAAAATGTGACAGTGACACGGTCTCCCACGGCGCGAATGATTTCAATGGGGCGCACTTGCAACAGGCGGGTTGTGTCGATTTACGCGGCGGCCGATTAATTAATTTTCAACGGGAGTTCGCGTTCTTTCCATGTTTTCTATACAATGCAGCTATTTTTGTGCACCTGGAACCTGGATCCGAATAATTAGAGCACTAGCTACGTTTTGGTAACAGAAATCTCACATATCGTTGAGAATTAGCCGAGTTATTTCGATTTGAAGGTTTTGGCCTGGATTTTGATGTTTTTAGAATAGTTTTCGAAAACTGCTCAAGAAAACTAACCGCCGGAGCCTAAATTTTGTGAAGAAAGATTCAGCGAACATTTTTATCGTTCGTTGGGCTCATGAAATGCAAGATGAGCTGAAATATAAAGGTTTGAAGTTTTGACGAAATGCGAAAAAGACGTTAAAAACATGAAAAACTCTAAATTCTGTAAAGAACGGTTTCCAATCGGTAAAATATTGTTTTCTAGACGTTTTTCAAGTCAAAAAGAAAGAAATAAAGGTCGTAAACTCGAATTGAACTGCATTTTCAGACCTGCAAATTTTCAAAAGTTACAACGACACTCCGCAACTTACGAGCGCACTGTGTTTAGCATTAGCGCCCTGGGAGACCGTGAGTGAAAAAGAAAAGCGCCAGAGAATTGCGAGTCAGTAATGATTTTCTTGGCGTACTAGACGCCGGCGATGGCGCCGAAGTTGAGCCGAATTGTCGGCGTACTAGACGCCGGCGATGGCGCCGAAGTTGAGCCGAATTGTCGCCGTCGCCGCCGACGCTTTTTTTCGATTTTGTGTGTCTCTCGATCTCTGGCATTTCGTTATTAATCTAATCGTAGTGTACTCGAGTTCAACGGCGGCCTAATAAGATTGATATGACACCTAATTAGATTAATAAATTGTCTATCTAGATTAATAAATCTTCTAATTAGATTGATATGTGCTCAAATCAAGTTTCACGCCAACTGTCTGCTGGCTCAAATCTCGATTGCGCCAAGAAATAACAGTCCAATCTAATTAGGTCGCGTTTAGATCAGTAACTTTCTAATTAGATTAATATCGAATTGCCAGAGAATTCTGAAAATGCGCCTGTGGCGAAGTTGAGCCGAATTGGCGCCGAGCGACGCCGCCGGCGCCGTTTCGGTTTTTGGAGCCGAATTTGCGCCGTTTTTTCCTGACAGTGCTTCTCATAACTGTTTGAAAGTTCACGTGTCCATTTCCTAATTTCTCCGTAACAACCTTCCCGTTTTAGAAACAAAAAAATTGCTGGACAAAGAAACAAAGAAACGAAGATAGAAAGAAAGAAAGAAAGAAATGGACACACCCCGTTATTTTCTCAATAAACAAGACTGATGATGATTTTTAATAATTAAAATTCAAAATTTTCATTGACGTGCGAGTTCGCTTGGTCTAAATTAATAAAGCTCACGTATTTTTCTACGAGACCCAGGTTTCCAGATCTTCCTGTAGCAATCTTTTTGTCTTTGTTGGTAGCGGATAGCATCTGCATAATAGGAGCTTCCATATTGCAGTTCAAATACACAAAAAGTGAAGAATGTTGAGAAGGAAATGAACGAAATGAAGGGTATATTAATGTTAAATATTCAGCAGATCTCATAAAATGTGGTGAGGGTCCAAACATAAAATACTAATTGGATGCCAAGAATTCAAAAGAATTTCACTCTTTTCTCTATTTTTGTTACCCTGACCCCCTCGCAAAAGAAAAAAATGGGCTGCAGAAATAAAATAAAAGCACAATGAAATAGAATACCTACTAAAACTTTCTTGCCATATTCCCAAAATTGCTTACGATTTCTCAGCATCTCCCCGTCTCTAATACACACTATGACTACTTTGAAATGCAACGCGTCTCATCTAGTTTCCGTCATGTAACCTATTATACCCATGGTTCTCGGAGACCACAAAAAATAAGTCTCTGACATGTTTATTTATTATAGTTTTTCGAGGGAGAGAGAAAAAGAGATCACAGACAAAGGTATTTACGCTGCTCTTACTTCGACTTTTTAGTTTTTTCCTCCATAAGTCTGATTGCTTCTGCAATGACCGGATCATTTTCTCCGGCGGTCGTTTCCTCTTTCCCCGTGCCATTCAACCTTTTTAGAAGTTTTTCTCGTCGTTTTCGGATCTGCAAACAGAGATTATTCACACCCACAAAACTCGAATATGCAAATGGATGCAGTGAATATCAGAACTCTCAGAATCAATTCGAATCTAATTAGAAAATTTTCGAATCTAAAGAGGTTGCGTTAGAAACTAAAATCATCTAATTATTTAGATTTGCAATTTGTCTAATAAGATGTGAAAACCAGTTTGCGAATCTAAATAGATTTACACTTTTGAACCCTGGGCCCGCTACGTGGAAAAAGCTGGCGCACGGAAAGCTCTTTTCGCGTAGCGGGCACATTCAAAGTCTTGCAGCCTCACATTTGTTCTATAGACGTGCTTCACATAATGTCGTATCACGAGCACGTCTTACTACTCAGAGAAAGCTAATTAGCTAACCCGAAAAATTTTACCTGCTTCTGTTTCTTCATCGACTGTTTCACTCTCCAATTGAACATGACAGCCACCAGTATCAATGGAATCACTATGGCCGCAATGGCTTCGAATGAATTGACCGGGCTTTGCGAAATCACGAAGTACAGTTTTTGAAATTGCTCCCGAAGCATGTTCCTTCCTGGAACTCCCGACACTATTTCCTTACGGTACTCTAGTATACGGGGGGTCAAAGTGAAAGTATATACAGTATATAATATACTGTCTTAACATATAACATACTGTCTTAACATAGGATTCATAAACAAAGAAATCACAATTCCTGCAAATAATATAGTTTATTCGTCAAATCGCGACTAGAAGAATATTATAATAATCACAGGAAAATGGTGAGATAGGTGGTTCGAAGAAGATACTGGTTGATAAAGCAAACAAGACGGGGCAATTGGTAGTGAGGCACTTGAACAACCCGTAAGAGTACAAAAATGCGGAACGGGCAATCTTTATCGACTACTCTGCGATACGGAAAGACGGCTAATGTCATCCCAGTTCATGTCTGACGGCAAACGTGCTCGTATTTCTCTTCTAGAATTTTTCAATATGGTCTTTAAATAGGCAAAAGATGCTTCTGTATACCGTTGATCATAGTCATCAATCGCGATATCGAAGATTGACGAGGCCAGATTCAACATGAGCGATCCGTAGAAACAAAATCGACGATCGGATGCCACGAAGCACTTCCACATGCTACATAGAATTAGTTCTCTCAAGATTCCTCTAAAGAGCAAATTTGGAAAAGGTTTACTTTGCTTCCGAATTATCTCCCTACTTGGTTCCATTCATCATTTCAACAAAACCCAGAACTGTCCTCCATGTCATCCAAAGATCGATGGAGACCTCTACGAACCCCCAAAAGCTCAAATTGAGTTTCGGAATTTTCCAGAAACGCCATGTTTTTAATGTCATTTGTTTTTGATATTTAGTTCTGAAATTTGTGCAGGTCAGCCATAAGAGAATTGTTGAATAAAAAACTTACTTGCATTGTACGCACATTAATTTCTGCACTGAATTCGCTTTTGTAAACCACATTTCTAGACATTGATTGTGCACCCACTAGAAACAGTATTTTTATTTCCTTATTAATAGCTGAAATCATTGAAACTGTGCCAACAGCATAGGATGAACTCAGCAAATTTTCATTTGTCGTACTTGTAATATTACTATTTTTAAGGAGATGAGCTTACATGGATCGTTCCTTTACAGCGACAAGGGTGAACAAATGTCAACTGACTATCATCTTCAGTCCCGAAGCAAAATTTGCAGATTTTCAGTGATGAATCATTCAATCCTTGCTGTGTTCCCATCATCGATTCCCTACAATAATCTGTCTGATTTGTTCTTCAGTGATTTTTCAAAAAGCGTCTTGAGAGCGCAGACGCGTCCTACAAAAGAAGAATGCAGCGCTTAGTGGCAGAGAACGACGAGACACCGTGTAAAACGCGGAGGTTAGTGTCGATTTACGCGCAACTGGCAGCGTGCCAAGCTAGTTTTCAACAACGTCGCGACGAGACCAATTGTCTATCGGCTCAGCCTAAATTTATATCGATTTTTCTCGGCAATGTATCGTTTTTTCCGTTTCCGTTCGAATTCAGCGTGGAACCCCATTTTTCTTATTCGAAAACTGTTTTCTGACATTTGTGCATTAATTTTTAAAAATTTCTGTCTCTTCTGATTTCATAAGCATTTCTCATTATTATTTCAAGTTTTTTTTCCCAGTTATCAGGAAGCACAGTTTGAATAGAATATTTTCTCAATAGAAAGTTTCCAACATTCTTTCCTTCTAATTGTCCTAAATATCTGTTCCACTTCTTTAACAAAAATTAAAAATTTGCAGTTTTCCTCAAACTAAAGGATTATGTCAAACGCTGTCAGTAGTAGGGGGCCTGGAAGAGGGAAGCCGAATCAAGGTAAGTTTTGAGAAAAAGTTCCGGATTCTAATCGCTTGAAGGTTATCTTATAGATCATAATGTAGCTCCATTGCCAGATCAGCAATTCGTGATGCCTGTGGTCGCTCAAGTCGGCCAGATGAGGTAAAACTGTGTTCAGAATCATCAAAAATTAAGAGTTGCAAATTTTTCAGCTATCGACCAATGCCTCCGACTCAGATGCAGTCGCAACAATTCACATCGTACGGAAATCCTCCACCGCCGTTCGTTCAGTCTGGACACTTTTATCAGCAGCAACAGCAACCTGCTCAACAGCAATCACAACAGCATCACCAGTCGCAATAGTACGTTATAGTAACAAACACTTTAAAGAATATTTCGTTTCAGCGGTTATCGATCTGATTACCATCCGGCAATGTACAATCAGTACTCGTATCAAGGTCCACCGCAAGGTTATCCCACAGAAGCTGTGAACTATCAGCCTCAGCATCAGATAACGCCTCAAAATCCACCTGTGGTTCCGGAACAACAAAGAAGAAAGAAGAATGTTCTTGCGATCGTTGATCCGACCACCAAAAAGGCAATCGAAGTGCCGCCTCTTACGACAGCAGCTGCGCCAGTTGTGCCTCCACCACCTCTTGCCTCCGAAGTTGCTGAAAAGAAAGAGCAGTTTAGTAAAGAATTCATGGACAAAGTCAAGCAAGGTTTTTTATGCCTCTGACCAGTTTCTGAATGTTTTTTCAGGATTGAAAGGAGATGCTGCACAAACTTCATCCGTTACAAAACCTGTTTCTTTGCCGAATTTCAGTGTTCCTCCACCGCAGTTTATTCCTCCTGTCAAAGAGCAGATCTCAGCCCAAGAATCAGTTACGGAAACGCCGGTCCAGCAAAATGACATAATTTCCAACGTGAAACCACCGACGAAGAATGACGTGTGAGTAGATGGACATTTTTAAAGGAGGCATCCGGGGAGAAAATTGAAAAATAATTTGACGCTGCAGAAATGTACCTTGACGTTGTTCGGTATCACCCCAAAACCACAGATTTTTACGATGTCTCTCCTGATTTTACTCAATTTTTCAGCAGCAACTTGCTGTTCGTCGACTTTTTCAATATTCCGAAACAAATAATGTTTTCTCCAGATTCACACGCTCAAAAATGTTTTCCCGCTGGGTATTCTAGGGATTCTTTCCATCGACCATTGGAAATGACCCAACTCGTCAAGAGCATTTTTTTGTTTTTAGTAATTTACCGTAATCTGTTTTTTGTCGACTTGAAGTATTTCTAGTGACCGGTGGAAAGACCCTCAGAATAAATGCGTGAATCTGGAGAAAACATGATTTGTTTAATTGTAAGGAAGTTGTCCGGTCGCCACACTCCATTTCTTCAACATTAATTTAATTTTGGAAGTCGTCGTTAGCTGATTTCATATCAGTCGACCGGTGACCGTTGGCGGAAACTTAAATTTTAATTTTCAATGTTCCCGTCACGACCCCGTGCGAACGCCGATCAAACTCACAAATAATCGGGTATCCGATTAGCTTTGAACGGGGTGGTCCCGTCTGGTGGTATCAAGGGGCGTATTCCATGGTACGATGCCCATTCCTTCTTTCCGTCAAATAGTTCCCAGTCCAGGTTATCTTCCTTGTGTCTTAGGTGGTACCTTTCGCCCACACACCTACTTTTCCGATACCTGACAAACGATAACTGAGTTCCCTCCAGGCCATGATGCTCGTTATGAGAATTGTGGATTGCCACACCTAGCATGGTAGTTTTCGCATTGCTGAAACTCCTAATAATGAAAATAATGAAAAATATATTTCAGATGTGCTACAAAGCAAGCCGAAGGAGCTGTTACCTCTGTCCCAGCACTGTTAGAGGATACATCTAAGAAGCCCAGCCTACTTGTGGAATCGCCTACTAATGGAGCCGCCGAAACTGCGGCTGGAACTGAAGAAAGAGCCACGATCGCCCTTCAAATGGAGGATTCTAAGGAAGAGATTGAAGATGATAAGTTCGATGAGAACGACAGTGAATGTGGGCCTTCTCCAACTCTCGAGGAGAATAGCGAGAATTCGATTGAAAAGAGTCCTGAAGAACTCGCAAAAGAGAAAGCTCAGAAAGAAGCCGAAGAGAAGGAGAAACAGAAGCTTCACGAGGAAGCGCTAGATCGACGTATCGAAGATCTCATTATATCTGGCGATGGTGATATTCCGAATGGAACCTACGGGCGTGACTTTATGGTTGCTGTGCGCGATTATGAGAAAGCCTTCTCTCATACCCCGTGTCCACTTACTCCACAGAAACTTTCTGAATTCGGGTTGGATATCAAGACAATGCGAATTACCGACAGTAAGAAGCTTCTTCACCCCTTCACCCCTAACTGGGTGCCAAATAATAAAACAGGAAACCGTCAGCCAAATGTGAGTTTTGAAATTCTGTTTTTAGAATTTCATTTTTTTTTCAGGCGTATCGTGGGAGAACCACCACTGACGGGACTGGACGGGGAGCTCAACCTCGTGAAAGAGGACAACACAACAAACGTCCGCCCACCGTCAGAGCCTCTATCGAAAGAGTCACGCGTGTAACTTTGGCATCGTCCAAAGATGCTTGGAAGCCAGAACGTCAGAAGAACAGTGATAACGTTCCAGAAGAAGAAGTAACTGTCAAGGTAAAACATGTTCATATTGAAGGAAGAATAACCCGTTTTTCAGGAAGTCTGCAAGAAGGTTCGATCGCTGATGAACAAGATCACACCAACTTCACAAATTCCTTTGACAAAGGAGTTTATTTCGTATAATGTTTCATCGGATGACTCTCAACTTGGTCAAGTTGTCAATATTGTTTTCGACAAAGCCGTCGAAGAGCCAAAGTTTTGTGCGTTGTATGCAGAGTTGTGTAGAGCACAAGTCGAATTCGAAATCAAGTCTTGCGGCGGAAAGTCTTTGTTCCGCAATAAAGTTCTTACAAGGACCCAGTCGACGTTCCAAACCAAAAGCGATGTTGACGAAGAGCGAATGGCAATCATTGAAAAAGAAGAGGATCCCGCCAAACGAGATATTTTGGCTGCTGAGGAACGACAGAAGTTTAGGAGACGAAAGTTCGGTGTGATGACCTTCATCGGTCATCTGTATCGAAATCAACTTTTGTCTACAAAGATTGTTCAAACATGCACATTCGAGCTTTTCGCATCTATTCTCCCGAAAAAACAAGACGATAAAGAACTTGAGCTGAGAAAGGAGGACGTTGACGAGGAATCAGTGCACTGTGCCCTCCAGTTGATCGAGACTGTTGGTCCACTGCTTGACAAATCGAAAGACACTAACACACTATTTTTGGATCAATGGTTCCAGAAATTGGAGGCTGCAAAGCCATATTGTTCTAACAAAATTCGGTTCATGATTATGAACTTGATTGAATTGAGAAGCAGCAAGTGGGTTCCAAGGAAATCAGTGGAGTCTGGACCGAAAAAAATTGATGAGATCCATAACGACATTCGCCAAGAAAAAATTGAAAACGAGAAAGCGAGAGATCAATATGATCGTGATCGTGATCGCCGTCACGGAGGCGGATCCGGCGGAGGCGTTCGGACCAATAGCAATTCTATGAGGAAACAAGGACCAGTTTCTCGGAACTCTATCGAGCGTCCAAAGGGACCTCAGCACCCAGAGCAGAAAAGAGCTGCAGCCGCAGCCAACACCAAACTTGCATCGTCTAGTAAGTTGTTTTTACGGTCCTGTCATGTAAATATTCTTTATTCAGATGTACAGCCGAAGAACATATCGTTGTCGTCGTCGATGAATGATTCGACGCTCGGCAAAAGCAAGAAAGAGTGGCTTACAGGAGCTTCTGGAGGCGGAAACACATCTGAGTCGCCAAAATCTGCCTGGGTGCGTCGTGATAGCAACGATCAGAGAAAGAAATCAATGGTCGATGAAAAGCAATCGGCTCTGGCTGCTGCTAAAGAGTTCGGTGCCTTGTCCATGTCTTCGCGACGATCTACTTCACAGAACTCGATCACTGACAAGGTTGACGAGGAACTGACAGAGGAAGACAAGGTCAGAAGAGAGAAGATCAAGAGTTCAGTACACAACGATATCAAGGAAGTAGTCGCCGGAGATCTCCCTCTGAAAGATCTCTCTATCAATGATTACGTCGGATTGGAAAGATATGCCAAGCCGTCTCTGAGTGCGGTCTACGAATTAGTCATCAGATCTGTCAGCGATAGAGGTTTCAAAGATGAGGAGAAGCTCGTGTTGGCGCACGTTCTCAGACTTTCGTTGACCGGAAAAGAAGAGAAGCAAGCTTTCATTGACGGGTAATTTAAAAAGTGATCCGAAGAAAAATTATTACTGTTCTTATTTAGAGTTACAAGGTTCTGCAAATTTGCTGTCGAGGCTGAACTTTGGCATGACTTCCCACAGGTCTGGACCACGACAGCTGAAGTTCTGGTGAACACGATGCACGTTCCACAAGAAGTCATCGGCGAAAAAGAAACTGAGCGCCTCGCATTAAATGAGATGGGGTCAATTTTCTTGACCGCGAAAATGGAAGGAAAGAAAAAGTTCGCACTATTCGTCAGTGTTTTAAAGCAGCTTGTTAGTTTCCTATGCTCTAGTCTCGTTTAAAATAAAATCATTCCAGGTAGAAATTGAAATGAAAGAGAACGGCGGTCAACCAGAAGCCCTATCATGGGACTTCCAGGATTTACCATACAAAGCTGAAATGGAGAAGGACGGACTGAGCAACGAGTTGGATGAAACGACAACGAAGTGCAATCAAAATTTGTTCGAACTTTTGAAATCTGAAACCTGATCAATGTTCCATTGCCATTGTTTTTTTAGTTATCAAAACAGTAGTGTTAGTGAAGGGCAAACAGTTTTGAAAAAAAATTAGGACGAGTTTTTGCTGATACGGTCTTAACATTTCAAGTTTTTCGTTCTTAACGTCCTTTGGGTATGATTTAGTGGTTTCAATATGGATTTTATTAATTTTTTGCTTCCCTCCCTTTTTTTCGAACGGTCATGTGATCCTGTCAACTGCCGTTCGTTACTGTTTTCTCAAGGGACTATTCAGATAATTTTTTCATTTTTCACGCGGAAAAACACCATATAGCGACTTAAAAACAATTATCTGAATAACCGCATTAGAAAAACGGAGACACTGACGAAAGGTCGGCTTGTTCACTCGCCCTGAAGTGGAAAAGTTTTTTCGATGTAACCTAGTGTTCGGATCGTTGTTGGAAATCCGTATACTCAATTTACCGCTCTTGCCCCCTCGGTGTTTGCAGACTCAAGCCTAATTTCAGGAAACTTTGGCTAGCGTCTGCAAACACCGAAGGGCAATAGCGATGAATTGAATTTAACTCGACTCGCAATTGTTCAAAATTGCAATCGAAATTGTTTTTCTCTGAATTTTAAAGCGTGTTTTTTCTTCATGAAGAGCTAACTACTTCATATAGTCCCATATCTTTTTCTGATGACACCCCCGTTTCTGTTACGGACCACTTATAAAATATCATGTTTTCATTCACCTCTCCCTGTTTCGAAACCCCGTTCTTCTAACTCTTTCATAGACTTTGTTGGTTTTTGTCTCTATTTGGTCCGTAAACATTTCTTCTAGTTCTTTGCGTTATGCATCGGATTGTTATCATTGCGCATGAAGATAGGGTTATGTCAAAGAGTCATCGAAATTTGTCGTTTGTTCGGAGGAAAGAAAGCAACGGTTTTTGCGCGTTAATTCGCTAATAATGGGACAATCTGACGCTTCTAACCGACTTTTGACTTTGAAAATGTCTCTTTGGATATTGTGTAAATCAGTGCCTTCTTTCTGAAATGTTTTTGTTTCAGATGATTTTTCATTTTTGATTTGATTTGAATTTCTAAAGAATCCGTGCATGCTTCTTTTCATCCCTGTTCTCTAACTTAATTTCTCGAATAAGCTGGGCATCGTATTTCATGCGAAATGTATATGGCGTATTTATTGGTTCCGAACTCGATTATCGCAGACTTCTGACACCTTTGAATAAATATTTAGGAATTTGACGGTGAATGAAATTCTATACAGAAACGAATGCTATAAACTAAGCACTGCTCTGTGGGGTTCATTTAGTATGGCGTACTAGCCAACTGTTGTGCTTTGGAAAATTTCCGACTTTTTGCAAGACTGCACGTGCTTTCCACAAACAAATTTTGAAATTTGCAGACCTGCGCGTTTGAATGCGCGTTTTACAAGTTTGACTTTGACCAACAGCGGAGCGCGAGCGCTAGGAAATCGCAGTTGTTTCATTTTTGTTCTCAGCTGGGTCAGTCCTTCTTTTTTCATTTTTTTTCCTTTGATGAACGGTACTCTTGCTTCTTTCACACTCGTGTATAGTGTCTTCGCGCGCGCACGTACAGTGAATAGGCAAAATAAAACTGCAGGCCTAAAACAAAAACTGGTCGTGGATGCGAAAGAATAGAAACGCAAACGCTGTCTTCAACCCTTCTACCTCCCTACAACGCTCGCTCGCTCGCGCGGATGTCCGTGAGTGTTGGTCTGAAGAGAGAATAAGAGACACAGACACAGATGGGTCCGGCCCTCTTCATCCATGCGTCCCGGAGGCAAATATCTAATTATGGCCTTTATGCTTTTTCGATTGATAAGGGGGTATTTGGATGCTTGTCAATCTGATTTTCTTAGTCGTTCCAGGTTTCATAAATTCTACTTTCTGTTTAAAAATATCAGCAACAAAGTACTCACATCGTTTATTTTCCTTTTTTGTAAAGATTGAACCCGTGCATGGAATCTGCAATTCAGAAATTCACGAAGTTCGGTTTTTGTTTCTTTATGAGCAATCTTGCCTCATGACACCCTGTTTTCCGGCATCTTCCAATCTTCCAAAATTTGTTTCAAAAACTTTAATAGCAAGAACCTGATTTTCATAGGACGGCATAACGCCGCGGAAGAGAATTTTATCATTGCAGAGATAGAAGCGAAAAGGCATTATAATATAGTAATTGGAATGATGATCGAGTGTATGTGTGTGTGTATTCCGATGTGAATATGTGAAGAAGAAGCCAGTCAGTTGAACGTCATTTGCTTGACGACGTTGAGATGATGACAGTACCTTTGCCTTTCCTAAGTTTTGTTTCGTCACTCTTCGATCTTGAGGTTATTCTTTCTCTACTACGACTGTTGTGTAGAATACAGAGCTGGCTTTCCTGCTGATCCTAATTTTAGAGTACACTACATTTTTTGCGTCGTCGCGAATCAATAGGATATATCTAGTACGCGTGATCTTTCCAGTCTTTGTAAAGAAACAAGATTTCGGGTTTAATTTTTCGATTTCGTAACGCGCATCTAGATGACGCACCAAGTTATGTAGACTGGCCGACATTGTCTCGAATACTATTCACATCTCGGGTTTCGTGTTTGCAGTGATCTCATCATTCCAGAAGCGGAGCTCACTTCTGAAGACCTTTCACAAGAAGTCACGTGAGTATCTTTGCGAAGTTCAGTAAGATAAAGTCTTTATCATTTATCACATTTATCATAAAGATCCTTGAAAAACACATAACCCAGGGATTCTAAAACCCTAATTGCTTGAAATCAATAAGATCCGCAGCGCCTTTTATTTGGAGTAAAAGAAAAATCGTGGCAGAATTACGTCATGTTTGCAGTGACTAAGCGCGCGAGAGGAAATATGCCTTGTAAATCTAGTAGTCGGGCACACATTGCACACGCAGCGGAAAGTGTTCCGCGGGTCTTCAGCAAGCGGAAAGAGCCGGTTGATTGCCCAGATTGAAACCCCAAAACATTGATTTTTACACCGCATGTATTGGCCTCGGCTGTTTCATTTATTTAGTTTCTAACTGATTGATCACACCGATTTCACCGATGACTCATCTATCATCTGACATAGGATCCAGATACCGCGTTCTAGTGTTTTTCTCCTAATTTTCTCGTCATTTTGTAATATCTTCGTTAGACAGACTTTGTTGGCGACATGGTCGTAACCGACTTACGCATATCCTTGTCATCACCTCGGAAATGAAAAATGACTGCACTTTTCTATGTGGCAAACCGGTCGATCATGTGCCGCCCAGGTCTGATCTCACATTCTCCTTTCATGTCTTGTCTCACTTTCGTTCTGCCGCTTCCTTAGGCCTTTTTCACAGATTCTCTTCCAGCGACTGTAACTGTGACTTTATTCAGGTTTTTGGATACCAGAAACAAGTGAAAATTATGGCCCAAAAGTCGGACTTATCGGTCGAGACGAATAATTCCGCGTCGGTGAAGCCGAATCCACCGTCCCCGAAGTCAAGACTTGCTATGTTGAAACGAACTAAAAAAGGTGAGGATTACTGTAGTTTGGTGATTTCCGCGAAATATCGAATATTGTGGCGTGTACTACTTCTCTCCCCGCTAATAGTTTCGTGATCCACCAAGCATAAAGTTTGACTTTTGTGTCTCTAACCTCTCATCTCGCCCTCCGATTCATATATCGATTTCTACGGAGTTGTGTGCTATAATAGACAGCAATAAAAATGAGTAAAGTGATCGGACGCTCATTCTCCAAATCTTTCAAACAAAAAAACTCTGGTTAGATCACAAACGTCGGAATGATGGATCTTTTCATTCGTCAATATTTTCAGCATCAAATGCAACCTCTGATCCGTTCCGATTCCAGAACAACGGAATATCCTATAAGGTAAATTTTATCAGCATCAAGATTTAAAGTTTTTTTCCAGGGCAAGCTGATTGGTGAACAAGACGTCGAGAAAGCCCGCGGTGATGCGATGTGTGCGGAAGCAATGAGGAACGCGAAGGTAAATATCATCCATTCACAGAAGCGTTTACGCCAGTTGAGCGATTTTTATTTCCACGTGACCTTGGGGCGAGAGAGGAACTTTCTTCACAGAAACATCAAGCTTCATGTGGAATGAAAGCAATTTCAAAGTTTTGGGCGACAAGAGAATAAAAACAATAATTGTTGAGACTACGCCGAGCCAGAACTGTCTCATATTAGAACTGTCCCGAATCAGTCCCCGTCACAACATTACTTTTTGTGACAAGAGATTTGGAACAGTTCTAATACGAGGCAGTTCTGATTCGAACAGTTCTGATTCGGGACACTTCTGATTCGAACAGTTCTGATTCGGGACACTTCTGGCTCTTCTGACCGTAGCCTCATAATTATGCTCTTTAGGGAATTGTAAAAGCGGCCGGAGCTCACAAAACGCGTATAACCCTTCAAATAAACATTGATGGAATCAAGCTGGTGGATGAAAAGAGCGGCGCTGTTCTTCACAACTTCCCTGTCTCAAGGATCTCTTTCATCGCGCGCGACTCTTCGGATGCTCGCGCTTTCGGTCTTGTCTATGGGGAACCTGGAGGAAAATACAAGTTTTATGGCATCAAAACTGCTCAGTCGGCTGATCAGGCTGTTCTGGCCATCAGAGATATGTTTCAAGTCGTTTTCGAAATGAAAAAGAAGCATATTGAACAAGTAAAGCAACAGCAGAACCAATCTATCGGAGCCGAGATGAATGTGAGCTTCAGAACGTCCATCTACGGTTTGCAATTGTTTGCTTTCAGCAGTCAAAGGAAAGTGGAGTTGCTGTTGCCGATCTGCTGGATTTGGAATCAGAATTGCAGCAAATCGAACAAGGTGTTCAGCAACTCTCTACAGTGCCCACAAACTTCGACGCTTTTGGAGCATCTCCATTCGGAGATCCGTTTGTAGATAGTTTCAATACAACTGCTACCTCTACCGGAACATCACTCAACATCTCGAACTTGTCGGCAAATCAGTCGGCACAGAGAAATTATCAGTTTTCCGCAGTTCAACATCCTGCACGAACTTATGCGTGGCCTACTGACAATGGATCCACAATGGCGGCTCCTACTATTCCATTCGATGCCTGGCGTCAAGTTTCACAAGGAATCGTGGCCACAACTCCGATGCATCACGCGCAAAGCACTCCTGCGTTCGGCTCCAATGGATTTTCAGACACCAACCCGTTTGCCGCTGCGTATGGTGGACATCCTACCCCAGCCACTGTCCCTGCTGCAACATTCCAAGATCCATTCATTGTTGGACTACGAGGATCAGTCGACTGGAACGGAACTTCTGCAACCACCAAGGAAAACACGGCTCCAACGGTTGCTACCCAATCGTTGCACCACGCGAGTACATTTGCCAACTTTGGCGACAAGTGGGTTTTTGTATAATATCGATAAACTGTGACCAAGAATCAGGTTTTTTAGAGTCGGTAGCTGGGAAGAAAAGAAGGTGTCTTCGCTGGAGGAAGCCTTCACGAAGCTCGTCGACATGGATGCGTTGGTCGGAGGTACTGCTGTCAAGGAAACCAAGAAAAATCCATTCGAACATATTTTGAACCCTCCGAAGGTGAGTAGACACTTCGGAAAACCTAGTCCTAGATATTTGAATTACAGGCATCTCTGAATTCGCTTTCTACAACTTGTTCTGCGGCTCAATTGGCTGCCACCCACCACGTTGTCCCTCAAACAGCGGATCCATTCGGTGATGACTTCTTCCGATAAATGACTCTTCGCCAAGAATATCCTGTGCCATAACCCTGTTCCTGCTCTGCAACATGTTGAATGAGTACCACCCCCTAGTTGTATTTTTTCCTTTTCACTTCAGTTCCAACTTCACCCCGCACTCTAGACCGGTGATTCTCACTTAAAAAACTATTGATCCAACCGTCTAATTTCATGTCTCCTTATTTAGCATTGCTAACGTCCTTGTCAACACCAACACATCCCCCACCCCCAAATATCTTTTTGGTCGAAATTAATTATTGATTCTGTGACATGGTTCCTTTAAATTCATACTCTCCCGCCTCTTATTGATTTCGGTTGCCTGCCAATAAACTGCTTCCTGTAAAACAAGCTCAAAAATAAATGTTACCAGGAGACCATTGTTTGTCCGAAACAGGACAGACTTTTCACACATCTTCCTTTCCATTCTTGTCTTTTGTTTCTGGCTCCTGTTTACACAGCGCTCTGCTCCTCTCACAGCTGTCCATTTAGATGATCGGTCCGTCCGTCTTGTTTGCGTCTATCCCTCAATCATTGTGCTGCCCGCTATGCTTTCAGCCGATATCATGAGGAATATTCTTATTAACAGTCTTCTCATCTCTTTCGCAGTTTCTCAATTGAACAGGGCCCCTACGACAGATGTTATAGATGTAAGTTTCTGTGTCCCGCATTTTGGAAAAATAACAATCCTATTGAAGAAAATTCTTGGAAGTGCAGAAACAAAGACGATAGCGCAAATTAACAAAGAGATAGATATGGTTAGTGTAATGTATTCGAATTGCTAAGTCACGTCGAAAAACTCAAGTCACGTCAAAGAACTGAATTGAATTTCCACGTGATCTTTCATCGTTTCTTCAGCATACGAAAAAAAGTTGCCGCATACTGTGATTCATGGAAAGTCGAGAAGTTTTTCTCTACAGTAATTCCACGTGAAATCCCGGCCGCGACTTTTTTCCTATTTAGCTCTGGATTCACGTGGAGAGCGGTAGAGCTCGATTGCCAGATTTTAGCGGCTGCAATATTATAGGGGCACCGCACAGAAATGGCGCTCTGTTGAGATTCTCCTTTTGCAATGCAAATTGAGCGACCTCGGTAGCCGAGTTTGAAAAGGTAGGCCACGTTTTCAGTGGAAAATTACTTCGCGGCCTAGAAATTCGGCCAGATTGCGAACAGCGCACCCTGCGCCCCGTCCGGCGCCCCTGTAATAAAAAACTCGCTTCCCGAGAATACTGTAATCGAAGAACTTTAAAGCTACTTTATCACGATTATCTTGCAGTTGGTAGATAAGTTGGACGAGACCACGAAACAAGAGCACAAAGCTTGGAAATTGAAAGTAGAACAAGACGAACGCGAAAGAAAATTGAGAATATTTGTTCGATTTAGCTACAATTATCAAGATGACTTTTGTAATTTCAGAAAGTTCTCCCGAGACTTTCAACTCGAACGCAGCAAAAACTCATCCGTATCGTGATGACTCAACAGAATCAGACACTATCAATTGGGGAGAAAGAGCGTATTTTGAGACACATTTCTATGTCTATGGACGGAACAATCAAAACAGAGCTAGCAAGATTTCTGAGCGACAAGGATTTATTTTCTCTTATTTATTAGTTCCTGGAATCGCTATTTAAAAAAATAATATACTCTCATATCAATAAAAAGTAACGGAGTCTGTCCAATGGACAGTGTCCATGTCTTTTTTGTTCCTAATCATCATTATCATTCCCATTTCTCCACTGAAATGATAGGCACTTGGACCCAACACACACAAATTTATGGCAAGGTATGGTATTACGGTAACAAGATAATAAGAAAAAGTTATGCTAACCATATTATGTGTATTAATCTCAATTTATCGCTCTTGCTTCCTCGGAATGTGAGTAAGCTCAAGCCAAATTTGAAGAAAAAACACCGAGAGTGCAAGAGAGATTGAATGTACTCTCAATTCACTGCTCTTGCCCCCTCGGTGTTTGCGTACTCAAGCCTAATTTCCGAAGTTTTGGCTTGAGTCTGCAAACACCGAGGGGCAAGAGCGGTGAGTTGAGTTTAGTTCAGGAAAATTATACCAGCTGATAGAATTGAGAAGATGCGTCACAGGGTAGTTGATGACCACGAATTGAGCTGAAATGAAGAACGATTTTAAAAAGTAAACAGAAGAAATAGGTTACATCACTATGTGGTAAAGAAATAGGTATCTAACAATAAATGACAGGTAGAAGAAGAAGAAGCGGTCTACACAAAGAGCACTTGGGCAGGTGAGTCGTTGCTTTCTTCCTCATTATCCTCTGATTTGATCGACATTCGGATTCGGGCTTCTGCATTCCTTCGGCTCAGACGCCGCAGAGTGTGATATGTTCGATAAACGAGCGCCGGCTCATGGGGAGCGGGGTCGAAATAGCAAAATGCAACTGAGCAAAACAAATGAATAAGTAAACATCTGTGGGATAACTTACTTATGACGACAATGACGTTAAGAATGAATGCAGCAAAAACGAAGAAAAGAGCAGAATCAATAGGTGAGGATGCTTGCAGAAACGTACCGCTATTCGCTATTTCGGACATGTAGATCTGAAATTCTAGGGAAACATTAGACACTGAAAAAATCAAATAACATCGCGGAAAACATGCCAATGTGAAGAAAAAAGCTAGCTGAGACTCACAAAAAATGTTATGAGGTCATTGCTCGGCATTTCACAGCAAAATTTAAGCAACTTCTAATTTAAAGTTTCCGGAAAGTTTGTGTAAACTATGCTTAAGATTTGCTTAAACTTGGTTTAAGATGTGTTAAAAAGTTTTTTTGATGAAAAGTTCGTTTAAAAGTTGATTAAAGTGCACAGGTGATTCGCGATCGGTCTATTGAGAACGTAGGTCTATAATATGCTTATCATGCCAATCGCGAAGAAAAATTGCCTACAATACGTCTATCGCTAAAATTCCCGAATACGCATATGATAGGCCGATCATAGGCCTATTTACTCTAAAAAGTGCTTGCGATAGGTCTATTGAGCATGAAATTATCGTGATCGGTCTATCATGCGCCTATTGAAGAACCCGCTCCGAGTTCTCAATAGACCCATTACGAATCACCTGTGTGTCTTTAAAGATTGACACACTTTCAGCAACGTTAAAGCAGACTCTAAGCAACGTTTAAGAACATGTTTTAGGAACAAAAGATTCACTGCATTGAAGGTGGAGGCAATAAATGAGTGGACCCAGGCGATAGACAAAGGGCTACTGTTGAAAAAGAAAATGTTCGACATTCGAATCAGAGTTGGCAGCGAGCCAAGGACACGCCCCCAAACAGCGTGCGGCAGTTGCAGTGAAAACTGTTTGGGTGGCGTGTCCTTGGCTCGCTGCCAACTCCGATTCGAATGTGGAACCTTTTTTTTTCAAAAGTACATGTAGATTTAGTTTATTTGGACTATTATAAGGGCACCGCACAGAAATGGCGCTCTGTTGAGAAACTCTTTTTGCAGTGCAAATTGAGCGACCTCGGGGCCGAGTTTGAAAAGTTAGGCCACGTTTTCACTGGAAAATTACTTCGCGGCCTAGAAATTCTGCTAGATTGCGAACAGCGCGCCCTTTCTATCCGGTGCCCTTATAATATGCAAAAGCTTACTCTCTCCCATTCTGTTTGGTATTTTTGTCAACGGCATTCCCAGCATCTTACCTCTTGGAGTTAAATGCAATAAATATGCTGATGATTCAAAGATATACACGTTGATAGGCAAGTCAGATGACAAAAAACTATTACAATGGGGTATTGACTCAATCCTCTATTGGTCTACTCAAGCCAAATTAGCTCTAAATGATGACAAAACACACTGTCTGACAATCCGTAACTGACCACGCATTCTAGACTACACCATCAATGGTAACCTCATCAGAAGGGAGAACAAAACAAGGGACCTTGGCTTTCTAGTCTCAGCTAAACTTGACTTCACCAAACATTGGCAAACAAGCATAAACAAGGCAAAATACATGATGTCTCAAATCTTCTATCAGTACAGTACATTAGCAAAAATAGCAGGCTCATGATGCTTTTGTACAAAATATTTGTCCGTCCGATAGGTGAATACGGAAAACCAAGTCCCATGGAACCACACGATACCAAAGCTAGAGAATCAGTCCAAAACGCATTCACCAGGCGTCTCTACAGTAGACAAAAATACCGTTATCTAAGGCCAGATGAAAAAGAGTATATTTACCCACCTATCGCCATTCCCCTTTTGACATCTCTATTTTCACGTACTATAACAGTCGTAATAAAATATTAAAAATAATAATAACAGTTTCAACAAAGTTTTACCAACTTCTAACTAAAAGTTGCTTAAGATATGCTTAAACTTTGCTAGCAAATGCCGAGTGACCAAGAAACAAAAATTTTATGAGTTTTTTTATGAGGACGACATACATGGAAGACATGGAAGAAGAAATTTGAAATTAAAAGTCATTTTCGCGGAGAGTAGACTTCTGGGAGAGTTTTTTTTGGTAGTAAATCGACGAAAAGGCAGTTTTTTGGCACTAGGAGAAAAGAGCGAAATTCTTTCCCGTATTCATTCTTTTTCGTGTTATTTGTCATAGCGTGTCCACGTCTCAATTATAGACTCGGCCAGGTCTTTATGGCCGATTGACCACGTTTGCTAAATAAATAAGCAGGAAAAGTTGGAGACAAGTGAGCCGAGCTGTTCAGAGAGGCAACTCCAAAATGCATTCTGGTTATCTGATAGTAAGAATGTCTTACTCTTGAACAAAGCTTTTAATTTCGAATAGAAACATAAGGTTCTAACAAGGATGTAATCAACATCAAGTGATATTTAGAAGAGGAATACGGGGAATATGAAAAAGTTATGAGGAGAAGGCAGACAGAAAGTTGGTGGGAAAGCGTGAAAAATGTTTTAATTTTTGATTGAGAGATAGAAAAAGAGGAAAAGAGAAAGAGGTACTCAACGCCTGAACGACACGTCTGGAAAAAGAGTCACATTAATACCTCGAATTACATTCTCAGTTGCCATCTAATTAGTGGATTCGATCTCGAGTTCTTATCAAGAATCTTCAAAACTGCCTTTCCTTGCACTACGATTGTGCCTGATAAGATAACTTTCTTTATAAACAAAACGATGGTCGATAACACTTCGTGTTCATTACTCTTCCTCTATTCTCTCATCGATCGATCATGCAAACCTTAGCCAGTATTTTTGAAAATGAAGAGAACATTTTCCTCAAAATGCCACATTTCTTCAAACCTCTGCAAGCGGTAAGAGCCTGACTACTGTAGTTTGTAAGCTTGATTACTGTAATTTCAGCTAAACTCAATAATACTCGCGGTTTGCGTTGGTTCTACAGCGTCAAGTGACAACGGAATTCTATGGTTCACTTTAGTTGCATCACTTATTGTAAGACGTTTCGCCAGAAAACAAGAATTATCGTTTCTAGATTTCCGCAGCTGCTACGGTCATATTTGCATTGAAAATAGAAGATGAACTGATGGAGAGTATCACAAACGGAAGTGTCGCCTGGAACCTTGTAGAACTAATTTACTCATTTATTCTAGCCGTTCTTTCTGTCATCTGTGTCTGGTTGTCGTTTTCCTTCGCAAACCGATCTCTTTTCGGCACTTCCGCCGGTTACATTGCTTCAGGAGTAAGTTACGCGAAGTTCCAAATGGGAGTCGATTAGCCGTCTATCATTTAGCTTTTCTTCATAATCCACACACTGATATATGCTATCCCCTGCACTGTGATCTACCGAGAAGTTCAAGCCAATGCTGATGCAGACCGGCAAAATATCGTCATCGAACCAGCTCATCCTTTCCGCACCAACGCATACCAAGACTTGTAAAATTCGTTTTTTTTTTGAAAATTCCAAGTTGTTCTGAAATACTAATGGCCTTCCTCGACGTCTTAAGGCGTATCTTTTTTTACAATGGCTATCGAATAAATTTTTTTTGAAATTTTTCAAATTGTCTGCCTGTCGAATCTTACTTTGTTCATCGGCTTCAATATTATCGTTGCCTTATTATAGGGGCACCGCACAGAAATGGCGCTCTGTTGAGAAACTCTTTTTGCAGTGCAAATTGAGCGACCTCGGGGCCGAGTTTGAAAAGTTAGGCCACATTTTCAGTGGAAAATTACTTCGCGGCCTAGAAATTCGGCCAGATTGCGAACAGCGCGCCCTTTCTGTCCGGTGCCCCAATAACACTCTGGCAATTCGATATTAATCTAATTAGAAAGTTACTGATCTAAACGCGACCTAATTAGATTGGACTGTTTTTTCTTGGCGCAATCGAGATTTGAGCCAGCAGACGGTTGGCGTGAAACTTGATTTGAGCACATATCAATCTAATTAGAAGATTTATTAATCTAGCTAGACAATTTATTAATCTAATTAGGTGTCATATCAATCTTATTAGGCCGCCGTTAGATTAATAACGAAATGCCAGAGTTATAGAACTGGGCAGAATAGAACTGCGACATAATAGAACTGCGACACAATAGAACTGCACGGAATAGAGCTGCGACAGAATAGAACTGTTTTTCGGTGGTGCGCATTAGCATTTTCATTTTAAATGTGAGAAATTGCCTATATTTCGATTCAATAATTCGATAGAAAGCTTCAAAAACGATTATTCTACAGAAAGACGCTCCAAGCAGTTCTATTGTGTTGCGGTTCTATTCTGCGCAGTTCTATTATGTCGCGGTTCTATTATGTTGTACCGCCGCGAAAGTATACTCAATCTACCACTTTTGCGCAAGAGCTGTAAACTGATCTTGCCCCCCTCGGTAGGGATGCAGAACAGGCGCCTACAATCACCTGTTTTGCATCCCTACCCCTCGGTGTTTGCGTACACAACCCTAATTTCATACATTTTGGCTTGAGTCTGCAAACACCGAGGAGCAATAATGATGAATTGAGTTCATAACATCGCAATTCTTTTTAAAAATGAATGTTCGAACTTTTTTTTCTGGGCCAGGAAAAGCCCGCAAACACTGCGACGCGAAATTGCACAGATGAACTGTCGGCCGGCCGGAAAATAAACATTTCTGATCCTGTTTAAATGAAAGCTATTTTTATGGCAAAGATCAACTTCGTTGAATTGCTTCTTTGCGATTTTTTTCGAGAACAAATGTATTTAATCTCACTCATTTCAATTTTCAGAAAAAGAAACTATGAGCGGTCGCAAAATCGCGGCTGCATCGGTGCAAAACCGTTCTCAAACTCCATTTTGGAACTGGTTGAAGCGTAAGTTTTTTGAAAATCATTTTTATTTTTTACTCTTATCGGGTTTGTCCCTTTGTTTATTTCTCTGTCTGTCCGTCCCCACGTTTTTCATTTCTAACAAAATTATTGTGACGGAGAAATTGAGGAATGAACACGTAAATTTTCAAACAGTTATGAAAAAGAAATAAGCGGCGAAGCCGCTTCCGACCGTTAGCTCGGACTGCGCTGCGGGGCCGGTTTCAAAAGTCTTGTCTAGTTAGAAAAAAATACATTTCAGAAAAGCTTCTTGCTTCTGATAGACTGCCGATCACCCCGCCCCCGGGGATTGCTGGAGAAGACGGGAAGGTACCGCTTGGTTTCGATTTTCACAATGAAATTCTTAGTATTCAGGCTGTTTACCAGAATCCTCTGAGATTCCCAAGCACTCAGTCTGCTCGTCCGGGATCAGCAGTTCTCCCGTCGCTCCCGGGAGGTGTTCATCACAAACTCGCCGATAACTACTATTTGACCAGGTATGTGTTTTCATCTACGGTTTGCATGTTTCCAGAGACATTTAGCCGAACGCCGAGAGTCTTAAAATTTGCTTTATATTTTATACCACTATCCTAATTTATCAGAATTTTACAAATGGTAATCGAAAGAACTTCCCTGGTAGTAGTTTGACCTTACAGAGATGGAAGAAGAACCGTTGATCCACCAGTCGTTTTGTATGCTGCTGGAGAAAGCGCCGCAGAATCTGGAAAGATTGTTCAAGTGAACCTGGGTCATTCTACCAATTTCGGGCTTCCTGCCCCCACTCCTGGTTTTGGATCTTCTTGGACCAGATCCAAAATTAACGAGTTGTCAAGTCAGCAGAACAACCCGGAGTTCGAATACCTTCAGCGTTTCGACAAATTCGCCAATAGCAACTAAGCTCTAGTGTTGATAATGAGAACGATGTGAACCATTCTATTTCAATAGTCAAAGTAAAAAATTTTAAAGGTTTTGCAATCTTTTTTTTAAATATAGGCTGATCAAACCTTGTTATTTTTTATTTTTTAGCTATGAACTTTTCGAGAGACATCGTATCACATCATTTTTGTTCACTAAAACAACATTAAGATGAAGATGCACATATTGAGAAGATTTTCTGGATGTGGCCTTAAAACTACGTCTAGAGCATACCATTTACTTCCTCAGGGTGCCCTACCTTATATCGGAGGTGAGTTCTTGATAATCGCATTGCGTCTATTTAGTGCCTCCCCAGGAAAATGGGAAGCTGTGAAATCAAGCAGCTTTTTCGAAGTTGTTAATCCTTATGATGGTCGAGTGATATCCAAAGTAGCCAACTGCACGATAGACGACGCTCAAAGGGTTCGGCTAAGTCTACAGCCGCAATTTGAAGTACCCAATTTTAAGGCAGTTGAAAGTGCGTTGGAAGGTCATAAGACGTGGGCTAACGATTACACTGCAAAGCAACGTGGCGCTGTTCTGCACGAATGGTTCAACATTCTTGGACAACGAGAGACGGAATTGGCCACTCTGCTCACCAGAGAGCAAGGGAAGCCGATCGCTGAAGCGCGTGGAGAAATTCAGTACTCTGCATCCTACTTCGACTGGTACGCTGGTGAAGCCAGGAGAATCTATGGGCAAGTTGTACCAGCCATTGCGAAAAACAGATTGCACTTGCACACGCGGGAACCGATTGGTGTTGTCGCTTTGATTTCTCCATGGAATTTTCCGACGGCCATGATTGCTCGAAAAGCAGCAGCAGCTCTAGCAGTTGGATGTTCAGTTGTTGTGAAGCCAGCCGAAGATACACCACTATCCGCCCTGGCACTAGCGCAGACTGCTGAAGAAGCAGGAGTTCCACCTGGAGTTTTCAATGTAATAACTGCAGATCGCACCCAAACTGCGGAGATTTCCAAATTTTTATGCGAATCAACAGATGTGTCGGCTATCAGTTTCACAGGAAGCACACCAGTTGGAAAGGTTGTTTATTCTTTCTGAACATTATCACTGCGAAGATTTCTGAATAACAGAGCTTTTAGGGGGGCATTTCCCCTTTCCGCGAGAAAGTTTGAGATTCTTACAACAATTAAATTCAATTCATCGCTTTTGCCCCTCGGTGTTTGCAGACGCAAGACAAAATTTCCTGAAATTAGGTTTGAGTCTGCAAACACCGAGGGGGCAAGAGCGGTAAATTGAGTATTGAATTCTAATGGGGCTATTCAGCGTATGTTTGTTTTCCGTTTTTTTTTTCTTTTTTTTACATCACTGAATTGGATTTTTTGACGAAAAAAAAACAAAAAAAACCATTTTTTTTCACAGCCTGAATAACCCCATAATAAGACAATCATGTAAACGGAGTTGCCTGAGTTTGCCGGCCTGGCCAGTCTGTCATCTCCAATGAAACCTAAAAATTTAATTCAAAGTTCAGTTGAATGAAAAACTAAATGACAAGAACTGCAAATTTACTTTCGGCGCAGAGATGGGCGCAGTGCCGGCAGAATAGAAATTTTTTCAAAAGTTATCGGCCGACCGGCTATCTGCGCCCATCCTTGTTTCGGCAGACGATGTTCTATTATAGGGGCACCGGACAGAAAGGGCGCGCTGTTCGCAATCTGGCCGAATTTCTAGGCCGCGAAGTAATTTTCCACTGAAAACGTGGCCTAACTTTTCAAACTCGGCCCCGAGGTCGCCCAATTCGCACAGCAAAAAGAGTTTCTCAACAGAGCGCCATTTCTGTGCGGTGCCCCTATAATACCAAGGTTTTTAAAGTACGGAAGTTATGATACTATCCATGGATAGTATCATGATAGTGATCACTGCTTTCAGTTACTTCTTGCTCAATCAGCATCAACTGTGAAACGTGTTTGTCTTGAGCTCGGCGGAAATGCTCCATTGATTGTGTTCGACGATGCTGACCTTGATACAGCTGTCAACGTAAGAAAATAAACACGACGCACTTTCAGCAAGTAACATACACTGAATGACTATCAGATTTTTGACTCCCAAACTTTTTTGACTGTACGAGAGAGTTGAGCGGAAGTAGAATTTGAAAGCCCGGAAGACGACAAACGGCAGAAATTTTTCTTGCGGAAGACGGCAGAAATTTTTCTTGCGGAAGACGGCAGAAATTTTTTTACGGAAGACGGCAGACGGAAGAAAAAGTGCACGGAAGACGGAATTCCGCTCAACACTGACTGTACGACAACGTTTTAGTCAAAAACTACATTGTTTTAATTGAGTCTCGAACTCCCGCCTTTTTTGCGTGGGCCGTTTGCTTGACGCCTTTCCGATGGAACACCAAAGGCCACTTGGCGACTTTCTCGTTTGGAACTCACTATCAGTGTGAATAGTCAAAACGTTTGTTGGTCAAAAATCTGGTAGTCATTCAGTATTTACCGAAAAGCAATATCATGTGCAGGGGAGAGCATCACGAAGTGGAACTGACCGGAATTGAACTGCTCCGAAATATAACTTCCCCGAAGATATTCTGTGGCAGTTCTATTCCGGTCAGTTCCATAATATTCTGTGGCAGTTTTATTCCTGTCAGTTTCATTTCGGGGCAGTTCCATTTCGGCTAGTTCCATTTCGGTCAGTTTCATTCCGGGCACAGTTCCATTTTGGGGCAGTTCTATTCCTGTCAGTTTCATTTCGGGATGCTCTCATACAGGGAACAATGGCAACCAAGTTTCGTTGTTCTGGGCAAACGTGTGTGTCAGCAAATCGGATTTTTGTCCACGAAAAAGTTCATGACGAGTACATTGCGAAATTAGCTGCATCAATGAAGGAAAAACTCGTTCTGGGAGATGGAGCAGACCCCAAAACAACACAAGGCCCTTTGATCAACCAAAAAGCCGTTGACAAGTGTGAACTTCTCCTGTCTGACGCTCTCGGCAAAGGTTCCGAACTGATCTCTGGTGGAACCAGAGGAGATCACGGAAGTTCTTATCAACCGACCTTGATAACTAATGTGAAGCCGAACACAAACATTGTAAATACTGAAATTTTTGGACCAATTGTTGCTGTTCAAAAGTACAATGATTATGATGAAGTTCTGGCCGCGGCTAACAACTGCCGTGTCGGGCTTGCTGGCTACATTTTCGGTAAAGACACCACACGTCTTCAACGTTTTTCTACAAAATTGGAAGTCGGAATGGTCGGCGTGAATGAAGGTTGTTTTTTGAATAAAAATTTCATATTCCGATTTATATCTTTAGGATTAATTAGCTGCGCTGAGGCTGCGTTCGGTGGTGTTAAAGAAAGTGGAATCGGGCGTGAAGGAGGAGCTCAAGGAATCGATGAGTTCACTCAGTGGAAGTATATCTGTACTCAATATTAAATGTTTCCCTACACAATTATCATAATTCTTTTTCAAAAAAGAATGGAGTCTACCCTCCATCACGGTCTCCTTTTAGAACGGAATTACTTTTGTTGTTGTTTTAGAGCAATGATTTTATTATTGATGATCTGTTCCCAACAGGCCGGGACACTGACTCGTAAATAATATTAGGACCTATTCCATTTAGTGATAGTAAAAGCGCCGTCTTCGAGAAGGATTTGACAGCTGTTCATGAATGTAGCTGAGTGTTTGGAGCATTTTCGTTTCACAATCATTCTGCCGTTTGACCAACCGACGAATGGCTTCTGTCTCTAGCTTCTTGACCGGAGAAGAGCTGATATAGTTGTCACAAGTTTCTACGGAAGCGCAGCAGTTCCGAACAATGTGACAGGCTTCTCTGATCGGCTCAAGCTTCGCACGGCATGTCAGATGATTAGCTTGGGAACGGGCATGGACACTAGAAATGAACTCGTCCACGAAAGCGGTGGACGGGATTTCGGTGTTGCACTGCTTTTCTTCGGCGTCAGTCACTGCAATTTTGTTGCGTCCGAGTTCAAGACATGCCTTACGGACTCCACGTTGGATCACGAACAACTGCTTCAGCTGAAATTTCACAGTTTCATATAATTAATTAGATATTATTGATTTTAACTTACGGTAGAATGAACAGACCGATCTAATGGACGGAGGCAAGCCTTCAACACGATCTCGTGGTGGGAAATTGAGCTATTGTGCAGAATGTTGAGGATCTCGCTATCGTCGATTCCGTGACTCAGCACGTCCGTCGAATACTTTTGGTCACACTGTTGTTCGTAGTCAATGACAGTTTGCCAGCAAGATGCGTATTGCTGACAATGCGTCTGCTCGGTGCGTGGGCGGATTCTTTTCACATTCTCGATGAGCTCGCTTCGATGTTCGAGAGTCGCTGCAGTAGCCGTTGTGGCAGCCGCCTCCGCTTCCTGTCCACTTCCTTCAACATCTTCGTTTACAGACACTGTGACAGTCAGGACATCATCAGAAGAGCTCAAAAGCTCTGGCTTCGATGTGGTTGTGCTCGAGATGGCCAACGTAGTCTCCGATGCGACTTCCTTTTTTTCACCAGATTCCTCTTTGTCAAGAACAGGCAGATCATCTGCGACGAGTGTAGTCTCCTCAGATTTCAAGGAGTCTTCGACCAAATTCTTGGATTTGACGGCCGAATCCTTAATTTCTGATTCTACAAGAAGAGCTCTTTCTTGCTCTTTGAGTAGGTGAGTCGCATCTGTTCTCAGTGGTTCAACCTTCTCCAAGTGAGATTCTTTTCTTGGTTCGGATAAAGCCTTCAGATCAGCTATGCTTTCTGTATTCACAGTTTTTTCGCTACTGATGGTTTCCGATGCAATCTTGACATCGGTTTTAATTTCCTCGTTCTCTGCAGCCGCCACATTTCTCGACGTTCTGTCAACAAACTTGGTATTCTTATCGCCTATTTGTTGATCATGCTCGAGAATTGTGAACACAGCTGGATTGTTCGATTCTCTGATGACATCAGTTTTCTTCATCTCTTCAAGCTCGGCCAGTTTCTCAATCTTATCAATATTCTCCGAAGGCTTCTCAGTCTCAGAACTTTTCTCCGACAGAGCCTCCGTAATCAGCTCCCTGAAAAAACATTGTTTTCTACATTAAAAAAACATTCTCACTTCAACTTGAACATCTTCGCAGAAAGTTTGTTGTCTAATTTCGGGGCTGAAGTGGTTTTGGTGTTGGCAAGATCAAACAGATCTGAGAACTTTCCCTCAGAGATCAGAGTAACGTATTTGGAGAGATCACGATCCGAAGCGTTCTTGATTAAGTTGCGTATCGTTTTCACGTTCATTTCGGAAGATTTATTCTCTGATAGCTGTGGTTCCTCAAAACTTTGAGCTGGAGCAGCGGTTGTCTCCGAAATCTCAGGTTTCTGAGTACTTGTCTTCTCATCGTCATTTTTCTGATTTTCAACAATAGAGTCCTCCGTCTGTTTCTCCGGCTCCAACATTTTCGATGATGTTCCGGTTACCACATCCTCGACAGGCATGATTGACTTTGCCTCTTGTTGACCGAACAAGTTTTCAGTGACGAGTTGTCTGATTTGAGTGTACTTCTTCAAGAATCTCTCCCTTCTCTGTGAAAGTGTCGATGTTGATGTCAACGCCAATCTGCGAGTGATTCTTGCCTCCGTGTAGGCATCTGGACGAAGGAATGGAACACCGGAATTACGGTATGGGTCCCTCAACGACTGGAGACGAGCTCCTTCTCGCAAGAAACGTGGATCGTTGACGACGACGCACGAGATCATACTGTAGACGATCTGCTCAGCCTTGACCCGTGCATTCTGATATGATAACGAGACTGCATTCATACGTTCTCCGCATCTTGTATGATCTGGGCAGCACTCCAGAAGACTCTCACAGTATTCTCGATCCTGTTTGAACTCGATCAGACACTGAAGCGCATCTCCTTTAGACGAGTTGCGGCTGACTGGTTGCACGTAGTCACAAGAATCGGTGAATGGCTCAACTCTTTTTGAGCTCTCTGGAAGTTTCTCAAAGCATTCTCTCGCATCTTCGTTCACAAGCATTTGTAGAGCTTCGAAGTCGACAGTTTCTTTCAATAGTCTATCTGAAATCGCATTCATGATACTCTCTTTACTATTAACTATTAGAATACCTTGGCACCCTACGAACTCAAGAGCCCGATATTTAACCAGATCTCGAATGTTTACATCCTTAGCTTCCAATGTAAGTGAAATGGCTGCACCTCCTGCACATTGTTTCAAGTTTGATTGGATCGCCTCGAGACAAGAGATGTAGTGGAAGCAGGAAGTCTAAGAAGGTGTAATTTCACAATGTGATTTTATTGTTAACGTAATTTTTCCTTCACAGGTAGAACTTGAAACACAACTGTACACTCGGCATTTTCTATTATAGGGGCACCGGATAGAAAGGGCGCGCGGTTCGCAATCTAGCAGAATTTCTAGGCCACGAAGTAATTTTCCACTGAAAACGTGGCCTAACTTTTCAAACTCGGCCCCGAGGTCGCTGAATTTGCACTGCAAAAAGAGTTTCTCAACAGAGCGCCATTTCTGTGCGGTGCCCTTATAATAGCAACGTTTAAGCACATCTTAAGCTTTTGCTCTTAAATGTTGCTTAGAGTCTGCTTTAACGTTGCTTAAAGTGTGCCCAACTTTGAACACACATTAGGCAACTTTTAAGTTAATTTCTCGGCAAAACAACTTTTAAACACATCTTAAATCAAGTTTAATCAAATCTTAAGTATAGTTAACACAAACTTTCCGGTATCTTTTAATTAGAAGTTTCTTAAATTGTGCTGCGAAGTGCCGACCACCCACAAAAATTCACATGAAATTAATGAAAACTTACTCGGTTGGTTTTGAATCCAAATACCGAAGAAACCAGAGAAAAGATGAGCAGGACGAATACCCGCATGCTGCAAAACAGAAAATGTGGATTTGCAGGTATCCCGGCAACTTTTAACTAAGGCTGAATGGGCGGTAAGGATCCTAATCTAGAGTGCGAATCTTCAGGAAGACTGGCTAAAACGTCTGAATACCACAGGAAAGCGGACACAATGAACAAGCGTATAATGAGCTTCAGGTACAAAAAACAAATGAGAGATGTGAGAAATAGATATTAGATCGGTCCTAATAAGGTTTATGCCAGAATGTTCATGGTCAGTTCAAGATTACACTTGCCCAATCCATCTCTCCAATGTCCCTTTTATATCGTGTACTGTTTATGCGGCTCGTTTTACACTATTTTTTGCAAGCAGTCCTCCTTCGCATCAGAAATCTTGTTTTGTTGTTTTTTTATTCTGCGAATCTACTGATAAGGTCCTAGCCATTCTCGTATAATCAAATGAACATGCCACTGGAACCGACCTGACCAGGTAAATTTGACAGACAGCAAAAAAAGTTGTCGCATGGTTGCATATCGGCAACCGGTTCCTGATTCTCGGACGAAGCTTGTCGTGTCGGACAAATAACAATGGAACGCTTTTAAAAAAGATGATAACATTTCCAAACATTTAAAAGTAAGTATAATGATTGCTCTTTGAAGTAACGGTGCGAAAAGATCAGAGAATGATTATTGTGTTTATATTTTCTAAACCAAGAGGTGGTACAATGACGATGTCGCAAAGTAAAAACTATAATCAAGTATTGGTATAAGAGAATTCCCTCATGTCAATGACATTACTGTGAAACAAGTAAACTGGTCGGTGTGGCGAAGCATCATGATCCACAGTACTAATAGTTTTTTTCCTAATAGAGGAAGAAGTATAGTGGATTGAAAGTATGAAACCATAATTAGTTTTTTCCAGTATGCTTGCTAATAGTACACGTTTTCTGACCGTCTTCTTCTTCTAGATTCAAAATGACCACTTTTGTTTTTCACGTTCCTAGTAGATCTTGTGTAATTCACTTCAGATGTACTTAATACACGCAGCACATTTTTTATAATTTTTAACAGTCCTCACCAATTTATAGCAATTTTAACAATCTCGGCAAAGGCGCGCTACTTTTGCGCAAACTTTTCGCAGCTTTTGCGCAAAGTTAGCGCAGCTTCTGCTAGCTAGTTGCGCAAAAGCTGCGTAAAGTCTGCGCAAAACCTGCCAGTTTTAAGAGTTTGCCCAAATGCAGCTTAGAAATTTTCAGTTTATTTCCACTTCATTTCTGCATGAAAAAACAATTTTATTGGGATAGTACTGTATTATATTACTGTATAAGATGTTACCAGGAAAGTCTGGTCTCTCTCTGAGAAACTGTGGCCAAAAAATTTTTTATTCCGCCACCGCTTTACGCCTTCCGCCTTTACAAAAAATCTATTCCGCTCAACTCTACTCTAAATGTATATTCAGTCTCATAGGATATCTGCATTGTTCTAGTTGTTGTAACGAGCAGGACCGGACGGTTGTCCGAAAATCCGTCGGCTATTCCCTGGTGGGCGCCAGAGTTGATCCGGAAGACGGCAGACGGAAGAAAAAATTTCCTACGGAAGACGGAAGACGGAAGAAAACTTTTTTCCCGGAAGACGGAACAAAAAAATCCACGCGATTCCATACTCTACCAGAGGAGGGCGATTTTAGAATTTAGGGGGGGGGGGCGGATTTTTTTATTCTGGTATTGGATTTTGACTGAAATTTCTTCTCGAAAATTTGAGTTTAATAAGATTTTTTTGAAGCATTTTCCTATATAGAGATATGGTTCTTTTAATCCGGGTCACCCGCACCAGAAGGTCAGTTTTTCCTCAGCTCGGATTTTTCCATTGCACTTCCACTTCACTGCAAGTTCAGCATTTCGTATAAAATACTATCAGTTGATCAAAAACTATTGTTTCCCAAACGTGCACGTGAACTGCGTGTCGTTGAGTAGGTGATCTGTCATCAATCTATGAGTGCGCGTCTATCACGTAAAAATCGTTCTCAATGATTATGTAGCCATACCGTAAAACTGGGCTGTTTGGCACGATTGACGATTGACCACCGGCACGGTCGGTCCGCGAAAAGTCTGAAATTCACTGATTTGTTGCATCAGATCTGGAGAAACTTCGATTTTCTATAAGTTGACAAGACTTTGAGTTTTATTTTTGGAAGCTGCTTCCCGCTTGTTGGATTTTCATAACCGTTAGAAAGTTCACATGTTCATTTCTCATTTTCTCCGTCACAACTATTTTCGTTTTAGAAATGAAACCGTACGGACAAACAAAGAAATTAACAAACGAACAAACAAAAGGGCATACCCCTCAAGACTTTTACTAAGTTATGATGATCGAAATCCTTTGGATCATTCGAGAGAGAACTTTGGATCATTCGAAGGAACTTAGACTGTTTCTGCCCAGGATCAAAAAACAGTTGCTTCCACGGATGATGATCTTTGTCGACGACACGGATACCTTCACAAAGAACAATCAGATCATGTTATTCACGTGAATTTCTGCCTATGAAACCCCGCCTCGCTTTTTGTATCACTGCCGCCCGTGTCTTCCAAGCCCAGTCAACAACTCATTCACTCATCACTTCTTCTTTCCGCCACCAAAAGAACCATGCAAAATAGCGATCTGTCTATGTTTCTTCATCCTCAGACTTCCTTAGCCAATCATAAGGTAACTGTTGTTATGGCCTGGTCTGTTTCGGAATATATTTTTTGCAGTTACCTTCTACTCAACAGAGCCAATTTCTGGCCCAAGTTTTGATTGAAACTCTTCAAAACTGGTGCATGCAATTGTTTTGGATGACCGTCTTCTGTGTCATGAATTGCTGCGGAGACGAAGAACAACCAAAAAGTCAAATGCGTTATTCTGCTCCTGCTGCAGAATATCAACCAAAAAATAGAATTGAAGATATTGAAAAGAAAGTACGTTTTTCCCATGCAAATATAAGGTATATAAAACATTATTTTGCAGATGCTCCGCCACCTAACTTCTCCCATGATTGCTGGACCACTTCGACCAGTTCGTACACTGAAGCGTCGAATCTCTTCAAAACCACCGAGCGCCCAACTTTTCGATATTATGGAAGAAGAGTGAACATTTCCTGTATGAACAGATATTCTTCCCAAATCATTTGGCCTGTATCTCATTTTTCTACGAGTGTACTTTGAATACGTGTATTTTCACTGATAAGAGCTGAAAGTTGTCCTCCTTGGAAGCTTATGATTCTTCAAAGCTGTCTCATTACTGTTCTCATAATGAAGTAGATTTCAACGAAAGTCGATAGTGATCGGCCCCACATTTTGTTCTGGGTCCCGTGCTTACAGCTCATGGCGGACCTGGATTATTTTGGTATGCTGAGACGATTTCTGAAGATATTTATGTTTTGTTAACACCGCGACCGGGTTCTCTGGTCGCTTTCAAGACAAACGGAGAAATAAACAGAAAAACAAACAAGCAAACAAACCTGCACGGGCCCGTGAAGAATTTTTGTTAATAAGAATGATGATCACTCGTTCGAAAGAGAAAAAAAAATTAATAACACCCCTCAGTGAACCGAATTGCTTACCGTACCACTGAGCGATTTGAAGTGAGGAAACAGCGGCGGAAAGCGGGTCGAACACACTTATGGGGCTATTCAGCGTATGTTTGTTTTCCGTTTTTTTTTTTTCGTTTTTTTACATCGCTGAATTGGATTTTTTGACGTAAAAAAACGAAAAAAACGGAAAACAATCATTTTTTTTCACAGCCTGAGTAACCCCATTACAACCGTGTTTCGCTACAGTGCCGCCGATGTTTCGCCAGAACTCCGCCAGAACACTGCGTTGTTTTTCGTATACGGCAGCCTAATAAGATTTATATGACACCTAATTAGATTAATAAATTGTCTATGGGGTTATTCATGAATTCAGGCTGTGAAAAAAATGATTTTTTTCCGTTTTTTTTCGTTTTTTTACGTCAAAAAACCCAATTCAGCGGTGTAAAAAAAACGGAAAACAAACATACGCTGAATAGCCCCACTACTGTCGAAAAAAAAGGTTCGACATTGGAAACGAAACTGGCAGCGTGCCAAGGCCCGGCCTCCCAAACGCATATGCTGCGCACGATTGTTGCAACATTGCCGCACGCTTTATTGTTCTTCGTCTTTGTCTTTATTTTTCGGCTAAAAATCAGCAGAAGTTTGGTTTCCCCCATTTTTTACCCGTATTTACTCATTTCAATGGTCTTTTGCTATAAAAAATCAACTTTGATAACAGATTTATCGATTTTTAGCTTGAATTTTCGAACATTTCTTGATTTTGTGTTTTTCTCCTTTCGATTTCGCTGAATTTGAGAACTTTCAGGTTTTCCACCTACGGAAAAGTCGAACAAGCAACAAAAGGGCATGGATTTCTTCTTTTCGTGTTAGTTTTTGACGTAACAATAATTTTCTCTTCGATCAACGTTTACAGACTCCACTCCTCCGCCGTCTTCTCCACTCCGCCGTCAGCACACAACGGTATACAAAAACCTGTCGTATTAGTTTGAAGAGGAACGAAAAAATAAATTTCTCTCCGACCGTTTTTTCAAAGTCCGTGGACGCTTCAATCCGGAAAAAAGGAGAAGAAAATTGAATATCACTGATAATAAAATTCTTACACTTGTCATGTCATTTAATTTATTGGAAAACGTAATAAATACATCTAAAATAATTGTTATTAGTGCCAATTCATCCAACGGGAGATGCTTCTTCAACTTTCCGTTGTGTGCTGACGGCGGAGGAGTGAAGTCTGTAAACGTTGATCGGGGAGAAAATTATTGTTACGTCAAAAACTAACACGAAAAGAAGAAATCCATGCCCTTTTGTTGCTTGTTCGACTTTTCCGTAGGTGGAAAACCTGAAAGTTCTCAAATTCAGTGAAATCGAAAGTAGAAAAACACAAAATCAAGAAATGTTCGAAAATTCAAGCTAGAAATCGATAAATCTGTTTTCAAAATTGATTTTTTATAGCAAAAGACGATTGAAATGAGTAAATACGGGTAAAAAATGGGGAAAACCAAATTTCTGCTGATTTTTAGCCGAAAAATAAAGACAAAGACGAAGAACAATAAAGCGTGCGGCAATGTTGCAACAATCAGCATATGCGTTTGGGAGGCCGGGCCTTGGCACGCTGCCAGCTTCGATTCCAATGTCGAACCTTTTTTTTCAACAGTAGCTAGATTAATAAATCTTCTAGAAAGATTAATAAGTGCTCAAATCAAGTTTCACGCCAGCCGTTTGTTGGCTCAAATCTCGATTGCGCCAAGAAAAAACAGCCGAATCTAATTAGGTCGCGTTTAGATCAGTAACTTTCTAATTAGATTAATATCGAATTGCCAGAGAGGGCTTTTGATTGGCCGGCCATTTGCCCAGCCCTGTAAAAAAACGGATTCCCCATCTCTTAAACTGTCGGAATCACATAAAAGTAGGCGCGTGTAGCCATAAATGTGGCCACACGGGCTCTCAGACTGACTTCCATTCTCGTTCTCGCCTTTTTTTAATGAGAAAATGGTGCGTTTTCGTGGGAAACGGAGTTGTTCGTTAGATTCATCATGGTCGATTACATAAAGTAAAACATTATGAGTATGGTAGATGGTCTGGGGACCTCGGTACAGGTCCTCAAACATGCGCGCGCGGAAATCAAGAGAAAATTCGTCAGGCCACGCCCCCTCCTTTGCGCTCCCTAGCTACGAGCCTATGAATTGAGTTTATAACGGAACAGTTCTATTTCAGTAGTTTTGTATTTCGCAACAGTGGCATTCCGAAACAGCTGATTTCCGAGTGAAGTTTCATTCCGAAACTCTTTTATTTAGTGACTACGTCTATTTCGAGACACTTTTATTTCGAGACAAAGTCTATTACGAAATCGCACCTATTTTTCAGAGTGCTCAAAATAAAAATTTGAAATAAAAAGTGTGAAGCGTGCGAAAATCGACTTAAAACTGCATTAGCTCACATTGCCGGTGCCCTTCTAATACAGTGCTTACGGTATACTGAAAACAACAGTTGCTATTCACTTCTTTAGACGAAACGAATATCATCATGGTTAATGACTGGAAAAGAGTCGTAAAATAAGGTACTTCTATTTAACACTCGCACGACAAATCACACAGTTTAGTTGTCTCTATTCGCGTGCGCGTGAGATAGTTATTAGCGTTACTTTACTTGCAAGCTTGAAAAGAGATACTAGCGTTACTTTACTTGAAAGAAAAATAGCTGCTGGATTCTAAAGAAAAATTCCAACAAATTTGTGAACAAAATCTTGTTCTACAACAGAATTCGAAATGGCAGGGAATAACAGGAGCAATTGGCATCAACAACGGCAGTCGCAACAAATAGGAGGTATTTCAGCTATTGCTTTCTGTTCAAACAATTTATTTACAGGTTTCCCGGATAACCCTCCGCACTCTTCAATGGACGGCCAATCATTTTCACTTTTGCAAATGAGAAGGAGCGGTCCGCACAGTGTTTCTACTCCATTTGCAGAAGCCCACTCACAGCAACAACATATGCCGCCGTACCTTTCTATGTATCAAAATGACTCATCTCATTCCAACTGTAAGTTATGCGGCTATTCAAAGGTTATTTTCAGTTTTTCCTTCACGTTTTCAATGTAGCTGCATTGAGAAAAGCAGACTTGTCGAAAATCAGTCGGGCCGATAGAATTTTTATCATCCTGTGCAAAAATATTTATGGAAAAATAATCGATTTTTCAGATTTTTTACTCGGGAAATTGCGAAAGTAACGATTTTTGAAGAAAAATTGACCAGAAATCATGTTCTGAAATTTAGTACTAAAACCCCCAGCGGTCAGGCCTACATCGGCCCGCGACAAGTCTGTAGGAAATTAACGTATACCTATACAAAACGGAAATAACACCCTCAGAATAATCCCCTTAGAATGAACCTATCTGAATAAATATTACAAAACACAGACATACTGGCACAACAGTCGCAGCGACCATTCATTTTTAATGCAAACGCTCATACATTCGTGCCGAGAAACGGTATGCAGCAATATTCATATCATCACGACGGATATAATATGCATTCACGCAATTATTACGATCAAGAGCAACCAGGAAATCAGTATCTATACCAGAACGTGAGAACCAATTTTTTTAGAAATACGATAGCTTTATCGAATCTGTGTACAGTCAGAAATTAAACTGAAGACGAATTTGCGCAAGAACCCGGTCATTTTTTGTTTTGAGAATTTACTCTATCTCATGATGAGATAATCCAATCCAGTGATTTTTGGAAGGATCGTAACCTTCCGTGTACACATGATCTAACTTCTTCGCGGACAATTATTTAAATATGCGTTAATAGCGCTGAACAAATGTGCCAACAGTTGTGTCCCGCTTCCTCGATCAATATTGATGATAGAGAGCACAACAGTAAGCGATGGTTGAGCGTAATACTACAGGAAAAACGTGCAACCGCCGAAATGTGTTCTCCGCGAAAGCTGTTTCTCTGCGTCTATTCTGCCGTCTGTCTATCGTCTCTGACTTTCAATACATTGTCTCTACACTATTCTTATTCGTCAAACTATGCGAACTCTTTATAATTCTGGGATTTTCAAAATTACACCCGATTTAATATTTTTCTAGAAAAACGACCACTAAACTACGAATTAGTATTTTACAGTCTAAAAACAATTTTTTATCTGCTTGATTGAATGATAGACAGAAAAACATTCATGAGATAATTTTCTTTCCCAAAAACTTTCAATCAGGGATGGCATTTTATCTTTATGCAATACTCTAAACCTGTGCCCGCTGCGCGGTCCGAGCTAACGCTCGGAAGCGGCTCGGCCGCTTTTTTGCTTCGCAAAACCGTTAGAAAGTTCATGTGTCCATTCCTTACTTTCTCCGTCACTACTATTATGACGGCATTTATCTGCAATCGCGCTCTACCGAAATCCCACGTGAAAACCCGGTCGCGGCCGCGACCTTTTCCAATTTAGCATTGAATTCGGCGCTACAACGGCGGTCCAACATAATAGAACTGCGCAGAATAGAACCGCGACACAATAGAACTTCGACATAATAGAACTGCGCAGAATAGAACCGCGACACAATAGAACCGGCGACAATATAACTGTTTGGAGCGCTTTTTAAACCTTTCTGTAGAATAATTGCTTCGTAGAAAAAGATAATTTTTGAATCTCGTGATCGATTTATTGCATTCATTAATTTCACTTCCTTCGTGATCCCTCTTCTCTACGGTAACGAAAACCCACAGAAAATAATTTTATTGTACTATCAAAAACGAAAAGAAACCAATTTTCTTGGTATAAACTGTGGTCTTCTGCTTAATTGTTCGAGAGACGAAAAATTTTGCGAAAGTTAATTGAAAGGAACGGACAAAATGCTTATATAAATTCACAAAAACAGTTCTATTATGTCGCGGTTCTATTGTGTCGCGGTTCTATTCTGCGCAGTTCTATTATGTCGAAGTTCTATTGTGTCGCGGTTCTATTCTGCGCAGTTCTATTATGCCCAGTTTTATTATGTTGGACCGCCGCTACTGCGGATTAGAATTTGAACGGAATAGAACTGTTACGAAATATAACTCCCAACGCTAAAAAACAACTAGGAGTTCTATTTCGTTACAGCTCTAATCCGTTGTAGCGGTTTGAAAGTGGTGTTTTTTTTCCGAATTCTCGTTAAAAGTGTACTTTAATTTTAACAACATTTCTTCAGTTCGGTCCTACTGTTCCGCCAGCCGTTTCTCTCTACAACTCCATGTATTCCCAAGACGATGCGGTAATGCAAAATACGGATCGTATTTAGCGTTTTTTTAAAAAATTATACTTAAGTGTATTGATGCGTTTGCTCAATTCGGGCAACAATCGCAGCAGTATATGCCGTCTACTGAACTATCCAATCAAATGCAACACAGTAGAAGTTCATCACTTCTCAATGAGGTAAATTAGTTAACTTATATTGAGCCGCTCAATTTGAGCGTTAAAGGAGGTATAATTTTATGCGTGCAGAGCGGACTTGCTGTGAAAAACCCCCAATAATACTACGGAAGTTACGCACTCTGAATTTTTTTCAGATATTAGTTGGTTGCGAACAATTGCTTTCTGAGGGAAATGAAGACTCATCTACTTGGATTTCTGCTATCAGACAAAGATTCGAAAATCAACAGATGGACGAAGAGTCAAAAAAAGTCGGCGTAAAGTTAATTGTTGAGATGGTGAGTAGGAAGCTGTTTTACCATGGTACTGCAGTAAAAATATCTAGACAGTCTTATCAGGCTCATTCGATGGAACCCAATCAGTTCCGTGGGACTGATCCGCAATACACATTCTCAACACTTCTGAAAACGTTGGCTGATGAGGTTTGAATTGTGCCAACCTCAAGTAGTTACTTTCTATTTTTCAGGTGAAAGATTTCATGAGAAAAGCCATCCTTCCTGTGCTTTCCGAGTTCCACGAGTCTCGCAGCCAGTTAGAGAATTCTGCTCGCGTCTTCATGGCCGTGTTTTATGCTGAGGTGTTCGTCAAGCTGACTCTTGTAAGATTCCTGTCTTTGTGTTAAACACATGACGAAAGCCGAAATTTTTCTTCGCACCAAAAATTGTTCCTGCAGGGAAACAGTTAGAAAGCATCGCACCTCAGTTCAGGCCCTACCCATAATTCGTGGTACTCTACGCCCCCGTCCCACTTTTTTATACCTGACACCACTACGCATCTGTCTGACGTTCATAGGTGCTTTGAGTTGAACGCCGGCAGTTCGGGACAGGCGAGTGGGAGGGGACTGGTTCGAAAAAAATTTTGGCAGCCGTAAGGCCGGTTGTCAAGTTGTTTTAACTGTCTGAATTACTTCCATGGGTCATATTCGTTCAGTTCCACTCATTTGAACCCACTAAGATACCTGGTACATGGCCTAGTGTCCACTAACGACAAGATTGCAGGAGTGTCCTTAAGGGGCAGCTACTAGAATACCTGAAGATTTTTTGAAAATTTTTTATCCTTTTCCACAGGGGGGGGGGTGGATTATGGTTGCCGCTGGTTCGGAAATTTCAATCCGACCGCCAGGTCGGAAAAATGTTTTGGCGTTTCTCAAAAATCTCGCACCTATGCTGCTGTTTTTTAAACAAAACATTTTAGGACAATGGCAGCCGTTTTGAAAAGCTTGGTCAAGCTTTGTCTGATCAAATCGATGATATTCTGAAGTTTCCACCAAAAGACGAAAACATGAAGTATTTGCTTCGAGCATTCAAGGTTGCTGGAGCAGAGTTGGATTTTTCGGAAGAGTTGAGAAAACGTGTCGATCAGATTCTGACTGTCATGGGCGGATTTGCCAACGGTTCTCCAGTTCTGGGCGAGTAAGTTTTCTTTCTTTAATGGGGGTTTTCTGCGTATTTTTGTTTTCCGTTTTTTTTTTTCGTTTTTCACATCGCTGATTTAAGTTTTTTTGAAAAAAAACGGAAAAAAACGCTGAATAACCCCATAACAAATCGCAAAAAATTGTTTACAGGTCTATCAAAGCTCAAATCATGTCTTTAATCGATTGTCGACAGCGCGGGTGGGATCGCGTCAGACCTGTAAACGAGCCAGCTCCTGTTAGCAACCGTTATGAAGACTCTTTCGATGAGTCCACCGACAATGATCTAACTGAAGAAGAGAGACAGTTTCTCGAAAGTCATCTCGAGCAAGCTGAGAAGAATGACGATGGTGATGAAATAGACGAGCAGGAAGTGATGAATGAGTTCGGAAAGTTTGTAAAAGAGGAGCTGTGGCGTGCTGAGGTTCACATTGCGAATAATTTGAAACCTTCGAAAGTGTAATGTTCAGGAAATAAAAACGACTGAAATGATGACAAATCTGGCGATGAAGGAGTCGGGCGCTGCAGACAATAATTAAAATGTTTTCCTTTTGCACAAGTCACTATTATAGGGGCACCGCACAGAAGTGCGCTCTGTTGAGAAACTCTTTTTGCAGTGCAAATTGAGCGACCTCGGGGCCGAGTTTGAAAAGTTAGGCCACGTTTTCAGTGGAAAATTACCTCGCGGCCTAGAAATTCGGACAGATTGCGAACAGCGCGCCCTTTCTGTCCGGTGCCCCTATAATAACTGAGTATTTATTTATTGCTGTTACAGAAATCTGAAAATCGCGCTCTACCGTACTCCACGTCAATTCAGTGCGAACGCTAATGGTCGCGACAAGGTTTCTACGTGGGGTTGCGGTTAGCGCCATTACCATAAATCTGCGACACCAATACTAGTGGTTTAATTCAAAAACTGTGATTCTTTTTCTTCAGCTTCGTATGATCGTTCCGTTCTATATAACTCGTATTATCAATTTGTTCGAGATTTTAGTTTTATTCTCAGTTTCAGCCACGTGCAAAAATCTTGTGTTTCGAATGAGCTAAATAAAAGTCCAAGAGCCACCGTCCAGGGGGTTTTTTTCTTCTATTCAAAGCGAATTATTTCAATGTTCGGTATGACACGGCGCAAGCTATAGTATTATCAAGACACTTCAGACCTGAGCTAATCATAGTTGTCACCAGTGTTGAGCGGATTTCCTTCTTCCATCCTCCGGGATTTGTTAAATCTTTCTTTTGGTAAGGGAGTATATAGCATTTCAGAAGCCATTTACTACAGGGGGGAGATGCTGCACTGGTTGCCATGAGCCAGGAAAAACACATGGTCCCCATTCCATGCAACACTTCCTTTGGTAACAGGAGACGGGACCACCCCGTCCCAAGCCGTTTGGAAATCTGCATTTACTAGCCCCGAAGAATTCGAATTTTCACTGGCAGGCTCCGAGATCATAAATTTTTGTTGCTTCTATTTTTTTTTCAGGGAAAACTGGAAACAACTCTTCTACATAGACAGCATTTTTGTCTTCCGTGGATTTTTTGTTCCGTCTTCTGGAAAAAAGTCTGCTTCCGACTTCCGTCTTCTCGAAAAAATTCCGTGCACCGTAGAAAAATTATTTCTAACGCAATTTTCGCGGGCGAATTCCGCGCAGCGGGCCCAGTTTTGAAATGTCTTGTTTTAGGATATTAAATGACAATATTATAGGGGCACCGAACAGAAATGGCGCTCTGTTGAGAAACTCTTTTTGCAGTGCAAATTAAGCGACCTCGGGGCCGAGTTTGAAAAATTAGACCACACTTTCAGTGGAAAATTACTTCGCGGCCTAGAAATTCGGCCAGATTGCGAACAGCGCGCCCTTTCTGTCCGGTGCCCCTATAATCCCAAAGAGAAATCACCGTGTGTTCGTAGCTAGGGTGTCGAGGAAAATTCTAGTCCATTTGCCCCGGGGTCGCAGGCCGGGGTACTAGGCCACGGCTTCCGCCGAGTCCCCCGGCTGAACAAGAAATTATTAGGCCACGCCAGAAGTTAGCGAGGGTGTAGTGAGAAACGCGCCGCGAACTCGGCCACCATTCAAAGAAGGGGCGTGGTCTTGCGCAATTGCCGCACGAAATTTTGCAAGTTTGGCGCGCGCGCTTTCTGTTTAGCCGCAATTGTTTCCGACAGCATTTTGAAGACGTTCTTACTGCTTTTCAGGAATATTACACAGCGCTGTTATTGGTTTTTGCTGTTGGCAATTTTTCTCTGTTGATAACAATTACTAAAAAATAATAAAGCTTCTATAAACTGCGTTCTTTCATTTTTGAGATAAAAAAATACAAAACTCAGCCGAAAACAAGCATTAATTGACAGAGAACAAGCGCTAAAATATGAAACAAGCGCGAAATTCGTGAAACATTCCCCATGGCCGAGTTTCTTCGGTTCGGCCTCCTGGCCTAACTTCTGACGTGGCCTAATAATTTCTTGTTCAGCCGGGGGACTCGGCGGAAACCGTGGCCTAGTACCACGGCCTGCGACCCCGGGGCAAATGGACTAGAATTTTCCTCGTCACCCTCGCAAAGAATCACCTAGGCCTAGCTAGGCCAGGAGGCCGAAACGAAGAAACTAGGCCATGGAAAATGTTTCACGAATTTCGCGCTTGTTTCATATTTTAGTGCTTGTTCTCTGTCAATTAATGCTTGTTTTCGGCTGAGTTTTGTATTTTTTGTCTTAAAAATGAAAAAACGCAGTTTATAGAAGCTTTATTATGTTTAGTAATTGTTATCAACAGAGAAAAATTGCCAACAGCAAAAACTAATAACAGAGCGCTGTGTAATATTCCTGCAAAGCAGTAAGAACGTCCTCAAAATGCTGTCGGAAACAATTGCGGCTAAACAGAAAGCGCGCGCTCCAAACTTGCAAAATTGCGTGCGGCAATTACGCAAGGCCACGCCCCCTTCTTTGAATGGTGGCCGAGTTCGCGGCGCGTTTCTCACTACACGCTCGCAAAGAATCATCATCATTCTTATTTAGTAAAATTCTTTGGGGGTATGTATATCCCTTTGTTTGTTTGTTCTTTTGGTTTTTTATTTCTCCGTTTACCCGTCCCCACTTTCATTTCTAAACCGGAAAAAATTGTGACGGAAAAATTAAGCAATGAACACGTGAACTTTCAAACAGTTCGGAGAACCGTACAAGCAGGAAAGCCGCTTACGAGTGTTAGATAGCTCGGACCGCGCAGCGGGTCCGTATTCCAAAAGTCTTGTCATTCTGATATCATTCTTATGTGTATCATTCTTATTAATAAAAGTCTTGAGGAGTCTGTCCCTTTGTTAGAAAAAATTACCTAGCAAAGCCGCTTCCGAGCGTGAGCTCGGTCCGCGCAGCGGACCCACGTTGACTTCTTGTACAGCATATTTTTAATTTTCGTTCAAAACAATTTTAAAATGTTCAACCTAAGTCGAATTTTGTTTTTTCAGATGCCGGATCCGGAGACCGATCTAGTCCTCTGTGAAGTCTGTGTACGTCAAATTTCCGGAGAAGGAAAATGTGTTACGAAGTGCGACGTTGCACATCAATGTATGCTCTGCTTTGGAATAATGGATCAGGCAATGATCGATGAGGTTAGAAAACTTTAACATCCCGTACAAATTTTGAAATTATAAGGTTGGAGAAAGAGTGCTAGAAGAACTAAAGAGTTCTCCATACGATTCGAACAGCTTTATTTTGGCCTTAAGTTTACCTGTCGGTCAAACTCTTCGGTTAGTTTTTACATTTACGTTCATACAAGCAAACTCAAAATTTTAGAGAGATACTCATCAGTAAATTGCGACCAGATTTCAATGGCACATTGGTTTCAGTGCCGTTCAAAGTGCGCAATATTGATGGATATTTGAAAAAATTAGGATCGGTATGAATTAAAAAAGGAAAACTTTAAAAATAGCTTTTTCAGTACTCTGGAAAACGGCCAACTTTAAGCTCCGACTTACAACTCACGATCGTATTCGATCAGGATGAGATGGACTTAACTGATTTCGCTTTCTTAAGCAAAGCGTTTCCAAACAATTTCCGGACTCCAAAAAGGGGGAGAGAAAATTCATTAGGTAAAGAAAAATCATTGAAGTGAGATTTTATTTTAGTTAGATAACAAGAACCAGTATTCGAAGCAACAACTGCAGCAAATCACAAGTCGTTTGAATTTAGATATTGCACGGTACCGATTTTTGAATTTTTCAATAACACGAAGTTAAAGGCCCAAGAAAACATTATTATCTGAACGTGTCGACAATGGTAGAGAGAACAATTAGCTGTACCTGGATTTTGTGCACCATTTATTCAATTTTTCAAAAATGCCGGGAAATAGGTATCATCGTTCTTATTTAATATAGAGCTATCGGAGTCTGTCCATATCTTTCTTTCCTTCTTTGTTAGTTCGTATGATCATTTTCGTATTTCTGAAACGGACTAAAATGTAACGGAAAAAATCTCTCAGGCAACATTTTCATCGAAACTAAACACGGAATGATCTCGATTCCCACCCCGCACACGTATGAGCAGCCGTTAGTTCAAAAACGCTGTTTTCGTAGAGTCTGCGAGTAATTTTTGTGAATTTTTTGTTGCCGTTTGCTATTTTCGATCATAATGAACACAATTTTCGTAAACAGTCGGTATTATAGGGGCACCGGACAGAAAGGGCGCGCTGTTTGCAATCTGGCCGAATTTCTAGGCCGCGAAGTAATTTTCCACTGAAAATGTGGCCTAACTTTTCAAACTCGGCCCCGAGGTCGCTCAATTTACACTGCAAAAAGAGTTTCAACAGAGCGCCACTTCTGTGCGGTGCCCCTATAATACGCAACGGGAATATTTTAAACTTTGCAGGTGTTCTCTTTGTTCCCTCTAGGGTTGGCAATGGGGCGAGAAGAGGCGACCCGCTCGCCTCGCTGGTGAGGCGAGGGGCGCCCCCTCGCCTCGCTATTAAATGTGTGTCTGATTTTTTTCGAACGTATTGTGAAAAAATTTTACAAGTGGCAAAGTTGTGACGTGTGTGCGTATGTATCATAGGGGCACCGCACAGAAATGGCGCTCTGTTGAGAAACTCTTTTTGCAGTGCAAATTGAGCGACCTCGGGGCCGAGTTTGAAAAGTTAGGCCACGTTTTCAGTGGAAAATTACTTCGCGGCCTAGAAATTCTGCCAGATTGCGAACAGCGCGCCCTTTCTATCCGGTGCCCCTATAATATATGTGTATGGTGATTGGGTAAGAAGTATATTAAGAACGACTATAGGAATAAAAACGTTAAAAAAATTATATGTACTGTGCTTTTCCTTGTATAGAACAGACGTATTATAGGGGAACCGGACAGAAAGGGCGCGCTGTTCGCAATCTGGCCGAATTTCTAGGCCGCGAAGTAATTTTCCACTGAAAACGTGGCCTAAATTTTCAAACTCGGCCCCGAGGTCGCTCAATTTGCACTGCAAAAAGAGTTTCTTAACAGAGCGCCATTTCTGTGCGGTGCCCCTATAATATTTATTTATCAAATGTTGGAAATCCCAGAATACTGCTGAAAAATACCCGTTTTTTGAAAAATTATGCTTTATCTACGGCGTGGGGGCGCCCCATAAATGGGGCGAGGGGGCGCCCCGCCGAAGCGGGGCGCCTCGTTGCCAACCCTAGTTCCCTCTCGTATTTATTTTTCATAAAACTAGCGGATCTCGGATCCGCTAGGTGAGATACATTGCACGAAAATACATAACCTCCAAGTTGAACGGTCAAAATCGGACCACTACGAGCCGAGATATGTTAAAAAGTTATGCTTCTACCTATGTTACATTTTAAATGGATGGGTCTCTCTCTCTCCGGTCTCCCGCCTCTCTCTCTCTTCAGAAATCTGGACCCTTTATCCCTCAAATCCAAGTTTATTTAAAAAGTTATGCTTCTACCTGTGTTACATTTTTCTCGTATTTATTTTTCATAAAATCTCTACTAATTTTTTTCCCGAAGGAATCCTTTAACTTTTTAACAGTTTTGAGAATGTCTTAAGGAAACATGACTTGTTTTAAGGTACTCTCAATTCATCGCTCTTGCCCCCTCAATGTTTGCGTACTGATGCCTAATTTTAGAAATTTTTTTGGCTCTCCCCCATAAAAAAAGAGTGAACTTTACAGCAAGTACGTGTTTAAATCACCCACTCGACGATGTGCATTCAAGCTATTGTTCGAGCGAGATCCTGTTTACATTGCCGGGCGCTATTGCAAGTATTCGAGATGCATTCCTCAGTCTCCGTGGAGCGAAGAAAAAGATGCTCCCAGAGAAGTCGGAAATTCGGTTTCCGAGAAAATTTGCAATGTCTTGAAGACTCACTTTAACGCAAATGAATGTCGATTTGTTACCTCGGGAAGAGAAGATATCGACGTAAGAATGTTAGGAACTGGAAGACCGTTTGTTGTCGAACTGAAAAACTGCAGAACGACGGAGAGTGCTCGGGGGTAAGATAGATTCAGCTATCCTGAAATCCCATAATAAAAAATCTAGCCTAAATTACATCGATACTTTGATGGCTTTGGAAAAACGAATTAATATTGACAAAGAAGTAAAGGTGAACTCATTAACAAGAGTCTCGCGTGATGTGGCTGAAAAGCTGAACGTGGGAGAGGAAGACAAACGAAAACAATACTGTGCCTATTGCTACAGTATTCTTCCCATATCTGACGAGAATTTTGATAAAGCGAAAAAGAAAACGCCGTTCAAAATTGTACAAAAAACCCCCGTAAGGGTTATGAAAAGACGTTCGTTGCTGGATCGAGAGCGTACAATCCACTCTATGAGTTTCTTGAAGCTAGACAGTCATCATTTCTCAGTCAGGTTAGTATCATGAAAATACATTATTATAAAACAAACTACAGGCTTGAAACCCAAGCTGGAACGTATATTAAGGAGTTTGTTCATGGCGACTTCGGAAGAACACATCGGTCGTTGGCAGAATTGTTAGGAGTGGAACACGGAGAATTAGATATCCTCGAACTCGACGTCGAAAATGTATATTTGGAATGGCCGCCAAGATTTCAAACAGCTATTCGTTTCCGATAACTTACTATTAGTTGAGTAGGTTCCGACATTAATTCAAGATTCTTTCCTCGTTGTTAATTTTTTTTTTGTTAATGTCTCACTAGTAATCAATATGAATTTTAGTTATTTGTCATGATATTTGCTGTCGAAACTTCAATAGGGGTTTAAACCCTAAAACTATTATTTCTTTGCACCGAATCAATCGCTAGTAGAATAATGGAAATTCAGATGGGCGAATCTTTCGGACATGTGGAAGGGCCACAACCAAAGCCTTCCAGGTTTCAATTCGTACCAGTTCCTGGCGAGTTCACAAGGCAAATTACTGGAAAAACTTGATTAGTAATTTTACAAGATTATTTAGAGGAAGATGGAAGTGTAGAGATTCGTATCGTCCATACGCCGAGACACTTGAGTTTGAAAAAAACAAAACAAAAGAAGAAACGAATCCAGACAAGTACTGTTATTTTATTTTGAAAAATGTTATGTAAGTTGTACAATTTCAGGATATCGGTGTTTTTCAAACTGAAACAAATAAATGACCCGAATGAGATTTCGAGCACGATACAAGTTACATCGGTCGAGAACAACGCTCAAGAAGTCGTTGAAGACACCAATTTAACAGATAGTATTATTATTACAAGAAAGAATGGTGTCACCATTGTTCGGAAAACTTCTGGATCTTTGTCATCTGATAGCTACGATAAAATTCGTGAACTGTCCATTGATGACTTCGAACAAAAGGCAGGCAAAGCTCCTCGAGTACCTCCAACTCCTATGAACACACCTCCTGCTACAATGACTGAGCCAGTAAATGGGGACTCTTTATCATCGGTAAGAAATCCTAAAGTGAGATATAACAATAAACTGCTGGGAACTATATTCCATTCCTACAGGTGCAGTCAATATTTGAAACTTCAACACCATTATCAACAAGCATTCATGATACAGATACTTTAAAAGTGTGTTTTGTTCATCTTTATCTTAATTTATTCCAATCCAGCTGCAGGAAATTCTTGATACAACAACCTATAGTGCTATTGTTTGTGTGTCAGAAGATTCAAACGTTGTTCCATCTACTGATTGTTCTCATAACGATGTAAGAGTTTCGGTACTTTTGCTGTTAATAAAGCCTTTTATGGGGCTATTCCGTTTTTTTTTCGTTTTTTTACATCGCTGAATTGGATTTTTTGACGTAAAAAAACGGAAAAAAAATCATTTTTTTTTCACAGCCTAAATCATGTAATTCTTTTACAGGACTTAGTGTGCCCAATTTCAACAATTGAGCCGACATTTCAAGTTATACAGGTTAGAGATTTCTTACTGTGAAAAACACTACTATGCGTTCAGACTGAGGATAGTAAAAACATGTCAATGGATTCGGTGAAAAATGTGATTGAAGTACAAACTGACAAATTGGATCAAGTAGTCCAAGTAGAAACGCCGTCAAGTGTGATGATTACTGTATCCGCAGCTCTGGAAAAGAAAGAGGTGTGATTAGCAAGACTATTGAAGGGACATAATGTTTTCAGAACGGGAATGATGCCGCTGGAAGCGTGAATAGTCTTGATATATGCGGTATCCCGATTACAGCGCCTCCGACCGCTCCTCATTCAACTCCATATGGAACTCCTAAGGAAACACAACGCTCACCTACTTTTGATGAGACTTTTTCAAACGGAATTCCACCTATTATCGTATCCGCGACAGTTAATTCATCATCCTCCACAGAATCTCCTCTGCCAATTGACAATAAAATCGAGCAAGCGATGGAGCTCGTGAAAACGCATTTGACGTATGCTGTGCGGGAAGAAGTTGACACTCTCAGAAGCACTATTGCGGAATTAGAGTATCAGGTGCGATTCGTTTTTTACAGGTCATGGCAAAATTATTAAGTTTCAGATGAGAGAGTTTCAGTTCGAATGTAACTACTATCGCCAGAATTGTAGTCAGGAAATCGTGGATCAAGCGAATACATTCGTTCGGCAACAAATGGCTAAATTTCAACCTCCATCCCGCAGAACTACCAGCACAGTGGTCAACAGTTTAGATGGAACTACGCCAGTCTTTTCTGTTAATAGCTCCAATACTTCTACACACATGAGGAATCTACAAACTCAGATTCAGCAAATAAAGGTTCGCGATTTCCTTGTTTCGGTATTTAAAAAAAACGAATTTGCAGATCGTACCAACACAGATCACAAAACCAACGCCTAGTACAAGTGATTCTCCCACTGGTCCCTCGATGCATATTTCGTCGACAGGATAACCAGGAAACAAAATTGGAAACAACTGCATCCACGTTATTGTTGTCAGTAATATTGTGACGGCTTGATGTAAATATGTTCACATGTAAATGTTTTCAAATCTACTGCTTTAACCTATCGAGGCATTTCAAGGCAAATGCGCTCTTCTGTAATGGTCTTTTCCGGCCCGACCTCAGCGATTTGAAGTGAGGAAACAGCGGCGAAAAGCGGGTCAAACACACTTACAACCGTGTTTCGCCACAGTGCCGCCGCTGTTTCGCCAGAATTCCGCCAGAACACTGCGTTGTTTTCCGTTGAAACGGCGTTCCTCCGCCGTTTCGACAAAAGCGCCGCGGCTGTGGTCTCGCCACGATTTGAGCTTGGCGAAACAGCGGTAATCCGCGGTTTCCTCAAAACGCCTCTTTCGCCGCTGCTTCCTCACTTCAAATCGTACGGTAAATAAAACCAGAAAAAGTTCTTCCAGAATTTAAAGTACAAACAACCTTTTTTTCTTTTCGCAGCTGAAAAACTACACCCGGGTGTACCCGGAGATAACAATTGGAGTGGTTTCTCAACAGGGCGCAATCACTTTGATATGTCCCAATGTAGATTGGACCATATAATAGTTTATTAGTCTAATTAGTCTATTCTCCAATCCAACTTGTGTTAATTATTGTTTAGAAAAATTGGATAAAGGCTACAGTTTTATAATTTATGTTAACGTTCTCTAGAGTTCGCTCGATCTCTTGATTTTTGATAGAGCGTGTTTGCTCACATAGTATTCGTAACTGCGTGAATTACAGATGGTGGCAACGGTACTGATGGTAGCTGAGAAACCAATGCTAGCAGAGTCGATCGCGAACCTTCTGTCGGATGGTAAAGCCAAAAAACGAAAAGGTTTTGCGTTCAACATGTGCACGTTTTCGTTACCCAGTAGTCCTCACACTAGGCTTTCAGAAAGGGCGTTTTGAGGCACCTCGACGCCTCTGAAGGAAAGGCGCACGCGGCCCACGCCTCGGAATGAAAGGGCGTTTGTCGCCTTCTTCTCTAGTAGAGACGAATTTCACCTCAGGTCATGGATGATTTTAGTAGGGCGGCAGAGGGTCGCTTGCGCCCGCCATGGGTCGCTTCGAAACAGGCGTGGGGGACTCTCGCCTTTGATGGAGAGGGCAAAGGGCTCACGTCGCCCTCGGCGTAAAACGTTTTTCGTAGTTTTTCAATTTTTCATTTTTAAAATCATACAAATTGTTGAAAAATGCATAGGAAAACGTTTATTTTTATTATTGAGGCGTTTTACGTCGATGGCGACGTGCGCCCTTCGCCCTCTCCTTTAGAGGCGAGTGTCGCCTACGCCTACATTTCGGCGCGACCTTCTGTTTGAGTGTTTATTTCTTTTATATGTGCTGGTCGCAAAATATGCCGTTTGAAATCGTGACGTAAATAAAAGCGAAACTAGCACAAAACGCGTGGCTACTCCTTTAATACTCAGGCAAATTGTTTCTAATCTAACTAGCTAATTCTCGTTTCTAACCGGACCTAGTTAGATTGCTACCGATTTCTGAATCTAGCTAGCTGATTTTGCACGATCTAATTAGCTTCGCCAATCTAATTAGAAAATTTATCAGTCCAGTTGCAAGAAGTTGCAATCTAATCGCAGTAAATTAGCAATCTAATTAGGTCCGGTTAGAAACGCGAATTAGCTAGCTAGATTACAAACGATTTATCTGAGTAAGAATGATTTTTAGGTTGGAATGGAGTGTGCTCAGTCAGCGAATACATTAGCGATTTCCAAGGCAAAAATGCCAACTTCAAAGTAACAAGTACGTGCGGGCACGTTATGTCCTTGGATTTCCCGCAAAAATATAATAACTGGGAGAAAGTTGATCCGGCAGAATTATATTGCGCACCAATAGTGAAAAATGAAGCCAATTCAAAAATGAAGATGAAAGATTATCTGGCCTTGGAAGGAAAGAATGCTGACTATTTGGTATTGTGGTTGGATTGTGATAAGGAGGGCGAAAATATTTGTTTCGAGGTATCTACATTTCTAAAATTCCGTTGTATTTCATTAAATTGTACAGGTTATCGATGCTGTTAGAAGCTCTAGTTCTAAATCAGAACAGGATTTCATGAGAAATGTATATCGAGCGCATTTCTCGGCGATAACAGAGAAAGATATCAAAGCTGCAATGAGAAGTCTTGGGCGACCGAACGAGAATATTTCCCAATCAGTAGACGTCAGACAGGAACTCGACTTGCGTATTGGATGTGCATTCACCAGATTTCAGACAAAGTTCTTCCAAGTAATGACTGTTTAACCACATTTGAACCGAAAAGAATGAACATCATTAGGGTAAATATGGAGATCTCGATAGTAATGTGATTTCCTATGGGCCCTGCCAAACACCAACTCTAGGTTTTTGTGTTACTCGGCACGATCAAATCGTTCAATTCAAGCCGGAATTATATTGGGTTCTGAAGACGAATTTTTCATGCGATTTGCAAACGTTCTCTCCAGAATGGGACCGCGGGAGAGTTTTTGATTCCGAAGTTGCCAGGCTGTTCTTGGAAAGAGTAAAAGTTAGTTTTAATCAGTTTTTCATTTTTTTACGTCTGCTTTTAGTGTTCGAAAATGTGTACAGTAACTGCTGTCAATAAAAAAGAATCGCTCAAAGAAAAACCACGTGCATTGAACACTGTAGAGCTTATGAGAGTGGCGAGCAGCGCACTTGGATTGAGCCCTTCTACTACAATGCATATTGCGGAAAAATTATATACTCAAGGATACATTTCGTACCCAAGAACTGAAACAACTGCGTATCCGATCAATTTTGATTTGAATGGTACACTGAAAGTTTTAACGGGCGACAAGAAATGGGGAGCGACTGCTATTCGAGTGTTGTCGGAAGGAATTCAACGACCTAAAAGTGGAGTAGATAAGGGAGATCACCCGCCAATCACTCCAATGAAACTGAACACTGGAAGTTTGAGTGGAGACATGGCACGAATATATGAGTACATTGCACAGCATTTTATTGCCACACTAATGAAACCGTGCATTTATGAAGTAACAACGGTGAAACTTGTGTGCAGCGAAGAAGAATTCACACTTCTAGGCAAAACTCCAATCGAACCAGGATTCACTTTAGTAATGCCATGGATGAACATTGAGGACGAATCCAAAATTCCGCAGAGTCTTGCAACTGTTGGAGCTACTGCCGTTCTACAGTAAGTTTTAAAGATTTGAATACGATCAATTACAATTTTTTAAGCTTATGGCTGTAGCGCGGGCCGAGTTACAGAAAAAGCTCGGAATCAGGCTTTCTCGGAAATGTCCGAGTTTTCGGACTTTCCTCAGGCAAATCGTTTCTAATCTAACTAGCTAATTCTCGTTTCTAACCGGACCTAGTTAGATTGCTACCGATTTCTAAATCTAGCTTAATTAGAAAATTTATCAGTCCAGTTACAAGAATTTGCAATCTAATCGCAGTAAATTAATTAGGTCCGGTTAGAAACGCGAATTAGCTATTATAGGGGGCACCGCACAGAAATGGCGCTCTGTTGAGAAACTCCTTTTGCAGCACGGTCTCCCACGGCGCGAATGATTTCAATGGGGCGCACTTGCAACAGGCGGGTTGTGTCGATTTACGCGGCGGCCGATTAATTAATTTTCAACGGGAGTTCGCGTTCTTTCCATGTTTTCTATACAATACACCTATTTTTTGTACGCCTGGAACCTGGATCCGAATAATTAGAGCACTAGCTACGTTTTGGTAACAGAAATCTCACATATCGTTGAGAATTAGCCGAGTTATTTCGATTTGAAGGTTTTGGCCTGGATTTTGATGTTTTTCGAATAGTTTTCGAAAACTGCTCAAGAAAACTAACCGCCGGAACCTAAATTTTGTGAAGAAAGATTCAGCGAACATTTTTATCGTTCGTTGGACTCATGAAATGCAAAATGAGCTGAAATATAAAGGTTTGAAGTTTTGACGAAATGCGAAAAATACGCTAAAAACATGAAAAACTCTAAATTTAGAACTCTGGGAACTCGATCGCAATCTTATTAGAAAACTTTGCAATCTAATACGAACTCGTTTGAAATAGAATTCGCTTCAATTAGATTGCAAAATCTTCTAATTAGATTACAATCACTGCAATTTTTCTAATTAGATTGCAATGTTTTCTAATTAGATTGCAATTTTTTCTTATTGGATTCAATTCAGGAAAAATATATTGTAATCTAATGCGATTTTACTGGAACTTCAATTAAATCTGATTAGATTGCGAAATAGAGCGTTTTCTTATTAGATTGCAAACTCTTCTAATTAGATTGCAATCGAGTTTCCAGAGAATTCTGTAAAGAACGGTTTCCAATCAGTAAAATATTGTTTTCGTAGACGTTTTTCAAGTCAAGAAGAAAGAAATAAAGGTCGTAAACTCGAATTGAACTGCATTTTCAGACCTGCAAATTTTCAAAAGTTACAACGACACTCCGCAATTTACGAGGGCACTGTGTTTTGCATTAGCGCCCTGGGAGACAGTGTGAAGTGCAAATTGACCTCGGGGCCGAGTTTGAAAAGTTAGGCCACATTTTCAGTGGAAAATTACTTCGCGGCCTAGAAATTCGGCCAGATTGCGAACAGCGCGCCCTTTCTGTCCGGTGCCCCTATAATAGCTAGATTACAAACGATTAACCTGAGTCCGTCAGAATTTCAAAATCGAATTTGTCCGATTCCGATTCAGAGCAGTTTTTGATTGAGAGGGTGAGCATCCCGAAATGGAACTAGTCAGTTCCATTTCGGGATGCTCTCGTAGAGAGACCTCTTCGTTTCAAAACGTGATGTTCCACAACCGTTACGTTTCGCCACTAAAACAAATTTGGCGCTAATCAGCGTTAATCAGTTTTAATCAGTAGTGATCGCATTTGCTCAACTTTCTTTGCCTCATTTCCATGAATCACAGATAGAAGCAAATGGTAGTAAAACGTGAGAGTTGCCAAGTTTGTTTTAGTGGCGGAATGTAACGGTTGTGGAACATCACGTTGTGAAACGAAGAGATCTTCTCGTAGAAGGACAGACTCCGTTAGACTTCAATTGATAAAAATGAAATGATAGCGTGTTTCTGTTTCAGCGATGCTCAATTAAGTGCTCGTGAAACTGTACCGCCCGGATATCTGACTGAGTCGGAGCTCATCACGTTGATGGAAAAGCATGGAATCGGAACTGATGCATCCATTCCGGTGCACATCAATACGATAACTCAGAGAAACTACGTGACTGTGGATACCGGAAGACGTCTCGTTCCAACCCGATTAGGTCAATGTTTGGTCAGAGGTTACTGGAATGTTGACCCAGAACTCGTTCTTCCCTCGATGAGAGCTGAACTAGAGACGCAATTGAATCTTGTTGCTACGGGAGAGGTTAATTATATTGACGTTAGTTTGCCTATGAAAACAGAGATTTTGAACGGCTCATTTACAGGTAAAAAATCATGCATTGAAAATGTTTAACATGAAATTCCAATACTTCGTAAACAATATTGCTGCCGTAGATACACTCTTTGAAGGTTAGAGGTTTTATGATTTGCGAAATAAGTTTTGAAACATTAAAGCTTCATTTACTACTCTCTCGCATGCCGGAAAACCATTCTCTCGGTGTGGTAAGTGCCGGAGATATATGAAATTGGTGCAAACCAAGCCACAAAGACTTTTCTGTCCTACATGCCAGGATACTTACTCTGTACCAAATGACAGAGGCGGTGTTCTCAAAGTCATTGGAGATCATAAATGTCCTCTTGATGATTTTGATATCGTTCTCTGGCAGGTAAGGAAGCCCAACGTCTAAACTTGAGAAACACGGAATTGTTTTCTTAGGGACCTGGAGGAAAACTAGCACGATCCTACACTTTCTGCCCTTTCTGCTACAACAATAAGCCATTTGAGAATATGCCGGAAAGTTCTGGTTGTGACAAGTGCTACCATCCATCATGCTCTTTTTCAATGAAGTAAAACCAGACTGGTCTCAAAGCAAGCATAATATCTTTGTTCCAGCTCAACTGGTATTTGCACCTGCTTACAAAACTGTGAAGGAGGTATCATGCTGCTTGACCCGCAATCTCATCCCAAGTGGAGATTAACTTGCAACAAATGCCCGTCCGTGGTGACCTTGTTTGAAGGCGCGTCAAAAGTCAAAGTCAATACGAGCAAGCAATGCGGAGAATGCGGAGCTCAATTCATCAGGGCAGAACTGAAGGTGTTCTATAAACTGCTAAACTCGTAACAAATTTTACAAATTTGAAGGAAAACAAGGACGAACTCCGAGGTACATTCGATGGTTGCATTTTCTGTGAAGCAACCAAAATGTATCCTGAAGAGATAAATCTTAACCATGCGTTCCTTTCCGAAGAGTCTCGTCAGAAAAACACGCAACAACGACGAGGAAAGTTTGATGGCCGAAAAAGAGGATCTCGTGGACGCGGAAGAGGTCGCGGTAGTTCATGAAGCGAATCCTCCGTTCATCACTTCATTTCTGATGCGACTACGAACACGTCGATGTGAATAACTACAGCATTCCGTCGGTGACTTCGGAAGCGTGGTGTCGGAGAAGAAACAAGATTTTTGACTGATTTAACTGTAACAAGGGAAGTTTGTGACCCCCAACTTGGAAAATTCTGGAAAAAATTCTCAAGAATTCTGAATAGCACGCTCGATTTTTTGCAGAGGGGGTCACAACCTTCCCTTGTGAGTATCGGTCTTCAGACCAAAGCATTTTCAATGAGATCAGGATTATATATATAATTATTATAATTAGGATTTTGATTTCTGAATTATATTATTTTCGGATCCTTTCCCTTTTTTGATATATGCTCGGTTTGATTGGGTAGTCGACAGCAGAAAGTACATTCGACTCAAGCCTTCATCACTCGGTTTTGCCCACGATGCACGGTCTCCCAGGGCGCGAATGATTTCAATGGGGCGCACTTGCAACAGACGGGCTGTGTCGATTTACGCGGCGGCCGATTAATTAATTTTCAACGGGAGTTCGCGTTCTTTCCATGTTTTCTGCACAATACACTCATTTTTTTTGTGCGCCTGGAACCTGGATTTGAATAATTAGAGCACTAGCTACATTTTGGTAACAGAAATCTCACATATCGTTGAGAATTAGCCGAGTTATTTCGATTTGAAGGTTTTGGCCTGGATTTTGATGTTTTTCGAATAGTTTTTGAAAACTGCTCAAGAAAAACCAACCGCCGAAACCTGAATTTTGTAAAGAAAGATTCAGCGAACATTTTTATTGTTCGTTGGGCTCATGAAATGCAAGATGAGCTGAAATATAAAGGTTTGAAGTTTTGACGAAATGCGAGAAAGACGCTAAAAACATGAAAAACTCTAAATTCTGTAAAGAACGGTTTCCAATCAGTAAAATATTGTTTTCGTAGACGTTTTTCAAGTCAAAAAGAAAGAAATAAAGGTCGTAAACTCGAATTGAACTGCATTTTCAGACCTTATTGCGTTCATTGCATCTTTCCTATTAAACATTAAAGCTGCAGTTTTAGAAATTTACGTGACCAGTACGATAATCTATCACTTTCCGTTATTGCGTTCATTGCATCTTTCCTATTAAACATTAAAGCTGCAGTTATAGAAATTTACGTGACCATATTGAAAAATGGATATATTATTATTATTATTATTATTTATTACGACTTTATGACAGTACGTGGAAATAGAGATGTCAAAAAAAATTACTTATTATAGTGATTTCTAGAAATGTTCCGTAACTGAACCTCGACATCATTTTCAACGGTGCATCGAATCGAATGGTGTCATTCTCTCGACACTTTTCTTAATGTGAACCCCCTAACGTCCTACCGGGTTTTTCTGTCTGTCACCAATCCTCCATTTCTGAAAAATTACTGTGTTCATTCACAAACAGCGATTCACTGGTTGGCTAACATCGAGAAATCTTGCTACCATTCTTCCAGATTTATATATAGGGGGCGCAAAGGAGGGGCGTGGTCGGACGAATTTTCTCTTGATTTTCGCGCGCGCATGTTTGAGGACCTGTACCGAGGTCCCCAGACCAAGTACCATACTCGTAATGTTTTACTGTTAAGGTATTATAGGCGCACCGAACAGAAAGGGCGCGCTGTTCGCAATCTGGCCGAATTTCTAGGCCGCGAAGTAATTTTCCACTGAAAACGTGGCCTAACTTTTCAAACTCGGCCCCGAGGTCGCTCAATTTGCACTGTAAAAGGAGTTTCTCAACAGAGCGCCATTTCTGTGCGGTGCCCCTATAATAGCCCAACGCGTTTGCGTGTCGCGTCGCGTGCGCCTAGTTCAACTGGATCAAATGTGTGATTGTGCTCGGTCACAGTGAGAAAGAGAAAAGAAGGTCTAACAAAGAGAAAGTGGTCACACCCAAACATCGAGAAATTGTCAGGGCGAAGGCGTTTAAGAGTTGTTGATAAATAAAAGAGAGAAGAGAAGGACGAAGTGTCTCATTTGAGAACGATCTCTATCACCGAATTTCTCCACTTTTGCTCAACTTTCTTGCATAAATTATCTCATTATCGCTGATAACTTGCTTCAAAGTTGTCCGTATCACTTCAAATTTTAAATTTGAACTTTTCAGACAAGTCCTATTCTCAAAATGAGTGGGATTCTTCCAACTCCAATGGATGTTGAAGATCCACAGACACCAGACTTTCCAGATGTGACACAGGACTTTCCAAATGTGAAACCGGACTTTTCAGATGTGACACAGCACTTTGATCCTACAACCAAACTGTGAATATGCCCCTCGCATTCCTGAAACCAGAGTTTCGCCTTCCAAACTTCAAAATTTTGTAGCAACTTTTCCATTCGAAATGCATTGCCGATTTTTTTAGAGTAGATGAGTAGAGGGTTCGACAATGACATACTTTCTCTTCAGAATTTTCGAAACGTATTTTCCATTGATTAAAAAAATTTTAACTTGTTCAAGGGGGGGGGGATCCAAAAATTTTGAAAAAAACATGATTCGAATCCTCATAATTTTCTTCATCTCTCACTTTTTTTTTCAGATTTCTTTGCTTGGCCCCGAACAAAGTCGACTTTTCGTGCGCAAAGTTTGCGGGTACTGTATCAGCGCGCAGAGTCGATGTAAGTTGTTTTCTTATCTTTTTGTGCTTGATCGATTTCCAAGATGTGCGTGTCACATTTCCAGAAAAGTGTCAGTTTGCCCAACTGTAGGGATGCAACACACATGCAGCATGCGCATAAGAACAGGCGAGTTTAGGCGCCTGCGCCTGTTTTTTCATGCGCTTGTTTTCGCAGGCACCTGCTTTTTAGGCACCTGTTTCGCACCCCTACTCAACTGATTGGTAGGAGTGGTCATGACAAGAATGTATGAATGTGATATTAGGTAGACATGGAAATCTCGATTGGGAATATATATATATATATATATATATATATATTTTTTTAAATTTTTAAGTCTGAAATGATAAAAATTTTTGGAGCACTAAAAGTGCTTATTTTTCAATAATTTACACACATTTTCAATCAAATGTTTGTTGAGATGTCGATTTCATTTTTTTATTTCGCAATTTTTCATTTTTTTATTTCGCAGTTTGCAATCTAATAAGAAAAAAAATCTCTATTTCGCAATGTAATCAGATTTAATTGAAGTTCCAGTAAAATCGTATTAGATTACAATATATTTTTCCTGAATTGCCCTTCCTGAATACAATATATTTTTCCTGAAAACATTGCAATCTTATAAGAAAACATTGCAATCTAATAAGAAAACATTGCAATCTAATTAGAAAACATTGCAATCTAATTAGAAAACATTGGAATCTAATTAGAAAACATTGCAATCTAATTAGAAAAATTGCAGTGGTTGTAATCTAATTAGAAGATTTTGCTATCTAATTGAAGCAAATTCTATTTCGTATTAGATTGCAAAGTTTTCTAATTAGATTGCGATCGAGTTCCCAGAGAGTAAGATATACAAATTGAATGTTACTTGTACGACTTCAGCGTTAGAAAAGCTTCCTTGGGAACTCGATCGCGGCCCATACTCCCAGGGTTGCCCCCAAGTAGGGGGCAACGCCCTCCCAGGGGTCATCCTCTCCTAGGGGGCAATCACTCTTAGGGGGCATCTAGCCGTTCCCTACCGGGGGGCAACCGACGAACCCTCCCAGGGGTCACCTCAGAGGGGGCATCACCTCAAAGGGGGCATCCTTTGATCTCTGTCACCCTCCCAGGGGGCAACGAGCAAGCGCCAGCAGACGCCGGCATGCGCAATCACTCTCATTTTTTCGAAAATTTTCGAAAATTTTGTTTTTTAAAGCAATTTTTTACCGTTTTGCAACAAATTGCTTCTTTTTAGGAACATTTTTCAATTTTCGAAGTGAACTTTTTGCTCTTTATGGAAATATGGAAGACACGACCATATTTGCGAATCTTTACTGAAAAAATCCTAATGGAGGTGGTCAGTGATTGGTGAGTTTGACCTATTTCGTTATCTTCATACAAATAACATTTTCAGTTCTGATGAAGACATGAAAATTGAAGAATTCGAACTTCCTGATTTCACATCTCCATGTGCGCAATTCGCCTGTTTCCAGTTCGCTGACGATTCGGGGATCGTCACGAAATCCGCAGAAGTACCAAGCAGCGATTCAAGCGATGAAGATTATCAACATTTAAATATTGAGTAGGATCAACATATAAAGATTTTGTTTTAAATTCGCGATCTTTTCAGAAAACGACGAAAAATGATCTATGCCAGCCGAAACGAGAAGATAAAGGGAAACATTGGGAAAAAACGATACAGATGGGAAGAAAATACAAAATCGGCTGAAACGACGAGGTTGAAAATTTTCATGCTCACAATTCAATTTTTTTTTTCAGACCGAAACGGAATAAAACTGCTCATCGCTCTCACAGCCCAGCAGTCTAGCTAATTGATAATTGTTGCTTTTTACTCTTTTTTGTTTTCGTTTGTTTACTAACTTTTAGTTTTAGCTTAGAAAATACACTTTTGTGTTCATTGAAAACAGCCGTGACTGCGCATGACGGCTTCTGCTGGTCTTTGCTTTTTGACTATTATGAGAGTGTCAGAGGCAGGATGCCCCTTTGGAGGAGATGCCCTTTTGGAGGAGATGCCCCCTGTGAGGCGACCCCTGGTAGGGGCCAGGGATAGGATGCCCCTTTGGAGGAGATGCCCCTTTGGAGGAGATGCCCCTTCGGAGGAGATGCCCCTTTAGAGGAGATGCCCCTTTGGAGGAGATGCCCCCTGTGAGGCGACCCCTGGTAGGGGCCAGGGATAGGATGCCCCTTTGGAGGAGATGCCCCCTCTGAGGTGGCCCCTGGGAGGGTGGCAAGGATCATAGGATGCCCCCTTTGAGGTGATGCCCCCTCTGAGGTGACCCCTGGGAGGGTTCGTCGGTTGCCCCCCGGTAGGGAACGGCTAGATGCCCCCTAGGAGAGGATGACCCCTGGGAGGGCGTTGCCCCCTACTTGGGTGCCCACTCGGAGTATCGGCCGACCCCAGGTAAGGGCCAGGGATAGGATGCCCCTTTGGAGGAGATGCCCCCTCTGAGGTGACCCCTGGGAGGGTGGAAGGGATCAAAGGATGCCCCCTTTGAGGTGATGCTCCCTTTGAGGTGATGCCCCCTCTGAGGTGACCCCCGGTAGGGAACGGCTAGTTGCCCCCCGGTAGGGAACGGCTAGATGCCCCCTAGGAGAGGATGACCCCTGGGAGGGCGTTGCCCCCTACTTGGGTGCCCCCTCGGAGTATGGGCCGCGATCGCAAACTAGAAAACTTTGCAATCTAATACGAACTCGTTTGAAATAGAATTTGCTTCAATTAGATTGCAAAATCTTCTAATTAGATTACAATCACTGCAATTTTTCTAATTAGATTGCAATGTTTTCTAATTAGATTGCAATGTTTTCTTATTAGATTGCAATTCAAGAAAAATATATTGTAATCTAATACGATTTTACTGGAACTTCAATTAAATCTGATTAGATTGCGAAATAGGGTTTTTTCTTATTAGATTGCAAACTCTTCTAATTAGATTGCAATCGAGTTTCCAGAGCTTACATAAAAAATATATCTGACACCGCCAAACTTTAAGCGGTGACATCACAGAGATTCAACTAACGCAGGCCACACATATTTTAGACATATCCTATTTTTCCCATTTTTAATAATTTAAATACGGTATCCCTATGGTACTGATACAAGAAAGTCATAAAATGAATTTTTCTTTATGAATAAAAGGTGCGTAAGTTTAGGGTATTATCTATTTTAACCGCGTTAATAAAAGCTATAAAGCGATTACCGTAAATACTGTATTATAAGGGCCGAAGACGGATCATAACGTGAACTCTCTACGAGTCGCGTTTTTCTGGAGTTTAATTGGTGGTAATTCCAATCATTCATTTTGTCGGCATGTTTTCAGCAACCGTATTCGATTTTGTGACTGTAATTTTTTCTTTGTGTCAATTAGCAAAGTACTCATTCTCAGGAGAATCAATTATTGGCCATCATATTGTTCGGAGCTCTGGTGCTGGCTTACGCAAATCGAGAATTATTTCGGAGACCGATTAATCGTAAGCCAAGAAGTTTTATAGACCACCGTTCGCGTGGTTCTTTTTTCGCAAAAGATTCGTTCAAAGGTGAAATTTCGAATTAAAACCTTATGATGCGCAGCATTGTTGCTCTGTCCGCTTAATAAAAAGCACGTTACATCCCGGAATATAATATTCAGAATAAATACAGAGCTATTCGGTGGAGGCGACCAACTTTCGCGCAAGCAATTTCTAAAAACAAAATTTGTTTAAAACCCAGCTATCGAGTAACTAGTCAATGAATACTGTGAATAAATGAGTTATTAATATTTGCCTAGTACCGCGTCCAAAGTTTAAAAAAAACCGGGAATTCACGCGGATTTTGCTCTCAGGCAAATCGTTTGTAATCTAGTTAGGAGATTTCGTAATTTAAACCGAGTTCCCAAAGAATTTGCAATTTAATCGCAGTAAATTAGCAATCTAAGTACTGTAGGTCCGGTTAGACACGAGAATTACCTAACTAGAGAAGAAACGATTTGCCTGAGCTGGGATTTCCTTGAACCTTGGACGCTTTTTTTAAACTTTGGACGCGGCATAAAAATATCAGGGGAAGTAAATTATTAAGGGTAGTAAAAAAGTGACTCTGGCAATTCGATATTAATCTAATTAGAAAGTTACTGATCTAAACGCGACCTAATTAGATTGGACTGTTTTTTCTTGGCGCAATCGAGATTTGAGCCAGCAGACGGTTGGCGTGAAACTTGATTTGAGCACATATCAATCTAATTAGAAGATTTATTAATCTAGCTAGACAATTTATTAATGTAATTAGGTGTCATATCAATCTTATTAGGCCGCCGTTAGATTAATAACGAAATGCCAGAGCTCTGGCAATTCGATATTAATCTAATCGTAGTCTGCTCGAGTTATATGGCGGCCTAATAAGATTGCTATGACACCTAATTAGATTAATAAATTGTCTAGCTAGATTAATAAATCTTTTAATTAGATTAATTAGTGCTCAAATCAAGTTTCACGCCAACCGTCTGCTGGCTCAAATCTCGATTGCGCCAAGAAAAAACAGTCCAATCTAATTAGGTCGCGTTTAGATCAGTAACTTTCTAATTAGATTAATATCGAATTGCCAGAGAGTGAGGGAGTCAAAAATGCGGTAGTCATTGAGTATTTGCCCGCATTGAGGTCCTGCTGTCGGACGCAGGAGGCACTAAAATTAATTTGGTAGTATGATTATCAAATGTTTCTCATTTATCTAACAAAAGTATTGTGCCGGAAAAAATTATAAATGTACAAGTTAACTTCCGAACAAGCTGCAGAGGGCCTAGATTTCAATAGTCAAAAGTGATTTCTCTTTCTGTATTAGGTAACGACAACTCCCATGGAGCTGCTTCTTCAATACACACTAGTTCTCTGCCAGCAGAACATCTTCAAAGACTTTCAATACGGTACGACACAATTTTTTCTGATTGGTTTTATTGAATTATTTAACCGTTTTTTTAATATGGCTATCGAGCAGCTCTTCATTCAAGATTTTCTCACACGCTATACTCAATTTACCGCTCTTGTCCCCTCGGCATTTGCGTACTCAAGCCTAATTTCAGAAATTTTTGGCTTGCGTTTGCAAACACCGAGGGGCAATAGCATTTTCGACTCGAGTACGTGATCAACGTGATCACGTTGATTCCGGTCCCTCGTGGATGATCGGTTGCGTTTACCAGAATTAAGGTTATGGGGCTATTTACCGATGTCAAAAAATGGAAAATATAGCCTGAGAAAAATGAAAAAAACAGTGATAGCGTTTTTGTGTTTTATATATAAGAAATACTTCTGCCCGGAAAATTTAATATCAAATTATTGGTTTCAGCGAGAAGCTAAAAGGATCATTAGAAAGAGCTAGCAAACCGCCGCCAAGAGAACTATTCGAGCCGAGTGAACAAGAACAGATACCATCCCATATCAAACCAGAAATTTTTTTTGTTTTGAAAGCATTGGAAGGGCTCGAGCTACCTAGTAACTGGCAGTTGGATCCGAAAGACGTCGAAACTTTGTCAATAGATGAAGACCATGTTCTTCTCTCGCCTGGAGATTCTAATGATGTCATAGTCGTGGTTGTGTCTGGAGAATTAGGGATCTTCACAAAAGTTAACACAGTATTGGTTGCATGCTAACGATAAATTACTTTCTTTTTTAGACAGAAAAAAGTTACGAGTTCAACATGAAAGGCCTTAAAAAAGGAGAATCATATTTCTCACAGACATCAATTATCGAAATTCTTATGGTAAATGGCCTTCTTCCACTTTTTTCTATTGTTACAATTTTCCATAACTCTGACCGATGTGCGCTGCCCGGGGAATCCCGAGAACTCCCTTTTCCGAGAATCCAGAGAATAGTTCAGGAGATTCAGGAATTCTCGGGATTTTCCCAAAAGAGACCTCAGGCAAATCGTTTCTAATTCGCGTTTGTAACAAGACCTATTATAGGGGCACCGAACAGAAATGGCGCTCTGTTGAGAAACTCTTTTTGCAGTGCAAATTGAGCGACCTCGGGGCCGAGTTTGAAAAGTTATACCACGTTTCCTGTGGAAAATTACTTCGCGGTCTAGAAATTCTGCCAGATTGCGAACAGCGCGCCCTTTCTGTGCAGTGCCCCTATAATAGGTCGCGTTTAGATCAGTAATTTTCTAATTAGATTAATATCGAATTGCCAGAGATCTTTCAAGTCTGAGATTTTCGACTCGTGGGCGCGGATTGATCGAGATTTTGCAGAATGTTAAACCGGAAAACAAGTATGTTCATCTGAAATCACTTACAAAATGCCGTGTTGCAAAAGTGAAGCTTACTTCGTTCTGTACCTCTTTCCACCAAAACCCTCAACGGTGGATTAGAACTATACAAGTCGTGATGACCCGACTTCAACAATGCACTTTAATCACTTGCAATTTGTATTTGGGGATTGGTGGAAAGTGTATTGATACAGTGAGTTTTTCAAAAAAGCTAACAGAGTCTGACCATTCTTTCGAAACCTTCTCCGTTTGTCCGGTCGATTTTCATTTCTAAAAAGGAAAAAGTTGTAATGGAAAAATTAGAGAAATATGAACACTCTCAAACGGTCCTGATAAAATTTTTTGAAGTATACTATAGGGCATTTCAATATGAATGCGCTCTATTGAGAAGCCGATTTTTGTCATATGCGGCCGCATGCGGGGGCTTTTTTTCAGTCGAAAACGGGCACTTAATTCCGATGGTACAACAATTTTTTAAATTAGATTGCAATCGAGTTTCCAGAGTTCACTTTGAAATGCCCCGATAGTACTCCTCTGGCATTTCGTTATTAATCTAATCGTAGTGTACTCGAGTTCTAAGGCGGCCTAATAAGATTGATATGACACCTAATTAGATTAATAAATTGTCTAGCTAGATTAATAAATCTTCTAATTAGATTAATTAGTGCTCAAATCAAGTTTCACGCCAACCGTCTGCTGGCTCAAATCTCGATTGCGCCAAGAAAAAACAGTCGTATCTAATTAGGTCGCGTTTAGATCAGTAACTTTCTAATTAGATTAATATCGAATTGCCAGAGAATCTAATTAGAAGATTTATTAATCTAGCTAGACAGTTTATTAATCTAATTAGGTGTCATATCAATCTTATTAGGCCGCCGTATAACTCGAGTAGACTGCGATTAGATTAATAACGAAATGCCAGAGTACTAAAAGTGATTTTTAAAAATTGTTGCGTAACTGAACCGTTGTTTCTTTCTTCGTTCGGTCGCACACGTTTTCATTTCTAAAACGAAAAAAGTGTGACGAAAAAAATAAGAAATGAAAACGTGAACTTTCGAACGATTATAAGAAAGAAACGAGCGGCGAAGCCGTTTCTCTGCTAATTCGATATTAATCTAATTAGAAAGTTACTGATCTAAACGCGACCTAATTAGATTCGACTGTTTTTTCTTGGCGCAATCGAGATTTGAGCCAGCAGACGGTTGGCGTGAAACTTGATTTGAGCACTTATTAATCTAATTAGAAGATTTATTAATCTAGCTAGACAATTTATTAATCTAATTAGGTGTCATATCAATCTTATTAGGCCGCCGTATAACTCGAGTAGACTACGATTAGATTAATAACGAAATGCCAGAGTTCCGAGCGTCCGCTCGGACCGCGCAGCTGGCCCAGGTTTAGAGTCTTGTATGACAAGTTGTATCGTATGACTTTTGTATGATTTTCTATTGCAGAAACGACAAATACCCGATTCTCAAAAATTTGCGAGTTTCGATACGCTCTCAGAAAATGAGCAAATGAACCGTGGCGTTTCATGGATGGCCGAAGTAATGGGAATTCCAAACCAGGCGGCGAACCTACGTGAAAAAGTGAGTGTTTTATCAGCTGGCCCAACTTTCAAAAGTCTTGTCAAATAAAGAAAAAGAAAAAAGTATAAAAAATGTAAACATTTACTTGCATAATGGGTTCATAAAATTTTTGAGCATCAATGTTTACAGGTCGAGAAACATGCGTGCGAGAAAGGATGCATTGTAACCGAAGAGAATTCGTTTGAGATTGATATGATATTCGTGGTTTTCGGAAAACTTCAACTAAAACGAGTCAGCTTTCTAATATAACATACTCTTAGCTCGAAAAAAATTTCAGGGTGCCATCGATAGGGATGACACTGGCACTTCTTTAATTTTCGATGTGCACCCGGGCGATATTCTACCTTCAATGCAGATACTCACAAATGAGCCCGCAATGTGCACCGCAACTGCTGTCGAGAAGACCATCTACTTCAAGATCTGTCGAGAAGAGTACATACAGTAAGTGGTTTACCGTTCACGGTGTTCCAAACGCTACCTGACATATTTGATTCAAATATCGAGCCACTTCTGGCAAATGGCCCATAACCGGGTTACTGTAGTACGGTAGGCCTGTAGGTGCCTAAACCGAATTATTTGAAAAAATCTTGGAAGGCTGAATGTGTTTTATTCCGGAAGTAAAATTTTCAGAACCACACATTCAATGCCAGAAAATATTCAGCTTTCCACAATTTTTAAAGGTATTCGGTTTAAGCACCTACCGTACCACCGAAACCAGATTAGGGACCCGATGTTGTGAAAATTATTAAAAATCCGAAGGGGTTGTATTATTGTTGACCAGAAATCAAAGAGTTGACCTACGGAAAAAATAAGCAATGATCTGGAAGTTGGTAGGTAAAGACACAGACAGGTAATGAACGGTAGTCCCAAAAAGGTAGGCAATGCCCCTCGAGGGTCATATTTGGTCATATTTGCACTTTCAGGTGCTGCCCCGAATCGGAACTTCCCGAATCAGAACTGGTACGAATCAGAACCAATTAGTACTGAAAATAGTTCTGATTCGGGAAGTTCCGATTCGGGGCAGCACCGAATTTCAAAGGCGTCCGGCTGCCTGCGCCTGAAAAATTCAGGAGCCTGCTCCAAGGCGAGGCGGCCTGCGGTCAGCCTACTGCACGACACCTTTTATAATATCCGAAATAACTTTGAAAGGTTCCTCTTCAATTTTCCCATTATTTACCTTCGTCTTGCTTTTCACGCGCTGAAATTCGTTTCACCTTTTGCAAGAGTTTTCGACTTGGCAGTCAGTTGGGTCCGCATTGACACAGGACAAGCTCTCTTTCGGTACTCAGCTACTTCAGACATTTACATATTAGGCGCATTCCAGGATCGGTGATATATCTGATTCCATGTATATTGTGATGGGAGGCCGTCTACGAGCAGTTGAGTCATCGAAAATCATAGAAGAATACGGCCGCTTGGATATCATAGGAATAACTGACATGGCCGAAAGGAAATTTCGGAGATCTACTGTCCTGGCAGTTCGTTTTTCTCACCTAGTCTGCATCCCAGAAAAACTTCTAGGATTTGTGAAAATAAGATATCCACAGGTAGCCCTGATCACTTGTGATTAGCCCAAGAACAACTTTGATTGTCATTCAGGTTGCTTCGAAGCTTTTGCAATTAATCAGTAAATGCTGGAAAGTCCCAACTCCGGAAACCATGGCTCATTTTGAAACCACGAAAATTCAAAATCTGAGAACAATTGCAATTGTACCGGCATCCCCTCAAGTCCCACTGACAGCTTTCACCTGTGAACTTTACAATCACTTATCAAAGCATGTCAAACTTTTGAGATTGAGCAGTTCTGTTGTCGCTAAATATTTTGAAGCTGACGTAATTACTAAAAAAGCGGATTATGGACTCATGCACTGGCTCAACGTGCAAGAGATTTCCTACTCTTTAGTACTATATCAATGTGATTATACAAAATCGAGCTGGACACGAAGATGCCTTCGAATGGCAGACGCCATACTCGTTGTAGCTATGGGCCATCTATGTAAAGATAAACAAACAATGGTTGTAAAACGAATTAAAGTCATAATTTGCAATTTTCTATTAATGTCAGGCTGACACTTTATTAACGTGCAATGAGAAAGGTGTACGTCAATCTAAAGAGCTGGTACTGCTATGGCCGGAAAGCACTTCAACTCCGAAAGGCACTTCCAACTGGATACATCAGTCTTACTACTCTGGTTACCACCACCTTCGTGTAACCAATCGAACACTCGGATTTCGCAAAAAATTCACCGAAAATGAGGTAATTTTACAATATTATCAACTTGTTCCTCGACTCGGCAGTTTTTTTTTTTTGAAAATTTTAATGGCCCCCACAATTTTTTTGTCTTTTAATCTTTGGGCAAATACTCATTGACTACCGGCTTTTTTACTCCCTCACTCTTTTACTTCCCTGGATCTTTTACTACCCACGGAACCCCAGCCTTCCAATAAAAAATTCCCTTGGCGCAATTCAGGTGCGCTAAAAAAGGCGCGTAACGCGTAATTTCGGAGCGTCGTTGTAGAGTTTCTCATTTCAATTTTCCCTTTTTTTGCATTATTCCCATCTTTTCAGAACCAATCAGTGTCAAAACTTATGATAATGATTAGAAATTAATAAAAAATAAAATTTTAACTGCTTTGTCATCAATTTCGAAACGTTTTTATGTGAAAAAGTACAGAATTTTTTTCCTGTTGGAATCGAAAAATTTGCCTCAATTATCTCAATTCTGTATATTTTTTTCGACGGTTGAGCGCTTAAAAAGATGCGCAATAAACTCTTTGTTGACTGGACGGTTCGAATGCCAGTGTCCGAACTCGATTCGGCAAATGATCGTTAAAACTCCGGTTTTTCAGTAGTTTTCGACAAAATCCCTCAATTTGGTCAATTCTGAACGAATCTGCTCCGTTGTTTCGCGCTTAAATCGATGCTTCTAACTCAGACAATCGCCCCACGGTTCGCAAAGAACAAAATTTTAGTGTTTATTAAGAGAAAAACGAAAGAATTCTGGGTTTCAATTGAAAAAAGAAACTCCGAGCCGACGGTGGATGCAAGCGCGCCCCATTGACAACTTGCTTGCGCATTGGAATGCTGGGGTTCCGTGCTACCCTTACTTATTTATGGGGTTATTCAGGCTGTAAAAAAAATATTTTTTTTTCGTTTTTTTTTTCGTTTTTTTTCGTCAAAAAACCCAACTCCTCTGGGAACTCGATCGCAATCTAATTAGAAAACTTCGCAATCTAATACGAACTTGTTTGAAATAGAATTTGCTTCAATTAGATAGAAAAATCTTCTAATTAGATTACAATCACTGCAATTTTTCTCATTAGATTGCAATGTTTTCTAATTAGATTGCAATGTTTTCTAATTAGATTGCAATGTTTTCTAATTAGATTGCAATGTTTTCTTATTAGATTGCAATGTTTTCTTATTAGATTGCAATTCAGGAAAAATATATTGTAATCTAATACGATTTTACTGGAACTTCAATTAAATCTGATTAGATTGCGAAATAGAGCTTTTTCTTATTAGATTGCAAACTCTTCTAATTAGATTGCAATCGAGTTTCCAGAGCCGTTCGTCGGCTTTCACATGCGATTACGGTAGAGCGACATGGTGAGAATTTTGGCTCCGGGACATTTCGAAACCGGACATTTCGAAACCGCGACATTTCGAAACCAGACATTTCGAAACCGCGACATTTCGAAACCAGACATTTCGAAACCGCGACATTTCGAAACCAGACATTTCGAAACCGCGACATTTCGAAACCGCGACATTTCGAAACCAGACATTTCGAAACCGCGACATTTCGAAACCAATTCAGTACAAGTATTTAAAAATTAAAAAAACCGCCAAATTCGCAGTATGGACAGTAATTTTTCGTATTGCTCATTAAAAATGTGTTCTTTTTCTGCTGGAAATAGCTGTTTCACTGTTTTTTCGGCTTTGTTCTGTGTTTTTGTCGAACATTCTTATTATTTTTCATGATCCGCTTGTTGGAAATCAGACTTGCAACGGGCCGGGCCGGGCCGGGCCAAAATTGGAAATCGTATTTCTTGTACAGAATAATGTCGAAAAGAGCACTCCGCCCGTTATATCCGCACAACGGATTTACAATGAGACCAACTTCTCTACTTCTTCCGTCTTCTCCGCCTCTAACTTTTCGATCGTTCTGTTTCCGCAGAATTCCGTTGTTTTCGCGAATAATTTTGTCAAGTTATACGTTTGTGTTAGTATAAATAGTCCGAAATCATAATTAATTGCTAAAATACACTTAACATGCATTTCTACTGCGAATTTGGCGGTTTTTTGAATTTTTAAATACTTGTACTGAATTGGTTTCGAAATGTCGCGGTTTCGAAATGTCTGGTTTCGAAATGTCTGGTTTCGAAATGTCGCGGTTTCGAAATGTCGCGGTTTCGAAATGTCTGGTTTCGAAATGTCGCGGTTTCGAAATGTCCGGTTTCGAAATGTCCCGGAGCCAGAATTTTAAGGTGCTAATATACTTATGCAATGCATTATATATCGTAATTTTTATGCTTTCTCTAGGGTTGCAGAACAGGCGCCTGTTTTCGCCTGCTTTGCAATTTTAACGTGGAGATTTTGCAAAACAAGCGAAAATAGGCGCCTGTTCTGCAACCCTAGCCTTCTCATTCAGATTGTTGCTCTCTATGAAGCTAATAATTATACCGATAATTTAGTACATTCGGACTTCTCGAGACTGGCTCGAATCCTAACAGGAAATGCCATTGGAGTGGTTTTTGGCGGAGGTGGGGCACGAGGGGCAGCACATTCTGGCGCGTTGCGTGCTATGTTGGAGAAAAAGATACCCATTGACATGGTGGGAGGAACATCTATTGGAGCTCTTTTCGGGGCGTTCTATGCAACCACTCCTAACATTAAAGCTGTTGCCAGAATGAAAGAGTTTTTCTCGGTAAGATTTTCAATTTTCTCAACATTCCACCACGCTCATAATCTGAGAACATTAAGGATCGAGCAAAAAATAACATCATAGATGCCATATGTGACTTGACATGGGCTTATTGTGCGATTCTTACTGGGCATCGTTTCAATATGTCAGTTCAAAACTTTATTGATATTTCTGAAACGGTAAAGACATGTTCTCTGTCGCTGTCGAAGAATCGCGTGCACAAAGAAAGATAGAGGCCCATATCCTATACGTAAGCCCATTGTACAAAAAACATGAGAAGAACCCAAATTCCAGTTGAAAAAAAAATTAGTTGGCCGCCCCGTAAATCGACACAGCACGCATGTTGCAAGTGCGCCCCATTGAGCATTTGACGCAAGAAGGGTGAAAAAATTAATTGTTTCCGTTTTTTTTTTCGTTTTTTTTACGTCAGAAAACCCAATTCAGTGTAAAAAAAACGGAAAACAAACATACGCTGAAGAGCCCCACAATGGGGTTGTTCAGGCTGTGAAAAAATAGTGTGTTTTTCCGTTTTATTTTTGTTTTTTTTACGTCAAAACCTAATTCAGAGATGTAAAAAAAGGGAAAACAAACATACGCTGAATAGCCCCATAATGGGTCTAAATATTCAGTAGGCACGGTCTCCAGAGCTAACAATGGGCGCAAGTGCGCCCTGCCCAATAGAGCGATACATTGGCGCGAAATTCCTCTGGAAACTCGATTGCAATCTAATTAGAAGAGTTTGCAATCTAATAAGAAAAAGCTCTATTTCGCAATCTAATCAGATTTAATTGAAGTTTCAGTAAAATCGTATTAGATTACAATATATTTTTTCTGTATTGCAATCTAATAAGAAAACATTGCAATCTAATAAGAAAACATTGCAATCTAATTAGAAAAATTGCAGTGATTGCAATCTAATTAGAAGACTTTTCTAATTGAAGCAAATTCTATTTCAAACGAGTTCGTATTAGATCGCAAAGTTTTCTAATTAGATTGCGATCGAGTTCCCAGAGTCAAATTTTAGCAGAAAAATTGGTTTTTTGTGCCAGATTAGCCACGAAAAACCGATAATTTCTCATTTGTCTCTCGATAGACCGATTGTATAGGCTATTACGAATGTTTTAAGCGTAAGAGCTTTAAATTTGGTAAAATCGCAAATCACATTTATCCGTTTGAAGGTTTCTCTGGGAACTCAATCGCAATCTAATTAGAAAACTTTGCAATCTAATACGAACTCGTTTGAAATAGAATTTGCTTCAATTAGATTGCAAAATCTTCTAATTAGATTACAATCACTGCAATTTTTCTAATTAGATTGCAATGTTTTCTAATTAGATTGCAATTTTTTCTTATTAGATTGCAATTCAGGAAAAATATATTGTAATCTAATACGATTTTACTGGAACTTCAATTAAATCTAATTAGATTGCGAAATAGAGCTTTTTCTTATTAGATTGCAAACTCTTCTAATTAGATTGCAATCGAGTTTCCAGAGTTTTGGCTAAAACTGCGTGAATTTCAGTTGCTTTTCGGTAGTTTTAGCGGTTCGAGCGCTCAAAATGCTTGTATTTACGTGATTTATCATTTTCAAAACCGATTCTGTTTGAAAACTGTCAAGAAAGAGCAAAATGAGAAGTGCGGTTTTAAGGCGGCGATCGGCGGCGAAGGCGAAAAAGCAAAGTCCGCGAAAAATGCGCCAAAACGTCATTAATTCTGTGAGAATTAGTGTGTTTTCATGTCGAACAATCATTTTTCATCGCCTTTGACCACAAAAATCAGAGAAAACCTGCTCAATTCATGAAAATGTCATTTGGCCGAGGCCACGCCCATATTGTCAGCTCTGGAGACCGTGTAGGGGAGAAAACATCAGATAGTGGAACAAGTTTGGTACTAATCAGTCAAGTTTGAATCGTAGCGTGCGGAATAGGAGTGTCAAAACTGTATCTATAACGGCCCGTGGAGCCATGAGGTGGACACTGGCGCGAAACGGTGGAAATTCTGATGATTCATGAAGCATGAAAATGAAATTAAACTGCTTATTGAGGTTGGTGAAAAACATGCTCCACGACGTTAACATTGAAGATTGCTGGGTTTCGTTTTTTTGCATTTCAACAGATATTTCGTAAGCTTATATTGAAATCAATATTATAGGGGCACCGGACAGAAAGGGCGCGCTGTTCGCAATCTGGCCGAATTTCTAGGCCGCGAAGTAATTTTCCATTGAGAACGTGGCCTATCTTTTCAAACTCGGCCCCGAGATCGCTCAATTTGCACTGCAAAAAGAGTTTCTCAACAGAGCGCCATTTCTGTGCGGTGCCCCTATAAATTATTATATAAATTAGGCTATAATATGAAAAGAGAAAGTAAATAAAATTTCAAGAACATCAACAATGAGAATTCACCGAAGTGGTCTCATGTGGCCTGTTGTTAGAAGTTCGATGTCCATAGCCGGGTACGTACCGCCTATCTGCGACCCGAATGATGGTCATTTACTATTAGATGGAGCCTATGTGAATAACCTACCAGCTGATGTTATGAGGTTTGTTCCCATTGCTAATACACTTTCACACAAAGTTAAAGTCAAAATTGCATCGAAATTTTTATTGTAGTTGTTAAAAAACATTTCAATCGAGACCTCGAATCGAAAAGTAGAATTTTGCGGATCAATTTCAGATCTCTCGGTGCTAATGTTGTTATTGCTATAGATGTTGGAATGGCCGATGAAAATGTCAACCTTACTGATTATGGTTACTCAATAAGCGGTACCGAGCCCAATTACTTTTAAACTCAATAATGAAACACATTTAGGAACTTGGATTCTATTCAAGCGTTGGTGGCCTTTCGGAGAGCCTCTTCGAGTTTTAAGCATGTCAGAAATTCAGAACAGACTTACTTATGTCTCTTGTGTAAACCAACTTGAAACTGTCAAAAATGCTCAGTATTGTTACTACGTGAAGCTACCTATCGAAAGCTTCCCAGTATTTGATTTCTCACAATTCGATCGTGTTGCTGTTAGTGTGAGAATACTGGTTCTGAAAAGTCTACTGGCAAGTATGCCTCAAGCTTAGATTGTCTAAATGCCCTCTTGAACAGACTTGCCAAATCCCGGGCCGGCCCGGCCCGGAAGTTAGACCTCAAAAAAAATATGCAAAAAAAATATGAAGGAAGAGGAAAACGCGTTGCTAAAAAAATTGCTAAAATGGCGTGCCAGAGTTGCAATCGCTCCGCTCCGCCCACTCTTGAGAAAATTTTCGTAATTTTTGTGAAAATTTTGCGACTTTAAACAGCAATTTTTTTAGGTGCATCCTCCCGGGCCGACCGGGCCGGGCCGGGCCGGAAAATTTCCAATTTTGGCCCGGCCCGGCCCGTTGCAAGTCTGCTCTTGAAGGCCTATACAGTATAGGCACCGAAGTAGGGACAACTCCACACGATGTGTGAGTGCGATCAAGCGAAAATTAAATATTTGAATTTCCTTTCAAAAAGCCTTTCAGTATGTTTTCGGCGTTTTTCATATTGATTGGTGATATCGATTTCAAAAACTACACAGATCACGCTCTCCCCACCTGGAAATTCGGCGCAAGCGCGCTCCGCCCCCCTTTCCTGTCATTTTGGCGCGAAAGTCAAATTTTAACAGCAAATTTAAGGTTTTCTGCTAAAATAAGCGACAGAAACACATTTTTTCTTCGATGTCTTCCGACTTCCGAATACAATGAATCGAACATCGTGTTTTTCAGGGTTGTCACAGGCTGGGACAACCTTTAAGAACACGTTTATCGGTCCGGTCCGGCCTGACTCTGGCATTTCGTTATTAATCTAATCGCAGTCTACTCGAGTTATACGGCGGCCAAGTAAGATTGATATGACACCTAATTAGATTAATAAATTGTCTAGCTAGATTAATAAATCTTCAAATTAGATTGATATGTGCTCAAATCAAGTTTCACGCCAACCGTCTGCTGGCTCAAATCTCGATTGCGCCAAGAAAAAACAGTCGAATCTATTATAGGGGCACCGCACAGAAATGGCACTCTGTTGAGAAACACTTTTTGCAGTGCAAATTGAGCGACCTCGGGGCCGAGTTTGAAAAGTTAGGCCAATTAGGTCGCGTTTAGATCAGTAACTTTCTAATTAGATTAATATCGAATTGCCAGAGGGAATTGGCCCTGGCGACCAGTTTATGGAAACATTTCAAATAGTTTATTTCCAAGGTTTTCAGCATGTTTGAGGCGATTTTTTATCACGATTTGTGACATTGGTGACAAAAATGACACAGATATGCAATTTTGGAGCTGAAAAAAATGAAAATAGATTTTAAAAAAACGCTCTTACGTTTTTCGGGCTGAATCCGGGGCGGGTGAAGACGTAAATATTACATGTACGTTTTTTCTCGGCAACTTTTGTAAACAGAATGTTTATTCAAGCAAAATAAGTACAAACAAGTTGAAATTTAAATGCAAAGGTTGTTTTTGTTGGTCTCCGAAGTTTTTATCGTTGTGCATCAAATTTTTCCACGGATTTCCGATTTTTCGTCGTGCGACAGACACAGATCGGCTAATTGACGAGTTCGTGTTCTGCTCTTGTCACAATCTTAATTTTTTGAATGCTCCTATGATAAGTGAAGAGAAGGATAGGAGTCCTATCCTTCTCTTCACTTATTACTGCTCTTGTCGCTCGGTGAGGTATCTGAAACGTTTCTCGGAGAGTAAACATACATAAAGTTTCAACGACAACTGACCGCAATTAGACTCCGTTCTTTCGGTTTTCGAGTATTACTGCCGATCCGTGCAGCGATGCGCCGAGCGGCCTTTTTCGTGTCGCCGGAACAGCGTCTTATGCGTTTCTGAGCTGAAAAAGGGGTGAATGAACGAATAGAAACTGAAAAAATTAGGTTTATTATTATAGGGGCGCCGGACAGAAAGGGCGCGCTGTTCGCAATCTGGCAGACTTTCTAGGCCGCGAAGTAATTTTCCACTGAAAACGTGGCCTAACTTTTCAAACTCGGCCCCGAGGTCGCTCAATTTGCACTGCAAAAAGAGCTTCTCAACAGAGCGCCATTTCTATGCGGTCCCCCTATAATACGAGGAAATTTTTTTCGGGTAAGAAAACTGAAAAAAAGACCGCAAATCCTTGCAGATCGCAGGTTTTTGCATAAAGTTTGAACGCATCGAGTTTTGCGCCATGCGGGGCGGAAACGCGCCAGCTGTGCCGCTCTGGTGTCAAAAGTCTCCCGGCCTCGCCCTTATTTCCAGTTGGGGAGACCGTGGCAGATAAGCGCCATTTTCTGCATAATGAAAATAATAATCGATAAACGATGTCAAATATTACGGTCCTCAGGCACTCTGGGAACTCGATCGCAATCTAATTAGAAAACTTCGCAATCCAATACGAACTCGTTTGAAATAGAATTTGCTTCAATTAGATTGCAAAATCTTCTAATTAGATTGCAATCACTGAAATGTTTCTAATTAGATAGCAATGTTTTCTAATTTTTCGTTTTTCCAGAGCAGGAGCGTTTCCAGAGCAGGAGCGAGTTTCCAGAGCAGGATTTTCTTATTAGATTCCTTTTTTTTCTCGTTTTTTACATGGCTGAATTGGGTTTTTTGACGTAAAAAAACGAAAAAAAAAAGGAAAAAAAATTTTTTCACAGCCTGAATAACCCCATAAATAAGTAGGAAATAGGAAATTCAGGGTATGCATGCATATGAAATAAACTAGTCGTGATGAGCCATACTTCTGCAACTAATTTCAACAGATCATGAGAATATTATTTCAGGAAATCGGCTATGATGTTACAATGCAGAAACTAAAAGAGTTCTTCGAAAATTCTGCTCTGACTCGACGGAAGCTTCTGGGATGTGCTAGAAACATAGCAGCGGAACCTGTTCACTCGAAAAGTGATAACATTATTTCTTTCATGAACATGCCTATCCTCTCAAAGTCTTCAAATAACATCTAAATAAATTTTTTAAACAAAATTAACGTCTATGGGCTTTGCAAATCTTAAAAACGGGGAAGCCACACTGTCGATGCAACTAAAGAAACCCCTTTTCTAATTCGAATCCGCCTTCAAACTGACGTCTCTTTAGATTAATCTTTTATTTAAAGAATTGAATTCCTCTTTTCATTGAGCTCCTTCTCGCGCTAGCAAATTCTTAAGCCTTGATTTCTCTTATTTATGGAATTCGTTCAAGTCTTCCTCAGTTCAAATTATTCAAACCGTTCATTTCTTGTTTTTTCTTCATTATTCCGCGGTCAATCTCAAAAGTGTTCGAGAGGAGCATTTGTTAGAGTATTATGTGGTCATCAGGCAAATGTTCACAAGGGTTTCTGTTCTTCTATGAACGAATACCCTTGTGAGCGTTTACCAGATGCCATTGTGAAATTCGTACCGATCTTCTGAAGCACACCGGGGAATACGAAGGCTGAAAAGGTGTTTCTTTCGAAAAGGAATTGAGAAACTGAAAGTTAAACAAATATCTACGAGTAAGTATAGATTGATCGACCGGCTACACCTTATTACCTATTCGTATTTCACTAGAACCACATCGTCTACGTAAACGAATGTGCATTGTTTTTGAAGGTGAATGAAAGATTTCCATTCAAGAAAATAGTTGGAATTCAATAAGCTGAATTTGAAAAAAAATAAAGAAGAGATTGAATGGTGAGATTAAATACTCGAATGAGCTCAAATTTTCGTCTTTCTCGGAGGAAAATTCAACTATACCTATTGTTTCTTCTTTGTACCCTAAAACCCAAAAAATGTGAAGCATGGCCTAAATCCCTTTTGTACTTTACATTTATTTCGTTTCTTTGCGCATACTTGTATGGTTTTATCGCATTTATGCCGCGTCCAAAGTTAAAAAAATCCACGGAAATCACGTGGATGTTGCTGGGATTTCCTTGAACTTTGGACACTTTTTTTAAACTTTGGACGCGGCGGCATTAGACACTGTATTTCTAAATTTAACGGTTTTAGTGTGAATACCAAGAATTATATCAAACTCGTTCGGGTAGGTTTAATGGACTGCCGTCCATTTATCTCTATTTTCCCACGCTTGATGAGTAGATCTTCCTTGGATTCGCATTTTTCATATTTATTATTCTGCAGCCTAAAGTCACTTGATTGTTTCAGGTATTCATTTAGACATACAAATTATGTTGATTAAGGCGATCGTTCTCTTGGCAATCATTAATTTCTCATCAACAAATCCGGTCAGTTCTTATTAATGTAAAATTAGAGGCCGAAGAAACTAATTACAGGTGTTTTCGGTTTATGAGAGAGTTAGCTTAAATCCGTCAATTGAAATGAGAGATAATAAGCTAGGTAATGCATATCAAAACTGAACTGATTCATTTTCATTTCTCAGAATTGATAAAAAGATCCATCGCGCGGTTAAACCAGATCGCAGGTTTCGATACCCTCGGTGAAATGGGCCTTGGTAAACGGAGTTCGGGAGACAGCGAACAGGCTGGCGAGAAAAGATCTGCTCTGAATACATTCGATTCTTTAGGAGGTCAGTGAACAATAATACACAGTAGTAACTTTCTTCATAGGGATGGGTCTTGGAAAGCGATCAAGCGTAGTCTCGTATCAGGATTCGTTGAGTTCATTCGATACGCTGGCTGGAATGGGATTTGGACGGAAATGACTTTCATTGCATTCATCACCATTTGAATGAAGCCGTTTTTCTGTTAAAGCAGATACGCCTTGAGAACTGACCAAATTAGATTTGAAAACGAATGCAAGATCCCTGTCGGGAACAGAATGAACGGTGCCACGCGTAAGAGCAAATATTCCCAAACTGTTTGACCACCAAGATTTTGGCAGTGTTTTCTCCCCATCTCCAATAGTCAGACCGATAGGATAATTTACTATGGGGACTAGAAATCCAATGGCTCGCTCGGCTTTCCCCACCTGTGATACATGATTAAAAGTTGGGCCAGCGATAGAGCGATTACCTTTGAAAAATTCAAAATCGAAAAGGAAAATGAGACATCTAAAATGATATAGGAGTGATCGGTCGCCGACCTCTATCAAAATATGTCAGTAATCTGAGATTAATAGACGGACAATTAGGACATATCGGAAATTCTACAAAGTTGCAGTTTTCTAGACTTTGTTGGATTGCAAATTGCAATCCAACTAAGTCATTCTCTTGTTTGAACTGTAGGCTAATTCAAATCCGTACTGCTAAATGCGGTTAATAGTCAAATAATATAGAAGCATTTGTATATTGCGGTTTACACACCTGCTGGCACATCGGTCAACCGGCTACATATCTGTCGATTCACGAGTATTCACGATACTATGATTACAGCTCTATTATTAAGAATTGCGACATTAACAGTTGTTTTTATGTTATCAGGATGTCGAGTTATTCACCGAGTGAGTTATATCGTTCAACCTCTCCCAGAAATATAGTATGACAACTCGGCAGTGTTGGTGAGAATTTGCGCAAACTTTCCGCAATTTCTACTAGAACTTTCGAACATTGCTTAAAGTTTGCGCTAAAATTGTGGGGACCCTTAAAGTCTGACTGCCTAAAGTTCTCTGGAAACTCGATTGCAATCTAATTAGAAGAGTTTGCAATCTAATAAGAATGGGGGTCTAATTAGGTGTCATATCAATCTTATTAGGCCGCCGTAGAACTCGAGTACACTACGATTAGATTAATAACGAAATTCCAGAGTTATAGGAGCATCTCACAGAAATGGCGCTCTATTCGCAATCTGACCGAATTTCTAGGCCACGAAGTAATTTTCAACTGAAAACGTGGTATAAGTTATACCGTATAACTTTTCAAACTCGGCCCCGAGGTAGCTCAATTTGCACTGTAAAAAGAGCTTCTCAACAGAGCGCCATTTCTGCTCTGGCATTGCGTTATTAATCTAATCGTAGTCTACTCGAGTTATACGGCGGCCTAATAAGATTGATATGACACCTAATTAGATTAATAAATTGTCTAGCTCGATTAATAAATCTTCTAATTAGATTAATTAGTGCTCAAATCAAGTTTCACGCCAACCGTCTGCTGGCTCAAATCTCGATTGCGCCAAGAAAAAACAGTCGAATCTAATTAGGTCGCGTTTAAATCAGTAACTTTCTAATTAGATTAATATCGAATTGCCAGAGTGTGCGGTGCCCCTATAATACTGTTAGAACTTTCAAGCTTAAGAGGCGCGGCACGAAAAAAGTGGTTCCTTGATAGCACCGGTGGGATTATCAAATAATTTTCGCACGCATTCACTCTTGACACACCGTTCATTTGCAGCCGCGAGATTTTCGTTGTGGCAGAATGATTGTTTTTGGAGACAGCTTGTCAGATGATGGAGTTGAAGCCGAAGGAGATAGTCATGGCTTTTTGCGGAACTGTAACGGTAAAGTATGGCCAGAATATGTTGCCGGGATGCTTGAGTGTGACAGAGTAAGTGATATTACAAAAATTAATTTTTTAAAGACACATCTTCAGTACATTAACTATGCATATAGCGGAGCAAAATCTGGCGTCGGCAATTTTTATTTTGAATCATTCTCAGGATTAAGATGGCAAATCGATCAATTTTTCACCAGCAACAAATTTATATCTGATGGTATGACCGCAAAACAGCTCATCGTTTAAGCCTGAACGCACGGGGTTCCTAACATTGTAAGAAGATGTGAGCAAGCGCGCTCTAGAGATTCATCACACGCTCTGCGACGCAGTGTATTATAGGTGCACTGGACAGAAAGGGCGCGCTGTTCGCAATCTGGACGAATTTCTAGGCCGCGAAGTAATTTTCCACTGAAAATGTGGCCTAACTCTTCAAACTCGGCCCCGAGGTCGCTCAATTTGCACAGCAAAAATAGTTTCTCAACAGAGCGCCATTTCTGTTTGGTGCCCCTATAATACGCCGTGCCAATGTTCTAATATTGACCGAAAAGAATACGTTTGCTTCGCTCCGAAGGCAATTACCACATGACGGTAAATTTGTAATTAGTTCCTCAGGAAACTTGTTATTAATCTAGATAAATAAATTAGCAATCTAATTAAGTATGGTTATAAACGCGAACGGTCGCGTATTGTTCGGAACCCTGTGGAACGACACAACAATTCTATCTTAACAGTTTTCAGACCCCTTGATTATTTTGCAAACGGGTGGAATTGTTGATTTTTTTGGTGGCGAATCAAATGTGACAGAAGTAATTGAGAACATTCAACAGTCTATAGAAAATGTCACTCAGGCTAGTAAATTTCTAACTACGAATCTGATTGTAAGCGACCTTATAGACGTTGAATTCGGGCACGCTTGTGATCCTATCATTACTGGACGTCTCAAGTAGTCCAGGAGTTCAAGCAGCTGAAGATTCTACTATTCTTCAAGAACGGTTGGGATCTGTCATCGCCGAAACTAATAGAGTGAGCCAGTATGGGTTGGTGAAATTATGAAGTTGATTGCAGAAGCTCCGTCATATAGTCTTAGACAGTGATCTTGGGGCACGCCGAATGAACCCGTTTCTTCGGGTTAAGTTGATAGATATAAATTCTATTGCCTTGGCCGCAATGCAATCTCTTAATACGTCAGAACCATTCACGCATCATTCTCCAAATGTTTTGTGAGTTTAAAATGTGTATAGTGTAACCATTTCAGTTATCCAAAAAATTTGAGAACTGCTTTTCTGAGTACCATTTCAGACCTCAATCAGTTTACCGATATGCTTACCACGACCTCTGGAATCCTTCTACTATTGTGCACTACCATATAGCCAAAGAGATTGTAAGAGATCTACAACAGTTTTGAATGTTCTATAACTGAATGAATAATTTTAATTAAAATTCGTTAAATTTAGCGAATAATTGTGAAGCTACTGGTATTTCGTGGGGCCCAAACGTCACAATTCGACGTCGGCTCACTTGCAGATCCCAGAGGGCAGTTAAATGCAGTTTGGAATGCGGGGAAGTTCTGACAAGGGAACCTTTTAAGTGGGTGTTATCTCCAGCACAAACGAACGACACAGTTCGAAAAAGGGACTTTCAAAACCTATATTCCAGTTTTCAAAAGCTGCTTACGAGACCTCTGAGATGCTGAAATTCCAGTCCGAAGTTTGAGATTTCTTAACCATAGATTTCGCATTTTGGTGGCGCGGCGACCCACCCTCACACCCCCGCCATATGCGCCACGGTTGTCACTGCCCGCAACACCCTACGAAAATGTCGTCGAGTGGCGCAGCACAGGTGAAATGCGGTTTAGCAATTATACAATTGCGCTAATTCTAGACAAATTCTCGGCAAAAGGGCCGAGTTTGAAAAGTTATACCATGTTTTCAGTGGAAAATTACTTCGCGGCCTAGAAATTCGGCCAGATTGCGAACAGCGCGCCCTTTCTGTCCGGTGCCCCTATAATAGAATTGTATAATTGCTAAACCGCATTTCACCTGTGAGGAGTTAACGGTGGGGATGAGGGGAGTGTGGTCACGGGCTCGACTCCCTCGTTTTGCTTTTTCTTTTTTCTTTCTTTTTTCATGTATTTTTGACGAAATTGTTTTGAAATGTTGATTTTTGAAGAGATTAAAGTTGCAAACTGAAGTTCCTTATCCCTATATGCGGAAATTCTTCATCAACACAAATCTTTTTTGCGATGGTTTTTTTCAGAACAGCGTTTGAGTGCAGTTGATTCTTTGATCCACAACTCGAAGGGGAATTTTTGTAGAGAATAATGATCAACTACAAAGTTGATCAGCATGACATTTACTACAACTTTCCAGTTAACCACTTCTTTCTAAAAAATGTTCTTCTTGAGATACAAGCTGTTGATTAAAAGTGGGTCGTATCACAAAAATCAGCAAGTTTTCAAAAATGTTATCAACTAAAAAAGTATGCAAAATGTCTTCAGTAAGGTTTCTTTAGTTGACAACTTTTTGATATCTCATTCAATTCGCGAGATACAGCAAGATTTTGCACTACTATTTATTTATTATTATTTTTTTTTTTCGCCGCGTAATCGATTCTCTCGACTCGCGCCGTTTCCGTTCTTCGCCGCGAGGAGGCTTAGTCATTGAAGAACAAAAATTGGTTGACTTCTTGCATTGCAATAACGTCAGAAGGAGGAAGAGAGAGAGAGCTGACTTCTTGCATTGCAATAACGTCAAAGGGAGGAATAAAGAGAGCTGACTTCTTGCATTGCAATAAAGTCAGAGGGAGGAAGAGAGGAAGAGCTGACTTCTTGCATTGCAATAACGTCAAAGGGAGGAATAAAGAGAGCTGACTTCTTGCATTGCAATAACGTCAGAGGGAGGAAGAAATAGAGCTGACTTCTTGCATTGCAATAACGTCAGAGGGAGGAAGAAATAGAGCCGACTTCTTGCATTGCAATAACGTCAGAGGGAGGAAGAAATAGAGCCGACTTCTTGCATTGCAATAACGTCAGAGGGAGGAAGAAAGAGAGCTGACTTCTTGCATTGCAATAACGTCAGAGGGAGGAAGAAAGAGAGCTGACTTCTTGCATTGCAATAACGTCAAAGGGAGGAATAAAGAGATCTGACTTCTTGCATTGCAATAACGTCAGAGGGAGGAAGAAATAGAGCCGACTTCTTGCATTGCAATAACGTCAGAGGGAGGAAGAAAGAGAGCTGACTTCTTGCATTGCAATAACGTCAGAGGGAGGAAGAAAGAGAGCTGACTTCTTGCATTGCAATAACGTCAGAGGGAGGAAGAGAGAGAGCTGACTTCTTGCATTGCAATAACGTCAAAGGGAGGAATAAAGAGAGCTGACTTCTTGCATTGCAATAAAGTCAGAGGGAGGAAGAGAGGAAGAGCTGACTTCTTGCATTGTAATAACGTCAAATCAGAGGAAGAAGAGAGAAGTGTTTGAGTGACTGACTTCTTGCGTTGCAATAACGTCAAATCAGGGGGAGACCCCCATGGGCACCCTATGGGTAGACATGAAAAAAAACGAGACGGCAACAGATGAAATGACTATTTCTGCCTTTATATACCCCTGTGGGTGGCCATTCTAATTAGTGGGCGTGGCTACTGAGTGTAGTTAGTGGGCGTGGCCACTGCACCTGGCTTTTCCTTCTTCCTGTTGTGGGCCTGGTATACTTTCCCATCACAGTCCTTTGTCGGCATTCTTATCACTAATCTCCGCCGGTAGTTAAGACCTCAGGTGTGGAAGCTTCAAGCGGATTTGCAGCAAGTTTCAAAGAAGCCGACTTAATTACAGACGGAGATTAGTGATAAATACTCCGACAAAGGACTCCGTTGGGAAAGAACGATTGGGATTTCGAAACGTCATAGCACCATGCCAAGAAGATTCTGAAAAAGAGCAATAAGGAATTAAAGGATTTCCGATTTCGAATTATTATTATTATTATTTATTTACGTTTATTTTTAACGTGGAGAAGAGAGAGAGAGAGGAGAGAAAAAAGAAGGGGGAGAGGATGTGGGGGAGTTGGGGGGAATAAATGGGGAATCTTCAGCTACTTGCCCGCGCAAAAGGAAAGAGATGATCATTTAACAGATGCCTGTGCCAGATTCATCTTTGATAAGACTCTGTGTGTAAAAAAGTTATGTCTTAGCTTCGATTTTGGAGTCTTCCATCGGTAAACGTGACTCCGTCTAGTCCGTGTAGCGTTTAAGCGTAGGAAAAAGTCATCAGGATTGATGTCGACTTTGTTAGCTAACAATTTGATTAAAAACTTCTTATCTAAATGTGATCGGCGAGTTTCTAGTGATTCGAGGTTAAATTGACGGCGACGTTCGCTGGCGTTTATGTAGTTTGGCGAATCTCGAGGTACGAAAGCTCCTATTTTCCGTAACCAAAGCTTACGAGAGAAGTTACTCTGAACCTGTTCTATTGCTCTTATCGTAGCTTACAGAGTTGAGCGGAATTCCGTCTGCCGTCTTCCGTCTTCCGTCTTCCGTCTTTCGTGGATTTTTTTGTTCCGTCTTCCGTCTGCCGTCTTCCGGGAAAAAAGTTTTCTTCCGTCTTCCGTCTGCCGTCTTCCGGAATTTTTTCTTCTTACCGTAAAAAAGTAATAGCTTTTCAGAAGCCATTTACTAGCCCCGAAGAACACGAATTTCCACGGGCAGTGACCCAGATCCAAGATTTTTGTTGCTTTAGTTATTTATTTTTAAAAAAACCGGAAAAAAAGGTTCTGCATTGACGATTTTTTTGTTCCGTCTTCCGTCTGCCGTCTTCCGCGAAAAAAGTTTTCTTCCGTCTTCCGTCTGCCGTCTTCCGTGAGAAAAATTTTCTTCCGTCTTCCATTTTCCGTTTTCCGTAAAAAAATTATCTTCCGTCTGCCGTCTGCCGTCTTCCGGATTTCGAAATTCCATTTCCGCTCAACTCTGGCCAGTACTGGTGTGATAATGTGATAATGATTATTATAACCTTGAACTAATTTATCTAACAAGGCGTTGTATACATATTCTGAAACTCTATTTGACTGCAATAAAAATCCAGTATTTTTTTCGATTCTGCAGTTCGGAATTATGGTGCTGTTTTCACGATGCCTTGTGGAAGACAGAAGTGTCAGGATGTACCAGTTCCTCGAAAAAGTTGACTGAAATGTTCACATAGTGATAAAATCAGAGTAAAAGCGCGGCTAAATATCGCCGCGGAGTTTCAGTAAGGAATTTTTCAGATGACAGCTGTCTAGTGCAAACTAGGGGGCTACGTACGCCGAACCAAAACTGTTCGAATCAGAACCAATTAGCACTAAAAATAGTTCTGATTCGGGGCAGTTCTGATTCGAACAGTTCTGGTTCGGCGTACCCTCCAAACTAGTACAAGCGCGCTCTACGGTCACGCGTTAGAGATAAGAGACGGCGGAGTATGTGCGTTTCGCAATCCGGCGGGCGCAATTTCCGATTCGGAGGCCGAGTTTCACTAGACTAGAAACGGCCTGGACATTCTTCTTAAACTAGTACCTCCAACATGCCTCCTGTTTCATACGAGAGAGCTTCAACGTTGTTGAACGTTGTTCTAATTTGACAACATATAAGCGTGTTTCGGTTCGCAGAAAACTCTTGCTCGCAAAAAAAACCAGTTGTTCCTAATTTTTGGATCGGACCTTTTTTGACCCTCGAGAATTTTCGCAAGATTTTGTCCTTACATCCGTTGCACCACTTTTTTCTTTACAGATGCCTCCAAAAAAGCCGACGAAAGGCAACGCCAAAGAAGATGTGCCGAAGAAAGAAGCGAAGGGTGGCACAACAGTCAAAGTCCGTCACATACTTTGTGAGAAACAAGGAAAAGCTTTAGAAGCAATAGAAAAACTGAAATCAGGAATGCGGTTCAATGTGGTTGCTGCTCAGTACAGTGAGGACAAGGCTCGAAGTGGTGGTGATCTTGGCTGGATGACTCGCGGAAGTATGGTTGGGCCATTTCAAGATGCCGCGTTTGCCCTAGCTAACAGTACGTGCGATAAGCCAATTTATACCGACCCACCTGTCAAAACTAAGTTTGGATATCATATCATCATGACCGAAGGAAAAAAATAATGATATTTATTTATTAAATGAAATGCTTAATATTGCAAAACATCGTTTAAAAGTTTTCATACTTACGTTGCGTCAATAATCACTGAATATTGTGCTTCTTCAATATTGACATTTTAATCATTTTATAGTAATTGCATACTCACAAGTGCTCAACTGCAATGAAGGAACTCCCCTATTCCGAAGAAGGTGGTTCAATAGGAGAAACGTACAACGGAAATGGTTATTACACTCTGCTTCACTATCGAAAAGAGAAAGTTTCAGAACAATCCGGTGGAAAAGAAGCATTTCGTAGTCAACAGTCGCTTGGACTGATAACGCAGAAGTTCATGAACTTGCGACAAAAAAATGAGGTAAATTGTCTCGTTTGAAATAGAATTTGCTTCAATTACATTGCAAAATCTTCTAATTAGATTGCGATCACTGCAATTTTTCTAATTAGATTGCAAACTCTTCTAATTAGATTGCAATCGAGTTTCCAGAGATAGGCATATATCCAGTGTCTCACGGCACGTGAAATTTTAAACTGACCCAAACTATGTTAGTTGGATACATATTAGTAATATAAATGAATTTTAATTTGAATTAGTACTAGCAGGGGCAGTAATGTAAGAACCAAAGCTGCATGAAAGTAATTTTTCCGAAAAAACGCAAAATACGTTTTTTTTTTCTTGGAAAACGGAAAACAACTGTATCTGTCCGTTTTAGTTTATAATATGTATCAGAGCTCCACGGTCTCCAGAGCTGACAATATGGGCGTGGCCTCGGCCAAATGGCGTTTTCATGAATTGAGCAGGTTTTCTCTGACTTTTGTGGTCAAAGGCGATGAAAAGTGATTGTTCGACATGAAAACACACTAATTCTCAGAATTAATGACGTTTTGGCGCATTTTTCGCGGCTTTTGCTTTTTCGCCTTCGTCGCCGAACGCCGCCTAAAAACCGCACTTCTGATTTTGCGCTTTCTTGACCGTTTTCAGACAGAATTGGTTTTGAGAATGATAAATCACGTAAATACAAGCATTTTGAGCGCTCGAACCGCGAAAACTATCGAAAAGCAACTGAAATTCACGCAGTTTTAGCCAAAAACCTTCAAACGGATAAATGTGATTTGCGACTTGACCAAATTTTACGCTCTTGCGCTTAAAAAATTCGTAATAGCCTATACAATCGGTCTATCGAGAGACAAATGAGAAATTATCGGTTTTTCGTGGCTAATCTGGCAAAAAACACAAATTTTGCTGTTAAAATTTGAATTTCGCTCTATTGGGCGGGGCGCACTTGCGCCCATTGTAAGCTCTGGAGACCGTGCGGAGTGACATCGTTTGGATTAGTTGAAATTTTCATGTGCCGCGGTTTTTCTTTGCTAATATTTTGGGATCATGACAAATGTCCTAAAAATCTAATTTTTCAGGTAATGAACTTGAACGACGTTGTCAAAGAGCTGGGGATTTCGAAACGGCGTGTATACGACGTTATTAATGTTCTGGAAGGACTAGGATATGTAGAAAAGGTTGAGAAGAATAACATTAAATGGATGTAAGTCGGCAAGAATATTATACTCAATTTACCGCTCTTGCCCGCTCGGTGTTTGCAGACTCAAGCTTAATTTCAGAACATTTCGGTTTGAGTCTGCAAACACTGAGGGGCAATAGCGATGAATTGAGTTTATTTCCCAATGTGACCAGATCGGTCCTAAGTTTTTTTTTTCAAAAAAGTAGTTCAAGGAAGATTCAGTTCAAGCTTGCCGCATACTATTAATGTGTGTCGTGGCTTCTGCAATACAAAATTAGGTGGTACAAGGAATGAGGATTTGCTATTATAGGGGCACCGCACAGAAAAGGCGCTCTGTTGAGAAACTCTTTTTGCAGTGCAAATTTTGCGACCTCGGGGCCGAGTTTGAAAAGTTAGGCCAGTGGAAAATGACTTCGCGGCCTAGAAATTCTGCCAGATTGCGAACAGCGCGCCCTTTCTGTCCGGTGCCCCCATTTTTCACGCAAATTTCGGCCGACTTTGGACAGAAAAATCTGCGGTTTTTACGGTTTTTCCGAGACATTGAACGCGGCATAACGCGTGACCGTAGAGCGCGCTTGCATTATCAATCGAAAAATTTCTTGATGAAAACAAAAGAAGTTGTCGGCGACATGGTTAACACAAAAAATTGAATTTCAAAAAATCAGAACAAGCAAAGTCAAAAATTAGAAACATTTTTCTGCAATTAGCTAATCAAAAAATTCGTGCGTATTGAAGAGAGCCCGTTTTCTCGAAACGTGTGGGTTTAAAAAATGTCAAGGGGCAGGTACAACCCAGCTTTCTCAACCATTTTGATACTTTTTGTTAATACATGATTAGATTTAACTATTGGACACAAGAAATCTGTAAAATAAAAGCGGTTTGACTAAATGAGATCAAGTAAACTACAAAAGAAAAACGTTTCGGTCACTTAAAAAATCAGAAAATGTTTTTTCGAAAAATATGAGACCTACAAGTTTTAGACATCGGGAAGGACTACAATTTGCGATTTTGACCAAGAAAAAATATGCACTTTGAACGGAGATACGTACATTTCAAGTTTTCAGTTGTAAAAGTAGTGGTTTTTTATGTTTTCACGAAAAATCGAGAGCTAGACAGAAATTCTCAAAAAACAAACGCCTACAAGCGATTCCAAATTTCATAAGCTTTCTTTTGCGACCTCTAACGAGCAGATTGGTTGAAATTGAAGCGAGAAACGTAGATTTGAAGTAGACCGACTCGAGCTAAGCTTACGGTAGATCAGATTCTTACAGGCTTACCGACGGCAGCAACGTTCATTCTCACTCGACTATCATTTAACTTGTAATTTTAGTCTTTATGACTTTTCTGACATATATTTCAAAGAACTGGTGTATTCTGACTCTTCCGTCTAGTAGAAGACGTTGTGAATATAGCATCATAATTCCGTACTCCAGAATTGCGAAATTTCCGGATTTTTGATTGCTGTTTGTTTTAAAGACGCATATAGAATACTTTGATGTTGAAATAAGTCGAAAATCGTTTTTCGTTCTCCGACAGCACGCTTCTAAAGAAGCCGACGGAAGACTGTAGTTATATTCCCGAATATATTCCCGTCGACGTATTATGGGGCTATTCAGCGTATGTTTTTTTTCCCGTTTTTTTCGTTTTTTTACACCGCTGAATTGGGTTTTTTGACGTAAAAAAAACGGAAAAAAATCATTTTTTTCACAGAAAATTGAAATTGAGCGACCTTGGGGCCGAGTTTGAAAAGTTAGGCCACGTTTTCAGTGGAAAATTACTTCGCGGCCTAGAAATTCTGCCAGATTGCGAACAGCGCGCCCTTTCTGTCCGGTGCCCCTATAATACAGTCCGTTTCATAAGTATAGGGCCACCCCTAAAATTGAATATATCGTCTTTCCCGAACAAAATAAATGTTGCAACTGCAAGCGTTTCATAAGTATAGCCTACGGCCACCCCTGAAAACACTCTGGAAGCCTCTTAAACTGATAAACATGATCTTGAATGGGGTTCTTTGCACCTTTAGGATGTCCAAACAGCCTTTTTGAAATCATGTGCAATGACCCCGGGGCCACTCTCCCAGGTTTAGCCTCATGTTCTGTGTGGAGCTCGGGAGTGGAGCCGGGGGACTCCGATGATCTCAATTGAGTCAAATCTTGTTTGAAACAAGTTTTGTGAGCATTTTCAAGTCAATTTTTTTGAAGCATGTCGAATCTCTAGCACGTGATATCAGATTTTTGGCCAAAATGAAGCCAGGCCCAACAAGGATCCGACTGGCTTGAGCGTCAAACTCCAGGCTGACATTGCACACTTATGGAACTTCATAAGGAAGGTTTGAAGCATGACATGTTTGACATTTTTCAGTACATTTCTGTTGATTTTCTTCACTTAAACAATCGGGAGCTCATAACTCTGTTGAAAGTGATCCGATTGACACCAAACTCAAACATGTCATGCTTCAAACCTTCCTTATGAAGTTCCATAAGTGTGCAATGCCAGCCTGGAGTTTGACGCTCAAGCCAGTCTGATCCTTGTTGGGCCTGGTTTCATTTTGGCCAAAAATCTGATATCACGTGCTAGAGATTCGACATGCTTCAACAAAATTGACTTGAAAATGCTCACAAAACTTGTTTCAAACAAGATTTGACTCAATTAAGATCATCGGAGTCCCCCGGCTCCACTCCCGAGCTCCACACAGAACATGAGGTCCTGTCTTTGTATTTTGTTCGGGAATCACAATATATTCAATTTTAGGGGTGGCCCTATACTTATGAAACGGACTGTAGATTAGAAACGATTTGCCTGAGTATGTAGCAGTTCTGATTCGTGCGCGTTATGGTACGGGCGCAGTTCTGATTCGGGCAGTTCTCAATCCTTGTACCAACTAAAATTCTCCCAAGAATATGAAAGTCCACATTTTTGAAGGTCAAAAAAGTATCGATCATTTTCTAATTGAATTGCAATTCATTTATCGGAGCTTGGAAATGCCGTGCTTCCATCAATGTGAAATTTACAGAGGAGATAGGAATAAAGATGATCTGCAAGATCAGTTAGAAGCTGGCGTCGAAAACTTGCGTCAACAAGAGAGAATTGTGGAGCATATGCTTCGGGACGCGCAATCGTTGATTAGACTAAATATCGACGATCCTATAAATCGGCCATATAGGTATTGTATTTTTTTTTAGAAGGGTGTACTCCCGCTCTTGTTCTCTTGGTGCTTGCGGGCTCAAGCTAGATTGTTTAAGGATACAATCAAATTATTCCTCTTATATGAGCAAGAGCACTAAGCGTCCCAAAAGGCCACGCCCACTTTTCGGTTCGGTTGTTGAATGAGTGGTGATCGAACTTCAGAGATAAAATGAGAGTAAGGTTTTTAACTTCACGTCTCTTTTTTTTTAAATCGCCGGGCCTGGACTAGAATATAGTCTAGAAAAAACGGCATTTAATTCCGAGGGTACAACAATTTTGGGGCACAACAGGGTACAACCTATTTTGGGGTACAACTTTTTTAATTTTGGGGTACAACTTCCCCGATTTTAGGGAACAATTTCTGTCAAGTATTTTAGGGTACAATAATTTTAGGGTACAACACTTTTAGGGCACAACTAGCACATAATTTCAGGGCACAACTTCTTACAATTTTGGGGCACAACAACATGATTTTAGGGTACAACACTTTTTTTCTCATTTTTTTGTATTTTCTTGCATTTTACTACAAACCCATATTCTTTTTATATCAATATTTCGCTGATTTTTTTATTTCAATGACTCATCTCTTGTAAGAGAACCAGTCTTTCGACTCGTGCTTTCTGCGGCAGTTCACACATTTTGTTTTCATCAAATCGTGAGGTTATTCAAAACCTTTTATTGCAAAAAAGCATATGACAGTAACAAGTTGAGCACAAATGAACGGATCTGAAATAAAGAGTAGTTAATCTAGTCTATTGTCTATTGTTTTCTTGCAGTAGAGGTTTTAGTGCACCACAAAATATGCTCCCAAGGGAAGCCTTGATCCTATTCTCATAAACCCGCCTTATTAATAGAGCTATTTAAAACCTAGATTAACTACTCTTTATTTCAGATCCGTTCATTTGTGCTCAACTTTAATAATAACTCATTTATTCTCTTCAGCCACCTAGGAATAAAATTACAACAAAAAAGAAAGAAGAGAAAAAAAAGAGGGGGAATGTGGGTGGGGGAAGGAACAATGGCTTGACATGACCATTGGCCGGCAGTAGCCAGAGGTCAGTTAGAATACAAAAAGCTAGGGGGGATCTTCTCGATGCGCGCTGCGAAGGCCTCAGAGGACAGTCTTTCGGGAAACAACTTGGCCACTCGGTTCCAAAGGGCAAGATAAGGCAAGATATAACTTGTTACTGTCATATGCTTTTTTGCTTTGAATAACCTCACGATTTGATGAAAACAAAATGTGTGAACTGCCGCAGAAAGCACGAGTCGAAAGACTGGTTCTCTTACAAGAGATGAGTCATTGAAATAAAAAAATCAGCGAAATATTGCTATAAAAAGAATATGGGTTTGTAGTAAAATGCAAGAAAATACAAAAAAATGAGAAAAAAAAGTGTTGTACCCTAAAATCATGTTGTTGTGCCCCAAAATTGTAAGAAGTTGTGCCCTGAAATTATGTGCTAGTTGTGCCCTAAAAGTGTTGTACCCTAAAATTATTGTACCCTAAAATACTTGACAGAAATTATTCCCTAAAATCGGGGAAGTTGTACCCCAAAATTAAAAAAGTTGTACCCCAAAATAGGTTGTACCCTGTTGTGCCCCAAAATTGTTGTACCCTCGGAATTAAATGCCAGAAAAAACAAGCAATGTGCGGGGCGAGGCCGGGGACGTGGAGTTCTCTCTAGTCCCGTAAAAAAAACGCCTTGCGTTTGCGAAAAACTTTCGAAATTTGCCGTAGAAGGAAAAAGGGGTCTCTTGGGACGTGCACCACTCAGGTAAATCGTTTGTAATCTAGCTAGCTAATTCACGTTTCTAACCGGACCTAATTAGATTGCTAATTTACTGCGATTAGATTGCAAACTCTTCTAACTGGACTGATACATTTTCTAATTTTTTTTTGGCAAAGCTAATTAGATTGCAAAAACACTGATATTAGATTCAAAATTTATCTAATTAGATTAAAATTTCGGGCAAACCTAGCTAAATTATGTTTAGATTGCAAAATCAGCTAGCTAGATTCAGAAATCGGTAGCAATCTAACTAGGTCCGGTTAGAAACGAGAATTAGCTAGTTAGATTAGAAACGATTTGCCTGAGCAGTCGCTGATAGCAGTTTTGAGTACGCAAGCGTTGAAGTAATCTAATTAATGGAATGACATTACGTTTTAGTTATATTCAAAAAATCAATCTTCGCGAAACATCTGCCTCTATTACGAAATCAATTGTTTTGAAGTCAGATATGGATAGAAACAACAGCTTTGAAGTGAGTTTTAACTCTGGGAACTCGATCGCAATCTAATTAGAAAACTGTGCAATCTAATACGAACTCGTTTCTCTGGCATTGCGTTATTAATCTAATCGTAGTGTACTCGAGTTCTACGGCGGCCTAATAAGATTGATATGACACCTAATTAGATTAATAAATTGTCTAGCTAGATTAATAAATCTTCTAATTAGATTGATATGTGCTCAAATCAAGTTTCACGCCAACCGTCTGCTGGCTCAAATCACGATTGCGCCAAGAAAAAACAGTCCAATCTAATTAGGTCGCGTTTAGATCAGTAACTTTCTAATTAGATTAATATCGAATTGCCAGAGTTTGAAATAGAATTTGCTTCAATTAGATTGCAAAATCTTCTAATTAGATTGCAATCACTGCAATTTTTCTAATTAGTTTGCATTTTTTTTCTTATTAGATTGCAATTCAGGAAAAATATATTGTAATCTAATACGATTTTACTGGAACTTCAATTAAATCTGATTAGATTGCGAAATAGAGCTTTTTCTTATTAGATTGCAAACTCTTCTAATTAGATTGCAATCGAGTTTCCAGAGCTTGTATGATCACGCGTCATTATACCATTTGGAAGGCGGGGAGCTGACAATATGGGCGTGGCCTCGGCCAAATGGCGTTTTCATGAATTGAGCAGGTTCTCTTCCGATTTTTGTCGTCAAAGGCGATGAAAAATGATTGTTCGACATGAAAACACACTAATTCTCAGAATTAATGGCATTTTGGCGCATTTTTCGCATTTTTCGCGGATTTCGCATTTTGAGCGCTCGAACCGCTAAAACTACCGAAAAGCAACTGAAATTCACGCAGTTTTAGCCAAAAACATTCAAACGGATAAATGTGATTTGCGAATTGACCAAATTTAACGCTCTTGCGCTTTAAAAAAAAATTCATAATAGCCTATACAATCGGTCTATCGAGAGACAAATGAGAAATTATCGGTTTTTCGTGGCTAATCTGGCAAAAAACACAAATTTTGCTGTTAAAATTTGAATTTCGCGCCAATGTATCGCTCTATTGGGCGGGGCGCACTTGTGCCCATTGTCAGCTCTGGAGACCGTGGGTCCGTGGATCAGACCTCGAAAATCCTCAAAGGGCATTGCTTATCCTTCCTGAACATAATTAAATTTTCCACAGACCCCTCAACGTGAATTCTGTTACAGATACAAGTGACCGATCCCAGTTCTAGCAATAAGTACGATATGATAATAAGAAACATAAATGGCGTGAAATCACATGCGTTGTTATTAACACATGACGGTGATGATGAAGCTTCTTCTGAAAATCCAATGGTTGTGATAGATAGACAAGAAGACGTCACTCTTGCCTTTTTACCAACCAATTCAATGCCGCTTAGTGTTCTCAGAGAAAAGGACGATCTATCGGATACTGATGACCTCGGTATGTATTATAAGCCGAGGCAATGTTCGGAAGCGGCTTCGCCTGTTTTTTGATTATCTCATACGTTTGATAATTAATGTTTATTTCTTATTTTCTCCGTAACACTGACATTTGCGAACATTCGACAAAATCGAAAAAAAATTACGTGCTAAAAATAGTTTCAGATCGAACATTGAAACATGATATTTCAAATTGTCTTTATTTTCAGAAACGTTCGTGATACCGACAACGACGTCGGGAGAAATCGGCTCGACATTCACTATTGAGACACCGGGGAGAGGTCTTTTATTCAGCCCATTCAAGTCACTAATTGACCCAACGTGCATTCTTCCTACGTATTCTGAAAATCAAGACTATATTTGTATCAATGCATTGAAAGAACAGGAAGCTCCGTCCTCGCACGATATAACAAGCGTAGTAGAAATTTTCACGGACTAGTAAAAAAAACTCGGTTCGAATAATCATGTATCAATAATAAACGTTTTTGGCCCGTGTGGATATATGACGACCCCTCGAAGAATACGTAACCGAACTAACAAAAATTTTCCCGCCCTTTTGAAAACTCGCAGCATGCTGCATGCCACGGACTTTTTCTACTACGGGACTGAACACAAGGTTATTCAGGCTGTAAAAAAATTTTTTTTTTCGTGTTTTTACGTCAAAAAACCCAATTCAGCGACGTAAAAGAACGGAAAACAAACAGACGATGAATAGTCTTTTACAGAATTACCCCGTACAGCGCCCATCAGTTGTTTTTTCAACAGATTGAAATGGATTTTTCTTCAGTGTGTACATCTCAAAGCTTAAAGAAGATTTATTGGGTAAATCGAAGAGACGGAAGTTTGAATTATAAGTATTTACAGTAGCAATATGAATGTGTTATATTTGAGCAGACTTTCTTAAGAGAAGAATACCCCGGTAAGAACGCATTCTTTCCCGAATTTTGCATAATTAATTTTCAGAAAGTTAAGTTAAAACGTTTTTCAATTCGCAGAAAGTTCTAGCCGTGTGCAATGCACACTGTGCATGTTACAGCAGCGGAAATAGCCTTCAATAACAATTACACGCGAAAACTTTAGTTTGCGTTTTCGATCAAACTTTTAGAAGTGTAGAATTAAACGTGCCATGGCATGCCACAATAAAAGTACCTCGAACTCTACCGAGCAACTTATCAGCAAACGTTGGTTTGATAGCAGCTTTCGAGCAAAAGTTCAGCAACTTTCGAGTAAACGGTTGAGATTAGAATTTTTTGAACAACACTTCAGCAACTTGTGCGCATAAAATTAGCCGCTTTTGAGCAGAAGATGCTGAAGTTCTGCTGACAAGTTGCAGGGATGTGCGAAAAGTGCGAAATTCGCGTGTAGAGTTGTGGAGCCTGATTCGCGTACTTTGCGGCCGTATTGCACATAAGTAGAACACACTCATGTGAAATCTTGAAAGCATCAGTCGGTATTATAGAGAAGTGGATTCATAGACCTTGATGACTCCACCGTATGAATGTGCAGATATTTGTCTGAAAGTATTACCAATTTATGCGCTCTCTTAAAGGTGTCGTGCAGTACAAATGCAACATTTTTTAAAGCTCAGTGGGGGATTTATGTTCCCAAAGTCTCCAGTTCTGAAAAAAAATTCTCCCGAATTTTGCTGATTTTTCCAGCAAGTCAATTCGTGTTTTTAGACGGACTTAATTAGATTACTAATTTACTCATGGAAAGTAACTTTTTCGTCTTCGTCTCTCTCTTCAACCGCGCAAATGGTATTTCTCTCGCATTGAGTGTGAAAGTCATTGAGTAGCGCGGAAGTCATTCAGTGTGGAAGTCATTGCTCAGGCAAATCGTATATAATCTAACTTTCTAACCGGACCTAGTTAGATTGCTACCGATTTCTAAATCAAGTTAGCTGATTTTGCAATCTAAACAAAATCTAGCTAGGTTTTGCCCGAAATTTTAATCTAATTAGATAAATTTTGAATCTAATATCAGCATTTTTGCAATCTAATTAGCTTCGCCAGTCTAATTAGAAAATTTATCAGTCCAGTTACAAGAATTTGCAATCTAATCGCAGTAAATTAGCAATCTAATTAGGTCCGGTTAGAAACGCGAATTAGCTAGCTAGATTACAAACGATTTACCTCAGTGAGTACAAAAGTCATTAAGTAAAAAAGTAAAAAAATCTGGAAGTCATTGAGTAATGGCCGTTTTTTATGATCAAAACTATCAAACAGCAACGAAAAACTCGCAAGAATTCCTGCGAGTTTCTTGTTGATTCTTGCGAGTTACAATCATAATGGGGCTATTCAGCGTATGTTTGTTTTCCGTTTTTTTGGTTTTTTTATGGGGTTATTCAGGCTGTGAACAAGTGATTGTTTTCCGTTTTTTTCGTTTTTTTTTACGTCAAAAAATCCAATTCAGCGATGTAAAAAAACTAAAAAAAAAAACGGAAAACAAACATACGCTGAATAGCCCCATTACACCGCTGAATTGGGTTTTTTGACGTAAAAAAACGGAAAAAAAATCATTTTTTTACAGCCTGAATAACCCCATAATGAACTCATTCCCAAAAAATTAGGAAAAATGAATCAGTGTTCTTCAAACAGCACGGCACGCATCTAAAGTTTTGGCGCACGAAAAAGAGGGCTACCCCGAATCAGAACTGTGCCACGGATCGGAACTGTCCTGAAACAAAACCTATCTGCACGTGGTTTTCGTTTAATGGGGCTATTCATGGGATGAAAAGATTATTGTTTTCCGTTTTTTTCCCCTATTGTCAAAAAATGGAAAAAAACGGAAAGAAATGCATCGCTCGCAGCGTTTTTTTTTCCGGCGGGTCTCGCAGCGATTTCCCGGACGCGAAGCATGCGGCTACTGTGAGAGACGTTTTATGAGTGGATTTACGAGAACGGGTGGATTTACGAAAAATTTTCTAATTTCTCAGCGAATTTGCCACGTTTTCCTGCTATTTTGAACCGATTTTCACTGAAAAACTCAATGTTTTGAACGATATGACGAGGCACTCGAAACTATCCAAAAAAAGAATTCAATCGAAGTCGGTCGGAAATAGCGGTAAACGTGGCAATTTCGCAACAGTTACCATAACAGATAAATAAGAACTGAAATTCAGTTGAAAATCGGTTGAAAATAGCGGGAAAACGTGGCAATTTCGCTCAAAAATTAGAAAAAAATTCCCTCTTCTCGTAAATCCACTCATAAAACGTCTCTCACAGTAGCCGCATGCTTCGCGTCCGGGAAATCGCTACGAGACCCGCCGGAAAAAAACGCTGCGAGCGATGAATTTCTTTCCGTTTTTTTTTCCATTTTTTGACATCGCTGAATAGGGGGGAAAAAAAACGGAAAACATTCATTTTTTCATCCCCTGAATAGCCCCATAAAAAACTCTGTTCCGATCCTGGGCAGTTCTGGTTCGGGGTAGCCCCGGAAAAAGAGTTGGAGAGCGTGCCGCCAACCGGCGAAATAAGCGGGACGGTGGACGAACATTCTTCCTCTCCTCACTGCACGCGCATGCACCCTCGCAAGACGGTATCCGCAACGAAAAATGTGACCATGAGAAACTCTCGGGCAACATTTTCATTGCGAGATAGCGGAAGATGATCTCGATTTTATTCTCGCACATACGTATTATAGGGGCACCGGACAGAAAGGGCGCGCTGTTCGCAATCTGGCAGAATTTCTAGGCCGCGAAGTAATTTTCCACTGAAAACGTGGCCTAACTTTTCAAACTCGGCCCCGAGGTCGCTCAATTTGCACTGCAAAAAGAGTTTCTCAACAGAGCGCCATTTCTGTTCGGTGCCCCTATAATAGGGGCGCAAAGGAGGGGGCGTGGCTCTTTCTATTTCCGTTTTTTGAAAAGTGACTGTAAAGTGTAACAGTTTTGGATTTGAGCGCGCAAAAACACTAATTTGACACCAAGAAGAAGGCCGCGCGCAGCCAGCTTTTCTATGCCAATGGCGGCCGGCGCGCCTTCGCTCGGCGCCTCCGCTCGGCGCCTCCGCTGGAGCAGTAGGAAAGTGCTCACTCGGCAATCTGAAGGTGCCGGGTTCGAAAATTTTGACCTCGAAAGTTGTTTTGCTTTCTTAGAACATCGTTTCTGTTCATTTAAAATGTTGACTTTTTGGTTTAGTCCACCAGACAAGGGCAAAAAACGCGTGCGGCAAACTTACTAGCGAGACTCCGCCCCCTCCTCGGCCGCCAACCTGAGAGAAAACAGGGCGACTTTGGAGCGGTGTAAATCGGGATGTACCGAAAATTTTTGAAAAAAAATTGGGCGCGTACTCATATAGAGGGGAACACATTCCAACAAGAATTTTATAGAAATTGCGAGTTTCGTGAAACCCGTTGCGGTACCAACACATACGTTTCAGCACGCCGTGTTAGTGCTATTAGAATGCAAATTATTCTCACTGCACGGTCTCCACAGCTGACAATATGGGCGTGGCCTCGGCTAAATGGCGTTTTCATGAATTGAACAGGTTTTCTCCGATTTTTGTGGTCAAACGCGATGAGAAATAATTGTTCGACATGAAAACACACTAATTCTCAGAATTAATGACGTTTTGGCGCCTTTTTCGCGGACTTTGCTTTTCCGCCTTCGCCGCCGATAGCCGCCGATTGCCGCCTAAAAACCGCACTTCTCATTTTGCGCTTTCTTGACCGTTTTCAGACAGAATTGGTTTTGAGAATGATAAATCACGTAAATGCAATCATTTTGAGCGTTTGAACCGCGAAAACTACCGAAAAGCAACTGAAATTTACGCAGTTTTAGCCGAAAACCTTCAAATGGATAAATGTGATTTGCGACTTGTCAAAATTTAACGCCTCTGGAAACTCGATTGCAATCTAATTAGAAGAGTTTGCAAGCTAATAAGAAAAAGCTCTATTTCGCAATCTAATTAGATTTAATTGAAGTTCCAGTAAAATCGTATTAGATTACAATATATTTTTTTTTGAATTGCAATCTAATTAGAAAAAAATAAAAAATTCGTAATAGCCTATACAATCGGTCTATCGAAAGACAAATGAGAAATTATCGGGTTTTCGTGGCTTATCTGGCAAAAAACACAAACTTTGCTTTTAAAATTTGTATCGCTCTATTGGGCGGGGCGCACTTGCGCCCATTGTCAGCTCTGGGGACGGTGACTAGATTGAAAATTTTTCTGGAAAAGCAAAATTTGTTATTAGATTGTGAAAGAGTCTTATTACATTCTGTTAGAATTAAACAGACTTGCAACAGGGCCGGGCCGGGCCGGGCCAAAATTGGAAATTTTCCGGCCCGGCCCGGCCCGCGGCCCGGGAGGATGCACCTAAAAATTCAAAGCGACCGCCGTTTTCTTCAAGCACTTTTTCTTCGTCCATTTTTACCCACCAAACTTTGAAAACGGCCTACGTTATCGTCGTTTTGCTTCAATTTCGAAGATTCAATGTAAAAACCAGCAGAAATAGAAAAAAAGACGAAAAAGGTAATGTTATGGCATAAAAACCTGTTAAAAAATAGAAATTGCTGTTTAAAGTCGCAAAATGTTCACAAAAATTACGAAAATTTTCTCAAGAGTGGGCGGAGCGATTGATTGCAACTCTGGCACGCCATTTTAGCAATTTTGCCGCACGCGTTTTCCTCTTCCTTCATTTTTTTTTTGCATATTTTTTTTGAGGTCTAACTTCCGGGCCGACCGGGCCGACGATTTGCTGGCCCGGGATTTGGCAAGTCTGGAATTAAAGAAGCCTCTAATAAGGTTTTAAGGGATAGGTCAACCCTTATTAGGCACATCAGAATACCCTTTCCCAGGCAGCTTCCCCGGTCGCACTTTGCCCTATGACACACGCATTCCTGAGACCAGGAAGCTACAGTCCGAGCAAATCTATTAGAAGCGTCTCCCACGCGCCTCCGAGCCCACGCGCGCTGCGCCTCGCTTCCCATCACACACTCTAACTGGAATGCTTTCAGATCGGGTCGCCAGCTCCACGACCGGCATCGCCTGATCGACAACGCCTCCACTTCCGGCAGCACCGGCTCCACCCTTTCCGAATCACTATATAAACCCCCATCGCCTGTACTCTAGGTCTTCCCGCCTCATCATGTTCCTCAATAAAGCTGTCTTACCAATCCGAGCTAGTACACCCCTTTATTAGATGCATAAATGAAACTCATTTCAATTAGATTCGAACGCTTACGCTTTCTAATTATATTGCACATGATTTGCCAGAAAAACGGTATCCACTCTGAGAATTTACGGCAAGGGTGTGACACGTATCGAGCATGAGGGCTTAAGCCTTCCGGCGTGCGAAATATAACTTGCAATTACTGTGCGCCGCAGTGTGCGGCAACTTGCCGTAAATTAATTGAGCAGTTTTATCTACTTCGAGATTCCCCGAGATTGCATACTATTCTAATGTTGGAAAATTCAAAGTGATCCTTCGATTCGTGAAACCTTACTTTCATCACGTCGTTTTTTGTCATTGGAAGCTTTCGTATACATAAAAAATAGGCAGCACCCAGTTGAAGCCGCAGCGAGAACGAGCACAGCCATCTGAAATAAAATATTGTCAACTTTCTACTACGCAATTCAAAGTAAATAGCTGAAAACTAAGAACACAGACAGAGTAAACTGTCGAGATTCAGATAGAATTTAAATGAAGAACAACTGAAGTTCGGAGCTGTAAAAGTAGGCCCCGGAAATCACGAATAGAGAGGTCAGAGCGCATTTACCTTGAAATATAATAAAAGATAATAAAGGGTTTAAGGGTTTCAATCAGAAGAACATAGCTCACCATAAAAATTTTTTTAGTGATTGTTCGAGAGGTTAAAGCTTCAGTTGAATCTGCAAAGATGAGGAGTAAAAGAGTGTGAATTTTCAAAATTTACGTTTTAATACAATTCGGCACATGTGAGCCACGGATTCCAAACATTGGTGTTTATGGATCGGGTCCGACTCAGCAGCATCGAGCATGCAGTGGCACAACTAATTATTTTTTAAATTATCATATTTCTTTTTTCCACTCACATCATTGGCACAAAAGTCTGATGAATGCACAACGGCACAAAGATCGAAGTTGACTGCGCATGAAGCTAAGGTTACTGCAAAAACGGCGTGAATAGTATTACCAAGACAATGTCAAAACGGGAGAAAAACGTTTGAGAACATGCGCTCATTTTGAGCAAATATACATTCGAGAACACTTTTCGGAGGACTTTTCCGCCCGCCAAAACATCAATTTCAGGTGCAAAAACCTGAGGAAATTTCTAGAAGTTTCCAGAGACATTAAGCCAAATTTTAAGATCTTAAAATGCTCTCCACACTTTATAGTATCACCCTGATTCTTTTCCAGAATTTTCCCTACTAGAAAAAACTTCCCTAATAATATATGTACTAGAATGATAATAGCAGCTTTTAGTGGAAAATGCGTTAAAGCGGGTAATTGCCGAGAGGCTTGTAGAGGGGTATATTGAGTGTACAAACAATACTCACTGTTCACGAACGGACATGTTGCGTAAAGATCAAGATAAGTTTTGTCTAAATTAGGAACGGATTTTGGAATTGAAAGCACGTTTCCCGACGGTTTTGTTGGATCCGAGTAGTTGGAGTTGCCATATGCAAAAGCTCCGAAAAACTCCAAAATCAAGCACGCATCTACTCCTGCTCCGCGACATTTGAATCCTTCTTCTGTGGGAAGACGAGTCACCATCTGAAACATAATTATAAGGAGAAACGGAAAGGAGAGCGGATACCCTGCTTTGTCTATTTCTCCGGTTTTCCGTCCCCACTTTTTTTAAAACAGAAATAGTTGACGGAGAAGTTACCAAATGAAGGCGAATTTTCAATGGTTCTGAGTTCTGAGAATCAAAAAAGCGTAAGCTCGACCAGCGCAGCGGGCCTAGGTTCTAAGTCTTGTTTTTAAATAATGGCTAGCGTTTACTCCGGTAATCCGAGTTCAATCTATCTTTAGTTATTTTCGATTACAACAGGTAAAGATTAGATTGTTAAATTTAGGGGCCACAAAGTGATTAACAAACTTGTGAATTTCTGGAAAACACTTATCGGAATGTGTTCTAGTGCTTAAAAATAGTACATTCCCAATTTTTTTTTGAAAAAATTTTCGGTACATCCCTTCAAAGTTGCCCTGTTTTCTCCCCGGTCGGCGGCCTAGGAGACGTCGGAGTCTCGCTGGCAGGCGATTCGTGTCGCTGTTTGGTGGAAGACACCAAAGAGGCAACATATTAAGTGAACAGAATTGACGTTCTAAGAAAGCAAAACAACTTTCGAGATCAAAAGTTTCGAACCCGACACCTCCAGACTGCCGAGTGAGCACTCTGCCACTGCGCCAACCGGGCGGAGGCGCGGCGAACGCCAATGGCGATGAGAAGCTCGGTGTTCGCCATTCATTTTTTTTATGAGACTTTTGCGGAATTTCAGCGCAAAAATGTGAAAATTTGAAGATGTTTGCCGGGCTGAAATTTTGAATAAATTGTTGGATTTTGTAGAGAATTTCACACTGAATCCGATTCCGTGGAGAAAAGCCGCGTGTTGGCTGTTTCCGACCTTCAAATTATCGAAAAACAAGAAATTCGGCCAAATGGGGTCTACTCAATCGAACACAAAAAAAAAATTTTTTTTTAATACTTTTTTGGCACTTTGACGGACTAAGAAACAATGTTTGCCGGAACGAAATTCGAATTTTATTTCAAAAACGGATTCCCCATCCCTTAAACTGTCAGAATCACTTCTCAGAAGCCGCGTGTTGCACAAACTCCGGCCACAGTGGCTCTCAGACTAACTTCCATTTTAGTTTTCGCCACCTCGGTACTGGCCCTCAAACATGCGCGGGCGCGACCGGGGAGAAAATTCGGCAGGCCACGCCCCCTTTATTGCGCCCCCTAAGTATAGATTCGTAACTCGGTTTGGAATACGAAATCTCCTAACTAGATCACAAACGATTTGCCTGAGAAGGTAAATTTCTGCAGAATCAGATTATTTTTGAATTTGTTCTTTGGATACCTCCTTAGAGGAATGAGGAATCCGCTTTTTGAAGTCAGATTTGAACTCACAGGTCCCGAATTTTTTACAGTGTCTCAAATTGCCACAACTTTATTAAACTGAACATTTTGGCCTACTTTTCATCAGAATTTGTAGTTTAAAAAATTTTCATTGCATAATATTTACCAGCTCTGGAAATTAGACGTCGGGTTTAGAACATGATTGTTCGTTAAAAACGCTTACACGGTTGCACTCGCAGAAATCTCGGTCACATTTCTCCTGCCCGGCTTGTTGCCCATAGCAATCATCGTGTATGGCGCAACAGTGGTTGATTGCAGCTGAAAACCACATCTCGCTTTTTTTTGCATTTTTAAGCCTAGTTAAAGAAACGTTGGCGTGAGGTTGCAAACACCGGGGCGCAGAGCAAGCATTTGTGTCCATGCTCGACCGCGTTTGCATCACTCCGTATCAAAAACCATATTAAGTACGCAGCGACAAAAAACGAGCGGGAGAATCAAAAACGTTCGCCGTGAGACGAGTGTGTAAATTGTGTGTACCAGCAAGGGATGGACAGTCTTTGGCAGCATTGTTGTACGAGATGTTACCGGTCGTTCGATCACTTCCACAATGCCACAATTCTCGTTTTATCAGCATTCCGGTTGGTACTGATCCGCCAGCACCTACAAAATGGTTTTTATTTCTCGCTGATCAATATACGAAACTTACCCAGAAATGGGAAGACGGACCGTCTAATGAGAGCATCGCTCCCGAGCGCTAGTTTGTGAAATGAACACACAAGAAGAAATAACCGGACAAGCATTCCAACAACTGAAAGTTTTTAGTCGTTGGTCAAGTTGCAAGCGGAAGTCCGCAGGCACCGAACAAAATGCACAGATTACAAGCTACAGTAATCATTCTTATTAATATTAATTAATATATACTCTGGGAACTCGATCGCAATCTAATTAGAAAACTTTGCAATCTAATACGAACTCGTTTGAAATAGAATTTGCTTCAATTAGATTGCAAAATCTTCTAATTAGATTACAATCGAGTTCCCAGACTCGAGTGAGGGGAACTTTCCCAGAGCGAGGGGAACCTTTTTCAAAGTCTTGTATATTGGTAAACACATAATTTCGATTTTCGTATGTTGTGAGCAATTTTGACCTTGATTGGTAATATTGATGTTAAAAGTGGCACAAATCTGTCATTTTCTAGCTAATAACACAAAAACGTCAAAACTTATTTGAAACGCGGTGAGCATTTCACCATACTGTTTTCTTGTTAGAATTACCAACTGTTTGTTCCTCAACTTAGTAGTAACTACATACGAGAGTAGAGCCACTTCATAGTGCAATTGTAAGAGGCAAGACAATTTGCAAACAGCTGAGCCGTGACAGCAAGCCATTTCAAGGCTTATTTTCATTGATTTTGTGTCTCAACTCTTCGAAAATGTGTGATTTTCAACAATTTTCAAAATGGCCAAAAGCAAGTGTCACATCAAAAAATGTGGTCAAAATGGATGGTCGAACTGGTCGAAATAGTGCGCTAACAATTTTAAATAAAAAATATGCTAAATAAATGCATTTTACAAAAGACCTGAAGCCATTAACAAATCTACAGTAGCGGCCACGATGTTTTCAAGAGCATCTGCAGTTTCTTTACCACTTTTTGTTTTTAACTTTTCGACCCAAGCATATTTACTAAAACAATCAATTATAGTTAGAAGATACCTGAAATCATTATTTTCATCTGAATACACTTGCATTTCTACAAGATCTGATTGCCATTGATCATCTATTCCACTGAAGTAAACTCTTTGACTCTTGAAGTTTTTACGAGCTGGTTTGTGTAGAGTGTAAACATCTTGTTCATTCAGGAACTCTTTGACCTCTTTGATAGGCTTCTTTGTTATTCTTGCTAACTCATTGATACCACAAAATCCACTAAAAGGAGAATAATATGTTTTTTCTAGGATCTGCTTCTCTTTCTCATCTTTAATATTTTCCTTGATTTCACCTCCTTCACCTCCTATCTTTGAACTAATGAATTTGCATTTCTTTGAGTTGCATTCAATGCAAACTCCTTTCAATATCTTTCTTTGACTTTTTGTTTCACATTCTGTAGTTTCTGATGTATCAGTATGTTTTCTACATTTGAAACAGTATACTTTATTCAATCCTCTATTCATTTATACCAACAAAAATCATGAAACAATTATGATACAACTCGGCAAAGGGCGCCACTTTTGCGCAAACTTTACGCAGCTTTGTTAGAAACTCAATAAAAACACAAAAGAATAATGAAACTTTAATAATACAACCTAAAAACCTGAAAATTATCTGAACAAAGCACAAAAAGTTGAAAAAAATCCCTCATTTTTGGGGGGGTGTCCTATCTTTATGACGCGCCCGATTTTAAGACTTTTCAGTGCTGTAGCTTTAATTTTTGAGGTAGGAATCTAAAAAATTAGTTTCGTAGGTTATTTTGGATGCTGAATCGAATGGCATTTACAGTTTTTCTCGAAAATGTTTAGTTCTCTCTAGGACGTCATTTTAGGGGGGTGTCCTATCTTTATGACGCGCACTGTATATATTTTATATATTTTTCGGCCATTGGCGCTAGGCCACGGCCACAACTTCAACTGCATGCCGTTTCGTTCATTGGCATTTTTGAGAGGCAGCATTTCACCAGTGTATGAGGCAATAAGAGACAATTCAAACAGTCACAAAAAAATTTCACAAGAAAAATCAAAAAATGTTTGGGTTCCCTGGTCCTTTAAGCTGCTTTTCAGACTCGTGTTCTGGCCTTTTCCGAACTCTACGATGTAACCGTTTTCGAACTGCTCTCGGGAGAGTTCTCGAACTATCCGCGAGCGTCGGAGTCTATGTTCGGTGGCCAGACTTACATGCAACTGGGCATCACTCCTGATCGCACACCTAGTTGGAAGGATGGTATCGTCTCTCAGAGGCAAGGTGTGTCTAATTTCTTAACTTTATAGATATTAATTGTTTTATTTGGGTCTCTTCTCCATCGGAACTGCACACGGGAAACTGGGTGACAGCGGATCCGGAATCTTCTCTGTTGATGGCTACTTCCTCGGAATCGCGATTGGAAAGAAGAATTTTGTCCTCAACGACCTTCAAAATATGCCTGTGGGAGAAATTGCTGACCATCACCCCGACTCCAGAATGATCGGTTCCGAGGTCATTCTAGTCTTGTCGGGGTCCATTAGTCCAGCCAACGATGTAAGTTAATTCAATTCAATTCTTTATCCTTCTTTTGTGATATAAAAACACAATGCGCGCGCATATTTAGAGAATTGGTTTAATTGTTATGTTTCAGTACGGGCCGTCATGAACATGCGCGAAGTCCCGCGTGTCTCCTTCGATCTCGAAACAACGATGTTTCTGTTTATTTTAAGTTAGAATAAAATTGAACTTTTCGTCAATTTTGACATACAATTGTGGTTTTTTTCAATTTTAGAGGCGTTTAGACATGTTCGAATGTTTAAATTCTATAATAATAACAATCAGTGATGTATGTATTCACTGCTTGGCAAATACTAAAGACGAGACAAGGCATCGTTGATTACTTTTGGTAGTATCTTATCTGGAAGGATGTCTCTCAAAAAGATGCCACGGAAATTTTTGATTTTCAGTACACTTACAAGCACTTCGAAGTCTAGGTTGGTCAGGGGCTTCAGATCTTTTGTAAAAAGCATTTAATAGGCTTTCTTTTTATAATACCACTTTCTTTATAAAATCGACATCCTTCAACATCCACTGATTTTGTAAAAAGTGTGAAAATGACACATTTTTGAGCATTTAAGCATGAAAATAAAAAAATAAAAAATGAAATCGACATCTCCACAAAAAATTGATTGAAAATGTATAAAAATTATTGAAAATAAGCACTTTTTAGTGCTCCAAAAATTGACTCATTTCATACTTTTTTTCAAAAAAGTGTTGTAAATGAGGTGATTCTCTGTCATCAGAGAAAGAAAATACTACTACCGCCATTTTATTTTCGGTGAGATTTAAGCGCAATTCTCATCTCCGGGTCTATCAATGGAGCGCTTTTTTTTTTGAAAAATACCGTCTCACGGAGTCGTGGAGAGGTACACTGGCGCAAGTGCGCTCTACCGCACACTTTTAGGCCAGCGCCGAATTGCGTCATATGACGCAATTTCTGTGTCGATTTACGAGCGTTCTTGTGTATGTACTACAGTAATCTTTTCTTTCGTGACGAGAACCTGAAGCACCCTGCATATCTAACTATCGTTGGCGTAAATTCAAATTTTAGAGGGCGAGGTTCCCTCCACGACCCCGTGCCGTCTGTAAAACCGGTTGATCACAAAGTGTCGTGACTCGTCTCGATTTTATTTCTCATCCTGGTCCGCTGCGCGGACATCCAAAAGACAGTCAGACTTGTATTAAGAAGGATTATATGAATAATTTATTTTCAAAATATCGAACGCTCACAAATGATTGATTTTTTTTGCACAAAAATACGCACATGTAAATTGATTTTGTAGCATAGAGTTTCGATTCACAGTATATTTGCTATCTATTCTTTTTTCGGTAATTATTTCAAAGCCCTTCAATGTAATGAGCCGCATGATCTCAGAATACGGTAATTCAATAGACATGTCATTTTGAATCCCTTCATAGTGCCATGTCAAAGGACCGACATTTATCCAAATACCACCACACGGAAGGCAGTTAAAAATAGCATCTGTAAAAAATAATATATAACGATAAATTTCAAAAAGCTAGAACACGGATTCCGAAGACTACGTGACACACGCGCCCCGTCTGCGGCTACCAGAAGTGGAAAACGGGGCATGACACACGGTCTCCCAGGGCGCTAATGCTAAACACAGTGCGCTCGTAAATTGCGGAGTGTCGTTGTAACTTTTGAAAATTTGCAGTTCTGAAAATTCAGTTCAATTCGAAAATTCAGTTTCTTTCTTTTTGACTTGAAAAACGTCTAGAAAACAATATTTTACTGATTGAAAACCGTTCTTTACAGAATTTAGAGTTTTTCATGTTTTTAGCGTCTTTCTCGCATTTCGTCAAAACTTCAAACCTTTATATTTCAGCTCATTTTGCATTTCATGAGCCCAACGAACGATAAACGTGTTCGCTGAATCTTTCTTCACAAAATTTAGGTTCCAGCGGTTAGTTTTCTTGAGCAGTTTTCGAAAACTATTCGAAAAACATCAAAATCCAGGCCAAAACTTTCAAATCGAAATAACTCGGCTAATTCTCAACGATATGTGAGATTTCTGTTACCAAAATGTAGCTAGTGCTCTAATTATTCGAATCCAGGTTCCAGGCGCATAAAAAATAGGTGTATTGTATAGAAAACATGGAAAGAACGCGAACTCCCGTTGAAAATTAATTAATCTGCCGCCGCGTAAATCGACACAACCCGCCTGTTGCAAGTGCGCCCCATTGAAATCATTCGCGCCGTGGGAGACAGTGTGACATCTCTGCTAAATCGATCCTTATCTGATCCGAGAGTTAGCATGGACCTGGCGTGGCGTGATCGGTCCCGGTTCTCACGGCGAACATTTGTGAACATGCTCGCGCCCGTTTTTATCACTCTGTATCGCAAACCGTACTCCTTTAACACGCAAATGAGTCGATACGCAGCGACAAAATACTAGCAGTTTAATTCGAATCTCCAATAAATGTATTTTAAAAAATCTCTCTGATCAGATAAGGGTCGATTTAGCAGAGATATGAACTTTTTAGCTGACTGCTGTCCCTACTTAAATATGATGGGGAAATGCGATGCCAGAGCTCAAATAATTTAATCACTTTTATTATAGGTGCACCGGACAGAAAGGGCGCGCTGTTCGTAATCTGGCCGAATTTCTAGGCCGAGAAGTAATTTTCCATTGAAAATGTGGCCTAATTTTTCAAATTCGGCCCCGAGGTCGCTCAATTTGGAGTCCGTGACAAAAGGTCGGAAAACCAAAAAGGTCGGAAGACAAAAGGTCGGAAAGCCAAAAGGTTGAAAAAAAGTGACAAAAGGTCGGAAAAAAGTGAAAGTGTCGGAAAAAAATGCCAAAAGGTTGGAAAAAAATGCCAAAAGGTTGGAAAAAAATGCTCAAAGATCGGAAAAAAATGACAAAAGGTCGGAAAAAAGTGACAAAAGGTCTGAAAAAAGTGACAAAAGGTCGGAAAAAATGCCAAAAGGTCGGAAAAACTGCTAAAATACGTGTTTTTTTCCGACATTTTGTCACTTTGTTTCCGATCTTTTGACATTTTTTTTCAACCTTTTGGCATTTTTTCCGATCTTTTGTCATTCCGACCTTTTGGCTCCCGACCTTTTTGGTTTTCCGACCTTTTGCCACGGACTCTCGATTTGCACTGCAAAAAGAGTTTCTCAACATAGCGCCATTTCTGTTCGGTGCCCCTATAATACTGAATTTTAAAAAAATGACACCATTGAAGCCGTGTCTTAAATACTAATTCGGCAGTCACATGTGCCTTTTCATAAAAGTTTTCGAAAAATAGATTTTTGTCAAATTTTCGATAATTTTTTCGAAACAAATTTTGAAAACCGAATCAGAACCTTTCTCACGTAGTCTTCGGCCTCTCAATTTTTTAAAGTTTTAAGGCGTGTTGCCGCAAGTGTGCTCTATTGCGAAAATTGCACTGGCATTATGCGGACCAGCACAACTGAGTCACCGCGCAGCAAATTCAAGCGAGCGGTGTTCAGGTATCCAAAAATTAAGGACACGGGCGAAGGTCACCACGAGACAAGGACAAGGGTCTGGACAGGGCACCATGAGACAGAAGTAAAAAAATTGTTCCCATACCATTCCACATATCTCTTGGTTAGGCTAGTCGAACAGGCGATTTCAGGCGCCTGTTTTCTCAACGCAGAGACGCGGCGGCCCGTTGAAAAAACAGGCGCCTGTTCGACCAGCCTACCCTTGGTACTATCAAACGAGTCCACCCCCGTCCAAAGCTGTTTGGATACCTGAGCGGTGTTTGCCGGGAAATTAATTGTATTTCGCACATACGCTTCAACACGCCGTGGTGAATAGAAAACTATATCTGACCTATGTATTCAATGACATTATGAGCTGTGTCAATGAACCAGGCAGTAACTACTACAGAGAAGCTGGCGCCCTTGGCAATATCTAGAAAATCTCCAGCGCACATGGAGAAAGAATTGGAACGAGATGATTGTTGTGCTCGAAGAAGTTTGTCAGGGAACGAAACTGGACGGAGTCGGTCCTCATATCTCCAACAGTTGCTTTTTTCAAATATGAACGGATAGATTGTGTATTGGTTGACCTGTTATAACAATAACTTTAGAAACATGCCTTAATCAAAGTTCTACGCAAATGTTGCTATGGCAACACAAAAATGCGATGAACTCAAGTTATCGCTAATGCCTCTCGCTGCTTGCTGACGCAAGCCAAAATTTCCTGAAATTAGGCTTGAGTCTGCAAACACCGAGGGGGCAAGAGCGGTAAATTGAGTATACTTTTTAGCAACTATTAAAAGAAACGCATTTTGGTGTTCCGAAGACGTGTTACGTTAGCACCCATTGGTACCACTCGACGGGACCACCCCCGTCCGAAGCCGTTTGGATACCTGATGCGAGAATGCGGATTCCGCAGAAATCTGATTGCTGACCATTGGCTCAGCCTTGGAGTCTAACCTCTTTACACGCATTTAAAATGAAGAATGAAGTGAGAAGCATAAAGAAGCTGAACTCGTTTCCTTGGACGGAGTAACCTTCATCTATCAAGTCATGAGCAAGTCTTCCTAGGCCGCAACCGGGAACTAATATTCTGATTTCATGTCGAGCAGAAACATTTTTGGGATAAATTCGATTCAACTCTTCGACTATAGGAAGAAATGTTGCGGTTCTTTCTGGTTCTCCTTCACTCGACCATTCGCGGCATATCTGTCTCAACGTGCTGAGTACTTTAGAATTGAATTCGTTCGTTGGACGCCTAGATTAAATAGCTACAATTCAAATTATTTGGTTTCGAACCTGTTTTGATGCATTCGAATAGCTTTTGTGTGATCTTCTCCGAACATTCCTGCACCATAATTCACTATGTATTTCAAGATTCTGTAAGACTGAAGGTCAGGTAAATGTTTCGTTTGAAAAACCAACTGCTGATTATGTTCCATTTTTTCCTTTATACTGTTAACGTGTTCTTTGAAGTTTCCGCCTATCAATAATTGATGATCCTGAGATATACTTCTGAAGTCAACAGACATTTCAAACTAGTATTTAGTATTTTCTCTACCTCATTTGTCTTATCATAGCCAAGATTTTGTCTTTCCCAACGTTTCCGTAATAAAGAAAGGCATTTAATACTTCTTCTAAAGCCCGAACCTCATCATTGACTGCAGCTTCTGTGCTTTCACTCATTTCGTTTTTTTCTCACCTGAGTAAAAAAGGAGAGCATCCCGAAATGGAACTGACCGGAATAGAACTGCTCCGAAATGGAACTGTGCCCGGAATGGAACTACCCCTCCAACGGGGGCATTTCAATGTGAATGCGCTCCGTTTACTCAGGCAAATCGTTTCTAACCGGACCTAGTTAGATTGCTACCGATTTCTAAATCTAGCTAGCTGATTTTGCAATCTAAACATAATCTAGCTAGGTTTGCCCGAAATTTTAATCTAACTAGATAAATTTTGAATCTAATATCAGTGTTTTTGCAATCTAATTAGCTTTGCCAATCTAATTAGAAAATGTATCAGTCTATAGACTAGTTAGAAGAATTTGCAATCTAATCGCAGTAAATTGCCAATCTAATTAGGTCCGGTTAATAGCGCGAATTAGCTAGCTAAATTGGAAACGATTTTCCTGAGTATTTTCTCAGAGGGAAGCAGCGGGAAACGTCGAAGATCAGAATTCTTTTCAAATTTGTCTGTTTCACTGAATTAGCTAGCTAGATTACAAACGATTTACCTGAGTAGAAACCCTTCTTTTTGTGATCCCCGGGGCCTAGTCTTTCAAGCGCGAAACGAGTTTCAGTTGTTTGCAGAGGGCATCCCGAAATGGAACTGTGCCCGAAATGAAGCTGACCGTAATGGAACTGCCTCAAAATGGAACTGACCGGAATGAAGCTGCCCCGAAATGGAACTGCCACAGAATATTCTGTTCTGTTCGCAATTTTAGGGGAAAATCTAGGCCCCGCAGATCACAAAAATAAGGGTTTCTCAACAGCATTCACACTGAAATGCCCCCGATAGTAAGGAAGATGGTATGAAACTCCCTCAGAATTTTCTTTTAAGTAACGGTTTCATAACCATGAAGAATGAAAATAGGCGCTGACAAATAGTACGAACAAAAAATCAGTTTATTACTATATATCAAAATCGAACTCAGCGAATGCATCACTTTTTTTTGAAGATCTCTTCGTCGCTCCCGTCTCTGACGAACGCTCTCGTTTTGGAAGTCTGCAAAAATATGCTTGATTCAAATCAGAAAAAAAATCTCTTTCCCGTGTGAATAGGCCCATCAGTGATTTTTAGAAAAATTCCATCCGCGTTTACAGAATCAGGAGTGGGAGTGAGATTTGATAAAAACAGTCGCCCACGGGATGAAACTCAATATTTTAGACGTTTGACATCCGATCGCGGGTTTTTTTCAGCGGACTGAAAAACCCGCGATCCGCCACGGCGCGACTTTCGGAGTCCGTGACAAAAGGTCGGAAAGCCAAAAGGTCGGAAAGCCAAAAGGTCGGAAAGCCAAAAGGTCGGAAAAAAGTGACAAAAGGTCGGAAAAAAGTGACAAAAGGTCGGAAAAAAGTGACAAAAGGTCGGAAAAAGTGACAAAAAGGTCGGAAAAAGTGACAAAAGGTCGGAAAAATGACAAAAGGTCGGAAAAAAGTGACAAAAGGTCGGAAAAAAATGACAAAAGGTCGGAAAAAATGCCAAAAAGTCGGAAAAAATTCCAAAAGGTCGGAAAAATGCCAAAAGGTCGGAAAAAAATTACAAAAAGCCAGAAAACAGGTATTTTAGCAGTTTTTCCGACCTTTTGGCATTTTTTCCGACCTTTTGTCACTTTTTTTCCGACCTTTTGTCACTTTTTTCTGACCTTTTGTCATTTTTTTTCCGACCTTCTCTCATTTTTTTCCGACCTTTTGTCATTTTTTTCCGACCTTTCGTCACTTTTTTCCGACCTTTTGTCACTTTTTTCCGACCTTTTGGCTTTCCGACCTTTTGTCTTCCGACCTTTTTGGTTTTCCGACCTTTTGTCACGGACTCGACTTTCGCAACATACGCAGCCAAATGGTATGCATTTTTGCGCGTCGGTGTGGCTCTGCGTACAGTGCATTTTATGTTACATGCAAAGCTCATTTTTTTTAGTTGTTGATGAATTTTCTCCAAATATTCATCTCTTTAAAGCCTTTTCTCTGCTTTCTACCTCAATTAGACCTTTTTACAGATTCCAGATGATGTAATACGCGAAAAGAAGTCGATGTGATGAAAAGAAACGCGTAAGTAAATGGAAGTAATGTTTTTTTCAGAAAATATACGATTTCTCGAAAAACGTATCTAGATCTTCTAATCTTTTGATTTAAAAAGTTCACTAACATGACTGTGAATGTCTTCGAATCAAAAAAAAGTAGAGTGACAGCTCGCTTTCGCGTAAAAATTGGTTTTTTGCCGGAAAACAGTGACATTTCGTTGAAAAAAATTTTTTTCTCAAAAACCGTCTCTAGATTTTCCACTTTTTTTGTTTAAATAGTTCACTTACATGACTGTGAATGTTTTCGAACCAAAAAAATTAGAGTGACAGTTCGTAGAAGCAAAAAAAAAATTTTTTCAACGAAATTTCACTGTCTTCCGGTAAACTATCGGTTTTTCCGCGAAAGCGAGCTGTCACTCTACTACTGTTTGGGTCCAAAATATTCTCAGTAATGTAAGTAACGTTTTTTAACTAAAAGATTAGAAAATCTTCGAGAAATCGTGCATTTTCTGAATAAAACCTTACTTTCACTTACTTACGCGTTTCTTTTCATCGCATCGACCTCTTTTCGCGTATTACTTCACCTGGAATCTGTAAAAAGGTCTAATTGAGGTAGAAAGCAGAGAAAAACGCTTTAAACAGATGTATATTTGGAGAAAATTCATCAAAAACTAAAAAAAATGAACTTTGCGGGTAACATAAAATGCACTGTACGCAGAGCAACACCGGCGTGTCAAAATGCACAGACTGAGGATCAAACGTTTGGTGAACGTCGCAAAAGCCGCGCCGTGATCCGGCTGGCAGATGTCTCGATTTGGAGGCCATGTCTTGGAATCAAAATATTTTCTAGAATATAATGGGGCTATTCAGCGTATGTTTGTTTTCCGCTTTTTTACATCGCTGAATTGGATTTTTTTGACGTAAAAAAACGGGAAAAAAGTAATTTTTTCCACAGTCCGAATAACCCCAGTACCTATTCAGGCAAATCGTTTGCAATCTAGTTAGGAGATTTCGTAATCTAAACCGAGTTTCTAATCTGGCTGGATGAAAATGGTATCAAAACAAAATCTAGCTAGATTTGACCGAAAGGTTAATCTAATTAGATGAATTTTGAATCTAATTTCAGTGTTTTTGCAATCTAATTAGACAAATTTTGCTTTTCAATCTAATTAGAACATTTATCAGTCTATAGACTAGTTAGAAGAATTTGCAATCTAACCGCAGTAAATTGCCAATCTAATTAGGTCCGGTTAATAGCGCGAATTAGCTAGCTAGATTGGAAACGATTTTCCTTTCTCACAGGGAAGCAGCGGGAAGCGTCGAAGATCAGAATTCTTTTCAAATTTGTCTGTTCCACTGAGAAATTAGTTGCGTAGCGACTCAACAGAAAAATCCTCTGACTAATAACAATCAGATTTGCAAAATAAGGGCCGGGACGAGAAATTTTTTTAAAGGCCCGCTCAGGCAAATCGTTTATAATCTAACTAGCTAATTCTCGTTTCTAACCGGACCTAGTTAGATTGCTACCGATTTCTAAATCAAGTTAGCTGATTTTGCAATCTAAACAAAATCTAGCTAGGTTTTGCCCGAAATTTTAATCTAATTAGATAAATTTTGAATCTAATATCAGCGTTTTTGCAATCTAATTAGCTTCGCCAATCTAATTAGAAAATTTATCAGTCCAGTTGCAAGAAGTTGCAATCTAATCGCAGTAAATTAGCAATCCAATTAGGTCCGGTTAGAAACGCAAATTAGCTAGCTATTATAGGGGCACCGGACAGAAAGCGCGCGCTGTTCGCAATCTGGCCGAATTTCTAGGCCGCGAATATTTTTCCACTGAAAACGTGGCCTAACTTTTCAAACTCGGCCCCGAGGTCGCTCAATTTGCACTGCAAAAAGAGTTTCTCAATAGAGCGCCATTTCTGTGCGGTGCCCCTATAATAGACAAACGATTTACCTGAGCGGCCCGTCACAAAAAATGTGTGCGAATTTTCCACTATTTTTCGGAATTTTCGATAAAAGAAGCGCGAGGAGACGTTTTCGAGTGATAAAGATGGCTTCGCGAACAGTTTCGAACTTGAAAATGGATAGAAAGCTCATCAAACTGCTGAACAAAAAAAAAATTTTTAATAACATTTCTGGCTGAACGGGCCCGACGGGCCGGGCTCTGGCATCTCGTTATTAATCTAATGGGGTTATTCAGGCTGTGACGATTTTTTTTGGTTTTTTTTTGGTTTTTTTTACGTCAAAAACCCAATTAAGCGATGTAAAAAGCGAAAAAAAACGGAAAACAAACATACGCTGAATAGCCCCATAACGGCGGCCTAATACGATTGATATGACACCTAATTAGATTAATAAATTGTCTAGCTAGATTAATAAGTGCTCAAATCAAGTTTCCCGCCAACCGTCTGCTGGCTCAAATCTCGATTGCGCCAAGAAAAAACAGTCGAATCTAATTAGGTCGCGTTTAGATCAGTAACTTTCTAATTAGATTAATATCGAATTGCCAGAGGGGCCTTGTAGAATTTTTGAAGCCCGGCCCGGCCCGTTGCAAGTCTGATAACAATAACTTCTGGAATAACTTACTCTTCCTCATTGATATCGAGTGTGCTTATCTTTTTCACAGAAGGACCTTTTAGCACGCCCATGTATTCAACATCTAGAAATTTAACGGTCTGCGTTTGAAAACAAACACATATTTACATTCCGTGTTCGTTTTCTGTTGAATTGGTCTACCAATAAATTCTTGAACTGTCGAGGTTACGGTATAGTGTTTAAAGTTTTGCTCTTCTTGCAACAGGAATCGTTCATCTTGCAGTTCCATAAGCGTTCGTTCAGATTCGCGTGCGGCCGTTTGTAACTTTCGAAACGCATTTGCCTGAGCAATTGCTTCTACATCGTGCACCTGCTCTGAGTTCGAGTGAAATTTCTTATCTGCTGATTGCTTTTCATACGGTATCCGAATACTCGACGAATCTGAAATGAATTGCGTGTTTGGCAGGAAAAATCGTAGAACAATTACTCGTACCGTAATTCGCCTCAATTGGTTTTTTTTTCGCTTTTCTGTACTGCCTTGTTAATAATTTCGTATCCGATGCAATTATTTTGCACACTGCTTGCCACTAAAAATAAGTTCTGAAGACAAAACGACTCTATTCATGAAAGCATACAACTGATTCATTCAAAAAATATTTTAGACATTTTTAGCTGTGATTTCAAATTTTTTTTGCCTCGAGGCGATCGTTAATACTTACTAATTCTGGGTTTCGTCTGATTATCAGAGCTACGTCTTCTAATTGCACCTTCCGTCGATTTGCATGATTCATGAAATTTGACAAATCATCCGACCACTGAGTTGCAATGGCGTCCCAGACAAAAGCGGCTGCACAGGTGATAGTGCCTTCTGAGAACTTCATTTCCATTCCATTCCGATGCCCAACACGCAATAAGGTCAGATCTGACGTAGCTAGAAGAGCAACTTGGATGGCTCCTTCCAGTTCCTGGTAGGATTTTTTAAAGTTAACAAAAAACGTGGATGCATGGTTGTACACGTTCGTCTTGAAAACTTCATTCTCATAAATTCTCAAAATAAAATTATCATTCATCCAATCAATCTCTGCAGTTCCAAGAAAAGCTTGCTGTTTAAAAAACACAAAACATTTAAAGCCTAACGAGATCTGATTGTAAAAATGACTGGTAAATAAAGATCTTTCTCTTCTTCATTACAGTATACCCCGTTGAGTTTTTCCTCTATTTGCCTATTTAGTTCTAAATAATCTTCCACAATAAAGTGTTTCCAGGACATTTCTATATGGTTCAGAAATTTATTAAGACTACCCTTTCTACGAGGACAAGACATATAAACAATTCCATCTTTTTTCAAATGTTGGTCAATACATACCATCAATGCCTCATGATATTCTTCGAAAAAAATGCAATCAGCGGCCAAAATTACATCAAATTTTATACCTAACTTATTGTGACCCCAGAGAAGCTGGTGTATTTGCGCACGATCAGAAAAATCAGAATTCATAGAATGAATGCATTTTAAGTTCTTAATAGAATCAACATTACCATCAGTAATCCAAACTTCCGCTAAAGGATGTTTACAGGCAATCAGAAAACTTGGCAACCCGAGAAACCCAGCACCGAGTTCTAGAATTCTTTTTTTTCCGACGGGAATCGAATCGTTGATCATTGCCCAAGCCAGGGCCTCACTACCAGGCCATATACGGATGTTTCCTGTGTTATCAAACCCGTTGGCTAAGGACGCTAACGACGCTGTCTGCTTGGGTGTGCAAAATTTGAAGACAAAATCGGGTGAAGTAGACGCTTCGAGGAATATCCGTGTGCAATCGGAATCGGGGACAGGCATTGTATGGAAGAGGCGCAGTACAGAGTGTTTGTTTTTTTCGTTTTTCTTCGAAAGTTCTCGTAATCGCTTGGAGAAAAGTGACCAATGATGTCGAGCTCTTCTGGACGAGGAGTCCGAAGAGGCAAGCAGCCCCTGAACTTTTCGATACTGATCATTGCAGAAAAGTGAGGCGCCTGCTCTGCATCCCCAGTTTTTTAAACATAAAATGTCTAATTCAGCGATGTGGGGTTCTTCAGCGTTAGTTTGTCTTCCGGGTTTATTACATCGCAGAATTGAGTTTTTTGACGTAAAAAAACGAAAAAAAAGAACGCTGAATAACCCCATGAAAATTGATATTGAAAAGATGACTGTTTTTTATGACTGTGATGGCTGTTTTTCAACGCTTCTCGTACTCACTTTTTCGTCGACGAAATCGCCATCTAGTGTTGACTTCGAACGAGATACTGGCATACTTAAGTCTTCACCTTCAAATTGTTCGACAATAATTTTCAACACTTTAACAGACATAATACCTTCAAGCGTGGCTAACTGATCACTGGTAACTTTCTCATTCGTATTGGGCATCTCCAAGTATTTTTAAACTTTTCAGTACTGATCTGTGTAACGCAAAGTAAGTATACGAATCGTCCTGAACATCATAAAAAAACCCAGTAAAAAGCAAAACGAATAATTGCAACACCTTTATGAAATAATCGCAAGACTTTCGAAGCTGGGCCCGCGGCGCGGTCCGAGTTGACGCTCGGAAGCGAGTCCGTGACATGTCACCTTTTGGCTTTCCGACCTTTTGTCTTCCGACCTTTTTGGTTTTCCTTTTGTCACGGACTCTTGGAAGGAGGCCTCGCCGTTTGTCTCGTTTATTTTTTTCTGAGCGTCAACTCGGACTTCCCAGCGGTACCAGTTTTAGAAAGTCTTGTCAAATATAACAACTTTATAACCACTTCCGCGTAATAAACAAGAAAAAACGGAATCAAGATGATTCTTTTAAACCGTAATAATGCAGCTTGTCAACAGTCTCTTTCAAAGCGCAACCGTCCCGAATAATTTTATAGAAACCTCTGCTTGAAAGATCGACAATTGTGCTTCCGCCTTCCATCGTCGTTAAAATTTCTCCCGAATCGATAACCAAATCAATTTCAGGAATCAGCTCATCAAAATGCTGAATACACGTTGGATGTTGTGGCGAACCACTGAAGTTCGCAGAAGTCTGCGCAAGTGGCTGTCCAAGTCTTCTTTAAGGACTTTTTTCAAACTTTAGTCAATTTTTTTTACAAACCTGCATATATCCATGACTAATTGACAGTTTGGAACTCTACAAGCGACTTTGTGAACACCAGGATTGAATAAGTACGGCAACGTTGGTAGCCGGTCGAACATCAGTGTTACAGGCCCAGGTAGTAAGCTGAACAGTTAAGGTGATGATCTGAAGCAAATAACACAGCAGGTCTACAGTAAGCACTAACTTCAGAGAATATTAGCTTTCTATTAAATATTTAAGAATGATGATAATAATGACGTACCTTTCAGCTAGTTCATCTGAAATTGTCTGTTGAGCAACGGATTTTACACTGGCGGAGCATGGCAAGAAGATACCAAGCGGTTTGTCGGATGGTCGCTTTTTCAGAGCATACAGCTTTTCGGAGTTCGGAAGAAGTGTTGAAACTCCGTAAAGAGTGTCAGTGGGAAGGGCAACAATCCCTGCAAACGTAGATTTATTCCGATATTAATCAATCCACTACCTCCTTTTGAAATAACCGTTACTGCAGTGTCAATTACCTCTTCAAAATTGTCCGCCGACAGTCTTAAAATCTTGCCGAAGGCGCTCATTTATTCTCTTTAAACAGATTTCTCAAAAGAAAAGATCGGTTGAAATATAATGAAAAACCATTTGAATGTAATAGAAACAATTAGTAATAAAAACAATACGAATAGGGAGACTTTTGAAACCCGGGCCCGCTGCGGGGTTCAAGCTAACGTTCGAAAGCGGCTTCGCCGCTTGTTCGATTCTCAGAACCGAATAAAGGGACAAACCCCCAAGAATTAAGACTTTCGAACCTGGGCCCGCTGTGCGGTCCGAGGCGACGCTCGAAAGCGGCTTCGCCGCGTTCCGTTAAAAAGAAACAGACAGACCCCGCTAGTTTTTTATTAAATAGGAATGATGATGATGATGATGATGACGGTAGAAGTTTTCACGAGTACAAAAATAAGAGTTTGCTCCTTTGTCAGCTTAACTTTTCAACTAGAACAAAGAAATGCAGATATTGCGCAAGACAATAAACAAAATTGTACTGGCATGTAAAAAATTGTACTGGCAGAACGGGCCATAAAAGTTCCATTTAAAACAGGTCCGAGAGACAACGAATACGAACGACGCCGATTAAAAATTATCTTGCTGGAAGAGAAACTTAGGACTCGAAAAATCTCGTCCGCCAGAAGCATTGTGACTCGGCCGCCGTTGGGCCGCACACACAGCGCCACCACGAGAGAATTTCACAACATGTTTAGTGCTAAATTGAGCCTTACGAAAATTAAAATTCCTCTTTTCACATAATAAACATTTGTCTGTTCCTTTCTTTATTCGCCCGTTACTGAGTTTTCTCTTCTGTTTTTATGTATGACCAGTCTGCGCCATCATTGACGTTGACTCCAAAAGACAGTTTTAAAATTTTTCTTCCATTTTTCTGGAAGAATTCTGTCCGTTTGGTTTTGTTTTTTCTCTGTCTGTCGGAACACATGGACTTATGGGGCTACTCAGCGTATGTTCGTTTTCCGTTTTTTTACATCGCTGATTGGATTTTCTTGCATAAAAAAACAAAAAAGAAACGGAAAACAATTATTTTTTTCACAGCCTGAATAACCCCATTACAAACGAGCGGCCTAGACGCTTCCGAACATCAACACAGCCAGGGCCTAATGGGGTTATAACGGTTATTCAGCGTATCTTTGTTTTCCTTTTTTTTAATTGCTGAATTGAGTTTTTGACGTAATTATGCAAAAAAAAACGGAAAAAAAGCGCGCTGAATAACCCCATAAGCAGTGGGCCCAGGTTTAACTAGCTTTTTTTGTGGATTAACAACATTCGTCCTTTCTATTTGTCGGGATTCATATTTTCAGTAATAGATTCAGCAACAAATGTGTTGAATGCTGCCGTACCTTGCTTACCGATACGTTAAAACAACGCGCAATAAAATACGAATGGAAATAGACAACTGCTTGGATGACATGGTTCGGAGCATAGTTCCGGACAAAGTAAGACTTGATATTTAGAAAAAAAACAGAAGTATAGACCCGCTAATTTCTGTCAATGTCGCTCTATCGGAAGTTTGTAATCCCATTTGAAAATGCGGCTGAGGCCGCGTCCTTTTCCAAGTAAGCACTGAATTCACTTGATAAGAGGTAGAGCGAGGTTGCCAGAAAATTTCGGCAGCAGTAGTTAACTATCAAGAATTTACTATTCGTCAGACCGTGCTAAGGATCATAGACGTGGCTGCGAAACTGACAGAGACTTCTAAAGAGTATCTGCCGGGCGTGTTGGCTATTATAGAAAAGCCAACTGCGGTTTTCATTGAGTGGAAGCCTGCTGAAGATCCGGATGCATCATGGGTGATTACATCTGAAGATGGAAACACGGAAATGGTTCATTCAAGGAGCCTTGGTGACCAAAAAGAACATTTGGCAAAAACGTCTTTTTCGCTTGACGTGAACGATTTGAGCAGTTTTCGTAGTGAAGAGCCGAGGAAAGGTGAGAACTGCATTTAGTATGTTGGCAAAACTTTTTTAAACAGGGTCCGCTGCACGGGCCGAGCTAACGCTCTGACGCCTTCGCCGATAACCAAGAAGACTGAAAGTTCACGTTTTCATTTCTCAATTTCTCCGTCACAACTTTTTCGTTTTAGAAATCAAAAGTGTGCGGACAAATAAGTCATTCTTATTTAATGAAAGTCTAGCGGGGTCTGTCGGTTTCTTTCTTTCTTTCTTTCTCTCTCCGTTTGTCCGGAAACAGTCTAGTAAATAAATAAATAAATAAACAAAGAGACAGACCCCGTAAGACTTTTATTAATAAGAATGACAAGAATGAAGATTACACAAGATTTTCAAAAACTTGGCCCGCCGCGCGGTCCGAGCTGACGCTCGGAAGCGCCTTCGCTGCTTATTTGTTGATCATACTGTTTGAAAGCGTCAGCTCGGCCCGCGCAGCGGGCTCAGGTTTCAAAAGTCTTGTATTAATAAGAATGATGATAACTTTTGGTGCCCGCTGTGCAGGCTGAGCTGGCGCTCAGATGCGGGTCGCCGCTTATCAATAAGAATTATTAAGACTTTTAGAAAATTGGCCTGTTTCGAGGGGTTTTAGAAACAACAGTAGAGTAAAAATATCTGTGATGCGGCCCTGCCCGTTCGAAGAATGGTAAACAACATGTCCTATTACTTGTTAAGTTTCAGGGTGTGGATTCCCATCTATCAGATTGATTTGTCGTGACGGAAGTAGCAAAGTTCCACTCTTTTTCAAGAACGCATCAACTGAAGCTTTCATCGACACTCTTCAAGGGTTTCTAAAATGTTGTTAATTGTTAATCTCTATTTTTGTTTCAGATATATTACTCTTCGCCGGTCTCACCGCGACGCTAATCTCGTAATCGTTGTTGACCAGAAATCCGAGGCTCTTGCACAAAGCGTTAGCATGTTAGACGAAAACGGAGATATACTTTCAGTAAGATGAACTTTTCGAAATAACAATATCCTTTTCCAATTCAGAGGTTTATGCAAAATCCCTACATGACCGCAATGACCGGATTCAGTAAGATCACTTCGTTTGTGCAAGATCAAGTAATTCCATCAGTTCTCAATGATACTGACGCCGTTTCTCAAGAAGAGAAAATCCGTTTGATGCGTGAATTGAGGCTTGCAGAAGAACAGATGCGCGTACATTCTGATGCCGCAGGAGAATTTGAGGTGATAACTCAATTGGAGTTACCTCCAAGACCGGATATCTTCCGGGAAATGCCAGTGTCACAGAAGATGTGGGATACTTTCAAACAATCGGATGGATCTTTCAAAAACTTGCACAATCTAAGAATGAACATCTTCCGTGGCGGATTGAATGCCGACCTACGGAATGAGGCGTGGAAGTATCTTCTTGGTTATCGACGATGGGATGAATCAGATTCGCAATTTGAAAAACGTCGATTAAGTCTGTCACAAGATTATTTAAATATGAAAAAACAATGGCTCTCAATAACTGAAGATCAAGAGAGAAAATTCTCGAAATTCGCAAAGCGTAAATCGCTCGTTGGTGAGAGTGATGAAAAAATTAACATGTATTTTTTCTTTAGAAAAAGATGTTGCACGTACTGACAGAACGGTCCCATTCTTCCAAGGCGATGGAAATACTAATCTGTCTCTCCTTCACAACGTCTTGATGACATACGTAATGTACAATTTCGACCTGGGTTATGTGCAAGGAATGTCTGATTTTGCTTCTCCGCTTCTATTCGTTATGAAAGACGAAATAGATACATTCTGGTGCTTCGTTGGATTGATGGAAATGACTCATCGGAACTTTGAAAAAGATCAAGCGTTTATCAAGCTGCAGATGAACCAGCTTCGAGACTTAGTGATGATAATCAATCCAAAATTAGCAAACTATCTTGGTATTACATCTTGTAACTCGAAGGTTTATTTACTTTTATCAGAAAGCCATCAATCCGATGATATGTACTTCTGCTTCCGCTGGGTCTTAGTGTGGTTCAAACGCGAGTTTTCTTTTCTTGATACCTGCAAATTGTGGGAGGTAAAAAGTTTTAAAGGGTTTCTTTTTACCGGTCGGAAAAACAACATCCTATAAAAGATACTCAGAGCGTTTTCAGGTTTTGTGGTCCGGGCAGCCGTGTCCAAATTTCAATCTTTTGGTTTGTGTCGCAATTTTGGATTCTCAAACAACCGTCATAATTGATAATCAGTTTGGATTGACCGAAATTTTAAAGGTTATCTGTTCTGTTCAATTTCGTTACTGAAAATCATTATTTTAGCACGTGAACGATTTGTCTATGCATCTGAAAGTAGATGAGATCCTAACTGCCGCTGAAGCTATCTTTCATCAGCTATCAGCCAGTCAAGATAAGTTGCCAACCCACATTTGCCAATACCTCAATATTGGAGAGTCTGCCGTGAATTCCAGCAATGGCAGTCCCGTCAAGAACGGGGTCGAAGAATCGCTATGAAGATAAAAATTATCAATTTAAAATTTTTTTTGTTTATCACTGTAAGTATACGGTGCTGTCCCGAATCAGAACTGGTACGAATCAAAACCAATTAGCACTGAAAATAGTTCTGATTCGTACCAGTTCTGATTCGGGAAGTTCCGATTCGGGACAGCACCAAGTATACATATATAAATGATCACGGAAATCGTAAAAATTGTGATATGAATAAACGATTGTATTAAGTGTAAACCTTTTCGTAAATTCTGGTTAATGGTACCCAACGGAAATACGTAAGATAATCAACAGTACTGTACACAACTCTCATAGAACTAAACCCGAGACACTCCGTGTTTTGTTGATGGCTTTTACCAGTAGCATATCCAAGACGTTGGCAGAGAGAGCTCTGTTCTCAGGTATCAGTACTCGTTCTGCGATATACGGTAGGTGGTCACCGTGAGACGGTAAATTAGTTCAAATTCTAGCTCCAGCGAACTATTTGTCCAGTTATCGTGCATTTACACAAGACAGATCAGAGAAGAAAGCCATTCCTTCCACAACTACACTTCTCAAAGTTGATTGGTTGTTACAAAAAATAGTTGGTCTGTTATCAATGGAATTCAAAAATATTTGCCTTAAAGACTCCACTTGTATTGAAGTCGAACATTCGGGATTTTATCGACATTTGCAAAGAAGATGTTCAACTTGAAGACCGAGTGTTCTCGTATAAAATGGAAGGACGCACAGCTCTTTTAACCCATATAGCAAAGATCAGAATGTATTATCGATATCTGTCGCCTTTCAACAAAGTCGAGGTACGAAATAACAGGGTGGGATCAGGGTGAGTTCTCGAGACTAAAAGAGGCAATCTATCGGGAATTGGGGGTCTTATGGTTGCCGCAGGTTCGGCAATCTCAATCCGACCGTAAGGTCGGAACAATTTTTTTGGCGTTTTTCAATTTTAAAATTTTAAACATCCCGCACCTATGCGGCCTGATTCCGCAGGCTCCAACTTGATCCACAAATTTCGAAAATTTTGAAAAAAAAGCCTCAACTTTGTACAAAAATGGGCGGAGCGGTAGCATGACTCAATGAGTCAGACTCATATTCTGAATCTTTCAGTGGATAGGATCGTGTGTATACGAAAACGAAGACGTCATCATTGTTTTATGGCGCTTATCTACACTTGATTCAAGTTTCATGTCCTATTTTCCAACTTTTATCACCAAAAAGAAGCCGAAACTGATTGTCAAAGAAGGAGCATTTGATATTCAAGTCGACAATCAGGGACATATTATGCGTATCGTCAATAGACCGGTATGATTGATTTATGCTTTCTACTCCTTGGAATTTTTTCACTTGTTTGTCAGATCACTGCTTCTGATAGAGAAGGAGCGAAATCACTTGCTCAGATGAAAAGGCAGTACGAAGAGGGCCGAATCAGAAATGAAGTAAACGAATCAAGGAAAGAGTTTGATAGACAATACCACCAGTGATTGTTTGAAGAAAAAGATAATGAGATACAACGTATTTTAATAGTTGATGCTTCGAGTTTTGTGCCCGTTTATTGAAGTTAAGAATAAGTGTTAGTTTACAAAATTACTCTTATCATTATCATTCATATCATCGTCCCTCTAGAGGTAATTAAACAATTAAACGTAATTAAACGTGTAATTAAACAGAGGCCTCTGTTTAATTACAAGACTTTTGAAACCTGGGCAGTCCCATTTCGGGGCAGTTCCATTCCAGTCAGTTTCATTTCGGGGCAGTTCTATTCCGGTCAGTTCAATATGGGAGTCTTCCAGGGTGCTCTCCCGCTCCGCATCGCACTCTGGTAAAATTTCAAACTTTTCCAGGCGCCGATTAAGAAATTCTTAGAAAAGTTGAACAGTGCTTGAAAAGATGCCACAAATCGAATGCCGTTAAGTCTGTGTTGGTCCCACTTTTTTGAATTTTTTATATTCCGTTCAGCTGTTCGCATTTTTCTGGCATTTCGTTATTAATCTAACGGCGGCCTAATAAGATTGATATGGCACCTAATTAGTTTAATAAATTGTCTAGCTAGATTAATAAATCTTCTAATTAGATTGATATGTGCTCAAATCAAGTTTCACGCCAACCGTCTGCTGGCTCAAATCTCGATTGCGCCAAGAAAAAACAGTCCAATCTAATTAGGTCGCGTTTAGATCAGTAACTTTCTAATTAGATTAGGATCGAATTGCCAGAGTAGGGGCACCGGACAGAAAGGGCGCGCTGTTCGCAATTCGGCCGAATTTCTAGGCCGCGAAGTAATTTTCCACTGAAAATGTGGCCTAACTCTTCAAACTCGGCCCCGAGGTCGCTCAATTTGCACTGCAAAAAGAGTTTCTCAACAGAGCGCCATTTCTGTGCGGTGCCCCTATAATAGCTAGAAGATTTATTAATCTAACTGGACAATTTATTAATCTAATTAGGTGTCATATCAATCTTATGGGGTTATTCAGGCTGTGAAAAAATGATTTTTTTCTGTTTTTTTCTTTTTTTTTCGTCAAAAAATCCAATTCAGCGATGTTCAAAAAAAAAGGAAAACAAACATACGCCCCATTATTAGGCCGCCGTTAGATTAATAACGAAATGCCAGAGTGCGATAACATCAGTTCACAAGAGCTTTGAGACCTGTGTCCGCTTTTTAAGTTTTAGAATTGAAAAAGTTGCCGGAAAAACAAAGAAACAAATAAATAAACAAAGGCACAGACTCCTTAAGACTATATTTGTTAAAAAGAATGACAAGACTCTCAACCTGAGCTCCAGAGTTGAGCGGAAATGGAATTTTGAAATCCGGAAGACGGAAGAAAACTTTTTTCCCGAAAGACGGCAGACGGAAGACGGAACAAAAATATCCACGGAAGAAGGCAGACGGAATTCCGCTCAACACTGCTGGGCTCGCTGCGCGGTCCGAGCTAATGCCCGGAAGCGGCTTTGCCACTTTTTTGTTTCGCAAAGCGTTCGATTTAGAAATGAAAACGTGTGCGGACAAAACAAGATCGGCGTCAGAAAAATTTCAAACTTTGCAGGTTAGTTGGCTTCTCCAGTATTCATTTTTCATGAAATCTCAACAAAAAAATTTCACCGTTGACGTCCTTTAATCGCCATTACTCCCAGTCATACGGAGCGTCCATCTTTCCACCGACAGTTGAGCAGCCCTGAATTGTTCACGTTTTCTGTTTGCCTTATTCAATTTTTCCATTACGTCTTCTAATTGTTTGTATATGTAAGAATAGTCGACGTGATCTTGATATTGTAGTTTGTCGATGTAACTTATAATTTTTCCGAGTTCGGAGAAGCACTTTATTCCACGAAAGAGCAAATCCTGAAGTCCAAACTAGTAATGTAACAAAAAATAAATCTTCTATTCCATACTTTTTTACACCGAGCATCCTCCTTCATTTTACAAACAGTGTCTCTATCCGTAATCATTTTCCATGGTAGTCCTGCATACAAAATTTACTATTCAGAACCAATGAAAACCTGTGACCTGATGATACTATGAGGTCGAGAAGTAGATAAAACCAACTTTCACAGTCATCTTTCCATCCTAATTCTTGTGATTTGTGGCACGATAAAGAAGCGTATTTCAAAGTTCCTTTGAAACGGACAGTCACTCTTGGTGTTTTCAGCTGGTTCTGGTCATTTATGATTCGACGCGAAATTCCAAAGTCCAGGATGTAGATCTGAATCTAAATCTTTTATAAACTGAAGTAATTGCGTTGTGCAGAAAACACTGTACTGGTGTACCACGGTGAACATTTCTGAACATGCTTTTCAACCTGCCATAAAACTGCACAGTCAAAGCAAGAATATGCATATTAGCTACCAGTAGAGATATCAAAAAGTAACCAAATCATAAAATTTTCACAATGTTTTTATGAGAACTTATTCAGTAGACAACTTTTTTGTTTCTACCGGCAGCCGATATATTTCGACTGTAATGAACGGTATTTGGTGTGCCATTCTACTACAGGTTTTATTTACGGTGGTTGAATTTATCGCCCCAATATTTGTAACTACTCAGTAGCGTGTTGAAGGGGTACACTCGTCGACACGAAGCGATGAACGCAAAATCGAGCATGTTCACGAGTGTTCACCATGTACAGAATGTTTTCTTGAGCCGATTCCGCAAGCGTAGTTCGCCGGTTTTAAGTCTCTGTGAATAAATCCGTATTTGTGAAGATCCTCACAAGCTTCCAAGCATTGCTGAGAAACACTTAGTCCAGTGGGTAATGTGAAGACCTCAAAATTTTGAATAACAAACACTTTTGCTGAAGGCTTTTTTACTTTTGAATCTCTGTTTTTTTTCAAGTCCGCCAAACTTGTTCCTGCCAGTTCCATAACCAGAAAAAAATATCCATCCTTATCTTTCTTCCCCCTGTCTATAATCGTGGTAAAATGAGAGTTCTTCCGTTCGTTAGAAACTAGTTTCAGTATAAATATCTGCACGGCTTAATTTGTGTCAGTTTATTCCTATACTGTGCAATAACCTCCATTTTCAACTTTGACTGCTTTCGATCTTGTTTCTTCTCTATCTTCATAGCATAAAATTTTCCTGTCTTCGAATCTTTTACTTTGTAGACTGATCCAAAACCTCCTTCTCCTAACAGCTGATCTACCACATACTTTGTTTTTCTGCTCGAAATCTCAGAATTCTGAAATCAAAGTGAGTTTCCAAGATATTTATTTTAGAGTAATACGGGCTTGAAGTTGGGATCCTCTTCATCTTCGTCTGTCATTACCTAGAAGAAAAGTCGGGAAAGCCAAAAAAAAAAAAGAAGTAAAGCGAATACACAACAAACTTCTTATATTGTACCACTTTGATTCGATTAAAAATATAAACTGTCACGTCAAAGTTAAGATGAGCAATTCATCCTTTATGCCGCAACCAAAATTAAAAAAAAAGAAATCTAGGCTGGCCGACCTGTTTTTTCAACGCGGTGCTGCGTTTTTGCGCTGAAAAAACAGGCGCCTGAAAAATCAGGCGCAGGCGCGCCTGTTCACTGATTCACTGATCACGTGAGATCTGTTCACTTTTGAAAATGACATGAGAGAAAATACGGAACATGCTCAAAAACGTCTGTTTGTGCGATCGGAGACCGAACTCAGGTAAAATTTCAACCTTTTCTTGGCTCTCCTGAAGACATTCTCAAACTTTCTCAAGAAAAAACCTTTTAAAAGTTTGCCCAAATGCTGCCTAAAAGTGTTCAGTTTATTTCCACTGCATTTCTGCATGAAAAAACAATTTTATTGAGATAGTATAAAAACCAGAAAGAGATCAGTGATTGTAAAGTCTTCGTCACTTTCATAACTGAAAAAAGACACGCTGTTATAAGTGAAAATGCAGGCGATGTAGGAGACACCATCCTCAAAATCTGAAATTTTCATCTACGACTCGTAGATGAGAGACTACGAGTTATAAAACTACGAGTGACTACGAGTTATAAAATTCTCTGTTAACTCACTGAAACACTCTTCTGATTCATGAATCGGAGGAGTAACGGCCGTGTCTATGCCGCGTCTTTTCGCCTTCCGCCAAAAAAAAATTGAATTCCGCCTTTTCAAAAAGTCGATTCAACTCTGGTTCCACTTCTCTTCTGAATCATATCTCACGTAATCATATAGCAGTCTTAATTCGAACGGAACTCACCGAGTCTCCTTTCGAGACAAATGACTTGGACACTTTTTGGCTGAAGTCGATAGTTTCGTCCGGATCCATTTTTCTCTTCACAGTGGTTCACGTTCTATCTAAACCAGAAAATAATGTGATATAGTACAAAAGTACGAGCATGTGAATCGTTCAAACTTCTTAAATAATTGTGAAGTAGCTCGAATTCGAGTGGTTTCATACAAATTTTCAATAACACTCGCTTCTAAACGAAATCCGACTGAAATTTATTATGGGGGGGCACTGCACAGAAATGGCGCTCTGTTGAGAAACTCTTTTTGCAGTGCAATTGAGCGACCTCGGGGCCGAGTTTGAAAAGTTAGGCCACGTTGTCAGAAGAAAATTACTTCGCGGCCTAGAAATTCGTCCAGATTGCGAACAGCGCGCCCTTTCTGTCCGGTGCCCCTATAACAGCTTGAAATGCGCTCAAACCGAGGAAATACGGAAAAGGATAAGTAGTTTCAATTTGATAAGCAACAAAAAATTAGGTCCGGTTAGATATACTCTCGACTCGGGTTAGATTACGAAATCTCCTAGCTAGATTACAAACGATTTGCCTGAGCACCTACGTATGTTCACGGTCTTATCATAGGCCTTCTTCTTGGTGTCTGGACTCATCCAGTCGAGTTGATCAATCATTCCTTGAAAAGATGTTATGACGTTGGCGATGATACCGCCTGCTGATGTTCGAACGTTGCTGACATCATCTTCTGTCGGATACATGTAGTCAATGAAAAATGAGTGTAGCAAATTTTCGTCTGGATTAATTTAATTTGTACATCTTGTTTTGTATGTATTTTGTATTGTTTGCAATTATTTGAATAAATTCTCGTGTTTTTAAGCTTCTGCTCGTTTGCGTCGAAAATTGTGCTTTTTTGGGTGGAGGTTATTTCAGCATGGGATTCTGGGAGTGCTAAATGGAATGTGTGAGGGATTTTAATAGAAAATTTCCGGGTTTTTGATATAAACTCCCCACACCGTTGTGGGGAGCCATAATGAAACTGTTAAACCCCCACTTTTCAACGGCAGGGGTTCTTATCCCTGATTTCTCATATTAAATTCTGATAACAACCATAAGCTTCTTAGGTTTTCCGTTATATATCACTAATACGGTCGTACATATGTATGATGCTGACATTTTTAAATGATAAGAGTGCTAGAGTTGATAAAAAAAGTCAGCCCAAACTCATTCGCACGCCGCAGGCCGTTATGGGCACAGCTAACATATTGAATACTCTTCTTCTGGTACGCTGGTAACATTTCTTTTTCAACGTTTTTGTGTTTTAGGTTGGTGCTGTGGTAATTGCTGCCGGAACACTTGGTGTGGCAATTGCTATTCTCATCAATGTTAACAACAACAATGGTGGAAATCCTGACTCGAACAACACATCCAACATTGCTTGTAAGTCAAGTAGAGATATAGGTATTTCCAGACTTGAGCTAATTTTTTTTTTAAAATTTGCCTTGATAAGACAAATACTAAATACACAAGAGCGATAAATTGAAAGTATTTCTCGAGACATCTCGCATTTCTAAATGTTACTGTAATCCAATGTAATCGACGCGGTAGAACCCAAGTTTTTTCAACTGCTCATATAATCTGCTTCTCAGCGCAATTGCTGAATATCCCGTCGTCACAACAGATATCCTCGGCAGATTCTAAATACAGTTCTTATCAACAAGTCGTTCAGTTATTCAAGTAAGGTTAAACCAGATCTGTTGTTTTTTTCTTAAGAACTAGTAAACTGTATTGTTAGGGCGTCTGTGAACTTGTCAGTGAATCCCTGTGATGATTTCTATGCATATACATGTGGAAATTTCAACGGAGATATAAGCTTTGACGTGTCCGATGATTCCAACATCAATGATATGGTGAAAAAGTTGACTGATGATCAATACATCAGTGCAGCGGTAAAGTTGTTTTTCTTTCTAGACGTGTTTTTTACCAGCAGCTCTAATTTTCAGCCGCTCCCAGTGAAACAGACCAGGTGGTACTTCGACGAATGCGTCAAAGCCCGGCAAAATTGGAATTCACTGGTAGAGGATGGGAGTATTGTCACAAGCGCTATAAACAATCTTGCTACTGGTGCTGGAGGTTTCGAGTCTACAACTAAGTTTCCCTTTCCAATGTTGGACCAAAATACGGACGTCAAAACCTTCCCGAACAAGTTCGGCCTCGGATATTTAGCAGGATCACTTGCAGCATCAGGAGTTGACACAATAATTTCGGCTGGTGTTGACACAAACTGGAAGGATCCATCTGGTCCTAATGGGTTTGCTTATCTAATTGACCAACCTACCACATTTGCGCCGAACACCTACTATCTCAAAAATTGGGCCAACACGAATGCCTCGTAATTTTTTATTAGTTGGTTCGGCTCTTAGTACGTTTTACAGATTGGCATCTTCAATCACAGCAACGATGCAATTACTTGCTTCCGTTCAGAAAAAGAAACTTGATCCTGCCATCCTCTCAAAGGATGTTAATGACATAATTCATCTCGATTACATTCTTGCTACAGTTTTTTCCACCGATGACACTACTCGACGAAATTATGATCGCAGCTACAACCCGAACACAATGTCTCAGTTGAGAAACGTCTATCATGATGATTTATTCAGTTGGCACATGTTCTTACCCTTAGCTACAGGCGCCGCAGAGCATGTTATTTACAAGATCTTTGATCCGACTTACAACTATTACGTTGTTATGGAGCCAGAGAAACTGAACTTGCTGCTGACTAATTTACAAGTCAACAACCAATATGGTATTACGCCAAGATCTGTTGTCAACTATTTCTATTACCGACTAGTTGATGCCAACAGTGAATTCCTCCCTTGGCCGACTACTGTAAGAAAAATAAGAAAATCGCGATTCAGTAGATCAATCATCCTAGATTTTTTCAGTCAACCATTGTCCGCCCATTTGTGAAAATACAAAAGCAGCCAATTGGTCGTCCTCGACATGTTGATCCTGCAAAGAGAAAGTACAGCAGAAAGCATATTGACGCGGTTAGTGAAGCACAATATAGTTGCGCAGCTGAGACAATCGATCAAATGCAGGTAACTAGCGAACTTCAATGTTTTTCTTGCATTACAAACTGATTCAGTACGCGAATGCTCGACTTTTTGTTGATCAAGTCTACCCAACTGAAACTGATCGGCAAAACGTAAGAGAACATGTGGCTAAAGTGGCCAGCAGCATTGTTGTTGGCTTCCGATCTATGATTGATCAACTTGATTGGATGTCAAGTTCAACAAAAAAAGGTGCATACAACAAAATCGAGAATCTAGTTAAAAACATCGCCTATCCTGACTGGATCACTGATGATAACTTACTCACCTCGTATCATACTGTAAGAATCAATTAGCACAAGTTTATTTTCTGCTTCTCATTCTAGGCTATGAATTTCACGCAATTAGATGACTACTTCACCATGTACAATAACGTCTTGAACTTCAACATGTTTGAACAATGGGATCAACTTGTTCAAGGGCCAGCAGACCGAACTGCCTTCAATGGGCCCCCCGGAATCACCAACGCCTGGTACCAGCCAGAACTTAATTCAATCACATTCCCTGCCGGAATTCTCAAAAAGCCATTTTACGACTATAACTGGCCCGCATCTGTCAATTTCGGTGCTATGGGAGTTATTGCCGGCCATGAGTTAACACATGGATTTGACGATCAAGGAGTTCAGTGGGATGGTGTTGGAACTCTCAGTGGGTATGTCTGAAAAATTCCAGAAATTATAATTTATTTTTCATACTATTTTTAGTTGGATGGATAGTAAATCAAAGACTGATTTCAATAAGATGGCACAGTGTGTAGTTAACGAGTACGGTAATTTCTGTCCGTTGAATAAAGCGACTTATGGTAGTGCGGCATGCATTGATGGAGCACAAACGCAAGGCGAAAACATCGCTGACAATGGAGGGATTCACTCTGCATTCCGTGCTTACAAAAACTACGTTGATCTATATGGACCAGATCCATCTCTTCCCGACGACACATTACAGTACTTCAATCCAGATCAGCTATTCTTCCTTAGTTTTGCTCAAGTCTGGTGTCAGCTGCCAGCATCCGACGCACAGTTCCTAAAACAATTGCTTGTTGATGTCCATTCACCGTCCATTTATCGTGTGTGGGGAACCATTCAGAACTTCCCTGCTTTTAAAACTGCGTTCAATTGCCCGCCATCAAATTACGCCCCTGACAGTCATTGTAATGTATGGGTGTCAGATATTGATACGAGTAAGATTTATATATATATATATATATATAACTTCTTAATTAATCGGTTCGTTAAGCATTCGGCTTGCCTAATGTTCAGACGGATCTCAATGTGGTACCTGAAGCCCAAATAACTTCAAGAGATGTGGACAAGATGAATTCTTACCAAATGGTAGTCAGTTACTATTCGGTAAGTTGAGATTTATTTGCGCGAGCTCTTGATAGTGTATATCTAGAAATCTGTGAACACTGCAATAGATCCTTGCACGGATTTCTACAGTTATGCGTGTGGTTCGTTTAATCAGCCAGTTTCATTTACAACTGCTCGCGCTAAGAACTTGGTGTACATGTCCTCGAAACTTGAAGATCCTTCTTATCAAGGAACTATTTCAAACGTGTCTGCTCTAACAAAGGAAAAACAACTTTACAATGCATGCTTAGCAGCAACAAAGACAAATCAAACGGAAGATGAAATTTTGATCCAGAAAAACTATATTGGACAGAAAGTGAAAATTCTTGTTGGATTACTAGGGCAACCATTCTCGCTTGTGAATGGAGGAACAGTTAACTTGCCAAGTTCAAAGCAGATTGCTGACGGCATTGGATACCTGTCATTCTCAGAAGGTGTTGATACACTGATCAGTCCTCTTGTCGACACTTATTGGATTGACAATGCCCAAGGATACCAATTGTTCATTGATCAGAACACTGCATATCTGTCGAAGACGTACTATCAACCAGCAGCATGGAAGATTGAGAAACCAAAGTACCTGAGAACTGCGAGAGATGTGATTCAACGATATGCTAAAGAGCAACAAATCTCTTTACCAACTAATTTCAATGATACTCTCGAATCAGTTCTAGATTTTGAGCAAACAATTGCTATCAAGTACAGTACAGACGATGATACGAGAAGGCAGTTCAACCGATCATGGAACCTAATGAAAGTTCAAGACATAGGAAACAAATATTCTTTTCTCGATTGGCTGGCGTACTTAGGACATGCTCCCAATACGGTCCGTACAAAGGTCACGGATGGGAATTATCAAATTTCCATTATGGAAACTGATCGCCTGGCGCAGTTTTCTGCAGATTACAATCTGCTTCGTCCAGATCTACTCGTCAATCTTTTGTTCGTACGTCTTCTTCTCGGAAACGCTCAATATATTCCATCATATGCGAGTGCTTTCTCGCATTTGTCCGAAGAGTCTATTCTCCTAGGGTTATCTAGAAGAAGGACAATCCCGAATATTCTGCCATCTAGCGTCGACGAGTCGTCAAATGGTCCTTATTGTGCTGGTGTTGCCAACAATTTGATGCAATTCGCGAACGGACGCGTTTTCATTGACTACATGTATCCGACAGAAGATGATGTCAGCAACGTTCGAACATCAGCAGGCGGTATCATCGCCAACGTCATAACATCTTTTCAAGGAATGATTGATCAACTCGACTGGATGAGTCCAGACACCAAGAAGAAGGCCTATGATAAGACCGTGAACATACGTAGGTGCTCAGGCAAATCGTTTGTAATCTAGTTATGAGGTTCCGTAATCTAAACCGAATCCCGAATCTAGCTATTATAGGGGCACCGCACAGAAATGGTGCTCTGTTGAGAAACTCTTTTTGCAGTGCAAATTGAGCGACCTCGGGGCCGAGTTTGAAAATTTAGGCCACGTTTTCAGTGGAAAATTACTTCGCGGCCTAGAAATTCGGCCAGATTGTGAACAGCGCGCCCTTTCTGTCCGGTGCCCCTATAATAGATGAAAATGGAATCTAAACTAAATCTAGCTAGATTTGACCGAAAGGTTAATCTGATTAGATGAATTTTGAATCTAATATCAATGTTTTTGCAATATAATTAGGAAAATTTTGCTTTGTCCATCTAATTAGAAAATTTATCAATCTAGTTAGAAGAAATTGGAATCGAATCGCAATAAATTAGCAATCTAACTAGGTCCGGTTAGAAACGCGAATTAGCTAGCTAGATTAGAAACGATTTACCTGGGTGACTCATGGCTCGTTACTAAAAGCTTTTGAACGCTTTACAGAGAGAAATATTGCTTTCCCGGACTGGATCGCTAGTGATCAGCAGTTGAGTGATTACTATGGTGATCTTATCATAGCAGACAGTGACAACTATTACGACATTTATGCTAAACTGGTCAAGTTCAATATTGAGCTGCAGTACAACCAACTCAATGCTAAGCAGACGGATCGCACCGATTTTCTGGGACAGCCTGGAACTGTTAATGCGTGGTATCAGCCAGAGCTGAACTCAATTACGTTTCCTGCGGGTATTCTTGTTCCCCCTTACTTCCATCCAAAATGGCCTCCAAGTGTTAACTATGGTGGAATGGGTTTGGTAGCTGGTCACGAACTCACACATGGTTTCGATGATCAGGGAGTGCAGTGGGGACCAACGGGAAACCTTGCTGGGTGGATGGACCAGAATTCTACAGATGGGTTCAATCTGATGGCTCAATGTGTCATAAACGAATATGATGGATTTTGCCCGCTTGATTCCTCAAAGTACTCACCGAACTGTGTAAAAGGATCTCAGACTCAAGGAGAGAACATAGCAGATAATGGAGGTGGGATATCATCATCGTCATTCCTATAATTCTTATTCTTATCATTCTATTCTGGGCTTTTTTAATTTTAGCCATGGCTTGTAAGCTCAGTTCGTTGCATCTATGAATTTGAGAAAAAGAGAGAGAGAGAGAGAGAGAGAGAGAGAGAGAGAGAAACCAGTGCGGTACTTTCAAAATTTACAGGTATTCATGCTGCATTCAATGCTTACCGCTACCATCAAGCGCTTGATGGTCCAGATCCGCGCCTGCCTGATCGTCTGTTCGGGCAATTCACTCATGATCAACTGTTCTTCATGAGCTTCGCTCAGGTATGGTGCGAAATTAGACGTTCCGATGATGCTCTCTACACTCAAATTATGGTCGATCCTCATTCGCCTTCAATGTACCGCGTTTTTGGGACAATTCAGGTAGCTTAAATTAATGCTAGAAGAATTTTTATCTTATTCTCAGAACTTCCCTGCATTCCAAACTGCATTCAACTGCCCTCTTGGATCTGCAAGTGCGCCGACGTCGCATTGTGACGTTTGGGCCCCCACGAAATACCAGTAGATTCACAATTATTCGCTAAATTTAACGAATTTCAATTAAAATTATTCATTCAGTCATAAAACATTCAAAACTGTTGTAGATCTCTAACAATCTCTTTGGCTATTTGATAGTGCACAATAGTAGAAGGATTCCAGAGGTCGTGGTAAGCGGTAAACTGATTGAGGTCTGAAATGGTACTCAGAAAAGCAGTTCTCAAAGCTCTCTTTTTGGATAACTGAAATGGATACACTATCTCGGCAAAGGCGCGCCACTTTTGCGCAAACTTTACGCAGCTTTTGCGCAAAGTTAGCGCAGCTTCTGCTGTCTAGTTCCGCAAAAGCTGCGTAAAGTCTGCGCAAAAGCTGGCATTTAATTCGGAGGGTACAAAAATTAGGGGGTACAGCAGGGTACAAATTGTTTTGGGGTACAAAAAGTCGAGGGTACAAAAATTTACCGATTCAGTAGGCATTGATTAAGGGGTACAACTTCTATGATTTAAGGGTACAAATTTCACGATTTTGGGGTACAACAATTTTTTTCCCATTTTTTCATGGGCATCAATTCAGTGAAAAAGATCGTTCAGTCCGTCTTGATTCGCACGAAGACTCGTCAATTAAGATAACTTCTTCGCTCTCACGATCCTCCGTAATTTTTGATTTCCTGGCAGCTTTAGTAGGCTCCGCCACCTGACGCATCGTCTTCCGCAGCCGCTCCTGACAGCCTTTTTTGTTTTGATCGTATGTCGAAAGAAGAGAATGGGCTTTTTCTGGGTCGGTCATCGACGCATCAAAGACGTCTCGGTAGAAAGCCTGTCCGACTGGCCATCTGTGCAGATGGAGTCCTTCGAGGTACAGCTGTCTGATGCCAAGTGGCAACAGGAAAATGTAGAAAAAGGCTTGTTCGGTTCGGCCTCTCGTTTTCGGTTGTGCGAGCTTTTCGTCCACGAGCTTCTGATACTCTCCGTCTCGGGCAGCCTTGTTTTCGCGCATGAGATTCACTTCATCGGAAGAGAAGCGTCTTTCGAGGTAATTGAAAAAGGCGAGAGACTGAAAAATTAAAATAATGCGCCTGAACCTATCACCTGCTAATGCCTTACCAGTTCTTCCTCAGAGTACTGAGCCATTGAGCGACGGGTTTCCGTTGACATCTGAATCAAGCAACGTTCCAAGATATAGGGAGGAATCGTTTTTCTGTTGGTCGACACAGTGGTGTTTGCATCAAAAGCTTTGCGGTACTGAATCGTACACAGAGAATGGTACAACGCTTTGAAATTGTTCGGATCGGTGAAGATCAATTTGATGCGAATGGGCGTGTCCCAATCCTTATCGCTTTCTCTCGCGGTCATACTGCAGAATCGATGGTTTCCTTCGAGAAGCGCTAGTTTCCTTGGCACTCCGCTTTCTCCAGAGGCAGCGAAAAAAGTGGGCGTGGTAATTCCTTCTCCGGTGAACAATTCGGTCCAATTGCCAATCTCGATCATCGCATCGACTTACTCCTGAGAAAGCTTGCGAACAATTTGCCGACGGATCTTGCAAGTGAGCAAATCTCTCATCGGGATATCCACAATTTCCTGAAAATTATTATTGAAATGCGGTTCTATTTCCCTCGACAATAATACCTCCCGCAGTTGTTTGGAACGTTTCGGCGCGTCTGGTGTATCGTCACATTCATCTATTCGGGCTCTCTTGGCGGGAATGACACTGGTAGAAGCCTGAAATCATATGTATTCATCATTTCATCCGAGATGAAAATTTATATGAGAAGAAAATCTCAGATTTCATCTCAGATGAAATTTTCTGTGAGCAACACGTTTTTCATCTCAGATGAAAACTGAGAAACAAAAGGGGGACATTTTCTTACAATTGTATGTTTAATTAATTAAAATTACCTTCTGTGTAGATTCCGTGAGCACTTTGTCAAGAACTTCTTGAAGGTTCCCGACAGTGTCTTGAGGTTTGATACCCGAGCCTTCTTCTACAAGAATACGCTCCTCTACATCAGTCTGCTTAGCCTCGTCATCCTCTTTCAAATCCAATTCCCGTTCCAAAATGATTTGCTCGTCAACAACATCATCCAAAACAGCGTCCTCCTCCGCACTCTTGTTCAGAATCTCATCGACAATCTTTTCGGGGACATTATCCTCAACTTGAACATTCTTCTTTTCCGGAGAATCAATGCGACGGTCATAGTTTTCGGACATTTCGCTAATCTGTAAAAAAGTACTATCTCTAATTAATGTAAGTAGATGGTTCATCTCAGATGAAATTAGCAGACAGCAATCGTTAATCAATCTTAAATTTGTTCTAATTTTCATCTCAGATGAAATTGGAACACGAGGTCAAAATTTTCATCTCTGATGAAATTGAAACACGAGGTCAAGATTTTCATCTCAGATGAAAATCTTGAGACCACTAATTCCAATTTCATCTGAGATGAAAGTACGAGATAAAAGCACGATAAAAATTATGACTGACTGACTGAGCTTCTCACTTTTTAGGCCAAATTTTGGAATTAAGCTACAGTACTACCGGGTCTCGACACGATAACGTGACACTCGGTGCGCCTTTAAATTTTTAAATTTTTTCCTCTCAGATGAAAATCTTGAACACCTGAGTAATTTTCATCTGAGATGAAAATCTTGAGATCACAAAAATATTTTCATCTGGGATGAGAAATACGAAATAGAAGTAAGAAAAATATGAGAACCCGAAAGTAATGTCTGACTGTACAGTATGAGGACCGTCTGAGCTTCTCACTTTTTAGGCCCAATTTTTGGAATTAAGTTACAGTACTACCGGGTCTCGACACGATAACGCGGCGCTCGCTGCGCCTTTAAATTTTTAAAATATTAAATTTCAGGTGAAACGGAAATAAAGTGTGTGGACATCTCAGATGAAAGAGGACAGGAGCAATATTTATGGGAGCTATAAAGTGTCACTCGCTGTTAAAGACTACATTAAAACCTCTGGTAAATGGATTGCGATTTAATTAGAACTCATTCACATCTAATTCAAGAAAGCATGATTTTTAGATCTATTTAGAAGTTTTTCAGGTTTAATTTGAATCTAATTAGATGTGAAAACAGAAATTCGAATCTAATTAGAAGTTGGACTTTTCACATCTAATTAGGAGTCTTTGGGATCTAATTAGAAATGATGCAATCTAATTAGAAATGATGGAATCTCTGCGCACCGCGGAACAACTTTTTTTTCTCAATTTTTGAAATGTTCTCCTCGTTTTCTGTTGTTTATTGCATTTTTATTCAACTGAGAATATCCACGTGTGTGTTTAGTGTTGCAAGTGCGCACCATTGACAATTCTTCTGCGCATAACATTAATCATGCTCACTCGTTTGCTGGCCTTAATTTTTAGAACAATTCTCTTTCAATTTTTGCAGAATGAAAAGGAAACTTCTTCGATGAAGGCAACACTGGAACCATCTAAGTTTCTAGAGGAGCCAGAAACTCTGGTTGGAAACTTGGATTGTACAAGTGAGAAGATCCAAGTAAGACTTTACAAAGCAATAAATATTGCAGGCGAAATTTCGGTGAACGCTATTTTTTCCGAAATTCCAGCTCAAACAGGCTCATTGAAGCATATTGTTCAGATCGTCGCCAACAAATGGCTGACCGAGGTAAGAATATACGACGAATACACCAAAACGGTATTTCTTTCAGATGATTCCGGACAACTTACGCCACAACTTCTCTGTCAGCACGAAACCACAAAAACCACAAGTTTCCCTTCCGAGTCGATTCATTAACCCTCCAATCGGTATAAATTATATCTGAGATAGTATGCTATGAAATGTTGCCGTACTCAGTGGAGCGATCGAAATTCACGGATGCGACAGAGAAAAGGTGGCGATCACTGTGGCGCTGCTCTTCCAGCATCACTTGGATTACTGCTTGTGAGTCGATGCGGAAAACAACGTTCCAATCTACTTTTCCAGCAGTCACGCCCGTCATCGCATGCAGAAGCAGAAAAAGGACGAGAATACGAGTGCTTAGGTGCTATCCGGCGCTACAACGGAATCCGGCGCTACAACGGAAAAATTTCAATTTCCCTCACTCGTTTCATTGTCTTTTTAAAATGCTTCCCGTCAGCACTCGACATGAATGTTTTGTCCTTTACATTGTCAATATACACGAAAAAGCCGACTGTGGAACATGGGGAACATGGATCTAATTAGGAAATTTTGGCATCTAATCAGAAGATTTTCACATCTAATTAGGAAAGGCTTAGGCTTAGGCGCAGGCGCAGGCGCAGCCTGCGTATTTGGTATGAGCTAGAGAGGGTCATGTCTCCAAACCTAGGCTTAGGCTTCGGCGAAGGCGTAAGCCTTCGTCATTTGGTCTTAGCTTCAAAAAGTAAAACTCCAAAACCCCTCATATCATATACCATTCGAAAGCTCGTCAAATTTCACGATTTTTCACTTTGCCAGATTTTTGATATCGGGCTCGGCTCGGGAGTTATGCTCATTTTCAGACAAATCTGGAAATCACAAAAAACGTCATAACTCGGCTCAAACTTAACCGTCAGCGAGCGGATTTCGATGGTAGGTGTGGCCAACGAAGGCGCATCCGCCCATATTTTTTCCGGAATTTTGCCACTTCACGCGACCCGACAATAACGGTTTGAAATTTTTGACCCGCTGCAGCTTTTTTTCCATCTATACGTTTTTTCTGAAAAAATTTGGGCGTATACTAGGCATGGTGATGAAGTACGTGAATTTTTTTCAGACTAGGTTTCCCAACGAATATGAAAAGAAAAAAAAATTTTTTTAACTTTCAAAATTTTCTATGACGTCACACGTACGAGCTACGCGTTTGTCGTCAACTACAAATTTGTAGACCCCGTCGAGATGTATCTACACAAATTTTTTCAGAATTTTAGCTCAACGCTAAACACGCTTGCCCCACGTTGCCGTTTTTGAGGTGCTCTTACAAATGCCCACGAAATTTGAGGCTCTACGGCATAATTAAGTAGACCATCTGGTGAGTAACATATCAAAAAATAAAAAAAATTGTCCGATTTTTTTTCGAGAAAAGTTTAATTGAAGTTTTGGACCATTTCAGGCCAAGACATCCGGTTCATGATGGATCAATAATTTGGAAAAAAATGTTTTCAGGTGTAACTCGCCGAGTTCTGCAACTTTGTAGTACATCACAAAGCTGTATCTGTTGGATGAAGCACGATAAAAAAATGTTTTTTTGTGTTTTTCCGGTTATCGATCCACTTTGCAGACGTGCTGGCGATTCGGACACTAATGGCTCAATAATTTTGGAAAAAAATTAAAAAGTGATAGATCTCGACGAGCTCTACAACTTTGTAATAGATCACAAAGCTCTAACTGTTGATTTAAATTTTTAAAAAATGTTTTTGTGTTTTTTGTTTTCTATAGTCGTGTAGCGTTCAAACAGTAATTAATCAATAATTTTGGAAAAATTCAAAATGATAGATCTCGACGAGCTCTACAACTTTGTAATAGATCACAAAGCTGTAACTGTTGATTTAAATTTTTTAAAAATGTTTTTTTATTTACATGTTTTTTAAGTCGTGTTCTGTTTGAGCACTATTGCCTCAATAAATTTTGAAAAATGTTTATTGACAGATTTCTTGAGTTCTACAATTTTTGTAGTACATTGCTAAGCTGTAACTGTTGGTATCAATTTTTTAAAAATGTTTTTGTGTTTTTTGTTTTCTATAGACGTGTTGCGTTCAAACGGTAATGAATCAATAATTTTGGAAAAATCTAAAGTGATACTTCTCAACGAGTTCTACAACTTTGTAATAGATCGCAAAGCTGTAACTGTTGATTTAAGTTTTTTTAAAAAAATGTTTTTTTGTTTACATGTTTTCTATAGTGGTGTTTTATGACAGCAGTTCATCATACTCTTAACACGCCTACTCGTTTTTCAGATATTTCTGACCGCTTTCCAAGGATCTCTTTCAAACCGTTCGTCTCTGAACCAAGAAGGAATTGAAACAGAGTTCATGCCTGTAAAAACCACCGGAACCTGGAATTTTAACAATCCAATACATCTGAATTTCAGGAGTTCTCCGATTTTGAGGCCTACTTCCGCAACGCTCTATCAGAAGGACGAAACTTGACTGCACGAAAAGCAAGATTCACTGGTGTATCTACTTCCGTGCTCCGTAAATCGGCCGCATCAGCTCTGTTCTTTATAGCATACTGCCGGAAATTCGATTTCAAATCTTACTCCGTTTCGGATATTTTCGACGAATTCACCCGGAAAACCGTAGATGAAAAAGTCGAGACAATTTCTCATTTTATGAACTGGTACGAGAAAATCCCACTCGCTCGCCCTTCCATCAGAAAACTGGTCAACTGCGAAAGCAATATCGGTGAGAGGTTAACACTCACTTTTTGTTTCATCTGAGATGAAATTTAAGATCGAGCGTTAAAGAAAGAAAACTCGACGCTTCTAACCGTCGCTCGCGGTCTTCTCGCTTTTCTGACTTTTGTGGGGGCTGTTGGCTTGAGCAGATGTAAAGCACCAACAGCTGAATCACGAAATTTCTGGACAGTCATAAGGTTGCCCCCGTTTGTCTACATATTGTGGTGATAGATGAGCATATATCACCGGGTTTTTTTTGCAGTGCTCTTATGAAAAATTGGAATCGGGAGAAAGGTGGAACAATAGAAACGGGAGTCTGCTCACTTAGTATGACCGATTTGTCCATTTTGCTTGCTCGCAAGAACGCTCCGATTTTATCACAATTCGCAATTCAAGCAAATCTTCTTGTGATGACGTTAGCTGGATCAGGTCTCAGAATTGGGAGTATCCGCAACGTCAATGCCGAAGGTAGGTGGTGTTTTCATCTCAGATGAATGTGTTGATATAATATTTGGTTATTGCGGGATTTCGACCTATTGATATACAAACTGATTTAGAGAGATTAAGAGACAGCTTGTGATTCTTGGGTTATTCAGAAATACGGTCAATTGCAATCTGGAGATCTTTGGAAGGAGTTTCGTATTGTATTTCTATAATCAAAGTTGTTGTTGTTGTCTTTTTCTACAGTACTATCCCACAGGGCCTCTTGCCAGGAGCAAAATGAGCCGCATCTATGCCTCTTGTTGAACAACTTCACGTATGCACTAGATTTTTAGGGCCACTCCGCCCACTGAGCGAACCGTATACTCTCTGGAAAACTATATAAGGACCATTGCTCGTTAGTCATTCAGTTTGCCTGCAACGCAACGTCAACAACTATGTCTTCCACTGGGTTTACTACTTCTTCTTCTATCAATTCGTGCGAGTACTATGCCACGTGGGACTACCCGGAATCCAGTTGCATGTACTCTGGATCCGTGTCGATCATTCCGAAATTATCCAAGGACGCTTCTGAAGTAAAAAAACGGAAAGTTCACAGGTACGCGGTCAACTTGGAGAACGCCGTTCACTTGGTCCACTCCTTGATCCGTCTGATCCGAGTGCCGATCTCATTGGATCTCTTCCGTAAGTACGGTATTCGTGAGTTGTGACACAAGCTTAGGTTAGGCTTAGGTTAGGCTTAGGTTAGGCTTAGGTTAGGCTTAGGTTAGGCTTAGGTTAGGCTTAGGTTAGGCTTAGGTTAGGCTTAGGTTAGGCTTAGGTTAGGCTTAGGTTAGGCTTAGGTTAGGCTTAGGTTAGGCTTAGGTTAGGCTTAGGTTAGGCTTAGGTTAGGCTTAGGTTAGGCTTAGGTTAGGCTTAGGTTAGGCTTAGGTTAGGCTTAGGTTAGGCTTAGGTTAGGCTTAGGTTAGGCTTAGGTTAGGCTTAGGTTAGGCTTAGGTTGAGGCTTAGGTTAGGCTTAGGTTAGGCTTAGGTTAGGCTTAGGTTAGGCTTAGGTTAGGCTTAGGTTAGGCTTAGGTTAGGCTTAGGTTAGGCTTAGGTTAGGCTTAGGTTAGGCTTAGGTTAGGCTTAGGTTAGGCTTAGGTTAGGCTTAGGTTAGGCTTAGGTTAGGCTTAGGTTGGAAGCTTAGGTTAGGCTTAGGTTAGGCTTAGGTTAGGCTTAGGTTAGGCTTAGGTTAGGCTTAGGTTAGGCTTAGGTTAGGCTTAGGTTAGGCTTAGGTTAGGCTTAGGTTAGGCTTAGGTTAGGCTTAGGTTAGGCTTAGGTTAGGCTTAGGTTAGGCTTAGGTTAGGCTTAGGTTAGGCTTAGGTTAGGCTTAGGTTAGGCTTAGGTTAGGCTTAGGTTAGGCTTAGGTTAGGCTTAGGTTAGGCTTAGGTTAGGCTTAGGTTGAGGCTTAGGTTAGGCTTAGGTTAGGCTTAGGTTAGGCTTAGGTTAGGCTTAGGTTAGGCTTAGGTTAGGCTTAGGTTAGGCTTAGGTTAGGCTTAGGTTAGGCTTAGGTTAGGCTTAGGTTAGGCTTAGGTTAGGCTTAGGTTAGGCTTAGGTTAGGCTTAGGTTAGGCTTAGGTTAGGCTTAGGTTAGGCTTAGGTTGAGGCTTAGGTTAGGCTTAGGTTAGGCTTAGGTTAGGCTTAGGTTAGGCTTAGGTTAGGCTTAGGTTAGGCTTAGGTTAGGCTTAGGTTAGGCTTAGGTTAGGCTTAGGTTAGGCTTAGGTTAGGCTTAGGTTAGGCTTAGGTTAGGCTTAGGTTAGGCTTAGGTTAGGCTTAGGTTAGGCTTAGGTTAGGCTTAGGTTAGGCTTAGGTTAGGCTTAGGTTAGGCTTAGGTTAGGCTTAGGTTAGGCTTAGGTTAGGCTTAGGTTAGGCTTAGGTTAGGCTTAGGTTAGGCTTAGGTTAGGCTTAGGTTAGGCTTAGGTTAGGCTTAGGTTAGGCTTAGGTTAGGCTTAGGTTAGGCTTAGGTTAGGCTTAGGTTAGGCTTAGGTTAGGCTTAGGTTAGGCTTAGGTTAGGCTTAGGTTAGGCTTAGGTTAGGCTTAGGTTAGGCTTAGGTTAGGCTTAGGTTAGGCTTAGGTTAGGCTTAGGTTAGGCTTAGGTTAGGCTTAGGTTAGGCTTAGGTTAGGCTTAGGTTAGGCTTAGGTTAGGCTTAGGTTAGGCTTAGGTTGGAGCTTAGGTTAGGCTTAGGTTAGGCTTAGGTTAGGCTTAGGTTAGGCTTAGGTTAGGCTTAGGTTAGGCTTAGGTTAGGCTTAGGTTGGAGGCTTAGGTTAGGCTTAGGTTAGGCTTAGGTTAGGCTTAGGTTAGGCTTAGGTTAGGCTTAGGTTAGGCTTAGGTTAGGCTTAGGTTGAGGCTTAGGTTGAGGCTTAGGTTAGGCTTAGGTTGAGGCTTAGGTTAGGCTTAGGTTAGGCTTAGGTTAGGCTTAGGTTGAGGCTTAGGTTGAGGCTTAGGTTAGGCTTAGGTTGAGGCTTAGGTTAGGCTTAGGTTAGGCTTAGGTTAGGCTTAGGTTAGGCTTAGGTTGAGGCTTAGGTTAGGCTTAGGTTAGGCTTAGGTTAGGCTTAGGTTAGGCTTAGGTTAGGCTTAGGTTGGAGGCTTAGGTTAGGCTTAGGTTGAGGCTTAGGTTAGGCTTAGGTTAGGCTTAGGTTGAGGCTTAGGTTAGGCTTAGGTTAGGCTTAGGTTAGGCTTAGGTTAGGCTTAGGTTAGGCTTAGGTTAGGCTTAGGTTAGGCTTAGGTTAGGCTTAGGTTAGGCTTAGGTTAGGCTTAGGTTAGGCTTAGGTTAGGCTTAGGTTAGGCTTAGGTTAGGCTTAGGTTAGGCTTAGGTTAGGCTTAGGTTAGGCTTAGGTTAGGCTTAGGTTAGGCTTAGGTTAGGCTTAGGTTAGGCTTAGGTTGAGGCTTAGGTTAGGCTTAGGTTAGGCTTAGGTTAGGCTTAGGTTAGGCTTAGGTTAGGCTTAGGTTAGGCTTAGGTTAGGCTTAGGTTAGGCTTAGGTTAGGCTTAGGTTAGGCTTAGGTTAGGCTTAGGTTAGGCTTAGGTTAGGCTTAGGTTAGGCTTAGGTTAGGCTTAGGTTAGGCTTAGGTTAGGCTTAGGTTAGGCTTAGGTTAGGCTTAGGTTAGGCTTAGGTTAGGCTTAGGTTAGGCTTAGGTTGAGGCTTAGGTTAGGCTTAGGTTAGGCTTAGGTTAGGCTTAGGTTAGGCTTAGGTTAGGCTTAGGTTAGGCTTAGGTTAGGCTTAGGTTAGGCTTAGGTTAGGCTTAGGTTAGGCTTAGGTTAGGCTTAGGTTAGGCTTAGGTTAGGCTTAGGTTAGGCTTAGGTTAGGCTTAGGTTAGGCTTAGGTTAGGCTTAGGTTAGGCTTAGGTTAGGCTTAGGTTAGGCTTAGGTTAGGCTTAGGTTAGGCTTAGGTTAGGCTTAGGTTAGGCTTAGGTTAGGCTTAGGTTAGGCTTAGGTTAGGCTTAGGTTAGGCTTAGGTTAGGCTTAGGTTAGGCTTAGGTTAGGCTTAGGTTAGGCTTAGGTTAGGCTTAGGTTAGGCTTAGGTTAGGCTTAGGTTAGGCTTAGGTTAGGCTTAGGTTAGGCTTAGGTTAGGCTTAGGCTTAGGCTTAGGCTTAGGCTTAGGCAGGCTTAGGCTTAGGCTTAGGCTTAGGCTTAGGCTTAGGCTTAGGCTTGGAGGCTTAGGCTTAGGCTTAGGCTTAGGCTTAGGCTTAGGCTTAGGCTTAGGCTTAGGCTTAGGCTTAGGCTTAGGCTTAGGCTTCGGCGAAGGCGTAAGCCTTCGTCATTTGGTCTTAGCTTCAAAAAGTAAAACTCCAAAACCCCTCATATCATATACCATTCGAAAGCTCGTCAAATTTCACGATTTTTCACTTTGCCAGATTTTTGATATCGGGCTCGGCTCGGGAGTTATGCTCATTTTCAGACAAATCTGGAAATCACAAAAAACGTCATAACTCGGCTCAAACTTAACCGTCAGCGAGCGGATTTCGATGGTAGGTGTGGCCAACGAAGGCGCATCCGCCCATATTTTTTCCGGAATTTTGCCACTTCACGCGACCCGACAATATCGGTTTGAAATTTTGACCCGCTGCAGCTTTTTTTCCATCTATACGTTTTTTCTGAAAAAATTTGGGCGTATACTAGGCATGGTGATGAAGTACGTGAATTTTTTTCAGACTAGGTTTCCCAACGAATATGAAAGAAAAAAATTTTTTTAACTTTCAAAATTTTCTATGACGTCACACGTACGAGCTACGCGTTTGTCGTCAACTACAAATTTGTAGACCCTGTCGAGATGTATCTACACAAATTTTTTCAGAATTTTAGCTCAACGCTAAACACGCTTGCCCCACGTTGCCGTTTTTGAGGTGCTCTTACAAATGCCCACGAAATTTGAGGGTCTACGGCATAATTAAGTAGACCATCTGGTGAGTAACATATCAAAAAATAAAAAAAATTGTCCGATTTTTTTTCGAGAAAAGTTTAATTGAAGTTTTGGACCATTTCAGGCCAAGACATCCGGTTCATGATGGATCAATAATTTGGAAAAAAATGTTTTCAGGTGTAACTCGCCGAGTTCTGCAACTTTGTAGTACATCACAAAGCTGTATCTGTTGGATGAAGCACGATAAAAATGTTTTTGTGTTTTCCGGTTATCGATCCACTTTGCAGACGTGCTGGCGATTCGGACACTAATGGCTCAATAATTTTGGAAAAATTAAAAGTGATAGATCTCGACGAGCTCTACAACTTTGTAATGGATCACAAAGCTCTAACTGTTGATTTAAATTTTTAAAAAATGTTTTTTTGTGTTTTTTGTTTTCTATAGTCGTGTAGCGTTCAAACAGTAATCAATCAATAATTTTGGAAAAATTCAAAATGATAGATCTCGACGAGCTCTACAACTTTGTAATAGATCACAAAGCTGTAACTGTTGATTTAAATTTTTTTAAAAAAATGTTTTTTTATTTACATGTTTTTTTAAGTCGTGTTCTGTTTGAGCACTATTGCCTCAATAAATTTTGAAAAATGTTTATTGACAGATTTCTTGAGTTCTACAATTTTTGTAGTACATTGCTAAGCTGTAACTGTTGGTATCAATTTTTTAAAAATGTTTTTGTGTTTTTTGTTTTCTATAGACGTGTTGCGTTCAAACGGTAATGAATCAATAATTTTGGAAAAATCTAAAGTGATACTTCTCAACGAGTTCTACAACTTTGTAATAGATCGCAAAGCTGTAACTGTTGATTTAAATTTTTTAAAAATGTTTTTTTGTTTACATGTTTTCTATAGTCGTGTTCGACAGCAGTTCATACTCTTAACACGCCTTTTTCAGATATTTCTGACCGCTTTCCAAGGATCTCTTTCAAACCGTTCGTCTCTGAACCAAGAAGGAATTGAAACAGAGTTCATGCCTGTAAAAACCACCGGAACCTGGAATTTTAACAATCCAATACATCTGAATTTCAGGAGTTCTCCGATTTTGAGGCCTACTTCCGCAACGCTCTATCAGAAAGGACGAAACTTGACTGCACGAAAAGCAAGATTCACTGGTGTATCTACTTCCGTGCTCCGTAAATCGGCCGCATCAGCTCTGTTCTTTATAGCATACTGCCGGAAATTCGATTTCAAATCTTACTCCGTTTCGGATATTTTCGACGAATTTACCCGGAAAACCGTAGATGAAAAAGTCGAGACAATTTCTCATTTTATGAACTGGTACGAGAAAATCCCACTCGCTCGCCCTTCCATCAGAAAACTGGTCAACTGCGAAAGCAATATCGGTGAGAGGTTAACACTCACTTTTTGTTTCATCTGAGATGAAATTTAAGATCGAGCGTTAAAGAAAGAAAACTCGACGCTTCTAACCGTCGCTCGCGGTCTTCTCGCTTTTCTGACTTTTGTGGGGGCTGTTGGCTTGAGCAGATGTAAAGCACCAACAGCTGAATCACGAAATTTCTGGACAGTCATAAGGTTGCCCCCGTTTGTCTACATATTGTGGTGATAGATGAGCATATATCACCGGGTTTTTTTTGCAGTGCTCTTATGAAAAATTGGAATCGGGAGAAAGGTGGAACAATAGAAACGGGAGTCTGCTCACTTAGTATGACCGATTTGTCCATTTTGCTTGCTCGCAAGAACGCTCCGATTTTATCACAATTCGCAATTCAAGCAAATCTTCTTGTGATGACGTTAGCTGGATCAGGTCTCAGAATTGGGAGTATCCGCAACGTCAATGCCGAAGGTAGGTGGTGTTTTCATCTCAGATGAATGTGTTGATATAATATTTGGTTATTGCGGGATTTCGACCTATTGATATACAAACTGATTTAGAGAGATTAAGAGACAGCTTGTGATTCTTGGGTTATTCAGAAATACGGTCAATTGCAATCTGGAGATCTTTGGAAGGAGTTTCGTATTGTATTTCTATAATCAAAGTTGTTGTTGTTGTCTTTTTCTACAGTACTATCCCACAGGGCCTCTTGCCAGGAGCAAAATGAGCCGCATCTATGCCTCTTGTTGAACAACTTCACGTATGCACTAGATTTTTAGGGCCACTCCGCCCACTGAGCGAACCGTATACTCTCTGGAAAACTATATAAGGACCATTGCTCGTTAGTCATTCAGTTTGCCTGCAACGCAACGTCAACAACTATGTCTTCCACTGGGTTTACTACTTCTTCTTCTATCAATTCGTGCGAGTACTATGCCACGTGGGACTACCCGGAATCCAGTTGCATGTACTCTGGATCCGTGTCGATCATTCCGAAATTATCCAAGGACGCTTCTGAAGTAAAAAAACGGAAAGTTCACAGGTACGCGGTCAACTTGGAGAACGCCGTTCACTTGGTCCACTCCTTGATCCGTCTGATCCGAGTGCCGATCTCATTGGATCTCTTCCGTAAGTACGGTATTCGTGAGTTGTGACACAAGCTTAGGTTAGGCTTAGGTTAGGCTTAGGTTAGGCTTAGGTTAGGCTTAGGTTAGGCTTAGGTTAGGCTTAGGTTAGGCTTAGGTTAGGCTTAGGTTAGGCTTAGGTTAGGCTTAGGTTAGGCTTAGGTTAGGCTTAGGTTAGGCTTAGGTTAGGCTTAGGTTAGGCTTAGGTTAGGCTTAGGTTAGGCTTAGGTTAGGCTTAGGTTGGAGGCTTAGGTTAGGCTTAGGTTAGGCTTAGGTTAGGCTTAGGTTAGGCTTAGGTTAGGCTTAGGTTAGGCTTAGGTTAGGCTTAGGTTAGGCTTAGGTTAGGCTTAGGTTAGGCTTAGGTTAGGCTTAGGTTAGGCTTAGGTTAGGCTTAGGTTAGGCTTAGGTTAGGCTTAGGTTAGGCTTAGGTTAGGCTTAGGTTGAGGCTTAGGTTAGGCTTAGGTTAGGCTTAGGTTAGGCTTAGGTTAGGCTTAGGTTAGGCTTAGGTTAGGCTTAGGTTAGGCTTAGGTTAGGCTTAGGTTAGGCTTAGGTTAGGCTTAGGTTAGGCTTAGGTTAGGCTTAGGTTAGGCTTAGGTTAGGCTTAGGTTAGGCTTAGGTTAGGCTTAGGTTAGGCTTAGGTTAGGCTTAGGTTAGGCTTAGGTTAGGCTTAGGTTAGGCTTAGGTTAGGCTTAGGTTAGGCTTAGGTTAGGCTTAGGTTAGGCTTAGGTTAGGCTTAGGTTAGGCTTAGGTTGGAGGCTTAGGTTAGGCTTAGGTTAGGCTTAGGTTAGGCTTAGGTTAGGCTTAGGTTAGGCTTAGGTTAGGCTTAGGTTAGGCTTAGGTTAGGCTTAGGTTAGGCTTAGGTTAGGCTTAGGTTAGGCTTAGGTTAGGCTTAGGTTAGGCTTAGGTTAGGCTTAGGTTAGGCTTAGGTTAGGCTTAGGTTAGGCTTAGGTTAGGCTTAGGTTAGGCTTAGGTTAGGCTTAGGTTAGGCTTAGGTTAGGCTTAGGTTAGGCTTAGGTTGAGGCTTAGGTTAGGCTTAGGTTAGGCTTAGGTTAGGCTTAGGTTAGGCTTAGGTTAGGCTTAGGCTTAGGCTTAGGTTAGGCTTAGGTTAGGCTTAGGTTAGGCTTAGGTTAGGCTTAGGTTAGGCTTAGGTTAGGCTTAGGTTAGGCTTAGGTTAGGCTTAGGTTAGGCTTAGGTTAGGCTTAGGTTAGGCTTAGGTTAGGCTTAGGTTAGGCTTAGGTTAGGCTTAGGTTAGGCTTAGGTTAGGCTTAGGTTAGGCTTAGGTTAGGCTTAGGTTAGGCTTAGGTTAGGCTTAGGTTAGGCTTAGGTTAGGCTTAGGTTAGGCTTAGGTTAGGCTTAGGTTAGGCTTAGGTTAGGCTTAGGTTAGGCTTAGGTTAGGCTTAGGTTAGGCTTAGGTTAGGCTTAGGTTAGGCTTAGGTTAGGCTTAGGTTAGGCTTAGGTTAGGCTTAGGTTAGGCTTAGGCTTAGGCTTAGGTTAGGCTTAGGTTAGGCTTAGGTTAGGCTTAGGTTAGGCTTAGGTTAGGCTTAGGCTTAGGCTTAGGTTAGGCTTAGGCTTAGGCTTAGGCTTGGAGGCTTAGGCTTAGGCTTAGGTTAGGCTTAGGTTAGGCTTAGGTTAGGCTTAGGCTTAGGCTTAGGTTAGGCTTAGGCTTAGGCTTAGGTTAGGCTTAGGCTTAGGCTTAGGCTTAGGCTTAGGTTAGGCTTAGGTTAGGCTTAGGCTTAGGCTTAGGTTAGGCTTAGGCTTAGGCTTAGGCTTAGGCTTAGGCTTAGGCTTAGGCTTAGGCTTAGGCTTAGGCTTAGGCTTAGGCTTGGAGCTTAGGCTTAGGCTTAGGCTTAGGCTTAGGCTTAGGCTTAGGCTTAGGCTTGAGGCTTAGGCTTAGGCTTAGGCTTAGGCTTAGGCTTAGGCTTAGGCTTGAGGCTTAGGCTTAGGCTTAGGCTTAGGCTTAGGCTTAGGCTTAGGCTTGGAGGCTTAGGCTTAGGCTTAGGCTTAGGCTTAGGCTTAGGGCTTAGGCTTAGGCTTAGGCTTGGAGGCTTAGGCTTAGGCTTAGGCTTAGGCTTAGGCTTGGAGGCTTAGGCTTAGGCTTAGGCTTAGGCTTAGGCTTAGGCTTAGGCTTAGGCTTAGGCTTAGGCTTGGAGGCTTAGGCTTAGGCTTAGGCTTAGGCTTAGGCTTAGGCTTAGGCTTAGGCTTAGGCTTAGGCTTAGGCTTAGGCTTAGGCTTAGGCTTAGGCTTGGAGGCTTAGGCTTAGGCTTAGGCTTAGGCTTAGGCTTAGGCTTAGGCTTAGGCTTAGGCTTAGGCTTAGGCTTAGGCTTAGGCTTAGGCTTAGGCTTAGGCTTAGGCTTAGGCTTAGGCTTAGGCTTAGGCTTGGAAGCAGGCTTAGGCTTAGGCTTAGGCTTAGGCTTAGGCTTAGGCTTAGGCTTAGGCTTAGGCTTAGGCTTAGGCTTAGGCTTAGGCTTAGGCTTAGGCTTAGGCTTAGGCTTAGGCTTAGGCTTAGGCTTAGGCTTAGGCTTAGGCTTAGGCTTAGGCTTGGAGGCTTAGGCTTAGGCTTAGGCTTAGGCTTAGGCTTAGGCTTAGGCTTAGGCTTAGGCTTAGGCTTGAGGCTTAGGCTTAGGCTTAGGCTTAGGCTTAGGCTTAGGCTTAGGCTTAGGCTTAGGCTTAGGCTTAGGCTTGGAGGCAGGCTTAGGCTTAGGCTTAGGCTTAGGCTTAGGCTTAGGCTTAGGCTTAGGCTTAGGCTTAGGCTTAGGCTTAGGCTTAGGCTTGAGGCTTAGGCTTAGGCTTAGGCTTAGGCTTAGGCTTAGGCTTAGGCTTAGGCTTAGGCTTAGGCTTAGGCTTAGGCTTAGGCTTAGGCTTAGGCTTAGGCTTAGGCTTAGGCTTAGGCTTAGGCTTAGGCTTAGGCTTAGGCTTAGGCTTAGGCTTAGGCTTAGGCTTAGGCTTAGGCTTAGGCTTAGGGCTTAGGCTTAGGCTTAGGCTTAGGCTTAGGCTTAGGCTTAGGCTTAGGCTTAGGCTTAGGCTTAGGCTTAGGCTTAGGCTTAGGCTTAGGCTTAGGCTTAGGCTTAGGCTTAGGCTTAGGCTTAGGCTTAGGCTTAGGCTTAGGCTTAGGCTTAGGCTTAGGCTTAGGCTTAGGCTTAGGCTTAGGCTTAGGCTTAGGCTTGAGGCAGGCTTAGGCTTAGGCTTAGGCTTAGGCTTAGGCTTAGGCTTAGGCTTAGGCTTAGGCTTAGGCTTAGGCTTAGGCTTCGGCGAAGGCGTAAGCCTTCGTCATTTGGTCTTAGGACAAAAAAGTAAAACTCCAAAACCCCTCATATCATATACCATTCGAAAGCTCGTCAAATTTCCCGATTTTTTTCACTTTGCCAGATTTTTTTGATATCGGGCTCGGCTCAGGGAGTTATGCTCATTTTTCAGACAAATCTGAAATCACAAAAAAACGTCATAACTCGGCTCAAACTTAACCGTCAGCGAGCGGATTTCGATGGTAGGTGTGGCCAACAAAGGCGCATCCGCCCATATTTTTTCCGGAATTTTGCCACTTCACGCAACCCGACAATATCGGTTTGAAATTTTGACCCGCTGCAGCTTTTTTTCCATCTATACGTTTATTCTGAAAAAATTTGGGCGTATACTAGGCATGGTGGTGAAGTACCTCAATTTTTTTCAGACTAGGTTTCCCAACGAATATGGAAGATAAAAAATTTTTTAACTTTCAAAATTTTCTATGACGTCACACGTACGAGCTACGCGTTTGTCGTCAACTACAAATTTGTAGACCCCGTCGAGATGTATCTACACAAATTTTTTCAGAATTTTATCTCAACGCTAAACACGCTTGCCCCACGTTGCCGTTTTTGAGGTGCTCTTACAAATGCCCACGAAATTTGAGGCTCTACGGCATAATTAAGTAGACCATCTGGTGAGTAACATATCAAAAATTAAAAAAAATTGTCCGATTTTTTTTCGAGAAAAGTTTAATTGAAGTTTTGGACCATTTCAGGCCAAGACATCCGGTTCATGATGGATCAATAATTTGGAAAAAAATGTTTTCAGATGTAACTCGCCGAGTTCTACAACTTTGTAGTACATCACAAAGCTGTATCTGTTGGATGAAGCACGATAAAAATGTTTTTGTGTTTTCCGGTTATCGATCCACTTTGCAGACGTGCCGGCGATTCGAACACTAATGGCTCAATAATTTTGGGAAAAAAATTTAAAAGTGATAGATCTCGGCGAGCTCTACAACTTTGTAATAGATCACAAAAGCTCTAGCTGTTGATTTGAAATTTTTTTAAAAAAATGTTTTTTTGTGTTTGTTGTTTTTCTATAGTCGTGTTGCATTCAAACAGTAATAATTCAATAATTTTGGAAAAATTCAAAATGATAGATCTCGACGAGCTCTACAACTTTGTAATAGATCACAAAGCTGTAACTGTTAATTTAAATTTTTTAAAATTGTTTTTTTATTTACATGTTTTTTAAGTCGTGTTCTGTTTGAGCACTAATGCCTCAATAAATTTTGAAAAATGTTTATTGACAGATTTCTTGAGTTCTACAATTTTTGTAGTACATTGCTAAGCTGTAACTGTTGGTATAAATTTTTTAAAAATGTTTTTTTGTGTTTTTTGTTTTCTATAGACGTGTTGCGTTCAAACGGTAATGAATCAATAATTTTTGGAAAAATCCAAAGTGATAGATCTCAACGAGTTCTACAACTTTGTAATAGATCGCAAAGCTGTAACTGTTGATTTAAATTTTTTAAAAATGTTTTTTTGTTTACATGTTTTCTATAGTCGTGTTCGATTTCAGCGCTAATGGCTCAATAAATTTGGAAAAATGTTTATTGACAGATTTCGACCAGTTCTACAATTTTTGTAGTACATTGCTAAGCTGTAACTGTTGATTTAAATTTTTTTAAAAATGTTTTTGTGTTTTTTGTTTTCTATAGTCGTGTTGCGTTCAAACAGTAACAAATCAATAATTTTGGAAAAATCTATAATGACCTTCTATATTCAAACGCAGTCGAGATC